ACCATCTGAAATCAACAAGTATCAGAGAAAGATTTGATCCGAAAGATTGGATCCTTGCTGTTTGCTGCAGTCACCACCAGACCAGACATTGCCTTTGCAACTTCCAGACTGGCCCACTTCCTAATGAACCCAGGACAGGAACACCAAAATGGAGCAGACCGTGTCCTCCTGTACCTCCTTGATACAAAGAATCTTGGCCTCAAGATGGGAGGAGGTGATTCCTTGGAAGTTGCAAGTGATGCATCATTTGCAGACAATACACTGGACAGGAAGAGTTCTCAAGGATACACGATCAAACTGTTCAATGGTCTCATTGCATGGAAGGCAAACAAGCAAGACACAGTCACCATATCTACCACTAAAGCTGAACTGCTTGCACTCTCACAGGTGGCAAAGGAAGCCATGTTTATTTCAAGACTCCTCAAAGAACTGGAGGTTCCACTCCCAGAGCAGACAATAACCATCCATTGTGATAATCAACAGACTATCAGGCTCCTCAATGCGGAGATCTCAAGGTTGCAGACTAAGCTCAGGCATGTGGACATTCACAATCACTGGCTGAGGCAAGAGATATCATCTGGGATCATCAGGATTGAGTATCTGCAATCAGAGAGGATGCTGGCTGATGGGTTTACAAAGGTATTGCCTGGGAATAAGTGGAACAGGTTCTTGGAACAATTGGGGCTACAAAGAGTGAAAAGCTCAAGTGCCCTGAAGAAGATAGACTTGGATGAAGTGCAAGGCAAGTTGGAGGACATGTTACTCTGAAGAGGAGATGCTGTTAGGTCTAGCTTGCAATGGGTTCCAAGCTGAGGGGGTGTGTCAGATGGTAAGCCAGTTTATGGATATCCCATCTGGGACTGGAGAGGAGGACTGGGAGAAACTGTCTGTACCGGTACTGTCTGAGGATATGTGGCTAGTGATTCTGCAGTGGCTAGTGCCCTGCACAGCCTTAGTGCCCAGAGAAGGAACATCAAAACCGGTGTCAGGCCTCAGCCTCACACACACAAGCACATACCTGAATACAATCAGTCAACCCATCTTCATTCAATCTTTCTATCACCGTGACATCTTCAGATACCATCAAATCTGACAATAGTCTTTCATCATGCACCAGACCATCTCTATAGGATTAAGATCCAGGGAGTATGCTGGCCAGTAAATAGGATAGATGCCATGCTCAGCAAACTCAGCTATAGTGACACCTACAGCATGCCCAGAAGCACTATCCTGCATCACCTGGAGCTCTGGATTGAGGCTCATCCATCCATGGATGATTGGAACAATATGGGTGCAGTATGAGTACCTATTGATAGTACCCCAATCCTTCTCCCAAAAGATCCCTGGGCCTTTCTTATTACTACTAAAGCAACCTCAGAACATCCAACCAGCCTTCCTAGAGTGTTTCTCAAGCACGCAGGTGAGGTCAAGCTCCTCCTAGGATTTCCAGGTCACCCAGCACTTCCTATGCCTGCCTCCCATAACCCAGATCTCATCAGTCCATAGGATTGAATACCATTGTTCTCGTGTCCAATTTACATGCTTTTGTGCCCAATAGAGCCTTTTCCGCTTATTAGCCTCCGATAGAGGGGGCTTCTGGTGTGCGACGTATCGTTTATAACCTCTGCATCTCAAGGCAGATCTAATAGCTTCGGAACCGACCTGGAACTCGGAAAATTGTACTGAAAGCTCTAGATAGCTTATCAGCCTTCCAGTCTTGCTAGAGACAACGAATAGCTCTATCTCATCTATCTACTCCTCACTGAGTACTGGAGGATACCCTGGGCGCTTCCTAGGAGTCACTCTATGGGAGGCAGCACTGAGCTTGAGCCCAGGAGATGTTGAGCATCTTCACAATATCGTCCAATTGCCATCCAACATCTCGAAGTGTATAAACCTGGATCCATTCATCACGTGATAGGTATCGGTGGCGAGGCTGAGATTGATTGGATTCAGCATATTCGGATTCAGTGGATTGAGATTCAGCAGATTGAGATGCTCGGAGTGAGTTATTGACCTCCATAGTGGCATATCAGTTCGTTGATGAGCAATGGATTGAGAGTTGTCATAGAACAACATAGAAAGTACTCCGAAGTAATGAAACAGTACCTCTGATTACTTCAGAGGAGCCTTATTGGTCAAATTGTCCCTGTAAAAATTCACGCTTGGGCCAGCTCCGAGGATCCACATTGACTACTTCCCCCGGCAACCACAGTAAAAGCGAAGAATTTAGCTGTTTCCGCCAAGATCTAAAAATGGCCTTGCTAACTCATAATTCCAGCCAATAACTTGCTTACTGGTATGCCCTCTATTAGTTACTGGTATGCCCGTTAAACTGAGTCGTTCTCGCATCGCTGCTGATCACTGCGAGAAGCGGGAGGCGGCGCGTCGGGGCTCGGCCGTGCCAACCTTTTGCAACATCCCCAGCAGCAGGCCTGACACGATGACACCCATCCGAGCTTTATCCATGTGAGCGGCCCGTGCTCCCTCGGTCACCGCACCGCACCACACCACTCGCCCTGGCCGGTTCGGCAGATGTGGGCGTTTGCAGCAAACCGACGGGCGGTAATATAAATAGTTAGATTGCATTTTCATGCTCCTCCACCTCTTGACGCGTCGTCGCGTCGCAGCTTGGTTCCAAGAAACAGCTTTTGCCGAAACACGGCCGTCCGTCAGCAGAACATCCGGGCACACGAGGGGACTGGCCCAGCGCCTGTGAGGCCCCCTCCGAGGCGCACATTGCAGGAACCTGCCCGACCAGAAGAGAAGCCCAATTCAACGCGCACCAGATGGGAGGTACACAGTACTCCGTAGCGGGACGTGGAACTGGTTGCGCCTCTTACCATGCCCTCATGAAGCTCCTAGACTTTTCAAACGACATCCAGAACCCCTCGCGTGTCCATCTACCCCGATCTCCAACGGTTGCCAGATGTCGTCCCATCGTGGACCTAACGGCACCAGGGCTCCCGGCCAGCGATCGTGGCATGGGACATGATTAAGTAGCCTCCCTGGCGCGGGCCTTCAACGTGTGTTCTGGAGAACCCGGTAGCATCGTGGCTCGCGACAAGGGAGACGACCAGGAGATGGTGCCACGCCCAACTCTATTTCAACCTTCACTCAAAACATACACAGTATCAGCATCATAAGCACGACAAAACTCCGCACAGCGATTGATGGTGTTTGCCCGTCCTCACTATCCGTTTCGGCGATGCCTTCCAGAACTTTAGCCGATGTGTCTGTGAGAATCCACTTGTTGATTGTAGTGGCAGCCTGCCCAGAATGGAAGGAGCTATACGGCTGCTTTCAAATTAAGAGGCCGACTAGAAGCACCGAGGGGTTCTCCCACCTTTCGACTCAGTGCCACCACCCTCCTCGCACCATCGACCGCAGTATTGTGTAATCTGACCACTGAGCCTGGGCAATTAACAGGCGTGCAAAGCATGCTGCAAGATCTCCTCTTCTGCCCTCTTACACAAACTCAACAAAAGGTAAAAGGCAAACCCTTTTGGTCTTTACGCGTATATCCAGATCCAGCCAGAGGCATCCCGCAGATGTGCGTCGACATATTCTTGAACGATGTAAGTACAGTGGGCATCGTCACACAAATAACTAGGTCTCGCGGCGACGTGCATCCGATCCTTGATCAGCTGGGCCGCTGGGACGATGGTGATGGCAGCACACAGCAGCTCTCGACTGGTGGTTCTACTGGCGCCAGAGGATTCCGCCGTCTGTCGTACAAGCAAACAACTCATGCGCACTTCTTCCTTGACGCTTCCTTGATGAGACGGATGCCCAGCAGCCCGAGCCGTTGGGCGGGAAGCAGGGATGGGGTTGGCTGAAGATCAATTCGCAGAGGCATGTGGCGCCACACCTCGGTTGCCTGACAGGCTTGGCCGCGAGTGCTCGAGAATTCCGAGTGTCCTGCCAAACAACTCGACTCAGGACGATTCTGTATGATCTCTGATTGGGTCTGCAAAGTGCCCTTTCCTCGCATTTCTCCCGTTCAGCAATATACGGATCTTTATCAATCTGACGCATCAACAATCATCAATGCCGTCTGGCTACTGAATATTGCCGGTTTGCATTGGTGAAACATGCTAAACCCCCCCGGCTGAACAGGCTTGCACATCGGCCTTCTACGGCCGTTCTCGTCAGTCGACAGCTCGGAAGTTCGGCATATTGAGCTCCGCGCTTGAATAGGTTGAATGGAGTTGAGCTTCGCTGACGGAGTGCAGGAGCTGAGGAGTTCTCACCGCTCGGCGGAGCGTTCGCATCCTATATTGTGTAGAAGGCCAGTGTGAGCCTGGTTATGGGGATGGCAGCACGTTGGAACAAGCAGTTTGGTGGCATCCGTTGTTGACCAGGTGTGGGATCTGCTCAGGGCCCCTCGACCTGGCTTCCCGCCTGCCCTGGAGGGTCGCAGAGCGGCGGCGACCTGGGAACCAGCCCAGCGTGGCGCCTCATCATCAGCATCCCCCCATGGCAGCCAGGCTTCCCCGCAGCAGCGCAGCAGCGCAGCAGCGTTCGCGAAAGCAGGAGGGTTTTCCATCCTGTCCAGGGCCTGCACACCCTCTCGCGCGGTGCAGTATCATGGTCCTGTGGACGAATCTCCAAACAACGGACATTCACCGCTAGAAGCGACACTCACCTCCAACAACGCCACCGTCATAGCCATCGACGCATCGCGATCCAAGGCACATCAAGGTGCAACCGTCTCTTGTTTGGAAATGCCGCATTTCTCTAACCGAGCTGGTTTTTCAGCAAACGTCTCCGCATCAAGTGTCAGACTGGCACTCACAAGGCGGCGCTGATTGGCCCATGCCAAATTGTCGTTGCTCTCTCGGCTCTTATCGCACTCCTGGGCCCGTGCCAACCCAGCCTATAACAGACGCGTGCGACCAGGGCCCTGGACTCCCGCCCCTTCCTTCAGGCTTCCTCCCAGCAAGGGGAGGGCGGTGCGAACGGTCTGGGAGCCGTGTGGAAGGGAAGGGTTTGGCAGTGGCATGGGCTGCTGCTGCACACCCCTCTGAGGAATTCACTGGCAAGACATTTGATGAAATAATGTCCGATGGCAAAAACATGTCCACTGAGACTCCACTCCGGGAACCTGTCTCATAACCATTCATCATTCGTTGGTCGCAGGCCCTCCAACCTCCGTTCTTGCAGCAGCGCAACGAAAGGGCTTTTCAGCGACTGTTTCCTAGCTCCGAGCCGGCCACTAACCCCAAGACCAACGTTGCCTTTACACCCGTCCTCTCACCGTGGCCCGCAGCCCGCTGGCGTGCTGAGCAAAACTGCTTAGGTTGCATCCAACGGTTTCTCAAGTTCTTATTCACAGCTATTCTCTTATTAATCAAATCTTGCCCACTCCTGCACTGTAGTCTCCGTCGTTTCTAGCTGACACGGCACGGAGCACGTTTTTCTCACGTCCCGTGACTGGTTCCGCGCGCGGGCGGTGTAACGTCAGAAGGGAGGCATAATGTTCACCTTCCTGAAGAGGAAGAGTCTCGCACATCCCACTATAGACGCCCATGATTCAGGATACAATCCTACCACGGCTCTACAGTAGCTACGCACAGAACAAAGAAAGGTAGCAGATCGTTCGCTGATCCTGCTCTCCGATGATCCGTCGAGCTCGAATGCGATGCCAGTGTAGCTATTCACTCACTGAATTCCCAGATCTGTTTCTGCTCACGCAAAACAAACAGAGGCTGCAGGCAACACATGCACTGCACTGGTAGTCATTACTCTTACAGTAACAACTCAACACCTATATCATTGCCAGAGATAGAGCTACTATCGACTATAACATAGCATCGTGGACGCATCTATTCCCTACCCTTTATCGAAATCATGCTAGAGTGCGAAGTACGGATACTACGACACCTTGTTGGCTGCCCGCGCCTTTCCGGAACCAACACGTTAACGTCGACCCAGCTCCAAATGTCAGGCACGCTAGATGAGACATGCGCATTGCATTCTCCTCAGTACGGTAGTTAACCGTCCAGCACTAGTTACCGCAATGTCGTGAGTCCCCGTCCTGTAGAGCGCGCTTTTGCGTCTTGTGTATCTCGCGTTACACCTATTGTTTACCCTAGGGTACCCTCTGTTTGCTGTATTTAGGCCGCACCTCAGGTTCTGTTGCGAAAGGTTCCTCCCGAGCATCTATTTTTCTTCCAACAAAAGAGAAAGCGAACGGGAATGCGGATTGAGAGGTCGATTTGGGCGGAGAGGCTTTCCTTTTTTTGCTCTGTTTTGCAGGCAGGCAGGCGAACGAAGAGACTGCCAGGAATTAGCTGCGAGATTTTGGAAACAATTAAAGTCGCGAAAACCGCAACTACTTTTCCAAACGGATCGCGTTACCATTCCTGTGCGCTTATAGATTGTCTGTTTCGCCTTGTCCCCCTAGGGGACGGCATAGCTCCGTTCTAGCGGTCTTCGAGAAGGTAGGGTAGGGTAGGGTAGGAGGCCTAGCGGGCCTGCTTTGTTCAAGTCGTGTAGTCTTTAGGTAGTCTTAATTCTTTCGTAGATAGTTGTACTACCTTACTACTGTTTCGACCTGCAGCGTTCCCGTCGTTGTAGTTATTTTTCGACCTAGGTTCGAATGCGTTTGCTTTTAACTACGTAGTACTTTCTATGTTTCAAAGAGGCAGTACGGTCTAAGTACCCTAACGCTGTGCGAAATATATTATGCATTGCTATTCTGCTGTTACTTTGTTTCTCTCTACTGTAGGGCTTTGTCTACATAAGACTTATTTTACCGTAAAGCTTTACGCTGTCGCGCTGCAGTACACAGAGATCTAAGTCTAGTCTGCACACCTAGCGTATTTTCTACTATCTACCAAGTAGTTACGTCGAGCTTTGCCTTTTCTCTCCGCTGGCGCGGGAACTGTTAGCATAGGAAACACGGACGTTTAGGGGGATAATTGATAGTTAACGAGACGTTGTTGCCTAGTCTAGGAATCTCGCTGCTTAGGTTAGGCGCAGCAGAGTTCGTATTGCAGAACACGAGTTGTTGTGCAGTATTTCTAGGAGGGGTAGAGGTAGCATTTTGTATTTAGAGTACACGAATTAAGTCTGCCTAAGATGCTAGGTAGCAGAAGAAGGAGATCTAGCGTGCCTTAGTACAGAGAGTTAAAGGGAAGATTGTTGTGCTTTTTAAGCAAGAGACAAGAGCATAGGAGGAAAATGTCTGATCTTTGTGCTAGATAATGTTAGAGGGAGAAGTTGTGCTGTCCAATTGCGCAGCTTCGACGCTAAGAGGTTTCAGGAGCGGAAGCAGAATTGAAGGCAAGATTGGATTAGTATTCGAAAACGGATTAAAATCTATGTTAAAACGTGCATTGGAATCCACCCTGAGATCAACACCGAGGTTGAGATCGAAATCGAAATCAACATCGATATTGGTTCGGATTTAAAACCGAGTTCCACAATTGAATTCTGAATGAGATCGAACAGAGACAACTTCAATACGAAATGCTGTGCGAAACGCCAGCAACCGAGAGAAGAAAAAGAGTCCAAGACCAAAGATCCGCCCAGTGCGGGCCAGTTTACCAACCCCTAGGAGAGATCCTCTAAGCTCAGCGCACTGAGCGAATGGAATAGCATAGAAGAGGGTTGGTAGATGCTATGCTCCCATAGGCCAGAGAGAATAGACTCTAAGGGAGCGAGCAGCTTGCCTAATCGTCCTATTCCGAGTCGGAACTGCAGCTGAAAAAGGGCTGTTTGTCATCGTCGTCGCTGTCGTCGTCATCTTCATCTTCGCCGTCGTCTTCGTCGGAGGAGGAGATGTCCACCACCGCTCCACCAATCCCGCCTTCCTCGTCCCCCTTTCCTTTCCTCTTCCCCTCCTTCCGTTGCTTCGCCAGATACCGGTCTCCAGACTGGTAAGTCTGGAACCAGTCATCCACTTCCGCGTTCCTGTTCCCGTTCAGACCGAAGTTGCCGACACGACTCTCGACGTTGCCGGCCGTAGCTTCCTCCAGCTCGGGCAGATTTTCGTACAGATTTGTGATTTTCTCGCCAGCTTTCAGCTTCGCCTCTCGTTCCTGTCTGGTTCTCCTCAGAGCACTGACGGAGGAGGTAAATGCTGAGGTGCGAAGCGGCGACTCCTCCTCCGACGAGGACGAGGACAAAGAGGCAGCTTGAGTTTTCGTACCATATGCGCTCGCTTTGCTGACCTGTTTTTTATACCTCGAATTAGCCTTGCTGATGGATGGAGATACTGCACCACCGCGCTTAATTGGTCGCATCACTCGAGAAATCTTAGGAGCACCTGGCGGCGATACGGGTTTTGGTTCCTTCTGGGGTGTTTGCGGGGAGGAGGGAAGTGCGGTGCTGGTATGAAACCTTACTTTCTTTGACGGCGTGGCATTGTTCGCCTTCTTCTTCTTCTTCTTCTGAGCGGCCTTCCTCTTTGCTCTCCTGTCGCCGTCTTGATAGGCTTTGGTCTTCCAAACTCGCTCTTCGCTAGGTTGAAATTTGCGGTTGGGATTGTAATTATCGTCGCTAGACGATCCGAAGCGCTCGCGGATAGGAGTGGGTGGGATGTCGTCGTCAGATTCTTCTGCGTCGGCGTCCACGTTCGGAAGACGATGAAGTGAAGCAGTTGTAGCGCTATTCGAAGGAGGCTGCTCCACGTCGCTCTCGTCACTCATAGGAACTGTCGGAGCTTTTCGTTTTCTAGCATTCGTCGTAGAGGACAGTCCAAGAGCACCCGCATCATCTCGGTTCCTAATCGCCAGCGGTTGAGGTGCCGGACGGACCCCAAATTTGGTGACTAGCTCTGGATCAGGCGGAGGCTGGACTGGACATGGTGTGCTTGCTGCACTACCGATCCCGTTCTCTATACTCGTAGCAGGCGGCGGTGTCCGGAACGGGTTGCGGAATCTGTCGCCGTTGCTAATGTCCACGATTTCGTCAATACGATGGCGACGTTCCCTTTTGCGACTAAGGTCACGGAGTTCGGCTCTCTTCTTGTCCGCGGTAGAGACAGGGCGTCCATTTGGCAGCGCCGTGTTCGTTCCTGGAACAGCATCTGGCTCGCCCATGGCCACATCCTCATCGTCCTCTTCATTTTCATGGATTCCACGGTCGTGGTTGGCGCAAGGACTAGGAGAATGCTGCAGCGTTTCCCAAATCGGAGGGGCAAATCCTTCTGAGCGTTCATTGCGAAGAATGGCGCCAACAAAGACTCCACGCTTCTTCCGCGTCTCCAGTTGAGAAACTACACTTCCCTGGCGCGAAAGTGTCACGGGATCCCGCAAGATAGAACTGCGGTCAATCTGTTGCCGTGCGATTTGTGCGGCAGGAATCTCAGGTCGCGCATCAGAGAGTGACGAAGTGGTCTTGCGGCGCTGATCGTTGGTGCGGACACCAAAGCTGGAACGTAGAGCATCCAAAACGGCTCCGGGTTCACCTTCATCGTCGTTAATGGGAGAATTGGTGATGGAATTCGGAGCACTACGCGGAGGAGGGACCAGCGGACTCGAGTGCAAGACATTGGCGTCGTGATTGCTTCTCTTGGAGGGGGAGACAGAAATCCGTGAAGGCGTATTCGGCATAATAGGCGCACACCACTCTGGTGTACCGAATTCCGGTGGTGTGTATGGTCTCTTCTTATCAACCTCATTGTCGCTTGTCAGGTCGATAACTGGTATTTCTTTGGGTTGGGGAGTGACGGGACGCTGTTGGAGGGTACCGTCCTAGAATTAAGATTAGCAGTTGGACTGCATGTTGGTGATAATAGTACTGCTAGAGAAGGGAGAGACAACAGGAAAGGAAGTGGATGGTTTACCTGCTGCTGATTGCTAGTATTGACAATTCTGCTACTCGAGGCCTTGTTCTCTAGCGGATACTGTCCTAGCCGTCCGCTTCTTGGGGGACCTGCCATGCTTTTGGAGGCGCTTTGGGTGATTGTAGGTCGAAGGAGAAGAAAGTAGAGGTAATAAAGGGAATATCTTCTAACAAGCTTTCAAGTAGCGAGCGAATAGAGGATATAGAGAAGCAAGAGTAGAAGAGCAGCTTTAGGACTTCTTATAGAAACACGCAACTAGCGGTGAAGGTGAGTTTGACAGCTATCTTGTAGTGAGATACAGGTTAAAGTAAGAGAGAGCTAGGTAGTTGCTAGCCAACGCGGTGAACGCTGGCTAACACGCCTTGGTAAGCGTCGGCGGTTCAGCGGTAAGGAGCGGGAAGACAGCAAACGGAGAGAGGGGTCAAATTAAAAGGAGGTGAGATAACTTCAAGAGAGAGAGCTAGTAGGAGAAGAGGGAGGGGGAAGGCTAGGGGACCTACAACAAGAAACTTACATAGCGCATACAAGAGCCTTCTACTAGAGTTTCATTGTTTAACAGTTATTTTGTAGATAGACTGCTATCCTTGCAGGAAACTGTGTCTCCTCTATGTTACTAGCCTGAATTGCAATACACGCCATAATATACAGATGTTGGTATCTCCCCCTACGTTGCTGTCGTCGGCCAAGTTGCCGTCGCCCTTAAAATCCAGGTGGGTTGAGTCGCTGGCTGACTCTCGTCCATTTCGGTACCTCTGTTGCGGAGTGTCAGCAAATGCGCATTCCCTTTGATAGTCCAAGTTAAGCAATTCTTTCCCTCCTCTTCACCTTCACTTCGTCATCTCCATTTCACTCCCCCTCCGTTCCCCCTCACCATCTCACTGCCCTATCTCTTCTCCAATCACCATTCACCTTCCCAAATCGCAATCCCGATCGTTCTCAAATCTCACTCCTGATTCACATCGAAAAGAATCCCACTTACTGTGAATCCCCTTCCTATACCTCTTCACCTTGCGATCGAAAACCGTATATTTATCCTTGGGCAGCATCTCGGCCTCCGTCGGCATCTCCTCCTTCCACCTCTCCACCTTCCGCATCGTCTGTCCGTGGCGTGCTAGCGCGGCGTCCAAGGTAGCTACAATGCCGTCGACTTTTCGCAACCGCTCGCGGTGCCGGTATTTTTGGTGACGAGAGAGGCGCCATGGTATTTTCCTAGTCGAGGCTTGTTAGTCGCAATGGTTCATTCGGAATGTCGGGGAGTTGGGGGAGGTAGGTGCCGCATTCGGTAGGGAATAGCGAAGGAAATGGGGGAGTACCAGAGGAGGCCGCCAGAGAGCGGGTTTGTGAGGCGAAAGGGACCGAACATTGTGATGTGTGGGGTGTGGATGTCGAGTCGATGTTTCCAGGTCTGGAGGTGAGGTTGAGAAGAAAGTCGCGCGGGATGGGCTTGGCGCGTGGAGATCCCTGTCTGCAGATTGACAAGGGGGAGCGGAGCTTAAGCTCACGTCACAACAACTGTTCTATGTGAGGAAGAGGTGGGCAGTTTGAGGATTACAAGGGATCATACGACACAAAGCTACGACTGGACGGCTTGATATTTCCCTCACCGCCTCGGCGCTCACCTCCCATCATTCCACCTCCACCGCCTTCTCTCCCTAACAAATCCAAAATGTCCTACACCTTCACCATCCTCTCCCCAACCGACACCCCCCTCTTCACCCACTCCTTTGGCACCTCCCGGTCCGGCGGCGACGGCATCCCGCGCTTCACCTCCTCCGAACGCGCCCTCATCCCCTTCATCCTCCACTCGGCCCTCGACATCGTCGAAGATGTCCAATGGGGTCCTTCGACCTCCGCCGGCTCCGCCCCCATGTACCTCAAACACATCGACAAGTACCAGAACAACTTTATATCGTGCTGGATCACGGGCGGCAACGTGCGCTTCCTGCTCCTCACGCGGCCCAGGGACGAAGCGCTTGGTCTGGGGCCCTCGTCGAGCGGGCAGAAGGGAAGTCTAGCGGGGGGCAGGGCCGGGTTGCAGTCGAGTTCCGGGATGCTGTATTCGCCGACGAATGCGGCGACGGAGGAGGCGGTCAAGAATTTCTTCCAGGATGTGTATGAGAGTTGGCTCAAGACGATTATGAATCCGTTTTTTAATGTGGGGAAGGGGGATGTGGTCAAGAGTCCTGTGTTCCGGGCCAGAGTGGCGGCGGCGGCGAAAAAGTATCTATAATGTGAGGGATGACGTTTCGAGTTCTGGAAATTCGGCATCCATATGGGTTATGTGTTTGGAAGGGCTCAACAGAGGCATATGGGAGCCATTCCGCCCCTCGCGGCCAGGGAAAACTGCGCCCAAGCTTTGCATCGGGAGACGGCCGAAGGGCAAAAAGCGTATGTGTGGATGCAGTCGGGACGGCTCTCCCGGGCAGCCCTCCGAGACCCAAGGTCAGCACAGGCTCCAAACCACGAGGGAGAATGATGCTTTCAAGGAAGGAGATGAGGGACGCTACTCCGGGTGAGAGGATTTAGAGGAGAATCAAGCCTTACGGCTCCACAGACAATGCTGCTGAAGGAAGAATACCAATTGATACCTTCTAATACAGTCTGACTGAATGCATTATTGGTCTTGGATTACTCCCGACCCCGTCCTGTACCGCAACTTATCACGTCCGATTGAGCACAGAGGCGCAGCATATGACAGACCCTTGTAATTAGCTTTATAACAGTGCTATCTAGCTATAAGAAGACTTACACGAGGTTCCACTATCGCCCCAAGTAGACTGTAACCACTTCAAATGCATTGACGGGATAATCTTACCTACAGAGAAATTGCAAAGGGTTATTTAGTTGAACGTGGAAAGTGACGACACGGTGCACTCTTTAATATTTACGCCTCTTGAACGAATGCGTTTAGTTTATGTACAGAGGGTGTGACGGATGCGCGTTCCCCAAGGTCCCTCCACCAACGCCATAGCGGTATTATTCCCTTTCCTATTCCCGGACAGGACCATCTACTATGCACAAGCTCTTTCCTGTATATTACACAGCTACAGCGTCCGGGGAACGCTGCCCTCCCTGCTGTGGAGGCCTCTTCTCCCCGAAATTATGCAGCCTTTCTCCAATCAAATACACCTCGTCGCGGACGACCATCCGCCATCTATTAATCATCCTGACCCCGGCCCTGCCCAGCCATACCGCCAAAAACGCCATCCCAACAACCGGAAAACTGAACCGCCATACTTCGCTCCGGGTGTCCGCGGGTGCGCCTGCCCAAAAGGTATGATTGAGTGTCCAGGCAATGCCCATGGGGACCGCAGCGGCGACTGTGAAGAAAACCACGGCCGGCGCAAGGAAGCAGCGCGTGGTGATGCGCGCATTGGGGTCGAGAAAGCCGTCGGCGATGATGGCTCTCCAAGCTTGACCGGGACGGGAATTGCGGTCCGCGAACATGATCCGCGTTAGCAATCGGCCGTAGAGAAAGCCGAGCGTCCAGTCCTGGATTATATGAACCACATGAGGCTCTCCTGGACCCAAATATTCGTGCAGTGGCAGGATCAAATAGAACTCAAGGAAAAAGGCGAACAATGTAGGAATGACCAATGCGATAGAACCCCATACGTAGCAGATGCGTGCGACCCGCAACAAATAATGGAATGCTGTAGAGGCTAAAGCAGAAATTCTGGAGAGGCTTGAGGATTCCGGTTCCCTAAGACTCGACAGGAAGTTCCAGAGTTGGTACAGGACGTACGCGATGGCGGCCATGGTATATAGGCCTAGGGAAAGGGCATGGATGTCATTCATCTGGACCGCCGGAGACAAGACCAAGGAGAAAAGGCGTCTGCCGAAAAGAAGCGGCAAGATGGAGACACCTAACCCGGTAGCCGCCGCAAAAGCCCATATGGCGAGGACGAAGAGCGCGATGCGGACGCGAAAGTGTGGCGGAAGATAAACTTTGATAACCATGTCCGAGTTGTGAACTCCGCCTTCCTCCTTACCGTCTTTGCGACGATTGAACTCGTCAACTTCCACAAAAGCAGTCTCTCCCTTGGGGATTCGGGTCTGATCCGAGGCAGGGGCGCGTACATATCTGCCATCAAATGTGAAGTAAGCGCGACCAGCCTGCTCTGCAGCTCTCTTCTCCACCTCCGTGTTGAGAGGCTTTTCAATGTCTCCCTTCTCCCCGGCGAACCAGCTGGACCAGGTCGGTCTGACATGATGTCCTTCTTCGGCGGGGATCTTCTCCCCGAGGAGGAAATTTGACAGTCTCAGGACTCTAGCACAGTTTTTGAACCACCATTGATAGATCTCATGCACTGCATCGCTAGGTTTGTAATAACTTAGGATGAAGGGCGTAAGAAAATTGTAGAAGAAAAGATCCAGCGGCAGTTCGATACTAGACGCCGTTGTCGCCCATCGAATGGGGAGCACACCGATTGTAGCTTTTTCAAGTCCCCAAACAACCCCTCCGAGACATACGACGATCAACACGCCGTAAACAAGTCCACTGAAGGCAATCTTCCGTAGCTGCGTCGCCACGCTTCGCTCAAGAACGTCCCGAACAGGGTGAAAGGTAGGATCGTCAGGATCTCTAATGAAGTATAACACGCCTTTCCTCAAGATCTTGCGGCACATGGATACAAAGAGAGCGAAGTGGAACATGTAGCACGTGCCAATGAACCAGTGAACAAAGCCGGATGTCCATGGATTCTGCGTAGCATATTGCCACCGGCTGTGAAGGCTAGCATGTTGGAACAACGGGAGCATGGCGAAATCGAGGAGCAGGCCGCAATATAGCGGGAAAACGAGCATCTCGATGCTGATGATCAAGATCACCTTGAGTACTCCGCCAGCTTGGTGAAGAACTTCTGCGATGGCGTTCTCAAGCTTACGGCCTTGCTGCGACGAGCTCACCGGCCCATATTTGAGATAGATTGCACCAAGCATGGCAATAAGCGCATAGCCTGCAAGTACAGCAACAAGCCGGTCGGTCGCGGTCCACACTTCTATTGTATCAACCGGCGTTGCGACATCCTTTCGCCAGTCCAGATCAAGGGTCATTTTGTAGGAGCTCGATTTCCAGATCCAAGAGGCCAGCGTCGAAACCGTATCAATTATCTTAGTAGAGCGCAGGAGCAGAGTGACATGCAGCCGACGGACTATCCAATGCGCCGCTCCCAGAACTGAATGTGCCGCAAGAGTGTTATATATATCCAAGATGTTAGTTGCGGTTTGTCCCACTGTGTGTTTTATGGCACGTTGAATAGCCCGTAGTGCCATGAGTGAGCTTATGGAGGTTTGGGGACCTCGTGCATCGGGATTCTGTAGGCCAACCATCCAACGGCCGAGCCGTTCCCCTGCATTCCTAGATACGGTTTCTGCCGGCATTGAAACCGAGTCGAGCAAGTTTTGAATGACCTCGAAGAGTCGAAGGGAAGCGAAGCGCTTCACGAAGAATCCAGGGGTTCGAGCCGAGATAGAGATTACGGATGAGATCAAGAAAAGGCCGGTGTCGGCAATGAGATCCACTGTTCCAGAGATGGCTCGTAAAGGAATCTTCAGGAGAAAGGCGACAGGATGGGCAACGCATAAGAACACGCCTTTCCCGAGCAGATATGGAACCCAAACTGCGAAGGCAAGCGTGAGAACTACAAGCACAGAGCAGAACACCACATTTTGGAATAGTCCAATGAGTGGCCCTTGCATACCAATCAGTTCCATTATGCCTTCAAGGTCTTCTGCGGCTTCGATGGCTTCTTCGTCGTTAAGATTGATGCCTGCCCGGGCTGCGGCTGCCGCCACTTCGGGGTCTTGTACAGGAGGATTTATGGCAGGACGCGGCTCATTGTCCTCGAAAGGCACGAACGGAGCTTCATTCCCCATATCTTGGACGACACGTTCGTCATTGGCGTCGCCATCGTCGGCGTGTGCATCAGGGGCGATATCTCCGTAGACCCAATCTAGCAGACGCTCCCACGGATTTCGCGCAGCGCGTGCTGCCTGGCGTCGAGGTTGCGGCACTAGCTCGAGGTTTGCAACCCCACCTGCATTCGGAATATCCACGGCCCTGGCAGAATCCAATTCCAGCATCTCAGCTTCGTCTTCAGACGTTGCAGGAGAGCCAGCTGATTGCGTCCATTCGGGTGGATCCATAGCGGCGAGTGCATCATCCTGCTCGGGGTTGAAGGCATTCTGAATAGCAGTTGACATGGTGGCCGCATTTTGCTCCGAGCCCATGTCGTGCCCCTGCTCTTCAACCGCATCTCCCGGGTTCGTCAGGACATGTTCGATATGTTGCCAGCTCTCACTACTGCGTTCACTACCCTGTCCTCGAACCTCGTCTGTTCCTCCAGAGGTATCCTCGCCCACGGTATCAGGCCCCTCGTCATCCCAGTTGTCAGGTAAATGGTCTCTAGTAGAATCGGATCGCTCCTGAGTGGTCTCGGGGACCGATCGAAAGGACCACGTCTCACCTTCTTCCATACTGCGGCGGATCTCGTTGGCGATGAATGACCGGTCCCGGGCTGGCATATTGGGTCTCACGCGAGGATCGCATCCACCCTCAACTCCTGCACGAGCACTCTCACTGGATTCTCCCTGGGTTGGGACTGTGCGCGCTTGATCACTTTCCGTATTTTCGTCATCGTGAACGTGCTCATGTGTCCCGGCGTCGGAATCAGAATCATCTTCAGTCTCGTGCTCAAAACCAACAAGGTCATCCCCAGCTCCTTGAGGATTATGGTCCACCTCAACGCGCTCTGGAACGGGGGCAGGGATAGGCTCTGCAGCAAGCGCAGCCATATTTATCACGGGTTGTTGCTGGACAACCCATTCTCTTATGAGGAAGATGAGGATGAAACCGACGACGATGCCGAGGGTGATGATCTGTCCTTCGAGCACGTAGATGAGCAGCCTGTTAGCACGTTCAGAGTTGAAACAGTGGAGAAATGAGACTCCAGAAAGTAACGTGGGGTGCCGCATGGGAACAGGACGAGCAGTGGGGCCATCTTCGGTAGGGATGACGATGTCTGTGGGGAACAGGCCAAATAGGAGGGCTTTCATGATTTCAACAGCGCTCATATTCGACAGCTGAAGGAAAAGAACGGGTATCCACATGGAGTTATCCGTGTGAGTGGTCCCGATGGTAGAATCGATCGTCCGGCGTAAGGGTTCAGCGTTAGATATTGACGCCATCCCAATGTTGGACATCCGGGTAGGACGCGGTTGGAGCATGCCGGCATCGCCCATCCAGAAAAGACTACGCCAAACCATGCGCACGCTGTATGGCAGAATTACGAGCCAGACAGCAGCGACCAACAAGGCGCGGAAGCATTTCCCGACCATCCGGATAAGATGAAGAGCGGCGCGGCGCAGGAAGATGGACGTGGGGATGCGCGAGGGCATAGTGGGATGGTACAGCTTGGTGAACCTGAAAGGAGTCTTGCATAGTTCGCAGTACTTCTTTTGAGAGTGTGACAGCCACTCCATCAAGCAGTCTTGATGAACGAACTTGATGCTACCACTGCACTTGCAGGGATAGAAGAGCGGCTCCTCTACCGAGCCTTCCCCACGACATATCCGGCAAGTGTCTCCCTCGTCACCGACTTTATCTGATGGAGGTTCCATGGAGGTTCCGGGCTCGGTGGCCATGGTGGGAGCTCGCGTGATCGGAGTTCTGCGGAAGTTGGGAGGTTTGGTGGCAATGACGCTCTACAGATGCAGGCGGATCTGCCGTTCGGCGCGTTCAGGGACTCATTTGAGGAGGGTGAGAGATAGCTCTGCACCTGGGTCCGAAAGACCAAATGAGCACAGAGAGAAAGAGAGAGTCGTGAATCGTCTTTGGGGTCAAGGTGGGGCGGGAAGGACAATGACGACGAGGCGGAATGCGGCAGAAGGACGGGACGGGAGGTGAGGGTCGAAGGGTCTAATACGGCGCGCTGGGGTCAAGAGCGTGTGCAGGAGGTGAGGTTGAGATGTTGGGAAGGCAAGGGAAGAGTATAGGTACGCAATTGGAAGTAGATGGATGCCCTCAGGGCTTCACTTGCGCAGTGCACGTGATTCCCAGCGAGCTAGGGTGGACGTGCGCGATGCCAAGAACAGCGGACGCTTAGCCATTAAGGGGATAACGTCGTTTTATCGTAACCCCCAGTTTTCGGTTGAAGCAAGCATGTGCTCAAGCGTCTGAGCAGAAGCTTGCTTCGTCTCATCTTTGAATCTTCCAGGCCAAAAGTGACCACTTTGCAGAGGCACCTTCTCCTGAGTCGTCAAGCAGAGACTTCCACGCCCGTCGTCATTCTCCATCATCACCCATCGACTTTCCCGTCCCGCTCCACGTCCTTGGTTGCTGGGCCCACTGCACCTGCACCTGCACCAGGGCACGCGAACGCCATTACATCATCATCCTTCTTTCGCGCTCGCATCCTGGCACCGTCAACACCGTTGGCTTCAATCGCTGAAAGCATACATCGGCACCCTCTATTCCGTCGATTCTGCACCCGTATAGCCATACGCTCGCTGTGGTAGGTCATATACCCCCAACATGCCCTCTGTGCAGCGCACTGATCCCGGCGGATATAGGAGCGCCTCACTCTGCTTTCTCACCGCCGCACCTGAAGACCTGACCGACCGTGACGCAGAAGCCCATCGCTTTCGGAGCTGCCACCATGGCTGCTCAAAGCAATGGCAGGGCAAAGAAGCCCACCAAGACGTTCGCCAATGGACATACCAATGGGAGCCTCAACGGTGCTGTCAAGACTTCGAAGCTGAATAGACCCGTCACATTGTCGCCGTCGCAGAGAAAGCCGCGGAGAACATTCTCGGGAATCATCACAAATATCGCCCTGAGGTAAGTCCCTCACCGCACCTCTGGCCTGCACGTAAGAACCTGCTTGTGGTCACAGTGGATTGCCCATGTTTGACCTGGATGGCACTGACGGGGGTGTAGATTAGGGGTGTGGTATCTCATCATCACCTGCGTCTTCCGTTGCCCTTCGTCGTTAACTAAGCTATCCGAATCCTCACCAGCCATTTGCAAGCCGTATTTGCACGCGCGGGCTTACGTTACACCTTATGTCGACCCTTACTACCAAGCGTATGTGGCTCCACAAGCCGCAAGGATCCAGCCATACTGGGCTTCATTTGATCAGAAGGTGTACACCCCGGTCGCCTCGTTCGCAAAGGACACCTACGCGGTCCATGGAGCACACCGCGTTGAGAGAGCACGACATCATCTGGAAGTGCAATGGGAGAAGGCGGTACAACCGCAGATAAAACACTTGAAAGATTCAGCAAAGGGCCAGTATGATCTCCACGTTGGTCCTCATGTTAACAAGGTCACGGACACCGTCATGCCGTTCTATGAACAAACCAGGGACAGTACTTCGGAGATTTATCATTTGACCTTGCGCCCCACTTACGAAGCAATTCTCCCCTATCTGCATCAGGCCTACGTCCACGGTCATTATGTCGTCTGGCACATCATTCTCCCACATATTCGTTCCGCGCAGAACTCCATCTGGACTTTCACCACGCGCACGGTGTGGCCTCAGCTGAGAGTCCTGTATGGCGATAATGTTGAACCTCAGCTGGTTAGGATCCGAGAGCGACTGGGCAGACACAGAGATCAGCAAAAGGTTGAGGCTGTAGTGGGATCTGCCAGCCTGGAGACGTAAGTGTATCGGATCCTCTCTATTCCAACGAATACTTATCTTCGCAGGTCAAGCTCCCCAGCCAAGGAGACGATAGAAACCAAAACGGCTAGCGAAACTGTACAAATTCAAACGGAAACTAAATCGGCAGCGTCCCAGGCGCCGTCTGGTTCAGGCTGGGACATTCTGAATGACCTATGGCCTTCTGACCCTCCGAGCACGGAAACCGTGAACGTCGAATCTCAAACGCCAACTCAGCCCGAAGAGCCAAAACTCACCGGCGCAGAACTCAAAGAAAAGCTCAAGAATGATTTGAGGGAATGGCAGACCAAATTTGCAGTTGCTGCCGACAAAGGCGCGGAAGATTTGGAGCAGCGCGTCGCCGAAATCACCAAACGTCAGGTTGAGCATGGGGTCAAGGGGCACGGAACCGCCCTGCTCATTCAGCTTGAAGAGACTGCGAACGCTACCGTTGAGGATTTCAAGAAAATCATCAAGCAAACTGTAAAGGCGATTTCTGAAGACGCATCTGAGACGGAACTCGAGGATGCTTACGAGAAATGCATTGCAAAGACTCGCGAACTGGGACTCAGAGTAAAGGATAAGGCGCAGGCCGTCAGGAACTGGAAATCAAAATACAATGCAGAGACTGATGCCCTTGTCCGAGCCGCCGTCCGGAGCACAATGGAAGTCCTCGAACGCATCCATGCCTTAGGTCTGCAAGAAGTCGGAATGCGGTGGGCCTGGACTGATGGAGTCACGTACAAGGACTGGCAGAATTACCACAAGCTGCGAAATACCTTGACGGAGTGGCAGGCGGAAGTGGAAGCAGTTGGCTCCCGGCATGAGGGTCTCAAAGATGCTCACGAAGCGGCAAACGAGCTGGAGGATCAGGCGATGAACACCGCCTCCAAAATGGTCGCCGAGCTTGTCCGCCTCAAGGAAGTGTCGAGATGGAAGATATGGGCGGGAGATGCCACCGACGACTTCTCCAACCGCGTCGTCCCCGCTCGAGTCGCCAAAGCTTCAAAGAGCATAGTAAGCGGTGTTGAAAACTTGGCATCAAAAGCTTCCAGTGAAGTCATAGGTACGGAGACTCCAAAGTCCGAAAGCATTGCTTCCGCAGTTAAGGAGGGGATTGCGGCTGCTTCATCCCAAGCGGCGTCCGGTGCCGGCTCAGCAAGCGCTTCAGTCCGCAGTGCAGCTTCTACCGCCGCGGAAAAGCTTGAGGAAGTTTCATCTAAGGGTTTCTCCGTGGTAGATGCTGCAACTTCCTCTGGCAGCAGTGCTGCATCTGTTGCCTCGGAAAAGGCCGAACAAGCTGCTTCGAGAGCCTCCGAAGCTATCGCGGGTAGCCCAAGCGACGCCTCCAGCGCCGCATCTGGCGCGAAGGAGACCATCAAATCCAAAGTTCAGAAAGGAACAGAGGCGATAAGAGACAAGGTCACATTCGCATCCCCAGCACCCGAGCGGCAAAAGGTCCTAGGTGGAGCGATGGCCCAGGCCGTTGGTGAAGCTCGAGAAATCATCTTTGACGACGAGGGATCTGACTCGTACTCCCGGAAACTCCAGGATATAGTTGACCAAGCTGGTGACCGTGCTGCTGCTTTGAGCAGTGTTGTCAGTGAAGCTCTTCTGGGTCCAACCAAAACCCAAGGTTCCGTAGAGTCGGTCTCCTCTCTGGCGAATGAGCAATATCAATCCGCCATCGCTGCTGCATCGAGGGTGCTGTACGGCACTGAGCAGCAGCCGGTCGAAAGCTTGACGAGCGTGGCATCGGAGAAGTTTGCTGCCGCTGTCACTGCGTAAGTCTCTTCTCAAAAACTACCGTAAGTGTTTCTTCTAACCATTGAGTAGAGCGTCCTACGCAATCTACGGTACCCCAACGCCGACAGCTATCATCGAAACAATCCATTATCAGGCTAGTTCGCGGTACAACCAAGCCGTCAGCCTCGCGAACGAGCAATATGAGAACGCCAAATCGCAGCTCTCCGTACTCGTCTCGGGAACGCCAAAGCCGGCTCATGAAACAATGTTGTCTCTGATTGAAAAAGCTTACTCCGACTCATTGGAGGCTGCTAGTGACAGACTCCGGCTAGCCTTACAATACACTGGCTCTGTCAAGACCTATGCCTCTCCCACCCAAGGGTACTTTGAGTCTGCCTCGTCAATCGCGTCATCGAAGCTGTCTGAAGGTCTGAGCCTTGCTTCTTCCCAATTCCGCTCGCAACCAACGCCCCTTGCGGAAGGAGCGCGCAGGCAGTACTATGAGGCCGTAGGACTCGCGCATGCGCGTTATCAAGAGTTCCTCGATTCCGTCTCCACCGCCATCTACGGGCCCGAGCAAGGCACCGTTCAATCAGTGGCATCGAAGGTGTCCGAGTCAGCTCAGTCTGTCGCTTCTCGAGCCAGCGAAGCCGCCGAATCTATCGCGTCTCAGGTTAGCTCAAGTGTCATTGGAACAGAGACTCCCTGGACAGAATCGGTTGCATCCCAAGCGAGCGCAAACTGGGAAGCGCTGATTTCCAGAGCCAGCACGAGAGTGTATGGCCAACCAACTCCTTGGGCGCAGTCCATCTATTCACAGGCGGGGGAATACGGCGCTCAAGCTACTGCCCATGTTGCCGAGCAGTATCTCGCCGTCCAGGCTCTGGTGTCAGAGCTCGTCATAGGAAAAGAGCCGGATTTCACAGAAAGTGTTATGAACAGACTGTCCTCAGCTTATTACACCGGACTTCCCGCCGCCGCCTCGTCAGTCAGTTCTTTTGCGAGCGTCAACATGGAAGCAGCTAGCTCTCTCGCTGGCGAAAGTTACGAGCACGCCACCTCCGTGGCAGCAGAAGCATACCAGTCGGCCTCATCAGTGGTCAGCTCCATCTTCACTCCACCGCCCGCAATCGAGACTATCATGAGCCAGGCCAGCGAGCAACTCAATGCTGCCGTTGAGAGCGCATCCATAGCCATCTACGGCACTCCAAAGGGGAAGGTCGAGCAAGCCAGCGAATCCATTGCGAGTGCGTATTCCTCGGTCCAGTCAAAGGCCAGTGAAGCCATCTACGGCACGCAGCAGGCTCAAGATAGTTTCTCGGCCGTTGCCGCGAGCGCGCAAGCTGCTATTAGCGAAGCCATTTTCGGAACTCCCACGCAGACCGGTTTCATTGCTTCGGCGACCGACGGGGCCGGCAGCGTTTACAGCTCCATCACCTCCGTCGTCGGCGACAAGGCGGCGGAAGCGGCAGCCGCGGTTAGCTCCATGATATATGGGTCTCAGCAGGGTGCCGTGGAGAGCGCCAGCAGCAGACTTGCCGCGGCTGTGGAGGCGGCGAACAGCAGGATCAGCGAGATGTATGCGAATGCGGCGAGTAGTGCCGCCGAGGCAGCGAGTACGGTGGCGAGCGTAGCCACGCAGGCGACGAGGAGTGTCAAAGATGAGTTGTAGATGGGAGGGCACGCATTAAGAAATTAGGAAGGTGGAAAATATTGGGGCGACGGAAAAGGTTCCGCATGAACCCTTTATGCTTGTCTGGAGCGCTGTCCTTCGCCTCGACCTTGCGGAAGGCCAACAACTAGGCCTTCATCTCTCAGAATCCCTCTGAATTTGGAAGATACCAATCATTCACCGCACCAACATCATCGATACACAACAGCGCTGTACGATTTATGGTGCTCGTAACTTAATCCCGTCGGAAGCTCGATCTCCCAAAGGCGACTGAAGATCGCCCATTATTTAGTCATCTCATCAGTCAGGAAAAGGATTCATTCATTTTGTTCATTCTGTTTTTCGCTTCCTCAATGTTTAGGCGAGAGCGTGTCATGTTTCGATCGGCTTTTCTTTGCTTTGCTGTGCGTTTCCATTTCCAGTAGCGAACCAGGTATAGCGTACGATTGATGGGAGCATGGTGCCATGGAAGCAGCTGGGCTGCTCTGTGCCGGTGCAAGATGCACGGAAGTGGCAGTGGTAGTGGTGGGCGGTGGTGCTAGCAGTCCGTAGAAGTAGTGATGGGCGGAGACGTGCTTCGTTCCAACGACCGTGATGTGTATAATGTATTTATGAGATAGTACTAGTAATTCGAAATCTTGCACTTGTGATTTCGTGCTCAAATTTCTTTGTTTAACGTGATGGTGAAGCGGTGGAATAATACGGAAAATGGGAGGTAGTTGGTAATAACGTCCCTAGAATCGGTGGATTCAAGTCAAGGTGAAGTAAGTAAAGTACTGCTGCTAGAAAGACGTACTGCATACATACGTGCAGTATCTACAACACATATTGAATTTATAGTATGTCCCTTGCTACTTTCCGTCTTCGATCGTGCCCGAGAGATAGACACGTAACTCTCGCCACTCCGATATCGTTCAGCTCGACCCCTACACATGAAGGAGAACAGAACATGAAGAGGTGTTTGTGTTGTCGATAATTCAAATCACCAATCCCACCGTCAGGCACTCGCATGCATGAATCCCATCCCATCCCGTGTTCTCCCTCTTTCCCTCCAACGTAATACCATCTATCGATATCACATCAATATAAATCCATGCAACAACGCCCCGCATAAACGCCCGCATACGCCCAACCCCACAAAACCCGTCAAGGTTGGCCCCCAAGCAAAGCTTGACCCCTCTTAACGCCTCTTACCTAAAAGCTTGACCCTGCTTGACCCCACGACAACCCTTATCTCTGCAGTGGTGAGTGCGGGCTCGTATCGTGCCGCGCCTGAACCAAGAGTGCTTGGAGAGGGTGGGTGGAAAGCTTGATTTGTTGAATGGGATTTGTTGCAGGATGCGAGAATGTGCATCGATGTGGATTTCTGGTCTTCCTGTTTTCAAGGCTTTTCTTTTCCGTTCCTTCCCCGCAGTGGCGTGTTGGGGCATTGGGGATTCCGGCGTTCCAACGACTCTGGAGTTTTCCAATTTTCGGGTTTCCAACTCCGGAGGTTTTTCAATAATGACACAAAAGCCACGCGCAAAGCGCAAAGCGCATTCATTGCATTGCATTGCAGGAGAGGGAGGCGTTGGGGTGGATGGGACAGTGAACCTTGGACTTGGAATTGCACTTTCAGCTGCGCGTTATTGACTTGAAGATGGAGGGAGCGAGGGACGGTTGGATGTGGTGTGGTGTGGTGTGGTAATGGGACGACCCGCGTGCGCGGAGATAGATAGATGCCGGGAGGTGTAAGTTGATCTCTGGGAATGGTTGCAGTGAAGCGCTCCCAATTCTTCCCAACCAACCCCCCTTCCCCCCTCCCCTTCCTCTGCGCAGATTACCATCCCATCGAATGGGTGACCCATCTCCAGCGCCGCGGTTCTTCAAGGTTTGCACGGCAAGGTCTGCTCATCTACTGCTTACCCAGGCACCAAGTTGATTAACCAAAAAAATCCCAACCTCTCGTCACTGGAAACCCGCATCCATGGTAAATCCCAAAGCAGGTACAAGTGTACATGCTGTGTAAACTTGAAAAAACGATCACTGCATAAGCAGGGTAAGCAGGTACATCAGCAGAGAACCATCACTGCCAAACATCCAATGTAAGAGCGTGACGGAGACAAGAATATATTACTACATTTTCCCACGACGTGCCCGCCCAGCTACAATCCCAATCCAATTACAAACTCTCACTCGAAAGGAACAACAGGACTTAATGATTATGTTTTTGACTGCTCCCAGTAACGGCCGTGATGATACACCAAGCATATATGTATGCCCCAAGACGGACACACCCAGGTCCTTATCAATTTCTGCCCGTGTTTCCGCATTCCCGCACCCATATTTCTCATATATACCAAAAGGCCGTTGGTGGCCAACCTGTTTGTCCAAGCCCCAGAACGCCGCGCAAATGCAAAGGACAGGAAAGCAAGCATACATACATCTTGCTCGAGTACAGACAAACTTCTAACCACGTTGTCGCCGAAGCGTCCCAGATAATCTTCTCGCTTAAACGCAGCAGAAAGCAAAACAATTTCGTCGACAGTGTTGAAAACGCGCTCGAAAGCGAGATCAATTGCCGCTTGATAAGTAGAAAGAAATGTACAAAGCATTCAAAAGAGGGGCGGCAAGCTTCTACCACCCGTCGCCCATATCGAAACGGTGAGTTAGCACTTTCGCAAACTTCTTCTCTGGAGACGGGGGGATGTGGTGATGCAGAAACTGCTTCGTCTTGGCCATCTTGGAGGTTTCCTTGCTGGTACATTTGGATGTGTCGATGCAGACGGTGGGATCCTCGAACCCTTCGGGACAGCAGCAGTCGATGTTCTTGACGCAATTGGTGTTGAGGACGTCGCGGATCGTGATACGCTTCTCCGGATTGGGGTGGAGCATCTTTAGAACCAGTCGCTTGATGGCAGGCGGGTTGATCTTGGAGAAGTACGGACCGCACTTGGGGTGGCCATCCGCCGCGTCGGTGATCTGGCCATCTGGGTGGTCCGCGAGCCATTCTTCCCAGCCCTGGATGTAACGCTTGTACTTTTGGTATTCAGGTTTCGCCGCTTCCCAAGGCCCGCCGCCGCACGTCATGGTCAAGAAGGTGATGGCGCAAGACCAGACATCGAGCGGACGCGGGTCATATGGACCCTTCTTTGCCAGGACTTCAGGGGCAGTGTAGGGCAAGCTCCCGCAGATCCCAGGGGCCGACAATCGGATGTCCGACATGTTCTTGCCGCACTCGCCTCCAGCAGAGCGAACGCCGGGGTGCTCGCCGCTAAAGACTTCGGCAGTACCGAAATCGGATATCTTGAGATAGCCCTTCTTGTCCAGTAACAAGTTTTCAAGCTTGATGTCGCGATGTGCTATGCCGTGGGAGTGAAGATAGTCAATGCCACGAACGAGTTGTTTGAAGAAGCAGAGCCGATCCTGAAGGGAGTAATAGCCGTCTGGCAGGAACAATCTCCGGGCGACAAGGGAGAAGAGCTCGCCGTGGGCGCAGAATTCCATGACGTGATTCCACCGTCCCCGGTTCGTGCACAGACGGACTGTCTCGACGATGTTGGGGTGATGCAAGCTCTTGGCGATGCAGTACTCGGACTTGATCTTGTTGATGTACTCCTCTTCGCTCTCGGAAGGTTCACGGGCGCGGAATTCCTTGACGGCGACCAATTCTTCGCCGGCGGTGCCTCGTCGAGCCATGATGCGAACCTCTGCAGTAGCTCCTCGTCCCAGACATTTCCCACGTTTTCCGGGCATAAGGCTCGAGCTTTTGAATTCTTTTTCCAGCTCACAGAAGTCGACGACAAACTCATCGGGTAGGCTGAGGCTAAGGCGTCGGGCTTTCAGACCCACGCCTTCGACGGCGGGTCTCGAGAAGGTATCCACTAAGCCAACGGACTCGTCTCCCATTTTGATTTTGGGGACCGACTCGGTACTAGCGGAGCGCCTCCGGGAGAAACGCGAGGGCCGTTTGGGCTCTCGTGCTCCGCCTGCCCAGGTCACACCGGGCTTGTTCATGCTGGATATAGCCGTCGAGGATGCGGACTTTGTCTGCTTGAGGGGAGGAGGTTTTCGTGGCGGCGACTGTTCCTTGCGTTCCTTGTCGGACATGGTGCTAACAGGAGACGCAGGCGAGGGAGGCGAGTTGCCGTGAGAGGATTTTGGCGAGTTGCGCGCCGACAGGGAAAAGGAGCTCAATCGTCTACTCTTGGGGAAACCGAGTGGGGATGATAGCAGGTCCTTTTCGACCTCGGGGCCGTTCCACATTGCTGTACCGGTGGAAATGTTGGCCAGGTTTTGATCCTCTTTGGTGGAGGATGAGCGGTGAAGCTTGTTGCGCACGAACGAGCCAACGCGTTTTCCGAGGCGCGGCTTCTCTGCTGCGCGTTCTGGTTCTGCGACGGCTTTCGGTTGCGGGACGACGATTCGTATCGGCGATTGATCCATTCCGGATCCTGGTGTAGAGGCGGATGTTGCAGCAGGCATAGAAGAGGAGACGACTGTCGGCCGAGCATGCTCCGGCGGAGGTTGTTGCGGCGCCTTGGCGGTCACAATGGACTCGTCCTGGTCATAGTGATACGAGAAGGATGGTGCTCCATCGCTTGTGGGGGTTATGGGCTCGGCGGGTTCGCTGGCAGTGCCAACACTTTCGTCTTCTTCTGCAATGGCTGAGGCGGAATCGAGTGGACGACCGACTTGAGGATGGAGGTGGTGGTTGCCCTGTACGGGCACGGAGTGGTTGGCCGCTAGCATGGGGGAGGGTGCGGTAGCGACCTGGGACATGGCCGTGCTGCTAGGCTCTGCTTTGTGTGGAGGTGAATGCCTTGCAATATGGAGCAGCCCTTGGTTCACCGGAAACCAAGTCGAGGGTTGTAGCGAGAATTCGAGGGTGCCGGAAGGTTGTTTGGAAAGCGGTGTGGTTGTCAGATGGAGCGTTTATGCCCTCTGAAGCGAACTGGGGCGATTGTAGCAAGTGGTTGAGGCGGAAGTGTAGAAGCGCGGAAGCGCAGAAGGCACAGAGGACGGACTAGGACGAGGGCGAAACGGGTGCGGTAAAGCCATACGACGGTTGACAGGGGCCGATGACGACTGTTGGATGGTGAGGAGGGGGAGTGGAGTATCGGTAAAGTGGATGTTGGTAGGTGAAGAATGAATGTTGTCTGTAGTAGTAGGAGGGCTGAGAGGTGAAGAGGGATGGAGAGCGGGATGCGGGATGTGGGCAGGTCGAGGAAGTTGGTGGGAGCGCCAAGAGTAGGGTCGGCAGGGACGGCAGGGACGGCAGGGAAGGCACGGTCGGGGCAGGGTAACTGCTGGGGATGATGATTTCGTCAGGGGGTCAGAGTGGCATTGGCGCCATGGACTCTTGAGTGACGTTCCAAGGATTCCAAGAGTCGGGCCCGGGGATTTGGTGGGTGCCGAGGCGTGCAACACCGGTCTCTCTTGAGATTGTTCGACCGGTTGCGACGCTATCTCTCTCGGTGATGGATGATGACCAAATAATAATCGTGGTGGTGATAAAGGGAGACAGACAGACAGACGGATGGACTCGGACACTCGGCGCAATGGAAGTTTCGACAGCGGGAGAGGCTGCCTCTTTTTACATTTTTCACAGCACCTCCAGAATCGCTGGGCGGTTGCCCTCAAACCCTATCCTATCCTCTCCCGCCCTAGAAACACAGAGCCGCTCTGATACCCCCACAGAAGCCTGCAGCATGTGTGGGTGACGGGATGCATCTGCACAGTATGGAATTGCATCCTCGACGACCAGTCCAAAAACGCCTTCGGGTTGCCGCTTTAAGTAAGGCGCCATTGGCAAGACGGTACGAGCGCCGCACACCCTCTTCCGAGTACGCCGGACTCTGGAGGCCACCACAAAACCAAGCACCTCTGGCGATGCAATCGTGCATGTCGGGGTGTGCAATTATTTGTCGCTGCTTTTCTTGCACACCATCTCGATGATTCTCACGCTCTTCTTCGGGGGGTTTGGCTCTGGATCGGCACGATGAGATGACGCCAATGCCAACGCTCGCCACTACTGCCAAAAAGTGCGGATGAGGCATTATTCTGCCCAGGTGCTGAGCCGACGACATGCACGACAAGAATACAGATTGCCGCCGAAAGCGACTCAAAATCCAGCCTGGCGTGGGGGTCTCGCAAGCCAGACCCCATGCAGCATGTCACCGTCACCGCCCTGCCGCTGCCATCAGCTGCCTTCTCCAGCCCGTTGCCCAGTCGTCGTCACAAACCCCACAGGTGAGATCGAAAACCCCGCAAATCGCCAATTCGCACCAATCTTGGGGTTTGCTGCGTCGCAAGTCCATCCTCAACCCACGACTCAAATTGAAATTCCAAGAATAATCTGGTTTGATTCCCAAGGCTAACCCATGCATGTTTCCTCATACATCTCCGGGAGCACCTCTTTTGCACAGTACTGCCAACTGGTGATGGTGCTGGGTGCTGGTGTGTCAACCAAGGGAACACCTGGACGCAGCCTCGCAGACGGAGCATGAGTGGTTTCCGACAAACGATTCCCCGTCTGCTACTGATTGGATCCAGCTACTCAGGAACGCCCTGTACCTACATATCCCTCTGTATCCGCACAACGGATCCGCTTCTAAGTGGTCAGCGTCGAACACAATCATAATATCATCTGTCCCCGAAGACTGACAGTGAAGCACAACTGGAGCGGTGAGTCTCATCGTCCTGGCCGCTCACGGATTGCCAACAATTCCTCTCCCCGCGTTTCGAGCCCCACTACTACTGCTACCCGCGCAACATCACCTGCAGCAACCGCGAAGCGTGAGCTGAGATCGCAAGTTCGACTAGACTAATAATAATAACTCTGCACACCGTTTCCTGTGGTAATAACTAATAACCCTCAGCACATCCAGCTGCCATTCGCTGGCGACATCGCCCGGATCGAGCCTCACTTCACGTGTGCGCCTTCCCCTTTGGCACAATGCCACCCACCTAACGCACGTCCTTCGCTGCCCCCAGCCAAGAGCCGCATCAATCAAGGCTGTGCACCATGATTGCATCTGCCTGCTGGGTCCTCTTCGTATCCCCTCCGAATCGCGGTACCAACCTTTGTTCAAAACCACCTGTAAAACCGTGCCATCCATCCGACCCCTTGCTATGCCGCGCCCTGAGAGTATTTCACTTCATCAGCCACGCCGCCACGTGATACCAGCTGTTACTTGGCGTATTGGGTCCTTGCGGCGATCCCCCATATTCAGATCGTCGTGCTGGCTGATCGAACACCAAGAGCATGTTACATATGGAGTATATGGAGTACCTACCTACCCGGAAGACCACGGCGGACGAAATTGTGTCAACCATGATCCCCAAGTGCGAGCTCCTCATCATGCACATGCATCAATTGGCTTTCCACACCATTACCGCTTTGAAATCCATTTCCCATCAAGACGTCCATCATGATAGCGACCAGCTTCTCCTCCCTTGGCAATTCTGCTTGATGAACTCCCACATTTCACGGCATCGCCAGATCCCCTTTCCGGCCCTCTTGGCTCACACAGGAATTCTTGGTATTCTGGGCAGCCATCTTCCGTCCTTGGCAAGCAAGTAATATCGGTCCCCCTCACACTGTGCTTCCGTGGTTACGTGCAGGAGATGCGGGATCGGTTCATCACTTTGTGTCAATCTGTATTCCATGTCAAAACATTGCGTCTTGGCCTTGACAACTCACCGGGCGTGGCATTTCTCGGTCTCACTTAATCCTACACGGTCCTGTTGGGCACAGTCGTAATGACCCCTTATCATGTCCATCTTTTCGTTGACAGTTAGAAATTAGGTCGGCGATGGGCCGCCATAGACACGGTTCAGAACGCCCACCCTGTGGATTTGATGGGATCTTGAGACTGGGCGGTCTACGGGTGTTAGAGCCTCAGACATCTTTCGGGAACGAACACCCGAATTTCTTCAGCTCCAGATCACTACAGTATGGCCGACAGGGACACAACGCGTCCTCTCAAGCGAAGATCTTCCTTGAATGCATGTTCCCAATACTGGATAGGCACACTGTCTCAAATCCTCGATGGTCATTCGGGAGAAATATCGGAGAGAATCACGATTACACAGAAAGACTATGTACTTGGCAAGGCCTTGTCCGTAACCTCCCGACATTCCGAGTCCGATACGGATGTTTCAAAAGGGCTCACGATCGTCGTCCCGCATGGCCAACACTCTGTTGTGCATATGTACCCTCCCTGGGTTGGGAAGGCAGGACACCTGATCCATTGATTCAGGCGCCGTTGGGCTCCAGCGTCAGTGGATGTCTAGCTTGCATATCTGAAGTCTCATCTATACGCAGAAGCTGCAATTTCGGACTCTGGGAAACCGAGAAGCCGGATCAAGCCAACCCCTCGCAATTTCTAGGAGCGCTGTGGTTGCAGGCTGTCACAGGTGGTCCACTGAACACGCCCTCCCTCGTTTTCCTGCAGGCTCAGGAATGTCCTTTGGACTTCAAGGCCTTCGGCAGTTGGACGACTGGGCGCTGAACATGTTGCATTCTCGATCCACGGGAGGCCGTGAAGAGCTTCCCTTTGCCGTGGCAATTCAGGACTTGACATCTTCTACCGACATATAGGAGAAGACCAAGGTCAATCTCCAACAACGCCGCAGTAAGTGTAGACCAAAACACGCAACGCTAACGAGACACGCTCTTGGAGGTGGTTTCTCCACGCGAGTGTTCAACGAAATGATAATGCACGGTTCCTTGACTGCAACGAAGCCTCTTGTCTGCAACAGTGCGAAACACAAGTCAGCAGATTAGCCTCACAGGATGTTGATGCTATAACACATAGGTAACCTGTTTGATTAGAGATGACGATTAGAACGCAACAGGCAGTGTAGCAAAAGTCACCGTGTTACCATGCTTGTGCTCTATCACAGGCGTGTAGGCAGTCGAGTTACAGCAAAAAGTAGGCATGGATGGCTATCAACGGCTACAGGCAATACATAAAAGGCCCTATCCTAATAGGAGTAAACTATAAATAAGTACACATAAGAGGCCTTTGCTTGATTTTACACACCTGCGCTAGCCAAAATAGCCAATTCCACTGTAATATAGTACCTAGAACTTCGATAATCTTGAGCATGACCTCATTGTTAATACATTTGGTTTTAGAAACGGTCGCCTTCTCTGGACTTGGACTTAGACATGGGGTAACAATATCCACATGTAGAAGAAAGATGCTACCATTACAGCTCGCGCTATTACACGCACGAATCATTCGTTATCTTTATCCTAGCCCTTTGGTTTGCCCTATCCGCACTAGGAGTCATGGCAGTACGATTTTACACCGAGCAAGCACCTCCTCACAAGACGCTCTGTTGACCTTGAACCTTGGCCCGTTTTCTTCGTGTTTGGTGACGCAGCGGCAAGTCTGTCTTTGACAACACTGGTATTCGCATTGAGCAGTTGCTGATATGCACTTCAACTGTCTCATAAGGAATTTCTCTCGAGAGTCTCAATTTGTGCGTCTAGTACAACAGCCAGGATTAAGGGTGTATCTGAGGAACCGCCTTGAAGATCAGCCGTTCCCTTGTATTGGAACACCATGAGTCTAGCGGTATGGATTCTACCTCTATGCTCGCACTTCCTTCCTCCCAGCGCCCTCACGCCTACCCTACTACCAGCTAGCGCGTCCACCATTGCAGCTCCCGGTAGGTGGGGAAGGTTGAAATGTATGTTGTATATCCGACATCCCATTCGCGTTTCCATTTTCGGGGATGAGGTGTGATTGAGACGAGATAAAGAGATATGCTGAAGGGTGTGACAACCGAGATGTAGGGAGAGGGACATATGTTGCTCCGCTGGACGGGGAGAGGTACATCTGACGAAAGAAGGGGTGCCACGAGCGATGTATGCTGGATGTCGGTTTCTTATCCTCATCTCTGACAGTGGGGAGGGGAGTTTGATGAAAGAGAGGGTAAGATGGGTTCGTATTCCTTCCCGTTAGTCTTTCCATTGCTGCACTCGCGATCCCAGGTCCAAGTATGTCATTTCCAGGGATTCTGATTCCGATCCGCTTTCGGCTCGAGGGGATTGCTGCTGGATGGGCGGTAGCGGGGAGACTCGACGATGACGCCGTCCGGACGTCGTATGGGCCGATAGGTGGTCCGTTTGGCGGAAGGGACCTGTGGTGAAGAAGCCTTGCCTTGGGGGTTGAATTGGATGGTGATGGTTATGGAGAGGCTGGAGGAGCTGGAGATGTTGTAGTGATCTGCTTTGATCGCTTTAGCAGAAGCAGAAGGCGATTCAATCCCAGGACTGGGAGGTTGGCAACGCATTATCGGAAGTTCTCAAACAAAGAGTGAGGATACTGGTATTTTGATTGACGGTCTGGCGCTGGCTGGGTAATATAGTATATCTCTTTTCCCTACTTCCTTAAACCTTTTATATACATCCCTTCCTCTCACCGCTTTCTTCAAGCAGGTTAACATTCATCATCCTACTTGACCATTCCGTCCTGCTTCCCTAGGGTACCACAAAGGCCCAGACTCCCATCTCAATCCTCCCGCGTGCACCTATGCGCATGTTGCTGCGCGCCTACTGTGATAACGCTTCAAAGTTCTAGACCGGACCCTGCATGTACAAGTACAAACAGTCAGGGGCTGCGCACGCCAAAATGCAGCGTGTCATGGCTAGAGCGCTGAAGCATAAGCAGCTGAGGCTGCACCGCACAGCCGTTGATGTCATTGTTCCTCTGCGGGTTCAGGGCTTGGTGCAGGAACTGGAAGTAATCGAGGCCTAGACCGAGGGTGGGCGAGGGAAGGCTGAGTATTTGGCGTGGATTTCTGTTTTGCTGGAGGAGGATGTGTACTGTGTTAACGGATGGAGTTACCGGATGCATGTGGGAGTGTTCCAAGGCTGGTGTCAGTGGGGGTGACGTCATTTCATCTTCGAACCGCGATTTTCAACTGTTCAGTTTGCGTGTGGTCGGATCTTTGGAAAACAATTGCATAGCTGGCGTGGAGAATATACGGAGTATTGGTAGAAAACTCCACCATCTGCCCAGGGAAGGAAATCATTCAAAATCCCGGTTCAACCGTTATTTTGTACTATGCTTGCCCACAGTCACAAGCTCGAAGTGTGGGGTTGTGGCCGAGGCAACACCAGCCTCATATGACGTGCATGCCAGACGACACAAAGGGCGAATCCGTTCGTACTCCAACTCATCTGCGAGCCTCGCTTCTTTTCATGATTGTGTTTTCCAGAACTTGTGTATAATTGAGCTGCGGATTGCAGAGGAGTAAGGAACGGCGAGGCGCAATACCGCGGCCATGACTTACGTCTACAATGCCCAGTTGGTAGTCGCCCAGACATTCTTTCCCTCCCCTTCTCTTCAATGAGCACCAGCTGCTGATATACAGATAGGACGCATTCGAGCTCTACCATGTAATCCGCGAAGAAGAACGCAAGAGAACTCCTCCCATCGGACCAGCCCTCCCAGCTCTCGGCCATGCAACCTCCGGGGCACTAGGAACCGCCGTATCCAAGCTTCTAACCTACCCGCTCGACCTCCTCATCACCCGACTGCAAGTCCAGAGACAATTCAAAGGCGAAGACCCAGCAGACCAGTATGACGGCATCCTCGACGCCATCGAGACGATCTACACGCACGAAGGCGGCATCACGGCCTTCTACAGCGGCGTGCTGCAGGAAACCCTCAAAGGCGTCGCCGATAGCTTCCTCTTCTTCCTCGCCTACACCTACGCCCGCCAGCGCCGTCTGACCGCCCAAGGCACAAAGCGACTCTCTGCCTGGGACGAAATCAGCGTGGGCGTTCTCGCCGGCGCCTTCGCCAAACTCTGGACCACGCCCCTGCAGAACATCGTCACGAGGAAGCAGGCAGCCGCCATGATAGCGGCGCGAGACCGAGGCAGCAAGAGGAAGATTGCTCCGAGCTACAGCACAAGGGATATCGCGGCGCAGATTCGGGAGGAGAAGGGTCTGCAAGGGTTCTGGTCCGGGTATTCGGCGAGTTTGTTCCTGACGCTGAATCCGTCCATTACCTTTTTGCTGCACAGAGTGTTGCTGCGCCTTGCGGTGCCAAAGTCAAAGCAGGCGGATCCAGGGGCCAGACTCACCTTTTTGCTGGCGGCGATTAGTAAAGCTACGGCGTCGGCGGTGACGTATCCCTTTTCTCTTGCAAAGACGAGGGCGCAGGTGTCGAGTCGGGAATCATCGTCGCAGCACGAGGGCGTAACGAGGGAGCACGAGAAGGAGGGGAAACGGCATCACGTTGCCGAGAAGAAGGTGCTGCGTGCTAGACAGCGCACTGTCATCAGCACGATTCTGCATATTGCGAGGACGGAGGGGATTCTGGCGCTGTATGAGGGCCTGGGCGCAGAACTCCTGAAGTCGTTCTTCTCGCATGGCATCACCATGTTGGCGAAGGATCGAATCCACGCTCTCGTCATCAATCTGTACTATCTCGTTCTCAAGTCGTTGAAGAAGTACCCCAGTCCCGAGGAGTTGACAAAGATGGCAGCGGAGCAGGGGAGGAACACATACGCAAAGGGGGCCGAGGTGGCAGGGAATGCCGCGTCCAAAGCGCAGGATATGTTGGGGAGTGGAAGGGAGCAGGCGAAAGAGGTGTTAAGTAACGGCAAACAGCAGGCGGAGGGGTTGTTGGAGAAGGGGAAGGATGCGGCGAATAATGTGTCGAAGGAAGTGCAGGATGCGATGAAGAATGTAAAACATTGGGGAGAGGAGCCGTGATTGGGAATAGCTGGTATGGGCTTTGATCTGTTTCTATGGCGTCTTCGTTGATGTATTCATTACCTTTGTACAGAGTATATGTGGGATGGTAAAGCTCGCAGGTTGGACGAGGGAAATTGCATTATTAGCGACTGTGCTGCGGATTTCCATTTGGTTGCTGTCATAAATAGTACCCAATGTCATGTAGCTTGCTTGGTACGAGAGCTACTACAGAAATATGAGGAGTCAGAAAGGATTTCGAAAGAATCAACACGTCAGTCTCAACCCTGTCAAGGTGAATGTGGCTGGTGAGAGGTGGCTGGGCTGGCTAGCGCCACCGCGGAGCCCAGCCAACGGCCGCGACTACTGGCGCGGATGGCTGGCCATCAACAACGACCGGCGACCCACGACAACAACCCGCTCACGTCTCCACCCGCGCCCACCGCCGTCCCTCCCGGACTCCAGGACTACTAACCCACAGCAGCAGCGGATCACTCGACTAACCGGCAGCGCATCTCATCGTTGCGGCGAGCATCTCTCGGCGGAATATCGACAATAGCCGCATAATTTAACTTGCCAGTACCGCAACCCCCGGACTGAAACGTCGCAGGCAGGACCGATCCTCGAGGCTCGCCACGCAACTTCCTGCGCCCAACGCCCGCCAGCACTAAGATACGGACAAGAATATTGCGAAAAAGTGTGAGGGGATAAGACGAGGTCTTTATTTATACGGAAAACAACAACAACAGTATCAACAAACCCCGCACCAGTCCCGCGCTCCGTCTTCCCCTGATTCCCCGCTGGAAAGGCTCCGTCACGATTCCCTTGCGCTGCCATGACGGCCGATGATGCGCCCTCTTCGCCTCCGAGCAGCGGCTGGGGAAGCATGAAGGAGGAGTTGGAGTACTACAAGACACAGTACGAGACTCTGGAGGCGGAGCTGCAGGAGTTCCAGGCTTCGAGCAGGGAGCTGGAAGCGGAGCTGGAGAAGGACGTTGAGGAGAGCGAGAAGCGGGAGAGACGGCTGCAGGAGAAGGTGGAGGCTTTGGGGTTTGAGGTGGAAGAGTGGAAGGTCGGTTTCTCTAGCTTATCCACTTGCTAAAGGGGATGCTAATCGTGAGGCGACAGACCAAGTACAAGCAGAGTAAGACTGAGGCGAACAATGCGCAAAACACGCTGCAGAAGGAGATTACTGCCCTTCGCGAGGCGCAGCGATCCCTGCAGCTCAAGCTCCGGGATATCGAGGTGCAGAATGACGACTTTGAGCGTCAAGCGCGCAATACCACGTCGTCGCTCGAGGACCTGGAGTCGAAGTACAACGTCGCTATTGAGCGGTCTGTTTTGTTGGAAGAGGAGATCAAGATTGGCGAGCAGGAGCGCGAGGCTCTTCGGATAGAAAACCAACGGCTCAGAGACGAACTCTCCGACCTGAGGATAGAGGCGGAGATCGTACAGGAGAAGCTTCGCATTGCAGAGGAGACCATCGAGCAACATCACCAGCGCAAGACGTCTCAGCTGGTTGCAGACGGCTCGCTACGGCCTCGTTCACCTGTCTCGGATACAGCAACTTCGGCAACTACGCTATCGTCGCCAACGACTGCGTCAACACCGCCGCATTCGAAGCCTGATATGCTGCCAGTCGATTCGACACCACCTTCTCCGCCACTATCGGAAACATCCAACGCGAGGCCTGTACCTGCCACACCCATGCCCCTCCGGAAGGGCTCGATTGCCTATGATCCCAGTTCAACGCCCAAACCTGGCCTCTATCAGACCCAATCTCGCACAGGCGCTACGCGGCATTCTCGGAAGCCAAGTCTACCCATGTCGGCAAAGGGCAGCAGTCTTGGACGCACGACCCCGTCGATTCGTACAACAGCGCCAGCTCCACGCGGATCTAGGCCAAGTGGAGCGGGTGGTGCAGCTACCTCAGGGAACCTTCCTAGGTCCGGTTCTCTGTACCAGATCCGCGGTCTGATTGGTAAGATGCAGAAGTTGGAAGAGCGCGTCCATTCCGCGAGGTCCAAGTTACCTGCTCCAGCACGCACGCCGCCCCGAGCGAGCCCGCGCATTGGAAGCGCCCTGGGCTCTGCGATCCCAAGTACGGTGACGGTCAGGAGCACGAGGAAGCGGGCGTCTGGGTCTACGGCATCGTCGGTTACGGGACATGATACTGGTGTTAGTCGACTCTCGTTTGGCGTCTCGGGGCAAAGGCAACCTAGTAGTAGTCGGCCCAGCAGTCGCGCGTCCATGACATCGCAACCGGCAGCGCTACAGCAGAGACCGGGAAGTAGGAGCAGCACAAGAACGCCTCTGGGACACTACTCGAGCTCCTCCATCAGCGGAGTCGAAGGGCGAATACCGCGTCCACGGAGCTCCATGAGCGGACATTCACATTCGCAATCGCTTTCCATGTCGACGACGTCGCGGGACACGGCGGATCCGGAGACTCTGAGTGATGCGGGAGGCCTCTCAACGCCCGTGGCGGGACGCCGCATGAGTCTGTCGAAGACGGGGATCCCGACGCCGGGTGGGATGGCCAGAAGGCAGAGTGCGGGTCGCAGGGCGAGTGCGGGTCTGGAGGGGGAGATGGGCCCGCCGCCGGCGAGGCCGAGGAAGATGAGCGAGATTGGGGAGACGTATTAGGATGGGAGTGAGAGTGGTAGTGAGAAAGAGAGAAACGATACCTATACATACATACGTACGTACATGTGATACCATATTTTGGGCATGGGGGTGCTTTGGAGTTGGGAGTGAGATGGATGGGGGTGAGCAAGGGCAGGGATCTTCTCTTCTTCTATGGGATAGAAGGGAAGGGGCATTCCTCCAGGGACCGTTCGGGGATGCGGTCGGGCGGTCACTCTCGGTCATTCGCTGTGCATACTTGGCATATCCTTTTTTCCTTTGTACATGTGGGTTTGGAGGGTGAGAGGAAGGGGAAGATGGTTAAGAGGGCGGAGTAATGAGTAAATGCATCGATGCGATATATGCTACGTGCCAGTGTGTGAGACGAACTCAATGTTCGAGTACCGGTCGCGCTAGTACATATATATATACTATTTTCGAAATAGGTCATGGTTTGATATAAGGGGTAGTAAAGTCCACACGGTACATAAGCGGTCATAGAGCCAGTGCCTACGGGGTAGATCGAGGTGTCAGGTGGAAGTCGGAACAACGAACCACGAGAGACTGCGATATGCAGCCCTGTGAACAGGAACGGGGCCACAACAACGGGGAGGGCGCTCAACAGATGACCATGTCCATGTCCACGCCCATGGGGGGGGTGTTCCGGTAGACGCGCGGGTACCATTCCCAGGGAAAAAGCAAAAGTAAAATAAAATAGAACAAATTACCGAAAGGGACGGACCGCAGCGCGCTGGGGGAAGTGGTTTTTCTGGAAGCCGTATGGCGTGTGAAGATCTGGGGAAGACGCAAAAATCGTATGATTCTGACATGTGAAGGAGGCCCTGGTGCTGGGGAGGAGCGGGTGCACGTGCGGGATGCATGTGGCGGTGCGGGAGGCGCACATCACTTCGGAGTATCAGGTGTGGCGGTGGAGGAAGAGAATTTGGAACAGAGAGAGCAGAGTAGTGCAGGGAGGGAGAATAGATGGGATGGGAGTACGACGGTAGTGGGCGCGGGGGATGCAGAGGGGGTTTCGGAGGGAAGGAACGGGTTGGAAGGGGGAAAATGACGGAGTGAATGGGCAGCCGTGAGTGACGCCAGTCTTCGGAGTGTTTCCCCTCCAGTCTCCCACTTTCTCTCCGATCAATACATAGTACACCCTCCTGAAGCGGCTGGGTTCAGCTCTAGGATGCACACTATTACGGACTGCATCAGGACGATAAAAATATCACGGGAAAGTTCCAATTATCATTGAGAGCGTTGAGGCTGTATGGAGGGCTGAGAGATGTGGCTACGGAGAGCTGAGCTGGGTTGACGACCCGGAGGTCCGATGGGGGTGGAGACCCGATAGAGGGCACTTGGGCAGGCAGTGGGCACACAAGAGAGACCCCACTGTGTGGGTGTAGTCTACTGCTAGCTAGAGATTTTGTCTAACATAGCTATAACCTTGAGGCGAGCTCTTTGGTTGCTTCGATGGCCTCGGACGGGGGAAGGGAGGATGCGGAGAGTTGCGGCAGCTTATCGTTGAATAATGGGGAAAGCCATGTTGGTGGTGGATTCAACAGATCATAGCCGCGCAGTTCGGATTTGATCCACGGCTGACATCAGGTACTCGGCGTCGGAGTTCCAGCGCCTTCTTCGACCAACCAGAGCGTCACCAAAGCGACTCCATCAACTCCGTCCTGCTCAGAAACATTGGCCCGTTTGCGATCGTTACGTTTCGTCACCCAATTTTTTCCACTTTCCCTTCAGCCAGGCAGAGGCTGTGGAGTCCTCCAGGGCTGGAGGCGGGTGCTTGTCGGCCGCGCTAGTCCCGGGAAGGCGCGACTCGCGAACGGGTGCGCTTAGCGGTGCTTGGGACACCAGGCTAGCCCGGTCCGGCAAGGCTTTCGATGGGAAAGCCCGGGCCCTGAGTGAGCGAGAGCAGGGCCATCTGGAATGTACACAACCTTGGGAGTGGACGGTCGAAGGGGGAAACCATACGTCGATCGTGCCTGCCCTCTCAAAAAATTTAATGCCCTCACCGTTGCTTCTCCCTCTTCCCCCTTATTAACTTTCTTCCTCTTCCCTCTCCATCCCCTCTCCTCTACTCCGTACTCTCCTCCAGCTCCTCGCCATCTCCTCCCTTAGTTGCTAGCTAGCATCTCTCGCCTACCGGGAAGTGTTGCCGTCACAGCTTTGCCAGCTGGACTGCACCTCATCTTCCATTCGCACTCGCATTATCTACAGCCACCCAGAATTTATTCTTCCTAGCTCTGCTACGGCATCTCCCACCGAGCGAGCTGCATCCTCCAAGCTAGCAAACATCCACCGTAACCTTCATTTTTTTCCCCCTCGATCAATTGGCTTCCCGGCGTAGGAAGTACAGACCTAATCCCCGACCTGTAACCACTCTCCCCTGCCCGACAAGGCTAAGCCGTTCCCGAAAAAAACACGCCGAACGTCACCCTCCACCTCTACTCCGGTCCTTCCTCCGCAACACCACGATCTCTCTTTCTTCCCTCTCGACATGGCCATCGAGGCAGACACAATGGCTGGCGCTCAGAATGGCCAGACGAATGGCGTTACCAACGGCGACGTCGCTGCAAAGTACAAGCTGCCCTCACACTTCATTGGCGGCTCCCACCTCGACGTTGCCCAGCCCAGCAAGGTGAAGGACTTCGTGGCAGCGCATGAGGGCCACACCGTCATTACCAAGGTATGCTCATAGCCTTCCTGTGCATTCCCATGAGGGGAATCCGAGTCGTGGGAGCCGCGAATGCTGACCTTCAATTCTCACATAGGTACTCATTGCGAATAACGGCATTGCTGCTGTCAAGGAAATCCGGTCGGTGCGGAAATGGGCCTACGAACAGTTTGGCGATGAGCGGGCGATTCAATTTACCGTCATGGCCACGCCCGACGACCTCCAGGCTAATGCCGAGTACATTCGCATGGCCGACGAGTATGTCGAGGTGAGTACCTGTTGCAGTGGAAGAGCCCGCTCGTCACCGCATGGCTGACACGCTTTCCGCAGGTCCCTGGAGGCTCGAACAACAACAACTATGCCAATGTCGAGCTCATTGTCGACGTTGCTGAACGCATGGACGTCCACGCCGTGTGGGCAGGCTGGTGAGTTCTACCCCGCCTAATCCAGTGCACCAACCTAGCTGACATCTACATCCAGGGGCCACGCTTCCGAAAACCCAAGGCTTCCCGAATCGCTCGCCGCGTCTCCCAAAAAGATTGTCTTCATCGGTCCTCCGGGTTCGGCCATGCGATCTCTGGGTGACAAGATCTCCTCCACAATCGTTGCACAACACGCCAAAGTACCCTGTATCCCGTGGTCCGGCGAAGGCGTCGACGAGGTTAGGGTCGATGAAAGTGGCATCGTTACCGTCGATCCGGAAGTCTACGACCGGGGCTGTGTTCACTCGCCTGAAGAGGGCCTGGCGGCGGCCAAGCGGATTGGTTTCCCCGTCATGGTTAAGGCCTCCGAAGGTGGTGGAGGCAAGGGTATCAGACGGGTGGATAAGGAAGAGGATTTCGACCGTCTATACCGCGCGGCAGCGGCTGAAATTCCTGGATCTCCCATCTTCATCATGAAGCTTGCTGGCGAAGCCAGACATCTGGAAGTCCAGCTTCTGGCGGATCAGTATGGCAACAACATCTCGCTATTCGGACGTGACTGCTCGGTCCAGCGACGGCACCAGAAGATCATTGAGGAGGCCCCCGTCACTGTGGCGAGCCCAACGACTTTCCGGGAGATGGAGAAGGCCGCCGTGTCCCTCGGAAAGCTCGTAGGTTACGTTAGCGCCGGCACCGTCGAGTATCTCTACTCTCACAAGGACGACAAGTTCTACTTCCTGGAGCTCAACCCCCGTCTCCAGGTCGAGCATCCCACGACCGAGATGGTTACTGGTGTCAACCTCCCTGCCGCTCAGCTCCAGATTGCCATGGGTTTGCCCCTGCACCGGATTAGGGATATCCGATTGCTCTATGGTGCCGACCCTCACACGGCTACCCCCATAGACTTTGACTTCTCCAAGGAGGGAAGCTCGCTGAATCAGAGACGGCCCCTTCCCAAGGGCCACACGACTGCTTGCCGTATCACATCCGAGGATCCCGATGAGGGTTTCAAGCCCTCTGGCGGCACCATGCACGATCTCAACTTCAGGAGTAGCTCAAACGTCTGGGGTTACTTCTCGGTGGGTTCTGCAGGTGGGATCCACAGCTTCTCTGATTCGCAGTTTGGCCACATTTTCGCTTATGGCGAGAACAGACAAGCGTCGCGGAAACATATGGTTGTTGCCCTCAAGGAAATGAGCATTCGCGGAGATTTCAAGACGACCGTCGAGTACCTCATTAAACTGCTGGAGACGCCCGACTTCGAGGAGAACAAGATCACGACAGGCTGGCTCGATGAGCTCATTTCGAAGAAGTTGACCGCCGAGCGACCGGAGCAAGATATCGCCGTGGTCTGCGGTGCTGTTACCAAGGCTCATGTGCAGAGCGAAAAGGTCTTTGCTGAGTACCGAAACAGCTTGGAGAAGGGCCAGGTTCCGGCCAAGGATGTTCTCAAGACCGTGTTTGAGGTCGATTTCATCTACGAGGGGCAACGGTTCAAGTTCACCGTTACACGGACCAGCTATGATACCTATTTGCTATTCCTCAACGGAACAAGGTGCTCGGTTGGCGTGAGAGCTCTGGCAGATGGAGGTCTTCTAATTCTGCTTGGCGGCAAGTCCCACAATGTCTATTGGAAGGACGAGGTCGGTGCCACTCGGGTTTCCATTGATGGCAAGACTTGCTTGCTAGAGCAGGAGAACGATCCCACCCAGCTTCGAACACCCAGTCCGGGTAAGTTGGTGAGGTTCACCGTGGAGAATGGAGCCCACATCAAACAGGGGGAGTCGTTTGCCGAAGTCGAAGTCATGAAGATGTACATGCAATTGACGGCCCAGGAAGACGGCGTTGTAAACTTCATCAAGCAGCCAGGAGCCACCCTGGAGGCTGGCGATATCCTGGGAATACTTGCTCTGGACGATCCATCCAGGGTCAAGTCGGCTACGCCGTACACCGGCCGCCTTCCTGACTACGGCCCACCTCAGATCATGGGAACCAAGCCACCGCAGCGGTTCGCTTACCTCTACAATATCCTCCAGAATATCCTCATGGGCTTCGACAATCAACCAATCATGTTGGACACGCTCAAGGAGCTGGTAGAGGTCCTTCGCAACCCGGAACTTCCTTACGGAGAGTGGGCCGCTCAGACATCGGCGCTGCACGCTCGCATTCCGCAGAGGCTCGACAGCCTTCTGACGCAAATCGTGGAAAAGTCCCATCAGAGGCATCAAGAATTCCCCGCGAAGCAGTTGAGCAAGGCTTTCCAGCGGTTCTTGGACGAGAACATGTCCAGGAGCGAGGCGGAATCCCTGAAGGTGTCCGCGGCACCCATGATTGATGTCATGAACCGCTACTCGGAAGGACTGAAAGCCCATGAGTATTCGGTGATGATCAAGATCTTGGAAGGCTACTGGGAGGTGGAGAAGCTCTTCTCCTCACGCAATTCTCGCGACGAGGAGGTGATTCTCAGGCTCCGTGACGAGAACCGCGAGAACATCCAGAAGGTGCTTCAGATTGTTCTGTCGCATGTAAAGGTCAGCGGGAAGAACAATCTTATCCTCGCCATCTTGGACCGCTATCGGCCCAACAACCCCGGCTTCGAAGATGTGGCCAAGTACTTCAAGCCCGCGCTGCAGAAATTGACCGACCTCGAATCCAGGCAGACAGCCAAGGTCTCTCTCAAGGCGCGCGAGGTGCGTATCCAGTGCGCGATGCCATCACTCGCGGAGCGCAGTAGCCAGATGGAACTCATCCTCCGCCAATCCGTTATGAACGCTACATATGGAGAAAGCGGCAGTGAGCCGGGTGCGCCCAAATTCGACGTAATCAAGGAGGTGGTCGATTCACGGTACACTGTTTTCGATGTGTTGCCGCAGTTCTTCATTCACCCGGAACCTTGGGTTGCTATGGCCGCCTTGGAAGTCTACACCAGACGAGCATATCGTGCGTACCAGATCACGGATATCCACCATCATGTGAGCCCCGACGGATACTTCCTTTCGTGGGACTTCTGTTTGCGCAGGGTTCTCGACCACGAATTCGGCCTTTCCATCGAGTCCGCCGCACCTTCCACTCCTGGCACTCCTGCAACTGACCGGCCGCCTCGGATTCATTCCATCAGTGATATGAGTTATTTGCAGTCTCGTATCGAGGGCGAGCCTACGCGAAAGGGTGTCGTTGTCCCCGCGCCGTACATCGATGATGTCGAAAACGTTCTGCCGATGGCTTTGGAGACATTCCCCGCTGTCAGCAAGAATAAGAGCGGCCTGACCCTCAAGGAGAGCTTGCACAACCAGCGTACCCCAGCCCCTGCAATCAAGTCTCAGGATGAGCTCACCGGAGTGCTCAACATTGCGATCCGCGACGCCGAGAGCTTAGATGACAAGGAGATTATCGACAAGGTCGTAGAAATTGTCCAGAAGAACAAGGAGGAGTTCATCGCCCGTCGTATTCGCCGTGTAACTTTCATCTGCGGGCATAAGGATGGAACTTACCCTGGTTACTATACCTTCCGAGGTCCTACCTATACTGAAGATGAGAGTATCCGTCACGTTGAACCCGCCCTGGCCTTCCAGCTTGAGCTTAACAGGCTTTCTAAATTCCACATCAAGCCCGTCTTCACTGAGAATCGTAATATCCATATCTACGAGGCTGTCGGTAAGGGTGCAGAGAGCGATAAGCGCTACTTCTTGAGGGCCGTGGTTCGGCACGGTCGTCTCAGCGAGAATATCCCTACAGCACAATACATGATCTCTGAGACGGACAGGTTGATGACGGATATCCTGGATGCTCTCGAGATTGTTGGCACCAACCAGGCCGACATGAACCACATCTTCATCAACTTCTCGCATGTGTTCCCCCTCAAGCCCCAGCAGGTCCAGGAGGCGATCTATGGTTTCCTGGAGCGGTTCGGTCGGCGACTGTGGCGCCTTCGCGTTACCGGTGCCGAAATCCGAATCATCATCAACGACCAGAACCAGAATCCCAGCAGGACCTATCCTCTGCGCGTCGTGATCCAGAACACCTCTGGCTACGTTATCAATGTTGACATGTACGAAGAGCGCAAGTCTGAGAAGGCTGGCAAGTGGATCTTCCACGACATTGGCAGCAACAAGAAGACTGGTCCTCTCCATCTGCAGCCGGTGTCCACACCATATCCTACCAAGGGCGCGCTCCAGCCAAAAAGATACAAGGCGCACCTCATGGGTACTCAATATGTCTACGACTTTCCGGAGCTTTTCCGCCAGGCTATCGAGAACAGCTGGAACGCTGCATCGGCAAAGAATCCACAAGTGCGCAGCAAGCAGCCTCCAAAGGGCGAGTGCATCGAATACTCGGAGCTTGTCCTGGATGATAACGACAACATCGTCGAAATCAATCGTGAACCTGGCTCCAACAGCATTGGCATGGTAGGATGGGTTGTCAGAGCAAAGACGCCAGAATATGACGCTGGGCGCTCTTTCGTCATCATCGCCAACGACATCACGTTCAAGATCGGATCGTTCGGACCTCAGGAGGACAAATTCTTCCAGAAGTGCTCCGAGTATGCTCGTGAGCGGGGTATTCCTCGCATCTACCTTTCTGCCAACTCCGGTGCGAGAATAGGCCTTGCTGAAGAACTCATTCCCCACTTCTCGGTTGCCTGGAAGGATCCCGAGAAGCCCGAGTCTGGCTTTGATTACCTCTACCTTACTCCCGAAAAGTACAGGCACTTCGTCGACGGCAAGCGCGAGGATGTTATCTGCGAGAAAATCAACGACGGTGGCGAGGAAAGATACAAGATCACCACTATTGTTGGCGCGGAGGATGGTCTGGGCGTTGAGTCCCTGCGTGGCTCTGGCTTGATTGCTGGTGAGACGTCACGCGCTTATGAGGATATCTTCACCATCACCTTGGTCACTTGCAGATCTGTTGGTATGTAGTGCACCTTCGAACTTGATGAACGCATTGCTAACCACTCTCATAGGTATCGGTGCGTACCTTGTTCGTCTTGGACAACGTGCGATTCAGATCGAGGGCCAGCCCATCATCCTCACTGGTGCTCCTGCTATCAACAAGTTGCTCGGCCGCGAGGTGTACACCAGTAACTTGCAACTCGGCGGTACGCAGATCATGTACAGGAACGGCGTCTCACACATGACTGCGGAAGACGACTTTGAGGGTGTTTCCAAGATCGTAAAGTGGCTGTCGTATGTCCCTAACAAGAAGGGCGCTCCGGTTCCTATTTCGCCTGTTACCGACGATTGGGACCGCGATGTCACCTTTTACCCTCCTGCCAAGTCCGGCTACGACGTCAGGCATCTCATTGCCGGCAAGCAGGACGAGGAGGGCTTCCAGTCCGGTCTGTTCGACGAAGGATCCTTCGAGGAGGCGCTTGGCGGTTGGGCGAAGACGGTCGTGGTCGGCCGTGCTCGTCTGGGTGGCATCCCTGTCGGTGTCATTGGTGTTGAAACCCGACAGGTCGACAATGTTACGCCCGCCGACCCCGCCAACCCAAGCTCCACCGAGCAGATTACATCTGAGGCTGGTGGTGTGTGGTATCCCAACTCTGCTTTCAAGACTGCTCAAGCTATCAACGACTTCAACCATGGCGAGCAGCTTCCGCTGATGATCCTAGCCAACTGGCGTGGTTTCTCTGGTGGCCAGCGGGACATGTACAACGAGGTGCTCAAGTATGGTTCGTACATTGTCGATGCCTTGGTGGCCTATGAACAACCCGTCTTCGTCTACATTCCGCCGCTGGGTGAGCTTCGTGGTGGATCATGGGTCGTCGTTGATCCCACGATCAACCCTCAAGTCATGGAGATGTACGCGGACGAGGATGCTCGCGGCGGTGTGCTCGAGCCAGAGGGCATTGTGGGCATCAAGTTCAGGAAGGACCGACAGCTTGAAACTATGGCTCGCTTGGACCCAACATATGGTGAGCTGAAGCGCCGGCTGAACGACCCGTCGACGCCCCAGGACCAGCTTCAAGGTCTCAAGAAGCAGATGACGGAGCGCGAACACCGACTCCTCCCTATCTACGGCCAGATTGCGCTCCAGTTTGCTGACCTGCACGATCGGGCTGGCCGTATGCAAGCCAAGGGTACAATTCGCAGGTCCCTGCGCTGGCAGAATGCCCGTCGCTTCTTCTACTGGCGTCTCCGCCGTCGCCTCAACGAGGAGTCGCTGCTCAAGTTGATAGCGGCTGCGGCCAATCCCTCTGTCGCCAGCCCCGCCAAGGACCCCCTTATTCGTGCGAAGGGTCTCGAGGCATTGAAGGCTTGGTGTGGCCTTCCTCAGTTTGAGAACGATGACCAGAGTGTTGCGAAATGGTACGAGGAGAATCGCGAGCGGGTCAAGGAGCAGGTTGAGAAGATCAGGCAGCAACGGGTTGCGGACCAAGTCGCGAGTTTGATCCACGACAATGGTGCGGCTGGCTGGAGAGGCGTGACCAACCTGCTATCGACGCTCCCAACCAGTGAGAAGGAGGAGGTTTTGCGCATGTTGCGCCAGGCGTAGGAAGCCGAGACTGGTACCCTTTTGCCGATTTAGATCTGTCCGAGCGACAGGAGGCAGCCTGGGTGGAGTCTGATAACATGCACTCGTCTGCCTACCTTGACGGTGTCAACGGTAAATGGATATTTTTGGACAGGGTCGGTGAACTTCGAGAGTCGAGGATGAATTAGAAGTTTGGTTGAAGAGTGTTGTCGCTTTAGGGAGTTGAGTGCGTCATTAGGGCGTTTAGCATTGCTTTTACCATCCTATGTCTTATGTCTGAGACCTCGCGTCTTATCTGCACGGTATTTGTCCCTATACGGGACGGGTTGCTCGCGTTGTACGCTTAACGGGAGGTGTGGATAGATATTTTTAATCTTCCCTAACTGTTCAACCTTGTTTCAAAATCATTGCGGGTGATGCCTGATGTGGTGTGTTATGATGCTGAGCGTGGTGTCCGAGGGTCTGTTGGATCCATCTATCAAACCACACATCTAGGGTAAACGCTCCCAGCACAAAATCCAGCTAATTTGGGTTGGGCTCTTGCGTTTACATCATTTAAGTCCGCTCGGTCGCTAGAAAGGATCCGAATTGATTTAGGCGAGCACCCTTAGGAATGAGCTGGTCATGAACGACTCCATATATCATGGTGTAGGCACGTTACAACAACCGCGCTATGCGTCGAAAAGAAAAGGAAGGAAACATATACCGAATCCCTCAGTAGACCCAACTCTCCAAGGAAACCTCAAGATGCAGAACCCCCGCCCGCCCATGAAGATGCACGCACGCAATCCCAAGCTCGGAAAACGCCAGAAATGCCCCTCAACAGCAAGACGTATGTAGAAAAGAAAATGCCATGCCATGACAACCTCCATGCTTTCTTTCCGAGTCTTCCTACGAACGGTGTGATATCCATCACCACCTCGTTCCATCCATCCATCCAACGTACAACATGCCTACCACCTACCTCCCCTCCACATCCCTCACACCCAACCACCCCATCTCCAACGCCACAACGACCAAATCCCTCACGGATCCCAACTTGCTCCTCCTCCCCAACGCACTCGGTTCCAGCAACCCGGCCACCTTGACCAGGATCCTGTGCAAGGTGACGGCCTTCTTGTATATCTTCTCGCTGACCGCGGCATAGACTTCCGGGCTACGCGGATCGAGATGCACGCCTTGGATACCCCGCATGATGCTCGATGGGGTCAAAGTGGAGGGTTCGTTGCCGTGGGATGAGAGATGGCGGAGGAGGGAGTGCAGGATGAAGTGTGTCCAGATGAGATTGGTTTTGGGGTGGAAATGCTTCCATAGTTCTTTTACTGGGGGACGGCGGGTGTGGTTACCTCGCTGCGGCGTCTGTGGCACAGGGCCGTGTTTCCGAGGCGTCTCGGGCCCATAGTCCTGACGTTGGGTTCGCGTTTGCGATTGCGATTCCCTTTTGCCGGTGACTTCGTCGTCGCCCTCGTCGACGGCAGGATCCTGCCGTAGGGGATCGTTGTGGAAGACTATACCCCACATGTAGCGGTAAATTTCGTACTGGTATTCTTCCTGTGCGTCGCCTTCGAAAAGGGAGGGGTCCTTGTTGAGGTCCAGGTACGCAACTTCAACTTGCCGTGTCATAGCATCGTCGCTATCGCTCAGACGCGAAGAATCCGCACAAGAGGACGCCGGCGACGACGCCGCGGAGCCCAACGTCCCACCACCAGCACCGACACCGACAATGATATCAGCCCGCGATAACGTGTAATCGATGACCGTCGTCTCCAGCTCCGTGAAACCCAACTTCCTCTTCAACGGATTCCTCACGCCGACCTCGGTCACACTCTCGCTTCCCTCTTTGCCCTTCACCCTCACGCAAATGTTATCCATGTGCAAATCCCTATGCTCAAACCTGCACGCCTCCTCGGCCTTCGCCACGCTCAAACACACGCCCCAGAAAACATCCCACACCTCCCAGATGGACCTGATACCCCCGGCTTCAATGACGTTGCCGCAATCGGTCCCCGCGTCCTGCATCTCGATGACAGCCCAGAGCTGCGTATCCTCGTAGCTAGTCTTCCTCCCCGGGTCCGGGAACTGGCTCTTCTTCTCTTTCGGTCTCGGTTTATTCCACTCCCTCCACGCGCGCACAAACGATTCAGAAGGCCGCCCCTGCAGCACCGTGACTTCGCGAAACTGCGTGAAGCCGGGTATGTGGTTGAGGTTCTGGAGTAACCGGACTTCGCCGTGGACGTCGTCGACGTGCGATTTCCACTCGTCGTCTTGCTGCCGCTTGGCTCTTTCTTTTGCTAGTTGCTTCTTCATGTCTGCTTTTGTCTTGAGCTGTCGGGTTAGATGATAATCATGATAATGTTCGCTTGGTAGCGGGGCGTTCGGTGGTGTTCGCAGCGCGACGACTTTGAGGACGGATTCATTGGCGTGCCGGCTGGGGAGTGCGGCGCGCGCCCGGAGGCGGTAGACTTCGCTGAAGGAGGCTTCGGCGATCTTTTCGACGGTGGCGAAGGCGTCGAGTCGGTTGGCCCAGTCGGCGAAGGGGAGGATGCGGTGCTGGCTGCTTAGGGTGAGGAGGGGGATCGCGTAGTGCGTGTATATGTCGTGGGTGGGTTCTAGTGAGATGGTCTTCTTCTTCTGCTCGCCGGACCTGGTGTGCGGCTCCGGATGCGGCGTTGTTGGAGGCAGTGCACCGCGGACGCCGTCTTTGTCGTGGTTTATCACTTGGACGGTATCTGTAGGTGGCTTCTCGGAGTCTGGTCTCGGAGCTGGTCTCACGGGCAACTTGAATACCTCCACCCCCACACTCTCGACCCCGGTTGCGGTCCCTCCCTCTCTTGCCTTAGACTCCCCTACTTCCATCTGATCATCTTTCCTCCCCTTCAACTTCGCCCCCTTCCCACATCCAACATTCGCGTCCCTCTTCTCCGAAGCCTTCCGCCCTCCCTTGTTCCCCCTCCTCTTCCCATCGCCATCAAAGACGATAACATTCTCATCCGGGGAAAGAAGAGACGACCGTTGCTTTATCTCCACCGAAACAGCAACCTTCCTCTGGACCTTCGAACGTGTCGTATCGGGACTCCTCGGCCCATCTTTCGAAATCGTATCCCCCAACACCAAGGTTTCCAACCGCCTCTCAATATCCTCAACATCCACATCCCCCTTCTTCACCTTCCCATTCATCCGCTCCCCTACCGCCTCTTTTCTCTCCCCACCAACATCCGTCCTGCCATCCCTCTCCGGAGAAAGCAACGTCGCAAAACTCGTCGTAACCCCCGTCTTCTTCGCTCGTTTCCCATACACCTGCTTCGGAGGCATCGCGAAGCCTCGAACTCCTTTTTTTCCCTTCGCTAAGAATAAAAGAAAAGAAGGAGAAGAAGAGAAAGAGGAAGGGAGGTTGCGGCTCTGCTGCCAAAAGCCGCAGTTGAGGTTCAGTTTGGAGTCTGTGCTTTCCGTGTATTTGATTTCCTGGAATGAGGTTAGTGCGGAGGTGTTGGCGGGGCAACATCCACATCCTTGCCCGGCACATGGGACTTCAGATGGATAATCAAAGACGAGATGGAATGACGTCGATAGGTATTCTGCGCTGACCACTATGTTGTTATTCCCTGCATAATGGCAGTATACTGTGTAGAGAGAAACGACCACGCAAAGCGTGAAACATTACGATTACTCCAGCTAACCCCATGCTCCATGTGTATATCAACCAGCAGCAGAGGCAGCACCGTTGTTATTCCCAAAAAGCATGTACTGTTCAAGCACTTTCCCGTAGTGCGTCCTCAAGAGAAACGAATCTAGGCAGTGCCTAGTAGACCTGCCACAGGCAGATGCAAAATGTCTCGACTCCACCCTTTTACTCTTCTTCTCGTCGAAACCCAGGTAGTTCCAGGGACGAACAAAAAAGCTCCCGAAGCAGAATACAGCAGAAGAAGAAGAAGGAAAGCGTAAGGAACTCCGCAAATCCCAGATATCAAGTGATGCACAACACCTTAGATGCAATAACCGCGGAAAAGCCAATTTACAGCCGACAGGAAATGTGCGGGTTGTTTTCCGGGATCCTAGGAATCCACGTCGGGAGACTCGACGTTAGAATCCTCTTCGGGTAATGGAGGAGGACGTGACGTTGGACCTAAGCTTCTCCTCTTGTTTTTCCTCTCTTCGTCCGAGGGCCTGGTGGGAGGGGTACCGAACCCATTGGAATCTGACGGAGTTGGTGTGCCGCTTGTGGGAGACGTGGCGGCGAGCGCAGGCGGCTTGGGCTTCGGTGCGAGTACAGGCTTGGTGGTGGTATCGTTCTGAGGAGGCGCGAAATCTTTCCACTTGCGCCATCCGTCGTAGTCGATGAGAGCCTGCATGCATCCCCACTCTTTGACCTTGCGTTCGAGCCAGACGAAGTTGACGGGCTAAGGACGAGGTCAGCTCACGCTAATGATAACTCCAAGGTCAAGCTCACCTTGGTCAAGAAATCGTTGCAGCCGGCCGCCAATGCCTCGTGTCTGTCGCTCTGTAAAGAGCTGGCTGTAAGAGCCACGATGATAACCGGGCTCTTGAACAGACTCCTGTCACCGAGCTTGTCGTCGTCCTCGACATTGCCACTTCCGCCTTCACCCAGCCGGTTGTTGGGCGCCTCATTGCTGCCGCTGCTGAAGACGCCAATGTTGTTCACCCTCTCGAGCCGTCGAATCTCCTTGGTAGCCTCCAAGCCATTCATGATGGGCAGCTGGATGTCCATCAACACCAGATGGAAACCGCCCGATTTCCACTTCATGACGGCTTCCTTTCCGTTCATCGCCTTTGCCCAACGGACCTTCAGCCGCTGCATGAAGGCGCCCAGAACCCGCAGATTGATAATGTTATCTTCCACTATGAGCACGTTGATGGGGGGCACCGTGTCAACCAACTCGGCAGGTAGACTAGGCGTCTCAGCCGGCTTTGCCTTCCTTCTCTTCTTGATGTCTGGCCTTGGAGAGGCCACGCGAGGGGTAGGGGGATTCGAGCCAGGTCGCACGATGGAATCGACGGGAGCAGGAGGGGTCGGGATGGGATGATTCCCCGAAGAGGTGGAATGCTTTGTTTCGGAGGCAATAGAATCATGGCGGGCTCGCTGAGGCGGACGAGAGCCACCGGCCGAGCTTGGTACGGCGCCGGTCAGGGCGGTGGGTGAAGCAGTGTTGTGCCGTGGATACTTTGGACGGCCGTGGTGAGACTTCCGCGCGCTACCGGGAGACGGGAGATTGGGCAACTGTCCTGTTGAAAGGACAGCAATGGAGTGGGCTGGTGGCACGGAAGCTCTTGATTCTTGAGAAGCAGCTGTCAGGGCAGCGGGCGACGGGTTGACGAGCCCCATTGGCGGGAAGTATTCCGAGGGCTGCTCGTTGAATCGAGAGTCGTCATGGTGAGCATAGAAGACTGGAACGCGAGGCGAAGGTCTGGGGGTCCGCCTCTGGGGTACCTCGATGAGCAGGGCCTCGTTGATTGTTTGTCCACCTGGGTAGTAGGCATCCAAGGTCCTGCACATCTCCTCCTCTGGCCCCAGTAGCCGATCTGCAGCCGACTTCCCCGTTGCGTCTCGAGGATATATGCGCAAGCTAATGTCCGGAGCGTCGAACACCTTGCCTAGCGAGTTGGCATATTTCCTCAATATCACCTCCCGCACATCATCGACGACATCGTCCTCCTTAATCTGGACCAGCGTCGCAGAGGCATTCGGGCGCTTGACCCAAATCTTGCGGTTCAGCATGCGGGTGTTGAAGGATGGGGCGCCGGCGAAGTAGTCTGTGGTGGGAGGGCCGGAGGTGATGGCAGCCTGAGGGATTTCAGGTTGGAGCAGAGTCTTGATTACGCGCGCATTAGAGGAGGTTACGAGGGATTGTCGCCTCGGGAGGCCAGGGTGCGTAGACTTTGTCTGGGTGCGTGGGGACGACGGTGGTAGCTCCGAGGGCTGGTCGTCGGAGGGGCCTGACAGCTGTGTCGAGACGTCGGGCGGAGATTGCAGGCCAGCAGCGTCGACGGGCAGGCGTACAGGCGTAGGCCCTTCCAAGGTGACGGCAGGGCAGGCGTTTGCGATGCGAGCGTCGGGGTGCGGGTGGGCAGAGGGCAGCGCCGAGGTGGAGGCGGAGGTGGATGCGGCGCTGGCGACGGTGTTGTCTTGCGAGTGGCGCGGCGGCTCCCTAGCATTACAAGTTGTACCAGTAGAGGTGCTGTTCCTGGCCATGGAGCTCTCCTCTTCGGACCTTCTGGGAGGAGGCAGCACGGCGGATTTGGACATGGGCTTCTCCTCCGCTGTGCTCACGCTGCCCGAGGACACGGCCGGCAGCTTGGTCAACGACGCGCTCATGCTTGACCGGCGGCCTCCAGAGGGCCCATGTTCACTTCTCGACTGCGAGGGCGAGCGTGGCGAGGATGTCGAATGCTGGCTGCCACGGCGCAGCAGCGGCAGCCTTTGACGGGCATTGCTGAGCTTCGTCTTGAAGTCCATCACAGCGCCAGCCAGCCTACAGGCGCTGCAATGGCCTGGAGTGGCGGGCGTGCTGCTCAGGACGGACGTGTGAAGGGCAGTAGTGGAACATGCGAGACATGCGATGGAGGACGCTGAAGGGAGAAGGGGTCAAGGGTCACGGGAGGAGCAGAGCGGAGGTAAAAGAGCGGCTGGGAGTCAAGTCATCAACAGAAACGAAGGAAAAGAGGAAAGCCGGCCGGGCGCGGGCGGCGGGGTGCAGCGTTGGTGTTGAGCGTCTTCGCAGCCCGGTGGTGCCCAGGTGGTGTTATCGAATAACTTTATCCTCGCGCTAGAGGGAGGGCTGTCCCTGCAGTGAAATGCTTCTGCCCGGCTTGCTCCCCCATCAAACACAGGCCTGAACCAAAAGCCACCACGAATCTCGTCTCGAAGAGAGTCTCGGCTACGGCCGACGTCGTCGATGGGGTTGGATCCTTCGTTGGATGTGCATCCTCTACCTCCGTAGGGTTTGCTTTTGATGAGACCTCCCAGACCTCATGATTGGCAACCAACTCTATATATCAAAGCTACCGAGGACCAGCACACAACACCTACCAACCGTGCCTGTGTGTTCCAAATGCTTAGGAAACTTCCATCACTGTCCGTCACCAATTTCCGTGTTCCCTCACTTATTGCAGCTGTCCAATGTTGACCAAGCAAGGCACAGCTGTCGTATAGCCTTGGCAGTGAAGTATCGGTCACGTGACATCAGCCGATTTCTCACCATCCTATTCAGCATCGGAATGACCGGTGGCTTACAACAATCCGAAGGAGCATGAGCTGCGAGTGGATACGGCATAGTGTTGTTAAGTTGTTGTTAACCCATCCTGCTACTCACTTTGTACAGTGTGGTTCCCGCCTTCACCACTACCATTCAAATCTTCACCGTCAGGTTTTCCACAACTTAACCAATCCCTCACTTTCTTCAGTCTATACGTCTTCTACTATCACTGCTCCTTACCTCCTCCACCAAGCCGTTTCCACCACGTCATGGCGCGCCAGCGACTTGATCACCTGCATACCCCCTTTCACCGTCTCAACTCGTCACTCACCACCACGCCACGATCGGCCATCACCATCACCGTCACCTTGTCGGCTCCAGCCACTCGCTTTATGAACCTTTAACCCTACGAAGGGAGATGCTGTTCTCAACACCACTTCACCGCTCGACTAGGACGACGTTATTACTCACTTACTCCTCTTCCACACGCACTTGAGAATTGCACAAGCAAGGTCAGCAAATCCGGATCCGTCGAACATTATAGAAAACTTCGATCTGCTCGTAATTTGAGCTCTGGTCCGATTCGCTCTCATTGCCAGCTCTATGACCCCGTTTGAATTCTGCAGCACCTAAGCACTTGCTCCAGCGAACGCAAAGGACCGCGAAGCAAACCTGCTGTATCCGCCCGCTATCATCTATCCAGCAAACCGCCAACGAACTGCAAGAAAAAGGGAACTGCACGATACCCTGACCTACTTCACAAGCCACATCCATCGCAATTTCGGAGCTACATAAACGCATTCGAAGATTTCAGCGTCAAGTCCAGTTTCGAGGGCCCAGAGACATTCACACGAAACCGAGAAAGCGAGGAGAGACATGCCTCCGCCTTTCCAATACCTCTCCACGCCTCCCCTCCCCGATCCACTCAACCCCAGGGCCTGCAGAAGCCGCACTCGCAACCGCAGGAGTCGCCAAACTCACACCCACACCCGCAGACTCAAATGCCCGACTTGCTCAACCAGCATACCTCTGCCTCCACCGCCAGACTGCATTGGCGCTGAGAATATCGCCGCGACCGTACCGCTTACTTCCCCAGAACCCGCAGCGTCACCGTCAATCTGCTCGTCCTGTCTCTCGCGGTTTCGCTCCCCGGGCGCCGAGTCCGTGAATAGACGACAAGATACGCTGACGTCGTTTCCGGGGTTGTTCGAGGAAAGGGGTGGTGGTGGCGGTGGATCTAGCTCTAGCTCTCGCTCCGGCTCTGGTTTGCAGGACGGCGATGCTGGAGATGGAGGGGTGGGAAAGAGTTGGATTTCGACTTCAACGCAGATTTCGTACGTCGGTGTGGTTAGGAGAATGTTCTCTTTTGGATTCGGGTTTGGGGTTGCGAGGGAGAGGGGTAGGGTGACATCTGGGGAGGCGGTGGGAGAGGGAGAGGGAGAGGATGGAAGGGGGATTGAAGCGGTGAGGGAGAGGAGGTTGACGGCTTCGTCGGTGGGTACTCTGGGCAGTGTGGTGCATGAGGATGAGGTGGGGAGGGAGGCGGGTTGCGGTAGGTAGCCCGTATTGGGATGGTGAAGTTTGGTCATAGCGAGAGGACGAGCACGTTTGGAAGTTCCCGGGGTTGAACAAGAGGTGGATGAGCTTGTAGAGCCACATAGCGTCCCTACCCCCATAGCTTCGCCCGTACAACTCCGAAGTTTTTGAGAAGAGTGTTGCGGAGATTTGTTGAACAATGTCGCTCACGCTGTGGTCCCATCCTACATACAAGCCAAGTCATCATGAGCAGTTAGTTCCATTCATTCCTATCCAGATATACAATTCCCCACATAAAACGGTACAAGATACTGATCCTTTTACTCCCAGACGCCACGCCAAAGCCGCCACCTTGACGGACGCGTGAATACAGCCTCCAAACGAATACAGAAAAAATGTACGTAGCTGCAAGCCAATAGATACATGGAGCGTGTACTGTATACCGTTTCATAGACGTCCTCTTCCTCGTATCGTCTGTTGCTGAAGACGAGGGTGATTTCGTCGCGAGATGGGTGGTTTTTTTCGACGCGAGGTCATGTCCTTCTTCCCCTTGCTCTTATGTTTTTCCGATCTGCTCTTGGATATCAATCAATCCCTCCGTCTTACCCAATCCAAATGAATATTTGCCACCTCCATTTATTCAAAGGAGCCCATCCCCACCCCAACAAGAACAACAACATATACTGACCAACACCCACCCCCAATCCGACCTCACCCCTCTAGAAATCCTTGAAATACTCATCCCACTTCTCCCTCAACTCCTTACTATACGGCTCCCGATTCCCGCTCTCCGGCTCATAATCATCGAAATTCCTCGCATCCGCTGGGCCCCTTAAATGCGGCACAATCGGCCCCCTCACCTTTCGATTATACAGCGCATCCCAATCAATGTTGCGGAACCAGGGGTGCGACTTGACGGCGCTGGCGCCGCCCTTGATGTTGCCTAGCCGTTTGGACGTGTCGACGGTGCAGAGACCCGAGATGAGGTCGCGCGCTTCGGGGGACATGGCCGAGGGGAAGCGGACGCGGCCTTCGACGATTCTGGAGAAATGGTGTTAGCAAAGGGGTGGGGAAACAATAGAAGGTTGGTGACGTACTGTTCGTAGATTTTCATGGGGTTCTGGTCCCAGAAGGGGGGTTGGCCGACTAGGAACTCGTAGATTAGGATGCCAAAGGCCCACCAGTCTACCGCTGTTCCGTGTCCTATCCAGTGTCAATTGTGCACTCAAAGAAAACAGCCGTTCGTAAACATACCAGTGTTCCGAATGACTTCTGGCGCCAAGTACTCTGGTGTACCACACAACGTATATGTTTCCCCTGGATCCATTAGCGAAGGTCCACGTATCTTTACAGCGAAGATGCTCACGGTTTTCCACTTTCTTCGCAAAGCCAAAGTCTACCAGCTTAAGGTGGCCTTCTGCGTCGATCAGGATGTTCTCCGGCTTCAGGTCTCGGTATGCTACTCCTTCTTTCTCATGCAGATACTCTAATATTAACACAATTTCGGCGCCGTAGAATTGCGATGTCGGCTCGTTGAATCGCCGTGCTCTCCGGAGGTAGCTGAAGACTTCGCCTCCGGGGCAATACTCGAGCTATCCTCTGTCAGACATTACCTCTGCCAAAGGGAAGAAGCCCGCGTCATACCAACATATACAGGGAATCGTGGTCCTGGAAACTCGCCACCATTGTGGTAATGAAAGGGTGCCCGGCGACTGCAGAGAGCACATTGCGCTCGTTCCGTACATGTTCGACCTGCTTGAGGCGTATCACTAAGACACGGCCATGTTAGCGACCGCAGCGAACCGATAGATAAGGAAACCCGCATACCATCCACCTTCCTCAGGACCTTCAGCGCGAACACCTTGTCTCTGTCACTTCCCTGGGCGTTGTTGAACCGAACGAGCCATACCCGCGCGAACGTTCCTGGCACAGTCTATCAGCATTCCCGGCCCAGCAGCACTCCTGGGAATCCGGAGCGCTCACCAGTCCCCAGGGTCTTGATCAGTTCAAAGTCCTCCTGTCGCAACACCCTTGAAGAGTGTCCCACAACCTTCTTGTCCGGATCCTGGTGTATCTCGTTCGGGCTCAGCGGCTGCTTCTGGTCCACCCATTGCGCGACCTTCTGCTTCTCGTCCTCGCGCTTCTCATTTGAGGCCTGCTGCGCCTCGGCATGCGCCGGCTCCGGATGCGCTTCGCTCTGCTTGGGCTCCGGTTGCGCGTGGGCATGAGAGTGGGGATGTAGCAGCTTATGCACCGCGGCGGCCATGGCTGCGGTGGTGTTGCGGCGGTAATTACGAGGCAGATTGAAGGTGTTGCGAGGAAGGGTATCTTGGGTTCTCTATTTAGAGCATTGCTGCGCGGCGGCGGGCGTGTTTGTGAGCGGCAAACGGCCGACAAATGGCGGAGAGGCCTGAAAAGGAGTCGCGGAGGGCGGTTGTGGTAGTCGCAAGCACACCATGTGTGTGTGAGTGTGAGAGAGAGCGCCCAAGTCGCCGTGGTGCGGGCAGCTTGTGTTGGTGGATGAGTGGCCGCGGGGGAATCCCTCGGAGCGGTTCCTCTTCCGTCGAAGGACCGATATGACGAAACAATGTGGGGGAGGGGAGCGTTTCTGCTAACAAAGCCACCACAGGGGAAAGCTTTGTGTGCACACACCTCAACGTTTGCCGGCTTGACGGGCGTCGTCTTGCTATTTAATCTGGGAAGTACCACTGCGCCTTGCTGCCGAACGGCAACGTGGTGAGACGAGTGCAGCGGCACCTTGGGCGGCGTTTCGGGCAGACGAGACACTTTACTCAATTAGCCCGTACATCACCACCCGCATCGGCTGCCCAGCTAGTCCACTGTAGATGATGGGCAATCACCAACGCGAAACATCGAGACAGAACGGAGTGTCGTCGACCGCCAGGCGCAGTACAAGGTCCTCGCTGGCGGTCAACCTTGGCGGAGTTGGGGAAATGCAGTCGGACGTCGGGCTGACGGGCAGGCTTTGTCTGGACTCCGCCCCGGACACTGCGCTGTAAGAATAAGATGGGGTCGCAAAAAGGGTGCCCCGGTAGGTAGTAAGTGAGGAGAATGGTTGTACACCAATTCTGATATAGAACAAGCTGCCGTGCCAATTGACGCTCCCTAGATATACAGCCAACTCGATTGTACTAACCTGACCAGACATGAATAACCTCTTAAGATGAAATGACGCCGCGCAATGCTCTTCCGAGTCCGCATTCTGCCCCGGACTCGGTGGTTCTGAATATCCTCATCTGCTCTTCTGCTGTCGGAACTGTTGTGCACATGATATCGATACCTGCGCCTCAACCGCTTGCTCGCGTGTTCAAGATGAGCGCGACAATCAGCCTGGAGAGTAGGTTAGCGCGGAACAACAGGCTGCCTGCGTAGAAGACCGCATACCCATACAATCCCAACACTTCGGCAAAGATGAGGATCAAGACCATGCCGACGAAGATTCGTGATTGCCGCATGTAGGCCCGTACGCCCTAATCCTGTCAATATGTATTCCTGAGGTCCCGCACGCACCAGACATACAACATCGCCCACAATGCCAATCGCATAGCCGGCCGCCAGACCAGCGAGACCCACAGACATGCCTGCCGCCATGTGCATGAACCCTGCAAACAGGGAGTAGTTCTTATTTGGCGGCGGCCGTATGTCGCTTGCTATGAGAACGGATATGACGAGAGCGTAGACTGCCAAGATACCAGACATGACGACGGGGATGAGGGACTGCGGGCGTTAGCTGTGCGTCTGTAAATCTACAAGGCGCCAAACTACCTTCATTATCAGGTCTGGCCTGTACGTCCCTACACCGGCAATGCCAATGCCCGACTTCGCCGTGCCATAGGCAGCTCCGGCACCTGGACCGATATCAGTTGTGGGGGAATCGTATATGGGGGGCGCAGAACGACAAACATCCGAATATCATCTGTAGGGGGCGTCAGCTAGAGATCAACATGTATGTACAAAGCTACGGGGAGGCATACGGCGAAGGCAATACCGCTCTGCGTTTACATGTTAGGTCATCTGCATCCAGCAAGTTGTGGAGGAACCACGTACCATGCCGAAGAAAGGCGCAAAGCTGGGGGCGAGCGCGTCCCCCATCCTGATGCCTGCTATTTAAGGTAAAGGAAACAGTCGTTGGACACAATCGTGCAGGCGGAGAATATAACCAGGCAGCTCGTGGAATACCACCGAGCACTTGAACGCGAGCGATGTATGATGATGCTCAACCGCCAAGCCCTTGCCCTGGACGACGCCATCTGATCTGGAGAGCGGCTTTGGCCCGTGATTTGCTCGCCAAGACTCTGTCCAGTCGCCTGCGAGGGAACCTCACGTCCCGCACTTGTCAAAACATCCTCTCGCCGCTCTCTTCGATTGCTGTCTGCGTCCAAGCCGACATTCACCCGCCTTCCAGCCCGTGGACGCTCAATTCGCTCTCCTCGCCGTATCCCTCCTTCCCCTCTCGGTGGCCGGAACACGCGATAAGCATCCACGCACGCAAACCTCCTCCACCTCGGGCCGCCATATATCTACCGTTCCACACCTCTAGTTCCCCCCGTGTTGGGCATATCGAACTGCCTAACTGCCGTAATCCCGGTACTATCGACGGGGTAGAGTTGATTTCCTCCGCTGGCGGTTTCCGGGAACTGCGTGGCACCGACGCCCTGAGTCCTGAATCACGACTCTACCGAATGCTCTAGGAGCCGTCGACGAGAGCACCTCGTATTGAATCGCGTACATGTCGGATTATAGCAGCCAGCAGGGCAGAGATTACGCCCGGCCTCAGCAGTATGGCCACGCGACAGGAGCGAGAGATGCTGCTTTTGCCGACATCTTCGGCGCGAGCCCTGCCATGGCCGGTCGCTCACAAACAATGACATCCCACTCTGTTATGAGGCCTCCGGAACGTGCCGCGACCATGTCTGCGCAGACGGCAGATATGATGCAGAGAGCACCTCCTCTTCGGCACCCAGTAACCACCTACGACCGGCGTCCCCCCTTGCCCCACGACCCACGGCCGCCCCAAATGCAGGACCAACATCGACCACAAAACTATGATCAACGTCCAGATCAGTTCCAAAGGCCGCTCCCGAACGGCTATCCCCCGGCCCAGCGACCTCAAGATGGCCCACATCCAATCCCGCGCCAACCGCAACCAAATTATCTTCCTACGCCACTTCGTCCTGAACGCCCACCTTACGGCCAGCCTCAGCGGTTCGACTCACGCCCGTCCCCTCCAGGGCAACCGCCGTTCAACAAGCCTATTCCCCCGCGCTACCCAGGAGGGCCAGGGCCAGCACTGAACTCCGACCCTTACCGTTCACAATCTCTGGCCTCAGGGCCTCGGCCACCTTTCAATCCGGGTCCTGGTGCTCCAGGATACGGTAGTTCACCTGCGTCAGCGTTCCGCCAGCAGCCTTATATGAATCACATGGCTAGGACCACGGCACAAGGCAGGGTTGTTCCTGAGCGCCCTGACGAGAGGACCATGTCCATGACTTCCTACACCAGGGATCACGAGTATGCACAGATACAAAGCGGAAGAGTCATACCAAGTCGAAGGCGGGAGTCGGGCCCACACGAACCACCCCTCACGGATCGTATGATACCAAGTTCTCCTGCCCCATCCAATGTTGGACCGGGTAGTAAAACGAGAGTCGCGAGCTACAGCAACATGCCTCAGCCTCGGACCATGTCCATGGCCTCTACCGTTGTGGCCCCGTCAGAGCGTACAGAGACGATGCGTACGGAAACGATGTCATCTGCTGTCACGCGTCCTAGCTCCACCCAGACCGTCACGAGCCGTAATTCCCAACAGGGCCAACAGCAGCAAGTGTTGGTGGCCGCTTCGCGCAGGGCACCCTTGGTATACCCAGCGCTCCTTTCGCGGGTTGCTGAAGTGTTCCGTGACCGGATTCCCTTGGGCGAAAAGGAGAAGGATGGTCTTGTTTACAAGAGTGCGTTTACAGGCGCCGAAGGTGTGGACTTGATTGCGTACATTATCAAGACAACGGATCGTAACTTGGCATTGCTTCTCGGCAGGTCCCTGGACGCCCAGAAATTCTTCCACGATGTCACGTACGCCCACAGACTTCGCGATACCCCGAATGAGATCTACCAGTTCCGCGAGACTTTGATGGAGAACACTACGGAGGTCAATGGCGTGTTCACGCTATTGACAGAGTGCTACTCGCCTACCTGTACCCGCGATCGTTTGTGCTACTCCATCGCCTGCCCCCGCCGCTTGGAGCAACAGGCGCGGCTCAACATGAAACCTCAACCTGGTCTCAAACGCGCCGAAAGCCGAGCGAGTCTTCACGACGATGCGGATGATGAACAGAAGCTGTGGATCAACACTGTCCCCAAGGAGGTGTCCGACAGTGTCAGCACGAAAGAGCAGAAGCGGCAAGAAGTCATATCCGAGCTGATGTACACCGAGCGCGACTTCGTGAAGGACCTGGAGTATCTCCGGGACTTCTGGATGAAGCCTCTGCGGAATCCAGCCACATCGCCCATCCCAGAGCATCGTCGGGAGAAATTCGTGCGGACTGTGTTCTCCAACTGTCAGGACATCTATGTGGTGAACTCAAGACTCGCCGAAGCCCTCACACGGCGCCAACAGAAAGAGCCCGTCGTGCGGAATATCGGCGACATCTTCCTGGAATATGTCCCGCTGTTTACCCCTTTCATCAAATATGGCGCCAATCAGCTGTTTGGCAAATATGAGTTCGAGCATGAGAAGCGCACCAACGCCCAGTTCGCGAGGTTCGTGGATGAAGTGGAAAGGATGAAAGAGTCGAGAAAGCTGGAGCTGAATGGGTATCTCACGAAACCCACAACCAGGCTGGCAAGGTATCCTCTGTTGCTTGAGAATATTGTCAAGTATACAGCAGACGATAACCCCGACAAGCAAGACATCCCCAAGGCGATTGCTATGATCAAAGACACATTGTCCAAGGTGAATATTGAAAGTGGCAAAGCCGAGAACCATTTCAACCTTATGCAACTGAACCGGGATCTCAAATTCCGCCCTGGAGAGTATGTCGACCTAAAGTTGACAGACGAGAACCGGCAGCTGGTCTTCAAAGGCCTACTCAAGAAGAATCCGACAGACTCGACTGGGGACATTACATGCTATCTCTTCGACCACGCCATACTGCTGGTGCGGATCAAGACGGTCAATAAACGAGAAGAGCAGAAAGTGTACAAGAAGCCTATACCGCTTGAGCTCCTCGTAATCACTCAGATGGATGAGATCATTCCCAAGATGGGGATCGCCAAGCGCCCCTCTGCGAATCTCATGGGAGCAAAGGCGATTGCTTCAGCGGCTCCCAAAGGCGACGCTTCGAAACAGCAAGGATACCCTATTACCTTCAAACACCTTGGAAAGGGTGGGTACGAGTTGACGCTCTATGCTAGTACGCAGATCTCTCAGCAGAAGTGGATGGAGCACATCGAGGCGCAGCAACGTTCTCTCCGAGAACGCAGCAACATCTTCACTAAGACGATTCTTAATGAGGGCTTCTTCTCCGCCGTTGTCCGGGTTACCTGCGCCGTGCCTCTGGGTAAGACATTCATGATTTGCATTATGTGTTGGGCTAATAAGGTGCAGATGGCGGTCGAAAGCTTGTTTTTGGAACTGACGCCGGAATCTACGTGTGTGATAGGAAACCCAAGGACGCATCCCAAAAGCCTCGTCGTGTCCTGGATTGCAAGGCCGTGACACAGGTGGATGTTCTCGAGCAGCATCAAATTGTGCTTGTACTTGCTGACAAGACACTCTATTCCTACTCTATAGAAGCACTGGATCCGGACGAAGCTCAACCGATGGCTAAGCGCCCCAGGAAGATCTGCCATGCCAACTTCTTCAAATCAGGGATTTGTCTGGGTCAGCACCTCGTGGCTACGGTCAAGACATCGTCGCTCTCGACAACCATCAAGGTGTTCGAGCCGAAAGAGAATATGGCAAAGAACTCGCGGAAATCTGGGTTTGCGAAGATGCTGTCGACGAACCAGGAGCAACTCAAGCCATACAAAGAGTTTTACATCCCAACGGAAGCCACCTCGATTCATTTCTTGCGCACCAAGCTCTGCGTTGGTTGTGCGCGTGGTTTCGAAGTTGTCAGTCTTGATACGCTGGAGACTCAGTCACTTCTGGACCAGGCCGATACATCGCTTGATTTCGTGGTGCGGAAGGAGAACATCAAGCCAATCCACATTGAGCGGTTGGCAAGCGAGTTCCTTCTCTGCTACACCGACTATTCCTTCTTCGTTAATCGCAATGGTTGGCGTGCCCGGCCCGATTGGCGTATCACTTGGGAAGGCAATCCTCAGGCGTTTGCCATCTTCCATCCGTATATCCTGGCGTTTGAGCCCAGCTTCATCGAAATCCGCCATATGGAGAGTGGCGGTCTGGTACACATTTTGACAGCAAAGAACATCAGGTGGCTCCATACATCAACGAGAGAAGTAGGTCTATCGTTTGCTCCATTGACGGTGATTGCTGACCTTTCGTAGATACTGTACGCCTATGAGGACGAGTTGGGCAACGATGTCATTGCCAGCTTGGACTTTTGGCAAGCAGCGAATGGACCGGGCCATAGACAGAGTACGATCGAAAATACCCGAGCGAGCTGAGAGTAGCCGCGCCGATACCCCTCGCGTGACAGTGAAGAGGAGGCTTCCTTCCGCGAATCTCGCGTACCGCCCACACAGGCCGCCCAAACCTCGCAAGGAACGCGGAGCAGAGCAGAAGCCTGCTTCGCTTACCTGCGATGCCATTGTCGCTACATGTGCGCTGCGCTACGCTCGAGGCAAGCCCTGCTGGACCGTATGGACGTCAGATTCGTTGGACGTAGTAGATCGTCATCATCATAAGATTTTGGACCCTGTCAGCAAAAGGGCCGCTCTGTACCATAACATGTTGGTTACGCTCTGAATTCTTGGGAAACATCGTAGCGAAGCATGCTCGTCAGCTAGCATTGGATGTCTTGGAAGAGTCTTTTGGTCGAGAGGCAAAGTGAGTTCAGCTTGGGAATGGGTTAATAGGAGGAAGCGGGATTCGAGGTATGGGTCTTTCGGGGACAGCGAGATGTGATTCCGCGCTGGTGCGGCGGTTTTGTAAGTCTACAAAAATGATGATGCGCGAGACGGTGGAATGAATATGAGTGGTGTTGATCCAACGGCTCAGTTCAGCCTCGGGGGTGATGCTCCTAGTGATGATGGATGTGACAGGTTTCCCTGGGACACGATGGCGTACTCTGGTGAGGATAGGTGAGTTTCTGTCTTTTTGTATCTTAAATGGCAATTCGTCACCTCTGTCTTGCACGTTCTGACACTAGATACCAGTTGATGATAACAAAAATATTTTCCCATCGCCTGGGAGTTTTACCGTTGAACAGCAACATGCAGACTTTCTCGCTCTTACTATCACTGAACGATTCCCGTCATTTGAACTCGGGCCTAGAATCACTTCGCACAGATTGCCCGACCTTTAAGTACTTCCCCCTCACGCCCTGAAAGCTCGCTCCTTCACGGCGGGCTTCACAATCTTGAAGTCCACGCAAGACTCATACGTCTGCTTCGCTCCCGTGCCAAACCACCACCACTGCAGAACCTATTATGCACGTGGTCAGCCCCTTCAATACGCGCAACTCCTTGAGAACGAGACCAAGTCTCGGACGAAGAAACACAGAAAAGCCACTTACACAATCCCCAGCAGTCACACACCTCTCCTCCAACCCTTCCGGCACCGTGACACTAAACTCTCTCTGCTCAATCGGCACATCCGCCTCCTTCCTCCCCGGCGCATACCCTTTACTCCACACCTTCAACATGTCGCCAACGACCTGATTCTTCTTCGCATCCACGACACTCACATTCGCGATGCCCTCGTGCGGAATCCGCAGCCAGATCTTGACGGGGACTTCCTGGCCCGCCGTCCACGTCTGCACGTTTGCGGCGGGGTTGTCGGCGAATTGCAGGCCTTTGCAGAGCCAGAGGTTGCAGAGGGAGGGGTTGAAGGAGGGGTCTTTGGAGGCTGCGTCGGGGAGCGCTTCGACGTACGAGGTGTTGTCCGAGGCGATCTTTTTGTAGACGGCGGAGCCGCAGTTGGCGGTTAGGGCGGGGCCGATAGGGCGGGAGGGTGGGGAGGTGATGAGGCCGTGGGAGAGGGCGAGGGTAGGGAGGAGGGCGAGGAGGGGGATAGTGGTGCTGAGGTGCATTGTGGATGTTTGTTGGGTGTTATGATGGGCGATGGAAATAGGAGAGAGGAGTTCGTTGCTGTGAAGTTCAGCAAGGCAAGGAGAGAAACACACTGCTTCTTAAACTGAACAACACAAATTTTTGAGCGACTATAAATGTTGGACCCCTTCACGGATTCCTAAGCAACCATATACTACCTAAATTATCCATACCAGCTCGCTACCTCTCACTTCTCGGGGTCATGTATGGCAGTGAGTGTTGGGCGAATGGTTGAGCAGGGAAGTATATTGCATCTCCGGTAGATTGACGTTCCGAGCCCGTGGACCGGGGTAAGGAGCTTTCAAGGCAATATAGATGATGAAGACTGTGAGTTACCGACATGTGCCGACAAGATGTGGAGGAGAGCTGTAAAATATGTTGTTGGGCGGAGTCTGGAGGAGAAGAAAGTGCATTTCGTGGCCGGGGTCCCAGACAATGAACTGGTAAGGGAGCAGAAACCTGGCGTATGTGCTGTCTGAATAGATAGTACTTGCACATATGCAGCCGTTGAGAATGTCTTTTGTTCGGTCAGTGTTTGTAGAAGCACTCAGGTCTGCAACGGCATCGCCTATAGCTATATAGACGGCTCGGGGTCTGCTAAGATATGAATGTAGAGTTATTTCCATAGGGCCCAATCCCATTACCAGTGCGTTCCATTTACCTCTACTCTGAAGAAAAAGCAAGAAGCCTTGCGCAATCGTCGCCCTGCATAATCTCGTATGCAATGTCCCTTACCGCACCTTGGCTTAACTCAGTTTTCATCCTCACTCTTCAGATCCACCCATATCTTTGCACACTCCTGCCTCACGGCACCAAATGGCCTCTTCCCCTCCTCATCCACATACTCCGACGTCACAAACCTCGACACCACACTTCCTTTAAACGGCTCCTCCGCCTTCTCCCAAACGCTCTTCACAGCATCACTCGACGTCTCAATCTGAATCCCCCTATACCCCCGTCCCGCCGCCTCCTTCATCAACCACCTCGCCAATGCCGCCATGATCCCCTCCCCAGCATAATCCTGACGCGTAGCCGTCCCATTACGATTCAGCACCTCCCCCCTCCTACTCGGCACACTCGGATCCGGATCGCGCCTGTCCCCCTGAGCTAGCACATGGTAGATGATTCCAAAATGGGGCAGGCACTCCACCAGGGCGCCCATCTTGTTAAAATCCAACGGATCAAACGCATCATACGACAGCGCGATACTGACGAGCGGGAAATCCATCTGCAACAATAACCTCCGACTCTCCGCCTCGAGACCCCCGCTCTCCTGCACGCTCGGCTCCGATGCGTCCCAGTACAGCGCTCCGCCCGTGGCAGCGCTCTCGGGTCGTTTGTACACGTACTGCGTGTCGAAGACGCCAAAGGACATGCCGGATTGGATCTGGTGCGTGACGAGGTACTCTCCGGCGGGGAAGCTGCGATGCAGGCGGGCGGTGAGGTTCTCGGGGTAGAGGTGTGGCCAGACGGGGGAGTGGAAGAGGTTGCTGTGGACGAGGATGGCACCGGCCCAGGGGGCGTGGTGGGGTTCTAGTTTTCGGATTTCGTAGCGGGAGGGGAGTGAGGAGGGATTGGAGGGGTTGGGGGTTTGGGTGTTGGTGTTGGAGGTGGTCATGGCCATATTGACTAACTTTGTGGTTGTTGTAGGGCGGGCCTTTGCTGGCGGAGTTGAAAAGCACTGTGGGTGAAAGAAGGAGAGGCAGTGGACTGATGAGTGAAATGCTCAAAAAGGCGACAGAGTCCGTAAATAAACAGTCAGCACTTGAGCAAATCCAGGATGTAGTGTGGACGCATACAGGGCCAGTATCTGTTGAGCCGTCTCAGCCGATTATGCGTATCTTTTATGGGTATTTGGTTGTACTACCAAGGCCCTTGTCGAGTAGTAGCTCGCAAGGAATAGCTACAACTGGGATCGTGTGGGATTATAAGCCTGCTGATGCTGACGCTTTGTGTGGCAGACGGATAGAGGAGAAGACGTACTGATTTTGATTTAGACAGGACGAAGAATTACCCTAGGGTAGGATAGAAGTAATATCTTTTCGGAGTGCGGAAACCGCGCCCCTGCATAACGGAGCCGGTGCAACTCCTGGGGTTGTCATCGGAATATATGCACGAAGTCAATCAAACTGCAGGGAGAGGTTGAGAATACGATAGCACATGCAGGTTCATGCCAGTCCGTGGCACAGTCATTGTCGGGAAGCATTCGGTTCTCTTTCAGCTGTGAAGAGTGCGTTCAGAAACGTGTGCGCTGGATTGGCGAATGCTTTACCTTAACCAGCTAATCGCACTTGTTTGACAGCGTTATCAACCAGGTCACAGATGTGAATGTTCCAAGTGTTCGGGGCACTGCCCCTCACCCCGCGACCCCAAGTGCATGACCACCCGCAACGGGAGCGCGAGAAGTCAGCGCTAATAAGCGCGATAGCAAATACATTCAATATAGGGCTAATAGTCAAGCGTATGGTTAGGTATTCGGATGGAAAGAGAAAGTTGGTGACAGGGAGTTTATAATATAATCTAATTGTACTCTTCGGAACTGTAGGCAGAGTCGGACAATCGCTATCAACAGCAGGACGTACAATACTCAGTACGATGACCTTGATACGCGGTTGTCGAACTCTGAACGCAGAACAGCGCCAACTCCTCACTCTTCAAAAGGCGTGAAGACCTCCAACACACTCTCAGCATCCTTCAGCTCCGCCTCCAGGACTTGTCTATGAGCCTCCCTCCGGATGCGTATCTCGCACTCGAACTTCTGAGGGCGGATGTTGAAGCCCTCCGTGTACGCAAACGTATCATACTTTATCCCTGGAATCGGCAAGATGTCAAAGGCCCACAAGATCTTAGCCAGTGCAATGTACAAGCTGTTCGCCGCTAAATCTGCTCCGGGACAGATCCGCCTACCCCAACCAAACGACGAGTGGCCTGATTTTGCAGGGTGCGGCTTTCCGAGAGGGGAAATGGTCTTGGACTTTTCGGCCAGAGTAGCATCCAGGAAGCGTGTGGGGTCAAAGTGGTGCGGATTTGGGTAGTACTCCTCGTTCAGATTGATGGCCCACGAGTTGCCGAGGATAGTGGTACCAGCGGGTATGTAGTAGCCCTCATAATGGTCATCTTCCGTTGACGAATGCGGGGTACCTCCCAAGACGGCGACGGGTCTCCAGCGCAGGACTTCTTTCACAAGTGCTCTGATATAAGGGAGACGGGCCTCGTCGTTGAAGGTCGGCGTGCGTGATGAGCCAATAACGGTGTCCAGTTCATTGTGCGCGGCTTGCAGTGTCTCCGGATGGGTGATCAAGGCCAAAAAGGCGGTGCAGAGCGTAGATGCAGTTGTGTCCGAGCCCGCACCGAAAAGAGAGGCCGGGATGTAGGAAAAGTCTCGGTCGGAGAGGGGTATGTGCTCCTTTTCTCGAAGCTCAAGAAGGAGCTTGCATAACGAATCCGGGATTTCGGTTCCTTGCGTTCTGGCGCGGGCCATATCTGAGCGTACGACATCGACTAGAGCCATGTTGGCTGCTGCCTCTTCCCTTCCGTGGGCCTTGATGTCCGCCTTCCAAGGTGCGAGCACATCTGGAACATATTTCAAGAACGGAAAAGACTCAACCATGTACCTCCCAGGGACATTCAGAGATGCCGCATAGTGCATGAATTTGAATCGCTGATGTATGACCTGGGCATTGAGCGAATCGATCCGATGTCCGTACGCGACCGAGAAGACGATGCTTGACGTGAAGCGTTCCAGTAGCTTCTCCCAATTGGAAGGGGTTTCGAGGAGCTGACAGCACAGTCGGCTCGATTCAGCGGTCTGGATGGGTTTGTACAGCCTCAATGCCTTTGGAGTCAGAGCTTGGTGAAGCAGCTTCCTTCGAATTGTCCATTCTTTGCCGTACGGCTGCACCAGTATGCTCGCGTTATCCCACAGTATCTCGCCCATGGCCACCATTCTTGGGCGCGATGAGTACTTGGTACTCCGCTTTTCCATCAGCTCCTGGGCGATGACCGGATCCGACAGTACGACTGTTGGCTTCCGTCCTATCCATATCGTGAAGATGGGACCGTACACGCGCGACCACTCCTGGAACTGGAGCCATGGCTGTGACTTCGGAAGTTGTAACTTGTTACCGATGAATGGGAGGGGCGTCGGCCCCGGAGGCATTCTCAGCCATACCCAGACATCGCGGATGAGTGTGAAGGCGGGAATCGCGAGGAGGAGCGAAAGCCACACCGAGATGGGCCACGCAGTTATGAGGGATTCTAAAGCCATGTCAACAATATTCACAGATGAAGATACTGATATTGAAATGTAGGCTTACAGGTTGCTGAGAAGTAGGAAAAGTGCTCTGGTCGCGGATGGAATGATGGAAACCCGAGCTATCGGCAGTTGTGGAAGCCTGCCACGCCTGCAAGGCCTCATGTGGGGTTGATTCACCCATGGTGTTGTTCACTTAACCCGGTAATTTCCACAGTATCGCTGGTCTTGAGGCCCGTCATGTCGGGAACCTATTATTGCATCGTCATCTTTCTCAACAGTTTATACTTATAGAGGGTAGGTTCTCTGACTCCTACAGACTGTGAGATTATGCAACTGCGAAACAATGACTTTGTCAGTCTTGGGGATGGATCTGATGTGGTCGATTGCCGAATCTGCGGGGCCCCCGCGGCCCTACCCTTTCGGGACTCGGGGTTTGGGGAGAGTGCCACCTCCACTCCGCCTCCACAACCTTAATCGCTCCTCATCGCTTCTGTAAAACCGAAAAATCATGCGCCACGACCATGGACCGAGGGACTTCACGCCCGGAAATGTCGGGGCTTCGTGGGGGCTCTCAGACTCCCCTGGTCTTCACTCCCTGTTCCTAGCTACAGTGTGGGTGCTCAATAAGGCACTGTAATATAAGACAGCATACGTCTTGATATTTTGCATGTTCTTACTGTCAACTTCCTCATCCGTACCTCCCGAACAGAATCATGGATAAAACTTGCGAAGGGTTGAAGGTTCTTATCGTGGGGGCTGGCTTCGCCGGCCTAACGGCTGCCATCGAATGCCGCAAGAGGGGGGCAACAGTCATTCTCTTCGAGGGAAACAAGGAGCGGAGACAACTCGGAGACATCATCAGCTTTGGTTCAAACTCTGGACGAATCTTCCGTAGCTGGCCTGGCGTTGCGGAGGCAATGGATCCGATATGCCATCACAGCTCCGGCCTCGACTTTCGTGCATTTGATGATACATTCTTATGTCGACAAAGTTGGGAAGTGGAAGAGTCTTGGGGAAAGAGATTCAATGGCCACCGAGGAGAAATTCACGAAATCGTCTGGAACCATGCCCTGAGCCTGGGTGTGGAGATTCGCTTAGGCAGCAAGGTGTTGGAATACTTCGAGACAGACTCGGAGGCCGGAGTGGTGGTGAACGGCGAAAGGATCAGCGGCGATGTGGTATTAGCTGGTGACGGTGTGAGAAGTCTCGCGCGGACCATTGTTCTGGGGTTCGAGGACAAGCCCAAGTCGAGTGGATATGCCGTCTACAGGGCTTGGATGGGAACTGAGGAGTTGAAGAAGGATCCCGCGACAGCTTGGTTGGCGGATCCTACAGTTGATCATCATGTTGCGTGGCTCGGCCCCGACGTGCATTTCATCGTTGCCACGCTGCAGAAAGGGACAGCGTGCAGCTGGGTGTTAACGCACAAAGTAAGTCCAGCACCCAACAACAAGGGCGTATAACTGACGGGCAACAGGACGATGCCGACGTGGAAGAAAGCTGGTCAGCTCCGGGTTCCGTGGACGAGGCTGTGAAAACAGTGAAAGACTGGGCCCCCGTAGTCCACTCCATCATCCGAAAAACACCCCAAGACAAGCTTGTGGATTGGAAACTTGTCTTTCGAGACCCCTTACCCACCTGGATTAGCCCAAAGTGCCGCATCGCCTTGATGGGAGATGCCGCCCACCCATTTCTTCCGACCTCAATCCAAGGCGCTTCCCAATCAATGGAAGACGGAGTCACTGCTGCGATATGTCTCGAATTGGCTGGAAAGAAGAACGTTCCCGAGGCGATCCGTGCCTACCAGAAGATACGGTATCCTAGAGTTCTCGAGACGCAAAGGACTGGCGTCACGAACCGCGATAACTGGCACAAAGCGGATTTTGACTATGTGAAAAAGCATCCAGAAACTGTCAAACTGCCGAGGCATGCTTGGATCTTGAATTTTGATTGTGCGAAGCATGTATACGATGTGTATGAGGAAACTGTCGAAAGTCTGAGGAGAGACCCGGATTGGAAACCCGACCCCAGGCTATGAACGAGCATTTGATGGGTTCGGAACATAGACATGTTTATTCATTTGGAGGGGTGTCAGTTTGCCGATAGCTAGACGAATAGAATGATTTCATACACTACCACAACCATGAATTTGATTATGACAAGGCCGTCTTTGAAATACTCGCCCCAGCCACCTTTGGAGAACAGCACAGTCCAATGCCCTTGTCTTCAAGAGGAATACGCGCCGATCGAAGGACAATCACGGGGAAGTTCCGACGTTGCGGTTCCCGACTCATGACCAGCCACCCTCAAACTGCCGTTATGCAGCGTGAGTCGATCTATGCTTCGAGACCGTAAACATGGGTATAAACCCCACACTTTTGCGGGGTGAGACAGGTATCAGTGCGCCTACTAGCCTAGGATGTAACCGACATGGGCGTAGGGCAATGGGGAATCCCCAGGTGTGGCGGCAAAATAGGCTCCACATGGGTACCCGTACGATATGTGGAGCAGCTCAATGGACCACGGAGTTGCTGGACATAGTATGGTATGGCCTGGAGCTCTCCTCTCCATGAGTCCCACATCTGCATTTATATACCTGGTAACTTGCATCTCACACAGCCCTATCTGAGAATATAACGACGCCCTCACATTGGATAGGAGAGATAACGCTGCATACCCGGCTGCAGCATATCCAAGAGGGTTATTCAGGGCTACCAAGTGGGAGCTTGCTTCTTCATTTTCAATCATTTGAATCACCTCCGCGTACACAAAGGAATCCCTCAGTTGCGCTTCAGCTCCATATTCTCCAGCGAACCCTACCAGATCAATTCATCACTTTTCGGTCATCATGCCGTTCGGAATACTAGAGTATCGCGGTAATGGCGCGGAGCTCGTTCCTGGGACGGGTAAGCCTTCCATGGTGCGCAAGACACGAAGGTCGATACTAACAGCACTCAGCTGTGATGCATGATCAGTCAGACCTTCCTCCCGACCTTCACGGCTTGCCTACCGAGCAATTGAAACACGGTACTGGAAGGCATTCGCATATCATTCTCGTTCCTCAACCTTCGGATGATCCCAACGATCCGCTCAATGTACAGTTTCCACCCAACCTCACCAGATAAGTTAGCTTACGCACTGCAGTGGCCGCTTTGGAAGAAGGACATGATCCTTTTCATTGTTGGCATGTCGGCGGCCGTAGTTGGTGCCTATGGCCCCATGCTGGGCCCTGGCTTTATTCCAGTCTCAAAAGAGCTCAACATCTCGATCAGTGTGCTCTCCCAATCGACAGCTTGGACCATTCTTGCCATCGGCTTGAGCGTTTTCCTCACCAATCCACTCGCCAAAATTTTCGGAAAGCGACCTGTATACTTCTTCTCCATTGTATTTCTCGCCGTTGTCAACATTTGGGGTGCTACCGCAAATACCTACAAATCCTTCCTGGGCTCTCGGATCATCGGTGGTATCGCGATGGCTCCTTACGAAATCCTGGTTCAAGCTACGATAGGGGATATGTACTTCGTCCACCAGCGCGCGACGCGTATTGCCGTTTGGAACTTGTTTCTCCTTTGCGGTATATCCGGCGCTAGCCTTATATCTGGTTACATCATCGAGGACCTTGGATACAAGTGGACATTCGGAGTCTGCGCTATCTTTTTCGGAATCTGGATGTTCCTCGTCTTTTTCTTTGTGCCCGAAACAGCCTATCACCGCAACAAACCGGGGAGCGTCACTGCAGCCACGGAAAAAACCTTGACATCGGCCGATGAAAAAGGTATGGTGGAAACCAATGAAGCGGTACCATCGTCAACAGACAGCATTCCGAAGAAGAAGCCATACATCAAGACTCTTGCTCTCTTCAGCGGAACCTACACCAAGTCAACTTTGAAGGTTTTTATTCGGCCCTTCATCATGTACTCCTATCCCTCGGTGATCTGGGCGCTGCTCCTCTACGGCACGGTTATTACCTGGATTGTCGTCTTTAGCGTCGTGAATGGCGTCCTGTTCCCAAACGTGTACGGCTTCTCCGTCTCTCAGACTGGCCTTACCGCCTTAGCGCCGTTCATACTCTCCCTGCTTGGCGAAGCTATATCTGGGCCGCTTAATGACTGGATTTGCGTAAAACTGACGGAGAAGAATAAGGGTATCTATGAGCCTGAGTTCCGCTTGCCCCTTATGATAGTCGTTGTCATCCTAGGCACCGTTGGATTCTTCGGGTTTGGAGCAACCGTCGACGCGAAGACTCACTGGACTGGTCCGGTATTGACATACGGCCTTGCCAACATGTGTCTCGCTTTCCTCTCGACCTGCGTGTTTGGCTATCTGCTCGACTGCTACCCTGATCTCGCCGAGGAGGCCTTCGTCGCTATCAATTCGCGCAATCTGCTCACTTTCGGTCTGACTTATTTCGTGAACGACTGGCTTGCGAAGGACGGCCCCTTGAAGGTGTTTGAGGTTCTGGGAGCCGCATTTCTGGGAGTGTCCTTTTTGACAGTTCCACTTTGGATTTGGGGAAAGCGAGTGAGGGGCTGGATCGCGGAAAGGGAGTTCTTGAACTCGTTCATGAAGGACGAATAAGTCTTACACGTGGGTACATAGCTGGGGAAGCTGAGAGCTGGTCTAGGCTTTAGGAGACGGGGTGAAGTGCTGAGTCAAACATCGGACACAAGGTACAATGCAATTTAGACACCTAATACACTATCTACATGTCCAAATGAACGGTTGCCGATTTATGGGTAGTGAGACGTGGTTCCAATGACGTCTATTGCCTACTCCAGTGAGGTCACGGCTCAATCTCCTGTCGTCCGGTACTATGATGGGGGGATATGAGCTTGGTGGGAGAGACCGGCGCAGCTATTTCGGGTTTCTACTAGGAGCTAGCCCTACCCAACATACATGCATGGATTCTCATTCGTTTATCAACTAATATCCGGAATTCCAATGCCGTTGAAAACTGACCAGGTTCAAGGCTGCTCTTTCAGAAGCAGGTATATCGCAACAAGATCACCGGTCACAACACCACAACCGCAGGTAGCTATTCCCGAAAAGTTTCACTGGGAGGCGTTTTACGGCTCGGGAGCCTTGCAATGTAGAAGTTTCCCTAAATAATCATCTTTTCGAGGCTTGCGTGTGGTAACGATGTCCTGCCAATCACTCTAGCCTATATCCAAAATATCAATTCGTTTACCTATGGCGACATGAAGAAGTCTATCAGACCTACATACGCAGAAATATATCTTGAACTTTCCAACGGAGCTCGCTAGGCACAAGGGAAGCTACAAGTGTCTGGCGAAGGCGGATCTCTACTTCAAGTACAGCCTCCTCAACGTGGCAACAATGTCGGATTACCATCTTACACCGAAATCACAATTCCGCTTTCCCCTTTTCCTCTAGCCGGCCGAAAAACCCTTGAGGAAGAACTTCAACCTCACGGTCTCCACGGGATTACAATTCTGGGGAGAACACATGCAGGAAGCGGTACAACCCTCAGGTGTTGGTGGAAGAGGCAGAGCGATTAGGTGCGGTGCGCTCGGGAGTCTCTTGCGGGAATTCTGCATCCATCTCAGATAAAATGCAAGCAGTAATTGTGGAGAATGCTGTATGCGTATGCCACTAGAATTTATATCAGGCTTTGGGCCCACTGGGAGGTGTTCCTTCCCTTCTAGCACGTGGCTCCCTCATGTTTGCGTCCTAGGTCGACCGTACGCGGGTATCATATTTCCATGACGTCAATATTCGCGACCTCGGGAATACATGAGATACAACTCTTCTTGCTTGTGATTACATGTCCACAACACCCTTCTACGGAACAACGCGCACCATGACTTCCCACCCTGTCTTTCCCCGGGTCGCCGATGCAGGAGTCCCGTCCATAGGTCATCGCTCAGTATATGGACAAGTTATCTTCTGCAAAGCCTATCTATTAGAAAGATTCCCTGGCCCCACGAGTGCCTTGCCTGCCTGATGTGAGAGGCCACAATGCTTGAATGCCATGATGAGGCGACACTGATACTCCTCTAGTCACTTGCGTCCACCCACCGCTTCAACGCGTATGCCACAAACCAGCCTTTCACCGATCCCTTCCGTGAGGACAGCTATCACAACAACCTTAGGCAGTTAAGAGCAACGCGTCTACCCCACTAGCGCGTCTATCCACTGTTTGTGTGCAGGCTTGGCTCTCGCTCACCTTCCTATAACACCGACGCGGACGACGGCAATCGTTTCCAAACAACAACCACCCTCCAAGGCCTGGGGCTCGACATGCAACACTCCTACAGCCTCCCTCTCGCAATCTCGCAGCTTCGGTTGGAAGACCATGCCGACAATACTCACCTCCACACGATGTCAACTACTGTGCCGCCGGCGGCCGGTGCAGGCGCGCAATACACTCCGTCCACTCCAGAGCAAAAGAATCTACTTAACCTCCCAAATGAAATTCTAGCCGAAATAGTTTCACGACTCTCCCGAAAAGATCTCCTCAATCTGAAATGTGTTTGTCGGACACTTCGATCTTTCGCCCAGGACGCGTTATTGAGCCCTGTCATGGTTTCAAGCAATAAAACGATGGTAAATCTACTGAAAGAGTTTGCATTCAGTCCATCTTTGGGTAATCGCGTCTTCAAAGTGAACTTGGCGGGTTATTTTGCTCACCGTACGTTCACCAGGGGCTATTTACAAAGATTTCGGATCTCCGATGACCCCTTGCTAGACTCGTTGCCATTCAACTATGGAGAATTGCTGGGTTCAACCTTGAATTCACGGGACCTAGACGAATTTCTTCTCCTGAAGCACTCAGTGCTTGACTGGTGGGGAGAGTGCCGTTCCTTCTTGTTGGGCCTCCTGATTATGGTATGCCCCAATTTACATGAGCTGTCTTTACACCTATCACTGCTCTCCAAGGCACGAAGTGGAGTGCCCATGCTCACGTCAGGCCTTCCTTTATTTCCGCGACCACTGATGAGGCTGTTAGGGGACAGGATAACAACGCTTACCTTGCTATACGACCTGGGGCTTGGACTAGAACCGCCATCCACGGATATGCATGGATTTGTCAACCTCAAACGTCTCCGCACGATCCCTGACGTCCTCTTTGGAGGTTCTTTACCCAAGAGTCTCAAGCACATTCAGCTCCTCTCATGCAACCAACGACTTCTGCATTTCCTTGTCCAAGAAAAGATTAAAGATCTCCCAGCGCTCAGAAAACTGGACTTCTTCTTCGAATACAGCCTCACCTGCGCTCTTTGCCTTGCCACAACTGGAATGTCAAAGCAGATCGCGAATCTCTCCGATTTCGTGGTGGATGTAGTGCAACGCGGAGTTTCCATCAAGGCGGTCACAGAATACGAGCATCATGGGAAATCCTTCTCCTATACCTACGATAGCCGGCAGCTTCTCGCAGAGCTTTCTATCCTCGAGCTACTCACCCCGGGCGAGATCTACTTCGCTGCTTCTATGAAGGTAACACCAAGCGAGGTCGTCGCCAGAGACAAACGGGGACCTCGACGAAGGTCACCGTTCGAGATCCGCATGCTGAGGCAATGCCGGGGTATGCCGCTCGCCCTCTTCACGTCCCCAACGTTCAATCAGCAGGCTTGGATTGGGGTCCGGTTCTTCACGGCCAGCAAGACAAGGTGGGGGGAGGAAAAGAAGGAGGTGAGGTCCGAAGGGAAGAAAAGGAAGAAAGGGTTCCCTAGCAGTAGGCCAGTTCCGCCTCAGGGCCTAACCGTGCCAATCGTCTCGACTGAGCTGTTTGACGCGGTTGCATGGCGCAATGTCACCTTCTTCACAGCGTAGGATACTGGGTCGGATGAACCTGGAACAGTCTCTGGGGTCACGATAGGCGATGTAACGCCTCTGTAGGTTTTTAAAAATTCACGAGGTGTATTTGTGCAAATAGCACAGAGCTATCCTAGCTCGATGATTCGCTCTACTGTCTTTGTAGAACACCCTGGAGCCTAGCTGAAGACGGCATGTATTGTCTGCGTACAATACCAGCATGCTTGCATTGGGACGCAAATGGTGTTGCAGTAATGAAGGGATCCTGGTGGGAGAGCAAGTGCACCTACCGGCAGCTATTGGGGGCACGGGCAGGCGAGCATGTACGGCATACGGCATACCCGTCAGTACGCTTAGTAGAGGAAGTGTTTGGATCGAAAACGCACACTAGAACGCCACTATGATACCAGTAAAGCAATGCAAATCATGTAAAACTTCATTCATTCATACCTCTGTTATTGCAGTCCCTTCCCTTGCTGCAACATCTCCATCCCTTGCTCCTTCAGCTTAAACTTCTGGATCTTCCCACTGGCTGTCTTCGGATAATTGTCAACCCAAAAGACATACTTGGGCACTACGCGAAGTCAGTCGCAGGTATAGTCCGCAAAGACAGGGATATACTCACCCAAATGATGACTCAGCCTGGTCTTCACCCATCCTCGAACCTCGTCCGCCGTGAGCTTCTCATCCAGTTTCTCATGGGGTATCACAAATGCAGCCACACACTCGCCATACCGCTCGTCCGGAAGCCCCACAACGCTCACCTCTTGAACCTTGGGATGCGCAAAGAGGCAATTCTCCACCTCGAGAGGGTGGATATTCTCACCACCTCGGATGATAAGATCTTTTATACGTCCGGTGATCTTGACATAACCCTCTGCGTCCATAGATGCCTCGTCTCCGGTGTGCATCCACATCTCGCCATTTTGGTCCGGCACAAGGACTTCGCGAGTCCGAGCCTCGTCGTTCCAGTATCCCTTCATTAGAAGGTACCCTGATACTGCCAATTCACCTCGTTGACCGACTTCAAGTGTTTGTGACCGGTCGGCCGGATTAACTACCTTGGCTTTCACGTGGGGGAGCAGTCTTCCTACGCTATCGATCCTCTTGTCGATGGGGTCATCCGTAGTGGTCATCAGACTTACTGGCGACGTCTCCGTCATACCGTAGCAAATGGTCAACTCTGTAAGGTTCATGATCTTGTGCAGCTTCCGCATAAGCTCTGCCGGGATTGACGACCCCGCTGCTATCCCGGTGCGCAGATGTTTTAGGCCTTCCGTTGATATGCGGCCGCTAGCAAGGAGTTCCAACTCTTCTACAAACATTGTGGGCACTCCGTACAACGCTGTGCAGTTGTAATCTCGGACTGACTCCAGGGTAGCCAAAGCATTGAAGGCTTCACTTGGAAAGACGATTGTCGAGCCGTGAGTGGCTGTGGCCATGTATCCTAGGATACAACCGAAGCAACTACATGTCCATTAGCCTTGCATTCGGCATGTGATAGCACTAGGAGACTGCAGTACTGGAACAACGGAGGTGGACAACACACGACATCGTTTGGCGTAAGCAGCATCCTGTCTCCGATGCTGTTGCCATTATTCAGTATAGAGCGGTGCGACAGGCAGGCGGCTTTCGGCATGGATGTCGTGCCGGAGGTGAATTGGATGTTGACAATGTTGTGAGGGTCTAGTCGTTGGTCGGGAAGCGCCTGGCCGGCTCCTCCATCCTCAAGCACCTTTTCATACTGTGTAGTGCTTCTGTACGCCTCTGTTGCTACTCGTCCGTCGGAATTGTTTACTAATATGATCTTCTGAAGTGACGGGACAAGCTCCGATTCGAGCTTCGAGCCTTCAAGGTCGGGTACCAGATGTGACAGTAGCGGAATGTTGGAACGTGGTGCTTTGCGTGGCAGATTCGTCTCCGCACCAATTATCAAGTGGGAAGCAGTTAGGTGGTTAAGAGCCGATAGGACCTGGGGTGCATTGAATGCAGGATTCAGGGGCACCTGTATATAGATTTTTCAGTATCCCAGAACGCTACAATCCGAAGATCTGGGCAAGGACATACCAGTATAGCGCCAAGCTTAAAAAGTGCGTATGTGGCCTGCAAATCCTCTGAGCCATGGCTTTACGTTCGTAGTCTACGCTACCGTACAGTCGCATACTCGATGTTATTCCCAAGGGAGACAGCAACACGGTCTCCCTTCTTCACGCCCAGTTTCTGAAGGCCCCGTGCCAATGCATTGGAGTCCCGATCAAGAGCGTCGTACGTCAATCGTTTGCGTTGATGGTGGGATATGACACTGGAGTGTGTAAGTCTTCGGGCTTGGTGTACTGCGCCTGCTGGTTGCAATGCAACTCACGCATTCACGTCCCCATATTGTCGGACAACACCAGCAAAATGCTCAGGAACTGTCTGCTCAAGTAAAGGGGGCTACCACAAGGTATCAGAAGGCTTCCTGCGGCTATTCCGCGTTTCACACACCTTCGTGGGGCCAACACTGAACGCCTGCGTCGAAAGGCCGCGCAGTGAGATGGGGCAGAAAGGAACGCGCCATAGTGAACGAGATATTACTGTGCGCTGCATTGTTCTGCAGAACGCAGGGGAACGAACGACTTGGAAAAGCCAGCCATCTTGCAAGAAGAGGAAGCTCTAAGGACGTGATGGCTGGCGGCTGGACGCGGAAGTAGACCGTTAGCCGCGGTTGAAACGCGGGGTAGCTCTGTGGGGTTGGTGCTTGGCAGTGAATTCAGGGGTGTGTAGTACTCCGTAGGTGGCCAGCACGTTCGGAGTATAGTTATATTCAAGGTATCAAAGACTACCTTAAATATATTTCTGTACTGTGATTTTTTTAACGGAACGGTTTGCGCTCATCAAGTAGAATAGCTGCCAAGGCTTTGATTTCTAGTGGTTGGCTCGTTTTCCAAACGAAATGCAGACGTCTAAGCGATAGGGAGGTCTTTCTCAATGGTTACCTCGCGGTAGATGTCCTAGACCACAATGAATCCCTCTTTCCCATCACCAACGCCATCATCACTCTCTCCTCCACTGCCCCTCCGCACCCACAAACCCAACGCCATCACACCCACCCCCCTCATCAAAATCCACCCCCAACACCCTACTGGCCACCCACTGCGCAGTCCTGGCATGCAAATCCTCCTCCCCTTTACCAGACCCCTCGTCCCCGGCAAAAACCTCACTCCTCCCCTCTGCCAGCGCCTGAAACACGACCAACTGGTCCCTCAAGTACTTATCCACGCACCCACCCTTCGCAACCTCAGATATAAGCTCCTTTGTCGCCTTCTCGACCATCATCTTGATAGTCGTCTCTTCCCGTCCGGCCTTCACAGCTCGACCGTCATGTAACCAGTCCCGCCCCAACTTCATTCCCGTCGAAGTCGTCGCCACGAGGAGGAGATAGTAGCGTCTCGAGTGTCCGGAATCTTCGAACCTGACTTCCACATCCTGCTCCCATTCCACCTCACGCTCTTCAAATATCTTTTTTCGATGCTTCCACACAACCGTCTCAAGAACTTGTCTACACTGACTCTCGCAGGCCTTCGGTGCAAGGAAAGTAGCGGTCAAATGCACTACCTCGCCCCTCTCAGCAAGTCGAAACCCAGGCAATGTACCCCTCAGAGGCGTAATCTCGTACTCCACACATCCAAGCTCCATTTTCGTCCCAGCACCCACATGCGCCCATCCCCTCTCCTTCAACCGTGCCTTGATCCTCGGCACACCAATCTTCTCCAACACGGGCAGAAGAACTTGCTCGACATAATCAAATGACGGTGACGCCGATATATTTGTGCCGCCCGTGATCCTCAGCGTAATCCTCTCATGTGGGGTTCTTGCAAAGAGGACGTAAGGCAGCAAAGCTTGGAAGACGAGATTGGTAGCTCCCGGCGTTGTCTGTCGAACATCCCATACCGGCCCGTTGGCGTCGTTGGCGTCCAAAGCCAGTTTGCTCATCGCCTTTTGCAGCCCAGCTTCACCTTCTACTTGACCGCCACCGTCAACCCTCGGCACAAAAAGTAATTCCTTGCTCTTTAGTGCAAGGCCAGTGACCTGGGCCTCTGCCGCTCGCGCCAGCCACTCCACACCCTTCATGTGCTGGACTTTGAGGCCGCCGCCTCGATATCTGTTGCCCCGGATGTTGGTGATGTGGATAGGTATGCGAGTGAGTGCGGAGAGGCCAATGGCTAGACGGAGGATTTGGCCGCCTCCTTCCAGTGTTGTACCTTCGATGTGGACAGGACGAGGGGCGTCCAATGAGTCCATGTGTGAGCACAAGCTCATGACGCGTGTCGACAAAGGGTGCTTTGGGGTAAAGTAGAGGTGATGTGCAAGTTGAAACTGACTACGTGTTGTGGAAGTAGAGAGTTTTGACAGCATCACCGAATGAAGGAGTGCGTCTGACGAAATGGGTGGAATGGAAAGGAAACTCGTGCTCGAATTGATCGATGCCCAGCGAGGCTGAATCAGACCGAAATGGAACAATGACTTAGAAAAGGTCGTGGTTGGGTATATACTCTTTTGGACGATGAGTCGAAATGTGCCTTCTCTGCGTCAGCCTTGAGTCACATACCAGATCATGTGTGGCTGTGCACGGTCCGCGCCTCCTTCCCATCAACGATACTCGTTGGAAGCGCGCACATGGAAATGGCCTAATAAACCAGAAAGGCTGGTAAATGCTGGAGACCGGGTCTAACAAGCAAATGGCTAGGCCAAGGAGGTACGATTTCAAAGGGTATATAGTAAATGGGTATCGACATGCGAATGGTACTTGCGGGAGCTGCAGCTCACGCCGGATGCGACCTTTCCACCGCCATGATGCTCATTTCCACAGGCCGTATGGTCCGTTGGTGTTTTTCCAGAGCTTTATCGTGCCGTCTTCGCTTCCAGTGGCATACAGCTTTCCATCGGGCGAAAAGCTGATGGACCAGATTGGGCCGTGGTGACCTTTGTTCGTCTCTAAAATGGAGATCAGTAACTCTCCAAAGCTGATGTCCATGCCACATTAGGAGACATACCCAGTTCCTTTTCCTCGTTGAAATCCCAGACTCTCACCCATGTGTCGTTCTGGGTACCACCACCAGTGACAAACTTGCCTTCCGCGCTATGCACCGCAACACTCGCAAGCTCGTAGGGCGTCTTGATGCTCTTGATCAACGAACTCGGGGACGTGCTGTTGAAGAAATAAACACTCTTTCCAGCGGCGACGCTGAGCAGGCCATCTGAAGAAGTGTTATCCAGCTCACAACTGCCGACAATACCTTCCACCGTATACTCTCCAATGGGCGATTGCGTCCGGAGATCCCACCACCTGATTTTCTTGTCCTCTGCCGCCGTTATCACGATACTGGGGTCTGCTGTCCATACTATCGACTTTATGGTGCCCTCATGCACACCGGATCCAATCTCATAGCATCCTGATGCAGACGTCGAAGGTTCGCAGGATAGGTCGAAGATGCGGAGCTTCTTTTCCATTCCTCCTGTAGCGAGGATCTGCGGACGCGGCTGGTTCGGAAGGGCAACGGCTCGAACGATGTGGTTATGCGTGAGGGTATGGAGCGCTTCGCCGGTATGAGTATCCCAGACTTTCCTGCGTCCGTTGTCAGCGTTGAGCACCACAGGTATCAAGTAGTGCTTACGCTGAAAAGTCGGCGGATGCAGTGGCCGCAAGAGTGGCGTCTTGTGAGAGTCTAGCCTGCCATACTGCGCCCTTATGACCGAGGAACGTCCCTATCCTATCCAAGTTTAGCTATCGCACCTGGGATGCGGTCGTCCTACATACCAATCTCCAGTTATACCGTCCCGCATCATAGGGTTCCCATCTGGTAAAGTCAATTGACTATCCGGTGCACGACAATCACTTCAATGCGCACCCTTGCAGGAGGAGATGAGGTAGTATTGGTCGTCTTCAACGATGCCCGAGAAATGGATGTTTGGGACAGGTCGTGAATGGCCGTGGCACGTAAGAGGAACGACTTTCGTGGTTTCTTTATTTCTTAGTACACTCTCATCACAAATATGGTTTGAGTACATCAAACATACCCATCTCGGAAACGACTAGGATGGCCAAGGGGAAGTTTAGGGGGGAAGGAGAGGTATGCCGATTTGGCTGATGAGAAACTCAGCCAGTGACGTGAAGAGATTACGAGAATGGAAAACGAAGGAAACGGTCATGCAAAGGAGGTCATAAAGTCATAGGTGATGTACCAAACCACATGGTGGAGCTTTGCTGGTTGAAACCGCAGCGATGAGTTGACGGTCAAAAGTTTATCCTGACCGATCTGAAAGGCTGCCCCACGTTCACGGACTTAAGAAGCACTAACTGCATTAGGCAGCGAGGATGCTGTTACGTCGATGCCGTTAACAGCTCCTGTTTTTTTGACAAGATGTGGCTCTCCACAATGTCATTTCCACGCATGCTGAAGCGATCAATTGGAAGCTGCGAATACTCAGGAATTATGGAACATAGCAATTCGACGTTGGTGGCACCGCTATTGGAACATTCACCCGACCTCATGTAATGAACACTTTCTAAGCATGACGTAACCAATCTAGCTTGCACCCTTCTTCAACCACCCCTCAAGCGCCATGATGCGGTGATAGCTCCGTCTAGAGTCGTAGGCAGTAACATATCTTCCATACAAGCTTCAATTACCACCACATCTTCTGCTCCCTGCGATTGATTGAGAAATCATGTTCAAACCCACCTCATCTCTCCGGCATCTTGGGCGTACAAACATCACTAACACACGTCACTCCAGCCTTCGAACCCTCGCATACATCCGTAGTTGTAGCTCGCCCATCCGCCCATTCCATACTTCCCCCAGCCATAACACCGGTAAAGGACCTCATCCTTCACACTCAACGCCCAGGTATCCCGAGGAGCCGCAACCTACCCATACAAACACGGCACAGAAGATAGCCACTGGCTCAATCCCCAGGTTCGTCGTGTCGGAGGTCGGAAACCGCAAAGATGCGCCGCCGAAGCACGAGATGGTGTATTTCAATGGGCTGCTGAATACGGAGCGTCGCTTCGGGGATTTCAGGACGGTGCTACATACGGGGCTTTATTCGCAGGTAGTGGCTATGGAAGTTCCCGTTGATGGAGAAATCGGAGATGAGGTATGCGCCCTATGCTGCTGTTCAAGTTCGTGGGTTTTCATAAGTTAATGTCTCCCACAGGTTCATACGGTGGACCAAGTCTTACTCTTCACGGCTGGTGAGGGTTTGGCCACCGTCGGAGGAAAGGATCAAGAAGTCCGTGCGGGTGATGTCGTTGTCGTCCCGGCCGGAACCCAGCATCAGTTCGTCACCGTAGGGGACAAGCCACTCGAGTTGGTGACAATATATTCGCCGGCGGAACACGCGCCGAACACGGTGCATAAGACGAAGGAAGAGGGTGACCAGGCGGAAAAGGAAGGTATTGACGAAGCGCCGGCTTGGAGTCGCAAGACCAAGAAGGATAACGAAGCTGCGGGCCTAGTGAGACTGGATGGGACGTATGATAACGAGTAGACGAGAGTATGGATGTCGTGTTTATTATCTAGTTAAACATGTATGATCATAGGCGTTTTGGTAATATGCCTGAGTTCGACTGTTATTTATCGCCGGAGCTAAATGATCAGCTATGAGGGAGGAGTGTACTGTACAAGTGCATAACTAAACCGACCGCGCGAGCCACATCAATACTTCAGGCGCGCCAACATTTGTCGCTGAATGGTATGATCTCTAGGTATAGGGTATGGTGTGTACAAAGCCGCGAATCCGGGACTCCGATCGAGGCAAATGGAATCGTTATGTAAGGAAGTCAGACAACCAATCGTCCCCGTATCACGCTCGCTTCAAATCCGCTCAACGAAAGGAAAATCATGGAGCCTCTCGCAGAGTTCTACGAGGGATTGTTTTTGCTCACATCCTGTTCGTCTCCCTCTTCATCTTCCTGTTCCAGATCTTGCTCCAATTCCTCTTCAACAGTGAGCCTGGGGTCTTTGATCTGAGGTCCGGCGTCGCCACCGCTCAGCTGCCATTCCATGAGTTTGCTGAATGCACCGTTAGGGTTGTTCGCGAGCTCCTGATACGTTCCTTCTTCAGCTACGTGGCCGTCGGCACTCAGGCAAATGATACGGTCCGCACGCTTTATGGTCGACAATCGGTGCGCTATGCTAATGGTGGTGTTACGTTCCTGGAGGAGCTTTCCGAGGGCTTGGTTGACGAGAGTTTCAGATTCTGCGTCGAGAGCACCTGCACAGATGGTTAGCGTCTGGTCAACACGGTGAGGCTATCGAGAAACTTACTCGTTGCCTCATCAAGGATAAGAATGTCCGGCTTCTTGATAAGGGCTCGTGCAATGGCAATGCGTTGCTTCTGGCCACCTGATAGCTGAGTACCCCTTGCGCCTACATGCGTCTCGAGACCGTCGGGCTGCAGATGATTAGTCTCGAGACTCCTGTTCATATTACTGCCATGGCACTTACGAAGTCACTGATGAATTGGCAGTTGGCTTTACGAGCGGCGGCGACAATCTCGGTTCGCGTTGCATTTGGAACACCATAGGCGATATTCTCTGCGATGGTTCCAGAGAAAAGGACTGGTTCCTGGCCGACGAACCCAATCTTTCTTCTCAACTGCTTTGCATTTAGCTTTGTGATGTCGCGTCCATCAATCGTAATGGTTCCCGCCGTCGGAGCGTAGAACCGAAGCAATAAGCTCGCCACTGTCGACTTGCCGGCACCGCTAGGGGCAACAATTGCGACATTCATGCCTTGCTCTATCTTGAAATTCAAGTCCTTGAAGATGGTGACGGCTGGACGAGTTGGATAGCTGAATGACACGTTTTTGAACTCAATTGGGCCGCGCAAGGATTTCACGGGCTCGCCAACTGTAGGATGAATGGTTGGATTACGATCCTGCAGTTCGAAGAGGCGGCTTGCAGCACCAACTCCTTTCATCATTTCGCCCCAGAAGCCGGAGAGTCCCACCATGCTTGAGCCAGCATATGCCGTGTACATCAAAAAGGACGATAGCTCTCCAATCGTGATAGCTCCGGACTTTACCATGCTTCCTCCGGCATATAGGACAGCGATGACCGTCAAGTTTCCCATCAATCCGGTGGATCCGTAGAAAGAGGCCGCCACCATTGCTTCCTTTTTGCCGAGTTCGAATATCCTTTTCACTTGGCGATTGTAACGTGCGGTTTCCTGGATTTCGGCTGCGAATGCCTGGCTCGTTCTCACGTTGCCCAACCGCTCTTCTGCTACCTTTGTGAGAGTGCCTAGGTTCTTCTGGATCTTCCGGCTGATATTTCGCAAAGCTCGCCCCGAGAAGAACGCGACCACCGCGACGGGAGGGCCAATCAAAGCCAGAATCCCCGTGAGCTTGAGACTGACCCAGCCCATCATTGCGAAGCCCGCGGCACCGGTAACCAGGGAGCGAAGCCCGTCAGACAAGTTCTGTGTGATGCTCTTGCCAACGATGATTGTATCCGATCCTAGACGAGAGATGAGATCTCCTACTCTGTTCGCGTCGAAGAACTCGGCATTTTGAATGAAGGTCTTGCGATACAGCTTGGAACGCAACCTGGCGACAATGCGCTCGCCAACGATGCGCAGAATGATGATACGTCCGAAATTAGCCGCTGCTCCCGTCGCTAGAACGCCAGCCAAAGCAATATAGAAAGTCGTGATGTCCAGGCCGAAAAGCATCTCTTGGGATCCTTCGGACTGTGTCGCAATATCCAGTATCTTGCCGATGGAGAACGGAACAGACATAGAGACCGCTGATGAAACGAGCAGGAATACAAACGCGACGGATAGCGTCTTCATCTCCGGCCGTGCAATCTTGATCAACCTCCAGATTTCTTTCATTCCGCCTGGCTTTCCAGATCCACCTTTGCTCAACTTTGCGCTCAGATTGACCTTCGCAGCTGCAGAGGCCTTCTCTGACTTTGTAAATTCCTGACCTTCGTCCTCGGGCTCATGATCCTCGATATCGATGACGCCTTTCTCTTTCATTTCCTCTTTGTATGACTTGGCAGCCTTCAAGATGACAGTTTCATTCCCGCCCGCCTGTGACAATGCCCTTGAGAAGCTGAATTGCCGTAAAGGAGGGGACTGTGCTCGTGACGCGATCGAAGACGGACAGGTAAGGCGGCCGAGCAGAAGGTCGCGATTCGGGTGCGAATGACGGTGGGAATTCATCGAACGCGCAGTAAAGGACCTCCATTGTGTTGACACAGTCTGACTCTGGCCTGATATCTTAGAGAATAGAGCTCCATTCCCAGGACTGTGCCAGGCTTTGGCGGAGGAAGGAAGGATGATGCGCATGTCTGCGCGGAGGGCAGTCGGCAGCTCGCTTGCTGTTCACCGAGGACGGGACGATGATACTAAGGACGAAGTCAAACTCGACATGGCGAAGAAATCTATGTAGGGAGGTGTGTTCCGGATCTGTTGGTTGGCTGTGATGGAGTCGCGCAACCCAAGTGTCAAGGTAAAAGTTCTCGGGCTCGGGATGACGAAACCACACCATTGATGCGGCCCGCCGGCGTCGGCGCCCCAAAGCTTCAACGCGGTGCAGGTGCCTGGCCTTGCCGGCACGTGACTAAGCTGATTCGTACCCTCATAGCCTTTTTGAGCGGCTACTCCAGTCACGATTGTCCGTAGCAGCATACAGACATTGCATTCGTTCGTCGCTCGTTTCAGCATACTTCTCCCTTTTGGCCCAAGAGTCGCTCATTGCAGTACATCGGACAATAGCTGGCTCGCAATACCCTGGAACACCGTTTTAGAGAGAAGATTTACATCCTGTGCCAGGATCTCACTCGTGCAAGGCCCATTCAGGTTCCTTTGGCGCGTCGTCGAATTCCCTTCACACCCATTGCCCATTGATAGACTCGCGCCAGGCCATGACTGTGCCACGCCCCTGAAGCGTATCCTGCCTTGACCTCTGAACACAGCAGGACAACATGGAGCACTATGCTCCTCACCATAGGGCTTCGTTTGAGGGTTACTACTCCAAGTTCGACCTACCATCTGGCGCCCACATAGCGCTCATAATCTGCAGCGTCCCTGATGCGACAGATCTCCCACCCCATATGGTGTCCTTTACGTACTATTCGAAATCAGGCTCCGCCATATACCACCGCGAGCATTTTGTATCCGAAATACACCGTGTAACAATTGATACACGCTCGCATGCATTCGAATTGCGAGTACCGGGAATGGGATCCATGAGATGTGAAGCGAATTCTAAGACGACATACGACCTGACAAGCAATGAGTGGAAGCTAAGGGCAGAGACCGTCGGACGGTTACCATGGGGTTTGCGATCCGAAACACCAGAGGGATGGATGGTTCGGCTCCCGTTGCCACTGCACTGGCACGTACATTCACTCTGTTCGCCCTGCATCACTGAAGTCGATATACCCTCTTTCGAAATCGCAGCCGAGGACCACTCAGGGAAAGCTGCTGTACACCAAGAGAAGAACTGGGCCGACAGTTTTCCCTCGGCGCATATGTGGGTGCAGGCGCACTCTCCCTCCACTGGTTCAACTATATGTCTCGCCGGAGGAGAAATATTAGGAACAACAGCATACTTGCTTGGTTATCGATCTACGGGCGTCGACATCAGTTTTCGCCCACCTCTATCACTTGCGATATTTGGTTGGTCGCCATTCATGTCCGTAGATGTAGACTGGGAAAACCGCGCGTTTTCCCTCTGTGTGAGTGGTCTTTGGAGGAAGATTGAAGTCCGGGCAAAGGCGCCGAGAGACAAAGGGTGGTTTGGTATCTCTGCTCCTTTCTCAGAGGGCTTCCGAAAGAACTTCTTGACCGAGAGCTTTCTGGCCAATGTCGATGTCCGTGTTTTCGAACGGAGCTGGTTGGGTCGTTGGAAAGAAGTGAAACATGAGACATTCCAGAACGGTAGCCTTGAGTTTGGAGGTGCCTATTTTCCGCACAGAGGCGAAAAGGAGGATTAACGCATGCCACCTCGTCCCTGCTTCGTGAGGGACCGCAGACATGCCTGTGAGAGACGGTTGACAACCTCGCAAGCGTCCCGGTGCAAGCACTCACGGCTGTGACGGATAGCCTCTCACACATCCACTTAAGAACATTATCGCCTTGACTTCAGGTTTCTTGAACGGCCATTCGGGGACAACGCATTGTACCAATGCACCTATTCAACATGTGCGTTTAACTTCGCCATCAGTCTCCTCGGGACTCAGAGCGTAGTCCTTCATCTTAGTCACTGTCCCTTGAAGAACTTTGGTCATGCTCGCAAGCTCGTATTTCAGCCAATAACTCGTAGGACTGGCTCTAACAGAAAATCTAGCAACGGAGGCCCTGTCACGATACAGGTTAACTCACCTCCTTTGTGTTGAAGACAACCGGGTTTTTGAACCTTTTTATGCGCAGCTAGCCTCTAACGCTAACTAAATCCCTTCTCCTGGTTTTACACGTCTGTTAACATCTATTGCGTAACAAAGAGTAGGACTATGTGGAGAAGAACGGCCAGGTAAAGGATGAGATGGGCGTTATGGTTGTCCGCCAGACTTGGGTGAGGGCGTAGATGTTGTTGCATGACGTATATTTGAGTGATCTGTCGATTCTATTTCGTTATATTTCATACAGTATCACCTGATTCTAAGCGGATTGCCCCTATTATCATTATATTTTTCTCACGACTGCTCCATTGTCCTTCCAGTATTCGATCAACATGAGCATACGTCTTACGTTCTCTGGGTGCATGGTTTGAGGAAGGCCGTGGTCTAGAAATCCAGTTCCATCGCAGCTGTGAGGCATTCTTCGGAGCTGGATTACCAATATTCTCATTTAGACTTTTGCACACCGTAACCACAGCAATAGACAGCCATCCAGATCTTACAACCCGTAACATAAGAGAGTGGGATGGTCCAAGCGACTGGCAGCAGACTTCCAAGAGCCAGTACTGAGCACTGTGTTCTGTACGAGTATACCGCGACCTAGTACAGGAGGAAAATATCCTGATGCTTGGAGCCGTTTCCGTATGACTGGATTTGTGGTATTGCTCACAGTTGTTATTACGGGCCTAGACGTGACGAGATGCGTTACATGATATCTGAATACTTTGCTGTATTTTTGTATGGTGGGCCATGCATGATGCTTACTTTAATACGCATCCCAGAAGAAGGAACAGTGATTCATTCATCTTATAAAACACAGACTCGTGCTATGTAAGGTGGAAGCAAATGAGCCTCAAACCCGGTCATATTGAAGACTCGCAATACTCCGACGGGAGCAGGAAGAAACCTCCGTTGAACTGACTTATGAAAGTTAATATCCTTACTCCGTGTCCATGCCCTGCCCCATGAGAACCGCGGATTTCGTCCCTTCTCATATTTGCTCCCATTCATCCGCAACGGCCTAGTTTCTTCGCATGGATATCTCCATCTTGAGTATCACAGAAAATGGATGTTAATCGGGTCCATTGATTGAAGAACTCTGGTTAGCATATCATCAGTCGCCCCTGTCGGATTATCGTCCTGGGATCCGTTGGCCGCCGGTCCTGTCGTTCGTGCCCGCCGTATACTTTCTAGTCTCATTAGGGTTCCCTCCCTCTTTGCGGCGAAAACATCTTGCCGGTAGTCTGATCTGGCCACGAAAGCGCGTAATCCATCGTCGATAGTGCTGAGCAGTGAAGCGCGAAGCGACACAAACTTCCCCTCTGGCTCCCTCAGGAGCTTTGGAAGTGTTGTCTCATGCTTGGATTTCCATGCCGAGAGTGCCTGATCAACCTCTCGAATTGCAGCCCACGATACTCGCCCCATCAAGCCGTTGTAGCCCCTCGCCTGGGGATATTCGCTGACGGTTCTTTTGTTCTCTCCCCAGTCGTAGTCTTCAATGGGTTGCTCAACATATTTGTTCCAATATGCGTCGCGATCGGTAACTGGAGTAAATATGCTAAACTGTGGGCCGGTAGGGTCAATGACCCAGGTCTTCTGGCTGTCGCAAGCAGTGACAAGGACAATGTTGTGTTTTCGTCCGTCCCTGATGGCTTGGGGAACGCCTCCGCGGCCGCCCTTCGTATCGGAACCTTAACCTTTACGGTGGGCTCATGTACTTTGACTCGTGTCTCTTTTGTTAGTGTTAGCGGAGCTCTTGCTTGACATTGTTGCCTTCGCGTGCAGGAACACTTATTTGTCAGTAGCTCTTTGAGGAAGTCGTGGAAGTAGCCGATGGCTTCAGTGCACATCTCTGCGCATAGAATCATCTTCTTGTCTGACTCATCGTGGACCAGGTTTTTTGGAAAGGCGTAGAAATATTGGCCAGGCTGTCTGGGCCCATCGATGATCACGAGCTCATCGCCTTTGTCCTCGACATTGACGACGTTACTGGCGTATGTGCGCTCTGCAAAGATCAAGAAGACGTCCTGAAGCAGCGTTCCGGCGCGTGTCACGATTCTGTCCAGATCCCCTTCGCTGCAATCTTTTCTATGGGTCTTCCAGTCGCTTCTTTGACAGTCCCTGTTGCAATACCAAGCGTTCTTGCAGCGGCCGCACTGCAATGAAGCGCTTTTGCCACATGTAGCGCAGCTGTGTTCTGTATTGTCACTCATTGTAACGTGGAGTCGAGTTTGCGAAGCTGGTGCGCGTTGTGGGTAAGGATTGAAGAAGGTCGAGTGCGGCGAGGCTGGGTTTAAATCAGGTAGGAGTGAAGGCGATTCCGCCGTTTGCTGGCTTCACCGACCTGGATAAGTGTGGGTCTTGTTGTATTTGGTTAGCACCACGAGGCGTCGGCGGTGAAAGGCAATAGCTCGGTGAGAGTCGCCAGTAAATCTGAAGACATTGGATTTCAGAACCATTCTGCAGGCCTTAGAAGCGGCGTGCTCTCCCACTGCGAGTCAAATACGACAATGTTGGAACTATGGCTGTTATAGAAACAAGTGCGGTGTGCCTGTCCTGTCCTCAAACCCATCTCACTCATTGCTTCCACGATGAGACAAAAGAGATCTAACGAGAGTGTAGCTTTGAAGCAGAGGAACTCAAACATGGAATGGCCCAGAGACGACCTTCCGTACTTCAGCATTGAACTTTCTGATTCAACACCTTTGAACCCGTCATACACTTAGTTGATTGATTACGAGATAGGAGTAGTGCTTTTCGAGCCAGGCCAAACAGTCCTCGTCGAACGAATCATCGGAAGTGCCACCGTCGGAATCAGTGTCGGATTCGTTTTCGTCCTCGTCCTCCTCATCATCCTCCGACTCGACACTTTGAGGATCATCGGAGTCGCTGCCGCATTTATCAAGACCCTCTCTGCGGATTGGAAGCTCGCCGGCCATGACTCGGCGGAGCACGGCTCTACCCTTCTTACGATCCTCTTTCTTGTAGATGGTCATTCCATATAGGCCCAGGAAGCGCCATTCGCTGCGAAAGTGTCTCCTGAGCCACTGCTTCTCTTTCTTAGTGTAAGGGGCACTTGCACGCGAACGCTCGGCAGCGTTCCCCTTGAGTACCGTTTCCGTTGACTTGGCGTTGAGCGTTGGCTGCACATAGAGTCTTTTGTACCTGTGCCACCGGGCTTGCTCCGAAGGGTCCCAGAGCACGTTGATGATAGAACACATGTTTGGGTCGTCCAGAACGCTAGGACCGACCACAGGACCAACGGGTGGCCCACTCAGCTTGATCTCAGTGTTTTTGCGCTTAGGGTCAAAGTACGCGAGATTTTTGCCCTGACGGTCTGTGATTTTTCCTTTGGTTCTTCCGGTTGGGTCACCACAACTGATTCTCCAGTTATGAGCGGATGCAGGAAGACCCACAACGTTGCACGTGGCGGTTGGACAGTGTAAAACGTCCTGAAGCTCGAGCTTGCCATGGGCGTCCGGACCGGAGCGGGTTGGTGACAGCTTCACGGGGAGTAGGACGGTGCCAAGGCCAACCACAGGCAATTTCGTAAGCCACGGGTAGTGGGAGCAACCAAAAGACTTGAAAGGCGTGTATGTGGTGAACCATCGACGGTCGCTACTCAGACTATGAGCGTTACTTAGCGAGGAATTCATGTGAGCGATATCCATGACAAGAAACATACTGAGCGTTGCTGCTGGTAGACATCACCCAGTTAGAGGACAAAGGGCCCTCGGTGGTTGTTGTCGCTAGACCCATCTTTGTTGACGCTGATGGCTGTATCGACAAGCACCGAGAGGCGATGATGAAGCGTTGAGCCCCACGAGATATCCGCCGTTGGGATGAGGTGTGAGAAATCAGTTTCCAAGTCCGGCTGCGTCATAAATAGGGGCGGAAGTGCTTAGTAACGTTTTCCATCCTAGGAGAGCACTCATGAGAGTGCGTTCCTCAGTTGGAGTCTCCCTCCAGCTCTGTTGGGTAGAAGGTGACCGGGCGAAGCTGCTCCTGCCGGTTTCACACAAGGCAAGTTCCGCGTGAAGAACGAGCGAACAATCTGCAGTTAAGAAACACAAAAAGGGTGGTTCAAGTCATCTACATTATCAAGTAATTCAGCTACCTGCCGTACATGGCCACTTATGCCATAAGTCCATTCCCACCGTCTCCGGATATGCAATTCAATACCCAACCCTTTTTCCCGCCCCCTCCCCAAAGTTCCATCAATTCAATTGAAATCAAACCACCCTACATCCCTCCCTTCCTTTCCCAACCTTCGCTCGGAGATTCCATGGGCACCCGCACATACCCAATATTATCCCACACGCCTTCCCTCTGATCCTCCCTTAACCAAGCAGACAAGCCATCCCGCTCTCGCCCAACACAATTGAGCTGTTGGAGGCTTTCCAGAGTAAGTCGGCGGGCTGTCTCCGGCCGCACTGGTGGAGGTTGCGAGGGTGCATGATCGTCCGATAATGCTCGGGAATGGAGCCTTTTGCTGTTGGGGGAGGGGGTAGGCGTAGCGCTTGGAGGAAAAGAGTAAGATTCAGTGATAGCGCAATTCTGATCCAGTCGAGGTATGGATGTCCATGTCCGGGGAACAGTGTGCCACTGATCGGAGTGAAAGGACTCCTGGGTCTGTGCGTGCGTACTGGCGCTTGGTGCGAATTTGGAGTCATCAATCTTGCTCTTCTCGCCATCCTCGTTGGGAATATGGTTCAGATCATTCTGAGGGATAGTCTTCCATTGTTAGCGCCATGCAAATATATTCAACTGCGAACTCGATTATACTGTTCGACTTACACTAGGAGACTGAACTGATATGCCACGAGATGTTGTAAGCGAAACAGGGCAACTAGAAACAGTCCCAACTGGCACGGAAACTGGATCGGACGAAGTGGTGCTGTTGCTGATGATGTTGTTGTTGGCCATTGACGTATGCCCAATTCCAAATTCCTGCACATGAGTGCGATCATATGAGAAGGGTCGGTACTCCTTTTCGCAGAATGATATGTATATAATATTTGCGTGTTGAATCTGCTGGTGCTTGAAAGGTCTCCGGTGTGAGAGACAGTGTAGAGGGTATTGGTACCGGTGGTGCGATAGGCGTTGAAGGCACCCTCAGTGTCCAGCATCCAATTCCCTCATCAGCCCACGGATTTCAAAAAGGCAGCAATAAAGAAACAATAGTACTGCTCGTGACAATAAGAATACAATAGGAAGGCAGACTTGCTCCCGCATATTATCTGAGGTGTAGGTCACCAGGCACCCATGTGACATGACTGTTTGAGCCATGCCCGCTCATGACCACTGGGCCGATATGGCTGCACCTCACAGCTGGAAGAATATTACATGATGCCCGAGCCTGCTAATCTTGGTTGAGCATGCGTGGAATAGAAGCTCAACCGTGTTTGGAATGTCACTAAAATAGATCGGCATGCTGTTGTTCTTGAGAATGTGAGGAACCCAAGGTAGCTGAGCTGTGTAACGTCTGAACCAGGCAGCCAATGCGAGGCCGAATAATTACGGCGAGACATCTGATAGCTGGTTCAAGATCTGAAAGGACAGTAGGACGCAAGGGTGGTATGGAGGTATTACAGGTCTGCGAATGCAATTCCGTTGCTGATCTTCCCGCAGCCATTGATAGAAGCGTCAGAAAAACTTCACTGGCAGAGCTGGTCAAATAAGCCCGACAGAGTGCAATGATTCGAATAGCGAGCCGGTGCCAATGGTCGGCATCATCTACATTGCAAATCATGCGCTAGATTGAATCAATGAACTCGCTGTGTGAGACTAGGCGGCTTTAATCGTAAGAGACCTATTTTAGATCATACCGGGGTACTCACCTTCATCTGTACTACCCTTAGACAGAAATATCACACCTTACTAGCTGATATAGGACGGCCAAAGTGGTTTAAAGATGCGGTCGTGTCGCCGTCCTCTGCATGAATACGAACTAACCGGCCATGACAGACCTCGAAATGCGGTCATGGGCAAGGGAGAATTGAAGCATATATAGGATTTGAAGTCACTCCGTGGGAAGTGGAGGGTAATGTCGCCGTCCGTAGCGATGAAAAGGGTGTCAGGCGTGACACACCGGTTAGGGCATGGCCAGAAGAATTCAAGCCCTCAAACTGTGGTTCTAGGAAACCTTGTGGATCTAAGGTTCACGTAGGCTGTACATCCAACGGTCCAACAGGTGTGCGTTATCGATTGCGGCACCGGGCTGACCCGAGCTGGTTCAGCTTACCTGCAATGGCTCAAATGAATGTATGGAAGATGCGCAGTGACGTACGGAAGGCAGCTGTTCCTGTGTGTCAACTCTCGTATCAGCCAATCATAACTGCAGAATCACTGATTTTAAAAATCGATTTTCTGCACGAGTGTAAATATAGATCGCTGGATTTTCACGGAACAGAAGTTAACCTGCAAGACTTCAAGTCTAAAGTGGAATATACTCGTCGTACGTCGTCCCCGTGCCTCTTAGGGAAGTTCAAAGACTCCCAGAATCGTTCCGAGTCACATAGACGGACCTGGTACTTGTGGATTTCTGCAACGGTCAGCAGACATCTTGAGACACGAGGCACGCTTTTTGCGCTCACAAAGTAACGGTGGCCTTCCGCGTCGATTTCAATTGCACCTCTGTACAGCAATTCCGCTCTAGTGCTTTTCTCCATACGTGTTATATTTTCTTCCTCTCCAGGGGTAGCATATTCATGGACTCCATTCAACGTAAACGCGTGTATGCTTGGACGGGAAACCGCCTCGTCGACAAAATTGGCCCAAGTGCCTACCATGAGACAGCAGTAATTGAACTTGACTTGATGCAGTGTGGCGGCGTGTCGCTTAATGAATGCCACCAAGGTATCCTCCACGGTGAACGCGCCGGTCAGGGTCAATGATCGTAGCTTCGGCCATGTTGTATCGAACCCAATCCATGTTAGAAGGCAACGCGGCGGATCATCTTCCAGTTCATGCTGGTACATGAACATTGTGAAAACAGCAATGTCGTCTAGGAGGCCGGGTCTGTCAGAGAAATGGAGGCCCAGTTCTGTCAGAGACTTCGCTCCTTTCAATAGGGCGGCAAGCTGCGCAAGCTGCTGTCGTCGTTCTCCGGAGTGATGGTGCAGGGAGAAAACAGTCTCATCATGCGCAATCAGGCAGCTAGAGAAATTCAGCTCTAGTTTCGACAAACCACGGAACAGGTACGCTGCCGCCCGGTGCTGCTGAACAGAGAGCGAATTGAAAGCAGTCATGGTAAAAGAGACACCCGGTTCTCCATCCAGGCCATCGTCAGCTAGTACGTGAAACTCGCGAACACCTGAATAAGAGGTCTTATGTATGGCTCGAATAACATGGTGTATCCCAAAATCATATGATCGGACGAGAGCATGCACCGACTGGATCCACTCTGTCGGGTCCGGCCCTGCGGCCATCAAGTAACGTCCAACAGACTCTAGCCACAGCGGGAACGCTGGAAGGTCTGTCGGGGCCATTGGCTGCGGTGGAAAGAGCCAAAGTCTGCACCAGGGGACTGCAACGGGCAGCTGTCAGCGATCAACTTTGCTACAAAGCGAGTTCAGGCAAAGTGAAGAGGCGCCGAATACGCAACCGTCTGCGACTCGAATTTGGGAGATGGGCCACGCTGGTAAGACCTACTGTGCAACCGTCAATACGAATTCTGGAATGAAGCATAGAGGTGATATGAAATATGCATAAACGTTTTACTAGACGAGTACGTACCTATATTGCATGAATCGTGCCTCCAGCGGAAGTTGGCGAGGGCCAGGGGTATATCTGATCGAGGAAACATTTGGCATCCGCTTAAGGGCTGTTTCAAGCTCACGAGTGAATATGCCGTTTTCATAAAGCTCTTTCTGGTCATTGAAAAGCTTTACGTAGGCTCTGTAACTCCAGTACCTGGTCGTGGCAAGCCCAGAACATCAGCGCCAAGCAACTCAACAAGCAAAGGCCATAATACCTTTGAGAATCACGCGTAGATTCGCCATGAGGACCGAGCTCTACTTCTACTCTGCGATCGTAAATCCTAGGATTCTCAACCAGGTAGGGATCAGCTATAGACGCATCAAAAACTAGTTCCCCAACATAAGTAGAGTAGACTGGGTGCTGAGAGATGTTCCTCCGGGCTCGTAGCACAATTTTCCGTGGACATATTAGTGCTTGCTTGAACAGGTATTGAGAAGCATTGTCCCTGTATCTCGCGGAACTCATCAGCCGAAGAACAATGGCAAGGGCCGAGATATTGGACGGCTCAAGCAGCAATTGTGAGGTTGAACTCTTGATCGATCAAAATACATAGATAGTATAAAGTGCTGATTACATCTGACGCACGAAGGGCGTGCTCTCAACAGAAGCTTGCTTACTTCACGCGAATTAGCATCTCCTATGAAATATGGGATATGGTGTAACGTACCCGTGACTGACGAGAGACTCTACGAGCAGCTTTCAGCGTCGGTATATCTGCATAGCTGAAAACCTGAAGCTGGATTTCCGAAGGGAGGCTAGAGAAGCCCATGGTCCGCCGGTGAATGAAGCTGAGGAAGAGTTTCAAGTCAAAATGCCAGCGGCAAAGGGAGAAAAGCGAGGCGTGCAGGGCGTGCAGGAGCGTCTAACTGGTTTGGGCAATGCCCAGAAGTGGCTGTAGTGATGGGCAATGTGCACGATGGCAGGGAGATCACTGATCAAAATGCTCAAGGGCACACTATTCTGTTATTCACTGTTGCCGCAGTTTATTCAAGGCCGCCATAATGCCCTCGGTCATGGGCTCTTCCACGGATGTTCGGTTCGCTGACATCTGCTGCGTAGATGGCTCATGAGACTGGCCTTCAACAGCGACGCGTTCTGCTTCGCGCATAGCTTCCTCGACATCTCCGTCCAGTTGCCAGGCCCGACCGTCCTCAGCTAAACGATGCGGGGGCCTCTTATCTGCATCTGCTTCCTCCCGAGCTTCTCCTGCTCCCTCTTCAATCGTTACATCTCCTGACATCGTCGCTCTGGTGCTACGGGAATTTGGACCGCGCTTTGCGGCCTTCTGAACCCTGAAGGGCTCTCTCACGGCGTTACACCAACGCTGAACCTTCTTCTCCCCCCATCCAGCGATCATGCCAATCTCCTCCGGGGACGCATTGATAGCGGTGCGTATGCTTCCAAAGTTTGAGACCAGGCCCAGAGCGTCAGTCTTGTTGATACTGCGTGGCACTGTGATGAAATCCACAAGGTTATCCGAGTAGCTAGTTGACTGTTGAGCTCGGATACTGGTAGGGGCAGCATGCTCAAACGTCTTAAACAACTCCAAGTACCGGCCGGCTTCCTGGGCGCTCCAGCAAAGCATGATGGTCACATTGTTGATCAACGAGGTCTTCGACAGTTCACGCAGGGTCTCTTCGTGATTCTCAATATCCACCATGGTGAGCAACACGCGCAACTTATACTGGCCCTTCAGGTCGCGAATGCGATTGTAGATGTACTCTGGGTGCAAGCGGTGGTACTTGAGAGAGAGAAACAGCGCGCACGTGGTTGCGCCCAGCACGTAGTCGGCTGGAATGTCGGAGTACTCCCAAGCCGCTGAGCGAACGCTGTTCAGTATGGGGTTGCCTTTCTGGCGCGGTGATACGAGGATGGAACTAGGACCGGACCGCGAGGGTAGAGCTTGCGGCCGAGGCTGCTGCACCCGTGGAGGGTCAGTGGAGGTGGACGACGTCTGCGGTTCGCCTGAGTTGCGGCTCGAGAGAACGGCGGGTTGGCCAGGGCGGGAAGTTTGAGGGCCCGCTTCATCCATATTGGGCCTTCTCTTCAGTGAATGTGCGCATTGGTGCTAGCCCTACGCTGGATTGTCCTGCATGGTCGCAGAGGACGCAAAGTGACTGATGGTTCGTTGTTTGGTGTCTCATCATCAGGTTTGTTTCCAAGAGTTTCCAAGTACTGCCGAGGAATCCCCGGCGCCGTTAGCCCCGATCACGTGCGCGCTACGTCGATTCAGCCAGGCCAGGCTCAACGCTGGGCCGCTTGCAGGGCTCTCCTCTTCACTCACCACCTCCACCTTCTACCTCCGCCATCGTCACTCCACCGCCGCCCCAAACCCAGCGCCGGCGCTCGATTCTAAAACCTACACACCCACTGCTCGCAATCTCTGGCACGGCGACTTCATTACGGATGCGCACGCCTTGAACGATCCCTCCGTCCCCAGCTGCCGCGGTCGAGCCGCGAGCGACGAGCAAGCCGATCGCCTCCGTCCACCCACCCCGCCGCTCTCAGTTCCTCGACCCGCCTGTCCTCCAAGTCGTCATCCTCATGTCCGAACATACGGCAAAGCGGCAGCGTCTGACGGGGCGCTTCTCGCCTTCCTTGTCGACATCGCCGCCCTACCACAGTATCGCCAAGGCGCGTGAAGAGACAAAGACCGTTGTTCACCCTAACACTCCAACCTCCCCACCCTATCCTTCCACGCACACGCACTCACTTGGAATGTCTGGAACGAATGCGACCGCTCCAGCCTCCGAAATGACTCCTCCCTCGTCCGTCCACATGTCCCAGCAACCGTCCCAATCGGCGGCCTCTGCTTCGAACCCCCCACCGTTCGCGACTCCAAGCAGCCTCTCGGGTGCTGCTGCGTCCTCCAATAATGAGGGTGACGGCGATTTCGTGATGGCCGACAATGCGGCGGATGACACAGGTGCACCCAGCGTAGACAGACGTACCGATCATGAGCGGGACAGTTGGAGTTCTCTCCCGGGTCAAGGCGCTGCAGCAGGAGGTATTCCTGGCAGCGGTCTGTTCAAGCTGGCGCAAACCTGTAAGGTTCCTCCTAATTGCAGTTCTACCTTGTGCCATGGGTTACTGACACGGTTTGTGCGTTAGCTCACCCAATGTCCCGACCAAACCCGGCAGAAGATCTATTCAGCCTCTTTGGGTTGAGTGACACAGCCAAATCCGTGGCAAGGACTGACCCAAATACGGGAGAAAAGATTAACAAGCTTAGAAAGTCTTATGAAGGCCACATCAAAGCGTTGCAAATAGCAGGCAAAGCAAAAGCCGTTAAGCACGAGCACCTCCTCACACAGTACATGGCCTGGCCCGAGGAAGAATATCGCAATCAGAGGATCATGGGGAATGAGTTCGAAAAGGCCTTGGACATGGGAACACAGAAACTGACCGGGGGCTTTGAATCACTGATGAACAATGCCTTTGCTGGTATGGGTCCCGGGGCTCTTCCGCCTCAAGAAGCACAGAAGTGGCGGACCTATCTTGGTACCGACGAAGTTTTGAAGACCAAGCCAACTGCCGAAGGTGCACAGAACAGGAACATGCCTACTCCATCAGCTGCACCAACACCTGTCGCCGCCCCACCCGCCAGGGCAGCAAGACCAGAGCGGCCCGGTGCAAAGCGCAGTTACATGGATGCTTCGTTCCAAGGGTACAGCGAGAGTTTCGCAGACGACAGTTCCGACAAGGACGATGGGCAGAGCATGGCGAAGAAGCGCAGATTGGGGTTTGAGCGGACATCTCACCAAGTAGAGGTGGGCGGCGCACGTCGCTAGAGGCGAAAGCCCAAAGTTTGAACTCACCACTGGTCTCCCGTACCGCTGTCGTTTTTGCGGAGACCAGGCTTCCTCGGCAATTCGGCGTTTGGCGGTTTCAAGGAGTAGGCGGAAAACGGCGTTCTACTACACTACGAAAGCGATTTATCGATTATCTGGTATATTTTTTATTCGGAGGGAGTTGGCATACTTGGGCTCTGGGGGTTATCTGGTCCCGCTGGTTTTATTTGGAAGCCAGTGTGTTTTTTCTGCAGCGCGTGTCTTTCTCTGCACGGATGAGGTCCTCACGGATGAATGGAAGGGTGGGAGAGACGACAGACGAGCGATGAAGGTGAAGGAGGACTACTTATTGTTTTGTGCATACCTGGGTGGCATTAGTTCCCCCCCTTATGAAGATACCCGAAAACTCTGCACTGCATATGAAATACCATAGGAAGGAAATGGCATTATCAAAAAAGTGAAGTCCGTCCCCCGTGCCAGTGATGTGGTGATGTGTTTTGGTGAGCTCTCGAGGCGTCACCACCGCTAAGTCGCAACTCATGATCCATGGATGTATGTATATATGTCACCGCCCGGTGATGCGAGCGTCGGTTTCTAGCACCAGACCTAGGGAATACCGAGCCTACATTGATCATGAAGAAAAACCCTGGGAAATGTTTCGCTCTACTCGTGATGATGTGACGCTATTCACAAGTCTGTCGAGCTCTTCCTTGATGTGAGCCTCAATGCTTAACAAGCAGACCTCGCCCTTCCAGCAGTGGGGCAGGATGAGTCCATCAGCCCAGCAACCCTGCAGCCATCTCCTCGAGATCCTCCAGAGCCTCCAACTCCTGCACAATAGGGCCATTGTTTTTCATCCCCTTCTTCTTATTCCTACTCGACGCCTCCTCGTCGTCAGAGTCCTGTTCGAACCACTTCTTCTGCTTCTTCCCCTTCTTCTTCGACTGCTCCTCTTCCTCTTCCTCCTCCACCTCTTCCTCCCTCCCCCTCTCCTCCTCACCCGCACTACTCTCCGCATCCGCCCTAAAATTCGCCAGGGCATCCACCCCCGTATCCCCAATCTCCACACCCCCTTCCAACCCCTCCATCTCCGCCCTCTCCCGCTCCTTCCTCTTCCTCATCTTCTCCCTCCTCTTCGCCTTCGCCGCAGCCTTATCCTCCACATCCGCAACCTGCACCTCCTCCCTCGCAGCCTCGAGATATCTCCTGCGCTGCTCCTCCGGCAAGCCCTTAGCCTTGAAGTCCTCCTCATTCTCAAGCTCGTAGATCTCATGCGGGTTCCCGTCATCGTCGTAGATGATGCGTTTCCCCTTGTCCTTGAGCTTGAGAAGCTTCTTCTTCGACTTGAGCAGCTTCTCGCGGCGATGGCTGTCAATGATGAGGGGCTGCGAGGCGCCTTGTAGATGCACGACTTTGCGGCCTTCGAGCGCCGCAGCATCCGCTTCCGAGATGGGAGGAGCAAACTCGGCGTCTTGCGCTTCGGCTGGTATTCTCCTCTTGACGGCCAGGAAATCGTCGTCTTCGTTGTCATTAGCATGAGGTTGCTCAGCACCCTCGGTATCCTTGGCTGCAGTGGCGCCATCCACGGCATCATCGTCTCGGACGAGTTTCTTGTAGTGGTCGGCGAGGATGTCCTGGTTCTGGCGTTCGAACATGCGGTCGTATTTCGTCCGTACCGTCTTCACCTTCTTCTTCGCTGGCTCATCCTCCTCCTCCTCGCCTTCCGAGGATGAAATCTGCATCTCCTGCCTTGACTCTGCCTTTCTCTTCTTCGCATCGTCATTTTTCAGGAACTTGATCTTCGGCGCACCCGGCAGGCCCAGACTCGCCGCAAACGCTTCCAGATCATACTCGGTAAGCTTGAAGATCTCCTTATCCTTCTGCAGATAGACCGATTTGACATAGGTGACGAAGGCCTTCTGAGCCAGATACTTCAGCGCCGGATCCTTGAACAGCATATGCACCAGCTGATCCTTGATGGACTGCCGCTTCTTCTGCCGCACATTGATGAGCTCAATGGGGACTTTCTTGGCCTCCAGTCGCTTTAACATGCCCTCCTCTTCACTGGGTGCGAGGAACAAGACACCCCTCCCTTCACGGTTGTACCGCGCCGTGCGGCCTACGCGATGGATATACGTCTCTGCGTCCTCAGGACAATCCACCTGGATGACAAAGTCGACGGCGGGGAAATCCAAGCCACGGGCCGCAACGTCGGTAGCGAAGAGACAGGAATATTTCGCCGCGGAGAACTTCGCCGTCGTGTCTAGACGCGCACCTTGTTTCTGGCGGCCATGGATATGGAGGAGTGGGATACCGGGTTGCATATGCCGGAAGGATTCATAGACGAAGCGGACGAGTTTTGCCGAGGAGAAGAAGCAAAGGATTTTGGACTTTTTGCTGGCTTGGATGAAACTCCATAGGGTATCCAGTTTCTCTTCCAGGGAACAGATGATGTAGTTTTGCTGGAGGGTCTTGGGTGTAGCGGTTCGATCTTCGGCGTGGACGGAGACGTATTCTGGTTCCTGTAAGCTAAGGCGTGCGAGGTCGGACAGTTTCTTGGATTGCGTGGCGGAGAAGAGGAGCGTCTGGCGTTCTTTGGGGAGGTACTCGATGATGGCGTCGACGTCGCGCTGGAAACCCATGTCTAGGATTCGATCTGCCTCGTCAAGGACCAGCATCTTCAAGTCATCGACATTGAACGCGACAGTTTGCGACAGGTGCTGCAGAATACGCCCTGGTGTTCCGACGAGGATGTTCATCCTCGACAGGGCCTGCCTCTCGGCCTCGAGGCTCTTCCCGCCGATGATGAGTCCCGCCGCAAACATATGTCCATGTTTTCCTATCTTGCGCAGTACATCGAAGATCTGGATCGCGAGTTCACGGGTGGGGGAGATGATCAACGCGCCGAGTCCCGCATCCATCCCAACATGCTGTAACCTGTATAGATTCTCCAGCACGGGTACAATAAATGCCAGCGTCTTCCCGCTCCCCGTCTTCGCGGCGCCCAGGATATCATGTCCCTTCAGAGCCAGCGGAATGGCGCGCGCCTGGATATCCGTCATGACGGCGAAATGTGCGGCTTTGAGGCCGAGTTTCGTGGGCTCTGAGAGGGGGAGGTCGGTGAAGTTGGTGTAGGTGGCATTTTTTGGGTCCTGATAATTCGGTCAGTTGGCTTCCTTCCCATGTCCTCATGGTTGAAAGTTGATAAGTGGAATGTCTTACCAACTGCTCCACCGCCTGTTCCAGCTGCTCGACATCTACATCATCCCTCTTCCTCTTCTGCGCCCCCGCCTGCTTCTTCACCTTTGTTGGACGCGTGCAGCCTGTTATCCCCGGCGCAACCATTTCAGCTTCTCATCGTCTGTTTCTGCAGACTCGCAGCGAAGAAAAATGTTGAAGTGACGGCAATGGTCCGTGCATAGATGTGCGGAGCCCATGTGCGGCGCCCGCCTGCGCTAACTGCTAGAGGTAAGAGAGTGCCAAGGTGTAAAACCCCGGGCCAGCAAGAGCCTCCGCGCCCCACTCGCCGCTATAAACATGATCACCGTCAGCCTTCCAGTACAATTCCTCTTAATAATACGATCATTTACCTGCACCAGATAATCGAAGGAAACACTACAGATATGGCAGGCAAGGACGATGTGGATATCGAAGCCGAGCTGGCAGCCGCAGGAAAGGAATTCGACAAGGTGAGCTTCCCACTGCACACTACTATTACAATCCCAGATAACTAACAAGCACGACAGGATGCCGAAATCGAGCGTACATCCACCCTCCCAGCAACTCCACTCAAAATGTACCCAAAAAAGTACTAACTTCCCCCGCCAGGCATCCTCGCCGCCTTCCGCGCCAACGCCTACGACGTCTTCGGCATCCAACCGGGCGTCCCCGAATCCGACATTCGCAAAATGTACCGCACAAAATCCCTCCTGATCCACCCGGACAAGACGACGCACCCGCGGGCGCCCGAAGCCTTTGACCGCCTCAAGGTCGCGCTCGAGGTGCTCGTCGACGAGAAGCAGCGGTCGCAGCTGGACGAGGCCATCGCGGATGCGCGCATGCTCACGATGCGCGACTTGAAGCTGACGAGGGACGACGAGGAGGTTAAAGGGGAAGAGTTCAAGAAGGCGTGGGATGAGAAGGTCAAGTGGGTGTTGATGGAGAATGCGAAGGAGCGGAAGAGGAAGCACGATGCGGCGATGCGGGAGCAGGGGAGGCAGCAGCGGAAGGAGGAGGAGGAGATGGAGGCGAGGAAGAGGAAGAGGGAGCATGAGGAGGCGTGGGAGAAGACGAGGGATTCGAGGATCAATTCCTGGAGGGAGTTCACCAAGGGGGGAGATGCGGGGAAGAAGAAGAAGAAGAAGGTGAAGACGTTGGGATGAGGGGACGCGGGGATACTGGGGGATTGCTATCGCGAGCGGCAATCTTCTCCTCAATCTCTCCGTGCTGGCACGGCGCATGCCGTGTGGCACCCCTGTTAGGCAATCCTTTCTGCACAGCATGGCGTTCGGGTGATCAAATTCGGGGCACGGTCCGGCGTCGGCGTTAGGAAGTCCCATTAGAATCTGGATGGATGGCATTCGAGCCTGGGACCTATGTTCTCGGGCTGATTGGGACCGGCTATGCTGGGTACCTAAGTGGCACCTAGGTACAATCTACCTAGGTAGTCAAGGAGCCAGTCAAGGCCATACGAATCATATAGATAATTTTAGAAGACCATGTTCCCTCGAGGCTCCCGAATTATCCCTAGCGACGTCAGGAGCAGGCAATCATCCACAGGAGCTTCCTCAGCCGCCTTTTATGTTTCAACAGCTCAGGTTCAAAGTAACCTCCATGAACCCACGCGTAGTTGTAGAGCCGTGGAGGCATATACCATATAATCGCCAGACAGCTGTCTACAGAAACCTGCAGAATCTAATCTAAATCCGCTGTAAAGAGTCTACAGGACGGTTCGATGAGCCTGCAGACTAATCTCCGCACATTCCTTGCTGCACGATATCCAACAACGACCTCATTCGTACATTTCTCCTCAACTCGCCTCGCTCAAACTAGATATCGCACAATGTACAAGTCCTGTGCTAGACCTTGCCTTGTCATGCCAGAACAGCGAGGCCCTAGCCAAAGCCAGAAACGCCTAAACCCGAACCATATGCATGTTTCTCTGTCTGCCTGGCATGCAACTGACGATGAACATTCCTGAATCCATCGCAAAGACCAAATAGTCCACAATCAAAAAAGAAACCTTAAAAGCCCAAATCCCATGTATTTATGTACCTCGCATCATCTCCATCATGTCCATATATTCCATCCATTCATCCATCCGTCCATAAATGCCTAGCCGGGAAAAAAGTGGTATCTTGTTCTGACAAAACCCAAAACAAAGGAAGAAGAACAAAGTTAAAGCAAGTCGAAAAAGAGAACACGCAAACAGGAACAGAAATCTCGAGATGCGGAAATGGCGGTAGAACCAAGACCACGGAAAGCCGGCCAGCCAGGTTGGACAAACCGCCCGGGGAACCATGAACCGATCGCAATATCCCAGGTTCCCAGGTGGTGCAGCGAACCGTGCGCATGGATAAAACACCCTTGGCCGAAGCCATGCGCACACTCGAACCACGTCGCACCGTCGCAACTTCTCTCTTCAAAGTCTTCATCATCCTCAAGGACAAGATCCTCACTCCAACACCTCACTGATATTCAACCGCCTCCTCTTCCCTCCCTCCTCTGCCTCTCCCCTCTCCTTCACACTTTCTCTCCCACCTGGACTGTCGCCAAACCCCGTCGACGCCGTTCTGATAGGCGGCAAATGCAGGCCCTCTAGTCTTTTCGGCTGCTCCGTATCCCTATTGAAAGCTTCAAACCTCAACGGGGATTCGGATATTATGGAATCGGTGCGCGAGACGGGCGGATAGGAGGGCGGGTGATGCTGGATGGTTTGCGGATGGGAAGCACTCGCTTTCCCAACATTGGAGAAATGGCTATGATCGTGTCCCGTGCCCGTGCCTGTGGCGGAGGAATACGTGATATGAGAGGGACTGCTGCCGTACGAGCCCGGGCTGATGGTGGGGAGGGATGGTCGTACGGAGGAGAAATTGTAATAGGGCGAGGCAGGTGCTGATTCTGCTGATGCTGTCTGCGGGACCTGCTGTGATGGGAAGTCTCTCGGGGGCGCAGTCGTCGGGGCGGATAGGGAGTGGGAAAAGCGGATCGGAGTGGGTGGAGCGAGTTGCTGGGTGAGGAGCGGAGGAGCAGCCGGTCGAGGAGGAGTAAGCACTCTCAAGGTGACGAAGTACACCGACGTCTTGGCCAGCCGAATTTGACATTTCAGAGGTTGATGCTGATCGTTTGGCAGACGAAAGTTGAGGAGGAAAGTCCGGTCTGTGAATCCTTTGCTGACATGGTCGACATCCGTATCCAAGGCCAGAGACTGTATTGGATCCTGGCCGAGCGGCGCAATCGGAGGCATATATGTCGGTTCCCGTACATCCCGCTCATTCCTTAGATCGCCAGGCACCTTATGCAACGTCTCAGCTGAGCGGGAATCCAAAAGATCCATCAACCTTCGCCCCTGAAGGTCGCCAGTGGGACCGACCAGCTCCTCGAACGCTTGATTCGATTTCTGTATCACCAAGTCGAGGTTCAAGAATGCAAAGGGTGGAGGCTGAGCGTACGGTTGCTGCGATTCAGAACAAGTGGCGGGCTGCGAAGAAGGTCTTGTAAGGCCATCGAACACCCCAGGTTTCAGCACCCCAAGCTCGCCGAAACGTCGTCCTTCCTCGCCTTTTCCGAATTCCACGTTTTCTCTCAACCTGGGCCGTCCCCTCTTCTTGTGCTGTACATCCTTGCACGAATCCTAAAGAGTCATCAGAGTCAGAGTCATGCCCATCGCTTCAAATTCTTGGGAGAAACTTGCCTGTTTGCCCGAGGTGACGCATCGCCCGCATGGTCGCTGGACATCACAGCTCAAATGAGCCCTTTTGCAGTTGACGCATGCAGACGCCACATGCGCTTTTGTCCTCCTTGCCGGTTTCTGCCTTATCGTTTGTTGCGGGATAATGGCAGGAGGTAGAGCACCTTGGGGTCCTGAAGGTTGGGTGCTGTGATACGCAGGGACATGAGGAGGGGGATACATGTAGTAGGGTTGCATTGGCGGAACGCTGCCATAGTGACCTGGGTCGAATCCATGGCTTTGTGAGGAATACGGATGAGGTGGTGCTGGAGCTGCTTCCCCAGGGTAGAGTGGTGGTTGGTGCTGCAAGTGCTGCGGGCCATCGACGGGACGGTGATCGAAAGGCGGTGGAGGAGGAGGCGGCAGCGGCGGCGGCGCGAACGAGTCTAGCCTGCGTACGTCATGGACGGGAGCGTGGTATGGAGGGTAGACGGGTTCAACCAGATGTGCTGAGCGTCTGGAGGGAGAGTGGGAATCTGACATGGGCGGGGAGGGATAGCTGTGCTGTCCAGACCTGGCGGGGCTGAACTGGTTCTGCAGTTTGGCCAGGCGGGAGACTGGCTCTTCACGTCGCCCAAGCGGCGTTGGGGGGAGTGAAGTAAGAGGAGGGAGGGCCAATATCTGCATTGCTCGAACGGCGTGGCGCTCGAACGCCGCTTCCGCAGCCGGAGCACAAAGCTGCGAGTAGGCGGCGGCGAGGCAAGCGCGGCTCGGTGACGAGCACAAGTCCCTATCCGAGAAGTGGGATTGATCCTGAGTGGAAGACTCGAGCACGGTGGGCGACTCCGGGTTCTGCACTTCAAGATCAGAATCAGACCGTACTCGCCGTCAATGGTCGTGAGAAAGGCAAAAGGTACGAAGTGCCCAGAAACACACAACAAAAAACCCAAACGAGACGGGGCCAGCGACCGAGCCACATACGTTTACATATTGTCCTGGTTATTACTGGACGCTACCGATGGGCGCGAGGGAGTTGAAGGTCCGGCGCGCGCCAGGGAGGGGGTGATATAACGAAACGTGCCCATGTACGTATGTAAGAAATATAATCACGCTACCTTTCTGGAAGTACCCTGTTGCAGTCTCGTCCTTCAGTAGTCCTGCTTCGCCTTTGATTCGGCCTGTGGGCGGGAGAGGGGACGGCACGTTCTGCAGCTTCGAGGCGTAGGTAGCCGCTGGCCAGGGTAGTTGCTGTCAGGGCCGAGGGAGGGAGCGGGTGTGGTGAAGGTGCGGCGGTAGAGAACGCTCGTTGTGAAAGGCTGACAATAATGGCCGAGAGACGTTGACGGACACGCTGCAGGAGGGCTCTTGAGAGGGCAGCAGAAAGGTGTCAGTGGCTCGGCGGAGAAAGTCTCGTAATAACCTCGATCGGCCTTCTCTCGACTGTGCCCACAACAGATCTCCCCCCAGATCCCTGCTTTACACCTGCAGACGATGGATGACGGGTCACAGCACGGGTCCACGGCAAGCCCTGGGCCATGGAACTTTGGAGAGAAGAGGGCGGCATGGGAGGCCTGTCCCCAGCCCGGGGAGGCTGGCGCATCCTGTACCGATGTTTTTACGACTGGCCACGTTCGGCTGATGGTTCTTTCGGAACAGGGTCGACGCAGAAGGGCCAGCCAGCCCTGAGAGCTCAAGAGCTGTCGCAGGGCGGTTGCGCGTCCGTGTCATGGGCTCCCCGGAGCGCTCATCCAGGCCCAAAGAACCACGGTCCGACTTTGAAAAGACGCTGGCTCGCGGATGCTGCTCCTTGTGCGAAACTGCCCTCTGCGCGTGGCAAGCAGCGGGCGGCTCACGGCTGCCGCAGCGCCTATCCCAGCTGTTGGCCGCTGCAGGATGATGGATCCAGACCCGACACGGTACTGTACAGTAAGTACTGTACTGGTAGAGGTAGTAGGATGACCATCCATCATTGGAGACTCGGCTCCGCGAATGAGCTTCCCGCGTGCCCTGTCTTCCTTGAGACACCTTGTTGCGATGCACAATTGACTCTGGCTTTCGGGAGCTCTTGGGAGAGTCTGACGCTTGCAGCCACCCGTTAGTGGGATATATCATCGGTGCCTCACGGCGACGGCTTCGAGCAGGACAGGTGCTCGCTTCTGGTCGGCCCTTCTGTCGAACTTTGGGGTGAGAGTACACTCCCTACCGAGTGCTCTACCATCACTAACAGTCGTACGTCCGGCGCGCCAAACCCACATCAGATTACCCAGGGTTCATCATATCATGCAGAATGCGGGACTTGTCCATGGTCTCCATCAGTCTCCACGTTGGTCTCCACGCATCCACAGCAGCAGGTCATGCCGCATTCGTCCTGAACCTCGGTGGCATTTCCCAAATCCCACAACGCTTCGGCTAAGCCAATACCGCCTGGTCGTAGGCCAGCGCCAGCGTTGCCTCAGCTCACCAAATCCGCTCCTGCGAGCGCCATCACGCCATGCATACTGAAGGGTCTCATCAGGCATGCGCATGCACCCTTTTTGTATGCTCAGGGCTACTGCCCGCCGTCAGTACGGGATCCGGTATCTGCACATGTCCCTGAATCCAACTTTTCGGCCTCATGGTATATCCTCGCTGCTATAGCCATGGCGACCGTCCGGCGTCGACGCCATGGAAAAAAGCAATGGACAATAATGCGGGAGAAGAAATGCTCCGGCGCAGATGGATTATCGATCTTGGCTTGCCGCTGACGATCTCGCCCTATAGAAAAACCTTCCGAGGGTATTCTCGTTGATGGAATAGGTACTCCGGAGTGGGCGATTCATGGCGCCGGTGACTAGCCATCGGCAACGCACTGACAGTGTGGAGTTGACCCCGGATACCACCAGCAGAAGTGGAATAACGGTGCGATATGTGGGCTACCAAGCGAACCCGAATCAATAATGTTATGTTGACAGGAATAATCACAAAAACCGAAGAATGATTGTTGTTCACTGTGACACATTGCTGGACGACTCGTGGCTGCTGCATGTGACAAAGCACGTTGATGGCCGCCGTCCTGAAAGTTCGACATGCTGTACAACGGGGCCGCCTGGGTTTTGGGGGTGCACAGCCTTTCTACGGCTCATGATGAGAAACTTGGATTCGGAAGAGCGGCTGTCAGTCCCTAGCGAACCGGTCCCCAGAGCGCGACCCGATGGACCAGCATGTTGTACCGTAGATTGCAAAAGGGATAAGAATAGCTTTCCGGGGAAATTGTTGACGTGCGAACCAAAGCACGTCGTATATAATATACTGTGTTGGTCAGCTCCAGCAATTGCTTCCACAACGCAACGTGTGCGCCGTTGCCCGTTGGATACGACAAGAAAACTCCTTGCAGCTCACTCAATAATCCTACCGTTCCCCGAAGCGCAAAAGTAGACAAACTCTTCTCCAACCGCGGAACTTTCCAAACCTTAGTAGGGCACGTCACGTCCAACATGTCGCTATCTCCGACGCCGCGTGCTGACTACTGCACACAGTAAGCTGATGACTCTTGGGTGGATCGCAGCGTCGCTCGCTTCACGTCGGTCCTTTTGAAGGAGGAATACTCCGTATGGTAGATGCTTTCCTGCCTAGCGCTGTACATCTCGGGCAAATCGTACGAGTCGCGATGCATGTCTACCATGCGTCCTGCGTGCACTTCCAACGCCGTGACTTTGTCCGGCGGTTTGGGTGTCATGCCCAAATGAATTTAGCCTTAAAGGATGCGCCCAAAAAAAGAGCGGAAGTATTGTCAATAACAGCAGGTCCTATTACCCTTTGTCCCATTTATTGGCTCGTCTCGCCCCAACCTTTTAACGTGCAGCGAGGCGAGTCCGCGTCGTCCCACAGCCGCCCAGCGCCCTGTCATCGGGAACCGTGAAGTCCTCATCCGCTTTTCGAAGGTTCCACGGGCGGAGGACGAGATGTCCAGTGTCACGTGGTTCAGGCGCACTGGAGGAGACTCGAGTGCCACAGAACCGACCGATGAGGCGTCGGCACCACCGTCCATGCAGCCGCCCGTCGTGACGTGCGTTCTCGAAGCCATCGAAGCCATCGAAGCCATCGAATCCATCGAAAAACCGTCAGAACTTCCCATGTTGGCCGCGTGCGAGCCCGGGGACCAGGATTAATACGGATTCAACCGTAGGATCTGCAAACCATTTGAGAGCGGCTTGTCTCCCTTGTCCCTTGCTGCAGCCAAGCGCCCCCTCGTGAATGCACACGCGAGCTTTGCAGGATCCGTCCGCTGCCGCGACATGTTTCCGTCAGGGGCCCGGGGACCGAGTGAGGGCACAGATGTTTGAATAACCTTGCGAGTCGTTGGTCGGACTGAGCTTTATGGGGGAGGCCTGAGGTTCTCCCTCGGTTGTTTATCAACCACAATCCTCACGCATATTGGATGCGTGGTCTCATCAGCTCCAAAGAACCAAATGAGTGGTAACTTCGCCGTCTGCTTTAAACGAAATTGCGATTGTACCTTTAGGAACGCAAGTGGTGTTACGCGGATGCTTGAGCCAATACCGGCAGCTCGTTGTTTTCTTTGTGACATGGTGATACAAATGGTCGTTAAATCGATAACCGGAAACACCGACAGCCTAGTACACAGTAGGTTCGATTGACACGGGGTAACGGAATAACGGGTAGCGTCAATGCCAGTGTGGAGCCCAATTTGTAGCACCTGGATACGGGAATCTGTGATGCACCCCACAGCGACACCAAGTATCGTTCATCCTACGTAGCAGCTTGTCGAACTGAGAGAGACTCTGCCTGAGACTCTGCCTGTGGGTACGTAGCGTCACCTGCTTTGTCTTGAAGCGAGCAAATCCTCCGTTGAAGACTCAAAGGGCCGAGAATTGTGTGTGAAGTCACGAGTGATACTGGCATATGTGGCTTCGGTATGCCTGAGTAGTTGCCGACTTGAACAGTTGCTCCGGCTGGAAATTCTCCTGTCGTAACATGCCTGCTCGCCATGTGCTCGAAACTCCGTTTGACCTGGCTCATGAGATCGCTTGTACTAGTCAAATAATATACTTGAGCTAATTTTGGACCGTAGTCCGTCGGGCTGTCTGCGCTTACGCCTTGCATTCACCGTGGTACACCAGGGCCGCGTTAGCGTTGACCGTCAAGTACTAATCTCAGATGCGAATCCGCGTGACTCCTGCGATCTATCGTCAATATCGCTTAGATAGGCAGGACAGAGTGGTACAACACCATATTCCGCTCTCCGGAACCCTGTGGCTGAGATGTAGGCTTAGCATGAGGCACAACATGTTGGTGTGTGAACTTCGACCCTGAGAACGACTGCGTGAGTGCCCCAAAGCGCACATAGACATGCAGTATGCGGCGCGTAGCCTGTCGTTGGCCAGTGTCGACACCGCGTGAGAATCTCTCGATTATTGGCAATATCGAAATGGCCGAATGATATCCTATACAACCGAAAGCCACAGCGGCTAGTGTACTACCATACGCGTCGTCCTCACTTCATCGTAGATGGTTGCAATGTGGAAATGAAGAAAACAACTGCGCCTGTCGTCCTCACAACTTCCTCTTTTTGGATGGCCTTGCATTTTTCTCCCGGCGCTTCTCCTTGAGCTTCCGTTGCTTCCGGACGTCATCGACGCCCTTGAGCTCATTCTTGCCAGCTCCATCCTTGAATCTGCCAGTCCGCTTTTCCTTGGCCTCCTGCACCCTCTTCTTTCGTACATGGTAATCGTCACGATAACGGTCTGCCTCTTTGGGTGCTTTCTCTGCCTTGTGTTTGAAGCGACGTCCGCCGTTTTGTGGCATGGCTCTACCCGGGGTTTCTGTCTCTCCTATGCGAGGCATACGACCGATCTTGTGCGCCTTCCGCCATTCATCGAAGCGCCCGCTGCGGAAACTGGCAGCAATCTTGAGCCCGCTCTCGCCTCGCACCATTTTCACGCCCCTGGAACCGTCCTCGTCATTGGCTCTCGCCACATATTTCTTACTCTTCTTGTCCCAGCGCATGCCACGCGCTTTGCTGGGCTCACCAAATCCACGCGTCTCGTCATTCGCTAGATCCATTTGCGCACCCCTGGCGGCCTCGACGAAATTCGAGTGTTCTCGTGCTGTGTTGTAGGATCCCGAATGCACGCCGTAAGCCCGATCCTCTGCAAGGTTCAGGCCCTTCGGAGTGTAAGACATGAAGTATTCCGAGTCTTGCTTTTGCCAATCATCGGAATTGGCGCTTCTTGAGCTGGGATGGGCCACCGAAATCTCGAGCTCGACATCCTCAGAACCGGAGTCCGTGTGCGCATCATCGTGCACAGCTTCAATATCCGAACCATTGTCGTTTGCCTCGTCCTGCAGGGAGGGCTTCTCGTCCGCAGTTTCAGCCTGCCGTTTTTTGCGACTAACAATTTGCTCCCTTCTCTTACGGACAACTTCCACCATTTCGTCCGCATTGCCCCTCTTCCCTAACTCGAAGACAGTCTCTGAAGGTCTGAAAGAGCTGATTCTTGCCAACATTTTCTCTTTCTCCCGCTCAGCGTCCTGCACTTTATCTTCGAAGAGCGGATGAGTCTCAGTGAAGCCGCCTCTTGACAGTAGCTCTTTTGACCGTTTTACAGACTCAGCTGAGGCCGAATTGCGCGTCCTGGTGTATTGGCTTTCACCTTTGCCAGCCACAGTCTGCAAGGATACGAGATCTTCATCTTCCTCCAGCAGTTTGTTGACAAATTCGGTGGACCTAGCCAACTGGTCTTGCACGAGACTTCCCACAACTATATCCTGGGCAAAGTTGGGGTCTTTGCCAGATGACTTGCCGGCGACAAGTCGCTTGCCAAGGAAAAGCTGCAAATCAATTAGGTAAGGCACATCTGAGTCTCGGATAAGGCTGTAGCTCCAGCCTTTGCGGCCAGCACGGGCCGTTCTCCCTACTCGATGGACGAAGATCTTTGGTTGTGACGGGAAGTCGTAGTTGATAACGTTTGCGAGAGCTGGAAGGTCAATACCTCTTGCCGCGACGTCCGTCACAACAAGAATATTTGTCAGACCGGCTCTGAAGTCCTGTACTTGTAGTTTCCGAGCAGTTTGGTCCAGATTTCCGTAGACATAGGAGACAGCATAGCCAGCAGACCGTAGCAGACTAGAGAGGTACTCTACTCGATGCTTTGTCGCTGCAAAAATAATGGTAGAATGAGCAGTGGGTGAATCGGCCGGGTTGGAGCCTTCGGGTGCTGCCCTTTTCCGCTTCTTACTATTGATTGGATTTGCGCCAGCTTCTTTTGCCCGCTTCGCAGCTTCCGTTTCTCCCGTCGGCATTTTGATTACATCTTCCAAGATGTGTAGCAAGGCACCGTCTCTGTCGGCACTCTTGACTGAGAAGAATGCATTCTCGAGGTCAGGGGATACTTTTGAGTCAGCGTCCAAGCGTATTAGCTTCGGCTCTTGGAGACCGGCTCTGGCGAATTCCACGAGTGACTTCGGAAGCGTCGCTGAGATGAGCAGGGTTTGCCTTGTCGTGGGCATGGCATGAAGAATCTCCGCGAGTTGTGTAGCGAACCCCATTTCGAACAAACGGTCGGCTTCGTCGAACACGATATACTTGACTGAGCTCAATTCCAAGCCCATCTCCACCTTCAGATGGAGGAAACGACCAGGAGTGGCGATGATGATGTCAGGGTTCGTAGTCATTGCGCTGAACTGTTCCTCCAAGCTGTCTCCTCCGACAAGGAGCACTGTCCTCAGATCCGTACCTTTTCCAAGCTCTTTGACGACCTTCAACGTTTGTAGGGCCAACTCTCTAGAGGGTGAAAGGACGACAGCGCGTGCACCAATTTTGACACTATGTGCCTTAAGCTTTTCGATCATGGGGATGACGAACGCTGCGGTTTTTCCTGATCCTGTTCGGGCCATGCCAACAACATCCTGGCCGTCGAGAATAAGGGGAATGGCTTTCCGCCTGTGCGAGGAGTCAGCCAGAGAACCGCCTTCATGAAAACTCTGATTTTCTTACTGTATAGGAGTCGGTATCGAGAAGCCTTTCCGCGTGATAGCTTTCAACAATGCTGCATTCAAGCCCATGGCCTGAAAACCTCCACCTTTCTTGACAGTCTTGCCTTTCAGATTGGAAGCTCTTCTGTTGGAGGCAGCCTGCTGCGCAGCAATGAAAGCTTCATCGTCCGATCCATCTACTCCCCCGATATCGAGGTCAACGCCCAGTTCATTTGGGCCGCCCTTCTGCTGTGCGGAGAACAAATCGTCCCCCCCGAAAAGCGCATTTGATATGTCGAAACCGCTCTCCGACAGCGCCGGGGAGCTCGCGCGAGGAGTCATGACGTTCGATTCGTCCTCTACACAGCGTCGTTCTGTCGACAAATCAACAAGCTGTCCACGCTGAGCTCTGCTTTCTGAATTTCTCCAGGTTTCGAAAATTTGGTGCACGGGCCGCAGACGTTCGCGAAATCTTGGCGTCCCGCAGGCACGTGCTCGCGCATCGCGTCTCACGTCGCGTCCCCCGCCAACATTGCAAGGCTCTCATACAATCTCAAGTTCCGCAACGCAACACCATGAGTAGGTTATGATTATGTCCAAGACTCTCAGGAGAATATACTAACAGAATAAGATTACAACAACTACGAGACGTCATACACATCCTATGCCGGCGGAGGCGGACGGGGAGGGGGGTTTATTCCAGGCGAAGGAAGCCAAACCACGCCCGGTGGACGGAAGGTAATAACTTGAATCTCGGTGCTTGTGATACCATCCGCTTACCTTCTTGATAGGACTTCTCAAGCGACTCATTACGGCCTGTAACCATCAAACAAATTCTTGAGGCAGAGCCAATGGGCGACGAATTCAATATTGACGGGAGCAAAGTGACCCAAGTACGCCATTCGACTTCCCTGAAGCATATGATGAGACACAACTGACAGCTTCAAAGATTACATTCGTCGGCAAAATCATGAATATCTCAACACAAGTCACCAACGTCACCTACAAGCTCGACGACGGCACAGGCGGCATAGAAGCGAAACTGTGGATTGACGCCGACGCTGCAGAACAGAACCCGCTCAAGGCCAGACTAGTCGAAGGATCCTACTGCCGCGTATTCGGCAAGCTCAAGAGCTTCCATGATAAGAAACACGTTGGTGCGGCTATCATCCGCCCCGTGGAGGACTACAACGAGGTTTCATATCATCTACTCGAGGCAACCGTCGTCCATTTATACTATACTCGCGGACCCCTTGCCGGAGCAACAAGTGGAGGCCAGGTCACTGGAGGTGCACAGCAGCCGGAGCAGACCGCGGGAGGGTCATACGGACCGCCGAATCTGGCGCAGGCGAGCCCGACGGCAAGGAGGGTATATAAGTATCTCAGCGAGTCGCCACAGACGAACGAGGGGTTACATGCAAACGTCATCGCGGCGAACCTTGGCGTCGACATGGCTGTCGTTGCTCGGGCCGGTGATGAGCTTTTGCAGCTTGGTGTCATCTATACTACTGTGGATGACTTGACTTGGGCTGTGCTCGAACAAGATTAGTAAGGTGGAGTGGATAGGCACGGGCATGCTTTACGATTTTCATGTATGATTATGAAGGTTTCCGTTCAGTGGCATCATCGGAAGTAGTGAGGAATATTTCAAATCCAACTGAATGGAAAGCTCCTACAAGCGCCCAAGGATTGCGTACGGGTGTAGAAGTACGGACATAGGGTTTAGGGTTGCATATCATTCTTGTGGCTCACTGGCACAACTACTGCGAATCGTAGCAGCGCTGTCTTGGTGATTACCAGTCGTAGATGTGGCTAAATAAACTTGGTAGTAAGTCAGTATGACAATTGGAATTCCTATACAAATTACGTACGGAGACTGGAGGGAGGAACTGAAGTCAGTGACCAGACTGAGCATAGATCCCCTGACCTTGACTGGCGCACCCGGAACCGCGACTCCGAGCTGCAATGCGGCAGCGGCTGACAGGGCCGTAATGGCTCAAACTGAGAATATTTGAATTAGTAGATTGTGCCATGGTGACTGAACGTGCGAAAAAAAAGAGGACTGAAAGGACAATGAGTGAGCGTTCAGCATATGAATGAACAACACAGGGCAAATGAATACTCCTGTCTAGCACGGCGGCGGGCCGCGCGAAAAGGATATGAAAAATGAACCTAACGTGTCTATTATATATGGTTGTCCCTATCGAAGGATTGCAATGTAAAGAACATAACCCTACTGCTTCCCAACCAGAAAGAATGGGAGAGTACTTCATATATCAATGAATTGTAATATCCAACTGTAATGACGTATCAGGCCCAGAATAGGAAGAAGATGCGGAAATCCCTTTAGAAAATGGAAGCTTATAGCACCAACAAAGGAGTGATTGCCTGAGGCTAGAAAGTAAAGCCTTGAGATGTGTGTGACACTGTTCGAACCTGAGACATGAACCACCACAACCCCATCTCGGATCCTTGTACTCTGCCCAGATGTTCCGTCCAGTCCATGGCAAGTATGGTCTTAGCGTTGTGCGACCCTACCTAGATATGGGATTTCGCCTTGCTGCAAAGCTCGGTCAATTTCAGTCAGCAGCGCTAAAGCTTCTCGGTAGGCGAAAGCTTGAAGCGACATCCTCGTAGCCGCGACACGATTCACGATAAATCGTGGGATGGGTCTGTCGGACGGCGAAGTGAGGTTCGAAAGGACCATGCCGAGGTGGCAGATTCGCAGAAATGCTGAGCATCTGCGGGCGTTGCGTTGTGTCGTACTCGACTGGCAAAGCTGTGTAAGGTCTCTCGATCCGTTATGCCTTTGGTTTGCATGATCCCTCGGAGACAACATCCATCAGAGAGAATACCAGGAGGCCGGTGTTACTCCCGCGCTGATATTCTGCATGATCGCGTGAGAGAAGGCTAACCAGAGGCACCCCGATGGTTCCCTCGAGGTGCGAATCCTCTTCCTCCCCTTCCAATAGCTTGAGGGCCGCGAGGTTCTCGTATGGGTTGTTGTAGGCCATTGGGGGTACCGGGGGTACTGGGTCGGCTACGGCTAGATTCCTGCTCCCTCCTCTGAATATACACGGAGTTGGGCTTCACCGTGTACGATGGGTCATATAGCTGCCGTGTGGAAGCTGCCGGACGAGCTGGTGACTGCTCATTACTCGAAGTTGTGCTATCCCTCCCGCCCCGTCCACGTCCCTTGCCTCTACTCGGCCTGCTGGGAGATGCCACTCTCGACTCTTCCGAACTGGGTGCGGGCGAACCGAACAGACGTTCCCGAGCTTCTGCGTATTTGCGTTGTTTCTCTGCCCTTTCCCTCTCGGCCCGAGCTTGTCTTTCTGCAAAAGATTCCTCGGCCTTTCGGCGTCGTTCCTCCTCGCTGTCCTCATTGTCTTCTGCGGCTTCGGTTGGGTCATCGCTTTGGGAGAGAACTTTTGGAGGAGGTTTGCGACTCAATACCGTCACGGGCGGCTTAAAAGTAGGTTGTATGGGAAGCGTATCTTTTGCTTGGAGGAACAACATAGGCTCAGGATTTTCACTGTTGTCGGTGGTGTCAGTCGATCTGGCGCAGGAGACTCTTGACAGAGACGTACGCTGACTGCCATATCTGCCGGTTGAATTCCGCATGCTTCGCCCTGCGCTCCGCTTTCGTGAGCTTAGCAGGCTCGGGTGTTTGGTCCTTCTTTGCAGAGGCCTCCGATGTCTGTAAACCGATCAACATCTCATTCCGAAGCCTAGGAAGTCGGAATCATACATCTGCAATTCCCTCCCAATCGTCGTCCCACGCGTCCGGCACTGTCGTCTCCTTGCTGGACATTAGCGTACCTGACAGAGGTAAAGATGCAGCGTACGAGGTGTATGGATGTTGGCGAAGTTGCGCAGATATATGGTCTTTGAGAGTTGATGTGGAATTAGCTCGGCATCAACTGGCCCTAGCGTCCCACGTCCGCGTACCTTTGGTACTCAAGACATGGCTGTAGCACGATGGCCTACGTAATGCATGAATTTACTTCGAGCTTCCGATGTCTGGCAGGACATTTCCTCCCAAATTCAGCATCATCAAGTAATCGAGTTCACGTACGCGGCAACGTTGGAACTTATCATGTGACTCATTACTAAGCTGCTGTACGCCAAGCCTTCGCTTAACGCGGGAGCTAATGGCGGATCCGCGGACCCCGCCATCGAGGACATCGATGGTTGGCTGCCTCTGAAGCTCAAGCTGTCTAATAAAACAACGACAACCCCAAGTTCCCTTTCCTTAAACCCAACCAAAAGTGCGGGGAGTCTTCCATTACTTCACATCATGACAGGTAGTCCCACAGCCAGCTCCGCCAACCAAGCACTGAAGAAACTGAAAATGGTAGACGCGGACGGCGACTCCACGATGCACAACCCCGCCGACCTAGCGTCCAGCGACACCAGCAAGTTTCCCACACTGAACGAAAGTCAAGATGCTCCCAGCACGCCGCAGAACCCATTCCTCGCCAGGGTAGATCCGAGCTCTGAATTGTCTCCACCGGACTCTCAAGAACCTTCACAACGGTCGCATGGTCAAGCTTTCCCGTTCGGTGCACCCGAGAGTCCCGCCGTGAAGAACGAGAATGGCAAGCGAATATATGCTCCCAGTTCAGGCTCAGCAGCCCCTAGGTATGACAAGGTACAGACGGATCCGGAGACAGGATATCAGTGGATGCGGGCAGAGGATCAGCCGGGGTGGGAGTGGATGAATTCGCGTGCAAGGGAGGAGGCGGCGAGAGCTTGGGAACAAATAGTGGATAAGGATTTGATGATACGGGGTACGCGATCTGGGGTTCATTGGAGACAGCCGCTGACAGGTTAGGTCGTTATGGCGATCCATTAGATCCGAGTATCGAAGCATCGGCAGGCTCTCAACAGACTTTCGGACGTCAACATCAGCAGTGATTGTCGGCGCGTATGCCCCGGATTAGAGGTGGATGGAAGAATTAAGTGGATTGCGCTTTACAAAGACTAAGCTCACATGCATTGGCCTCGCACGTCGCATATACGAGGGCTGGGACACGGACGAAACTGGTTGAGGCATCCGATTGTAATGACTATGAATCAAGAAAGCATGACCATGAACATTCAATTCCCGCCCTTTCCCTCAAGCTACATTCCATGTCGGATCTTCCGGGATATGATATAACCTTAAAGTCGCTCCATCCAACGCCTTTCCATGCAAAGTCGCCCAATCGCATCAAACAGAGACTCAAAAGGCGGTGTCAATCACTTTCATCGCCATCCGCCATCTCATCGTCCGAAATATTTTTCTCCCGCTCTTCGAGTAAGTCCTCCGTCAGTCCTTCTTCCACCTGCTCCTCCTCCGCGTCTTCCTCGTCCTCGTCCTCGTCGTCCTCCTCCTCATCCTGCACATCATCCGCCCCTTCATCCACATCCACCTCCTCATCCTCCTCCTCTGCCTGCTCCGTCTGCCCCCCGCTCGACATCCTCACCCTTTTCGCAGGCGGTGAGTCGTCCTCCGCCGCGTTCCCATTCGTACCAGCCTTCGAACCAGTCCCATCCCCTTCACCCTTCTGCGCTCGCTTCTCCTCCCGTACCTTCTTCCTATACGTATTCCGTTTATCCGCTTGTATCGCCGTAAATTTCGTGACCTCAGCTTTTAGTCTGGGAAGCATAAACTCGAGTTCCAACTCTTCCATTGCGTCGAAGACGTCGGCAGGTTGGACCACCTTTTTGTTGTTCTTGGCGGCCACTTCCGCGGCTCTAGGGTGTGTTGTTAGATTCCAATTCTTCAAACGTCGAGGAGAATCAACAGACTGGGATGTAAGGTAATTGACAAAGACGGTTGCGCTCTTTGACATTGCGAGCAGGGCATCTTTCTGGATTTGGGTGTTCGGAGGGAGCACCCCTTTTGCTAGACGCTGGACCATTGATTTGGGGAGATTGAGGTCCTGCGAACTGTCAGGGGCGGGATTCGCGACATGAGGTCCGGCATCTACCTCTACACTCAGCCCGTCGTCTTTCGGGGCGGGTTTTGCTGCATCCTCGGGCGCGGTGACGGACGCATTGCTTTTCCTAGGGGGCATCTTTCGCAGGCGCTGGGTGTTTTAGTGGGCGGATATTCGAGGGGAAGTGCAATCTCGGCGTGGTGGATTCGGAGCTACTTTACGTCTCACAGGTAGTGCGCTCTTCCTCGGCGGATGAATCGCGTCGCGTGTACGAGGTCCTTGGCGGGGACTTTATCGATAGATAAGGAAATGGACGCCAAGATTCACACCTGCATCATTTCCTATGATGCTCTCCATATAGCATTTCACAGTCATTATAAAGTCTAATGAACAACAACAACGCTATACTGAGCAATGTGTGCTATGGAAACACCCACCTGCGGTGTAAGGGGGTATAGATCACGTGATTATCAGCCTCATCCTCTCATGAACAATTGGCCATACCTGTCCTCTCCCTCCCAACTCCACTCCCCTTCCAGGCTGGATCTCTGCTATTAGCATGTGCTCCGATCTATGATTGTCAGCATGCTCCAAGGAGTCCCAATGAGAGTTGCCACTTAGCTTACCGGTGGATTTCCAGGTTATCCGAGGTACTCGCTATAGCTATAGCTGGGAGTTCTTCATATCTGTGGGAGACCATTGGTACCCATCACCGGTTGTCGGGAAGCGAGGCCCTCCTCTCCAGAAGACTACCACATACCCCAGATACGCAAAGCCGTGAATACTCTGCACTAGCCATCCCTCAAAAGCAATTGAAGACGCATGGCCTCGCCTGGGCATGTCAGCTGTGGCAGATCCAGACCCTCAGCCAAGCGTGAAAGGTCACTTGGCTGCATTCAAGTTTTCACCATCTAGCTGAATGAACGGTGGACATGCCGTGGCCGCCTTGCGCAAAGTGTCAGCTCTCACCGGTTCGACTCTCCCGCACCGTGAAGTTGTGACTTGCGACTCGACGCCAAGGAGAATGAATGGACGCCACAAAGGACTTCATGGAACCGGAGGAACAGACCTAGAAACAAGGCATATGCCCCTCCCTTGGCTTCACAAAGAGCCAGAGAGTCAGCTAACCACTGTCACCCAAGATGGCGGAGGGCGTTGCTTCTTTCCCTCTCTCTTACGAAAGAACTGGCTGACTGCACAGGTGGGCGACCTTTTTGCCTTGTCGTATCGCCTTATTTTTTGTATGTAGGGGTCACTTTCTCTTCTCCTCTCCGAACCGTCCTCCAAGACTCTGTTCATTTTTACCTTCCTTATCTTTTCTCTTCTCCCGTCTTGAACGATATCCCACAAGGCCTAGCGTGCGGTGCACCTGGCAACCCTGGCAAACATTCTCCCCAAACCCGGTTACACTGTAAGCATGCCCAGCGTCTCCGCAGGTACCCAAGGGATCTAGACGGATTGCGTTCTTATGTAGAAGGTTGTGCTCTGCATTTCCTCACCTTCCGGCCTCGTAGTACGATGGCGGTGCGACCAGACCTACGGGTCCTCCTTGAAGGGGATACATCAAGAGCATACAACGAAGGAGAGAGTGTGAAAGGAAGAGTCACGCTTGTATTGGGATATGAAGAGGAGGTCAAAGAACTCAAAATCTCCTTCACTGGCATATGTACGACAAAGACGACAAGGCCGGTGCATGGAGACGGCACTGATCAGCACACTGGATCCCGACGCGAATATGAGGAAGACGTCACCTTGTTCAGCTTTGATCGGAAACTACTTCCCGCCTGCACCTTGGCCCCTGGCAAGTACTCCTGGGAGTTTGACTTCACATTCCCAAAGCAGACTGAAGCACAGTTTTCTCGTTGGCAGCACAAGTCCAGATACCCTGGACTGCCACACCCCCTCCCGCCAACTTTCTTGATGTACACCGGCGAACCATGCGGTAAAGCGTCGATATCGTACTACCTTCAGGCCAGATTGGTTCTGGGTGGAACTTGCGGAACGGTGAAGACCACGGAAATGCTAGGATTTCTTCCCAGTGCACAAAATACGCCTCGCGAGCCACAGATCAAGTCACGTATATTATATGCGCAAGCCCTGAAAACTGGTCAGAAGGAACCGAGAAACACCGTAAAAAAGATCAGGACGAGTGTCTCACGGAAGCGGTCGGGGAGTGCCAGTATCCCGCGGATAGTGCCAACCATGTATTTCCCACAAGAGGTCGCCGCAGGTCAGCACATCCCCATCCTTCTCTCTCTCTCCAAAGCCAGCGTCGGCGAGCATCCTGAGTGTGTCCTGGATTCTCTCACGGTCACGCTTTCCACCTTCAGCACGTCAATGTGCGGACGGCTTTTCACCCAGCCGGAAGATATTGTAACAAAACATGTCACGTGTATCTCGAAACAATCTATCAACCAACCGATATCCTACTCCTCGCCCACACCTCTGACAACGAATTTCCGCCTTTTGGACGATGCGGAATGCGTCCCGTCTTTCAGTACGTACACCATTACCCGTCGATATGAGATGAAGGTCACGGTGGGAGTCAAGTGCGAAGGAGAGACTTTTACCATCTCGACCACCACGCCTTTACAAATCCTGCCTCGCAGACGTCTCACGGCCTTGCCGCATACAGGAGACGAAGACGAACAGGTGGAACCCTTACCACTGTATATGCCACGGGAGCCTTCCAACGAGCTTGCCCCGGACTATGACACACTGTACTCGCTGTCTCCGTCAACGTCTACTGTTACATCACTCACGTCGCACCCGGAAGGAATTGGGAGCTCAAGCTTCGTGTCCACTGTATCGACGCCGGCAACGACAGCGCCCACGACCCCAGAGTCGGAACTTGAACCTCCTATATTCGGGCCTGCTGATACTAGCGTGCAGTGAATGGAAAGAAGGCCCCGCGGATGTTTGAATCAGCAAGACATGTCGGAGATCTGTCTTGGAGAGAAATTGAGATTCTTGGGCACACGACCAACCGGCCGTTAGCCTGGATTACAGCGCCGAATAACTCTGCTGCCACTCATGTAATCCACATAAATACACAGGGCTGGGGCTCTTCGCAGGTGACCTCAGCCAATCATGGCTGCCTTTCATGCACGAAGGAGCTCACTTTATGGTAACTCTTTTCGTCTGTTACTTGCGCAAGGGGATAACAGCATGAGAAATGCGGCTTACTCGCAGATACCTCTCAGAAACGCAACGCATCACCTCAGCCCACTCATTGTGGGATCGCAAACACGTGTCCGAAAAGAAGATACAGTCATGTATGCTCATATACGCATCAGGACATCCAGGTATCCACATCCACATCCACATCCACATCCACAGCCACCATAGCTATACATCGAATCCGAATATCATGAGACCGTGGACCAACCAAGGAGAAAAGGAGACCAAAAAAAAAAGGAACAAGCAGCAGCCCGGCCCAGTCCACAGCCACGGCCACCTCATTTTGACGGGCGAGCTCCGGAGAGAAGAAGAAGAAGAGAAACAAGACAAGGAAAAGACAAGAAACGCCATCCCAAGAACCCACACATATCCCGACACCCCACCCTTCGCATTAACCCAGGAAAACCCCCTTCATCCATCTCCATCTTCTCTAAAAGGCATCATCGAGCATCACCTAGCGCTCCCTTCCTCTTCTTTCTTCCCCGTCTTCTTCGGCATCTAACACTCCCCCTCCAACACCTGAAAAATCCCCACCTCCATCCCAACAACGGGCCTCGGCTCCAACAACCCCAACTCCATCCCAAAGCACCTCCTTTCCTCCAACATCTCCACCTCAAGCATACTCGGCTTGCGCCGCACAAACAGCGCGCTGTGTAGGTCCAGACTCAGCCCCGAGCCCGAAGAGGAGGATGAATCGGAGCGGTAGGACCGCGGGCTGGAGTTCCGGGACTCGGGGCTCGAGGTCCGCGAGTGGTTGGTGAGCGGGGATGTGGTGCCGGTGGAGGAGGCGCTGGAGGAGGTGGAGGCGGAGGAAGGCGAGCGGGCGGTGCGGGTGGGGGAGAAGGCCGTTTTGAGACGGCGGAGGGAGGTGTGTGTTGTGCGCAGCGGGGTGAAGGATTGGAAGCGGTTTTGGCGGATGGGGGACGGCATGATGGTTGAGGTGTATTGTTTGTTGAGGGTTATGTGGTGGGTTGGTGATGGCGGATTAGAGTGTTGGTGTTCTCGTCGACAAAGGCCGTGGATTGCGGTCTATGCAGCGAATTGGCTGTGCTTCGAGGCAATCCTTCTGCCGTCCTAGGTAGATGGTGGGGATGAGAACCGGTGTTATTTGTATTTTCCGAAAGAACAACGAGTGTCAAGCTCTTGTCTCCGCGCAGCGGGCAGGTAGCCGTAGGAGTGATTGTGATTGCGTTTGCGATTTTGCCTTGCAGTCCCGATAATTCCCAAACTGTGTCTCGGATCGTCGGTTTTCCGGCTGCGAGAAAGCAAGATAGCGAGAGGCACGCAACGATCTTCCAGAAGACGTCGAAAAAAAAAAATGGCGCGGGTTATGTGAAATGGGTTGTAGAACCAGCTAGCTGATCACCCGCTGTATATTCCAACAGGGGAAGAACGAGAAACGAAGAGAGAAGAGAAGAGGCGGCAAGACAAGGCAAGACAATCAAGCAGAACAAACTCCCAAAGGAGGGGAGGGACGAACGGAAATGAATAGTATTATGAAAGGGGGAGGGAACCACAATCAAACTCGGCCCGTCCGTCAGCAGCGAGAGCCATGTTTAAGGGCATTGGGAAGGACGACGCATCCTTGTCGGAGGGGAGAGATGAAGCAGCTAGGTAGGGCTTGTGAAACCCTGCACTGGGTGTTCCATACACCGTACACGGAGTTGCCTGTGTGATCGCCCGAACCGCGAAACAGAAATCGGGGGACGGCACGCGCAGTTCTGCGACGTGCGGCAGCGGAGATGATTAGAGAAGGCAGCCATGGGTAACGGTTCGCTGTGGGAGATTTCTGTGTAAGAGTGATAAGAACGTGCGATCGCGACTATCTCGAATCCACCTTTAGGGTAACCTCCAACCACATACTGTATCACCATCTCACCGCACCACCACTAAACTCCAGCCTCAACATCGTCCTACCCTGTACAAAATACTCCATTACTTCAGCGCATCCCCTTTCCCTACCCAAAGCACACAAAACAGTCTCATTAAACCCCGGCAGCTGGCTTGATGATAGTGTTCTTTGTCCGTCCCCCAGCAGCAGCCAAGCCGACCGCGTCTCAGAAGCGTTATCCGAGTTTCACCATCAGCGTGGATTGCACAGTAAAGTCTGGCATCCGCGACACACGCAGATGCCCGCTTGTTTTGCAGGGACCCACGGCTGCTGCATTACTTACTGCATGTTGGGTCGCGCCAGAGACGCGAGAAAAGTGCTGTTGTTAGGGAGTAGAGGAGAGAAAGGAGACCTTACCGTCAACTAGTCGCCATGTCCACTACTGTGATCTGCTCTCTATGATTATGTATTACTACGGCGGCACGGCTTCTGCCACTGCCATTATGAATGAGAACAGAATAGAAAAACATAGAAGCATGGAAACGCAGGAGAGAAAAATTGCAGTGTTGGCCTCCCCCTGCGCCGTCGCTATGCACTCGCCTGCTCTATTTGATCAAGATAAAGGAGACCATGAGAGAGTTTAAAGGGAAAAAAAGCAAGGCCCCTCATCCCACTACTACATTATCATCCATTCCCATCCGCCATTATTTGCCGTAGCCATTCCATGCCTTAGCTCTTCATAGTCATCCTCCTCTCTTCTGCGTGCGTACCAAGCATTTCCATCATGAGGCACCCTCCTCTCCATTATTGCGAGACTCCTCCCCGTGTTGTCGCGCATGCCTGCACGTATGCATCGTGCCATCCCCAAACGCGACCCAGCCGAGACCGTATCCGCGGCCCCTGCGCCTGTCTGAGACCGCATCCGCGACCTTCCGATGACGATTCTGTAACCTCCGACGAACAGCCCCTTGCCAGACCCGCGCTAGGCCGATTGAGTCGACGGCGAACACCAACAGCCTGCTCATCATGGTTCTTCCATTCCTCCCATGATTCTGCGAGTGAAACATGAATCCTCCGTGAATAGTGTCATGGACGTCGCCAGACAGCCTGGACTGGCCCTGCCCATCAACCCACTTTTTCTAAAGCGCCAAAAATAGTCCAACCCATACCTCCATCATCACCTCCCGCCAGAATGACCCGATCTCCGCTGCGTGAAGCTTCTCCGAATACTCTCCCCCCAGGCGGAATTATCCAGCACCTCCAAGACATCCGCCGCGCTGACTGCGCTATTCGCCCTGCTGCGAGCACCTGTCGCCGAACCATCTGGCTCGAGCGGACTAGGAGGGCGACTGAGCGCTGACGCAAATTGCCATTCGCCGTCTGCTGGCGGGGAGAAGGGCGACATTTGCGGCGAGACTCTGGACGGTGAGAGCGGCGAGGCTCGAGTCGGAGATTGTTGTGGGGTTGTCTGTATGGAGTTCGCGCGACTGCGCAATGTCATATCGCCCGGCGGGGAGGGGGATCGTGCATCGCTGCCTGAGGCGCGCCAGTCGCCGTAATCCCCGGCGTGGAGATCCACGGGTGTAAAAAGGGAGCCGCCGGGGGTAGAGTAGTTTCCGCGATTCGCATCTGTGATGTCTTCATCGTCGACAAAGATTTCCGGGACTGTGAATTGGGGTACAGCTGTCATGCGGCCGGACTGTTTCTGTTCAATGGCACGGCGGAAGCGGCGTGTCCAATATAATGTGTCGAAGAAGCCTTTGACAACGTTGCGGCGCACTTGCTCTTCTACACGTTGCATGCGTGCTCGACGGCGGAGGAACTCTTCTAATCTGTATATATCGTTAGCGGCGGCAACAGCGGGGCGTTGAGGGAGACTCACCTCAAGCTCTTATTATCGTTGATAACCTTGTAATGAGCTAGTATCATGAGCAGAGAAGTGAAGCCAATGCCTCGGTCAGGATCGCTCGAGACAAGCACTTCTTCATAGAAAGTATTCATGCGATGTCTGCGTCGCCGAATCTCCGCCACAGGCAGATGTGCAAGCCGCTCGTTCAGTTTGTTGAGATCGATCTCGGCTGTCGGTTCGTGACCCTGGACAGGGAGATGAGACTGCCTTCTCCCGGGAGCACTGCATTCCTCGATGAGCCTTCCGACTGTGAAGTCGCCATCGTAGATGCGCATCTCGAATATACCAGAGAGTTCCTAAATTGACCCAGTCAGTGAGGAGCATAAGACAGAAAGAGCCGCTGTACTTACCCCCAGAAGACGAGGGAACACTTCTTTCGAGATGTAACCAGTACCGTTGGGATCGAATTCTGCCCAAGCCTGTTTGAACCGGCGAATTTCTTCGCGGCTGATGACAGACAACCCGCTGCTCCGCTGGTACACGTAACTGAAACTTTCGTAGATCAACGAGACGAACAAGTTGACAAAGATGTACATGCTCAAGATATTCCAGCTGATGAAAAGGGCACGCGCCCATTCAGGGCTCCCGCAGTCGCTGTCAAAGAATCTGGCGGCGTTCGTGCAGAAGGGCTTGTCGACAGTCGCGAAGTCTTCCATGATCTCGTTCCATCCTTCTCCGATACTCGTCCGGAAGAGAAGAATGAGAGCTTTGGGCACGTTGCGGAAATTTACGTTTCCAGTTTCGTTGGCCCCAAATCGGGTCAGACCGAATGTCTGTGTAAGAGCGATGGCGTACACCAAGAAAAGTACGAACCATGTTGCTAGAAGATTCGCTATCGCTGCCAGACTTGCTGCCGCCGTTTTGAACAGTTGATCCAGTTGGTTATTGCGCGGTATAAGGAGTAATGCGATGGAAACAAGGCAGAGTTTGTGCAGTTGGATGAAGGCTCGCTGCGTGGAGTTCGTGAGAACGAGGATTGATGTAATGAAGGTGCCCGAGACAGCTAGGATGGAGAAAACGTCCCATGAACTCTTCCGGAATCGCTGCCACGTCAGGCCGATGATGCGGATAATCACATTGGCAATGAATATGATCGTAAATAGAAGGAAAATATAGTCTAGAATGGTCAGTGTACATACAGTCACGTTCGCATAAAATGACTTACCTCGTGCGCGCTCCCATGGGCCATAGCCTGGGTACCATTCGAGACATAACAACACGAGGTGAACACATAGAAGGCCGGTGATGAATCTCTGCCAACGGCCGGTCTTACGGACCGCACGTCGGTAGCACCATTCCTCCCATGTTTCTCTCTGCTTCGTCGACGAAGGCCTCTTGGACGGAGATACTTGGCGAAGCAGCTTGCGAAGTTCGAGCCAGGATCGTTGATCCGTCGTGAGATACGCTACACCAGTCTGTTCGGTGTAATTGCGCATGAAGACGGAGACGAACAGGGTCAACACGAAGACCGCTCCAAGCAAGTTGAAGACGATGAAGAAGACCGCGTTACCTTGCGAAGCAAAGTCCCGAGGCTGCGTGAAGACGCCGGTGATACTCTGAGCTGCCCACATGACGCCTGTCCATCCCTCCTGTGAAACGATCTGAAAGAGGATGAACAGGGAATTTCCAAAGTTGTCGAAGTCGAAATATGGGTTCGCAGCAACTCGCGGGGCGAGGACATCCCAATCAAACGGGCTGCTCGAATACTCGTGAACGCAGTCATGGAGGTTGAATATGTCAGGGGTGCGGTCGTTGCAAAAGGCAAACCGTCCGACGAACAAGTTCAGCCCGTAGAGGGCGAACGGAATGAGCAGGCTCAGCGATACAAAGAACGCCGAAAGCACTTTCCAGCCTCCACGTACTATTACAGAGTGGAAGTGGTCCCGCGCGCTGTCGCTGATGTTCAGAAGCCGAAGTGCTCTGAGCGCTTTGAAGGCCCCCACTGTGCGAGTGACCTGCCCTTCGTTGTAGAGTGAAGTGATGACATTGGCCCACAAAGTGGCCAGCACCACACCATCGATGAAGCCCCATGACCCCCGGAAGTAGGCATTGGGGGTAAAGAAGAAACCATCAGCAATGACTTTGATCAAAGCCTCAACGGTAAAGAGAAGGGCAAACCCCATGTCTGTGAAGACGAACCAATTCTTGACGCTAAACTCATGCTTCTTGAAATACTCCCGCTGGTATAACGGAGTGGTGACGCAGGCTAGAAGGACCATAGCAATAATAGCGGCATAGATGAAGGCTGAGAAGGCGTACCACACGGGAACCGATGGTGCGACGCCTTCGATGCGGTCATTCCCACGCCCTGGTCCTACGATGCGCTGACAGAACCTCCGGATCGGATTAGTCGGCTTGAATACGAACAGAGAGACGTTATAGTTGGGATACTTCCGCAAGTATTCTCTTTGGGCCCTCTTGCGCTTCTCTGTCGCTGTCACCACCTCCTTCGCCATCCGCCTGGGATCGAGGTCCTCGTACGCTCGACCGAAATCTAGAGGAGCGTAGAACGGATTGGGTTCGCCGTGGCTGATCCTGCGCAATATGCGTTGCCACAATGTGGACACCTTCCCCGAGCCCGGCATTGTGGGCGTTGGTTTCAGGTTCCCAGGAGCGGGTTCATCGACATGAGGGCTCGTTATGTCGTCTCTCTCATCAAGGAAATCGCGAACCACGGCATCCTTCAGGAGCATTTCGGTGGCAGCGGCTCCGTAATCGAGAGGATCCTTGCGCGAAGAATGCCCGATTTTGAAGATGGACGACAGCGAGAGGTTGCCGTATGAGGAGCTGAAGCCTTGCTCTTTCTTCTGAAGAAATGCCTTCACTTGTTGGAGACGCTTTTCATCTTCCGAGACGTCAAAATTCTCTTGAATGACAGCAATAAACATGTTCAGGACGATAAAATTGGCGACGATATACCAGAGGATGCAGAAAGCGGCTCCAATCCATGCTGTTCCAAAAGGTTTCTGGTAGCTGGTGACGGTGTACAAGATTGAAGTCCAGTTCTCACTGGAGAGCATCACGTACATTCCGAGGAAGGCGTTATAAATCGTGAAGAAGGAGTATTCGATCGTCTCTCCGTCAGACGTCTGCGGCAGTTCTCCACGAAAGAGCTGAGTGGCGAAAATCGACGCAAGGAAGGTCAACAGGAACACAAAGAGGATGAGATTCAACAAACCACCCACATTTCCCAAAACGATCATGATAAGATCGCGTGTCATTGGTACAGCCAGGACCACGCGGTATATCCGAACGATCTGGAAGACGGTCAGCCAGGCATAAGCCTGACCATCATGGGCCCGTTTGATGGCAGGGATCTGGATGACGGTTGTGACGATGGCAATGAGAAGGTCGAAAAGATTCCGCTTGCTTTGGAAGAAGTGCCTCCAATCGACGACAAATCTGATCACAATCTCTCCGAGCAGTATCAGGGTGACGCCCGTCTCAAAGACATCGATAAACCTGCGGCGTGCATCGCTCATGTTTGCACTTCGAAAAGCCTGAACCATGATGCCGCTGGCGATAACCAGGATCCATACCCAGGAGGTTTTGTCGTACAGCCGCTTGATTTTGCTGACCCGCCGTTTGGAAACTCCCTCTCCATCGACCTCCTCGTCCTCGACTATTTCTTCTCCCGTGAATGCACTGGCCTTACTCTCTTCGCGAATGATCTGAAACGTTGAGGTGATGACCGCTATCAAGAGAGAGATCAACCATAAACTGAGAATCAATATGGCAACGCCGAAATATAGAGCGCCGATGAGGTAGTCGCTGTCTGCCACAGTGTACAGCAGATCTGACCAAGTATTGGATGACATAACGACAAAGACCAACTCCAAGGAGTGGAAGATATTGTCAAAACTCTGGGTATCATTGAATGGGTTCTGGTCTTCCATGCAGAGGGATCCCTTGGGACAGAGAAATCCTTTGTGAGTGCCCGCTGGCATTCCCGCAGCGGGTATATAGGGCTCCGGGATAATCGCATCGGAGACATTTCGGAGATGGCCACCACAGAACTGCTTGGTAGGGAACTTTTCTCCAGATGTCGGATCGATGTAGACGCAATGCCGTCTGAAGCTTGACTTGAAACTTTGGACACCGACAATGGCAAAAAGAAGCCAGAAGAAGCCGATCAAGAAAGCTACATTCACCAGCAAAGGCGCTGCTTTCTTCAAACTGCGCAAAATAACCTGAGAATGTTAGCAAAGCAACAACGACGAATGGCACAGATACTAACCGATGTGCCACTGGTGAGATTGAGCAAGCGTATAATGCGAAGACAACTCAACATTCGGAAAATGTAAATATGATGCTGTTGTTCAAAACCAAATTCGCTCAGTGCAAATGCGATCCAGAAAGAGATGACGGCGAGGAAGTCAGTCCTGTTAAAGGAGTGGCGAAGATACGCTCGATGGGCTAATCGAACACGCTGCTGTTGCCGTGCATCCCCTGGCCCAATGGACGGATTCATCTGCGCCGTAGTAAAGGTTCGCAGTACCGAGGGTTGCTCAGGAGCCAAATTGGGATCAGCTTGCTTCAGCGAGGATTGTCGTTGTGGTCCTCCCAGGAGTTGCCGGGCTTTATTCTTTATCGCCTCCCTGAGACCCACCTGTCTATTGATCGTGCTGTACTCGACCGGGTTGATGATGAAGCCAGAGACGATTACGCGAATGCAGACCTCGATGGTGTATATGATGAACAGAGCAAGAAGAGCTTTATCAATCCAACTCACTCCCCATTTGGTGGAACGCGGATGTTTGAATACGTCCTGGCTTGCATCGACCGCTAACAACACAGTTTGAATTATGATTAGGACGAGTAGTAGAGGTTCTGTGACAGGATGGACGAGGAGGTCGCAGAGCCACAGTCTCAATTTGTTCTCCGGAGAGAAGATGCCCAAGGTACGCCCTTTGAGAGGGTTTGGAGGACGCTGCCATTGTACACTCGGGCGCTTGAAGTGAGTCGGGGAAGGTGGTTTTTCCAGCGGGGACGTTGGGGAAGTGGCGTCATCATGGGCATATTCGGGAAAGACGGGGAGGGAAGGCGGCTCCTGGAGTCGAGCATGACGCAAAGAGGACTTCCTTCGCATGGTACGCTCAGCGATGTCGGGTTCACTGCTGATGTTCACGACGCGCTGGGACATGTTGCGCACGATGGTCCCCGCGCGATGTAGTGGTGAGACATCGCCAGGCGTGAGCGACCGCTTGCGGGCCGAAGACTCGCGCCGGCTCGCGGCTTCCAGATAGCCAATGTCATCTCCACCTTTCGACACGGGAGTGGTAGCCTCTGGAGTTAGAAAGCGCACGCTCTGGAAACTACCAGCTCTTTCGCGATGGGGCGAAGCCGCAAGAGGAGCACCACTTATGGGCTGTAGATTGCGAGAATCGGTCAAGCGTGCAGTGTCCTCATACGATGCGGCCGGAACGTAGCCTTGGTCTTCGGATTCTGGTCTTGACAGATAGGGATCGGTTGGGTAGGGCTGGTAGGACATCTCTGAGGACATGGGAGTGGGTATGGGCGGCGAGGTTTCTCCGTGAAATCCCATATCTGGGAGCCCGGAAAAGCCAATGGCGGCCTGGAAAGCGCCTGCGTCTTCCAAAGGCGAGTATGCTCCATCTTCCGGCTCTTGGGCGGTTCCCTGGTCATACGAGAAGGAGGTTTGGATCTGGGGACGGCTGGCGGAACGTGTCGGGCTGGGCGAGGCCTCTGCTATAGGCACGTATTGCGGCGTCCAATGCTGTCCGGTTGCTATTGAGGCGGACTGCCTGAGCAGATTCCTTCCGCGATCGCTCAGTGTCCGCCTATGCGGCTGCGCCGCCCCTGGCGCATAGCCTTCGTTGTCGTCCGGCGGGCGATTGAGGTCTTGGAGGGGTATTGACTGAGGACTAGGGCTTCGGCGGTAATGGCTGGGATCGGAGGAGGACATTGGAAGTCTTCAAGCTCCGGTGGGATATGCCACTCTTCATCTGGGCGCGACGCTCAGCTCATGGAGGGGCCCGGGAAGAATGGCGCGGATGGATAGGGATGCGGGCGATGGCGTAAACGAGCGGCGGGAATCAATCGGGCGTAGGGACGGAGAGCGGAAGCGCGAAGAGGGCGCAGATGGTGTTGAAAGGTGTACGAAGGTGTTTGCGGGAGAGGGAACATGTGGCGGAGCAAGATGGGTGGAGGTGCTTTGTAGGGCTAGTGTCCTCCGCGTCAGCGTTGGGTGAGCACTGAGCAGCCTCGGGCTACCTGCGTCGCAAGCCATGTTATTAAATAACCTCAATATTGTAGTCGGTCAAGGACAGGAATATGTAGTAGCAAGTACGGATAGACGTCTGATTGTACAGTTCCGTATTGTGGATGCTACACAGCACAAGGGCCATTATTCTTCTAGGGTTGCTCAGAGAGAGGTCCTGCATTTTGCGCACCCTGCTAGACGTTGATATGGTCGATTTATTTACTGAAATGCTCCATACTCCGTACATGGTTCTCTGCCACATAGAACATCCCTATCTCGACATCCAATCCCCAAAACAACTTTGTTGGTATTTTCCCTTCACCCTTTGTAGTATGTAGGATGTTCCTGTTGCCCTCCACACACAGGAGCAAGGGGGAGTTCCGGGGGTGGGAGATCTGGAGACGCGGCATCCATGTTGCAAGGTTGCGGCAATCGGCCGTCCACGCTAGCCTGAAATCGGGATGGCGTCGCAGCAGAGCTTGGCGCGCGATGATTTTGGGACCGACAGTCGCGCTCATCATCGTCCAAAGGCCGCGCCGAATCTCTCCACCTAATTAAGCACTTCACCACGACCACCTTCACCATCCTGCTTGCCCGTCGACTGCTTTGGTTTACGACCGCCGGAGACTTGCTTGCCTCCTATCGCCGACGCTTTCGCCATACCAGTTTATTATATCGATTGCCACGCTTCCATTACTTTTACCCCAACGCGTCGCCGCACGGCACGCCCGCCCATCATGGTCTCACGGAAACGCGACCGGGACGAGATGGAGGCTGAGGGTCCTGTAGAGGAGCCCTCGATGCTGCAGAAGCTGCGCAATATGTGGCAGTTTGCCAATCTTGCTCAGTATCTGAATTTGTTCATTGAGGCTTTGCGAATCGACAGCGACTTCGACATCGAGGTACGCCGGACTGGCCTAGAGCTGCCACTTCTAGCCATGCGCTGGATGTCATGAGGTTTACCGGATGCTGACTATCGCCTAGGACCTCGAAAACGAATGCCTCAAACCCGAGCCTTCACGCAAACTTGCTGAGATTGGTCTTGCGCTTCTCAAGCATGTCTCATCGCATAAGGGACTGACGTACGCCCCTTCTCCCCGCCTCTTCCGATATACGTTTCTCACACACATCTAGGCTCGAGATATTCGATGAATACGCGAGACGCCAATACGTTGCCAAAGCATCGCAGCGCAATCCCTTTGGCACCGAAGAGACGCCCAACAAGTTCGACGACTTCGACGTCTTCACCAAGATCAAGGTGTTACAGCAACTCTCCGTGTGGACGCTGAACAATCCGAATTCGATAAGGGAAAAGCTCAATGCAACGGAACGTGAGCAGGTGAATTGGGTATGCATCGCCTTACCTCCTCTGCCAACCCTCTTGCTAATGCACTCTCCAAGCGCATTGAACCAATAGGGTGGGATCGCGAGGGTCGCACTATCTACGTGCTGGACGACAACCGCCTATATCGGAAGACAGATCCACCGCCGCCTCCACCGCCGTCCAAAGCGAAATCGAAGAAGAAGTCCAAGAAAACCCGAGGCACGCGTTCTAGCAAGCGGAGGAAGACGACCACACCGGAACCAGAAGATGCAGTCGATTGTGAAGAGGAGGCTGAAGGAGACGGGCCCAAGGAGCCGGAAGACGACGGCTTGGGCGGGAGCAAGTGGGAATGCCTCTGTGTTACGCTAGAAGATTATGAAGCATACATGAATTCGATCCGGAAGAGTAGGGATGAAGATGAGCAAGACTTGTATAAGAACCTCGAAAGCGAAGTCCTTCCCATCATCCATCAGCAGGCAGAGGAGCGTGCCAAGAAAGAAGCGCGGAGGCTGAAAGAGCAGGAAGTCCTCTTGAAGCTTGCGACGGCCAAGCGCTCTAGCAGAATATCTTCGAGGCTCGAAAAGCAAAAGGAAGCCGAGGCGGCGGCAGAAGCGGAGCGGCAACGGCAGGCTGATCTGGCAATGGCCCGAGCGGAACAGGAGAAACAGCGGATGCTTGAACAGGTTAGTTTGCACGCTCTATCCCGTCCGAAGCATGTCTGACAAATAATAGGAGCGTGACTCCAGGAGGATGACGCGAGAGCAACGGCTGCGAGAGCGTGAAGCCAAGCGCATCCTTGAAGAGGAGCATCTGAGGAAGCTGAAGGAGGAGGAAGAGAAGCTTGCAAATGGAGCCGAAGGCCGCATTTCCGAACGCCACCTCAAGGCAGAGATGAAACGCCGAGAGGATGAACTCCGGAAGCTAAAGGAGGAAGAGGAGAAGTGGATGTTTGACTGCGAGATCTGTGGGGTGCATGGGATCTGCTATGTATGTCTTCACCCTCTGCCTTGGAATATTGGCGATGCTGACCGTGACCAGGACGATGGTAGTCATAGCATAGCATGCGAGCGCTGCAATGAGTGGCAGCACAGTAAGTGCCACAACATTTCACCAGAGGAGGCAGACCGAGAAGACTTCCACTTCATCTGCAAACACTGCAGGCGCAAGGAAGAAGAAGCAAATCAGCCAAAACTACCGCCCTTGAAATTCAAGATTTACAGACCCTCGAATGAAGCACCACAGTCGAACGGAGCATCGACAGGCACCGCGTATCAGCAATTGAGTGCTGTCGAGATCCCTGCCCTTAGGCCGACCACGGCAGTGGGCAGTGGCCAGCCACCACATCATGCAGCGTCCTTGCTTGATGGACCGACTCTTTCCCCACGCGGTCAAGAGAGCGGTCCACCACCAGGTATCCAGCGGGCTGAGCCTGTCTCGTACACCGCCAGCCCTCACACAAACGGGAGCTCTCCGGTACGGCAACGTACCTATGCCCCTAACCAAGAGGGATTCCGCAATGGTCTTCCAACATCCTCACCGCCGCCATTCCACGGCTCACAACTCTCCACCGTACCCTACTCCAGCTTCAACTCCACCGTGAGCGAGCTCAATGGCGCCCCATCCGCACCTCCGCACCTACCCAACGGCAACAACAACACCTTCAGTCGACCTACCTCCTCCGCCGGCCCCGGCCATGGGCCCAACCCCTTTTCATCGCCGGTCAAACACTCCCCGGCGCCCTCCCCAAAACCGACCAACACCCTTCCCAACCTCGGCATGTCCCCATACTCGTCCTTCCCGCCCAACCCAACTCAAGCCCCATCATTCTCGCCCACCAAACACAGCTCGCCACCTCCACCACGACCGTACCTCTCCTCCCCAGCCCCGATTCACGCATCCCTTCACCAATCTCATCAACCATCTCCATCAACGCAAAACGTCCTTCCCGCGCCGATTCCGGCACCAGAAAAACACGATCGCCCGGCTTCGAGTCATGGCTATGGAGGGTCTGGATTCGGATATCAGAATGCGCAACATCCGAATGTGATTGTGAGTACGAGCGTCATGCCGCCCGCGCAGGCACTGAGTCCGGATCATAAGCCGATAAATTTGAGTCCGCCGGTAAAGAAGATGAGTCCCGTGGGGACGCCTGAGAGGGGTTCGGGGGTTGGGAATGCGATTGGGGGGGATGTTGGTGGAGGGGTGAGTCAGTAGTATTGTGTTCAGAAAGAGGAGGTGGAAATATTTATCGGTTTGGATGATAATAGCCTGGATTCCGCGGTGATGGTCGTTTGTCTACTCCCTGGGACAGGACAGCCCGCCGGAGTTCCTGCAGCATTTGGAGAAACAAGGGAGACAAATGCGGGCATTGGGTACGGGACAATGTGATGGGATCTGGATCTAGCGTCTGCATGGCATTTGCATATAGATGGTGCGAGGGTTGATTTTCATCTTCTACACCTAGGTGGGGATATGTAATGGTGTTGGCGTTGCATTGCTTTGCATTGGGTAGCGGGCGTTTTTTGAAATCTGGATGAGGCTTCTTCAGCCGAGGATGTGAAAGGAAAATGCATGTGTGTGAATATCTTCCTTGCTCTGACCATGCTGGTGCATATCCGTTGTCTATGAATATATTCTCCAGGTAATTGGAAATACCTTGCATGTGGCAAGGGGTTGTGAGCCACGGTGGAGTAGCTGGCGCATACATACACCTAGGTATGTAGAATCATCTCGTTCCGAGACAACATGGAGCAATTTGGAGTTGACACTGCAATTGAAGTTCGCAAAATAGGATATAAAGTTGAATGATTCCATGAGAAGCACAAAGGTCTACACCAAGGCACGAAGCAAGCGATGTCGAACCCTGCCGCACGCTTTAACTCGCTTCGATACAAAGCATCCTGATTCGATCAAAAGTAATCTGTACACGCTGTCGTCCGCAGCTCCCGCAAAGCCTCACACTAGGGATAACACTACTCTAGCACTCCAGGGGAAACTTCCGCTTCCGGTCGGCTGTGAAGGCACCCCAGGTCGTCTCGTCGGCAGCCTTGCCGTTATCGCCGATGGAGGCAGGCTTCCAGGGCTCGTCAAAGGCCTCGAAGTAGAAAGCGTTGTAACCCCAGTCGAGCAGGGAGCAGAAGCCGTGCTTCCAGAAGTACGCGGCATTTTCGAGGCCACCCTTGGCTTTGTCGTAGTCGGTGCCAACTGCAATCGGTTATGTCAGTCATGTGGTTTTCTGACAGAGAAGGAGGGAAGGAAATGGTAGGTGCGTACCAGCAGTGGGCCATCCAGTCTCGCCATTCCAGATCTCGGGCTTCTTATCCCACCCGCCAGCAATCTTCTCAATGTGCGTAATAGCCTGGTACATATCGTCCAAATAGACATGCGTGGCATTCTCTTTGCTGGCGCCCTGCCAGAACGCAAAGGCATTCACCATGATGATATCCGCCGTGCCGATGATAGGGTCCGCAGTGCCGTCAGCGAACTTGTTCCAGCTGTCCGCAGTGCCGACCTTGATGCCCTTGGGCAGCTGCGACTTGACGGTGTTGATCTTGTCCTTGAGCTCCGCGCCGGTGAAGTTTCCGCGGTAGAGGGTCTCGGAGCCGACGGTGACGGCGTAGATCTGGTCCTTGTAGGTGGAGGCAACTGACTTGATGGCATTGAGGTCGTCGTTGAACGATTCTTCCACGTCCGGCCTATACAAGAAGAAAGCTTGTCAGTCATGTACAACACGTATTGCTTGGGTTTCGACATACCAGATTCCCAGGACAACCTTGAAACCCTTGTTCTTCGCAGCGGGGAGCGCGTTCTTTGCGAAGTTGCAGTCGTGAGCCGCGTATCCGCGGACAACTTTGGTACCAGTAGCCTTCTCAAGAGTATCGAAATCAAGTTCGTAGTCTTGTTGTGTCTTGCATTTGCCCTGGAGAAAGGTTAGCAATGATGAAGCAGATACGCGTGGTGGGACGATACTCACATCAGACTCCTTCGTGCCCAGGGCAAAGCCCATGGTGCCCCTAGCGGCAGACACCATGGCAGGTGCCACAGCCAATGCAGTTGCTGCGACGGCCGAGAAACGCATAGTGGAAGACTGGAATCGGGAAAGGGAACGCTGGATGGAAGTTCTGTGAATGAAGGGGCGATGGAAGAAAGCGGGTTCTGGATAATGAGGGAATAGCAAAAGAGCGGCGAGTTAAATAGAAGGCAAAAGACAGACTAAGAAGGGATACAAGAATGAGTGAATCGGCGTGAGTAAGGAGCGGTCGTTGACGGCGTTGACGCTGCGATGAAGGGGAACCGGGGACCGGGAGTTTCGGCGCCGCAGCGCCACGGTGGGGTGAACCAATGAGAAGCCGACATCGTTTCAGGAGCTTGGTTGGAGGCTTGGCGCCAGAATCTTAATCTCGGAAGCACGTGCTGGTCAACCTCCACTGTTCTCCACCAACCTGGTTCCCACTGAATACATCATCTCTTCGCCACTGCCCGACCATACAACTTGCAAGCGGCCATGGTTATGTCCCTCTCCGTGCATCGTACAGTTATGCCACGATAAGTGGGCCTCAAAATCGTGCTCCAATCTTCCACGTCACAGCCGCACCGACAAAGCCCTTCGATTTTTCTTCCGTAAAGGAGATTGTGTGTGCTGTCTGAGATGTGATTCGCATGGATTCCGATATGTAGGGAATAGGAAAAGACATTATTCGGTACAACTCCTGAAAAGGAGCCGAAAGGTATGAAGGTACTTGTAAATACAAAAAGACATCAGGTATCACAATACCGATAGTCTATCCACATTCAACCATACTCCACGCTCTAGACCATCCTCCTCAGGACCTGCGCCTCCGCTTCACGCCCCACTTGCCCGACTGTCCGATCTCCGTATCCCACCCGGCCCGAAGCTCTCTCTTGTGTTCACCCGGTCAATGTCGTACGGGTTTGGCTCATACTCGAGTGTGGCGGTCTTCCTCTGTGACCTATGTGACCTGCCCGTGGTGGTCCTCTCCAGGCCTCCCTGTGCTTCCTGGGCCGTCTTCATTTCTTCAAAGCTTGGCTCTGTGTTATCTGCGTCCTGGTCATTGACGGCTGCTGTTCCTGAACTCGTTTCTGACTCGGGTTCGGCGGCGGTGGCAGCTGCTAGAGCTGCGGCTCTGGCACGCATACGCTCCATGAAGGCTTCGGCTTCGGCGGCATACTTGCATTTCTTGCGGATTGTTGCACCGTACTTGTACAGGATAAAGGGGAAGACGGCGCAGGCAACTGACAAGAACGCCGGAATCATTGATGCCCAGTGGATGCCTAATCATCTCAGCTTTGTCCTCACGGGCGAAGAAGTCATTGCACTTACCTAGGTTCCGATACATCTGGAATGTGAACAGCGGGAATGCAGCACCGAAGAGCGATCGAAGTACGCCGCTACCAGCTAACACCGACGCAGCAAACACAGTATAGGCATCGACGAGATAGCTGAACAGCGATAGGAAAACGAGAAGCATTCCAAACCCAAAGGGAATCGCAGCTGCTACACTTGCCGGCCAGGGGAGAGACGGTGAGTTTGTCCAAGAGAACCAGAACAGGCCGATGGGGAGCACAAGGCCTCCGACCATTGCTGACGGCAAACGATCTTCAGGGGTTGCAACACCGTTGGGAGAGTTCTTGATGCATCTCTGGTACCGGACGTTATCGTAGGTTAAGACGAAAACTAAGGCGAAGAACATCCCGATAGCGACGCCGATGAAGGGAAGGCCAGCTACACCCTCATTCCAACCGCGGCCGCGGTAGACGATGGGGAAAGCACCAAAGAGGAGGTACAAGATGCCATAGACGATTGCCTGAGAATCTTTAGTATTGGACCGATTGCAGCTTGACCGGTAATACATACCATGTAGAGGCTCAGAATCAAGACGATCGGTTCACAGAAGAGGAGAAGCCATGGCCTCTTCAAATTCGTCGAGAACGCTTCGGTCACGGTGAGCTTGCCCTGCTCGATTTCGCCACGAGTTAGGTAGACCTTTCCAGTGTGTCTGGACAAGGCAGCCGCACGCTTCCTCAGGAGAACCGGCGCGTAGCTTTCCGGTACAAGGAAGACGCACAAGATTCCGACGACTCCGGAGAAGATAGCCATCAGTCCCTCAACCCACCTCCACCCTTCAGTCATCCCCAGAAATCCGGAGACAATGGGCCCTATGACGGGTCCCATAAAGGGCGCCATACTGAAAATCGCCATGGCCACGCCACGCTCTTTCGCCGTAAACATATCCGCAACCACCCCTCCAGCGTTGGTGAGGGGGCTAGAGCCAAAGGCACCAGCGAAGAATCGCAGGATAAGCAACGTCTGGATATTCTGCGATCCCCCAGCCCCAGCATTGAAAGCCGTGAAGGCCGCAAACGTCCCACAGAACACAACTTGACGACCATACAACTCGGACATCGGCGCCCATATCAATGGCCCTAACGCAAACCCCAAAACGAACAAGCTCATCCCCGCAGTCGTAAGCGTCTGCGACGCCTTAAGCTCCACCATGACCTGGGGCATGCCCCCTGAGTACGCCGACGAGCAGAACGCTACTACCAATGTGGCCAGCGCCATGGCGCCCGTATAGATCCATTTCCTGGTACTTCTCCAGGTGATGGGGTTCCGTGGATCGTTGTCTATCCATTCGACGACATAGGGATCTTCTTCGGTGCCGGAGCCTTCGTATGGAAAGTCGATGATTTCTTGTGTTAGGACGCCTTGGTCCAGCATGAGTTGGGTGTAGGAGATTTTGGACGAGAAGGAGCTGCCGGACTCCATGTCCGCGGGACCTTTCTCCATACCCGATACTTTCGTATTCCACGTCGTCCGCAGTGGTGGCTATATGCGAAGGGGGATTGAGGCAGTCGATATGGGAGGATCGAGTAAGAGAGTGTACCTGGAGGAATGGTTGTCGGTTCCACAGAAGACAGGAGTCGAAGAACGATTAGGAGATTATGCAAGTACTCCGACACGAGATTGTGACAAGTACAAGGGTGAGCAGTCACAGATGAAAAGAGATCCGTGGTATTGTATGCTCGCGCAAGCCGGAGGCACCCACACAGGCATATATATCCATCAAGCAATCCCCCTTGACACATTCTTCTTTCTTCGACTCCTTCGAATCCACACAGGCACCAATGGATGGTCCGAATCATGACGGAATTAACGCCCATGTCCGCAGTGACTTCGCATGTATCGCATTTTGGCACCCCATTATCAGGCTTGTCCGAGGGCTCGGCCGAGCTAGCAGGAATATATACTGTCGTACGGTATACTTATAGTAGTGCTGCGTCAACGTGCAGCGGAGGATGCCCAGGTGGCTGAGATAGTGCCCGTGAGAGGCTCGTTCGGGAGACCGTAGGGCTGGTGGGTTGCCCGTGCGGTGTTGGAATCTCGAGTAGGCTAGGCCCGAAAGAGAAATTACCGAGGTTGGTTTTTAGTGCGGTGAATGAGTTTTTCAGTGTTGGGAAGGGGGGATTTGCTTTGCTGAGATCGGGACCGGGGGATTTGGGAGAAGCGAGTTGGGGACACGAGGCACTGTGATTAGTATTCAACGGGGTGGATTTTTTTGTCCGTCCCTCCATACTCTTCTCATGCTCATGGAACTCTGCCCACGTGCATGCGGGCGGGTACGCAACCGCCCTTGAAAAAAAATATAGAAGTATCATGATTAGTATATCAACGCCGCTTGGGCGTCTGTAAATAACGTTATGCTCCTAGCCTGATGTGATAGCATCTGACTGTACCTAGTTAGGTACATCTGGACGCACCGAACAGCGGTGGACCCACGAAACCTGAATACGCGGAAGAGCGGGACGAAGACTTTCAAGCCATGCTGGTCTGGACTTCAGATGAGTCGGAATCGGGCTTTGGTAGCGCCGATGGTACCGAGGCGCTGTTTCCAGTGATTGATATGTATCGATATATCCATATATCCATGGATCTTTGAGAAGATGATGGGAGGCACACCGCTTCTTGTAGAGCGAGTCTCACATGTACACAGTATAAAACTAAAACCGCAATTGTTTACCTTATAAGCTAGAATTATTTGATTCTAATCGCCCGAACACAAGGAGCGAAAAAGGTCTAGCAGCTTCCCAGGCTGATGCTGAGTCACGCAGTATTGCACCGATTCAGCTGCTCGACCTTTTTTGACATATGGAGGGCCGTGGTTCAAGTCTCACTGTCCATGATTTTGATTATTTTTGCATTTGAGTTCAGTGCCCAGGTGCTCTTCGGAGCCATAGCATATTGATAACTAAGTTTTACTGTGTATGCTTCGGAGTATAGGAAGCTGTCACGCCACTGCATCCACTTGTTGAGCGGGTTCATCAGCTGGCCGTATGCGCTAGTCGTTCGTCTATCGCCTCATCTGATCTGGTTATATATGCTTACTGCGTTGAAGTCTCCGAGGCAAGAGTTTCAATGCCTCCATGCACTGCCCAGGAGCATATAATGGAATCAGTTCAAAATTGTGGGTCTCCCATTTGACGAAACTAGGATTACACGATATGTGCTGCTACCCTTCGAGCAGTGAAGTATCCTAAGTTCAAACCAAACCCTAAATGACCGGAACACGCTCCCAATGGACGGCCATCCGTATTCAACCCTAATCAAAGCCAACTTTTGCCTCGTCTCAATATACCCCCCCGTCGAATACTGTCAGGTTTCACTCCTCGTTACTCGGATACAGCACCTTCTCCGTCGAGCAAAACTCCTCCTTAATGGCCCTCATATTCACAAACCTGGCCAACAATGTCGCACTTCCAGCCTTGTCATTCGTCCCGCTAGCCCTCGACCCACCAAACGGTTGCTGTCCCACCACCGCACCCGTACACTTGCAGTTGATGTAGAAGTTGCCCGCTGCGTTGCGGAGGGCGTCCTCTGCGAAGCGGATCGTCTCGCGGTCTTTCGCAAATACGGCGCCTGTGAGGCCATACTCGGAAGTCTGGTCGATGGTCTTACAGATGTCGCTGAAGGCATCAGGCGCACTATCTTCGTACACGTAGACGACGAGGATGGGCCCGAAGAGTTCTCGGGAGAGGAGCGGGTGGTTGGGATTCGTGGTCTGGTAGACGGTAGGATGGATGTAATAGCCCTCGCTGTTGTCGTATTTACCCCCGACCAGGAGCTGCAACTCTTTGTCCTTCTTTGCTTCATCAATAACGCGGGACAGTTTGTTGAAGCTCGCTTCGTGGATGACAGGACCGATGAAGTTGGAGAAGTCGGAAGGGTCGCCTATCTTCAGGGCTGAGACCTCGGAGACGAGCCGGTCTTTGAAATCGGGCCAAACGGACGACGGGACGTAGGCGCGGCTGCAGGCGCTACATTTCTGTCCTTGGTATTCGAAGGCTGCGCGCACCGTCTGGACAACCGCATTCGGAATGTCCGCACTCTTGTGGATGAGATGGAAGTTCTTCCCTCCCGTCTCCCCGACGATTCGAGGGTAACCATGATACTTCCCTTCCGCGATCCCAGCTGCGATCTTGCCGTATAGCGACCTAAATACTGCGGTGCTTCCTGTATAATGCAGCCCAGCGAACGAACGATGGGACAGCACTGCCTGTGTGATCTCCTCTGCGTCACCGGGAATGAACTGGATGACGTTTGGAGGAAGCCCCGCTTCGAGGAGGATCTGGTAGAGCAGCCAGTTCGAGGCCACGGCTGATGGTGACGGTTTCCATACAACGACGTTGCCCATCAGCGCGGGCGCTGCGGGGAGGTTGCCTCCGATGGCTGTGAAGTTGAAGGGGCTGACGGCATAGACGAAACCTTCCAGAGCGCGGTACTCTACGCGACTAAGGGTATGTGAGAAACGCACTAGTGGGATGTTTGGCGTGTTACTTACTTCCACACACCGGGTGCGTGGTGCACTGGTTGATGTCCGTATGTATCTTCGGCATATTTGACGTTGAACCTGAGCAGGTCAGTTCTGACTTGTGCGACACTCACTCGCACCTGATATTACCTCAAGAAATCGCACAGTTCCGCAGCAGCATCAATCTCCGCCTGCCACGCATTCTTCCCCTGTCCAACCATTGTCGCAGCCATGATATCGTACCGGTACTTCGTCGAGACGAGATCAGCCGCTTTGAGGAAGACAGCGGCGCGGTCAGCGAACGGCAGTGATTCCCAGGCCGGCTTCGCATCTAGGGCTGCCTCAATTGCCTTCTCCACATCTGCAGTGCTGGCGCTCGAGACATTGGCGACTGCATCGCGGTGTGATGCGGGATTGCGTTGCGTGAGGATTGAGGAGTTTTTTATCTGATATGTAAGTCCAATGTCCGGTCTGGGCCATTTGGAGAGTGCATACTTGCTGGCCTCCCACTGCTATTGGGATCTCTAATGGAACTTTCTGTTTGAGTGCCGCGACAGCTTCTTGGAGCTTCTGCCTCTCAACCGACCCTTTCGCATAGTGTTTCTGTGGATGTACGTCAGAAATAGAGCTCACAGAGTACCCTTCATGTACCAATACTTACATTTGGTTCATTATTCACAGCAGGGACTTTGAAGTGTGCAATCGTTGCTACTCCTCGCCTTGCTGCCCCCGGCACGCTCGTGATTGACCTAGATATCGAGCCGAGTGTGGACAATGAGTTTGGAGGAGTCATGGTTAGGTGAGTGTCAGTGGGTAATAGTACAGCTTCCCGAGAATGTCGCTATGCACACATATATGTATGTTTGTCGAGTTGTACATGTCCCGAAGATTCCAGCGTTGAGAGCGGCTACCGTCGGGGCTGCGATCGGAGTGGATGTGACGTGAGAGTCTATACCTAAGCGGGTTAGAACCTCTCCGCACAGCAGGCCTCCAGTTCCGCGGACCCTCCCCTTGTCTACTGTAGTCTACATCTCTGGAAATACACTTCACATATTTGGGTTCGTAAAACGTCCGAATACTTGATAAATAAGCTTCTTCGGCATTCTCACAACAACACCCGAACGATTCTGCTCATTCATTGTCTGACTCTATTGAGTGATATTCCCATGTTTTCTAAGGGTACTAGAGAATCTGCCCTCCGCCATAACGCCAGTTTCGCCGTCCGTGGACATCTTGATCATATGCCATGTGAGTCAAAACTCGTTAAACACTATGTCTCCATCGCATCCGCATCTCCCGAGTTTTGTGGCTCGTCCCCCCACAGGCCCTCGAGCTTGAACTCGGCAGCCCACTCCTTGACGATCTCCTTCTGATCTCCTACTAAACCAGTAGACTTGGAAACAGAAGCTGGGCCAGAAGGTGCAGTAGCGGCGCTGTACTTAGGTGGATCTGTCCATCCCTGAATTCGGCCGTCGCGCCAATCCGTGATAACTGTCTGGGCAGCACTGTGGAGGTTCGGGACACCTCCTTTGCCCAGGCGGCCTCTCTTTCTCGCCACTTGAACAAGGAAATCTGTGGTCATGTCTCCCTTGACAACGTACAATGGTGGCAGATCGTACACGTCCATGAGCTTGGCAAACAGTTCCGGCGATGCTGATAACCTCTTCAACAGCAGCGTTACCGCTGGTACAGGGTCATCAATCTCCTTGGGCGGTATGGCGTTGAGAAGGATAAGCCTCGCTTGCTCCTCGACCTTGCTTGTTTTGCTCGCTTCTGGTGAGTTTGGGAAGACGATACCCGGGGAGTCGAGCAGCTTGAGTTTGTTGTCGAGCTTCACCTCACGAAGGCTGGTAGTGACACCTGCCTCTGCACCCACTGGACACGCTCCGGTTCGCCCACCGAGGCGCGAGGTAAGGGCGTTGATGACCGAAGATTTGCCAACGTTGGGATATCCAATGATGCCGACTTTAATCGAACGTTTGAGATTTCTTGATTCGGCAAAAGTCTTCAGTGCTTTAAAGAGCGTTTCGGATGTGCCCTTGATTGTCAGGTCACGGTGATCGAAGGTCTTCGCATTCGGAGCGGGTTTCGATGCGCGGAGGGGTAGGGTGGGAAACGAACGACGGAGATGGGACAACCATGACTTCAAGACGGTTGGGGGTATCAAGTCGATCTTGTTGAGCACAAAGATCATCCTCTTGCTTCCGCCATCCGCTGCCATGACCATCTGTTCCACTTCCTTTGATCGTGTGCCCTGCGGGTCTCTAGCGTCCAGCACGTACAATACGACATCGGCGTTCTCTACGACTTGCTTGTAAACCTTGTCAAAAGCTCTCCGTGAAGAATCCTTGCGAATGTGGACGGCGCTCGTGCCGTCATCATCACCGTCCACGTCATCGAACCCAGCGATATCGTCGTCTTCGTCGTCTTCCATTACGTCGTCGTCACGGGCTTTTTTTCTCTCGTACTCCGCGGCGCGAGCTTTTGCGGAAGCCAGGAGAGCTGCCATGGGGTTCGACTCATCCTACGACGGTCAGGTGGGTTCAATCCGAAGTCCAAGATACAACCTACCACTTGCATAGAATCTTCCTCTACAGATTCTTCGCTCATATTATCATCAATGGGCTCCGCATCGCTGTCTTCGATACCGTCATCCGGGGTTTGCGCCGCACCCGACTTTTGCGCCCTCGCCATCTCCCGCCGTTTCGCATTTTCCTCCTCCTTCAACCTGCGCTTCTCCTCGATCTCCTGAAGGATCTTCTCCTTGTATGGAAATAAATTAGGGATTCCGGGATCCTTCTTCAGCTTCGACCGCCATTCCGGGTTTTTCTTCGCCTCCTTTCTCGCTTTCCGCTGTTTCGCAGCCGAAGCTTTGTGAATTTTCTCCCTCAGGCGCACCGGGACTCGCTTGGATTTGGGCTCTGTTATCTTGTCAGTAGCTTCCAAAGAGTAACCGAAGTTGCACTTACTTCCGACCTTCATTGTGAATGATGTAGCAGGGTGTTGTTGCTTCGCCGCTAGCAAATCCAACACCACGAAATTATTCTGGATGCCAAGATTTCGGCTTAGGCGGTCAAGACTGGCAGAATAGCGGGGACGAAGTTCATTACCCGACCAGACCGCTCATAGTCTACCCTCAATTTCCCTATGTACATATACATACCTACTACTTCATTATAGCATTTGCGGGTCCAATAATCTCGAACAGCCTCAAGGCTAAATGAAAACATTCATTCTGTAGGAAAGAGGTTGGATCGATAATCCGGACCCGAACCGGGAGCTCCAGCCGAACTCCTCTGCTAACCTACTGAAAGACCACCATGGACGCCTTGCACATGGCAAAGTAATCCCTCTACTTAGACAGTATTGTAGCCTTCTGGCGAGTTTCGAGCTTACCAGACGCAAAGCAACGGGAATTAGGCCTGCTACTTCTTTCAAGGTTTGCTATAAATGGTTCCTGCCCCAGGGATTCTGGCATCCCATTGGACGGACGGCATACCGAATCCGGCAAGTCTATTGCTGAATCATCGTCTTTTCTTCGTACTTCGTACCCTAAAAGCATACTTACATTTGCCATCGCCGGTCTCTATATATAGTGAGAGGGCCACTGCGGTACTCCTGAAAGGCCATACTCGACCCGAAGATGACTGTCGCCGAACCTGAATTTGCTGCGGAACCGGAAGTGGTGACCTGCCATGGCCTTGTAAGTCGCCTCAGTACAACACGCTAGAGGTAGGGCAGTGTAACTGAACTAAAATAGCTTTTTGATATGGATGGCACGATAATAGACTCCACCGAAGCAGTCGTCAAAAACTGGCAAAAGTACATTGACTGCCATACATCCGATGACAACTTACTAACCGCGCCTCAGGATCGGACGGCAGATAGGTGTAGACCCCGAGGTGATCCTAGCCACATCACATGGACGACGCTCCATTGATGTGCTTCAAATTTACGAACCCAAACTAGCCAACTGGGACTATATTCGCGAGGTTGAGGGAGTGCTCCCCAAGGAGTTTGGAGCAGATGCCGTCGAAATCCCCGGATCTCGAGCGTTGCTGGAACAGATTGACCAGCGGTCAATACCATGGTGTATCGTCACCTCTGGGACCCGCCCTTTGGTAACAGGTTGGCTGGATGTGCTGAATCTTGCTCATCCCCAGAATCTGGTTACTGCCGAAGACGTCAAGATCGGAAAACCAGGTATGAGTGTCGTGAAGTGTGTCAGATCGAAATCTTCGAGGCTAACAATTGAAAGATCCGGCATGTTATGCGTTAGGTGCTAGCAAGCTGAAGCTGCCCAAAGCCAATCCATCTATTCTGGTCTTTGAAGACGCTCCTGCTGGTGTTCGTTCTGGGAAGGCTGCTGGATTCCGCGTAGTTGGCCTTGCCACGACGCATTCGATAGAAGAATTGATTGACGCGGGTGCTGACTGGATCGTGAGGGACATGACATCCGTTCGCCTCGAAGACTGGGATGAGACCACAGGCGAAGCACGGATTGCGATCCATAATGCTTTGACTCGAAGCAAGAATTAGAGAATAGACAGCGCTCTTACCATGCAGTAAGCATCATGCATGGTACTTCACTGCGCCCCACTCCGACCGCTGACCTTGTGGAAGTCTTATGGCGCCGATGGAAAGTCATGTGTACGCTTACAGGCTCTTCATAAATAACACGAAGGGGACACTGTTCCATTGCCGGAGCGATCACGAATGCGGGCATCTCTGCTCCTACTCTCCGCCATAACTGCAGCTGCATAAGTTCGAGGACCCATAGCGCCGAGTCCCGACTCTTAAATTCAACACTTCTTGTATTGCTGTCATGACCGCTTTGCGCGGTGGATTTCCAGGTCCGACCCTATAAATATCGGACCCGTATATCTGCTTGTTCTACCCTTGCGTGTACGCAGTGTAAGCGACCTTGTCCGCTGGGCGTGTGTCTCTAGCAAACTCTTGTTCAAATCAGATCTCCGCAGATATTGAATACAATGCATACTTCTACGTCTACCTATTTACACAGTACTCCTAGGGCAGCCATTTATCATCCCTTCATCTCACTTCATCCCGAAGCCAGCAGTGGCCTCACAAGCGGTCGGTGTGTTGCATCGCGTCCTAGTCTAAGCCACAGCGAATGTCGCTCATTTTCCGGAACGCTTACAGGTTGCAGTGCAGGTGGGGACTTACATGGAGGCAAACTCTAGACCATTACACATGGCTCCTCTTCATCGACGTGTACGCCTCGCGCGACACCGTGACCATGGCGACGGAGCAGTCGATCGGACGGTAGGGATGCCGACCGGGCCGTCGTGCTCGCTCAATATGTGTGGAAGACTGCGGGACTGCTTTGATGGGTTGGAGAATGGACCCCTCTTGCTGTGCGACCAGCTGCCTGCTACGCATCCGTTAGCTGGATGGATCCATGTAGCTCTCCTGAATTGTTTGGCGCTGACCTTAGCCTAGAGATGTACTTGAAATAGCAGTGAGCGTAATCAGAGCGTCGTCATTAGTTATAGACATGGGAACATCTTCATCCTCCGTAGGGCCATATGTGAAGGTGATTTGTCCTATGGGTTAAATTGTACAGGAGCCGACCGTATTTCCCTAGAATACGGCGGTCCCAAGGATCCAGAAGGAATTCACTGCATGTCCTTGATTTATTGAGTTCTAGCCGTCTCAGTGAGAGGGTATATATATGGACCTTTATATAATAATGCTTTGCAGATTACCAAATTCTACCTGATTGGTACGGAAAGATTGTACGTTATTTCAGAAATGCTCTCTATGCGCTATATCTGACTGTTGCTCAAGGGACGACGCACCAGTAGCGTACTCTTAATATTCCCAATGCTTACATGTTCCACCATCCACCTATATATTAGTCCTTCTGGCAATGAAGACCGTAGGGAAGCCATATCACTATTCAGGTCCGCGTTCAATTCTTTTCAAGGAGTCACTGGTAGGTGGTTTCCACTCTATTGTACACCGAGGTAGGGATAAGCATTTCCAGTGTTGTTCCTTGGTTCCTTTTCAACTTCAGCACTATCTTCACGCTGGCTTCTGTCCATATGCGTGATTGACTGGGGTTCTAAGCTGATTTATGCTCGTTCGACTAGTTCAAAGAATCCATGGTTAGCGGAACGTAGAAATACGTGTACGGCGGCGGGCTATTCGTCTCTACAGGAGACAGGACGGCCTCTGGTTGGCTAGGGCTAGAGCTAGGGAGCAGTCACCTCGCTCCTTTTGTTGATGTTTTCGTAAATGAACCCTTTGTGCATGGCATCTTCCAGCCCTTTTTCGTACCCGCAACTGATATGTGCTACGGCTCGGATGGTTAGGCCGGTAACACAACCATGTGGTCAGTGAGGGCGTCTGTGATCATTGTAGCTTTCACATGGACCGTATGCCTTACCATACCACGCAGATCTCGTGCGCTTGGTTTCCAGTACCTCTCCAGGTGTCTCCTCTATCTTCTAGCGGCTTGGCAGCATGTTGTTGTTGTTGACAGTGGCTCCTTCCTCCTCTACGGGCGATTGCCTGTGCGGGTTCCAAGGTTGTCCTGCTGTTCAACGCCGCACACACTTCCAAGATTCTGTCCTCAGTTTCGCTCGTCATTCTCTCCTGCACCACACCTTGTTCCACCCAATTTGAGCGCAGGATTTGACACCCTATTCCTAGGGCTATCCAAATCAGTGGGCCAGCTTGGTGACGGCCCTCCGAGTCTACATCTAACACCACCCAATCCACGGCTCTATCAGAATCACCCGATGCCCTCCAGCTTGGAGCAATGCCTGGATATGGCCTTCGTGAACGGCGATCACGGCAAGTCGCAGCACAGCAGCGAGACCCGATCAACGTGACAGAGACGAGGACTTAGTATGACCAGAACATGCTCTCGAGTGACACCATGGCTGAGAGATCGATGTGCCGTCTGCAAGGTACGATGCAGACCGCACCAGCTCCGGTCGCCGATTTCCGAGAGCCAGAGTCGATGGCGTCGTAAACCCCCTTGATTGTGCAGACCTGGCGGGCAGGACGTTGCACGAAGCTGTCGTCACTACAAGTCCTGATCGAGATGTGCGGCGCCAGAGGTCGAAAGGGACTTCCCATTGTGTGCAATGAGAGCCAGGCATTGGGGCAGACAAGAGCACAGCGCTTGACGTGTTGCCGACCACGGAGTGCAGTGAGTTGGGGATTGCCGCCCAGGTGTGTGCTAGCCTACGGAGTAGTAGCGCCCGCAACCTTCTTGTTTGGCTGCGCGCGTCTCACAACTAGCAGGCGTTGCGTTGATCAAGCAAAAAACGGACGGACTACGATCTGCGTTCTGCATCCTCACGGACCGCTCTCTCGCCGCCCACCACCGATGAGATTCTCCGACGAATGCTCAAGCCTCTCGTTTCTTCCCATATCGTCACCCTCACGGTGCAATCCTCGCCGCACATCACTTGGATTCGTGTGCTCCTCCGCAGCGGTCACGGCGCACCGCGATCTGAGAGGCTCGCGTAACAAAGAACAACTGGGCACTGGTCGTTCTCCTCCCGCACTGACTGGAGCAGATCAGCCGCTGGCTTCCCACCGTGGCCCAATGGGCGATGCAGCGGCTGCCTTTCCCCTGCTTCCCGAGGGCCTCGTCGCCGACGCCTGCGCCAACAGCTCGCTGCCCACCACAGCCAGCCTCGTTGGGCCTGGAAGTTCTGCACAGGGTCTCGAAGCTGTCGAATGCGGCGCCCGTTTGCCGCAACAGGGCGCCATCTCTCAGAGCGGGGAAAGTTACTACTGTGTACACGCTCACCACGGTCTCGCTGCGACACACCACTCCACTACTGGAATTCTGGGATTCTGGAGTTTGGGGAGGGAGGGGGACGTGGAGGGATCCAGGATGCGCAGAGCACAAGGCTTTTTTTGGGACGGCAGCGGACAACGGACAGGCAGTTGCGGTGGCGCGGACCACACTGCCTTTCGTTCGGCGCGGGTCGACCGTGGTGGTGTGCTGGGGCTGCGCTGGGGGTGAGAGGACTTGGGGGCACACACTGCTCCAAGGCCGCCAGCCGCATGCCGCGGGACCGCCGTCGCAGGTGTGAGCAGGCCCGGGCCTTCTTCAGAGAGGTCTTCGCCGCGCTCGGTGACGGCTCCTTCTCCTGATCTTGTCCTCATCCCGCGCCTCGCTGCGTCGCTCCACCATCACGCTCGCTTCCTCGCACTCCGTTCCTGCTTTCCCAGCCGCCTTCTCCCGCTTCACGCCCTAACACTCTCTTAGACTTGTTGCTTCAACGTTGCACACTGCCATGTGTTGACCGTTCGTTATTTCCACTCCTCCCCAGGGACCTCACTCGTTTCGAAGAAAAATAGCCGTGCCGTCATTGATCGGCAGAATCAACGCCTTGCTACCCGCGCTTCCCACTGTCCCGCCGTTGAGCTCTCCAGCGTACGGCCTAACCCCCGAGAAACATCACCTTTGCTGTTCCTGTGCCGTTACGGTGCACTGCTATTGCTCCGATCGCGCTGCGACCGAGCAGCGCGCCGAAGATGCGTTCCTTCGGTGTCAAGATACCCTCGTTTTCGAGCACGACCGAGAACTCTTCGGCACAGCAGGCAGAGCGCGTTGCGAAACCCCTGATGGCTACCGTTCCTAGGCCAGGCCCCAATGGTCCCGACGTCAAACCCCGCCTTACCAAGGAGCAACACGACATTCTCGAAGCACACTTTCAGCAGCAATCCAAGCCCACCACTAGCGTGAAGAAGGGTTTTGCTGAGAGTCTCAATGTACCAGTAGACAAGATCAACGTGAGTGTTGCTGAAACCGCCGTGTCCCAATTCTCTTCGAACGCTAATTGTCGCACAGAACTGGTTTCAGAACCGCAGGGCAAAGGTAAAGCAGGACCTGAAGAAGCAGCAAAACCAATACAATATGCAGATGGGCATCTACGGAACACCCGCAGTAGCCGACGCAAATTCTTTACCTGCTTCAACCAACGTGGAAACAAACCCGCCGCCGCCGCAACAGCAGCCGAGAAGCCAGGATCTCTATCCACCGAACAATGATGGTCCGCTGAATGGCTTACCACTGCAGAACCTGAACGGACAAAACTTTGACCTGACAATGCAACTTCCCATCCATCAGCCGCGTTTTGACATGCATGGTCTGCGCTCCATTCCTGAGACCGACCGCACTACCCCGTATGCGCCAAATGCTGTCATGGAATCCATCATGGCCGCAACTGCAGGTGCTGCCGGATATATGCACCAGCAGTCCGTTTCCATCCCCCAGCAAGATCCCAACTTCATGTATCCCGGAAGTGTTACGCAAGTGTACCCGGGTGACCTCGCCTTGTCCCTGCCAACCTCTCTACCGAGCCATTCCGTGCCAACGATTGAATCATTTAACGGAGGCCTGACCGACTTGAACTACGGCCCCGTCATAGTACCCGATCCATCTGGATCTGTTGATGTGCAGAACGGCACGGGTTCGACGTCATCTGAACATTCACCCTTCACAGGTGTGTCGTCTACCACGACCACAAATTCATCAACCGGCCCGACTGCTTCATCCGTGAACTCAGTTGCATCAGTCTTCTCTAATTGGACCGACGATCAGAAACCGCTGTCAGAGATACCGCATGGCAGTGAGGGCGAGGACGCCTTCGATCCGTCCGGCTTCATCATTCCTCAAGGCCCCACACCTGATGAAACGATACCTTTCTGGGTTCAACCCGGTCACAACCCAGCCTTCAGTCAACGGGAAATGTATCAACAGACCAATGCCTCGATCCCGGGCCAAATGTCTCCTCCAGACCAAAGTGAAGATCGAAAGCAAAGCATAAACCAAGTGGACGGCGATGCATTACCTGTCTTTGCGGACGACGCGTACTCACGGCGAAACTCATCCACCACCAATCTAGCATCCAATATCGAAGCGATTCATATACAGAACAATCGTACTCCCGAGGGCTTCACGCAGCCTAGTCAGCCTCTGAGCATAGCCGCTAGGCGTCAAAAGCGACCAACGGCATTGAATTCCAACACGCTAAGGAGCGCTTCATTTACAAGTGGCATGTCTTCCCCGGGAGGAAACAATGAGCAAACCCTGCGAAGGATCAGGTCTTCCACATCTGGGCTGTCCACCGCCGCTGGTCGAATTCAGAAGCCGAATCCTGGCTCGGCACAACGTTCACCGATGGCTATGAGCTTCGCCGAAGCCGCTGCTTCTCCAAAATTTGCCAGGACTTTCTCCTCGACCAGCACGGCCACACTAGCACAAGGCGGAAGTTTAGCACCTCCCACACCTCTGACTCCGAACGAGATGGGCCAGCTTTCCTATTGGCAAGCAAACAGCGGTCTAGGAAACCACGGTTTGCCCGACCACAGCAGTCCGGAGAGCTTCAATGCAAGGTACTCCATGGAGCCTCCTTTGACGGGCAACTTCGTAACCGCTGGCTCTTCTCCGTCAACGGAGGCTCGCGTGGTCCCGGGGAGTCATTATCGTGACACGCCGCCGCAGTCCGCGCCTGCGACCCAACAGGCGTTTCCCCAAGTTGCGTTTGCGCCTCACCCGCCGCCAATGATGAGAAACGCTTTCCACTCGACTTCTGACCTCACCATCGCCCAGCCCAAACCTTCACATTTGAGAAGGCCGTCCTTGCCAATTACCACTCCGTCCCAACTAAGCGACCCGTACCTGCAGTTTCCGGTGTCCCTTGGAGACATGTACAATCAGAACCTGGGAGAGCTATCGCTGGACAGCTACACCCACAACGTGCCCTTCGCGCCGCAAGCCACTGTGTCAGACCTTTTTGTGCATGAGTACGCACCACAGCAAGTGCCAGTCTCAGAACCCTTACGACGGGTCACCACCGAGCCACAACAAAAGAGTTATGTTTTCGCGAATCATGGCCCTAGCGACTTCAAGTGAGCGACCCTTCCAGCATTGGCAAAATTGGATGCGCATTGTATTGCTCAGATGGGAGCCGACATCTCTGCGATGGCTGTCGACAAGCGACGCTTCCATCCTTCGAGTGTCTTATCGTATTTGATTTCTTTGGATTTTCGTGGAATATACCCGAGCGTATCTCGCTTGCACGTCTATACTGTCTTAAGCGCCTCCATTCTTGTCATTCTTCCATCTTTCCACGCAGCCACAGTTATCGGGACAAATAAAAAGGGACCTTCGGTCAGTGTCTCTCTTGCTTATTTCCTGGGGTGATATATCGCGGAAGCATAGCCTGGGGTTTGGATATACGACTACATCATGAGCTGGCTTCCCTGAAGCTAGCGGTACTACTAATCCTAATACTCCCTTGTCGATGGCTTTCATTTGGTACGGGTTTCACGGTTTCAGCGTTTTCCTTTGTCGGCTTGCACGTTCTCTTTTTGCGTCACGTTTTTGCGTTTTGGGCGCCGCGTTGCATTGTTGGTCCGCACGGGACGTGGAAGTTGGAGTACCGTAATGGTGCATAGTGGAGGGCTTGTACCTGCGTCGCCATCGGGGCTGAGCGATGGACGATATCACACGAGGAGCATGTGCTCTCGGTGATGGGGGATGTTCAAGGACTGGGAAGCAGAAGAGGCCAACGATGAATCAAGAAGCTTTAGGCTGGTGTGAGGAAGCTCTTGGCTGTCGCCGCCTAATTGCGTATTTTTTCTTGCACATATGCCACCTTTTGATGCTCCTCTTGATCGTGCTGTACTTCTGCGAAGGATGGCCTTGTCTTGCCTCTCCGATTTGAACATCAGATTCAAGTAGTTTTGTAGGCAACGCCTATCTCGATGTACAGAGCAGCCTAGTTAGAGTAGAAAGAGGACGAAACATGAGGCCTTTTCGCCTTTTCGCTCATATTTTTTTTCCTTCTTCCCCTCTCTTCTAGGGGTTCATACTCTTTTTTGCACCGTGTTGGATCTTTTTGTGATCTATGTCCTTCTTTTTGTCTTACATTTCCCGTGTCAACTTCCTTCTCCTTTACGGAACTTTCCGCTTCGTTGCTTTTTCTTTTTTCCCTTGACAGACTGGCTGTCCCATTCGGGTGGCGCCGCAAGGAAAACGGGAAACCGGGTACCCGGATGAGGCGCGGAAAGAAGATGGACGGCCCGAGCCTGGAGGGGTCAACTCGTCGGTGGCGCTTGACGCTTCAGCTGAGAGGGGGGTATGCTAGGTACAAGTACGGGTAAGTAGATTTGTGCAGATCTACTATAGTAGACCGTAGGCACGGGTGTGTGATCTGCGCGGCGGATCGATGATGGGATCGAGTTGAATTGTCGATTGGGGTTGACTGAATGAATGGAGTTGGAATTGAGCACAAGGACTGGGTGGAAATGCGGCCGATTTTCGGGAGCATGAAGGGGATATGATTGGGAGAGGGGGGGAGGAGGAGGAGGAGGTGGTGGTGGTGGAGGTGAAGCCGATGGTGGACTTGATTCCCGGCTTCGAATGTCGATGAGTGAATATTTTGTGGGGTTGGGCGAATCGCGGGAAGGGGGTGGGTTGGTTGGTTGGCAGGGCGCGGGGAAAGGGCTGGGGAAGGGACTTGGAGTATGGGGGTGATAGGGGTTATGGGGTGGTTTGTATTCGTTATGGGCCGGCCCTTTGGGGTGGAAATGCCCATGGAGAGAGACGTTGAATTGTGATTTGCAGACGGAGATGTAGCGGGTTGGCTGCGTAGGTGTATGATGGACCGACGGCCTTCTGGTTCCTACTGCGAGTATAACGCACCAACCATACTCTTTCCCCTCTCCCCTTCAGGCGGGCAATTTGCATTGTGTTTGACGGACTGCTAGGGCAAACCGTGAACATGCCACGAGCATGATGGGAACGATAGATCTGCGGCAAATTGAAAGTGTATACTACGCTCGGAGCTTGCAATTGACGTGCCTCTGCCGCCTTTATGTGCAATGGTCTCAGATGTTTGCAGCAATGATGGACGAGGCTCGATTCGAGGAGTCTTGCGGTGTTCATCTAAAGCATCGGTGGTTATGGGGTGAGAGTGTTCTGTTACGATATGGTTCGCTCTTGGATGTTTGTGTATATACTTATCCCATCTAGGTTCATCTGGTCATCCTGCCAAAGCTACATATCTCCAGTTGATAGATGGATTGAGGATCTTCCGGAGACTTTTTAAATGGGTTGCCGATAATGCGGGATACCGTGTACGTGCCTTATCAGCCATCAAAGTGGTATCAGTCCAATCCTTCAATCCGTTCGATTCTCCATCAATCCATTGCCTACAATCCGTGCAATCCAATCCCATCCTCCCTCAACCCCCTTAATTTCCCACCTTCCCCTCCGCCTTCCCCACCCCCAACAGCCCCCTCGAATCCAGGTACTCGACGATGCGCCTCACGGCGTCCTCGACACTCTCCTCATGACTCCGAATCACAATCTCTGCATTCTCGGGCGCCTCATACGGCGCGCTGATGCCCGTGAACTCCGGAATCTTGCCCTCCCTCGCCTTCTTATACAAGCCCTTCGGATCCCGCTGCTCCGCCACCTCGAGCGGGATATCGACAAACACCTCGATGAAGGGCAGCGGCTCGTCGTCCGGGTGCGCCGGGTTCACGGCCGCGTGCAGCTCCCGCGCCACGAGCCGGTCCTTCCTGTACGGGCTGATGAAACTCGTAATGGCGATGGTGCAGCTGTCGGCGAAGAGTTTCGCGACCTCGGCGATGCGCCGGATGTTCTCGTTGCGGTCCTTCTCGCTGAACCCCAGGTCTTTGTTCAGGCCGAAGCGGACGTTGTCGCCGTCGAGGCGGTAGGCGGAGAGGCCCAGGTGCAGGAGGTGTTGCTCGAGGGCGGTCGCGATGGTGGATTTGCCCGAGGCGGAGAGGCCCGTGAACCAGATGGTGAGGCCGCGTTGTTGGCGGTATGTGGTGCGCTCGGCGCGGGTGAGCGAGGGGTGCCATGTTATGTTGCTGTTGTGAGAGGTGAGTGAATTGGAAACGTGGGAGGGGGAAAGAGGGGTGTGAGTTACGTTGCCATGTTTGCTATTTGCTGCTGGAGATGGATGAGAGGTGCTTTTTGGTGACAGTGAAGGTAGGACGGAAGGTTAATGAAGGGATTTCGAAAGGCTAGGAAGAAGGAAGTAGACAAGGTAGAGCCGAGACGAGGCCAGAAGAGAAAAGGGCTCGAATAAATGATTTAAAGTTATCCAGATCGTGGGGGAAGCGAATTGCGTGACTATGGAATAAAAAGTCCGAAACCAGGAACATCGATTTTAGCGCAAGCACGTCATCGGCTATCGAGTTGATCGTCCGGGGAGAGTTTGGCCCTGACTTGTCAACTTGAAAAAGCTTCGCTCTGAATACCCTGGTTATCTGGTAAGAATAGGAGTGCCAGGATGGCTTGCTATAGTGGGGTGGGTTATAAACGGGATCTTTCTGTGGGATTTGGAAGAAGAGACGCATACAATAGTTCCGATCGGAAATGTGCCCGACATGAGTTAAGGCCGATGATCCGTTTCTTTCCTATAGAGAAAAAAGAAGATTGAATGACCACCCTTAGCAGCCTTACATTCCATCACAGGAAAACCATCAGACTGTAGTACTCCGAGGCCATAAGAAGCTCCAAAAGCGAAGATGTTGTCGTTGAGCACGTTTCCGAGATAACTTTCTATATCTCCTCGTTTCCTCCTCATATGAGTTCCCACATTTGATGCGAAACAAGGATGGAGCTGGAGTTGCTCTGTGATCCTCAACACTGGAAACCAGCTAGGCATATGATGTCTACTACCTAGCAGTCATCGGCGATTAAGATTCTATACATTCTTTGAACACAAATTCTCATCTTTTCATCTCATCTCATCCCATCAATTCAATCGCAACCCCTCCTGCGCCACACACCCGCCACTCCCTCTGCCCCACCCCACCACGCGCCACACTTCAGTCCAGCCCACTCACCGCCCAACCCAGCCCGAGTTAAGCGCCCGCCAAATCCCCTCGTCCCCTCCGATCAAAACCAATCTCACGCCGAGAAAGCAAAACCCTCAAGTAGACTGTACAACTCCCGCAGACAAAAGCACTTCCTTCAAAAACCCGTATACCACCCATCCCCAACAGCAGCAGCCATGCCCTCCGGACAAGGAGGTAGGTCCCCCCTCTCCCACTCCCCTCCACAACCCTTCTTCTCAGTCCCCTCCCCGAAAAACACCCCTCGCCGTCACAATCCCTAAGTATCACAAACGCGCAATCCTTCCTGCAAGAAAACACCTTGAAGAAAAAAAGAAGGAAAGAAAATAAAATAACAAGAGCTAACCCACCTACCCAGCGGGTACCAACCCGATCCACAACAAGCAGAAGAAGAAAGCCGCAAAGGAACTCGACGAGGACGACCTCGCCTTCAAGGCTAAGCAGCAGGCCGGTACGTCGTCATTCCCCTTCATCTTCGTCTTCCTCTCCGCCACCACCCCCCCCTTGCCACCAGTCGAGATACTAAAGTAAATTCTTCGCCCAGACAAGAAAGCACGCGAAGCCCTGGCCGCAAAGGCAAAAGGCAAGGGCCCGCTCAACACGGGAACCCAGGGGATCAAGAAGTCCGGGAAGAAATAGGGATGCTGCCACGAACTACGACTACGACTGCACGATCGTAATACAACCTATGTTTCCTATGATAGCGATGTGAGGGACGGGCAACGGACAACGGGCAACGGACGTCGACACGTGGGGAATATGAGGGGAGGGAGGGAGGACGGCACAACTACGACGTGGGACGGGAGGGAAGGACGACATGTGGCTTGAATGAGTGCGGATACCATGGGTTGTTTTGGCGAGGGCGTATATAGGGAAATGGAAATATCATTTGGATGCCGCGGACGCATGACATGATATATGTTGCTCCGTGGTGCATGCGTGCGAGGAAGATGTTGTGCCAGCATCTATGCTGTCGATCTCGCGTGCGAGACTTATTGCTTTCTTCCCTGTGTGTCGCCTATCTCACGCGCATCTCCCATAATGCGAGCAGCAGGCGGATGCGCTTGATCAAAATAGGTAAGGTAAGGGCAGATATATAGTTTTCGAATCGATATTATATGCATCTATATCATGTCTTTCATGCAAAGAAAGGGAGGGGGTATCAGAAATTTATGTCGTGGCTACCATGCAAAAGGTAGAGATTAGAGGAGAATGGCATGCTCGTCACCACAAATCCCTAACCGAGTGTAATTCAACCCAACCATTAGCGTAACGCATTCCGCCTCGTCTCTTGCCATGCTGTCCTCGGTAGGGGTACCGCGGCCATGGGACTCGTGGACACAACATCTTGCGGATTCTTGGAGCCTGGAGGCCGCGTGACGGGGTCGCCACGCGACTCCGCGGAAGAGCTTGATAAGCTTGACGAGAGTTCGAGAACCACGACGAGCGCCGTATTGCGTGGGAAATTCGTATATGGATAGTGGAGCGCTGGAACAACGCCCGAGACAAAGGTCCAGAGTGCGGCGTGGCCACCACGTGACCGTCAACTGTGGTCGTGTGCAGGGAAAGCGCATTTCCTTCGGTCGTCGGCGGGGATGTTTCATGGAACTGTGGCCGGGAGACGCCCGATGGATGAGACGTCAGCACTCGGGAGTCCAGTATAGGGGCATCAGCGGTGCATGCCCACGATGCGTGGCAGTCAGCATCCGAGAGACCAGGTCCAGCGAGATCCCAAAGAAATCACACAAGGGTAGTAAAGGCGCTCAATCAGGAATGCAGAGAAATCCCTTAGGACCCATGGCGGCTTTTCCTATGGAACGTGAACCTTCTCTTGATGCTCGAGTCACCCTTGGACGTCGGCCGTGCTGACGAGCTCTCCGGAGGACTATTCGAACTTTGCGACGACGACCGCCTGTGCGACTCCTCGGCCAGGATATCCTCCAGCGAGACGTTGAGGTGCGGATGCGTATAAGTCGGTGCCTGAGAAGGTTCGAAGATCTCGGTGAACTTGGACGTGGCCATGGTGTGTTGGGACCTGGGTTGTATGATCCTCAGCCGAAGGTAAGCGACAGTTGTATTGTGTTGTAGTCGATAACCCTACACACAGTCGTTGCAGCCGCTGAAGAGTATCCCGAGCCAGATGCCACTCCTCAACAGAAGGGAAAGTTGGACTATTTGTACGTGTCCAACTATCTGTGGAGGGGTGAAAGTACCGGTCGTGTGGCGATCACCTGAATCGGATTTAAGTTCTGGACTTGGAGGGCGAGATGGAGCTACCCGTAGAGGAACAGCCGAATGCGAAGTGGGGAGCGAATGAAAACGGGCGGTGTAGGGAACATAAGGATAGGAGAAGTTTATGGGGAATAGTAGAGGCCACGGCGCAGGGGGGAACAAGAGGCGGATTATAAAGGCCCATGGCGAAGGGGCGCCCAAAAAGGAGCACGCGGACTCTGTCATTCTTGCGGCGGGGTCAGGGTCCAGATACTCCAGGGTCCAGCGCGTGCCGATCGCGACCATTCGAGAACGAACAACGGCAAGGCGTTGTGTGCAGGGAACCCGGTCCTGGCTGTTGGTGGAGAGCATCCTTGGATAGTACTGTTTAATAAACTTATTGAGTTAATCAATCATTAGTACACAGTATTGCCCGCCGCGGACACAGCCCGAGAGAATTCCTATAGCTACTGTAGCTCTTTCCATTACATCTGACCGCGTGGAGTGACAGTCATGTGCAAAAGGAAGTTGGAAGCCCTGGAGAGCGTATTGGCTGTTCGCGCAGCTGACTAACAATAGCCATCGATCCGAAAGAACTTGGTGAGGGTGAGGGTGAGGCTGGGCATTCTTCGCCGAGGGCTGCCGCAGTCGTCGAGCCCATAGAGGATCGGCAGTAGGTCAACCCCGCTCCATACTTGAAATGTACACAGTACTACTTGTATAGTAAATGCAAGCAGAGCGACTGCGTGTCCATCTGCAAAGACTTCAAATCCTTCCAGCGTGTCCGCATGCTGGCGCACTGCGCAGTGCAGGTCGTGTTCTTCGTTCACGTGCCGTACTGGAACGGACTGACGCTCCGGCCAATGACGTAGTTTGCGCCCAATTCATCTGTCCGTCATCCTCCCATGTCACAGTGTCACTCTTCTGGCCGTCCCGTCTGACTTCAGCACAGCCGCGCCGCGACCGCATGATTGGCTCTTTCCTGTCATGGTGTATTGGCGAGGCCCAATTCCTGTGTAACGACATCATTGTGCGCCTGCCATGCATCCCAAGTACGGAGTACACAGTAGACAGATATCTTTTCCCGGACAGCTTCCCCGCCAATAGCATCCTTCGAGGGCCTGTATCATTCCCACAGCTTACTCGCACCCAAGTAGGTGAAATAGGCGCAGTACTGTGTACTTCGTCATCCGCGGATCACGTCCATGGCCGGTCCTGTCATCACCAACGCCCACGGCCGCGTCCTCCACGTCCACGTCCACGCCCACCTCTGTTTCCCCTGTGCGACCCTCCGCGTCCGCCTCGTCCCGGACCCCCTCGTGCTGAACTACCCGACTCAGGTCTTGGGCCTCGCTGCATTCTCTGCGCACGCTCTTCGTCTGTCGCATCAAAAGGATTGTCGATTTGCAGCAGTGTGCAGAATCCCCGAGTGTGCGGGTTCGTGTACTCTTGCGGCTGGCCATCAACGCGAATGCCCATGCTGGCATCATAGACCGGTGCAGTGCACTCAAAGTCCTCGGGTATCTTCATCTTGCCTTTTTTGACTATGTTCTCCTCCACCCATTCCATCTCTTGCTCAATCAATGGTCGGTAATACGCGTCTCCCTTATCCGAAGGAACCTGTGCTTGCAGATCGCCCACTTGCAGGTCCTTTGCAAACACTCGCGTGATCGCAAGCCACTCCTTGTCATACTCAAGATGGAGTGGCCGCTTGATGTCGCAGGGTTCGCTGGGAGGTATTTCCAGCAGTTGGAGAAAGTGTCTGTTGGGCAAGCATTTGTCAAGCGCTAGGAAGTGAGTCGTTGTATTCGTGATTTCTGTTGGGAACGGTAGTCTCTGCACATTTTCACCACTTGTCCGTGGTGCGAAAGATTCTGGGAGAAGCCTTCTTATCTCATCAGGAACCTCATTCTTCTTTTCCGTGCTAGTCTGGACAGTCGCTGCAGAGGTTCCGGTCGCTGCGGGTGCATCGTCCTCGCTCATATCGAGGTCTATCTCGGCATCATTCTTATTAGAAGGATTAGAAGCGGCATTTGAAGGCTGGGGTTCTGATAGCGTTTCGTCATCTAGGTCTAGGTCAATCTCGGCCTCATTCTTGAGTGAGGCTCCGGGGGCATCATCCATTGAGCCCAGATGGATCTCTTCGGAATTGCTCGCTGTTGGAGGTTCAGACTCCTCCTGAGGGGCAGACGATGCAGCCTTCTCCGTGGTCTGGTGTTCCCAGACAGCCGAATATCTGGCATGCATGTGAGCACTAAACCAGTACCGCGGGCGTAATCTCTCGAGGACTGCAGTTGCAGCAACACTTCCCAACGTCCCATCCTTGGCCTCTTGCTCAAAATATGGCTTGAACCTGAAGAGCTGTCGATGGTTCCCTTTCCACTCCATGCCGCGTGGCCAGTCGTGACTCAGTCCTATGTCGACCTGGGATCGTAACTGGAGCAGTTTCCGCGTGTCCAATTCCCGGACGTGGTATATCGACCTGATATCGTCCTGGTTATATGGAAGCCGCTCGTAGTGGGGCTTCTTGTAATTGTAGCCCTTCCATATTCCGGAGAGGCCAGCAATACGGAGAGGACCCAAACGGATAATGTTGGCAGCTCCCATGTAGTAGATTCTGGGTGCAACCCAGCCACCATAGTACAGTTCCCACATGTAGTTGCTTGCTTCATGGTTGCCACCAATGAAGATGGTAAGATAAGGTGCAGTACGAGCTCCAGAGTAGTACTCGTGGAAGTCATGCATATCATAATATTTCTCCGGCATGGCAACTGCTTTCAGGTCAAGTGCACTGCGTACCGCCTGATTGCCCGTCAGCCCAAGCTCAGGGTGGTTATGTTTTGATCTCACTTACCTGAAAGTCTCCCCCGATAATCAGCAAATCCACGCCTGGCCACTGCTTCAACTCGCACGCCTTGGCGACGGATGCATATATGGAATGCAAGGTGCCGTGACCGCATCCTTCGACAGCTATCCGCAGACCCTGCGTCGCTAGTAATCCTGGGGAAGCCATTGACACGGTTCATCCCCCAAGGTGGAGTTTTTCAGATTTTGTTGTGATTGTGGCTGTTGTTAGACGCGGAAGGAGTTCTCAGAGCTGGTAGGGATTAACCGGGCCCCGACGGGTCGCTCACACGTGAGCGAGTTTTTGCCCACAAAAACACCCGTTACGTAGTAACGGGTCTACAGGCTCAACGCAAATTATAAGCTCAACGCAAAAATCTAGAAAATACAGCGCAACGCGTATATCTAGACATTTTTAATTTTAAGGGGGTGTTCGGTTTCAAAATTAAGGATCTCTTGCACGGGCTTTTTAGCTGTAATGGAGGCGTAATGGGGCGTAATGGGCGGACTGTTTAGTTATCTAGCACATTAAGGAGTAATGTTTTGATCCTAAGGCCTCCTAGGAGATAATAGGCGGACTGTTTGGTTATCTTTTGTCCCTTAGCCCCTATTAAGGAGTAATTTTCTTCGACCGCGCCTAAATCCCTGCACCTGTCTGACCGCCTGCCTTAGTAGGTATAACGTCCCTAGGATCTCGCCTATTACAACTAACTCCTTAAGGGTAGTACTTTGTAATAGGCAAAATCGCAGGATTGTACACTGCATGCTATACTACATCCAGCGCGTTAAAAACTCCTATTAGAAAATACTGCCGGCACCTGTACGGCCCGTGCGAGAGATCCTTAATTCCCAAACCGAACACGCCCTAATACATGCTGCACAATAAAAGTACATGCTTTTACCTACGTATTGCAGCTCTTAATTTTTTTAAAAAATAAGCGTGTTGCGTTGTTGCGCAAGCTAGAATTTGCTACCTTATAATTACGCAGTTTCTGCGCGAGATTGTTGCCCCTAGTAATTTGTATGCAATTTGCGTTGAGCCTGTAGGCCCCCTGCGCAGCAGGGGGCATTTTCCGCAGGAAAATTCGATTATATAATCGACCCGTCGGGGCCCGGTTAGCGTGATGCCGGCGATCGGCGTTTAGATCTGAACAGGGGCGGGGACCAGGATGTGTGCATCACGTGAGCATCTCAAAGCTGGAAGACTTTGACTTGGCACATAGATACTTCAATCTAATACCTCGACCAGCGGTAACACAGTATACACGAGCGATGGCTTTCGACGATCCAAGACTCAAGTATCTCCGGGAAGCAGCACGTATACTCGCTGTCTCATCGCCGGCAGTATCCGCAGAGCTGGGAGCAACCAGAATCAGGCTGCTTGAAGAACGAGATGCTGACCTCGAAGCAACACCGAAGGAGCGGGATGCACTCCGCCGGGAACTCTGCGTTGCCTGTGGAAATCTGCTGCTTCCTGGTTGGTCATGTAGTGTCGCGCATGAGAGTCGCTCCAGGAATCCTATCAAGAAGAAGGAAGGGGACGCGATGGAGATGAAGCCCAGATGCGAGAGCGACCTGGTCTATACATGCCTCAGATGCCACCGGAGAACCGAAAAACAGCTTCCACTTCCACCACCAAGGCGAACTCAAATAGCAGGTCGTCCCTCGAGAATCAGCAAACCAGCGCCCATGGCCCAGTCAGACGGTGCGGACAGGAACAAAGGCATCAAGACGGCCAACGCAAGCAGTAAGCAGCGAGCCAAGGCTCGGAAAGGCGGCTTGCAGGCTATGCTTGCAAAGAGCAAGAGCCAAAACTCGACCTCCCAGGGACTGGACCTGATGGATTTCATGCAATAGCTGATCGTGGTTATCATCAGATTAGATGGTAAGGCTGAGGTGAAGGGGTCGGGTGTTGGTGACGCCTAGAGGCCGCTAGAAGCAACGCGAACCCCGCCAACCACTGCGGGGCAAATCTTTCGCATTGCCTCAAAAAACACCCGTGGACCTGAACTCGCCGCAATTTTCAAAGAAAACCAACAAACACTCCAGTCAGCACGCACCATATACAGGAACCGATTTGGAATATCTTCAATATGGCGCAGCAGCACAAGAGTCTTGCCGAAGACCTTTTCGAGGACATGGGCCGCAAGGTTGCCGAGGCGAGCGCAATGGAAGCAGATGAGGATGGCAACAAGGTTGTCGATGAGATTGAGAGCTTGTGCATGAACTGTCACGAGCAGGTAGGTACCCGCTATGCTTCCTGCACTTCATTGTAATCTGACCACCATGCCAGGGCACAACGCGTCTTCTCTTGACCAAGATCCCCTTCTTTCGCGAAATCGTCATCATGTCATTCGACTGCCCACACTGCAATTTCAGGAACAACGAGATCCAATCCGCAGGCGAGATCCAACAGCGCGGTGTCCGGATATCCCTCAAGGTCGATAAAGAGGAAGATCGCAATCGGCAACTCGTCAAGAGCGACACCGCGATTTTCAGAGTCGAGGATCTGGATCTCGAGATGCCGGCTGGTCGCGGTCAACTGACAAACGTGGAAGGCATATTGACTATGACTGCGCAAGATCTGGAGCTGAAGCAGGACGAGAGGAAACAACTAGTGCCGGAGGTCTACGAGAAGATCCAAGGTATAATAGACGCTCTGCGCGAGATGGCCGCTGGCTCGAGATTGCCCTTCACCATCACAGTCGACGACCCAGCTGGCAACTCATCCATCGAGCCTTCACCACAGGACAAGGGGTCAAAGTATCAGAGGCATGATTACGCGCGCACCACTGCACAGAATGAGGCTCTTGGCCTTGCAGACACATCGGAGGAAACGACAGCAGTAGAAGCGCCGCCCACTGAAATCCGTCCCGAATATCACGCAACTTCGCTATACCCCAAAGCGCCGGAGCAACCCATGGTGAACAATGTCGACGACGACGAGATTGTGGAGAACCAGGTCTACTCGTTCCCAGCACACTGTCCCGGTTGCGCAAAGTACTGCACCACCAACATGAAGATGGTGAACATTCCCTACTTCAAGCAAGTGGTACTTATGAGCACAGTTTGTGATCACTGTGGCTGTAAGTTTCTCTCGGTTACATTGCCCAGTATTATCACTAACTTGGTACTAGATCGGAGTAATGAGGTCAAGACCGGTGGCGAGGTTCCCGAGAAGGGTCGTAGAATCACTCTATCAGTTGAAACCAACGAGGACCTTTCCAGAGATATTCTGAAGTCCGAGTCTTGTACGATGGCTTGTCCAGAGCTTGAGCTTAGCGTTGCTCCCGGCACCATGGGTGGTCGTTTCACCACGATTGAAGGCATCCTAACCCAGGTTCGGGATGATCTCCGTAGTCAGATCTTCGACATCGGCGACGGCGGTGACTCAATGGACGCTGGTACCAAGGAGAAGTGGAATAAATTCTTCGACCGATTGACATCAGCCATCAAGGGCGACGTCAAATTCACCATCATCCTCCAGGACCCCTTAGCTAGCAGCTATCTCCAGAGCTTCACAGCGCCCGAACCCGATCCGCAGATGAAGGTAGAAGATTATGAGCGCACTGCCGAGGAGGAGGAGGAACTCGGCCTGGCAGACATGAAGACCGAGGGGTATGAGGAGCCTGATACCGCCAAGCCGACGGATACGACCGAGACGACCGAGACGACTAAGGACGCGTAGGACGTACACGACTGTTATCATCTTTTCTTTCACTTGTTCAGCCTGGGGCGGTCGTAGATATCAAGGCCTCGAAGCCGTATAGAGCATTTCTGCATGTTCCAATTTATGTCACTCTTCATTGTCTTAGCATCCTCCAAACCGCTTTGTCGTGGGAATGCCAGATCGTCATCCTGCTAATGGATTTGCGTGTATTGTGATGTTCTTGATCTCAACGCGCTCTTTCGGCCTCGACTTCTTGTCCACTTCGAGCTTCTCCAAGTCGTCCAGCACCTCATCCCCTTCAATGACCTTTCCAAACACCGTGTTCTTGCCATCTAGATGCGGCGCGGGGGCTAGGGTGATGAAGAACTGCGAGCCATTGGTATTGGGGCCTTTATTCGCCATACTGACGATTCCACGGGCGTTATGCCTAAGAGCTGGGCGGATCTCGTCCTCGAACAGGCGATCGGGTGTATCGTAAATCGAGGTGGAGCTCTTCGACTTGGGATCCGAAGCTGGGCTACCAGCTTGAACGATGAAGTTGGGGATGATACGATGGAAAGGGCTGCCGTTGTAGAAATCGGAGGCGCACAGGGCGAGGAAGTTCTCGGCAGTCTTGGGGACAGACTCGCAAAAGATCTCGAGCTTCAGGTCGCCTTTGGTGGTGTGCAGCTGCTCCGCTGTTAGTCCGAAGCTTGGAGAACAAACGGAAGTTGAACACTCACCGTGACAGACATGCTGGCAATTCAATTCAATGCCCGTCCCCAAGGCCTTGAAAGCAGCTCTATCCGGAGTCTCGTCGAAACTGATGGTCTAGCGGGTAACAATAATTCGGAGCCTTCGTGTAGTTGTCGTTCTTTCCGGCGGTGGCTGGCTTTGACGTGGGCGGCCGCGGGTGTTCAGCTCGACGCCCCAAGCGAACGGACCGCTCCTCCACCTCCGCTTCTTCCCTCAAGGCCCTGCATCGCTCGCTCTCGCGCGCCGCACGCTGTCATTGTCGCTGGGGATCATTCTTAGAGTCTGATTCTACGGCGTCCACAGGCCTAGGTCTGTCAAAAATTATTATTACCCAGCCGTTCTCGGGCAGATCCCCTTCGCTATCGCCGCTCGCCATACCCGCCAGCCCTACGCATCTGATACAGCTCCAACCCCCACTGCGCCGTCGTCTATAGATCTGCACTCCTCACGCACTGTTGCTGCTGCACCTCGACCTCGATCGCGGCCCGCCCGCCGACCCTCTGCCTGACACTTCTGTGCGACCGGCGTGCGCTGCGCGTAACCCACGCCTGTTCAAGCATCCCGTTAGACGTACATCTTGAGCTCCCGAACCCCACCGTACCGCAACCGGAAGGCTACGCATCACCGCAAGTCACGTCCGGCGCACGAAGGCTGGAGCCCCTCAAGCGGCTTCTGGGACCAGCCTAGCACAAGAGGAGGCCGCCAGCTCGTCCCATGCCGCGCCTCTTGCCATCCCAGGTCAGCCCCTACGACCTCGCCCTGAGAGACTATGGCGGCCTTCGTGCGGGTGTCGGGCCCGCCGAACAGTAATTTTTTGATCGGATACCCTGGGATATCGGCGACGCTGGTATGTGCATACCTTCCTTACAAGACGTCATAGATTGGCCTGGAATGCGCCGGCGCAACTGGTCACGGCGTTGTGGTCTTGACCCGGCATGGCTGGATTTGCTGACAAGGAAACAGCCCAGGATAGAAGGTAAAGTCGAGATTCGCCCGTCGGTGGGCATATCAGCGCCTGTCCAAGTCTCCCTCGTGACCATTGCCCTCCAGCGTCGAGAGACAATACATCCGGCCGCCGATTCGGTCACCAGGAGGCATCTAGCGGCGCCGCGCAAGGAGATCTCGGACATTGTTGGGAAGGAGATGCTCTTATTCCGATGTCCTGTGGGGAAAGAGTATGAAAGCGTGCTCTGCATGGACCTCCCCTTTGTGATATTCATACCATATGGCCGGGGTGGCGAGGAGGTAGCTAGAAGGGTACCACCAGCCAGCCTACAGCTAGCCAACCGGACAGCGGAGACATTCTACGAACTCGTAGTGACGGTCCAACAAGGGCATTCGGAGCAGAAGAAATACGCCTTTCCGGTCCCCATATTGCGATATGACACGCTATCCACCTTTGGCATGTACAACCGACCCGAAAGCGCAGAGAGAGTGACGGATCATCTTGTCACACTTGGGATTAGTCTGCCTAGGTGGAGCTATGGGCCTTTGGATCCCGTCGCAGTATACATCAAACTAAGTCCGAACCCGGATTGGCTAAGTAAAGCCAAGAAGGTCACTATCAAGCAGATCACCGTTGGAATAGACGAGGAAATCATCTACAATCATGAGGGAGACGAGCCGACAAGGAAGGTGAAGACTCTGGCGAAGACGACGCAGGCGGTGGGGGTGAAGATGCCCGACGCAGGGTATTACACAAATTTGGGATTGGTTTTCCCGGCAAAAGATCTGAGGGATTCAGACGGCATAATACCAAGGGGGAAGAAGGAGTTCCCTATGTATGCTGTTAGCGGTTTCACGACTACTGGCACCTTGTATAAGATCGAGTACTATCTCACGGTCAAGGTCTGTCCATTTTAACCCCGAACAGAGTCTCTTGTCTAACCCTCACAGGCGCAAATGTCCGGCGCAAGAGACATCCTCCTCCGGCACCCCATCGTCGTCTGCCCCTTTGACCACGCCGGCTGCAAGGAAGAAATGGAGGCGATCGAGCAGGCCGCAAAGGACGCCGCCATGGTCAGCCCAGACAACCCGATGCTACCTCCTAGCACCATCATCCGGGCCAATGATCCCGAGGGCCTCAGAGCTTTGGGCATGGCCATTGTACAGGGAGTCCGGAAACCAGTTATTGATTGAAGATACCCACCCTCGTTGAGCGATTGCGACTTTTGTGTTTGGTAGAGCCGATCATAAGCGCTTGGGCTTCATTGGCTACGCGCACTTTCCCCTAGACGCGATCTGCCTGTTGGCTCGAGCGAAAGTCACGCGCTTGCGTGCAACATAGACAGCACATGTAGCTGTCAGACGGTGCCCTTCTTGGAGACCATATCGAGGAGCATTCGGTCTACAAGAAGGAGTCTTCGCATTCTTTCCAGCGCGGCGTTCAGGATATCAACGCACACATATAGCACGGTTGGTGGCGGATAGTGGAGCTTCCAGTGCTTCAGTCGCGTTCTCCGTATTGACGGGATGGGATGGCTGGCTCTTTGCACGCATTTGAGGTTCTTTGGCTTGCGCGTTTATTGCATTCCAGAGGAGTATGTGGTTGAGGGTCTTATGAGGATACCCAGCGTTCGACTAGTGGTCTACCGACGCGCCATTGCGATGCCTAGAGTGCTGGCACTTCTAGGGTTGCAGAAGGTTTAGCAACGCAAGGGTATGGCATCCTTTGTACAGAGTATAAGGCGCGCCGAGTCGCCGTTAGGGGAGATGGTGTGCATATAGTACTTGGAAGAGTCGAGAATCGAGATTTGAAATGCAGTGCTGTGTGCGTTTTGACTTCTCTATCGATTACCGTCACTGTGATTTGATTTGAGTTCCCTGATCGCGTTATGGAATTTTTGGCTGTAAACATAACGGAGTAAACGAACGTTACTGCCGCGCGCTATGTCCTTGCTTTACTGTAGCTGCTGCATATCCAAATTATAGTAATCCAGCGAACTACACACTTCTCCCGCTTCTTGTTGCGAGTCTATTTACATATCCAAGTCAGCAGTAGGCGTTACCGGATGGTATACCGTAGCGTTGCCAAGGGGAATGAATATGTCACACAAGACTTCATGCATATAATTCGCAACCAATGTTAATTCGATCATACAGTTACTGGTAAGAGTTAGAACTAGTATGCGGACGGATGCGGACGAATCAATGGCAGACTGACATTTGGAAAGAGGGCGTCACACCAATGGTCGAACAACGGTAAATAGGTAACCATCAAATCTATCATTCCCCTCCTCGCTCCATCGTCGATTCCACCGCCACCAACATCTTGCCCCCAAAACCTACACCCTTTAACAATGGATTCCCAGAACATCTATCAGGAAGTGCAGGAGCACTACGGCTCCGTAGCTCGCACATTCAAAGACACGGCATACAGCGGCGCCGTCGCCAAAGCCTTTGGCTATTCAGAAGACGAACTCAGCAGCATCCCCAAGCAAGCCAACCTCGGCGTCAGCTGCGGCAACCCGTTAGCGATTGCGAGTCTCCGAGAGGCAAGCAAGCCCTCGCGTGGATTTGTGGCGCTTCGTAAACTATTAACATCGCTTTGCAGGGTGAGACGGTCATCGACCTTGGGAGTGGCGCGGGATTCGATGTATTTCTTGCTGCGAGGAAGGTCGGGCCAAAGGGTCGTGCTATAGGTGTTGACATGAATAAGGTCTGACGCCTAGGGTTTTGCGCAGTTATGGAAGGTCTATATATGTACGAGAACTGACACGCTCCGCTCCAGGACATGCTCGCGCGTGCACGTGAGAACCAGGCTGGAATACCGGACTCGGACAATATCTCCTTCGTAGAAGCGGTCATCACGTCCATCCCGCTACCGGACGGCACTGCAGATTGCATCATTTCCAACTGCGTGATCAATCTCGTGCCTGAGGCTGAGAAACCGGCCGTATTCAAAGAGATGGCTCGCCTGCTCAGGCCGGGCGGGAGGGTGGCTATATCGGATATCCTGGCGCGGAAGGTGATGCCTGCTGAGCTCAGGGAGAGTGTTGCGCTGTATGTTGGTTGTATAGCTGGATGTAATTTGAAGGAGGATTACGCTCGGTGGTTGGAAGAGTCTGGCTTCGGCGGTGAGTGGGATGGTAGGTGTAGAGAGCTAGGTTCGATGAGCTAATCTATCACTCTCTTAGATGTTGTGATTGCGGATACAAACAGCGACTTGAATGTCTACGTCGATATGGCGAAAGATCCCAGTGTGAAGGATCCAGATACTGCTGGGTGCTGTGGGCCACCGGCCAAAGAGGCCAGCAAAACGTCCTGCTGTAGTACAGCGGTCAGTATAGTGACGTCTGCTTTTCGCACTTCGGTCAGAGCATCTTGGAATCTCCTGGCGGCTGACTAGACGGTTTAGGTCAAAGCACCCTCTGATATCAGTCTCGGCGACATCAATCTCAATGAGTGGGCTGGTAAGGCTTTCCAGACTTGCAAGGTCTCATCTCTGACTTTTGCAAGGCTCTTTCAAGATCTTCGCTGTGAAGAAGTAAAAGTTGGTAAATGGTGTCGTCTTGCAAGTTTTACCCCGTGAATTATACCTATTATTATCTCCGCTTCCTTTGTGATGCTCGTGATTTCTCATCTCACATCAGAAACTGTTACTGGCCATGTCAGGGCAGGGGAGGGATAGAATGAGAAGAAGCCGCCATCATCAGATTTCCAGTCCTTGGGCCTGAGAGAGGGTACGACGGGACGGGCGAAAGAGGCATCATCGGGCATGAGCTTCACTCCTCGAGCGATCAAGTAGAGGACACCAGAGGTATTCCAGCCTGCGCATATATCTTTCTGTACCCGCACCCGAAGGGATGTGAAATCGGAATAGCCGCGATTCTGTATATCCTACATCTATCAATTGTAGAATCCTATTTCCGCTTGACAGTGTAGATGGTATTGTTTCACCCGCTCTTAACCTTCTTCTCCTCCCTCTCGCTGAACCGATCCCCAAACAAGTGAAAATGCGGCCTCATAACGATCGTATATTTCACAAACTCCTCCATACAATCAACGACCCTATCTCTATTGGAGCTAGGCATAAGCCTGCTACCACCATCCGGGGCGTCAGCATCAGTGAATTGCGTGTACGCCTTGGGTATCGCGCTCTGGTTCGGGATAGTGAACATGCGCATCCATCGGCCCAGGATGCGCAGCGAATTCACGCAGTTGAAGCTTTGAGAACCGCCGCAGACTTGCGCAATGGCGAGAGTGCGGCCTTGAGTGGGCCTAACGGAACCCGTGGAAAGAGGTATCCAATCGATCTGGTTCTTGAAGACAGCGGTCTTGGGAAGGATGGTCAATTGAGTGGACGGGTTATGGGTTCCAAACGATGTACTTACCAGATTGCCGTGCTGCTCCGGACTCACCCATACGTGCCCGTCGCTCCACTTGCTCAGCTCGCGCAGTTCCTGCACCTTGGCGTGTGAGTGCTGCACGTCATCCTTGACGGGCAGACCAGTGGGGTCGAAGACGCGGACGTCACATCCAAGCCGAAAGAGGATTCTTGCGGCTTCGTAGGCAAGAAGCTTTGAATACGATCTTAGACATTCCATGAGCTACCAGTGCATTGACTATGGCGACATTTCCGTAACATGGGAACTGTTGAGCACCCTTATAGAATAAAACGTACCTTGCCCGCATACTGCCGTATAACACTAGAACCTTCAACCTCTCTTGCTCCTTGGCAAAGATTTCCTCTTCCACCATCTTCAACACGGTGCTTAACTCAAGTTGGGCAATCCAATCGTTCCTTGCAACGCTCTCATCCAACAAGAAGGGCCGATATGTTGCCCTAACCTGTTCATCGTCTTCTGTCCGCGGAATTGCGAAGGACCGGCCATAGTACGCAGGGTCCGGTTCAAATGTAAGCGCTTCTCGCGCCGCGTGAGTGTTGTTTAAATCGCCGTTCATTCTTCGAGCAGTTGCAGATGTGGATACGAGGCGTCCGGCGAAGGTGATGCTCCTCGGTGAGGAATATCGACGGCCTGAGTAAAGAAATAGCATTCAAACAGGACACTGAATATCAGAATGAAGATTCTAAATCGGTCCAGCGACCAAGTAAAGATTCAATTCAATCGTGTTACGATTTGGGAAATGTTTTGTGTACCAGTAGAAATGGATTGCCCTATCGGGGCCAGATTCGTCATAGAGTGCTGTGTGTCATTGGCGTTTTCTGATTGGTCGACCAGAAAGCTCGCGCCGTTGACGCTAGAAATCGGGTTCACCATTTTCTCGAGTGCTATTTCCCAAGTCTGTCCGACAAGAAGCGGGATTCATTCTTCCAGACAATTACGGCGCTTGAACTATGAGGATTATTGACTCTAGTAGTCCGTTAGGAGAACGAAATGCGATTGTAATATGGTGGGTGCTACGTAAGGAATATCAGCTCGGTCTAAACGTAGCAAATAGTGAACATGAGCTCCACAGCTTACCTTTGAACGATGGAGGGTCCACTCGTAGGACGCAGGTGAGATCTGCTCGATTGGGAAGATCATAATGAGATTTCGACTCAGGATTACAGCTCGCCCATGACTTGTAAGACCGTTGTATTCTTGACCTTGCAGTCTTCCTTGCTTTTGCATCCGAGGGCAGCGCGGACTAGCTCCCTATCTTTATGTCCGCTCATTTCGACAATGATGCTGGCAGCAGTTTCGCACGACGTCTCTAGACCAAGACCGCCTTGACCTGGCAAGGAGGGTACGGAAGGACAGAAACAGTCGGGGTCATTTGTGCATCCGTTTGAACCCCCAGGGACCCTGTCTTCATGGATACCGTCACTGGGTCTAGCGGAGGCATGCAGCTCACAGCGAGACTCAGGCTTCTGGTTCATCGCGGACGGCGATTCCTCTGCAACTGACAAACGACCCTCGGGCGGTGGGGATTGCTGACACCGTGCGTTCGGGACCGGCTTCTGCTCGTATTCAGATGCTTGGTGTACACGACCTGTATTGTCGACAAGGTACCGTCCGCCGGTAACAGAAGCCGCTGTAGGGAGAGGACAAGTTCTAGGGCCCTGCGCGACCGAGTTCCTGGGTGATAGAGTTGTATCCGGTACAGAAGGAGCAACCGTCCTCTGTGGAGTACAGGTCAATGACGGTACCCGCGGTTCCGGTCCGGTGGTTGGGCAACATTCCGCTGCATTAGGTTGGTCGACAGATCTTAGAAATGATTCCACCTCTTCTCGGGAAACGCCGTGAAGGGCGAGTAGGCGCCGGAGCTGTTGATTTTCCTGGGCAACTTTTCGAGCAGCCTGCTGCATCTCAAGCGTCGCTTGGACGCCTTGTAGCTCAAACTCCCGCACTCGCTTCTGCAGGCTTTCGAGCAAGTCCTTCCGCCGGGCCCGTGACCGCCTTTGGTTCTCCCTAACGCGTAAGGTGGATGGCGAGTCCTGCATCTTGTTCGGGTCAATGCTATGAAGAATATGGATACAGAATGGGGCGTGGTTTATGCACCTTTCCCGCCATCATGGAAGTATTATGATCGAATACTCCGCAGCCGGGTGGACTCTCACGGGATCATGAATATGTACTTCCTACGCAGCTTATCATGTGTAAGGAACCTCCAGGCCGCTTCACAAATTTTCGATTTTCCTGAAAGACCCGCCGGCTCCTTTCGACGACGACTCATGTGAGCCTCGGAATTGGTGTTGTTCGTCTTCAAGACTGGTGGAGTTGATTAGCTTGATTACATAATACAGAACCCTGGAACAAGGTAACTCCGTGGCCGTGTCCCACTTAAATTCTTCGCAGTGCTTTCTCCTCTCCACCTTACCAAATGCAAATTCTCTGCACCACCAGCTATGACACGCGACGCATCACGAAAGATGCAGTACTTAGCTCGCTCTGCTTTTCCTTCGCTTCAGATTGACTAACTCTATGCCATCCGGTGCTCCGTAGCTTGCAGTAAGTCGCTTTCCTTTCCACTCCGATGCAGATGATTATATCGCATAACAATCCAACTCCTATAGCGTCGTGAAGGACTTCAAATACTCTAGAATTACAATGATGCATCGTCTTTCTCGTGGTTAGAATGAAGTTTTGCCTGGATCGGGCTAACAGGACAACAGGTGTAATGTGGCAGGCTCGGCAGGGCTCTAGATGTCGAAAGTATACATGAGACAAAAGGTATGCATGTTACTTTCTTCTGTTTCATTCTTGCAGAGTGATGATACATACGACACGGAAAGGCATTCCTCGAACTGAATATACATTGTCGACACCTAGTCAAATTAGTTTCAGCCTTGTCTGATCTGCTTCCTGGCCTCCTGCTCGGTTTTGCTGGTTTTCTCATACAGGGAGCTAACGTACCCTTTCCAGGTATATTTCCCATCTCCTCCCCCTCAACACGACCCTTCCTATGATGAGAACCTTCGATGCGCCGGGCGGACAGATCCTCTTCGGCCGGCATTCGTTCAAACAAGCGTACAAACTTGTGGATGTTGGGTCGGGAGGCACTTGTTGATATAGCATCAGCTGATCGCCTACTACTCCGGATACCGCTTAAGGAGTCTACTGGACTTGCGCTGACGTTGTTTACAGGTAAAGGTATGGCAGATTTCACTCTATCTTTGAGGGTTCATCTTATATGATGATGCTTGATATTCACACTGTGTGAGCGGGCAGCCTTTAAACGGGGCTTGTCCGCACTGATCAGTTTAACAAATCTGATTTAATGAGGTATGTCTTCTCAACCTTTCCTCTACTCCATTGACTAACTCAGAGTAGCCTGACTCAAGATGGACCTTCACATTCTCTCTTGCGAACTTCCGTTCTTCAGCATCTGTTGTGCCTGAAGCTAACAACGCCGCTGAACAGAATTTGACAACTTGGTGCTGTAGGATTTGGACCCCGTAGGTATGCTTCCCATTGTCCCTACTCGCCCCTTCAGATGATGAGCATGATTCGCTGTGTTCTTCCTGAGTTCATCTTTGAAGAGACATAACATCATCTTGGAGACCTTCTGACTGTATCCTTACTGCCCATCTTTGTTATTAGCACATGTGGACATTTGCTTACGAAGCTGTGCAGGACCGGGCGTGCGAATGTGGAAGAGTATTGTTTCCATTGGACTGCAAGAGGTATGCAAGAGGTATGTCGCACCTCTTCTCTATATCCTCCTTCACATGATGAACACCATGATTCGCTGTGTTCTTCCTGAGTTCATCATTGAAGAAACAACCATTCACCTTGGAGAACTGACGATTCCCTTCGAGCGCTACGCGTTGTCATCGCTGTCTGATGTTGGGCTAAGCTGACTTGGACTAGGTGTTCAGAATACGGATGGCTCCTTTGATCCGGTATACATTTAGCGTAGTCCCAGCTAGTATAATAAACCTATCTTCCGAACCTTTCCCCCTCTTTATTCTCATTGTAGACGTGGAATTGTCGGTGTGCAATCGCCAGCGTGGCAAAGCTCCTCCCAAAAACTCACCTCGATGCGAAGGGATGCAGCAGAATATATTGGCTTCATGCACCCCAGATCTAGACTCCCCGCATGCATGCAAGCTATCGGTGTTCAAGAAGCGGCGGATGGAAAGGCGGTCAGGGATCACACAGTGTTGGCCACGGTGGGGTTTGGACTATTGACGATGCAGGTACCTAGGTACTGAAACTAGCCGTTTCAGGTGCATACTGATGTCGGCGATGGATAGTCTCTGCTTTGTGAGCGGACAGAGGCAGGGGTAGCAACTTGTTTCTGTCACTGACGATGCAATTGTAGGGAAACGAGGCCCACCATGGCGATGGTTGTAAAGAAAAAACCATCGTGATGCATTTGGAGAGGTTCTGTGCAGGCAACCTGGGGGCGGGAGGGCAAAGGTGAGATCGGCTGGTGTGACATACTTATGTATTGCGACGTCTTTGGCGTCTCTGGGTGTGAATCCGAAAAAAAAATGTTTCCAACGCTCATTGCTTCTCAATGACTTGTGCCTCCTCGGCGCCTCTAAGCTCCCGATGTACTGATCGACTCATTTTCTTCGTAAGCGCAAGTCCCGACCGACCAACACAACGAAGCCAGACAGCCATGCCACTAGCGCTCTCGCTCAGGACCATAAGCCGGAGGTGTTGGAGAAGCACCGAACGTTCCGCGTCGGCTCAGTCGCCTCGAGCCCTCTCTATTACTTGTCAGGGTAGTACCTGCGCAGTCGCATTTCCATCTAAATGCTAAAGCGAGCAGGCAAACCCATCAGCACCGAAGAATTATTCAAGTATACGAACGGACGTTTCTTGGTCAATGAAAACCACGCCCGTGAGCGCAGATATGTAAAGTTTGACGTCGACCAGCTCTGCGCGGTAGCTGCGTCCGCGAGCGGGCAACACTCGCCTGTCCACGCGATTGAGAAGATGGAAGGAGGGTTTAGCAAGGCACTCCTCCTGCGAAAGGAGGACGGAAGCGAAATCATTGCTAAAATTCCGTTCTCTATTGCCGGGCCTCTGAAGTGGCTGTTCTCCAATATCGTAAGATCGCCAAGTCCATGAAAATGCTATTGTCCCCAAGACTGATATGGCTGGTGGCAGTACATACACATACTCGAGTCCCGGTTCCCAAGGTCCTGGCCTGGAGTTCCGATCCTTCAAACCCTGTGGGCGCCGAATTTATCGTAATGGAAAAAGCTCCTGGGATACAGCTATTCAAGACATGGGAAGCGATGAGTGAATACGATCGATTCTGCCTCGTCAAGCTTTTGACGAAGATAGAGGGCGGGTTGGCAGCGATCCGCTTTCCCGCCAGCGGGAGTCTTTACCTCTGCGAGTCCATGGCAGACGACGACACATATGTCGCTTTGGACCGTGATATGGATCCATCTGGGCGGTTCTGCATAGGTCCATCTTGCGAACGAGGGTGGTATGCTCAGAGCACGACAGTATCTTTGCATTCTCCTTTCAATCGAGGACCATGTGAGTCGGATATGCGAATATGATCTCCTTAGCTGACTCAACTCAACAGGGTCGAATTTATCCTCTTTCGGTATTGCGCTTGTCGAAAGGGAAACTGCACGCATTGAACAAAACCCAACGAGTGCTACGACTGATCCACCACGTGGATCCTTCGATGAACAGATTGCCGTCCTAAAAATGGCCAGAGATGTTATGTCTAGGCTAGTCTCGCAGACACTCATCGATAGGGTCTCCCAGCCAGTCTTATGGCACACCGACCTCCACATGGGCAATATTTACGTCTCTAGCGAAGACCACACTAAGATCGTCTCGCTTATCGATTGGCAGTCGATTGTAGTCTCGCCTTTGTTTTTACAGGCCCGCTTTCCAGAGTTCTTGTCGGTTGACGAAGACTACGCCCTTGGCTCGGAGTTCCCTGAGCTACCGCAAGATTATCACCAGATGGACGCAGATGAGCAGGAAATTGCTGAGTTTAAGCTAAAGGAAGCTAAGTTAGCTAAGGCATATGAATTATCCACTGGGCCCCAGAACAAGCAGGCATACAAAGCCTTGTTTCTACCATCCTTCCTACGGGAGCTGTTTATTCGATGTGGAGAGGCCTCAGAAGAGGGCGTAATACCACTTCGGGCATGCCTTATTCAGCTCTCCGAGGTGTGGAATGAGGTGGGGTTCACTGGCAAATGCCCGTTCAGCTTCAGCGAAGACGACAGGCAAAAGCACGACCAACAGTTTGAGGAATATCGCCACTTTCATAAAGTCCAAGAAATCGCCAGAGAGCACCTGGACACTGATTCCGAGGGCTGGATTGCCCCTCAGTTTGATTTCGCAATGAAACAGCAGCAGAACGAGAGATTGCTCCAAATGGTCATGCACAGAAGCAGTGAGTACAACAAGTCACCAGAAGAGGTTCGGAGAATTTGGCCTTTTTTGGAAAGTTCATAGCCCATAAGTGCTACACAATTTACTATACGATAACTCTCCAACTACCTATGCATATACAATATTTATATAGAGTAATATTTATCCTTTGAATTATTGTAGTCTCTAGGCCTTAGCAGTTTGTTTGAATACACAGTGTAACTGCTTAGTCCTCCTTGCCTCAAAACTTATGCTTGCGACCATAGTAACTCGACGATGAGGTCATGTCATCGTTAGGGGAAACCAGGAAGGGGAGAAAGGCTGACGTCAGGGCGGAGCTGGAAAGGTGCTGCGTACTGGGGGTAAACCGGATACGGTTGTCCGCACTCCAGGCGGTTAATGGTAGTTGCAAATAGAATTGGGAGCCGAAGGAGGAGGGTGTTGATGGTGAATGTATAGGTCGGTCAAGGAGGCTGATTGGTAAGGCAGTACGGAGTAACATCTACACTCTGAACCATACTACACCTCCTAGTAAACGCTCAACTAGTATATGGGAGCGCGTGTGGACTATGGTTCCTCTCAAGGCAGCGTCATCACGAATCGATAGAGTTTGCAGCCTATTGACGGTTTCAATGTTCCGCTCATGACCTCGGGCTCGTGATACACTCGGCAGACGCGACATATGCCATCAATGCGCCCAACAGCTAGGAAATAGCGATCTACACCTTCAGAATGTATTCCATCATTGCGGTACTCTGCCCCGGTGTACCTACTCTTGTACTTGCTCTCCATAAGCGGCGGCCCTCAGTAACAGAGTCATCTCTTGTGTGCCAAGCCGCCAATCACATGCTCGTTCCTGGTTCCTGGTTTCTCTGGGGGAACGCACCGTCGCCGGCGACACTCCGGCCAGGAACAACGCTTGCACTTCGGCCGCGACTAGCCACACTAGTCCCGACAACAGGAACAGCAAATTCATGAAGTCGAATCCCTCGACATCATACATAATCAGGCAGCATGCACACCTACCTGCATTGGCAACCCTTTTCCCCAACAGCGAAGGAGAAAAGAATATCACTGAGAGAATTAATAATGTTCTCACGGTCGGAGTCGTCCCAAACGGGTCCCTGGTTCGGCGTGCCGGATCCCGCGTCGCGGATTCGGGAGTCGCACCAGCAGCAGGTGTTTGACCCGTTCGGCAACGGAGCGGCAGCGTGCTTCTGGAAGGCCGATGGAACAGAAATTTCACACTGTGTTGTTGGAAAAGACCGTTGGGCAGAGATGTCATCGGAATCAGGCTCAGCCCAGCAGCAGATTGCGGACGACATGGGTATTTCGGATTCCCCTGAGCGTGTACCAAGGGTTGTTGTCGGGCGATGGACGGAGGAAACTATAGAAACGGCGGCCGTTCCGGTGTGGATCATCGCATTTCGCATTTCGCATGTGGATTATTTGTTGACAGTTGTTGACAGTTGTTGACAGTTGTTGTTTTGTGTGAGGCACAGACGGTGGGAAATATCTGATTTGATTTGATTTGATCTGGATTTTGTTGGAGTGTTCGGCTGTTGCTCGAGACGCGGAGCCGGACGAGCCTAAATGGAGGGGTTGGGTGAAAAAGGCAGAGAAGAGAGGGATATTTACGACGGGATATGGGATTGACAGTCAAGCGAGACGAAAATGGAAACAAAACCCTTGGAAAGTGGATATGAAAAACGTTGTGTTGGCAACGTGTGTGTTTATTACCAAGATGACCTGCAGAATATTGTTCCTGGGCAGGTGTTTGTTATAGCCGGGGTTGGAGAGAGGGTTTTTCAAAATCAGGGCTGCCCAACGAACCTTGCATAGCCTCGGCGGGTTGGCAAGGTAATAGGACAAACGGTCGTGTGGTGGGTATTTGTCATCAGGCTGTGTGAAAGAATGCTGGGGTTGACCATTATTGTTGTGCTTGTTATGGAGGGGGAAGTCTTTTTATGGCACAGCCTGTGAGCTTTGCGCGTCCTGGACCTTGCACGCCGCAAACGCGTTCGGGCTGAACAACTTGTGTGGACTCGAATCTCCGGAGTGGGTGGCGAGTGAGTGCCGTAATATACCGGTACGGTGCACTCGTGTTTCACGTTGCACCAGCAGCACGTTCTCAGGGAGATGATGTCTCCATCATGGCCATCGGCGCACAACGCTGCCCTGCCTGCCCGCACCGTCGGGAGGGAGGACTGCGGTAAGGCTGCATGCGCAGGAACCGGAGGACAACATTATCTGAACCGTGACCAAACTGGTCCAGGACACGGCATCCCGCGCCCAGCGGCGAGGGAGTGGGGTTGGGTGCGAAAAACGAGGGTGTGAAGGCGAGGAAAAGGGAAAAAGGGGTGGGAGGAACAAGTCAGAAGGTGGTCGCCCATCCTCTCTCTGATGGGCAGACTCGATAATAAAACAAAATATGAGCAGGGCCGAAAAAAGCAGTCATACTGCATGCAAACACGCAGCCCCAACGGCGAGCAGTGGTGAGCGACGCGCCTCGCAGAGCCAGGCTGTGTTTGGTCCCCGACGCGTGCAGACGCAGCCCTGGAGTGGTGAATGGCGCGTCACGTGCACGCCATAATTGCACACCTGGGCAACCACCCAGAAAGTCGTTTCAATAAATAAAATCCAGGAAAAAGGACCAATCGCCGCAAGCCGTGCCATGTGCATTTTGCCTAATGTGTCTAGCGCGCTGCTGTGACTGGCTAGCGCCAGGGTCTCTCAGCACGGTGTCAGACGTCCCATCCACCCATTCACACCATCCTTCATCCCAGGGACAAGTCGGACCAACCCTCTTTTCCCCGTTCCCCCTTTCCCCTTCCCCGTCCGCCCACCCAGGCAGCCTGGCACTGGCACTGGCTTCCACCCATCCATCATTCCCCGAGACAGACTGCTGCTCTCATCTCTCGGCCAGTCTGACACCACCAGTCCAGTCCTGCTGGGGACCCGCCAACCCAGTCCCTGAATCCTGACTGTTGCCAACCTTCACGCCGCGTGTGCGCCACTTTCACCTTCACAGGCTTCCCTCCGGCAACCATCTCGTCGTCTCCTTCAAGTCGCAATCCCGCCCCCGCACCGCACCCGTACCCGCCATGGCCGCCGCTGAGCACCACTGAGCTGTGACCTCCAAATCCAACCCCCAAAACCTGACCCTGCCGCTTCTGCTCCAGTCGCTGCTTTTCTTTTTCACCGCTGTCTTCTCACTTCTTCTTCTTCTCTGGGCGCCTGCTCCTTTGCTGCATCCTGTTTCGCTCGCTCGTTTGTCGCGCATCGTTCGAGCGCTCTTTGCCAACACAGCGCCCTGCCGACCCGACCGCCCATCCTTTCACCTGCTTCATTTCACCACAGCAACGACCATCTGCTGGCCTTGCGACCGAGCTTTACCCTTCCGAGCTCGAGACTTTCGATTTGTTACGTGCGACCAAGCTCTCGCCGGCCACTCCCTTTTCCCCCCTAATCTGCTCTTCTGGTCTAACGGCCTGGGCTTGCCCGAAATTGGCGGCAAGCGATTCATGCTCGAGCCCACTTAGTGGCTGGCCCTCATCGACTCTCCCTTCTTGCGCTCCGCACATTTGTGACTTCACAAGCACAAAGCTCCAACCCCTGGGACCGCCTTGTCTTCCTTTCCTCCTGAATCCGCTGATCGCTGGGGCTCGACAAGGCCATCACGACCATCATCGCATCCGACAGCTTGTTTCGCACGCCTCATCGTCCTATCGACTGTCACACTCCTCATCTACCCTCATCGTCTCCCGACCATCTCCTCTCGATATCCACTTCCCAGTCTCCCCGGACGCACTGTCCAAGGACCAATTATCCTGATTAGCAAAGCCATTTCGAGCTATGGTCACAGAGTTATTCCTATTCCTTACCAGCTAGAAGAACCAAACCCACGGACGTCTACCCGCCTACCGTGGTCCTGGACCTGTCCCCACACGCCCTTTTCTTACCACTGTCCCTCCCTTCTGTTCAACCCTTCCCGCACCTGCATCCAGCTGGGCCCTTCCACCTCCATTCCATCATCGCGTCTGAGACCCTTTGATACCCATTGGACCCCTCCTTCACTACGGATAACTCGACCTCCCTTCCTGCATCTCCCTGTACTACATCGCTCTTTCATCACCATCTTCGGCCTGAAATGACACAGGCGGCGCTGTAATCGCTACATTCACCTACACAGGACACGTACTGGTAGGTGTCAAGCCATCTGCGCGCCTTTTCCGGTGCTGATTCTCCACAGTGTCTCTATTATCTATCAGCCAGTTCAACCTCAATCTATCCAGCGGTTGGAGGCATCCGATCCATCATTACTACCATGTATCCAGACGCGCAGAACCAGCATCATGGCTGGGCGTCGCTGGAAGAGAAGTATGAAGTGATGAAGGAGATTGGCGACGGGAGCTTCGGTAGTGTCGCCCTCGCACGTGTCAGAACCGCAGGGTCGCACATCGCTCGCCGAGGCACTTTGGTGGGTTTACCATGTCGGCATGTTGAGCGTTGGCGTACTGACGATCAAAGGTTGCGATCAAGACGATGAAGAAGACCTTCGACTCCTTCTCCAGCTGCCTCGAACTTCGCGAGGTTATCTTTCTCAGGACCCTGCCTCCGCATCCCCATCTTGTTCCTGCCCTCGACATCTTCCTGGACCCGTACAGCCGACGACTACACATCGCCATGGAGTTCATGGACGGCAACCTGTACCAGTTAATGAAGGCCCGAGATCATAAGCCAATGGATGCGCACAGCGTGAAGAGCATATTATTCCAGATCATGTCCGGCCTGGAACACATTCATCAACGAGAATTCTTCCATCGCGACGTCAAGCCTGAGAATATCCTCGTTTCGACCTCGCAGCAGAACGACTCATCGCATCCATTCCGCAGATACTCCGCACTGATGACTCCTCCTTCAACACCGCCTGTCTACACAATCAAAATCGCCGACTTTGGACTGGCGCGGGAGACACATTCGAAGCTTCCTTACACGACATACGTCTCGACGCGCTGGTACCGTGCCCCGGAGGTGCTTCTACGTGCGGGTGAGTATTCTGCGCCAGTGGACATCTGGGCGGTCGGTGCCATGGCTGTCGAGATCGCTACCCTGAAGCCTTTGTTCCCCGGAGGAAACGAGGTCGACCAGGTTTGGCGTGTCTGCGAGATCATGGGCAGCCCAGGTACTTGGGTGAACAAGTATGGTCAGAAAGTGGGTGGAGGTGAATGGAAAGAGGGCGTAAGATTGGCACAGAAGCTGGGCTTCTCATTCCCAAAGGTATGCATTCGATCCCGAACGGGGAGCGCATTTCTAACGCATCGACCAGATGGCCCCCCATTCCATGGACACGATCTTGCAGCCACCTCAATGGCCTGCGAGCTTGGCAAACTTTGTCACGTGGTGCCTCATGTGGGATCCGCGAGCCCGACCTACATCGACGCAAGCATTGGCTCATGAGTATTTCCAAGACGCTTTCGATCCTCTGCGCTGCAAATCGTCGTCCTCCAGGCTGCTTGGTCGCAAGCAATCCGACCTCTCCGCGAAGGACTCGCCAGATGCGTCGCCAAGCATCACCTCAAAGACATCCTCATGGCTGCGCCGCTCGCTCGTGGCTCGAGAAAGCGCACCAGCCGTTCCCCAGCATGCCTCGACGCGTCTTATATCGCCTAAGCCTTCACCTGCGCATTCTGGTTCCGTGGACCCCGTTTCTTCGACCAAAATCCGGCCCAATCCGAGTAAGCGAGCTACGTGGACAAATGGGGCCCCTTCCAATGGCGCACCTATCCCCATTTTGCCCTCAATCCGGCCTGTCTCCCCACTGTCTGATGCAGTGACGGCGCAAGCAAGTGTGCGTCCTGCAGAAGGCGAGGAAAAGGCGGCAAAGAAGATTGGCCGCCAATTATCCGTTGCCTCCCACGGCAACCACTATGCAGATATTCATCGCCAAGAGGCAGAAAGAGCGCTCAATGGCCAGTCAGGCCTTGCGTCGCCGTCAAGTGGCCACAAGGAAAGTTTCTTTTCGCATCTGAGGAAGCGAGCACGTCGCCTCTCTGGTCGTTATCAGACCCCTCTGTCGCCCAACTCGGATGATATTGAAGCCAGTGCAGGTTGCTCCCCGTGGGCCAGTGGCAATAGGAATAGCTCGATGATCATTGATCAATCTCAGATTGCTGCTGTGATAGCTAGCAACTCCGAGGCCTCTGACCTGGACAAGACCTTGCACCAGGTCCGATGCAGTCTTGAGGCCTCCGCTCAGACGGGTCATCCTTCTAAGACATCTCGCATCGCCACTAATCCGATGCTAAAGCGTCATCACTCGTTGCATGGCTCCGACGTCCGCTCCTCCGAGCATGGAGTTCAGCCTGGCGGTCCCGTCTCCAGCCGGACCAGGCGGGCGGTGCAGAGCAAATCGAACCCTTCCAACCGCTACGAGACGCCCAATGAGGAGGAAGAACTCTTGAACGAGGTCCTGACGTCGACGCAGAAGGCTGTGAAAAGAATGGACAGGTCTACTCAAGACCCGCACAAAACGCCTGCCAGACAAAGCCAGCTGGACGGAGCTGCAGCATCATACCTCACTCCCTCCTCGTCGGCGAACCGCAACGAAGTAAGCTTCGGACAGTCGGACAAGAGCACGCCAACCAAGCCGCTGGAGATCTCGAAAGTACGGACGACCAAAGAAGAAGGCCCCGCGAAGTGGCCTACTCCTCCTTATGATGAGTCGGACTGGGCATCCAGCGTAGCCGCGAGCTTGATGGCCACGCAGTCCCAGTATCGGTAGCCGTTTCGCATTCCTACTCTCCTAGTCCCGACTTACATTCTCAACGCCCGCTTAAGCCATATAATCTGTTTAATATCATCACCGCCGCATGGTTGGTCCTGTGTCTACGGTCGAGTGTAGCTTCAGGGCTCGCGCCTATATTCCACGTTCCCTGTTGACGACCGTACGAGCTTCTCAATCGACCAACCCGTCAGGAACGGTACACGGGTGAAGAAGACACACGAGACATCCAATACATAACTGGGCGGGTAAAAATCATAGAGGCACGGAGTTCCCAGGCGTTGAACCAATCGCACATTCGTTATCTTTTCACCTCTCTGCTCACCTCGCAGTTCCTGCGTTTGACGGCATTTCAGCGCATCGCTCAGGACTTGGGCTTCTCGGATACATCTGTCAAACTTTATACGACAGAGAAGCCTCTCATCTTCCACTTCCAGTATTTGTTTTCTGGCACCCATATTTCGGTCATACATAGCCCGCTAGACTGCTTTTCTCTTCCTCCTTTCCATCTTCTCATCGACGGCGGATACCCCACTTGGTCTTGTCTTTTGGCGACTACCCAATCTCTTGATACCTATTTCGATCTGGAGGAGCATCTATCACCATTTGGAACAGAGACGGGGCTGTAGCTCGGAAGCTCCCCTGCTCTTGCGCAAACCGAGTCATTATTATGGCGCTGTAGATAGTTGCTCCGTCTCTTACCGTACAGCGATTCAACCGTTCTCCTTTTACCGCCTTCCCCTTCCTGCCTACCAGCTTACCAGCTTACCTGCTATCGCTGACATCACTGCCATCCCTGTGTTTTTCCTCGAGTTTTCCCTCCTCTCTTGTGCTTATACCACTCCGCTGATAGACAGGTTTCCCGCACTTATTCGCAATCGCTGCCCCTATTCCCAGCCACTGATATATTCTTGTAATATGTAATACCCCCTTACCTTCCTCCCTTCGTTACAGACCGCGGGACCGGCTCTTGTACACAACAACTCCACAACAATTCCCACTACATCGCCACTAGTGGGATTTCAAAACAAGCTGTTCGCTATATACATGGTACCTAGCTACCTCTCATTACTATCATCTTGATACCATTTTCCTTGCAATGTTTGGAGGGAGCGGGGATGGGATGGGTTGCCTGGCTGGGCCGGATGGGAAGCTGCTGCCACTGCTTCTGCTAGATACTACCGCTACTGTTGTTACTGTATATTTCGTTTGTTGGAGCTGAGCTGTTGTGCGTGGAGGAGGCGCAGCCGGGCCTGAGGCCCCCTCGGCGAAGAAGGAGAGTAGTGAAAATTGTAAAAACCTATTCTTTGCCAACTACTGCTGAGTAGTTTTCTTCTTCCGTGGAGCGCGTGAGATTTTATTGTTCCCCTTTCCGATGAAGGGCATCACAGCGATCTATCTACTTACTACCCTCCCCTACTCATCCTACTCATCCGGCCACTGATCCACCAACTCCCTCGGCCCCTTTCCCCCCTGCACAATCCCCTCAAGATTCATCCTCACACTATACCTCAAATACTTGGTCTCATACTTTGTCGCATACCCACCGCCCAAACCACCAATATCGCTCTCCCCATCCATCGGATGATGATGCGCAAATATCGGCGGCTGACTCGTCAGACACACCCTCTCCATCCCCCTTTGCACCTTCTTCCCTTCGGCTTCGGCTTCGGCTTCCGCCTCCCTCTCGTCCTCACCCGCGCACCACCGCCCCATCTCGCTGTCGAAGATGTTGTTCCAGTGCTTGAGGCCGAACTGGTGCAGCAGGCGTCGGGCGCCGCGCTGGCTCACGGCGTAGGCGACGGTGCAGAGGGCGCCTCCCGTGGCGCGGTGGTACACGCGCGTGTGGGGCGGGTAGGCGGAGGCTAGGGGGTCGAGGGCGCCTTGGAAGGGGTGGGCTTTGAGGTGTTTGGGGGAGGGGACGGTGGGGTCGTTGGGGAGGGTGAGGAGGATGGAGGAGGTGGTGGTTTGGGGTTTGGGGTGGGGAGGGTGGCGGGGGAAACCTGCGCCGCAGTGCTATGGATGGGGGGTGGTGTTAGTTGTGTTGTCTTCTTTTGAGGAAGGGGTGAAAGGAAAGGTGAGGAGAAAGAAAGGAGAAGGCGAGAGGAAAGAAAGGAGAAGAAGAAGGAAAAGAGAGAACGATGGACCTACGCCTATCCAGAGGATATCCCACTCAGCGGGATCGCCGTAGGGGGAGGATGTCGCACCACCCGTCTTCTTCCGCGCAGCCATCATCCCCCTCCCCTTCTTGTACACCTCCCGCAACGGCAACGAGGGCAACTTCTCCGTGATGCCATTCTCGCTCAAGATATGGAACCCCGTCTCCGGCGTCTCGGTATTCGGCCTATTCTCAATGGCGGACCGGTAAGGCGAGCCCGCGGCGGACAGGACGTCCTTGTTTTCGGCGAGGAAGCGCGAGGCGAGGGCGAAGCGTTGCAGGTTGGCGCGCACGCGCACGTCCCAGTCGACGTCGTCTTCGAAGATGAGGGCCGTGGTTAGGTTTTGTTCGACCACTCTGACGTTATGTTTGTTAGGAACCTGATCTCTTCCTTTGGTTTGCAGGGGGCTTCTCTGGAAAGGATGGTTATTACCTTTGGAGAGCATTCATGTGGGTTCGCCAACTGCCCCGGATGCCCGCGGGTAGCTTGATGTTTTCCTCCGGAGGTGGATAGGCGCTGTGTCGGATCGAGTCGCCGGTGACGCCGTCGACGAACTCGAGGGCAATGTTGCTGGTTGCGGCGGAGAGGGTCATGGCGTCGCGGCGGTCGGTGCGGAAGGGGAGGTTGAGGACGAGGATTTTCTGGAACTGTGAGGGGTGTTAATGGAGGGAGGACTCAGTAAAAACGTTGGGGAGTAAGAGAATCTTGTAGATTTGGTTGACTCGGGATTGGCTTTATAAGGAGATGGTGGTAGATGAGAGGAGAGTCAATCTCCTCAGACAAGCACAGAAGCTACGAACGTGTTGGTACAGAAACGCGCAAGGAGACGATATGTACGGAGAAGATGGGAATTCCATGCAGAATATGAAGACAATCATACCCCCAATGTAGTATTCAGTATATCTCTTAAGCTCTCATCCTCGAGTAATGCAAACGAGTCGTCAGGAATCACCACCGTCGTCGCTCCAAAACGCAACCACAGGTACAGCGTCGCAAAGCAGACACAAGTTGTCAAGAGCCGTGGCCTGGCTAGATACCATGGCGTCGACCTCCTCTTTGCAACGGCGAAACCGGTCCCCTTTGGGGATATCATCCCAAGGGTATCGATGGAGATGCGCCGCATGTCTCTGGACAGCTGCTGCGGCGACTGACCAAGTTCTGGCGGCAGCACATTGAGCGATGAGGTACGATTCCTATAGAAATGCACGCAGCGCTGCCCCAACTTTTGAAGGAGGCCATGCTGTTCTGATGACCAGTGGACTACCAGGCTGAATATAGCCGCAATTCACCTGCTGCACTGAATAGATTGATGGGTGGCTTGGTGAGGCTAGGGATATGTTGGGAGAACCTTGGAAGGATGTGATCGACGGCACGTGACCCTTCACTCTTGGCTAGTGTGGGGTTCTGTTTTCCCCCGCCGCCGATGCTCCGGCACCTCCGCGGCTTGCTGAGAAATGCAGCCTTATCGATAGGAAAACAGTGAACTCCAAACGAAAATCGGCCCTGGCAGGCCGACGATTTCACCAATTCCTTTCCTCTATATCCTGCGCTATATCCGCCCCTTTTCTTTTTCGAGATCTGCTCCTGTTGCTTCATTCTCACTCCCACAAGTTGCTGCGACTGCGATCTGGATGGAACTTTGACGTCCCATACACTTTCGATCCTTGTTGCCACCCTTCTCTCCCGCGCCGCTCACCATGAGCGCCATTCTCTCCGCAGACGACCTGAACGACTTCATATCGCCAGGCGTCGCTTGCATAAAACCAATAGAGACACTTCCTGCGCAAACGCCAGACGATTCTGTACGTCAAGAGACCATTTCCCCACACATTGCTTTTCCCCCACTGACACATAGCAAGAATCCGTACGAAGTCACCACCGAAGATAAAGTCGCTGCCTCGCAACCTCCACCGCCCGCTCAGATATCACTTACCGACTGCCTCGCATGTTCGGGTTGTGTCACATCCGCTGAAGCAGTCCTCGTCTCACTCCAATCGCATAATGAGGTCCTCACGACGCTGGATGCGCACCCTCCGCTGCATCTACCGTGGTTGACACACGCGGGCCAGAATGGAGTAGCCAACGGTATCAATGGGAACACGGGGCAAGGGAAACTATTCGTGGCGAGCGTGTCCCCCCAGACCCGTGCCAGTTTGGCAGCCGTGTTTTCGGTGTCGGAGAAGGAAGCAGGCAACATGATCGCACAGCTGCTCAGCGGGCCGTCTGGTCTGAGGACAGGTGGTCTGCACGGAAGCGACTTCACATGGGTCATAGACACCAATGTGGTCAGGGAGGCCTGCCTTACTGCCGCAGCAGACGAAGTTGCCGCTGCGCTGTCTCCTGAAGCCGCCAGCGCAATCTCCGGTCCTGGGTCGGAGGGCACACGAGATTCGAGACCCAGACAACCTATACTCACATCCGCATGTCCGGGTTGGATATGCTACGCTGAGAAGACGCATCCCTACGTGCTACCGCATCTGTCACGCCTCAAATCCCCTCAGGCGCTGACCGGGACTCTCATAAAGTCCGTCCTCGGCCAGCGCTATGGCATTGCGCCATCCCAAGTCTTCCACCTCGCCATCATGCCCTGCTTCGACAAGAAACTCGAAGCAAGTCGCAGCGAACTTACCTCCAACGCCTGGATACCGAATCACGACAACGCTTCCCAAGACCCTGTGCGCGACGTCGACTGCGTAATCACCGCCCGCGAACTCCTCCACCTTGCCTCCGCGCGAAACATCCCTTTCTCTTCTCTGCCCCGGACACCCCTTCCTAAATCCCAACGCATCCCCTTCCCGGACCCCAAACTCGACGCTTTCCTCTTCCCTCCCTCAAGACGGAAAAACCAAGCCCCTATTGCCGGCTCGTCAGGCGGCTACCTCTACCATATCCTCCGAACCTACCAAGCGCGGAACCCAGGCTCGGAAATCAACGTCACTCGCGGCCGAAACGCAGACGTGGTCGAGTACTCGCTCGTCCGGGGGTCGGAGACGATCTTCCGAGCCGCGCGCTTCTACGGCTTCCGAAACATACAGAATCTGGTGCGGCGGCTGAAGCCGAGTAAGCTCAGTAGGATGCCGGGTGCGGCGGCGAGGGGGGGCGTGAGTCGTAGAGCGGGAGGCGCTACTGGAGGAGGGGAAGGTATGAAGGAGTATGCCTATGTGGAGGTTATGGCGTGTCCTGGGGGTTGCACGAATGGGGGTGGGCAGGTTAAAGCGCAGGAGGTGGATGAGATTAGGGGGTGGGCTGGGGAGGAGGCCCAAGTGAACGGGAATGGGATTGGGAATGCGGGTGTTGCGCCGAAGCAGCAGCCGGGTGTGAGGGATCAGAAACAGTGGTTGGCGAGGGTGGATGAGGCGTATTTCTCTGCCGAGGGGAGTGAGGAGGATGCGGATGAGGTCATGGAGGACATCGAGGAGGCGTCAGACCCGGACGTCATCGACGGCATTTCGAGACGCTATATCCGCGACGTGGTGGCGCATTGGTCGGAGATTACAAACGTAGACATGCAGGCGCTGCTGTATACGTCGTATCGCCAGGTGGAAAGCGATGTGGGCAAGAAGAAGCAGAGCGATGTGGAGAGGGTGGCCGGGTTGGCCAGCAGTCTTGGTGGAGGATGGTAATGGACGAGGAATTAGGGCTTTGGGATGATTGTGTCGTTTGTCTTCGTCTGGGTTAGAATCGCAGTTCTTGGGGCAGCGCCGTTGTTGACGCGAAATTCGCGGCGTTTTGAGTTTTGCATATGATATAGACGGATAGATGGACGAGATTAAAAGACTTGGTTGGGACGGCATGAGAGAATGTTGCATTACCTCAAGTCATAGGGATCAATGGCTGGATATACTGAGTTTTAGGGACAAAGATCCTCATGATACCGTATCAATATTCTCTCGCTCTTTCTCCTCATTTTTCTTCTTCTGACGTCTACTAATAGAAGGTTGTAGCCGGGCGTACAGTTACAGATCGACTCGATACGCTGATGCAGAGATCCAACCAAAACTTCAAACTCACCGTCGCTCCCATAAATTCTCACCGTCCTCGATAGTACAGGTCAAAACAGAGGCACCACGACGATATACCTCGAATTGCTCAACACCGCGGGTGCTTCGGTCTCCGGAGCTCTTATCGAGCAAGACAGTCGGCGATGGGGAGCCACAAACGAAGCAAACACACAGCAGCAGCAGCAGACACTGGGAACAAGCGAAAATCCCATCTCCCACACATAGACGGCAGGAACAAATCACGAAGACGGGGAATATAAATATACTTCACGCAAGGACGCAGTTAGGATTGAAAAATTGCATATTTGATACCACCCTCCCCCCTCCTCACTGCTGAACAGCGACGACTCACTGGCCAACCAACTACTTTGCCCACGACCCACGGCCCACGACCCACGACGACCATGAACATGACCATGACCATGACCATGACCATGACCAATGACCTTCTGCTCATTTCTCCAAACCACCCAACAGCTAAAAGCTCGCTCATCTCTTCCCCACCTCAACAAAATGAAGTGAAATGGAAACATTGCAAAAGAAGAAGAAGAAAACGCATAACGGCAAAGACAAAAAACGATGAAGAAAAACATCGACTCAACCCCTCCTCAAACCCAAGAACCCAGAATCATCTCCACCTAAATCGACCCAGACCAATCAACTCGCCCCTCAGCACAAACAGTAAACCGGCAATAATCAAAAAGATGGAAAAACAAAAACAAAACAAAGATATAAGACTCGGTAAAGGGTATCGACTAAGAACTTCCGCCGCGAAGCGGTTGCATGGAAAATCTTTCTTCGGCTCTTGTGTTTCGGTTTTTCCTACTTTTGGATAGAGAGAGCAACGTGGGGATTGTTTTGTAATATCCGATGCGATCCTGTGTCGACGGGGCAGGAGTGGAGGTTGCTCCGGTCCGAGTGGAACATACCCCCAAATTTGGGGAAGGGAACGCTTATACGATGAAGATGACGCTAAACGAAGAACAACAACAACAACGTAAATAGATAAAACCATGTTTGAATGGGAAGTAAACAGGCCGTAAATCATCTCGAAAAAAGCGTACGAAAGAAAAAGGGACAAACTCGATATTAATGTGCAAAGACGCCCTTCCACCCTAAATCATGGGCGTCTCAACATTCTGATACACGCCGGGCTGCAACGTCTCGGGCGGCATGTTCGCCCTCACGGGTCGATAAACCCCCTGCTGCAGCGTCTCAGGCGGCATATTGGCCCGTACCTCCTTCGGATGCCTATAGCCCTGGAACTGTGAATTCTGGGACTCGTCGGTCGTCGGCGGGATCACCTGCTCCAGCGGCTGCGGTGGCGGTGGAGGAGGCGGGACGAGGTTGCCAAACTGCGAGTCACTCGTCTCGGAAGGGGATTTCGTGCCGGCGTTTCGGGGAATGGCTAACTCGGGGATGCTTTCGTATGGAGCGATCTCGCGGGTAAGGGGCGGCGACTTGTTGCGGGAGCGGCTGGTGCTGCGCATCCTCTCCGTGACCCTCTTGAAAGTCATGCCGATATTCTCGCTGACGCTGCCACGACCACGACGGTGGACATGGGGAGAGCCGGTGGGCGGAGGTGCTGAGATGGGCGAGACTGGGCCTTGCTTCTCGCCCGATTCTTCGTCAATGGCAATGTTGATGACGCCCAGACTAGGCTTGGAGTTGTGCGCGAATAGTGGCGGCGGAGGCGGGGGAGGCGGACCAGCAAGGTGTTGAAGTTCAGCAAGGAGAGGAGGAGCGGATGGATCTTGTTGCTCAATGATCACGACTTGGCTGTCATGGATCGTTTCGTCGATACTGGCAGTGATGGGCGGAGGGCTGACACGTTTGTAGTTTGGTACATCCGAAGTGTTCCCTCTCCTGCTCAGAGATTCCCGCCTGGAAAAGGTAGGTGAGATGCGTGGACCGGTACTCATCTGAGCAATGTCTTCCGGCGGGGCTGATGCCGACCGCATAGGTGGAACTGGCTGGCCGAAGGTAGTGGCAGGTAGGAGTGGCCCTAGGTCGTCCTCAGCCGCTGGACCTGTTGGAACATGCTCCGCAGGAATGGAGGGCACTGCGGGGATATCAGAACGAAGATCTGGTTCCGCAGTCATGGTGCGGTTGTGTCGCATGGCTCTGGGATTTGCAGGCAGCCCCATCGGTATTGGATTACCACTCGCACTCACTGGCCCACGTGTCGTGGGAGAGTATCTCTTGGAAATTTCGGGGTCGGCGGTCTGACTTCTCTGGATCGGGTCGCGATGCATTGTCATGGTATTGAGGAAGTTGGAATCATCAGTGTAGGATCGCTCCGCAATGACAGGCCGGAAAGCAAGCTCTCCTGGAAGAGGGATGATGGGCGCGGAGGGACGTCTCGCTAGCGACAATCTTCGCTCCTCCAGCTCCTTCGCGGCCAACTCCTTTCGTGACAGAGTGGTGGGCCGGGACTGGACACCAGATCGACCGGAGAGATTCGAGTGACGAGAATCTGGTCGCGTCTCATATACTCGATCAGGCAACCGCTCAGGGGAAGAATCCCGGGTGATACGCGAACGGCTGCTTTCACGCAGAGTAGGGACTTTGCGGCTCATGGATCGGTCTCGCGGCACACGGCGATCTGGCGACTGGTCGGCACGCGTGCTCCTTGCCCGCTCACCAGGACGACGACTGGTGCTGCGGTGGCGCGGGCGCACGGGCTCGAAATCCTCACCCGACTCTGCATCCTCCCTGAACATAGGTTGGGGAGACCCCGGTGAACGTATACCAGCGCGAGTGGTACTCCGTCCGCGATCCTCAGCCGGGCGGCGACTGGCTGCTCTACTGGTAGCCCGACTCCTTGCGCGAGCAGGACCATTGTCCGGGGACTCAGTACGGCGAGCAGCTTTAGACGAAGACCTCGCCTTGCTCACACCCACTCTCGCGCGACTCCGGTTGGTTCGAAAGCTGGCGACTGACTCCGTGGCCATGGGCGACACCACATCCACCCTATAGAAACTCTCGTCGTCGACGTTTTCGGTGCTGGTGGATGCCTCTTTGGTGCTCTTGGAGTAAATACCCGCATCTTCCGGTGACATGGGCACAGGAGACGATGGGGAGCGTTTCGCGGGACGAATGTAACGAACACCAGATCGGCCACGGGATTCAGAAGCATCGCGGTGGCGGCTGCGAGCGCGATCCGTCGTTCGACTAGCTGGGCGTGAGCCCGGTCTCTGCTCGTTTCTCGAGTTCGCGCGTTGGCGCGCATAATAGTTCGCTTCTTCCAGACTGTTGATATAGTTGTCAATGCCGCGAGCTTTGGCACTTCGCACGCTCGCTCCCGTCAGCGGAGGGCTGGCATTCGTGGAATATCCGGTCTCCGGTCCTTGCTCAACAATGGTCTCCTTGACATCGAGCTGTAAATCGACTGGCTTGCGGCTTCGGGAACTGCCGCGAGACAGCGCCCTGGTCTCCTTCAGATTGTCGAATACACCAACAGCGGGTGAAGGCAAATGATCCTTAGGTTTGGGCGGAGCGTAAGTTGCAGAGCTCAGAACGGTCTCTGTTGGCTCCACGGATGCTGATCGCACTCGGGTGGAAAAAGGCAGAGTCTCCGCCTCACGGCCCACGTTGTCAACTGCAGTCCTCGGAATGGACTCTCCACGCTGTCCTCTGTCGGGTACTGCCAGGGAAGCTAGGTGCTCGTTGTTGGTCGCTGCTGACCGCTCCGTGTCAGTTCTTGAAGGCAGTCGTTTCCGTCGATATGCGCCAGGGGTGGCGGTCCTTGCGGATGAAGGTTCGCGGAAGGCATCACGTGCAGCTCTGCTGCCCCAAGGGGTCTTCCCTACAGCTGGGGTTATAGCAGATTCTGCAATAGGCGTGACGCCGGGGTTCATCGGAGTCTGATCGTCATCTTCGGTCATCTGTTGTGGCATATTGCCTTGTCCAAAGTTGGTGACGAGTTTAAGAGATGATAGCTTGGATGCCATCCGGTTGGATGCGGTGGGAGGAGATAACGGCGGGCTGAGCTGAGAATTGAACAGCTGCTGCTGTGCCGCATAAACTGCGTCCTGGGCTCTTGGAGAGAACCATGGCTCCGAGGATTCTATGCCAGTACAGGAGAAGCATTTGACCGCGAGCTCCGCCTTACCCTCAGTGACCGATACCTCTCCCCATTTGCGGACAAGGAACGATTGCCGTTGCCAGTCGGTAGGGAAGAGGAGACAGGTGAGTAACACGGCTTCCAAATAATACTTCCTTGAGACGTATACTTCGATCGCGTCGTTGAGCTCACCGAGACCGAGCAAAATTGCCACTGCTGGGTGGATATCGCCCTTCTCCAGCAATCGCTGTACAAAAGCCTCGCCGACCTTCTTCTGGGAATCTTGACCCATGGAGCTGAGTGCAAGCAGCATCCAGTCTGACGATGTCATAGACTCTGATCCGACCATGGAGGCCATCAAATCGGCACCCACCTCGCCTAGCCACTTCGACAGAAGGACGGCAGCAGCAGACCCAGGAGGATGACGTGCCACTGTGCCAGTCAGCAAACAACAGAACATACGCCAGTAGAGAACTTACGCTCGTCCCGCACAAGCTCTTCAATGTCCGTCTCCCAACCGAAAACGACCCGGAGCATATTCTGTCTGAGGTCATCTGGACTTCTGTTTGGGCCTAGGTCGGAGTTTCGATAGGGAACTTCGCTCAATCGCGCTTTGGTGAAAGGGAAAAGATCCATCAACTTCATCTTCTGGGCTTCGTCCGGGCTGCGTAGCACTTCCTTGCGAAGCCCAGATTGGCCGTAACGCGAAGAGGTGGCGGAGGATGTGGACCGAATTGATATGCTCTCTCGCGAGGTCCCGGCAAATGAGGAAGTTCCGGAGGAGAATATAGTGCCTTGAGAGCTCTTCGATGAGCGCGCCCCCACACTGGGACGATCATAACGATATCTCGGTACGCGAGCACTGCCCGATGATCGGGAACTCTGCGACCCTCGACTAGAGACCGGACTTAGTGGACCTAGTCTGTCCCTACGCTCTTCATCAAGCTGATCCATTTCTTGAGCAATCTTCTGGAGAGGGGACATTGCTACACCTTCCCCTTCACTTTCGGAATCGGGTAGTAACTGCCCGGTCCCATGGCCTCTTGGGCGTGCCGTCATCGGTGTTTCTTCAGTCTTCTTGATATCGTCTAGTGAGTTTGGAGGTGATGGGGGCGTGTTTGCGGGAGGGTGTTGCACATTTGCTACCATTGCCGGCTTACCATTAGGATTCAAGTCGTACTGTTGAACACTATGATTGCGCCCCAAGGTGAAGAGGGTAGCCGTAGGGCCATAGTTGGCAATAGCAGCAACGCCGTCAATGGTGGGGACAGTCTCGTACGTGACTCTTTTCGTGCGAACATCCCATGCACAAGTTTGGCTGTTCGAGTACACGAGTTAGTGAATTTGACCTTGTAGTCGTCCCGGGCCGTTGGAAATAACACAGCATAGGCGCCTGGGAAAAGGGGTCAAGCTTACCCCTCAGTATACTGGACAATTCGCCCATTCTTCGACCAGGCGAACCAACACGGTCCAGGCTCTCTTTGCTCGGATTTGTTGAGTATGCGAATAACGCACGGTGTATCTCCGCTATGGGCCACTTTTGGCACACTCCAAACCCTCAAGTCTCCGTCTGAAGTCTGGGCAGCCAACATTTCCGATTTCTGCTTTGAGGAGGATCCATGCCAGGCAAGACCTGCAATGGGCGAGGGAGCTCTTGGTGTTGTCAGTGTGTGCAAAATGGTGAAGGAAGGCTGGAGCGTCGCAATGAGAATGGATCCATTGAGATATCTGAGTAGGATTAGCATTCTCTCCATGACATGATTCAAGATCGGACGCACCCAATTGCGAAGGTTCTGCAGTCGGCTGCAGGGGCCAACGCAGTGATAGGGTCGAAGATAGTCCGAGCGGAAAGGTGTTCGGAAGTCGATGGTTCGAACAAAATTACGCTCCCCTGTGCATTGCCTGTCTCACAGTCAGTTTCCGGCCAGAAAATGCTTGCCGTACCATTTACCGAAGGCAACATTTCCGTTCCGCATCCAGGCTGCGACGCGGATCTGCTCATAGGAGGCAAACCGAGCCACCTCATCGCCCGTGAAAAGATCCCAGATAATGGCAGTACTTCCGGTATCATAGCTGGCCACAAGTCTCCCAGCCCCTCTCTCGCTAACATTGTCTACCGAAATCCACGACACATCTTCCCGGTGGCGATCGAAGCGGCGCTCGATGGCCAGTGTGTCATGATGCAGGCACAAGATGACATTTCTCTGCGCATAGAGCAGAAACGAGGCGGTAGCGGCGCAAGGATCAAAGGCGAATTCGTCGGTCCCAGGAGTTATTGATGGAGTTGGCGGCTTCATCTGGTTTTCTGAGCGCACCGAGGAGCCCCGCGAGGCTGAACGCTGTCGCGTCAACTGTCCGGTCGACATGGTCGCTCAATTGCCTGTGGGCGGTTGCTCTGTCAGTCCTTCAAAGCGCACAGGTTCCAACAAGGCGCATAACGAGGGGAATGGTTATCGATTAAGGCCGTGGTGGGACAACTCAGGGGCTCTCCAGGGACGAGGTTGAAACCAGACGAGGACCGGAGAATTCAGACTTACTGCAGCGTGCGCGCTTAAGGGCAGCTGTGAATTGGAAGCTCCACGGCGTTTGGGAGGCGGTATGATTTAGCCCCGCCCTGGCTGACTGGGGTCAGAAGAGTGAATAGACGAGGCTGCATGCGCCCGCTCGAGGGATCCAGCACGAGGCTCGCAGCTCAGGTACGATGCGGCAGGAGAGACAGACTGACCAAAAGCAAAGCAAAAGGGAAAAGGAGGAGGAGGGGAGGAAAATGCAGCAGAAGCGCGAAAAGGAGAGACGAGTGCGAATGGGTAGCAGTGGCCTATCACAGGCCGGCGCTTATATCGAGAAAGTTGAGGGCAGCACGGATTGATATTGTTGCAAGAATAGGACTTGGGGACTCGGGGGGCTCGGAGTCGTCCAGCATTGACGAGGGCTCAACAGGGAGCAGGAGGCGTCAAACGGCTGGGATTCTCGCTTCTCTATTTGCTGAACCGGGTTCTTGTCGATGAAAAGTCGAGGACGTGAGAGTGCGCTCCACGGCATCCGCACGCCCTGATGCGTGCCATGCGGTGCGTAGCGGTGCAGCGAGAGGCGGGCATGCTGGTCGCCAAGGCGGTCCCCAAAGGTCGCTGTGCGTGATACGAGAGCATCGTTGGTGTTGTTCGCGCCCCAAGAAAAGACGGCGGTGCCTGCAGCAGCAACGTAAAGCAGCCTCTCAGGTCGTGAGGACGTTGTGGGAGGGACACAGGACATGGAGGGTCCTGCGATGGGTTGATGGACAGAGGACCAGGAACGACGGGTGATTGGAAGAATCCCCCGGTGACCAACGCAAGCCCCATCACAGCAGACCCCGAATCAAGATGCAGAAGCAGCTTGGGGTCGGGCCGCTCTTCAAGGGGCCCCGGCAAGCCCTGGGCGTGAATGTCTCTGGGCTCCTTTACAAGTACTCGACTGGGCACTCGCACATATGGAGTTCATAGATGGGGTATATCAGGACATCATGCTCCGCGCCAGTCGCTCTCCCTTCTCGTTCGAATCGGTCCCTATTCTTGTTGCCCCTCGTCAGCAGTCATTCGAGCGTCCCGTGACCAGTCAGTCCTCCGACCGGCGCTCAGGATTATTCATGCCAGCAGAGGGGAGCCCCTAACCATGGACGAGACTGACTTGAGCGGAGCTGTCGAACCCGTCCTCCGCCTCACACCTGCTGCGGGCATCTATCGTCGGGACGGATAAGTAGCTTTGTGGCACGTCAGACGGTCCCTGAGTCGGTACCGTGAGAGGGGCGACTGGCGTCTTTTTGATATATCCAAAGTCGTCTTGCTGCTCTCCCTGCCAGGAACGGACAGTCGAAGCATCAATCCCAGGCAGTCTGCCACCACATTCGATAGCCCCCAGGCTGGGTATTCCCACGCTCGCCGCTCGCGTGCGTGATGTGTTCAGTTTATTGTCCCAATCCGCAGGTTGTGTGGCCCCTCAGGGGCTATACATATCTCCATGGTGCAGCGTACCCTAGGGTATTGGTTGTAACCCGCCCCTCACCCCCAAGCTGCCATACAGTATAACTCCAAACCAGAGATGAGGTTTGACCTACCATGCACTGTCGAACATGTCCACGCACGCTGGTCGCTCACTTTCAGAGCAAGTGCGCATGGCCGCTCCGGAACCGTGCCGCAATGGCATCCGTCCCGCAGTACGACATCGCGTTCGCAGCCGTCCAAGCGTCGGAGATCCCGCACTCGAGGGTTTTGCTCAGTGCCGGGCTTGGGGCTATCCACATCCAGATGCCGGTCGATAACAACCACATATTGATCTTCGAAATCACATCATCCCGGTTCAGTGATAATGTTGCCATCGATGGGAAGAAGCATCAAGGCATCAGAGAGGCAGCCCGCAGTCTCGCCAGCCATCGTCGTGCCTCTAGCTGTTCCTTGCCGGTCGATAGGTCGATCCAGTCGACTAGAGACCTCGAACAGTCGAGTGTCGTCGACACAAAAGTGTAGATGTGATCTGGGTTTTTATTAATATAAGCGCCCGCACTAGCATCGCATCCTTGCTGCACTTCACCTCTGGACCCAGCCCCCTCTTTTCACTGCACATTGCCCCTCATGATGGAACGCATCCCACAGCGTGCACCCCACGCCGTGGACTGCATTGTTTCTCTGGACCATCTCCCGGTGTCGACCGAAGACGGAGACATGGGATGCAACCCAAGGCATCCTGTTTTGCTTCTTCCCCTCCCTCAGGAGGCTTCCAGCTTCCAGAAAGGTGACTCTGAGACCGAATACGTCCGCAGGCGGATTACCCGTCGTACAGTTTCTGCAGCGCAAGCCGGAAGCAGCCGGTGGATATCAGATTCCTATTATCATATCAAAGTGAGGCGCAGAAAAAGAGCAGCATCGCATCTCGCTTCGGCGGGAAGTAACCGCGTCTTACCTGGAAGTGGAGGCTTATTATTCCTTGCACCCGTCACGGGACTCTTCGCCCTCTTCCGCCCCCGCAGGCGTTCGGAGCAGGTCACTTGTGGCTTCTCCTGCGGTGGTTGGAGGGTGGTGGAGGACGAGCACTTTGGGATACGGATGGGATCTCATGCTTTTTCGGGGTCCAGGGGATTATTGGGAGAAGAAACAAAGGAGGGGACGAGTGGAAAAGCGCCACTGCCACTTCCTCCCTCCCGTCTCGCCTGTCTCTGCGGAAAGCGCGCCCTCAATCAAGCCTTCCTAACGCTACCGCCGTGCTCCCGTCCCAGCCGCTCAAACTGTGCGCAGGTGATGTCGTGATAGCATAGGTGGGTTGGTATGCCGCTCCGAGAACATCGAAATGCTTTTCTGTCGTAACGAGGCGCCCACACTAGATGTGACGAAGATGTGACCGGCTCAAGTCGTCGCGGATTTGCAATATTGCTTCACTTTTCTTTTATGTTTGGAGTCGCAATCCGGCACTTCACAATTTACGGAGTAAAGCCATAGAAGAAAGCAAGGTAAGGATTAAAGAGTAACCAAGATGAATAGAATATGCTATGCTATGGGTATCTGTGACGGGTATCAAAAACAGCAAAGGCGTGTCAAGCCACCTGGAGCAAACCCGCTAATCATGCATGAAAAAAATAATGATCCCAATCCAAAATGCGCCTGCCTCATATGCAGTCGCTATGCTCCCTGGCCGCCATCAGAGGGTATCATGTAAATGCCAAGGATCCCAAACGCCGTATGCTGTGCGAATAAGAAATCTCATCACAGTCCTTCCCAACATCTCCCACGCCTCTTCCTATCCAAAGGCGCATTATCCAGTCTCGCCAGTCGTCGGTGCCAGCGGTTGGTGCCAGTGGATGGTGAATGTTGGTCCCCCATGGAATGGTAGGTGTGATGGCACCGCATAAGGGAGCACTGCCCCTGTAAGGCGAGTGAATGTTCACCATCCGAAGCGATCGGTCTGAGATGTACGCGGCGTGCTGAGTTCAACGCGTGTGCGGTAGCATCTTAGGATGGGTTGGACTCCTCATTCAACGACCTCGACGGATTCGGCAATGGGCGACATAGGCTTGGAGCTGCGCCTAGACTTGCGGCCGCTGCTACGCCTTCGCTGTTGCTTCTTGGGTTTCTCCGCAACGTAGAGAGGTGGCAGGATGGGGAACGCCTGAGCCATGGGCGGTACACGAGGTGGAGCCGGTGCCTCATCTAGGAATGGGCCCTCGCAGTCGTCGTCACCCTCGCCGAAGAGGTCGGCATCGCTGATGTAGGAGCTTGGTGGTGATCGGAACCCAAGTGACTTTCCGGTGGGCCACGACGGGTAGGCACAGGTGGACCCTTGACCTGTCACTGCGATGTCCTGGGACCAGTTGCTGTGAAGGGAGCTTGTTGGGGATGCCATGGGCCTGATGGCAATGGGTAGTGACTTGGCTGGCGAGGTGCTTGGTGACGTTTCGAAATGCATGATGGTTTCGATGATAGTGGATAACCCTTCCTGGTGGAACCGAGGGGACCGGTTGGCATGTATATATCAACACGTCCGAGCCGAGCGGCCGAGGAGAATGTAAACTCGGCGACGACGCGTTCGTGTTTCGCGTGGTGTTAGCGTATCCGGACAGAAACTCCGGCGAGTGGTAGGACCGAGGCAAGTGCCGATCTTAGTAGAAGCAGCTTTTACTAGTACGAACAAAAAGGGTCCGGGAAACAACCGGCAGCCGTAAGCTGGCGAAGAAGGTTTGTTGATGTCAGGATCCTCCAGGCACGAGGAGATGCTGAGGCTAAATAATGAGGAGCAATAAGGGGGTGGTGGATCAGGAGGGCGAGTCAGAAAGAATATGGGTTTCTTGTGGCGGATGTGTCTCGAGCTCTCATCATCAGGTCTGGAGCGTGGGATGGATGGGACAGATCCGCGAGAACAAGCACCCCATGGTGTTATTATAACAACTCCAGGACGCCTGGGGCTGCTTTTTTGCCAGCACTCTGGCCCGGCTCCTGATTTGCTTTGATTGCGCGAGTGCAACCCCGGAAAGTGAGGTGTCCTGTCCTTTTTGCGGTGAGTCACCGCTCTTTTGGACGGGGGCAACAGGGCGACGGCATTGGGCCAACGCGCTGACCGTCTTTTCGTGGAGACATCCAACTTCCCCGGGCTGACTGGCGTTGCGGGTGCCCGCCTGCGAGACGCAACCCTGGCTTTCGGGACTCATGGACCGCCTCCGCGATTGCGGGCGTCATCCAGTTTTGGGCACAGTCATCTGCGACCTGTCATGCTGCGAGTCGTCGTGCTCAGCCCGGAGTGTCGAGCAGTCTGCTATTCTGAGTCCGGCGCCGTCGCATCGCAACTCCCCGAACCCCTTTCCGCACCTCTCTCTGCTTTTGCGAAAAGCAACCAGAAAAAAAGCATCCATTTGCCCCTTGGTTAAGAAAAGAAGCCGACTGTGAAGAGCACGTGGGGATGCCTCCCGCACCGCCCCCCACCCATATTGCACCCACACGCCCCTAATGTGGCGATCCAACTAGGCTATCCGCGTGGGACAGGGTATCTCATCCCGCGCATTCTGCCGGACGGTTGGCGGATTTCTTTCCGGCTGACGGCTGCCCACTCCGCCTCTCCGCTTGGAGGGCTTCAGAAACCGAAATGGCCCGGGATGATACCGTCTCCGCCCATTTGCCGACTGTCTTCAGACTGCAACCCAATGACATCCACAAACACCACGATAGCTTCATCGTTGGAGAATCAACCGCGGATTATTTGTTGCCCTGGTTGCCCTCGGATGCCCACTCAGTCACCAGCGCCGCCCCCTTTTGCGTGTGCGACTGATGATTTGTGAAGTTTTGGGAGTGTTACAGGTTTGCCACGCTGAAAACCCAGCGCTAGAAGACTTCGTCGTCCACTTCGCCTCTGAGCCATTTCCAAAACCCGCGGCAAAATGTGACCGAGGGTAAATCTGGGGTACATGAACCTTGTTCACATGTGTCTACAATGTGTCCCGCGCAAAGTATCTTTTGCATTCGGAACTGGATCCCAGAATGCTACTTTTTTTGTGGTAACCCCTGTTACAATGTTGACTAGCCTGGAGTTGTATTCCGAAATGGGTGCAGCATCTCGATCAAACAACCGGCAAAAAAAGCGTCGCTATACTACAGTACGGGCGTAGACCCGTACAGTAGACGACAAATGTGGTGAGAAAACCTTTCAGTCCCGTAGATGCTCCCTCATGCTCTACATTGCGCGTGTTGTACTCCGTATGCCATCCTTTGGTAAGGCTGAGTAGTCGGTGGCTTGTTGAACATCCGTCGGGCGATAATGATGAAAGCGCGAACTCATCTGTATGCGGTCAGCACATCCGCCCGCAGCGCATGGCATGCCCGACCGTTTACAAATGTTCCCAACATAGCCGCTGCTGTGAATGTCCTTCTAAATTGAGCCGGCGTGTTATGTCCACGTTTCCCAGATGAGCAACCCTGCAAATGCTCAGCACTTCCAGGTTCGGGAAGTTGGGGCAGGTACCCAGTTGTATACATAGAAGCACGCATCGCCTGGAGGTTTCTTGGTGTCAAGAACGAAAACTCTCGGAAGGTTTCACGGCTTGAGTATAGGTGTTGGATTAAGCTTTTAAGGTTTTTGTCCACGTTTCGCTCTGGGAAGGAGCGTGGTGTTTGCGGCAGGGGGAGCATTTCTTTCACTCCTACCCTACGAGAGTCTGCAGCATGGCACACGGAAACTCCTCCTTTACACGAGAAAAATGTATTTTCATCCAGCCCTACCGAGTTCGTACCATAATAACCATCTCGCCTCAATCCAGATTCCCGGTCGGACCGTTGGCGATCCTGGAAGATCTTCTTCAGCCTGTGCTCTTTTTATGTTTCCCCGGATTGCGCTCGTGTCCATCACGACAGGGGAATATAGCCTTTAGAACACACGAAGAACACATTCCCTGCAACCCAGCCGGAACTCTAATTAAATAACATCCCTTCATAAATGATAGCGTGTGCCTCAATTGGCTTCATCCTTGACGGATGGAAGATTTTTCTCCTTCCAGATTGGCCGTCCGCGTTGATTTATTGAGTTATCAATATTGAGATACTCTGGGGTACAGTACCCTGAGACTCATCAACTGCCGCCCAACAGCGGACTCCCGTGCTCGGACCGAGAAATATTTTAAACGGCAAAGGTGTAGTATATCCGCATTCAGTACGACCTTCTGTCCTTGAACATCTTGTAACTGCACAGGTCAGATCTCCTACTACACTTTCGCCGAAGCGGATACTTGCACCCGCACATTCGTTCCAAAAGGCATCCGGCCCGTTTCCTGCCCATGAATTGGATATAGATTTGGCCCCTCGTGAGGTCCTTCCCTGAAGGGTCTCGCAGCGGCATTCATCGCCGAAAGCATACTGCTTCCCCAGATTCGAATTTTTGGTGGAACTAGTAGCTTGAGACGTATGTGACCACGGTTTCATAGCTGGACTACGCCACGGCTCTGTCCGCGGCACACGATCGCGACGATTGAACGGAAAGGTACAGCTTCTAGGAACTCAGTGCTCACAATGCAACCCTAGAGAAGGCATGTGCATACTGTGATATATGTTGAAGACGGCGAGGCGGGAACGGAAGCCATTTCCATCCACTACACCCTCTCTGGTTCGCTAACCTGGCGCCTTGGCTTACCTCAACGACTTCTTCCCACATAGTCGCGTTGAGGTTTTGGCCGTTTAAAGTCGGAATTGACGCCGCTGTTTCCTCTTTTCCTGTCATATGCCTAGGAATGGGATAGAAACGCTAGTTCAACCGCGGAAGCTATCGCCCCCCTACTGCATCATATCTCGATCTGAGTACAATAGCCCAGTGATGTACTGTCTTGGCTGAGTTCAGACTGTAGGCGCTTTACTGTGTATGCTTCGAAGTCCCAGTCGAGACGTTGTTCTTGTTCCGGCACGTCTAACCTACCTACTATCTTGTACTAGAAAAGGCCAGGACCGTGGCGGGATGTACTCCAAGCCATTGCATCATTTCGGCTGCGAGTACTCAGTAACCCAGAGTAGACTACTAGCGTAGATCCGAATTGACGTCGCTCAACTACGGATAGCTCCCTTACTCCTGCACACTGGCGTCTACAACGGGATCTGTAAGTACGCGTAAGCCATTTGTCACCAGCTGATCCTGATCCTTTACGCTGCCCAGGACGCCGAGGTACCTGCAAAGACAACCCCGCAGATTCCCTCCAGCTCCTCCATACTCCGCGATACTCCGGATTCTCCCCTCAATGCCGAATCTCTTCCCCCACCTGTCACAGGAAACCGGACTTCGGCTCCGCCACATGCTAAAACACATCTCCAACCCAAACCAGCCACTCGGGTTAGCATTGTGGTGGCACAGAATCAGGATTCCTCATCCATCCGCACTTCCTCAACACCAACAAACGTCGCCTCCGGACTTCGGCCTCCTCAACCGGTGGGCAGCCGTGGTTTTCCGAATATCAGCGTCCATGTTTCTCGGCGCGCGTGAAGCCGGAGTAGACGTGGTACAGAAACAGGATTTGGATACCTACAGTCCACATACGGTGGCACTTTGTCCCACCCCGACGCATGCACAGCACACCCACACCTGGATGGACGCCATAGATCGGAGTCATAGATCTTGGTGATGCAACGTTGTACACCTTGCTCCTCGTGACTAACAGGGCATTTTTGCAGCCCAGCGCATTGCGAGCGGCTCTCACCCGTCACCGCCGACGGCAGCGATCCCTCTTCTGAACTGGGAAGCTGAGGAGAGAGAAGACACAGTAATATGACTGTACGACGTAGGGGCACAGTCAGACTTATCATCGTCGCAGTCATATTCTTTATATTATGATAGCAATGCTATGGCATCGCCGAAGGGAGCGTCGCACAGTGGTCAGCGACTGACAGCCTGGGGATTGAAGGTTCCGTGGTCGAACGGCGGTGAAGATTTGCTGAGTTGTCTGCTGCCGGCGATTGATATCTAGCGCAGGTATGTGTGTACGGAGTATGCGGTATGCGCTTTGCAACAGCCTTGTTGCGCTGACCTGTCATCCTCGGGATGCACGTAGTCCAGGATTGCGGGGCTCTGCTGGCTGCTGTGAGACATTTGATGGAGATTCTAAATACAATGCCGAAGAGGTCTGCAAGAGCGCACAAAGGGCGGTCTACAACTAGTCTATGCTAGCTGTTTTTGGGTTTCGATAGAGTCACTTGGGAGTCAACATGGGCAGAGTTTTGGGGGTGAGCTTTGGGGAGAGGCCCCCCACGAAGAGGACCAGTGAAGATGGCATGTGACTATGTTGGGCATCGATATGTTCATAAGCATTCCGAAGCTTGGAACTGTGGACGTCTTCCCAAGCCAAGACCATTCTGAAATTAAGGCATCTATAACTGTGTACACAGTAGGTGGGTGCACCGAAAGACCATGTGAAAGGTATCGATGGGTCCAGCCTCGTTGATCTCCACGACCCCACGTCCCATGGTAGGCCACTGGCCCCACTCCATCGCGCCCCAAAAGTGGACCTTTCAGTTCCTCCACAGTCCCTGCATGAAGTTCATCCCGTGATGCCCCATTTTTCCCTCGGGCCATAGCAACTCGGTATGTCGCAAGTGAGAAAATCCGCCCCAAGAAATTATGTCTCATGCCGGAAATAATCACAGAACCCCCAAAACGTGACTTTATTGTAGTTCCTCCTGTTCCGTGGTAGGGGGTAGGTTCCAAGGCCACACGACATCGGGATATGTAGAGCAGTTGAAGGATGGTCACCGTCGGGCGTCCAAGTGATGAATGCGCGGCCTCCATCTGGTTGTGGCTACCAAGTGGGTACTACGTACTTGAAGCAGTAGAGCGCCACACCAAAGGTTACGTATATGGAGAGGGACTTCGAGCACCCGGCGCCCATGGAGCCCAATACTCTTCCCAATTGAATTTGAGTACTTCGTTGCCCCAGGAAGTCCAGCCAGCAACCAGATATCGAGCAAAGATCTCCAGTGCACAGTAGTCCGGTCCGGGCATGAATGGCTCAATCAACTCTTTCAAGCATGGCTTCCGTGAGTGAATATCCGGAACGGCCGCAATCACCCGTCTCTTGATCTCAGGTGCGGCTGTCATTGTCGTCCAGGAATTGGGAGCTGCTCTGCCAAGGAGTAGTACCTCATACGGTTTTCTCCACTCGCTGCCTAGACTGAACATTGGCTCTCCCTTGATTGTGGTTTTGATCCAGATCCACTCCTCAATTAGGCCTACGTTCCACTGCTCGAAGAGGCCGCCCGGGCCAAGCACATGATCTCGAAGGGATTGTTTGTTGGTGACCCAGATGCCGACCAGGCCGTTGTGTTCAATATAGTTGTCAATGTCCATAGACATGAGCATCTTCTTCATATATGGCATCCCTCCAACTTGCTCATAGTTGCCTTTGCGCTTGACAGAACCGCTCGGCCACGGTGGATCCAGCAGAATGAAATCGAAGTGACGCGGCAGAACATATTCGGCGGTCAATTCGCGGAACGATGCACGGAACGCATCCGAATGGGTAGAGTCGCTCAAGAATAGACTCGAACGTGATGGCACAATAAATCTGTATTTGGAGGCGGCGCTTAGGTGTGGTACGTTCTCGTAAACGGTTAGGTACACTGGGTAATTGTTCGCGTTATAGAACGAGGACTGCCACGGCTCCTTTTGTGCAACCTCCTCGCCAGCCTCTGGTTCTCCCGAATGTTTGTGTATCGGGCTGTATGACATCAACCATGGATGTGAAGTATTCTGGATCAGCGTTGCATCGGGTTCGGATATCGTGCCGAGCGTAGCCATCATCTTCTCGAGGTTGGACTGATTCGCTTCGCCCATGCTTTGGGCTGCGCTCCACTGTGTCAGCCGTGCGTCGAGCTCATCTTCTGGGTCGTCCACTTCCATGTCGGAATTCCTGCGCGTTGGTTCCTGGGCTACCAATGTGCGCGGGAGACACCAAGGTAGCGCGTTCACGTGCTCGTGGATACGAGAAAGCGCGCCCTCTATTATGCTCTTATATTCCTGATGCAAAGGACTGGAAGCATAAATTGAAAGCTTCTCCTTTGCCCTTTTGGTCTTCGGCTCATGGGGCAGATTATTGAAGGGTTCTTCAAGGGCCGGAGTAGACCGAATAATGGCATCAGGTCGGCCTTGAGCAATGGCAATGGATGCTGGGATATCTATGAGGGTGACGTCGCAGGTCTCGTTCTGGAACAATATGGCCGTCCTAGACGGCTTCTGAAGAGCGGAGGGCATCTTAGGAGAGGAAGATAGACTGGATAAAATTCTGGAAATGGAGGGAGAAAAGAAGAATACCGACCTCTTCTTCAACCTGTGGTGGTTGGTAGCCTACGTTCTTACTGCTCTCTCGGATGTTGAGGCTTTTGAGCAGTCTTTCTTTCAACTGACATTCATATGAGAAGGCCGTGGACTAGGACCTTCGAGAGGAACTGTTTAGTTCGACGATGAGCTGAGGATGGATTTTATTTCGGTGTCGTGAAGCTTTTACGGAGGGGTGTTCCAGGTTGGTCCCAGGGGCTCCGCTTTCCATCGGCGCCAAGATGTGGCTTCTTCCAGATCCTCGGCAACTAACGTCATTCTCCCTGCACCCACACGACCACACCGGCTTCACCACACGAGGCCATGATAGCATTACCACCTCTCACGACGACTTACCGCTCCACAATAGACCGTCCATGATCCGGCCAGAGAGCGCCGCAACCTCATACTGATTGGGATGTCCGAGAACATCCTCCGCCATGCCGCCCACGACGAGAGCCGTGACATGACCACGACCGCTGCGCAAAATCCACTGTTCCAGGCGCCTTCTATGGCAAGGAAACCGCCGGCGCCCTTATGTCCAACCGATCAGGAAGCCCTCGTGCCAGAGAAGCATGAATCTCCAGGTCAGAAGCCTACAAAGACAGATAAGCGGAGTGCGGAGTATCTCCTGAAAAGCGGATTGGCGGGGGGACTGGCGGGATGCGCAGTATGGACCCTTTTCCCCACGTCTTTCTCTACCAATGCGCTGACGATATGTCTCCTTCCAGGCGAAAACGGTTGTAGGCCCTCTCGATCGTGTGAAAATCCTCTTTCAGACCTCCAATCCCAATTTCGCAAAATATGCTGGAAAATGGACGGGCCTCCCCATTGCCATGCGCGATATCTACCAAACAAGTGGCATTCGAGGTCTTTTCCAGGGCCACTCTGCCACCCTTCTCCGCATATTTCCCTACGCAGGCATCAAATTTCTCGCATACGAACAGATCCGCGCCGTCGTCATTCCTACAAGATCACACGAGACGCCAGCTAGAAGATTCGTAAGCGGAAGTCTGGCAGGCATGTTCTCGGTTTTCTTCACCTATCCACTGGAAGTCATCCGGGTGCGATTAGCATTTGAAACCAGAAAAGGGGAACGAAACACGCTCCGCAGTATCTGCCGAAAAATCTACAACGAACACCCACCACCCGTAGCCCATCATCACCACAACCCCGTCAGTGCGGTCGTAGAAAAAGTTTCCCCGCAACATGGGCTTCCAAACTTCTTCCGGGGATTCACTCCAACGCTACTAGGCATGGTTCCTTACGCGGGCGCGAGTTTCCTGGCCCATGATACAGTCTCGGACCTCATGCGCCACCCCCTTTTAGCACCATATACCACTCTCCCCCACACGAAGCGCGAAGAGACCGCCACCTCGACGCATAAACCCGCACAACTGCGCTACTGGGCCGAACTGTCCACCGGCGGCTTCGCAGGCTTCGTATCCCAGACAGTATCTTACCCACTGGAAGTCGTCCGCAGACGCATGCAAGTAAGCGGTGTCGTAGGTGATGGCCATCGTCTCAGCTTACGCGAAGTGACGCGTCGGATCTATCTTGAAAGAGGCTGGAGAGGCTTCTTCGTCGGCCTGACGATTGGTTATATGAAAGTGATACCCATGGTGGCAGTTAGCTTCTACACCTACGAGAGGGGCAAATACTACCTCGGCATATAAGCTCTTGATGTTGGGAAAAGGGGAGCATCGCTGTTCGTTATATTTTTGGAGCAGTCCTGCATACTTGTTTGAGCGCAGTCGTTGATCCTAGCTAGCATTGGCGCTCATGTTGGATCGCTGCCCTAGACTGGTGGTTAGTAGTCTGTGGATTTCTTATGCATCTAGATCGGCGTTTAACTCAGGAGGTCGCAAGATTCGGCTAGCATATATCCATTCACGAATTCGTATTTGCATCAACATTCGGTCCATTCTTCTACCACGTACCAGGAGACCTCACTCAAGTGAATGCGGGGAAGAGAAAATGCCATATTAGGTTGCAAACCCATTTGAGTTTGACCGACTACACAATACCACATATCCATATTGGCTTTGAATGGCTCCCATAGCCCCGTCCATACAAAGGTGTCCGCAACCATCCTCCTTATCTCTACCCCTCAAAGCAAACTGCTCTCACCACCTTGCTTCATCATTGCATCCTACAATCCATTGATGTGCAGTTGCATCACCACGACCTCGGAACGGCCTCGTAAACGCCGAATCGGGCGGGCATCACATAGACACTATCAATTACGGGCTTCCTTTCGTATAAGTATGCCAGAGGATAAGAGTCCTTTGACAACGGTATTACCGAGGTCAACACTGTGATGCTGTGAGATAGTGTTCTTTCGGCGGCTCTCTCAGATTCTTGATCTACAGTCCACTGCTCGTTCAAGTCGTACCAGTTGACGGAGCAGCTGGGGTAGATGCATGTGCTGCTGGTGACGGAGCTCCTTCTACCGGCCCATGAGCTGAGCCCCTCGCTCCACCGCGGCCGCGCCCGCGTCCTGAGAAACCGCCACGGCCACGAGCTGGCCCAGGGGGAGGAGGAAGATGGGGAACTGGGTGAGGGCGATTGTTCCTCACGACCCTATCCTTCCTCTCCAGGACCTGGACTGCGCCCTGTGCTACCTTGACTGGGCTTGCTGCAATGGCTTTCTGGAGACCTTGTGGCTCGACGAAATCGACATAGGCAAACCCTTTGCGTTTATCGATTTCGACTTTTTCGATGGCGCCAAAAGCCTTGAATGCCTCTTCAATGAGCGCCTCGGTAATGCCCTGAGATGGATTGGCATGTTTCAAGAACGCCTGACGACCAGTTGGCGCAGGAGCCGCAGTAGTAGCCGGAGTCTTCGCGGGCGCTTGTGGACGTGGGGTAGGAGCAGCCTCACCCTTATTTTGGGGTTGAGACGGGGTGCTTCGCGAAGCAGCTGGCTCGGTCGGGGGAGAACGTGCTGCGGCGGGGCCTTTTGGAGGCGCCGGTGTGGTCGGCGTTTGCGGTTTCTTGAGGATGGTAGGGGCAGGCGCCGGAGCTGTCTTAGTCTGTTGCTTTGAATCTCCATTTGCCGTCTTATTTGGTTTCTCCCCGACGTTGCCCTTGCCAGCCCGTCGCTCGGCTCGAGAGTTCTTCTTCGGAGAGGCAGCAATAGCCTTCTCGGGACTGGACACCGGGGGTGGAACAGCAGGTACCTTGCCAGCTTTCTGCTTGTCCGCTGGCATGCTCTCGTTGGGCGTGGTAGTAGCAGGTGCGGCGGTAGTGGCGGTGGCTTCCGCCTTTCCGCCTCGTCGGCGCGCAGGGCCAGGAGCAAGGCCTAAATCGCGGGATACAATAGATTTTGCGATGCTGGCGTTTCCACGCTTTCGTTCGGGAGTCTGAGCCGGAGCAGCCTTCTCAGCCGCAGCATCTTTACTTGCAGCTGCTTCCTTGAGAACTTTGACCGCCTCCTTCGCTGCTTTGTCGGCCTTGGCGGCTTTTCGTCCCTTTTCAGTGGTGCTGGATGGGGTTTCCTTGCTACTCTTGCTAAGAATCTTCTTATCCGCCTTATCCCCGTCGTCCTTCGGCTCACCACGTCCATGCTTTCCTTTTGCCTGCGGCTTCTCCTTATTTGCTTTCTTTTCCCGCAAAGCTTCAATCAGAGGAGTGGTAGTGACCTTGTTTTCTTTCTGGGTGTCTCCCTCTGGAACTGCAGGCTTGGTGATGGGGTTTGTCAAGCTCTCCAAGAAATCTTTGAACTCTTGATCCTGGTCAATGGTACCTTGTCGGCTATCATGTTTACGTCGGTTTCCAGGCACGCGGTTGTATGGTGCGTATTCGAGGGCGGGTGGGCCGATGAGGGCGCTGTCTTGGGAACTTCTGGCGGCGTCATTGAAGGAACTCTGCCGAACGACCTCATTGAGCGCCAGGACGAGTGGGGATGCAACGACACGGATATACGCTCTAGCGGGACGGGAAGGCTTGGCTGGGCTGGTAGGATGTCAGTCGATGTTTGTCATATGTGATGTCAGGCCAGCGGAACATACTCCTTAGAAACCTTGCCGTTGATGTACTCGAACCAATCCACTTTGCCCGCTCCAACCTTCCACTCGTCCCCCAAAATCTTCTCAAACTCGGTCTTCGTCAAGCCAGGCGGCAGTCTTCGGAGAACTAGCTTGAGACGTGGCTGCGCTGCCCTGGGACCACGGGGAGTTGACGTGTTGGTCGCATTCTTCTGTAGAACGCTGGCTGGCAGAACGCCGTTGATGCCAGGCTGAGGCGCCATCAAGTATATAGTGATTTCACCGTCCAAAGGGTGGTCTAGCTGCAGTTGTGACTCTCGAATGAATCAGAAGGGCTTATGGGTGGGTGGGTGAGGTTGAGCGGCGGAAACGGAGAGTTCGGGACATGGGGAGGGAGGTGAGCGGGGGCGGGGCCGATAAATAGTGCTCTCGATCTGGGCGAAAGTGAAGATTCGGCGAAGCAGGAGGGAATGTCGTCGGGGTTTCCAAGGGTGGTACCTGACTGTGGGAATAGTATGCGTGTTGGCAGGCGCAGGCAGAGGATGCGGAAGCTATGGAAGCTAGCCTCGGGTTTGGAGATGTTGCGTTCGAACTTTCACCGCCCGCGGCAGAACATCTGTTAGAGTCATAAATCGAGATAGTTCTTGGCGCATTTGCTTATTTTTCTCTCCCTCACCTAGATTACTATAGGAACCCTAACCACCTAGGAATCGCGCTAAATACGCCTAAAATACGTCTATATAGTTACTAGAATAATAGAATTTAAAGCTGTAGGTTATTCCTAAATAGGAAACCTGTAATACTAATGGCAGTAGCAGTGGCAAAATGTACCACGCCTACGGAGTAGCTCTCCTACTATCTATTTTACACCCGCCTATTACCTCTAAACCTTCTATCCGTAGAATAACTACATGTATGTGCTTAAATATATGCTAATTGCTTTAGTTAGGGTAGCTATATTAGAGAATAGCTAATAGAGAGAGCTGCTCTATAGTTTTAGTGTACAGGATCTTAGCTAACCTCTGCAAATACAGCAGTGTTTAGAAACCTTTTAATAGTCCTAATTAGAAACCTCTTAGACGGCTACCTAAGCTTACTAAGGATAATAAGGAGGCATTGTTTAAGCAGCTTATATAATCTAGATAGATGTATTAGGATAAGATAGCTTATTAGCTACTCATAGAGTATAGAGTTTAAGTCTTATAGAAGACAGTTTCTTGCTTCTTGCAGTAGCATAAATAGAGCCCTTAGACCCTACACTTATATTTAATTAACTACAACAAGGAGCTTTAGGAGGCCTATTGCAATTATATAAGAAACTATGCTGCAGAAGATATAGTCTTCCTAGATAAAAGTATCTTTAATAAGAAGACTAACTAGAGGCATAAGGCCTACACGTTAATTAGTAAGTAGTAAATGTTACGACCTAAGCAAGAGCTAACCCTGATGAAGCCCCACCTGACTAGGTGTGCTCTCACTCAAGTGAAGACAACCACAGAGCACTCGGCATCACCCAAGGAACACAGACCAATGGGGTCACGTGATCATGTATGGTGCTCTCTATGCTCTCCATGATCTCAGAGAGCAAGCAGAGCAGCGAGAGCATGATATGCAGGATGCTCTCAGTGATCTCGATGATCTCACAGAGCAGTGAGATCAAGCAGAGCAACCTTGTGTATATAACAGTAGATGATGAGCTCTTACAGCTCTTCATGTTCAATTTCAAGTCAAGTACTTCTTAGTATACTTGGTTTTCAATCTGATATCCTTTTCGGAAGAATACCACTTACCGTCTTGATATCAACCCTACTGTGCAAGGAACCCTATCGTTCATTCCCGAGAACCAACCAAGATCCCTAGAGGATATACCATTATCTGTGGAACCTTTACAGTAAATAACTATAGATTGCTTATCTGCTATCTGCTTACTCTTCTATAGGCTATAAGGCTAGATATACATAGTCTATTAACTGTAGCAAAACTTAGGCTATTCTTTCTATATATATTATTAATAGCTATCTACCCTATATAGCAATAAAACAAGGGTATTTTAACAAGGAGGAGTTTCTTAACTAGGTCTAGAAGCATCTAATTCTAGCTCTCTACAACTACTACAGTGTTTAGCTAGCAGTTACTGTACTAGATAATATCTCTATCTATACAGATCCTAAGATTATGCACATCCTTAAGGATGCTAGTTATATTGTTAGATATCTACTGCCATACTTACCTAACTATAACCTAATTAAGCTAACGTTTAGCATGCTTAAGGCCTAGATCTAGAGGAATTATATATATATAAAAAGTAGATTCTCTAATCTTAGGAAGTTTCTAGAGGCTGCCCTGTAGGAAAGTAGATGTAATATGTTCGCGAGGAAGCACTTTACATACGCAGCTAGCAGATTGTATTTATCTTAAGAGCAGTTAGATTAGGCTAGGGAGGAACTGCGGGAACTGTTTTAAGACTAGCCTTACTATCTGTATTACGGTTTTCCTATTTAGGAAGAATCTACGGCTTGAAATCCTATTATTCTACGCAGTATTTAAGCTTTTCAGCACGATTCCTAGGTAGTTAGGGTTCCTATAGTAATTTAGGTGAGAGGGGGAAATTTACGCGAATGCGCTAAGAACTATCTCGATTTATGACTCTAACAGATCCTCCCCAATGGGGCTAGCGCGGCGAACAACCCCTCGACCAGCTGGGCAAGTGGTGATGTTGGATGCTGCCGCCAGACGCCGCCAGCGGCTGTACTACAAGTCCATGTACTCGATCCGCAAATCCTTCCAGCCCATCCTGCCCTCGACCACTCTTTCACTGCTGAAGACACCATAATCCGAGCATCCACGACTTTCCCCGCCTCTCCCTGCACCCGCGACAGATGATACCGCAGGAATACTCGACGTCACCGCACAAGCGTTAATCCGCACGCCGTCACACGACCGTCCAATTAAACCATACGGCCACTTGGCCAGCGCATAGCTATTCATACTTTCATACAGCATCCATCCAGCTTCTACCGTCTCAGCCATGGTAAAAGACAGCGACGTTCCACAGCCAGGGCCGGCGCGCTTGTCGAAAGGTGCAGGCCCCGATGAATGGTTAGAACAGGCGAAACAATGCAAATATCTACCGGAGGCGGACATGAAGCGCCTTTGCGAGATTGTAAAGGAGTGCTTAATGGAAGGTACACGGTTTCATATCCATTCTAACCTAACCCCCGCACGTGCAACACGGACTCCGGTTCAATAACCTTGAAGACCGTTCTGGTTATCGAGGCATCGTAAGCTGATACCTTTGTACAGAGTCGAATATCCAACCTGTTCGCACCCCGGTAACCGTATGTGGTGATATACATGGGCAATTCTACGATCTGCTCGAACTGTTTCGCGTCGCGGGTGGCATGCCTGGCGAGACACCAGTGGTTCCTAAGCTCCCACCCACGATAAACCCTGCCGACATTGAGCCCCCTACTTCCATTACCGATCCCAAGGCGAAGCGGAAAATGAAGAGGAGGTATCAGTCCGATCCTAACTACACCGGCCCTGCGAGTCCTAACGAAGGCGAAGAGGACGAGGAAGAGGAGGAAGAACAACGGGGTCGGAGTCGGAGTATAACTGGCCGGCAAAGTATGGAGGACGAATCTGAGACGGGACTTGCCAAACTAAATGTTGCAGGTTCTGGTGGTAACGGCCAACAGAATTACATATTCCTGGGAGATTTCGTAGACCGTGGCTACTTCAGTCTGGAAACCTTCACATTGCTAATGTGCTTAAAGGCAAAGTACGTGACCCGCTTGCCTGGGATGAGCCAGTTCTGACAACCCTAGATATCCAGACCGTGTCACCCTGGTGCGAGGTAACCATGAATCCCGCCAAATTACTCAGGTTTACGGGTTCTACGAAGAATGCCAGACCAAGTATGGCAACGCATCGGTTTGGAAAGCCTGTTGCCAAGTGTTCGACTTCCTTGCCTTGGCCGCCATTGTGGACGGGAAGGTACTCTGCGTCCACGGTGGTCTAAGTCCGGAAATCAGAACCTTAGATCAAATTCGAGTCGTTGCAAGAGCTCAGGAGATTCCGCACGAGGGTGCTTTTTGTGATCTGGTCTGGAGCGATCCTGAAGATGTGGATACGTGGGCTGTGTCTCCGCGGGGCGCCGGTTGGCTTTTCGGAGACAAAGTGGCCTCGGAGGTACTGTGATCATGTCTCCGTTTTGACGGTGTGCTAACTCTGTCAAGTTCAACCATGTCAATGGATTGCAACTCATTGCTCGTGCCCATCAACTTGTCAATGAAGGCTACAAGGTAGGTATCACAACGCGAAGATACAGACACCCACTCATTCTCCATAGTACCATTTCAAAGACAAGGACGTCGTCACTGTCTGGTCGGCGCCCAACTACTGCTACCGCTGCGGGAATGTCGCTTCCATCATGAACCTGGGAGAGGACCTGAACCCCAGTTTCCAGATCTTCAGCGCCGTCCCAGATCATCGCCGGGCTGTTCCCCCAGGAAGGGGAGGACGCAGCGAATACTTTCTATAATCTTGTGCATACGCAGTTCTGGCATTTGAGGTTAGATGTTGAATGTCACGGTGAATAGACGCGGAGGCCCCGGCCGATTGACGCTTTCGCGTTGTATGCTTCTACATAACTCTGCGGGCGGCTCGAGGGGCCAATTTTCAAAGAGGCAGGGTACGTCATCTCCTCATTGCATGTAGTTCGGCGACTTAGAATACCCGGGGTCTTGTGAATTCTGCATATCGTTTTATATGAGGCTGGATGTTTGGCTTGTGACGTGCGCTTTGAGTTCGACCTTCCACCAAGACCCGCAGCCACTACCGACTACCGACCGACATGCCAACCATATTAGGCAAGATTGGATAACGCACGGGCGCACACCAGACCCCGCAATTTTGCTCTTCCAAGGTTCAAGCGCGGTCTTCCTCGAGAGATAAATCAACGATTATGAGCAGAAGATTTTATTTTGACATATAAACAATTAAAAATAAAATCTTTACACCTGTAATGGGTCTCCATCAGAAGGTGCACCGTAATCCATACGATCATCTCCTCTTGCATAGCCCCCGCTGAGAGCCCAGTTCGAGTCCGGTGGTGTCCGATTTCCCACTCATTTAGGTAACTAATGATGCTGGGCGGACCTAAGCAATGAATACTACTGTCGAGGGAAGCAATTCTGCAGACGCGTATTCACCATTGGGCGGCGGCGCTGGAATACTCTTGCGGGGGTTGGAGGTGGTTATATGGGCTGGTGTATCGACTGATATTTTTGCTTTCCTTTTTGCTTCGATAGAAAAATGTAGGACTCTTCAGAAAGTCCAGATGTCAATACATATGCCTATCGACTCTCATACAATCGACTATTTTCTATATTTATTCGAACCATTAACCGGGCAATATTGCTTATGCCCCAGGAGACTCCAATCAAGAAGGGGAGTATTAGCTTGATCCCAAGCACGCATCTCATCCAGGATTTCCTTCACCTCTGGGAGGTCCCATCTTCGAGGAGAGATATCCGAAGGGGTGGTCAGGCCAAGCACGTTTCCGATATCTTGCCAGCACTGGCGCACCCTTCTGTAACGTCGCGCAAGCAACACAGCCAGCAGTCGATGATCGTTAGCTGCCGACGGCGCTGCTTGACGCAATTCTTGTAGACGCGCAGACGGTGGATTTTGACGTAGGGCGGACTTGTACAACTCTCTGCGATCAAACACATCATTGGCGTGGAACATGGTTGCGGAGCCGCCCATGCACGTGTATCGTCCGTGACGTAGAGGCGGTAGGAATGGATATAACGGGTTCGGAGTGAAAAGGTCGAGCTTGGAGAGGGGGAACTGGGCCGCGAGTGTCATGGTCTGTGTACAGGGTTCAGGTAAACGTGACGGAGGTTGGTAGCGCACTTCTACGAATACTCACTATCTTAGGGATTTTGTAATCGCAGGCCTTGCATAAGGTCTCCGTAGGGTCCAATATCGCTTTCCGCCGGCTGGGCTTCTTGCACATTTGGCAGGTCCGGTTTAGCCATCGGATGTATTTGCCGCGGTATGTTTGGTTCGTCCTGAGCGGTCTGTTCATGTTCGTGGCCTCTTGGAGGAGACTTCGACTATATCCTTCCGCGATATTCCGCAATGTACGGTTCGTAGCGGCAAGTTGGTTGATTAGACGGTCATGCTGCTTGTGGGGAATAAACGGCGACGTGAAGGATATGATGCTGAAAAGCACTTCTGTGGGAAGTCCGTCCAGTCTTGGGGAGTTTGAACATGGCATAGGAACGGAGCCGGCGCAATCTGGCATCTTTGAGGAGTTGACAAGTGGAGGAGGAACTTCTGTGGGGATATTATCGGGAGTTGACCTGCTTGCGGTGTTGGAGAGTGTGGCCGAAGTTTCTGTGGGAAGCCCGTCAGGAATTGGCATTGTTGCGGTACTCAAGAATGGAAGATCTGCCGTCCTGAGCTCCCCGCGTCAGTGATGTGAAGGTAAAGGTGAAGCTCTCCAGCGGTGGGGATGGTGGAACGGCTAGCGACCGCAGAAGCGATATCCTTGCGTCGATCTCCCGTTGACGCGCTAACCCGGACTGCTTTAGCGCAAATTCGACGCTCCTCCGGTCCTCCAGGGCCCTCGATCTGCTAATGAGGATGGTTCAGAGGTGGGGGAATCTCTAAATCTTGATCTCTGCTGAACCAAGACATGGGAATCTCAAGGTGAAGCAGAATCATACGCAATATAGCACGGCAATCACAACGAGTTCAATGGAGTCCATATGATTCCTCTGGCTATATCCATAATCTTGCCGTCTATCATCTATGCCTATCTACGTAAGCCTGTAAAACATGGAGGCCTCATAGCTTCGCATCCCTTTCCTTCTTCACGGCTGGCAATCCTTTCTTGCCCGTTTCCTTCAGCTCCTCAAGAAACCTCTCAGTAAGAACCGACCTCTCAACTCCTTTCCGATTACCCCACTCTTCTTCAGTAAGCTTCTCATTTATCCGCCATCTTTGCATCTCCTTTCCAATCCACATTGCAGCATGGGATGCGCTCTCCTCCACCTTCTCCATGGGGATCAAATGGCCGGCATCTTGCACCATCACCTGAGAGACGCGACCCTCTTTAGCGCCTCCGCTTCCCCCAACGCCGACGCCCGTATTCTCCATCTTTTCAGTAATGTTCTCCGTATGCATGGTCAGGAAGGATTTAGAGCCGAATACATAAAGGACTGACGGTCGTAGATGCGGTAGTTGCTGGAATACCATCATAGACTCGCCGCGGTAGAAAGGGGCCTGGGGAAGAGGACCAGCGCTGAGATCCGGATGCGTTCTACGGTTGATAGATGGGTTCGAAGCGGTGTACTCTGCAGAGGAAGGCTCCTTGTCGCCCTCGCGATACGGGAAATTGGGCCTGAGGAAGGTCATGACCTCCTGATGCTTCGTTGTCGTAAGAGTGACCTCCTTGGACTTGGATGCTGCGGGAGCCAAAGTGGGCTCGGCAGATATGGCTGCAGGAACCGGACCGGGGGAGGCTGCTGAGTCGGGATAAAGTGCGGTAGGGAGGTCTCTGAGTCCGTACTGGATCCAGCGCTCGAAGACGCGGGGATTCCACGCCTGGTAGAAAGGGTTCCGCATCATGGACTTGGCCGCATCTTCGCGCGATGGCCACCTATCGCGGCGCATCGCAGACGACAACGCGGGGGATATATTGCCTGACACGGACACCATACGTTGGATGACAGGATCGAAGAGGATCAAGGATTCGAAGAGTCGCGGATGAAGAATAGCGAGGTGAGCAAGTTGAGCCCCACCCATGCTGTGGCCTACACCAAAGATGGGGCGTGGCATCTGTTTCCGGAACGTGTTGACCACATGGAGTAGATCCCGAGAGTGATCGAGCCATGCCGCTGCTGGTGTCAGGACGTCCATTGTCTCTTGCGCAAAGTGAATCACTTACGATCGTTTCCTAGTTTATGCTCATTCAGAACACCGCTGCGTCCTTGGTGCACGACATCAGCGATCCAGATGCCTCGGATGGAGAAGCCCTGCTGCTTCGATGTCTTTAGCAGCTCGTCCCACAACGGCTCATACAGTTCCTATTTCAACTATTAGCACGTCTTCTTCTAAGTTACAAAACCAATAAGTGTATGACAGGGGGACTTTGACCGCTAAAATTTAGAGGGAGGTGAGCCAATAACATTTGTCATGATGTGGGGCCTTATGATACGACCAAAGGAAAAGAAAGCAAGAATCTAGTACTGCGGAAAGATGTTGTTAGGTGACATGGAGACATTTACCTTCGGGAAACCGTTTGCATGTGCAGCGATCACCGTGATATCTCCTGGCTTGGGGTTCGGGTTCTCATGCGGCGTGTACTGCTTGACTGACAGTTGTAGGACTTCATTTTGGGTTGTTGAAGTGGTCCTGGGAAAGCCTCGGATATGAGATGCATCTACGATGTGCTCATAAACGCGAAAGAGATCTGAGGACATAGTGGAATGGGAGTGGCTGACAATGGAAACGACGGCAAGGTTCGACTGGGAGGAGATTGTTCGAGAGATTAAGACAGGAAATGATCGTTCAAGGCAAACGCATTGCGAACAGGAGACCTTAACTCAAGATTGATTCGTGTGCAATGAGGTTATAGGAAAGGGGAGGATTTGCTTATGATGGGAAACTTTCAGGGTCGCTCAACTGCCGCTTGATCCAACTGGGCCGAGGTTAAGGTAGCTGGAAATGGCCGGATAGTGCGTGCGCAGTCCACCGCCCATAGCTGCATCTATGTCTCGACTCTTCAAAGACCAGATGTCACTCCGATCAACAAATCCGTGCAATGTTTCGCTGCGGGTGAGTACTTCCAAGGTTCAAATGCGACGGGATGGGGAGTTGGGGTATCGTCACGTGATGCGGTGAGGAACCGACGCGACTCGCGATCTCCCAGCTGAGCTCAGACGCGCCTCGTTCTCTGCAAGGCACACAAACGTTAACATCCGCCACCATCTTCCTTCGTCACCGTGTGAGACACTTCATGATGGAGGAAAGTGCAATAATGGAGAGCTCACAGCAGCTTTTCGACGGTCTCTCGTTCACCATAATTCCCAATGCCATCTCGGAAGAAGAGCAAGCAAAGGCATGTTGACGCGTCATGATCCGGGCTTGTTCCTGGCTAACGTTTCGCACAGTTGACGAAAGATATAACTGCAAGCGGAGGTATAGTGATACCTTTCGATGCATCCCACGGGCGTATCGACAAATTGAATGAGATTTCGTACATCATCTCCACAACTTCGGACTTTCCAGATTACCACCGCGCGCTCGATCTGTTCAAGCATGTTGTGAAACCTTCATGGGTCTCTGCGTGTCTACAAACTTCAAAAGTGAAAAACCCCAGAGTGTACAGCCCGGATCCTGCGCTGTTCATGAACGAGGTGGTCGTCTGCTGCGGAGACCTCCCAGAGGGAGACAAGGAAGCCATTGAGGGTGGGGTGCTCGCAATGGGAGGCCAGTACGCCACGCAGCTAACAAAATTCGTAACACATTTGATTGCATTGAGCATGGACGATCCGCGATGCCAGCTTGCCCTTTCAAAGCGTCTTCGACTCCAGATAGTTCTACCTCACTGGTAGGCCAGCTGATTCTTTACACATGTTCTTCTCACTAACGCTGCACCAAGGTTCGACGACTGTCTGCGCATCGGCCGTAGGCTTTCCGAGCGGCCGTATACCCTGCCCGACCCTGAAGTACTCAATACCCAGGCAGGCGCAATTCCGCCAACACGTACAAGCAATGACATCCGTGAAGCCACGACGCCAGACCCAAGAGACCTCCCAATTACGGCCACACAACGTTCAGGACAACCAAGAGCGATAAGGGCCTTCAGTGGAAAGAAGATAATGCTCAGTGAAGACCTGTCGCTCAGTTCCCGGTTAAAGGACGTCATCATATCGCTGATCCATGCTGGTGGGGGCACGATAACTCACAATGTGGACGAGGCACATATGTACGTGTGCAACTATCGAGATGGTCCAGACTATATCAAAGCTTCCCAAGCACGAAAAGATGTGGGCAACTTGAGCTGGCTGTACTGGATGATCACACACGATACCTGGACCAACCCTATGCGTCGGATGATGCACTATCCCAGACCACGAGGAGGCATTCCAGGATTCGACAAGTATAAGATCAGTATTTCCAGCTATACAGGCGATGCACGAGTGTATCTCGAGAATCTAGTTCGGGCTTCTGGGGCGGAATTCACGAAAACCTTCAAACAAGACAACACTCACCTCATCACGGCTCACAAGCAGAGTGAGAAGTGTGAGGCCGCCGAGGAGTGGAATGTCCATGTGGTTAATCATCTGTGGTTGGAGGAGAGCTACGCAAAGTGCAAGGAGCAAACCCTCACGGATAGCAGATATGTGTATTTTCCCTCCAGGACCAATCTTGGTGAGATCCTAGGTCAAACCGAGATTGACCGCGATGCAGTAGAAAAGGCATATTTCTCTAAAGCTCAGGCAAGGAAGGATGCACGAGGAACCCCACTAGTCGCCAATAACAAGCGCAAACAGGTGGTCCAGGACGCCGCGACACCTGTGGCTTCACGACATGCTGATGACAAGGAGAACGAGACACCAGGAACGACCGGTAGCCGCGGAGCAAAAGACCGTGCACTGTCGCGATTACACGAAGCAGCACCCGACATCGCAAAATTCGAGAAGGAGATGAAGCGCAAAGGAGGTGTGATCCACGGAGGACGGCGGGAGAAAGACCTCGAGGTTGTCGACAAATCGAAGAAAGCCAAAGGTCGCGATTCTGTTGCCAGTAAGCGTTCAATTGATGAGGTGGACGGGGAAGATGATCAGTCGGATGCCTCGACCGACGAACCCGCGCTGAAGTCTAAGAGAGCGAAGAAGGATAAGATGACTCCCATTAAATATCGGATGCTCATTTCGAAGGACGACCGTTGGCTGAATAATCCGGAGAAGGAGTCCAAGGACAAGGTGAGTCACAATGTTCGTTTCAAGTTCTCCTTGACTGACGGGTATGTAGGCTAGACTACGTGAATTGGGTCTCTTTATCACGGAGGACTACAAGAAAGTCGATCTCCTCTGTGCTCCTACGGTCGTCCGGACGAAGAAGTTTGTCGCGGCTCTGGCCTGCGGTCCCACCGTCGTAGCAAGCTCCTACTTGGATTTTGCACTCGTAAACAACAAGCTACCGCCGCCGGAGAAGCATCTACTCCGGAACCATGACTTCGAGACACAGCACGGTTTCCGCCTAGACGAGGCGCTGGAACGTGCGAAACAAAACCAGAAGCGTCTGCTCAGGGATTGGACTATTTTCTGCACCGAGGGTGTTACTGGCGGGTACGAGACCTTCAAGGAAATCATTGTCGCAAATGGCGGGCAGTGCCATCTGTGGAAAGGACGCGCCACCAAGGTTTCGGCTTATAAACGCACGATCAATACGTCTGATAAGGATGTCTCGCAAAACCAGGAGGAAGATGAAGGCGATGGGTTGTACCTCATCTCCGAAGCGAAGAAGTCGGAGCTCCCTCTCTGGACCAAGTTCCGAGAGTTGGCGCAGAAACACGACATGATTCCGCGGATTGTCACGACAGAGTGGATACTCTTTGTTGCGATGGCGCAATATGTGCATTGGGACGAGAAGTGGGAGCTGAAGGAAGAAATGGTGAAGGGGAAGTGAGGGTTTTTGCCTGAGAATTTGGTGCAGAGAAGTGAGAGTTTTCATGTTGCTTATATCGCATATGGTCCTCAAGGCATTACCTACCCATGGCGCGGAGTTTTGGCACCACGGCTTGAGCTGATGGATATCGGAATGTTTGATACCAACCGCTATGACTTACTGGTTGAGGGTTTCATGTCTGGTTATGATGCTAGCAGACTTGATACTCCAGTGCATTAATGAAAGCAACTTTATATATTAAAATTTAGTGCGTATGTCAATAATATACATGTTCAGAAACTCGTCAACGATGAACGCCAGAATGGGGATATCTCAAAAGACAAAACTAGCAAGCTTCATCCAGTCCAGCCTTTTTCATCGGCTTCGATCTCTTCCATTCCATCCTTTACCCCATCCATACCTCCACCTTTCTACCTTTCGCAAACCGCTCCTACAAATCCACCGGCCACCTCTTTCTCACGTATCCGCCATACTTCCAAATCGCCACGGGCACGGGAACCATGGCCACGCCGATGAAACCCAACAAACTATTGCCCCAACCGAGGCCCAACCTTCCAAACATGCTGGGACCGGCGAGGGGCAACAAGCCGCCAAAGAGGCAGCGCAGGGTGGTCATGGCGGCGACGGCGGAAGCGGCGTGGGTGGGGAAGGCGTCGATGAGGTAGGTCTGCATCGGGGCGAACAGGCCCATCATGCCGAAGCCGAAGGGAAGGAGGGAAAGGATGGGAGAGATCCAGTGGGTGTGTTTTTCGGTGCTCCAGCCGTACCTGAGCGACGGTGTTAGTTTCCTCTGGAATACTTAAAAAACAGGGAAGAAAATGGACGATTGAAGAAGACTGAGTGGTTTGTGGGACGAGAAGAGGGATTGAGAAAGGGACATACCAAAACAGACCGGCGGGGATCAACATGCCGAAAAACACCATTAACGGCAATCGCATCTCGGGCTCATAAATGCCCTTGTTCCTCTTCGTGAGCTTCACGACGGTGCTGTCGCTCGTCCGCGCCACAACCACAATCCCCAGCATGGCGCCCAATCCGATCCCCAAGTACGCTAATCCGGACAGCTCGGGACTGAAGCCGTACGTGCGGACGAAGGTGGGTGTCACGGTCGTGAAGAGCATATACAGCAGACCGAAGACGAACGAGATGTAAAGGGAGAGGAGCAAGACGATGGGAGACATGAAAAGGAGTTTCAGCGGGACAAAGATGCCGCGAGTGAGGATTGATCGAGGACTCCGGAGGTGCGCGGGCTTTCCGTGCAGGTAAACGTTTTCGAGTTCGGGCCGACCGGTTTCCTTGCGCAGCTTGTTCGTCTTCCAGTTCATCAAGACGACGGGATTCGTTTCGCGGTTGAGGACGGCAATGGCTGTGCAGATGACGGTCGAGGCGATGAATGGGACCCAAAATACCCAACGCCAACCTGCTCTTTGAGCGACAAAACCACCTATGATGGGCCCAATGACGGGACCCCAAAGGACTCCCATGGAGTATATAGCCATGGCTTTCCCACGCTCTTCGATGACAAAGAGATCAGAGATGACGCCTGAACCGATGGTGAGGCAGGCGGAGCCGCCCATACCTGCGAGAAGACGCATGACCAGAAGGCCAGCGAGGTTAGGCGAGAGGGCGCAGCCTAGGCTGAAGGCGCAGAAGAAAAGGTTGGCAATGTTGAGAATGATACGGCGCCCGTAAATCTCGCTGAGAGGAGAGAGGAAGAGGGGACCAATCTTGCTCACTTGTCAGTACAAAGATAACGAGAGATGGGGAGGTCACTAGAAGCGTGGGCACGCACAGCGAAACCGAGCACAAAGATGCTGACGGCAAAGCTGCCCCGGATTGCTGAAGTGTTGTGCAATGCAGCATTGATAAAAGGGAGAGCGGGAGCGCAAATGGTAGATGCGAAGGGACTCAAGAACGTGAGCGCACTGATCATGCCCAAGATGAACCACTTTGTCTTTTGTGGAAAATTTCTGTGCACGCATATATATTAGTTTCGATGTCACGAACTTACAGTTCTCCCGATATGAAAGATACTGACCGAGGATTCGCGGGATCATCCTGACTCTCCCACCCAACAAGTCCCTTCTCCCCATCCATCAACGGATACTTCTCTGGTTCCAGCCTCCCCTTGTGGCTCCTGGTACTCTTTCTACTGAGATAGCGGGCCAGGTTGCCCCCTTCCAAGTCATCTTCTTTGACAGCCGGATCAGGGTTGGAATGGTTCGAGTCACCAGGAGGAACGTTAACAGTGTCAACCGCCTGGGAGTCTTTGGAGATTGAATGTTTGGTGCTTGAGTTGTCAATCGAAAGACTTTTCCGTCCTTCATATTTCTCTGAATCGGATGCCATGATTCGTGCCCTTCTGTTCAAAAATTTGATACTCGATATGATAAGATGGTGACAATCGCCACCCGCAAATCCCGTTCCGAATCCGGACGAGCTTCGGATGTAGAAATAATGGTCGAAAAATGCGTGTGAACTACACCTATGGTGCGTGGCAAGAAACCACCGTAAATCAAAGTCTGTTACAAACAAGAAAATCGCCTCACCCAGCGCACAGGACCTATATATTATTCGAATCGCACGAGACGTGCTCGCGCATTACGTCGGTTGTTGCGTTAACTCCGAGCCACGCTAAGCCCGTGGGGTCCATGAAACGCCCTTTGGCCCTTTGGAGCGGGCGCGTCGGAGGTCGGAAGTTGTCAAGGAGCGTGCTGGATGACAAACCCTGCCATCAGGCACGAGAAAATACTTAAGAAATGAGTCAGAGCCTGCTTCTTGTATCCCAGTCGACCCGTTCTCGCCCTTTTGACATCCATGCGGTTAGCTGAGAGCTCTAGAGCGATGATGGTGACGATAATCATCGGCTACTTTCCCAATAGACCGACGACATCGTGGTAGCTCATTTTACAGAGGTCCGAATATTGCGGTCATCTCCGGCTTGAGGTCATGGCTGCCATCTGGGAATGTTGATGTCTGATGAAACAGGCCTCATCCAACCGTCCTCGCCAAGCGGGGCAACAATACGGAGTACTGCGTCTCGACCGCATCACGCTTTCTAGCAGTCTGCATCCGTGTGAAATCGCTCCACGTGCTCGACTCGCAGGTTCGTACAAGGGTGATGCTTAGGTGAGCTTGATTTTGAGAGTGGTAGTCTTGCTTGTCGGATGTGTGGGAGCGCTACTCCGTGCCGGGGCCTGATTACTCCGTCTTGGACTGGGACCAGGTTAGAAAAGCTCCTGCAAGGACGAAATAATGATTAAAGTAAGGAAATATGACGACCTAGGAGAAAAAAGAAAAAGGGAAAAAAAAAAAAGAAAAGAAAAAGAAAAACTGAAGAGCGACAAACCTCCTTCCGATGCTGCAACACGACGAGCAATCTGACCTTGTAGTAAAGCAACAGATGAGACGTTTGAGAGAGAGGTGATAAACGTCTTCTGGCCTCCAGCCACGCAAGACGCTCCGCAACCGGACTGTCTCCGATAAAAGCAGGAGTCGAGGGAAGCATATCACTGTGGGGACGTGACAAACTTCGAATCGTGAAGGGATGAGAGAAGGTCGGATTTGAGGTGGTACCGTTGCACGACTTCCACTGCGAATCTGGAACCTTGGGGCTAACCACCGACACGGCCTCTTCATGAGTGTTTCCGCAAGAACAGCATTTCGTAAGAAGTTTTCCAAAGTGCCTGCTATGCAAACGCATTGAGGGACAGCCTTCGGCTTATAAGAGGAGTTCGGAGGGTTTATCGGGTCATTGAGACGGCATCACATGACTTTAGCAATTTCCTAAAACTGAATCGTATCTGCTAACCACAGTGTCTGCTAACCACAGCAAGTAGCATAGTACATGCGCATTGAACTATGTAGGAACAGTCAGCTCACGGCAAATACAGAGCGCCGCGGAAAGAAGGGTCAACGCTATTTTATTTGGCAGTCTCTGAGACGGCCAAACTATATTCATTATATGCGTAAATACCATGCATGTAGCAGAGCAGCCGGTAAACAAGGCCAGCTTTTTTAACATGCTCAGTTGGTCATAACAAGCACAATTGCCGTTCAGCATAGCTTGCAATTGAAGCAAAGTAGTAAAACCAACGCGACTTGAAGCGTGTCGTTGCGGACATGCCGACATCCGATACCACTCCCCTACGATTTAGGTTTTGCACATTTTCCCAAGCCGGAACGCAGAATAAGCAGATCACCTCCAATGCAATGAGCGCATTACCACATCATCATCATCATCACCAGAACTCTCGAATGCCGGGCCATTTTCGATGAAATATGGTGGAAGCAATTCCAGATTGCCGAAAACCGGCAAACCTTGGTATGTCGCGCTCAATTCCTTGAGAGCAAGTCCGCGATTGTGAGGCCCCGGGGACCGCGCTCTCCAGCGGGGGATGCCAATGCTACTGTGTTCTGTGGCGGGAGGTTGGTGGTGGCAGAGTCGTCCCATTTTCGCGGATCAGAGTGCAGCCGTAGCAGGGCTTCTGTGGCTATCTGGTGGTCCTCCTGAAGCGATTGCGGCGCCGGTGTGGAGGGCGTGAATGCCGAACAGCCGCTGAAAGTGGATATGGGACCAGCCCAGGAGGGAGATGTGTGGAAAGGTCGTAGAGCGGAGGACAATGGTGTATGCCCATCTTGATGAGCCAAATCTGCAGAAGTGGGCGCCGCGACCGGAGAAACCGAGGACTGAAGGCTGGTTGCAGGATGGCAAATTGCTGAAAAGTTCGGAGAGGCAGGCGTCGAGCTGCTATCTTTCGCATATGTCTTGGGCGACATGTGCGTTGAGGCAGCGGACGCCATGCTCTCCCTGGAACGGCCAGGCATCGACCACGGGCTGGCTAGTGTTTGTGGCTCGAACTCTCTCATTTCTTCATCTTCCTCGTCGTCCTCTTCATCCTCGTTATCCGCTTCTGGGTGCTTGAGATCGCGATCTTCCAGCGTGTCCGCGACATGCGCATTCGAAGCCCTGAGCGACCGGAGATCACGCTTCAAGTGCTCATTGACCTGCAAATCGCCGTTAGGTGGAGTGGTCGCGTGGTGGGTCAAACGGGTCTTACCTGTTTCAGATATGTCATCTCCTTGATGCATGCCTCAAGAACGGCTTCCTTGTGCATGCCCACGCCCTTTGGGCCCCGGCACGTGGGAATCATGTCTTTCATCTGATCCAAAAGATTGTTGATCCTTCCTCTTCTCTTTTTCTCAATCTCCCTATGCGACGTCTTTCGTGACACCAGGCGGCTCTGAGCAGTAGTCCCATCGTGCTTCCTTTTGGTGCCCGTACGTGGTGAGCCATTCGATCCCTTGGGGCCATGTTGGAATCTCTGGGGATCCGTCTGAATGATCTTTGGCTGGCGGGTCGGGGGCTGTGGCAGGAATTCGTCATCGTCATCAGAATCTTCCATGTTTCGAGCGGAATTGGGCTTCTTGCGAGGTGCTAGACCCTTCACCGTCTTTGCCTTTGGAGACTCCGGAGAAGGTGGGTTCCATGTCGAATCCGAGGAGCGGGAAATGGAGGATACGGTACTGCTCGCACTGCTCTCGGGGTCCAATGCAGCGGGAGGAAGCTCCAGGCTATTGTCGAGCCCCTTCAAGGAACCGGTCTTCCCTTCCATGAGGGTCGAAGACGCCGGCGTGGGCAGGTACCCTGCGCCCTCCGTCTTCTTGCGGGACTCGCGACGAGGAGCCATGGTGGACACGTGGGTGCTCAGGAATCAGATATAGCAGTGAATCAGGGGTCAATCAGATATAACTTGTCGAATAGCCAGAACTCCTGTAGCGCCTGGCTCCAGGGAGGGGGAGGGGTAATGGGGAGAGTGTCGAGGAGGGGAACTGCGGGCGTCATTGTACGATATAAGTGCTCGTGCTTCACGTCCTCGTCCGCGTGCGTGCTTTCAGTGCTCTGGTTGAGCTTGAGCGTGGAGGTGAAAAGGGCCAATGGCAGCCCTCGAAGCGAGCAACGCCGACGCATCCATTTCGTGATTGGTGGCGGATCAAAACGCCTGTTCGTTGCCGAGCTAAACACGCCCAATGCCGCTTCAGGGCAAGCGCTATCTCTCTCCAGTTTAGCCCTTACTCGATGGAGTCAAGGCTCTCGAATCCATACCAAGCGGCCCCAACATTTGGGGGAAGTAATCCTAAGTCCCCTTTCCCAGGCACGTGCGCATCTTTGTCGTCGAAAAGGATGGTTACAGAACTCTCTGTACTGCGGCTTTCCACGTCCGACCTGGACTGAACATCCGGCTGCAATTCCTCTGTAGGTGGAATTACCTACCCGGCACAAGTCAACTGGCTACGACATAATAATTCGATGGGTGAAGTTTTCTTTTTAAACATACTACTATACGTAGAGGCACGCTACAAAGCTAATTGCAGGACCTCCTATATTGCTGCCCTGCTAGCTGTTTAAATTGGATGTGGAAAACAGCAGTACAGAGGAAGTGCAGGCCGGGGGGGGGAGGGGGGGGTTGGTTGTTCAGTCGGACGTGAAAAGATGCAGTAGGATGTTATGCCTGGACGAGATTTCAGTGGTATTCAATTACTGGGCCATGTATTTGCTACCAGGATAGAGACATCAGATGCTTTTTGGACGGCCTAACAACACACCGCGTGCCTACCACGTGCCCTTCTAACACCACAGCCTACAAGTCCCATCTGCACCAGCACTCACGCACCATGGCTCGCGTGGATGCCAGACCACATCCATGACACCTAATCTGCTCTTCACCTGGTGGCCCCGTAGCACCTTCAATGGCACGATTGTCGCGTTCTCCATCAGGTCACCGACAACCTTGCCATGGAAAATCTGCAGACTTCCGTCATCGCTTGCATCTGCAAAGAGGGGCAATCCTCCGTGATGGAAGGCCACTGCTCGGATCGCCTGCTGATGGTAGCGGAGCGTCTTATAAGGCTTCGTGGAGAGGTCCAGGTCATGCCAGAGCAAGCGTTTGTCGTATGTCCCGACAATAAGATTGTCTCCACCAGGGTGCACATCGAACGATGAGATCCATTTGGCACCAGGCTGCAGAATCTTGACAAGCTCTTGCTTGGCCAGATCATAGCTTCGTATGGAGTTCTTCGTTGCCACAAAGAAAATCGGTTTAGAGGGGTGGAATTGTGCCGATTGTGCGAGCCCCTTGAGGCGGCGGAATGGCAGCTGCGTGAGGTGCTTGGACAGAGTATGGATAGCAACAGCACTGCTCTGGCCCCGTGGAGATACTGTTGCAAAGTAATCACCCCTCCTATGCCAGTGTATAACCTTGACGCTCGACCGCACCGTGGCCTGCACCAAGATGCCCTTTTCCTCGAGCCGTTGTCCCGGACGACTCCAACGAGCGGCTGGCTCCTTGGCTGGCAGGCCATTAGTTGTTGAAGGTTTTGATGCTGCGTAGCCCCAGCCCGCATCTAGCAGTTCACGGCTGCTCTGCTCAACGTCCGGGGAAAGGATGGCGAAGGGCACAATGAGGTAGATAGTCTCCCCTGCGGCCGCTGCGAGGATTGCCGAATCCTTGCCAGGCCTCCAGCGGACAGCATCGACCGCATCCTCATCCGAGAGCTTCGCATTCCAAAGCTGCCGCCCAGTGAGCAGTTCCCAAATGCGCACGTATCCATCATCACCTCCGCTAGCCACAAACAAGCCTCTCGGATCAATAGACACACTCCGGACACGGCCTTCTTGGCCTCTGAAAATCGCCGCGCATGTCGTTGGAAACGGCTTCAGCTCGTCAGGGCTGGGTAGCTTCGGCAGGAGCGATTCGGGATCAATGTTGAGCTTGTTTCTTCTCACTCGTGGTGCCAGGTATAAATCAAGGCAGCGCTCGAACTTCTCCTTAACAAACCTTTCGTAACCGGGAACCTTCCGCAGTGCATCATGGTCTCTCGGCAAGTACTCCCTCTCCCTGTCTTCTTCGTCGGCTTGTTCCCATGCGGCTTTCTCATCCTTATCCGGTAGATACTCAGGAGGCGGGTGATAACTCTGGTCATAACCCGGCGGAGGTAGCTTAGGCGCAGGTATATGCATGCTGTGCTCAGGACGCGGAACTTCGTCGGCCCAAAGGTCGTATTGCGGAACTTCCTGCTCCTCCTCTTCATCCTCTGGAGGAGGCCTGTAGGGCTGAATGCGACCTTCTCTTATAGCCTTCACGATTTTCATGACTCGCTTCGCTTCATGCTTAGACGGTACAAATCGTCGCTTCGGCTCTGGCGCTGAACTTAAAGGCATCACCTCCAACTTTCCAGAGAAGTAGTGCACCATTTCGGGATATGGGTCGTACCCTTCTTCAGGGATTTCGTTTCGCGTCAGTTTCTTCAAAACATCTAACTCTTCCTCTGCCAACTCCAGCGGCTTTCCTGTGTCAGGGTCTGTGAGGCCAGTCCAGCCTTTGGGAATGTCGATGCTGTCAAGCAGCGCATCCAGAGCCTCGCCCTTTGCAGGGCGCATAATCTTCTTCCCATTGATGTCGTAACCAATGTGCGGATATGCATCGTAATATGACAGAGGTATATTCCCGATGGTATTCGTTGTCTCCGGCGCGTCGGAATCGTCGGAGTCGTACACGGGATCAATCTCTTTGTAGATGTATCTGGGGTTGCCATTGGCGTCGGTCGTCACAGTGTAATTGCGCCCGTTGTCCTCCGCCTCTTCTAGCCCATCCGCAGCCTGGAATGAAGTATTCTGGTTGGAAGATGGATGCGACGCTTTCCGCCTCTGTGGTCCGTCGGAGGTTCTCAGCTTGCGAAGCTGTTCCCGTATGTCTTCCTCGCCTTCGGAGGGCACTTCGTCGCTGTCTATGTCCTCTTCCTCTTCGTCTTCTTCCTCCTCGCTGTTATCCTCATCTTCATCGGAATGCTCGTCATTGGTACTACTTTCATCGGACTCCTGACCGTCGTGGTTATCGTCCGAATCGTCGTCGCTGTGAGAAAGGATGCCTTCGAGAAGCCCGTCGGCTAGCTCCTCGTCCGCAGAGTCGCCCACAGGGGACTCCCGCGTTACCGCCTTCCTTTTTCGCGGATTGATAGCCATTTTCTCGAATCGAAGCCTCTCACTCGAATTCTCAGCGGACGGTGGTTCCAAAATTTTTGGGAAGCAGTTGCCAAGATTTCACGCACAGACCTAGTCACGTGCCAGCCACCAAGGCAACTTCCGCTCGCCAAGCTGCGCTAGTGTCGCCATTGTAAACTTGCGGTTCCCCTCCACGCACTCAACAACCTAATCACCTCACGCCGACACTTCGTTTCCCACCGCTCTACAGGACGGGCTCGTAGGTCACTGCAAGTAAAACGGCGGCGCTGCACTGATCTATACACAGTAATACCTTGAGCTTGACAATGGCGTCACGCCACGCTGATCCTCGAAGGTTCGCAGACGACAGGAGGGACCGTCCCTCTCGTGGAAGCCACCGAGATGATAGATATCGAGACCGAGATCGAGAACATGATCGCTACGAACGTGACTCTTATCGCCGCCGGTCGCGGTCACCGAGACCAATGCGACACCGCGACCGGTCGCGGGATGACTATCGTCGAGCTGATGAACGGGACCGGGTGAACGACTACAGAGATCGACATTATCCGCGCGACGATAGATACCGCGACGGACCGCGTGACCGCGAACGCGACAAGGAAAGAGATCGTGACCGAGACCGGGACAGCCGCAAGCCTTCTTCGCGCTCCGCCACCCCTGGGGTCGGCCGTGATGGTGACATGCGCAGACCAGGCTCGCGCGGATCCCTTTCAGGGACTTTTGGCATGGATACTCGGCGCGGTAGGGAGGATGACCGGCCTTCGCGAGATGATAGGTTTAGGCGTGACGAGAAGCCAACTCCGAAAGATGAGGAGGCCGAGAAGAAGAGCAAACTGGCACGCCTGGAAAAATGGAAGAAGATGCAGGCTGAGAAGAAAGCAAGCGCTAAGGGAACTCCGACTCAAGATACCAAAGAGGAGCAGGGGGTCAGTGCTCAGAAACCATCTCTCCCAAATGGAACTGACTCAAAGTCACCGCATGCTCATAAGCTTGATGCTCGCAGTACAGACGAGGAGCAACATGCTATCGGCCAAGCACAGACTCAAGTTCCACAAGTGGCTAATGAAAGCGTCGAAAATGTCCAGCTGCGCCTTGGCAATCTGAAGAGTTTGAACGTGGACAAGGCCGCGAATGGCAAAGACACGTCGGCCGCTGGCAACAATAAGCGTTCCTTGCTTGAAGATGAGGATGGTGAGAAGAAGAGTAAACTCGTGCGCTTAGACGATTGGGAAGGCAAGGACGATATCAAGACAGATGATGTCGAAGATGGCGAGGGAGAGGCCGAACCCGAGAAGATGGACACGGCCGAAGATGAGCTCGATCCTCTTGATGCGTTCATGCAAGATTTAAACTCCAATGCTCCTCGAACTAATGACGCTCCCAGGCGCGGTGAGGCTATGTTTGGTGAAGACGCAGAGCCAGACCTGGACGCAGTTGGGGATGACCTCTTCTCTCTTGTGGTTAAGAAGAAGAAGAAGGATATTCCCGTAGTGGATCACAGCAAGATTGCTTATGAGCCTTTCAGGAAACGCTTCTATACCGAACCTTCTGAAATCAGCGAGATGAGCAAGGAAGAGGTTGCTGACTTGAGGCTAGAGTTGGACGGCATCAGGGTAAAACCTGACAACGTCCCTCGACCTGTAGTCAAGTGGGCTCAAATGGGCCTCTCTCAACAGACATTGGACCTCCTCCAGCAGATGAATTATGTGAAACCGACGTCCATTCAATGTCAAGCAATCCCAATAATCTTGTCGGGCAAGGATATGATCGGTGTTGCCAAAACAGGATCCGGGAAGACACTTGCATTCGGAATGCCAATCATCAGACATGCTCTCGACCAGCCGCCTCTGAAAAACCAGGATGGGCCAATTGCATTGATCATGGCACCGACTCGTGAGCTTTCACTTCAGATCATGGCCGAACTGAAACCCTTTCTCAAAGCCCACGGTCTCAAAATCGCGTGTGCCTACGGCGGAGCTCCGATCTCTGAGCAAATTGCGGCCATCAAACGTGGGATTCATGTTCTTTGTGCAACCCCAGGTCGACTGATTGATTTGCTTCAAACCAACTCCGGGCGTGTCTTGCGACTAAACCGAATCACATATGTCGTTATTGATGAAGCTGATCGTATGTTCGACATGGGACTTGGACCACAAGTCATGAAAGTACTGGGCAACATCCGCCCAGATCGACAGACACTCCTTTTCTCAGCGACGTTCCCTAAAAATATGGCGGATTTAGCCCGAAAGTCCCTCACCCACCCCGCCGAGGTCATCGTTGGCGGCATGAGCGTGGTCGCTCCAGAGATCACGCAAATCATAACCATTGTTCCGAACAATTCGAAACAGAAGAAGATGGCTCAGGTTCTTCTTCACCTTGGTCAGCTCTTCTCTTCAGATGAAGATGCGCGTGCATTGATTTTCGTCGAGAGGCAGGAGTCGGCGGAAGAGCTCTTTATGGAGATCATCCAAAAGGGATACCCTTGCAATACTATTCACGGCGGCAAAGATCAGCAGGACCGTACGGATGCCATTGACGATTTCAAGAAGGGCGTTATACCCGTCCTTATTGCTACATCGGTTGCTGCCCGCGGCCTTGACGTCCTTCAACTCAAACTGGTCATCAACTACGATTGCCCAACGCATCTTGAAGATTACGTGCACCGTTGCGGTCGAACCGGTCGAGCTGGCAACAAAGGCACTGCAGTCACACTTATCGAGAATCCCGGGCAAGAACGCTATGCTTTCCACATCGTTAAAGCGCTTAAGCAAAGCGGCCAGCCGATCCCCGACGATATACAGAAAATGGCTGATGAATTCTGGAAGAAAGTTAAGAACGGGGAGGAGAAATGGTTCGACCCTGGATTTGGTGGTAAAGGGCTTGACAAGTTGGATGCTGTTCGCAACATGGAGAAGCAGCGTGAAAAGCGCGCTCTCAAAGGTGCATTCGACGACGGTGATGACGACAGCGAACCCGAGCCTTTGCTTCCTACAGTGGCTGGCAAGACAGCCACGCCCGCGGCAGAGGGATCTGGAACTGCTGCTCCAGTTGACGATGAGCCTGCCTATATGAAACTCCTTCGCACCAAGGTTGTTGTTCATAAGACGGAACGTCCGGAGCCCAACCGGCATATGAGCGTCATGGAGCGCGTCAAGGCCGCTTCTCAAAATGTTGGAGATCGCCTGAGCAGGAAAGGCACGATACATCACGGTCAGCCCATTGACAACAAAGGTCCCGATGCTGGAGCATTCCACTCTACCATTGAGATCAACGACTTCCCGCAGAAGGCCCGCTGGGCGGTCACCAACCGCACTAATGTCTCCAAGATCCTGGAATCGACTGGTGTCTCTATCACCACTAAAGGCACTTACTATCCGCCAGGTTCGGGGCCCAAGGAAGAGAAGGATCTGCCGCCGTTGTATATCCTTGTGGAGGGAGACACGGAGAACGTGGTTCAGGCGGCCATGATGGAAATCACGCGTTTGCTCAGAGAGGCTGCCATGACTGCGGAGGAGAGTGCCCCTCGTGCACCAGGTCGTTATTCGGTCGTCTAGAAAGATCAGTGCGGTACATGGCTGCGCCGTGTCTAGAGGTACGAGAGACAATTCTCGCTTTACGTCGCCATCTTCGTTTAGATCTACTCACTTCAGGTTCATATCAAGACGCGGAGATTCTCGTGGATAGCTAACCGAGAACTTAGACTTTCCGACAAGACCTCGATCTGACGCGAGCGCTTCCCACATGTGCGCCATGGATTTTCCGACCACTGCTCTCGAAGGTTACTGCTGGATGTAATGGTATGTATCCGTCATTGACAAACAAACTCCTTGTTGGGCGGCTTGCCACCGCCCAGTTTGCACCTTCTACTCTGCCAGGCGGCTTGCCTCTGTCTGGCATTTGCACATTGTACTTTTAGTCTGCTCCGTTCGCACAGCCGGGTTGCATCAGTCATGGACGAGGTTTTTCGTTTTCTGGTGGGATCGATTAGCAACGGATGCACTACGGGACGGGGATGGTTACTGCATGGTTGCGTGGAGTCTAGGCGATGGTGGTATATCAATGGCGGTTAGGGTATATCGAATCGAATCCATGACTCGGTTTATTGAACTTTCAAGTCTATGTGCTGTGTTGTGATGGATATTGGAGTGGTGAATGGTTTGGTTGAAGGAGAAGGGTGGGGGTTCGTGTTTGGGGAGTTGGGGGAAGGGCGAGAAGTTTGCCTGTCGTTCTGGCGTTGTGGTGGCTGCTATTCCAGGGGTAGGTCTATTTCCTCTGTCATCTCCTAGCTCGAGCGTCCTTGACGGAGGGAATCTCTACCCTACTATGTATGCCCCTCGGACGGACAATGTGATCTGCATTCCGCATTAAGCCACGAACAGCGCTGTATTCATAGGCACAACTAACTAGAGCTCAATGGGTTGGTATCGCTACAATGGGAATGGGAATAGATTCTCCTACCTACAAGAGTCCGAGTTTGCACTTCTTTGAGGAGAGACAGCTCCCGATATCTAGTTTATCTCGTTACGATAAAGCACCCTTTATTATTCATTAGCACTCCATGGAGTCCCTTGGTACAAGTAAGAAATGTAGTAAATTATTAGCGCCTTTTCTGGATTGATCGCTACTGAAGAGGAGTCACGCAGTAGAGCTAAATCTTCACGCAAACAGTTGTTTAAACAAAATCTACAGTATACGCGTTAATATGATCCTACATAACCCCAGGCGCTAAATACTCAACTGTGAAGGAGGAGTAGTTTGCCCAAGCGCACGTGCGTGCAGTGCAGCAATCGTGACAAGTAATCGATGGAACATGTTGAATTCTTCTCCGTCGTCTCAATCACGTCAAAAGATCAAAATATAGTTAAATAGTTACTGTAGATGTATATAGCAGTAGTTTCGACTAACGGTGGAGCGGGCATGCAAAGAGACGGACGGTACAGCAGAGTGACGAGTAGCAGGGTCTAACACCTTGCTGGGTCTGGGAAATATATCACACAGCCTAGAAGAGCTTCCAAGATTCTACTCCACGGTGATGGTTCGGGTATAGCGGCAGTAGTGGCATCCCTACGCTTTGTGATGCGAGGGAGAAGGACCAGGCCGTCGACATGAGTGCGAGTCCCCTGGTTGATGGATGTGAAAATCTTGGTTAAAACGTGGAAACACCACAGGAGGGAAAGTAATACATAGGTTTTTAGTAAGTGTTTCCGGTGCGATGATGGGCGGGAGGAGTGGTTGTCGGAAGACAAATGGGGGAAGCATTAGCAGACAGTTCCTACCACAGCTGCGGATACTTGGTCAACAGGTGCCATGGGTTGCCGTGTATGCATGTCCATTGTGGCGTTGAGGCCAGACGGACACTGGCTGGCTCACATAACAGCCCTACCGCATGTCTTACCCCGACTTGCCAACGGAATGAATAGTACCGCCCGCGCAACTTCCTTACCTCTTTCCCGTCCCCGCCCATGGAGAATTGGCTCGTCCCGAGCCGTCACTCCGTGTGGTTTTTAGCCGGCGCGATGGTGCATAGTGAGATGCGGGGTTATTAGTTGCTGCAGACTATAGCTGTGTCAAGGTGAATGTATCCACGTGCGGGTTCCCACCCACCTGGAATCGCTTGGATGGCGCTGGTGATTTCTTAGTGCTGTTCGATGATCGACTGGGCCGATTGATGTCATTTCCTTGTTCGATAACCAGTGCGGCAGGCCAGGGACGAAACGTTCATCGACGCACTCGCATAGAGCGACGAGAGTATTATGATGCAGGGGGGTATATATACAATTGCAGACTGTAAACTTCGCTGAACGGCTACCAAGCGTCTTCTCAACACATTGCCCTGATGTGCACCTTTTCAAAGCCGTCGTATGCACCAACGCACTATCATACAGTTCCCAAACCCAATGCGTCCCTACGGTACTTGACAAGTCGACGCGAAATGCTATGCAGTGGACTCAATCTTCTGGCTTGAGGGACGTTTCGATGTCCCTCTGTTCCAGCCAATGAGCAAGGAAAGCGGAATATCTGTCGACCCGGTCATTCATGACGCTGCCATCAGCTTGTTCTGCTCCTGCGCCAGAGTCAAACCTTCTGGTGCTTGTCGGTAGAGGACAATTTCGGATTGTTTGAAGTATCGGCGCGCGTCTGCCAGCCCGTTAGCCAAACCCATTACACACTTTGCTGCTGTAAACTATTTTGGTGTGGCGGAGACGTACCTTCGTCAATCAATACTAAGCTAAGGTAGTAGCGCGTGGAGAATTTCTTGTTCACCTCACGGAAGGTAGGTGTCAAATCGAAACCGCCCAAGAAGAGTCTGATAGGGATTGTCTCGCCTGGGTTGGTGAGCATTCATGCATTTATATGTTCCCTCGAGCACATACCTCGTGAAGGAGACCCATCCATAATCTCAAACCTGACCAAAGTCTCGCTCTCATTATACTGATTGGGGGCTGCACCCGTCGTCTCTCTTCGGATGATGGAGAGTTCCATATGCTTGATCTTTAACCGTACCAAGAGGAAGTATATCCTCCCCACTATCACGTCCTTGAGGTGGTATTTTGACTTGGAGTACTCGAATTCAATATGAAGACAATCTTCGATGCCGACGTCCATCTTGATGGAGCTGTTTGTTTCCGGCGGTATCCGGTACGAGTATACCCATAGATCCTTTTCTCTGACGACGTCTGCCATTCGCCTCGATACGGTGACGCGGACGAAGTAGCGCAGCTTCACATTGATACCATTGTAGGATTCGTATTGCTTCTCTACGTTCTTGAAGTTGAAGTCGAAGGTCTGCGGATGTTGCAACTCGCCTGGCGCAGCGAGCTCTTGTGCAAGGGAAAGGAACTCGTGGTGGTTTCCGCGATCGAAGAACATCTCTGATTCCGCTCGGTTAGGGGAGTGCTGGATGGTCGCATTGTCCGCATACAGTGATGCCGCCGGACATACCAATTGTACCAATGAATTGAACCTTGATGCCTGCATGCTCTAACCGCTTCCCGTCCTTGGGGCGCACAGTTACTTGGCCCTTGACAGACTCTCCGTCCAGATAGAGGGGGACCTTCTCCTTCCTGTTCTTGTCCAGCTTGACATCTACGGTCGATCGCTCGTCTGCATCTTCGAGGACAATGTCGATGTCTACCGGGGTAGACCAGAATAGTGCCATGGCTATGGAGTGGTCCAGGCGGGCGGGCGAGCGAGACGGCGGACTCGACCGTTGATGATGTTGTTGAGGTTGAGGCAGCTCATGACCCAGAGCGGTAAGCGGGACGGGATTACATAATCCGCCGAGATCCGAGACTCCAGTTTCTCTCTCCTCAGCCTTGCCGGTCACATCTCTGGTGTCCCTCTCCCTCCAGCCCTCGTTTGCCAGACTACCCGACTCTGCTCAGCCGAGTGAGCTTTCGGTTTCCCGACCCGGGTGAAAAGGCAGCGAGAAGACCGATGCCCCTTCGGAGAACAGGATTTCTCGATCGCGTGCCCCTTCGCAGCGTTGCCGGGCGGTGAGCGGTGAGTTCCGACGCAGACCAAGATCTGGCTTCCTTCACCCCTGGGAGACAGCGTCAGCCGTGGCCACCCCGCCAGAAGGTGACGCCCACGGTGCCCAGAGCCATGTGGACGTGGGCCTGGACTAAACCGCAACAGTCATGGCTAGAAGCTGTTGATGAGATTTGCCGATGGGCGGATTCAGCGGAGTCGGCGGAAGCGTTTCCTGCAGAACCTTCTCCCACAAGCCATCCCGATTCCCCTTTGATGGACCCCCACGCGTTATTATTCACAACCACTCTCAGCCATCCCAGGAGCCCCTCAGCTTCGTGTCCACCAAACCCGCCCTCACCAGCAGCACACGGCAACACCAGTCGGACAGACAGCGCCATGAGGACTCGCGTGACGACAGTTGCATTCGCATACATAGATTGACCGCGGTTTGTGTGTCGTGCAGGGCAAACACAAATCCCCTGACGGCCAGGGCGTTGGCGAGACGAATGCGGGGATGGGAATTCATGGGTCAGGGCCATCAAGCCATGACCCATTCCGTACCTAGCCCCGCCGCTGTCTGGGCACCATCCCACGCTCCTTGAACGCCTCTCCACCGTGCTACCGAGTAGTCACCTCCGTACGGGCTTCTTTCTCCCACGTCCCGACAGCTGGTGCCAGTCGCGGCACACTGGCAGCGATGCCAATTCGAGGGCCATTCCACGCCACACCAAATCCTAGCCATTCAACTGGACCGGATTTGCGCGCCAGGCCCACCCTATCTTGTGTGCGGTTTCGTCGACGACGGCCTGTTCTGCTTGGAGCAGGAGTGACATCAAAGCTTGGCTGGCTCCTACACGCCCTGGCGGTTGTGCATCGTCATGCGGTGCACGGCATCTGCGCCCAAGCAGAGTCCCCACGCTCCTCTACCTAAATACGGCACTACCCCCTGCTACATATGACCATTTCACTCAATATTGCTTACAACCAATCTTTTGCGAACCTTGTTGGCCATATTGGGCTGCCCAATCTCATATATCTAGGCGCCTGAGAGCCTTCGTTTTCTTTGTCCTTCCCAGCTCCAATTACCTGATCGCTTTCTGTCCCTTCCCTCGGCTGCCCGCACGTCGTACAAGAACCTTCATTGCCCTCACCTCTTTTTCGACATGTTGCAAACGGTTGATTCCCCACAACCCACTTCCAGGCACTATGCCAATGGCCAGACACATACCGTCTCCACGACTCTCTCCACCGCCTCAGCGTCTTCTGTAGCATCGGCGCCCAAAATGTCCGCTCCAAATCACCATCACATCTTCATCGTCACGGGTCCAGCAGGCTGTGGAAAGAGTACCGTTGCCAAGTTCCTCTCCGAACGTTATGGGTTCCACTACATCGAAGGGGATGATGTACGTCTCATGCTTTTCACTGCAGTCGCGCTTTGTCTCTGACTCTGCAACAGTTTCACCCAAAGGCCAATATTGAGAAAATGTCCAATGGACAACCTCTAAACGATGCCGATCGCTGGGACTGGCTGATTATCCTCCGAGATGAGGCGCTCAGGAACCTCAAGCAAGGCCACAAGGGCGTCGTCGTGACCTGCAGCGCATTGAAGAAGAAATACCGGGACGTCATCCGCACTGCGCGGTTATATGATGACGAGGACCCCGATGTGGCCCTTCACTTTGTCTACCTCCAAGCCTCGCTCGAAACCCTTTTGGAGCGCGTTGGAAACAGAAAGGGCCACTATATGAAGGACCAAATGGTCAAGAGTCAGCTAGAGGCTCTTGAGGAACCGGATGAGGAGGAGATCGAAAAGCTCAAGGACTGCGATATTGTCGACGTATCAGGGACGCCCGACGATGTGCAACGGTTGGCGTCGGGCGTTGTCGACAAGATCTTGCAGAAGGACGGCATGCATATCACTGGCGCCCTGTAACACGACGCTACACTCTACGGAAGCATCCTCCGTGGGGCTGATCGACCTTGCCCTTCTTGTTCCTTTCGTCATCTGAGCATGCGCCGGCGCTGGATGTGGAGCCTATTCAAGTCTTATTCTTTGGTGTTATTTTGGGAATCACTGGCGCAAAAAGTATACAGTATACCCCCATCGCGGGACCTTCCTGTCTGAGCGAGCATGGTCTCTGGAGTAATTGACTGGGTCTCTCTTCGATAGATTTACACGGCAATGTTATGACACACATCTGCTGTCTTCCAAGCATGTCCTCGACTAGGTTTAACATCTTTGTGATGCTCGTGCAGGACAGAATCTGTATCGGTGCTCCATGCTAACACATGATCGCTACAATCGTCTACACTTCAATATGGCTACAGGATTGGTGCTTACTGAGTCCGGGTCGCATACCACCCCTTTGGCTCTACAGACATCTGCTGTGTTACATCTGGTAACGAGACCTAGCTGGTCTCCTAACCACCCTGGACAAGCGAGTGTACTTAATACATAGTTTCCAAAAGTTTTGCTTCACGGTAACCGTGATGACATCTGTTATCAGGCTCAGGGAGCGCGTCGGTTACCAATACCTACGCAAAAAAGTCTAGGGACCGCTGGCGGATGTTATCTTCCCCTGATATTCAATGAAGCGATATCGAGGTACAGTTACTTCAAAACAATTAGGTAGTGTATATAGAGAGCGGGTATACAAAGACGAATCAACCACGCCCTTCCATCCCTTCTTCTCACTTCCGGATCCCACGCACCCCTCCCAAATCGACGCTGGCAGACGCCAACTGCGCCTTCGCCAACCCCCAAACATATGCCAGCCTAGTCACAACATCGAGAGCGCGCTGCTGCACCAAGGTCTTGATATCCTTGACGCCGACGCCTCGGTGGTGCAGGCGGTACGCAGCGAAGATGGAAAGTATCCCAAAGAGGAGACGTAGAGCGCGTCGAGCACGAAGCTTGGAGCGGCCTTTGACCGTGTAGACAATATTCCAGTCGGACCACTTGGGGACCACGCAGCGGCGGTAGAAGTCGAGTTGGGAGTATCTGAGCGAAGCTGTTAGCACGGGATATATAATCAACATCTCAAAGAGCACGTACGGGTAAACCGTGGAATTCCACCCATCCTCGGTGAAGTACCAACTCGTGCACCCGCCACTCATCCACACCGTCTTCTTCAACGCCCGCTGCAATTCCTGGGTATATTTCATCTCAGCCTCCTTCTTGACATCTACAACCGCCACCTCCCCCTTTAGGAGAGGCTTAATGAACTTGAGCGCATAGTTGACCATGTTCTCGCTAGCCATGACGACGGAGGAATGCCCCGTCGCCGTGTTGGGTCCGAAGATGATGAAGAAATTGGGGAAGCCATCGACGGCTGTGCCTTGATAGGCTTGGGCTCCGCCGCGCTCTTCCATGGTTTCGACGAGGTCTTTGCCGCCGACACCGGCCACGCGCAATGGATGTAGCCACTTGGTGGTGTCGAAGCCATTGGCCAGGACGATGACGTCCGCGGGGACTTCACGCTCGGGGTAGTCTTCCTGTTTGGCGTTGGGAGGGTAAAGGGCCCCCGGGCCGAGGGTGACGCTCTTCTCGTTGACCCGGGTGAGCGGCTGGGTGGTGAGTTCTATGCGGTCGTCATTGAGGCTCTGGTACCAGCGCTTGTCGAAGATGCGGCGCTTGCAGCCGATGCCGTAGTTGGGAGTGAGCATTTCGTGGTATTTCTCCGGGACGATGCGTTTCATGCGTTGCAGCATCTTTTCTTCGTACCTCTGGCGGTTCTTGGCCGCTTTGGGGGTATCCGGGAAATATTGGAACCATTGGAGTTCGGCGCCGAGAAAGATTCCAAAGCGAAGGAGTTGGAGGAGACCGGGAACATTCTTCAATATTGCTGGACCGTTCTTCTCCCACCACTCGTCTCCTCCTGGTGGTGGAGTGCTTGGGGCGACCCACGGCGGCGACCGCATGAGCTGGGTAACATGACGAGCATTGTAGGGCGCATGTGGTAGCCTGGGGACCAGTTGAGCCGAACTACATCCCGTCCCAACAACTACGACGTCCTTGTCTTTGAAATCCACGGTTTCGTCCCAACGTGCAGAGTGAAATACCTTACCCTTGAAGCCATCAATTCCGGGGATGGTATCAGGCCAGCCTTTGGGCTCCACTAGTCCACCAACGCAAGAGACGACGACCTTGGCACGGACAATCTCAGTCTCAGAGTATACGGCCGACTCGCCCTTCTCCTTGACGATCTTGGCTCGATCCTTGGAAGACAAATCACCCATGCCTGACAGCATACGTCTGAGAGTGACCTCCCATATCTGCTCCTTCTCCAGCCAGCGGCATTGCTCCACATCGGTGTTGAGCTCGAATTTGTCTGTGATTTTGTACTTCTCGCAGACTTCATGGTAGTAGTGGACGATTTCGCGTCCCGGAGGATGGAAGTCGGTCCAGTTTGGATTCTGGCAGAAGGAGAACGAGTAGAAGGGCGCTGGTACGTCGCTGTGTGGTAGATATTAGCAATCTTGGAATATCAGACGACTTTATGGCTTGAGATGGCGTATTTACCAAGCCACGCCTGGGTAGCGATTGATCCACCAAGTGCCCCCTATTCCACCTTGGCGATCAAAGATCCTGAACTGGTCAAATCCGAGCTCTTCCTTCAATCTACAGGCCATAACAATGCCCGAGGCGCCCGCACCGACGATGAGAACGGGATAGTAGGTGTAGGCATCATGATCGTAGCCGTTCACACGACGGATTGCTTCCCCCATTTTCGAAGACTCAGGGCAGAGTTGAAGGAGCAGAAGGGAGTTTCTTGTGCCAGTCCAGTGAGGAGGTTAAGCTGGACAAGAGGAGAAGGTCACATAAAGGGAGAACCCATTGACAATTGAGCGGCACACTTCGAATGCGGGGGTGGAGAACGGTTCACAAACTCCATGGCTACACGAATCAATCAGGCCCGCCTTTCCCCCTTGCCAGCCGATGCACACCGGTTCCGTTTTCCTTGTCAGATGTTACACGCACTCGGTACGGAGTACAAGAGATGAGATCGCACTGACGACGTCGCAGACTCCAGGAGACTTGGACCTCGGTTCATGGTCACGTTGGCAGTTCGTGCCGTTGGATTCTTGATCGAATGGTCCGTAGTGGCACAACCCCGCGCCAGTCCGTCCATGAGTCTGGGGTGGCCTGAGAATGAGCGCTTGCTAGTGAGAGTCTGGGGAGTTTGGCCAACGACGGGAACGGGTGAAATGAATCGGCACGTGACAGCGCATCAGATCGGAACACGGGCCACAAAGCTTGTTTTCAACCGCGAACCAGACCTTACCGTTGTCCATGAATGCCACCACATCGGAGGGACGCAGGATAGCCTTGCGTCGATTCCAGTTCCAACTGGTCTTTGGAACTCTGTACGACGACCATGACAGAGGTTTACCGGTAATCTTCGGGGCCCTAGGATTTATAAGAATCCCACATCGGCCACCATGAACGCCATCGACGGCACCGTTCGTCAGGTAAAGACGGACGACAGTACGTCAACCTTCAACATCAACCGTAACAAACCACTCAATTGACGACGCCTCCAGCACCTCCGCCCTCTCTACTAGCCATAGTTCTTGACACAAACCCCCACGCGTGGGCCCACCTCTCCTCCACCCTCCCGCTCTCTTCCGCCATTGCAAATCTCCTCGTCTTCATCAACGCCCATCTAGCCTCCGGAAACGCCAACGAAGTCGCAGTAATAGCATCGCACTCCCGCCGCGCACAATGGCTATACCCGACCCCCAAAGGCCCCATCTCTCATCACCCATCATCCAATGGGGACGCCAACGGCGACATAGAAATGAACGGCGTCTCCCACCCCAACGGCAGCACCACCACCACTACCCCCGCCAAAGAAAACGCAAACAAATACCGCCCCTTCTCCACCGTCGAAAACGCCATCCTCTCCAACCTCTCCAACCTCCTATCCTCGACCACGGAATCCGACCTCGCCTCAACACCTACCACCCTCATCGGCGGCGCCCTCTCCCTCGCCCTCACTCACATCGCGAAATCCACACTCCTGCACTCCCCAGTCGACCCCCTCGCATCCGATAACCCGCTCTCCGCGCTCGCCGATTCCGAAAGCGTAGCACGCACCCAGCGCATCCCACTGACTTCCCGCATCCTCATCATCTCCGTCTCCGGGGACCTCGCGAACCAATACATACCCGTCATGAACTCCATCTTCGCCGCCCAGCGCAAGCGCATACCAATCGACATACTCAAACTCGCCGGCGACACCGTCCTGCTGCAGCAAGCATCCGACGCTACGGGTGGAGTGTACATGAAGCCCGAGCGCCCCGAGGGACTGCTGCAATATCTGATGATGGCGTTTTTGCCCGATGCGGTTGCGCGGCGGAGCTTGGTGATGCCTAGTGCGGGTGGTGTGGATTTCCGCGCGGCGTGTTTCTGTCATAGGAAGGTCGTGGACATTGGTTATGTGTGCAGTGTGTGTCTGAGCAGTACGTTCTTCCCTCCTTCCCCTCTCCTTCTCTCGCAGTCTCGGGAGGTTTATATTGACCTGCTCCAGTCTTTTGCGAACCAAACCTCCCCGGCAACCTGTGTCTGACTTGCGGCTCCTACCTCTCCCTCCGCGCCGCACAGACGGCCACACCCGCACTCGTGGCACGCAAAAAGAAGAAGAGGAAGAGGGTTGCCGGAACGGATTCTGCAACTCCTAGCGGTACTCCCGCCGCAACCACGCCCATGCATCCTTGAGCGCACTTGAAGAAACGTTCTGTTACATATAGCGTGATTCATTCAGATGATGTTTCATACCTTGGGAATGGAGTTAGACCGATCATTTACACTGTCGCCCTTCTTCGGTATTCCTTCCCTTTTTCTTTTTTGGCAGCATTTCGAGGCGTTTCGGAAAACAGTAATGGCTGCATCTAGACTGGGTATACCGCAACTACTTACAACTCACAAGCGTAGATTCTATCATAAAGGACCAAGGGCGATGCCCCATATGCGAGAGGAATATGGATTTCTTTCTACCACTCAAATAGGAAATCCCATCTTTGCTGCCTGACATCTGACTCTCATAGTGTACAGAAGGGATCGCTCCAAATGCATCATGTACCAGCTAAGTTGCTCCTGGCGTGCAAACCCACAGATGACTGGTACCCCATCGTCATGACTAGCCTAGAGTAACCCTTGGACTCGACCGTCAATGATGGAGCAGGGAGAAGAAGGAGGAAGAGGGCTTTCGGATCAAAGCAGAGGAGTCTTGAAAGTGGAACACCAAGCCGTTCGAACCACGGAGTCAAGTGGAGTTGAATGGCCACATGACGAGGAGTGCAGGGGGAGCTGTAGCTCGTGATCGAGCCGTATCGATATCTCAAAGGGCTTGCCGGAATCGTAAGCATATCTGGGTCGTCGACGTCGGGTAGGGTCAATCGGGGCAATGGAAAGCAGTGACATGACCATCAGCATCAGCTATCATTCGTGGATGCTGCAACACATCTTCTTTTCTTCGTCTTATACCGTAGCATGCGGCCGCCTTGTGCAATTCGCCCGTTGCCGCTACTTCGGGACATGGCACACCAAGGAGTTGCTTCGTCCGAATGCATCGAAGCCATGGCAAAGGAGTCCGTATTGTGTCCGAAGTAGAGGAAGATGCCCTCACGGACTTTCTTGACTGCGAGGATGCCTATCGCGCCCGCTGATTTGCTGTTCTTTACACTCGGATGGCCTACAGTTGTTAGTTATTAGATCTTCGTTAGATGTGAAGAACTGAATGTCTTACCCATGAAGTCGTTCTCAATCATAGCCTTTAACGCTTCGTCTTCCGTGACGTCCTCGTATATCCCCCCACGGCCCTTGCGGATGCTTTGGTAGAGGCGATCGGCGCAGACTGTTGCAGCCATGGTTGTAGCCATATGCTCCCCGGTGCCGCTCGTAACTGTCGCAACGCAGGCACGCTCAGGGTCTTCAGGATCCACAGGTATAACAGCTGTACCAACACCCACGAGCGCGGCTGGGCCCACGCGCCCTCTGTACTTCATTCCAATTCCGCCTGATGAAGCACCGCATGCGATATTGCCCCAGCTATCGATAGCTATGGCGCCCACCGTGTCTGTGATGTTGTCCTCCTCAAATTCCTTTCTCAGGGATTCAGTGGATGGCAGAGGCGGTAGCGGAGCATTTTCCTTGACGGGATTGACAGGTGTACATCCGCTGGAAGGCGTCGGACAATCCTGTAGCCTTTCCAGGGGCCTTTCGGGCAATGGGGTATTTATAGCAGTGAGCGACAAGGGCAATGTAACTGACTCCACCGGCGTCGTTCCATTTGAAGATGCGAGGGTTTCATCAGAACCGTCACCATAGGACCTGCGAGCCGGGGAAGGAGCTGGCCTTGGAATTACGGATATGCTGATATCAGACATTTTTGTGTCGTCCTCTGTTATGAAGTCTCCGGACAGACGATCAAGCGCTTTATGTTTCTGTAACGTGTTCAAAGTGGGAACCTTCTGAGTGCTATTAATAAAGGCACTCCGCGAAGATTCTGACACAGTGTTGGGATTTGCATTGAGTGCGGGCTCCTGCTGCATGTCCGACGGTGAGGGGTCAGGGGTTGCCATCGGATTGTCACGGGGCAAAGACGCGCCTGAAATCACTGAGGGAGCATCAGAGGGCACTCTGGGGTTGGGAGGGCCAATCGAGCTGGCTTGCATGGCGTACAGTCGCGGATTATCGTAAGGGCTGTTTTGCAACATCAGTTTCTCATGTTGCTGGCGCATTCTCTGACGAATTCGTTCGTCCTCGGGCGCTGGGTCTTTACGAATCTTGTATGTGGAGGATGGTTGGCCAGACTTCTTTGCCTTGCGTTCCGCGGACTTTAGATCGGCTCGCCATCGCAGCCACCTTTCGTGTGCGGCCGGAGAAACAAGTGCATCGAAGGGAAGAATCGGCATTCCCATTTCGAAAGCGAAATCGGTTGCTCCTTGAGCCACTAATAGGTTTGGAGGCACGCGTCGTAGGGTAAGCGTCTGCATACTGTGGTCGAGAACAAGTCGTGCTAAGGATATGGGATTCTTCACCTCTGAGACGGCGAATCAGTATCGCTAATCACGCACATGACGATATGCCACTTACGAGCAACGGCACCGACTGCTCCACTGCGGCCATGATGGTCCACAATGGAAGCGTCACATTCCACAACCCCGTCCATGGCTAGGTTGCTGCCGTACCCAGCGTTCGTGATCTCTCGATCCTCGAGCATCTTGATCGCGATTTCGACAGCATCCACGGCTGATCCACCGTTTCGGAGGACCAACATTGCGATTTGGGCTGCGCTATCGTTATGTTAGCATCATGCCAGGTGTTAAGAAGCTGCAAAGTGGTGACCTACTCGTTGCACGCCTCAAGATGTATCCTCTCGTTCTGGATACTATGGTATCCAGCACCGGCGTGAACGAAGATGCAACAAACATCGTCTCGCGGAGGGCTTTGCGCAGCCTTTCGGGATGGCGTGCCAGTTTGAGTTGCATCATGGTTTGGCGTCATGACGCCCTCCGCAGTCGACATCCTCCTGCCCTTGTTCAAGACACACCGACGAAATTGGTCAAGCCTGGATCCGACGAATCTATCCACTGTGAAGAGTTGTTATACGGGTGCCCAGAAGACGGGCTTCAGCAATCTGCCAGTAACGGAGCAAACGCAGACTCGCAGTATCTTGGTGTTTCGAGCCGTGGGATTACGGGATGGTTGAGATAGTGTAAGACACAAGGATAGCTGATCGTTAAATCAAAGAGGCGGTGACGAGTATGAAGGTGATGCAAGTTTGCAGTTAGGAGGCGACTGTGAGAGAAGTATAGGTGAAGAGTGAAGGAAAAGGGAGAATGTAGGGCTGAAAAAATAAAGAGAATGAACTCGCCGCAGGCGGCGATTGACAGGCTTTCTCGCGGCCTGAAGGGTGTTAGAAGAAGAGTTGACGGGAGAGCAAAGCCGTAATGACCATGTAGGAGTAGGAGTAGGAGTAGGAGGAGGACGTTAGTGAGTGAGAGGGGTGCGGAATCGAAGGTGCGGAAAAAGGCGACCGCTCCTTCCTCTTCACCTCTCCACCTCTCGAGTTACCAACTACCACCTAAACACCTAAACGTAGGCATGTGCCAAGGCCAAGGTGATGGCGATGCAGCCGATCACGGTGAAACTTCACCTCGACGTGATGAGCGTGTCCATGTCCATATTGTGTCTCGAACATAGCCTCACCGTATTGATATTGATGGAAACTTAAGGATGATGGAACGTTGTCTAAATGCCAAGTGTTGAACGGTTTGCCAAGTGCTCCGCTGCGCCCCGGTTCCCGCCCCGACCAGAGAGATGGCGCGGCAGGCGGAATCCTGGCGGGGCTTGGTTTGGTTGGAGCCCACACATCCCCATCATCTCCGCCAACCCCTCTGACGCAGGCAGCACGCTCAATTCCCATCCACGCTTCTTTTTCTGAACCCGTTGAACCGGCCACAGCCTCTTCCATCACGAGGAAGCTGTCAAAATGGCGTCCAATACCCCGGCCGTTGTCATGGACAAGTAAGCTTCCCCCCAGCGTCGACAGACTTCCCTCAATCGCATACTGACAGCTCACTTCAGCGGTACGGGTTATTCGAAGCTTGGTTAGGACCACATACTCGCTCCGAGCTTTCTACAACATTAACGCCCTCGAAACAGGTTTTGCAGGCAACGATTCCCCATCGTTCGTGTTCCCCACCGCCATAGCGACGAAAGGCCCAACTGGTGGTGCAGGTGGTTCCGGATCAGGACGTCCAGCCGTTGCGAATAAGCCCTCTTTCTTGACTGGTGGTGCTGGTCCAAGTGGTCACCTCTCCGCCAAACGCGGTACCGAAGACTTGGACTTCTTCATTGGCGATGAAGCGCTCGCGGCCGCTGCGGGACCTGGGTATGGCATTCATTATCCTATCAGGCATGGGCAAATAGACAACTGGGTGAGCTCAGACGAACTTGGTAGTTGGACCATTGCTTACAGACATAGGATCTCATGGAACGCTTCTGGTCAAACTCAATATTCAAGTACCTGAGAGTGGAACCCGAGGATCATTACTTTCTGCTCACTGAGCCGGTAGGCTTCACTACTGTCTCTACTTCCCGGTAACTCCTAACTTATCAACAGCCCCTAAACCCCCCGGAAAATCGTGAAAACACCGCCGAGATCATGTTCGAATCCTTCAACTGTGCGGGTCTCTATATTGCGGTGCAAGCTGTTCTTGCACTGGCGGCCTCCTGGACGAGCTCCAAAGTGCAAGACCGATCTCTCACGGGAACAGTCATCGACTCAGGCGCGGGTGTAACACACGTTATTCCTGTTGCTGAAGGCTACGTCATTGGATCATCTATCAAGAGCGTCCCTATCGCAGGACGAGACATCACCAATTTTGTACAGTCTCTTCTCCGAGATCGCGGAGAGCCCGACTCTTCGCTCCAGACCGCCGAGCGCATCAAAGAGGAGTTCTGCTATGTCTGTCCAGATATTGTCAAGGAGTTCTCTCGCTTCGACCGGGAGCCCGAGGACCGTTTCCGGAAGTATACTGTAAACTACCCCAATGGCCGGTCCGTGCAGGTCGACGTCGGGTATGAGCGTTTCCTAGCACCGGAGATCTTCTTCAACCCGGAAATCTACTCGTCAGATTTCCTGACACCACTTCCCAACATTGTCGACAATGTGATTCAGACATCTCCCATTGATGTGAGAAGGGGTCTCTACAAAAACATTGTTCTTTCTGGCGGTTCTACGCTATACAAGGACTTTGGGAGACGTCTACAGCGCGACATTCGGCATCTGGTGGACGCACGAATCAAGGCCTCGGAGGCCAGAAGTGGAGGCGCCAAGAGCGGAGGACTGGACGTTCAAGTCATTACTCACAAGAGGCAGCGGCACGGTCCATGGTTCGGCGGCAGTTTACTGGGTCAGACACCAGAGTTTAGGAGTTACTGCCACACCAAGGCGGAGTATGATGAAATCGGCCCAAGCATAGTGCGGAGGTTTGCGCTGTTGGGGGGCCCAGGGAGCACATAGGATGGTAGGTAGGAATGGAATGGGCGTGCGTGCATGGAGGGTGATTTGCTGCAGTATTGACTTTAGCGCTATACCGATAGGCCATGGGACTTTGGAAGCGTAGAAGGAGGAGTCTACTGTTTCCTAAAGGATGAGGAACTGAACAATCTTGAATGAGGGACTTGCGCCAAAGTTGGCTGCGGCGATGATTGATTTTCCTCTATGCCGGGTAGTTTCAATGTTCCCCGCAGGTGCCTGTCACGTGATGGCGCTTGCGGGGAGCAATCTCACCTCCGCGGCATTGTCACTTCCATCCAACCACACCCACACAAACCCACTTCAATAGGTTCTTAAGCGGCCTCCGTTCCGATCGCAGAACATCTTTTAGACTCCATATCTTGCAGTGTACCCAGCGCAATGGAGGAGAGTACGCGACCGACGGTAGACAGTGCAGACAGCAACGCCCTTGATGAACTGGATGCTTCGATCGACGCCGACATCAGACCAGACGCGTCGCAACCAGACGCTATGAATTTGGACGGCGGAAATGACGTTGGACCTTCTGCACCGAACGGAATTGCGGACGCCGAGCCTTCACTTGAGGCTCGCATACAGGTCAAGAAGGACGCTACGTTGCGAGAGTTCCTAGGGAAGATGGATGATTACGCTCCCATTGTATGCCGTCCTTGACCTGCTCTTACAAGGGCGTATGCTGATTAGAGTAGATACCTGATGCTGTCACCAACTATTACTTGACCCTTGCCGGCCTCCCACCGCCGCCGCAGACTTCACCACATCTCGCCCGCCTACTGGCTCTCGCAACCCAGAAGTTCATCGCCGACATTGCCACAGATGCTTACCAGTTCTCCCGCATACGGTCGTCCAACTCAACAAGTAACAATCCGTTAGGAGGACTGGGGGGAGCAGGTGGTGTGGGTGGTCCACAGGCTGCCGCAGGTGGTGCTGGTGGAGCGCAGGGAGGCAAGGATAGCGGCGCGTCCAAGGGCATGAACCTTGGTGTCCAGCGACCAGGCTACGGTGGTGGTGGACAAGGTGGCAGCCAAGGCCGCACTGTGTTGACAATGGAAGATTTGGGTATGGCTGTTGGGGAATATGGAGTTAACGTCAGGAGGGGAGAGTTCTACCGGTGATTCCCTCATGCACGATCATCTCATTGCTTATAATCGGCGTTGCGCAGGCGGGGTATAGAGGCGTTTCTGGATCGGCATCAGCGTCGCCCGGCTTCATGCTTCAGGAGCCCGGTAGGAATTTCGGTCACAGGTCTGGGTTGTGGAGTGGTATTCCTCTGAAAAGAGCGCTCGTATTTCATTTTACAGAAGCTACAGGTACAGAGACCTCCCAAATGATACCCAAACTCCTTTGATGCACATGGCCCAACAGCTACTTGTTCTTCGTCTGTTTATATGTGAAGTTCTTCCGCGTCCTATTAGCAGAGTCAATATCGCTGCTCAATACTATTTGAAGGCACAGCTGGGTGCATACGGCGCAAATTCTCCCAACTTATGTCCAACCATGTCCTCCGTTATGGTGATGTCGAGGTAGTTCTTCCCATTGTGAACCTGGAATTTCAGACCGACGAAGTTGGGCAATATCGTCGCGGAGCGAGCTTGTGTCTTTATGGGAGCAATACGCTCTCCAGGCTTCGGCCGCACGATAGGAAGCCTAGGAGACGGTCAGTTATGGAAACAGACTGAGGAGCATTGAAGATTCTGTTGAGACGTACGGGAGAATGTTGGGGCCTTCAATTGGATTAGCAGATGCATTCGCCGCGATGCCAGCTCACATACCTTTCCAGACAGAGCGCGCGCGAAGCGCCTGCGTGGGAAACATGGCGACGGGCTGCAAGATGTTGAGGTGTGGATGGATTCTGATCAGATTCGGTTTAACGCTCATCACGACCACGTGATCTGGCGAGTTGAATGGAATCTTGGCGTAGGCGGAAGCGCGTCTCGCGTGGGACGAAGTCGACGCCTCTTGGTGAGTTGGTCCATTATCAGTTTCTTCGTTCTCCATTCTCCGTTCTCCCGATACTAAAATATCACCGTGCTTCGGGGCCATTGTGCTGCTAGAAGACGCAGAAAGCTTCCCTAATATGCCGCCGCGGCGACAAGCCCCATCATCTCCGGAGCCTCCTCCAAGAGGTAGAACTATCTCTACCAAAGTATAACCAGTAGCTGATCTCCGCGTCAGGACCGGACACAATCCGTATTCTCATAGCTACAGACAGTCATGTCGGCTACAATGAACGGGATCTCCATCGTGGCGACGACAGCTGGAAGACGTTCCATGAGGTCATGTGTCTTGCCAAAGAACATGATGTTGACATGGTTTTACATGGCGGTGACTTGTTCCATGAGAACAAGCCGTCCCGAAAATCCCTCTACCATGTTATGCGATCTTTGCGGATGAACTGTCTAGGAGACAAGCCTTGTGAGCTCGAGATGGTCAGTGACGCTAGTGAGAACTTTGGAGGGTAAATATGCGCTTCATCTCGTCTTCATTGGGCAGAGTGACTGACATGTATGAGCTATTTTGATCACGTCAACTATGAAGATCCCGACATCAACGTTGCGATACCTGTATTTGCGATCCATGGCAATCATGACGACCCGTCTGGCGTGAGTGTCTTTCAGTGAAAAGAAAGTATACCAATTTGACAGTGTACAGGAGGGATCATTCTCCGCGTTAGACATACTTCAGGTGTCAGGGCTTGTCAACTACTATGGAAGACATATCGAAACCGACAAAGTCTCAGTTAAACCAGTTCTGCTTCAGAAAGGCAAGACCAAGCTCGCACTCTACGGCATGAGCAATATCCGCGATGAGCGTCTATTTCGAAACTTCCGGGAGGGAACTGTCAAGTTCTTCCAGCCTACAGCACATAAAGATGAATGGTTCAACCTGATGACTGTTCATCAGAACCAGTAAGTAATCTGTTTGCATGGAAGACAAAACCTAACACTCGTAGCCATGCCTATACGGACACCGGCTATCTCCCCGAGAACTTCCTTCCCGAATTCATGGACTTCGTAGTCTGGGGCCACGAGCACGAATGCATTATAGATCCTACGTTCAATCCAGAGATGGGGTTCCATGTCATGCAGCCGGGCTCCTCAGTGGCTACCTCCCTCATGCCTGGGGAGGCTGTTCCGAAGCACGTTGCAATCTTAAGCATCACCGGGAAAGAATGGCACTCGCAGAAAATTCGTCTAAAAAGCGTGAGGCCTTTCGTTATGAAGGAAATTGTGCTGGCAGAGGAGGAAGCAATAAAGAGAGACAAGTTGTGGTTGAAGAGCGAGAATCGGACGAAGATCACGCAGCATCTCGAGGGAATTGTGGAGCAGCTTATCGAAGATGCTCAGAGAGAGTGGTTGGAGCTACAAGGCGAAGACCGCAGCGACGGAGACATTGAAATTCCTCGCCCGCTGGTGCGGCTGAGGGTCGAGTACACAGCTCCTGAGCCAGGGGAGTTCAAGTGCGAGAATCCCCAACGGTTCTCTAATCGGTTCGTCGACCGTGTGGCCAATACCACTGACGTGGTGCAATTCTACAGGAAGAAGCACACCGCTAAAGGTGAGTCCCTCCTGCTTCCATATGACTGAATCAATGAGACTCATATGTGCCAAAGCCGCCCTGAAGAACAATGCGGAACTGCCGGACCAGTCTGTTCTCAATCAGCTGTCACTCGATTCCGTGAAAGTTGAGAAGCTCGTCAAGGAATTCCTAGAAGCACAATCTCTTACTATTCTACCTCAGAATTCGTTCGGAGATGCTGTTACTCAATTTGTGGACAAAGACGACAAGCATGCCATGGAGATGTTTGTGAACGAGAGTCTTGCCAACCAGTTGAAGCATCTGCTGGAGACAAATGATGTTGACGAAGAAGACATCGTGGCGGAGATGGAGCAGTACCGGTCAAAACTCGAGCAGTTGTTCGCATCCGGACAATTGAAGAGAAATGTATGTTCCTGCCAATACTCCCTGGAGCGTGCTAATATGGCAACAGAGAAAGCGGAAACTCAAACCGAAGCCAGATAACTGGGACAGCGACATGGATGGGGAGTGGGCAGATCAACCTGGGGCACTCATTCATACCGATGCCGAGGACAATAACGATGACGAGGACCTCGCTGCAATAGCACCAAAGAAACCCGCGCCGCGAGGTAAAGGCAAAGCTGCTACGGAAACCCAGAAGAAGAAGGCTCCTGCGCCAAGGAAAGCTGCACCGGCTAGAGGGGTCCGTGGGAAAAAGAAAGTGGTGGAGGAGGACGAGGATGAGGACGAGGAAGACGAGGACGTTATAATGGTGGACGATGATGACGAGGAGGAAGAAGAGGAAGAAGAGACACTATTTGTTAAGCCGACCAAGACAACCACGAGAAAGGCGCCAGCGAGAACAAAATCCCCGCCGAAAAGAGCTGCAGGAAGAACAGCCGCTAAACAAACGACACTGAACTTCTCGCAGACATCGACTCGGCGCAGTCAAGCTCCGGCGAGGGCAGCGAAGAGCAAGAGGGTACAGGAGCCGGTCAGTATTCCGTTGCCAAAAGTTGCTTGGACGGTCATTGATAGCCAGAACAGAGCGATGACGAGATATCCGATGACGACGACGCATTTGAACCGGTATCCGCCCAACGTAGCAGACGCAGATAGGGATTGACCAGAGTTCGATTTCCAGGCATTTTCCACGTACCAAAAGTTGGGCTATATGGCTCAAGCATTTCAGCAGGGACGCATACAACATTGGCGTTTAGGTACTGGTCGATGGTGAAGCGACAGCAACGACAAATCAGGCTTCTCCATGCACCTTGTTTTACTCAATTGCCGCAGTGGGCATACACTCTACGTATAGCCCTTTGCCAGTGACAACAGATTTTTCCATATGACTTTCAAATGTTCCTGGAGGTGAGGGTTGGGCGTTCTTTCCTCGTCTGCTTCTGTCCGCAGAGCAGTTGCGCTTCAGAATCCCGTAGCAGGTCCACCTGTGCAGCTTTCGACACCCTCATCCATCCTTCTATACCTAGGTAGTGGTGTACAGAGCGAGTGTTTCTTTCTCAACCTTGGAAGCCATCGCCTGGGCACCTGCAGTCTATATTGTTTCCCGAAGGAGGAAGAGCACCCGCGCGCTGGTTCCCGCCCGATATCCTGCCATCCAACTGTGCCCTGCTTCCTCTCCTCAACACTCTTTTGCCTTCCGCCCTCTTCTTGTCCGTCTTCTTTTTCCGTCATTGCTGCACCTCAGCGCTTGGATAGCTGCACGCTCGTTGTTCGTTCCACAACAGCATTGAGGTATGGCTGCTGCTCACCAGTGGACTGTGGACTTCATCCGCTTCCATGTCCTCGCCTAGCGCTGCCTTCCCTCACTGTTGTCATGGGCTCACTACCGGCTTCACTCACAATTGGACGGGGCTTGTTGGCGTGTGCTGATGCAGAATGGCAGGATATTCGCATCACAATCATCTCTCGTCTTGTTGCTAAACCGAAATCCGCCGCCCTCGAAGCTTCACATATTTGGGTGTCGGTCCGCCTCACTGACCGAATCTGTTGTTGAGGCGTCATGCCCATGGCCTACACAGTCGAAAAACTTCTCGCCCTGCGAGACTCCGTTTCGGAATCCGCCGTGTCTATCGATAAATTCCCTGATGAAGATGTCATCAAGGGTGAGTGATCCCATGTGCCCCTATTACAGGCTATCTGTCCCCACTCTTCACCGAAGGTCTTCACCTGTTCACAAGTTCGCCGACGCAGACAGCGAGCAATTTCACACCCTCACTCACACCGATACGCTCATCTTCACCGGGCTAGAGCTAATATATCTATCCCTCATCAGAACACGTCATCCGTCCTACTGTATCCGCCAACATCATTCGAACAGCGTCCACAGCGTCTTTCGAGAAACCTGTACGAGCGTCTGCAACCGCTGCTGGAGTCTCCGCCGCTGCGACCAACCTGAAGAAGCCGTCGCCTTCTCCTTCCGTCAAGCGTGGAAAAGCCGAACGGCTCCTGAAGGAGCACGGAAGCCCTCCGGGCATGCGGGTCACAGCAGGTGGTCGAGTAGTTCCCAGCGATCTTCCACCCCTGAACAGTGGCGCACGCTTTGGAAGTAGCAATACCAGAGCCCCGAGACCGAGGAGTGTTGATCCCAACACCGGTTTACCAAGGCAGTCACAAGCGGAAAATCTCAACGCTCAGTTGCGGATCATCGGAACACAACCCGTCATTCAAGTCGGCGACAGGATATATCCCATTCAGGCTTACGAAGGTGGATACGCGATGCATCCTGCTGTACCTACTCCAGTTGTCCCTCCGGTCGTGGATCCCACAAAACAGGCAGGATTCCCAACTCCACTGTTTGCACCTTCGCTCCCTGGCCCACCGTGGATCCCGCAGAATGCCAACGCCCAGGTCCCTCTGGTCGCCAACAATGTTCAGGTTCTTCAGGAGCACTACGAGAACAAGAGAGCGGAGCTCCGCCAGCTCGAGCAGCTGGAAGTCATAGAAGGCGAGCGTCAGGGTCAAGCGTGGCGTTCCAGTGTGATTGCAAAGAAGCGGAGTCTCATTGTTGAGCTTGATGCCGTGCGGAAACAGATCAATGCCATGAAAGAATCTGACCAGTCGAAGGAGGAGGGTGGTAGTGACCCCGTTCAGACGACTAGTGTTGGATCAAGCTCGACTGTTCCAGCTCCAGCGCCGAATGCGTTCGTCCCACCGTTCCACCGTCCGCTTCCTCCGGTCATGTTCGCGAACATGGGGGTACCTTATGTATCGACTCCTAGTCCTTTCCAACTGATGTATCCGGCGTATGGCCCCACGGCGCCCCCTCCGTATCCAACTGAAACTCCGCAATTCGGTTCTGTTCCTGACAACCTGAACAACGGCGAACTGTTGGGGAAATGTCCAGCCTTGGAAAACGGCTATCAGATCAACAACGGACACACGCAGGGGGGAAGTACTTCGCACTCACCTAGTTCGACAAATCGTCGCTCACATGCTGTTCCAATCAAGAAACCCGATGACGACGGAAAGAAGAACAGTGCTTCAGCCTCAAGGCTCGATCCCAAGAGTCCGACTTATGAACCTGTCTCCAAAATGACGGGAACGAATAAGGATAGCGGTTCAAACCAGGCGCCTTCTACACCTTCACCGGTTAAGGAGTCTCCTTGGCACACCAATGGAACTGGCGTAGGCCAACTCCTGACGCAGAAAGACCGAGGGATATCTCAGAAGCCTAGTCTGTCCAGCATATCCACGACAGACTTCTTCCCCACCAATACGCATGAGCACTCGTCCACGAGAATCGCGCCGGAGAAATTACCGAAACAACCCTCGCGCGATACAACCAAGTTACCAGCGACTCCGGATAAACCTTGGTCTAACGGTCCGTGGAACCCACCGTCTGGCGGCCAGTCGTCGCGGGCGGGGAGCTCCACTCAAAACGATTCGACAATGAAGCTGACGTCCTGGCCAGAGGTATTCGGGAAGCAATCCCCAGTCCCGGGCAGCGGCCACAAGCCCCGAGCAGACGGTACCGGTGCACCTTTGTCCTCCAACACAGGGCGTAGCGACTCGGGCGGTCAGAATAGCGCAGAATTGAATTGGCCGGGAATTGCATCGGAGCCGGTTGTCCACCCTCCTTCAACTTATCAGGAGGGGTTTCAGGCGGGATTGTGTCACACAGGTCTTCCTGAGGCTCCGGATGTCCTTCGAGGCTATGTGGCTGGCCTGCTGACATTGCTTGACAAGAATGTCAGAACTGCGGCGGATTGTGGTTATACTGGTCATCTCTTCACCAACAACCATGATGGGGAGACATCCTCTGCCCGTTCGTCGCTTCAGGGGTACTTGCCGGGCGCAATGGCACATGACTCTGGGATAAACTTCACTGAAAACATGCGGTCTGCGAAGGTCAACTCGCTACACCTTGGGCAAACGCGCACGCCGGTATACGGTCCCAGAGCAAACGAACATAGTGTACAGATGACGTACGCGCAAGGAGTTGACGCTCCGCGTGATGGCTTTATGCGAGGCCCATCGAACGGAGGGAATTTTGATGGGTATAGACAGAGAGTTCCTGTAAGCCACAACCAAGTCAAAAAAGGGGAGGCACAAATTGACCTTGCACTGTCTGTCCATCCGCCTCTCTCCCAAAAATTCTCTGGAAACCAGATGGGCAACCGGTCGTACGGTACACCTGATTTGATGCAGCGATTCTTTCCTGCGGCGAAGGAGCACCCTCCAGAGGTTCACAAGACTGAGACTGGCCATGGCAATGCCATGAGAGCTTCTGGACAACAGCGACTTTCGGGACTGGACGGTGCGGTCGACGACCTGGAGGGACTTGTCGTCGATGCACAGGAGGAAGAGAAAGGTGTGGCGGGATCTTCGGATTCGGCTGAAGCTGACGCATCGTGCTTCAAGCCATCGTGTGGAAAAGGCAAGCAGGCGGCGTCGACTGCGGCTATGTCCAACAGTGGAACGACGTCGCCATCGAAGACCACGTCACCCAGAAAGGCTGGAGAGCACTCACCAGCCAAGGCCAGGCTCGAGCAAGTCACAAGCAAACTGCGACGGCCGAAGAAGGAGGATGTGGGAAGCATGTCGGCAGAGGAGAAGCAGAAGCGCACGGAGAAATGGGGCAAGCGATTCCGGCAGATCAAAACGAGGGAGGAGAAGGACATTGAGCGGTACATGCGAGAGAATCCTCGTCGAGACTCGGAGGAAGGCGCTTGTCGCTAGGTCCCACCGAGGGTGCTGCGACGTGCGGTCAGGAGTGGGAAATATGCGATGGTAGATGATGCCCTTCATCCTTCTTTTGGAGGCAATGGGGCACTGGACGTTGGCCGAACGAACTGTCACTCTTGTCATGTCTTGCTGGAAGGTCGAAAGTCTTTGACAGTCACGAGGCATGATGGCTAGGGGCAGTGGACATTTACTAAACAGCATTCTAACCCGATGGCATTTCCTAGGTTTCGACTTTCCACATGGCTCAGCGATGGGAACAGGCATGCCGGTCTGGCTTTGAGGGGAAGACGGGATGCCAATGTTATCGACTTGAGAGAGAGGCTCAGGTCTGCCTTTATTCTAGTATTTCCTTGACGATGGCGCCAGTATTGCATTGGACATGGGCAGAGGTGGTTGGCGGGCGGAAGCAACCCGGGTTGCGTGTGGACAGTGGACGTTGTTCTGCCGTGCACTTGTCGGTTTGGTTGCTCGAGCACATCGACGACACCGAGGACAAGGAGACGAGGGGTGGATAAGGATGATAGGATTTTAGTTCTGCTCACATGGTCAAGGCTATTATGATAGAAAAATGGAAGCAACCTCAATTAGATTTTTGGAGTTTTGATGGTGATGGCGTGTCCGCTACAGGTGGTTGCACGGCAATAATGTGGTGGTGAAGGTGGAATGTCATGGGCAAACGGAGATAATAGGATGCTGACCAATCAAGGCCGAGGCCCAACACGGGGCGACCAGACAAATGCAAGAGAAGGTGTACAACCTGCCATTCACAGCATAGATAGAATACTCTACACAGTACTTAACAAGTACCGGGTCCTTCTGTACCTACATCTCCGACAAGTACATCGCCGTGCGTCGCCGCTGCCGAAGCTGTCCCATCCTCTAACTACTCTACTCCTACGTTCCTACCTAGACCTCTTTGTAACCTCCTCCCCGTCTCCACTTCTCCACGCCGCCGCCTCCCACGCCGACTCCCACTCCCACTCCCACTCCCACTCCCGCACGTCCACAGCCCACGCCCACACCCAACCTCTGAAGGGCTGGGATTTCCGCCTCCCGTTGGCACCGCCATTTCCACCACATTTCCCTTTCTCTCCACACTCCCTTGGTGGACACGAGACAGTGTCCCCCATCCGTCCCAAAGTAACCGTCTGCTCCATCTTCGTCATCGCCTCACGAAACCCCTCATACCAGTACTTCAGCCGTCGCCGCCCGCCGCTAGACTATTGCTCCGCTCCGCTGCACCAGCCACTCACTGGGCGAAGCGTCCGCCGCGCCCCCCGGTCCCATCCAACATCTCCTCCCAACCCCAACACCGCCGCCAATGGCTCTTTGAACACCTAGACTGTTCCGCAATCTTACACACGTCTCTCTCACTCTCCCTCGCATTTTCGCCTGCCGCGCTTCCCAATAGTCCACTGCCGGCTACCTCGCCGTCCGATCCCCTCGCTGGACCGCCGTCATCATGACAAACCTGTTCGGCTCCAGTAACACCACGGTGACCGAGAAGCGAACCTTTACAGGCCAGCCAGTGTCGGGAAACAAGCAGATGTCTGGCTCAAATAGCCAGGTCGGGCAAAAGATCAAGAATTTCTTCCGCATCAACAGCCATGGCGCTGATGCCAAGGACCGCAAGCAGTCCGACGACACCCATTCCTCCACGCGGAACGGTCACAAAGCGAGCTTCCGCCAGTCCTTCCTCCCTCATATCGGCCGCAATCGCTCGGCCACTGTAGCTAGCGAAGGGAATCCTTTGGATGACGGGGTCTCCCCGACCGCCCACGCAAATCCTTACTTTCAACATCAGGGTCCTCCCGCCCTTCGTCACCACAACGAGGGTAGTGTTCCTCCGTCGCCGCCTGATAGCCCCTCGGTACCCATCATCGAAGGAGATGCTGCAGCTGGAGCCAACGACCAAGCGACCGTGGCTGGAAAGGAGGAATTGGCCCGGAAGCTGCGAAGGGTAGCCTCGGCTCCAAATGCACAAGGTCTCTTCGCGTCAGGCAAGAATAATGATAGGCCGCAAACCGCTGAGCTCGGCAAGGAGCCTCTGGTGCAGGATGCCAACTCGTCAACGTTGAGCATGGTCGAGTCGGAATCGGCCGTCGATTCCAACCGTCTGGTGCCCATCGATCCCTCCAAGGGCCTTCCCTCTCCCGGACAAATACGCAACGCCGTCGCTTTCCGTAGGACATATAGCTCCAACTCGATCAAGGTCCGAAATGTGGAAGTGGGGCCCGGCAGTTTCGACAAGATCAAGCTCATCGGTAAGGGCGATGTAGGCAAGGTCTATCTTGTTAGGGAGAAGAAGTCGGGCAGACTCTACGCAATGAAAGGTGTGTTTGGCTGGCCCGGCGTTCATAGATGCTCAGACTAACAGGTGGCAGTGCTCAGTAAAAAGGAGATGATCAAGCGTAACAAGATCAAACGAGCATTGGCCGAACAGGAGATTCTAGCCACCAGCAACCACCCCTTTATTGTTACTCTATACCACTCTTTCCAATCAGAAGAGCATCTCTATCTGTGCATGGAGTACTGCAGCGGTGGAGAATTCTTCAGAGGTAGGTTCGCGCATAAGATTGTAGGCCATGCCTTGCTAATCGTCGCAGCTCTGCAAACGCGTCCCAACAAGTGTGTAGACGAGGATGCGGCCAGATTTTACGCAGCCGAGGTGACGGCAGCCCTTGAGTACCTGCATTTGATGGGCTTCATCTACCGGGACCTCAAGCCTGAAAGTGTGTAGAACCCTTGGTGCACAGACATCCATGCTGATTTTCTCGTTTTAGACATTTTGCTGCATCAGTCAGGCCATATCATGTTGTCAGACTTCGATTTGTCCAAACAGTCGGATCCCGGAGGTCGCCCCACCATGATCATCGGGCGGAACGGGACGTCGTCGACGAACCTTCCCACAATCGATACCAAGTCGTGTATAGCGAATTTCCGGACGAACTCATTTGTAGGGACCGAGGAGTATATTGCACCAGAGGTCATCAAAGGCTGTGGCCATACCAGTGCCGTCGACTGGTGGACGTTAGGTATCTTGATCTACGAAATGCTCTATGGGACCACTCCGTTCAAGGGTAAGAACCGGAACGCAACTTTTGCAAACATCCTACGCGACGACGTGCCCTTCCCAGAGGGGTCGGGAGCCCCGTCGGTATCCAAGTAAGTTCTTCATGAAGGGACTACAGGGTCGGCTGCTGACTGTGGAACAGCCTGTGCAAATCACTCATACGCAAACTTCTTATCAAGGATGAGCTCCGGCGTCTTGGCTCTCGCGCCGGTGCGTCTGACGTGAAAGCCCACCCTTTTTTTCGCACGACGCAATGGGCGCTCCTGCGCCACATGAAACCGCCCATAATACCCCATCAAGGCCGTGGTGTTGAAACGCCCAACTTCCGCAACGTAAAAGAAAGCGAAAGTGTCGATATCAGCGCAGCGAAAGCCAAGGGCGTCCCCCTGGATTCTGGTCTGGCTACCCCCATGGGCGAGGTTGCAGACCCCTTTGAGGAGTTCAACAGCGTCACCTTGCATCACGACGGCGATGACCATGATGCAATTGACACCCATTCTTAGGCCCAGTTCCATCCCTGGATGTGCAGACGGCACATGCCGGTTTCTGCAACCAAGGCTTCTCGTTCTTTGTTTCTGGAGCATTCATTCCATCATCTGTTATTTCTTGTGCATTTTCCGTCATTGGGAGGCGTTGTGTGCGGTCCTCCTAGTTTCACACTCCTTTGCTGGTAGACTGAGGTACTCTCTGGTTGTTCACATTACGGCGTGTTCATTGCATTTTTTTCGTTTCCCTTCTTTCTTGTTCTTTCCTTTTCCCCCGCTCCGGGCTGTTTGTTCATGCGGTTCGCAAAAAGAAGGGGTCCGTTGGACTGGTAGGAAAGTTGTAGAGTGCCGAATGGAGTATGCGGGATTGCAACTTGCTCAGGGAAGCCATGCCATATTTTGTGGGGTTGAAAAGAGAGGAAGAGTGTTGACGGATGAAGGCCAGGCAGGGCTGTGGAGTAGAGGAATGGTAGAGTAGAACTATTGAAAATCTTCGCGAGTCGGTCCAGTGATGGCAGTTTCATAACATGATTGATGCATGGTGATGATGCCAGGAGATTCATCTTAGGAATATCTTATCTGATTGATCTTATCTTATCGTTTAGATCGAGCTTGACCCGAAACACGTTCCCGTGGAAGACCATTTGGAACACAAGCTTGGGACAACTTCAGAACTGACACCATCCCCAAGAGTGAATTGTACTCCCTTTTCTCAGCTCAATATAAGGAACTTCCGGCAGAGCTTCTTCGACCTTGGACAAGTCTACGGAGTGTGCACTTGTGTGGGTCTGCGACACCGAACCCACCTCTGTTACCCAAGCAAGCATCAACGGGTGCTGTACACAATTGCCCTTTACAGCTTTCCCGGTTGGATATCTCCCCCAGTCCTTCCTCTCGGCGATTGTTGCATTCTTTAATCCACGCACCCCACTTTCCGTCGCCAAACCGCACCCCAAAACCTAACGAATCTACGAACGGGACAGAGAAACCTTTGCGACGAAAGTACACGATACATAACAGTCCAACAAACCATGTCGGCGGAGGCAGCAGCAGGAGCAGCAGAGCTAGGGCAACCTGGAGTGACAGGAGGCGCCGTTTCGCCGACGGAAACACTGTCGCCGCTCGAGCAGGAGATGCTGGATGAGTATGCGCGGTTGGTTGGGAATTTGAATGAGGTGAGTAAACGTGCTTTCCTCTCCTCTCCTCTATCTCTCTCTCTCCTCTGCTGTCTTCTCCATCATTGCCACCCCTCCCGTAACCATGGATCGGTACCGGAGACTAACACATGCTTGTACACATAGATGTCAACGCTCCTCTCGGACCTCGCCACGAACCCGTCCGCCGAGATACTCGACGCGCTGCGCGGGCTGGAGCGCAAGACGAGTCTGGTCTTCACGCTGCTGAAAGCGAGTGTGTATAGCATTGTGCTGAATCAGGAGATTCAGGGCGAGGAGGGTGGGGAGTAGAAAGTTAGGAGGGGTTGAGATGGGATGGGATGGGCAGGTAGGAGGTGCATGAATGGGATAGCTATACTATAGTGGACGAGCGGTTGGGGATTTGGATAAGTAATGTGTACGGGTTGGGGGAAGACATGGTGTTTATGATACCCAAGACGGTAAATACGCGTTTCTATAGTGTCGACGTCCAAAATATACATATGCAATACCCACAACTGCCTGCTTACATGCTATACACACGGGCACCTCCCCTCCCTCCCTATCACCTATCCTACAGAATCTCCCCTCCCCTCCCTTCTCATAGTAATACATCTAGAGTTTGTTTGCAATCATTGTTCGAATGCACGTCTAATGCACACTGCCCCCATAGTACACCTTCCGCACATCCACGAGCTTCTTCCCCCTCCCCCTCGCAATCTCGTCCGGCAGCTTCTGGCTCGTCAACGCCTCCCACGTCGCTTTAATGACGTTCATCTTGTTGCGCGAGCGGGGCGTCTTGGCCGAGAGATCCTGCAGACCCGCCGCGCGGGCGAGCTCGAAGATGAGATGTTGGACGCGGAGACCGAAACCTACGAGGTCGAATTAGTCCAATCGGAACGCCACGAAGATACGTGACAAGAGAAAACCTTACCCGGCGGCCGCGAATACAGCAACACCTTGGTCGCGCCAATCTTCTTTTCCAACGTGCCGTAGATGGTGCGATTCTCATATCGCGGTACGGGCCGCATATTGCGTATCGCCGCCATGACGCTCTGCTTCCTGCCTTCCTCGGGCTCGACGCTCTTGCCCTCGCCCACGCCGAGCAGGCCATCCCCGTTGCCGGCAATGGTGAGGTAGTACATGGACCGGATCTTGCCCATGCGCGTCTGATTGACGACGCCGTGCACGACGAGGGTCTTTGTGCGAATCTGCCTCAGCTTGCTCTTGTCCCACCCCAGATACTGCAGCATGCGCTTCTGCCGCGGATCCTCCTGCTCCTCGCTCGACAGCCGCCGCGTCGCCTTTGCGAGCCGCGAGTCCAGCCGCGGCAGGTCGGGCAGGACGACGCTGTATCTCGGGTCCGCCAGCGCCGCCAACTCGGCCTTGTTGTTGGACGTGTAGATGGCGCGCGGGTCGAGCGACGCCTGCATCATGGCGCCCTCGACCGCCTGCTCCAGCTCATCCTGCTGCTTGGGCGTCAATTGTCCGTCGGGTAGACCCCCCGGGTACAGCTTGGCCAGGTTCTCCGTCGCAATCTTGCTGATGGCCGCGTCGCGCTCCACGGCGTTGGCGAGGCGCACATTCTTCTTGCCCTGGGGAATCGTGTCCCGCACGTCGAGCTTCTCGGCGTGGTCGATGATCTTGTCCACCTCGATCAGGTCGCTGTGGTAGGGCAGGCGCCAGGGGTCCGTCCGCTGGGAGCCTTGCAGGAGCACGTCGCGCGGGTCGATGACGGATTCAGCGGCCTTGATGGCGGCGAGTTGCGAGGGCGTGTAGCGGTTCGAGAGCAGCTGGGTCTCCGCGTCCGAGTACTTGGGCAGGAGGGTTTGGGCGTCTTCGTTGAGGATCTTGAGGTCCGAGGCTTTGATGCTGGGGTAGTGGGGCCGTCTTTTCCGTGCGGGACGAGGGGAGCTGCTGTGGAAGGTGCGTTTCGAGGTGCCTTTCGAGAGTCCGAGTGGGCTACCGGCTGCCGCAGTGGCTTTGGAGAGCAGACATCGCGCGGATCTGCAGGCGCTCATGGTGGTAGTGCGCCTGAGAGAAGGGAGGGGGTGCAAAGACCCCAATTGGCGATAAAGGGAAAGGAAGGGCGGCGTGGGAATATTAATTCTCCTCTTTGGTCGTCGTCCTCCGATGAATGGTGGTTGAAGCTGCTCCGAAAAATTGAATGACTAAGCGTGCCGGGGTTGGGCGTCGGTTTCCTGAGTCGCTGCAGGGGTAAGGACGCTAGTATGATCTGGGCAATTCACCGCTCACGACTTTTTTTATGTTCCGACAATCGAGTTTCATTTCCATAGGTTCATGATATCCAGATTTTCAAGCCCAGCATTGCGGACGCTGCTTGTGCGGAATAGCAGAAGTAGCTCGGTATTTTCGTGCTCCTACAGAATGGCATCTTCGGCGGCGAATGTTGCGCCCGTGGAGAGTAATGGGCTGGGACCTTCACAGGCACAGACGAAGGGAAAGAGATATGCAGAGAGTCCCTTGCGCAGTCAGGAGGAATCACGGGGAAGTTATCGGTTCAAGAATAAGAGGATGAGGAAGGGGCACGGTGATAGCAGTAAGATCCTCAAAACCAACGGGAGCAATGAGGAGGTGTTGCTAGAGGATGTCAATGCGCTGTTGAAGTCTTTGGAGTTGAAGGATGGGGAAGAGGCGAGGAGCGAAACGCCTGCGAAGGAGCTTCCGGAGAAGCTTACGGAAATCGAGGTGCGGATTGAGCAGATTTCGTCCACTGGAGACGGTATTGGGTTCCAAAAGGATTCGAAATCGAACCAGGTCTATGTTGTCCCGTTCACGGCTCCTGGGGATGTTGTCACGGCGAAGGTGTTTAAGCACTTCGAAAAGGAGAAGTACACCATGGCGGACTTTGTCAAGGTCAATACGCCTTCGCCGCACCGGGACGCTTCCCTGGTCAAGTGTCCCTACTTTGTGAGCTGCTCGGGGTGCCAGTTTCAGATGCTGCCGTACTCGTACCAGCTCGCACACAAGAAGAGCATAGTGGAGAGGGCCTACAGAAATTTCTCCAACCTCCCGCCCGAGCTCATCCCCACCATAGGAGACACTATCGGCTCACCCCTGGAATACGGGTACCGCACAAAACTGACGCCGCACTTCGATGGCCCCCCTGACGCAAGGCGAAGCGACGGTCGCAACGGCATCAAACGCACCTTCAAGGAGATGCCACCCATAGGCTTCATGAAAAAAGGCACCCGAATCACCATGGACATTGAAGACTGCCCCATCGGCACGCCCGCCGTCCGCAAGGGGAACAAGCGCGAACGCGCCCGCGTCGCCGCCGAACTCCCCAAGTACTCCAAAGGCGCCACACTGCTCCTGCGCGAGCACACAGAACGAATCGCCAAATCGGAGTTCGACCCTACCAGGGACGTCGAAGACGACAACACCGTCATCGAGGATAAAGGGGACGGCTTCATCTACAAGAAGACGTGCGTCACGGACCCCAACGCCAAAACCACAGAGTACATTGATGATTTCCGCTTCGTCAACCCAGCAGGCGCCTTCTTCCAAAACAACAACTCCATCCTCCCTCGATTCACCCAGTATATCCGCGAGCACATCCTGCCCCCACCGCCGCACAACATCAAGTACCTCATCGACGCCTATTCAGGTAGTGGCCTCTTCACCATCACCCTCTCGTCGCTCTTCGAATCCTCCTTGGGCATCGACATCGCCGCCTCCAGCATCGCCTCGGCCACGCACAACGCCGAGCTCAACGGGCTCCCCGCCACCAAGGCCAAATTCCTCGCCGCCGACGCCGCGGCCCTGTTCGCCAACATCTCGACCCCCGCAGACGAAACGGTTGTCATGATCGATCCCCCGCGGAAAGGCTGCGATGAGTCGTTCCTGCGGCAGTTGGTGCAGTACGGCCCCGCGAGGATCGTGTACGTGAGTTGCAATGTGCACACTCAGGCGCGGGATGTCGGGGTCTTGGTCGGGGGCATGGAGAGCGTGGATGGCGGGTGTGGGAGGGGCGAAGGGTGCTACGAGGTGGAGAGTTTGAGGGGGTTTGATTTCTTCCCGCAGACGGGGCATGTGGAGGGAGTGGCGGTTTTGAGGAGGAAGGACCCGAGGGGTGGGGAGGAGGGGAAGGTTGAGTAGGATGTCGAATATTGGTTGTTTTAGCATGGTTGGAGGAGCGTTGGGGGATGGGGTGTAGTGTACGATAGATACTAGGGAGTGGAAAAACTGCGAAGAGGGCTCTTCAAGACATGTTCTTCGAACGTGAGAATATGGTTAGACTGTGAAGGATAGTCACACCAAATAGCAATGTTGGAGACAATCCACGGAGCAGCTGCATTATTTCGTACCTGCATACCTAGGTACCTAGGTAGCTGGCTACCTAGGTATCAAAGTGCACTAATCATGTGACTCTCTCGCTGGGTGTTTCTCGCTCACTTCAAGATGAGCCAGTGAGCACTGCCGCATTTTCTTTCACCTCATCTTCCGCAATCTGGTGCCCATGTCACTAGAAGGAGGGCAGCTCCATCCTTGCCCATCCAACACCTGGCCTCCAAAAAGGAAGTCCTTCTGCAGCTCCCATCAGCGTATTACACATCACCCAGATCTAGGTCGCTGCTAAGAATAGTCGGCCTAATGAACACTCTTCCAGCAATCCCAGCAGTGCAGCTCAAATTCTATTAGATATTAAGACGGTATATAAAAACGAAAACTTGCTTAGCCATACAGGGCTTCAAGCTCCTCCACGCAGGGACCGGGCCGTTACGTCAACCCCAGATGAGAAGCTATATGGAACTCGTTTCCTGCCATTTCCCCAGGAGGGCAGACGTGCATATGTATGCAAGGCGGGAGGATTTGGATGCAGGTGCGGCGCACGTGAGAGGGGGACCGCGGAATCCATGGATGAAGCGGGGATGGTGGGCAGGAGAATGCGGCCGGGTGGTTTGTTCAACGTGCTGTTATAATATAGGGAAATGAGAAGGGGTGGAGATTGATAGAGGAGAAGGGAGAGGAGCAGGGAGCATGTGGAATGGATGATGAAGCGCTGTACGTCTACTTTATTGTGCCATGGGCGAGGCAGACGGGGAGGGTGCAGAGGTCCGAGGTGGTTAGATTGGCTTGACGGGGTAAATGGAAGACGCGGAGATGTGGTGAATTATAGAGAGAGGAGTTGACTATTTCTAGAGAGGACACTGTACGGTGTATTTTTGGCATATGCCGGGAAATACATACTAGGTTTCGGTTCCGGGCCGGAACGGGACAACGTGCGACAGGCGTGTTGATTCTGCCGGAGCCATTGGAAGAAATCTGCAAGGAGTCTGACTTGGGACGGATTTAGGAGTGTGCCATCTAAAACCCTGGGAAGTCTGGTTGACAAAGAGGGAGTTTCCGGGAACGAGGCCAGGTTTTTCATCTGCAAAGTGGTAAACGACTTGTACCTAATAACTCCACCGGTCAGATTGATAATGAGAAAGCCGTGCCAGTGGTGCTCGATAAAATAATCGACAGTCACGTGATAATCAGGTGGAAACCAACCCACTCCACACGCTGGGAGTATCCGATACGATGGAGATCCCTTTCTCATTCTATTCGATGAGCGGAAACTCTTACAGAATGCTTCCGTGAGCAACATTGCAGCGTGCTTTATATTTTCGCAAGTGATCAATCCAGGTGCGCAGCTTGGCAGGGTCCGAGAGGGCATCATTGGCCTCGTTCCGCGTCCCCAGGTGAAGCACCGCGATTGACAAGACACATTGGTTCCCTTCCCTCCTACACTCCAGGTAGCTTGACAGCAGCGATGCGGGGCAGCCAAGCTGGAGGGACGGCGTATTGGCGTATTGGCGTATTGGCGTATTGGCGTAGCAGTACTGTGTGCTCGGGCTGCTACCTACACAGTACTGTGTTAGGGTATGACCATTTCCGGGTGTTGGCCAACAAGGCAGTAGTAAGAAACGTAGAAACTGTGGACAAGGCTGTCTGTCGTGAGAGACTCACTTTTCACGACGACTGTGGAGCCCACAAATTGCCACACCGGCAATAATGATGAGTAGCTCGCACACGAGCAGCGAAATGATAATCTAAATAGTGTGTAGCCCTGTGTGCCCAGGCGGGGTGCCGTCTTATTAGATATTATTTACAAGTACAGCTCGTGCCTCGGGGCTCGGGGTTTTCCCTTTAGACTAGTCAAGGGAAACAAGACCAGCCGAAGTGAGCGAGGGTCGTAGTGTGAGAGGGCACCAAAAAATTCGCGCTTGGGAGCCTGCCTTTTTGCTCTCTGCTCCTACCGATACCCACTCCTACCCACTCCCACCCACCCACATTATTCTCCCCTCCCCTCCCCTCCGCCGCCAATATTCCTTTCTCCCGCACACACGACAAGGCCAAATTTTTCTTTCGTCGACCCGACCGTGCTGGCCTCGCCCGTCCACCGCACGCCGCCCGTCGCCCGCTGTCGTCTGTCGAGATTCCTCAGTGCTCCCCGCCCGTCCTCCCTCCCGTCGCTCTCCGCGCCTCCGTCTGACGTCGGACCCTGTGCCTAGAGCTGCCTGTGCAGTGCTCTTTTTCTCCACTGCCGCTCCATCCAACGCCTGGCTGCTGTCACCATTGCAACGTTCCCAGTCTGACTGCGTCTGTCACAAAAGGTTAGTCACTGCCATCTGCTCTTACTCTTTCTCAGCCTGTCTCCCCGTCCGCTGCCGTCTCCCCACCGCCGCGCAAAAAAAAGTCCCCCCTCGACCTCCCACCGCGACCGTGTTTGCGCTCTTTTGCTGTGAGCTCGCACCCGCACCTGCCCCCAACTCCCTGGCCACCACACAACTTGTTGCCTCTTTCGCCAAGGGATTTGCTGATCGCGCAAGATTCACCACGAGACGTGTGAAGGCCTTTACTGTGAAACACGCAACAAACCCTTCGTGGAACGACGACCTCGCCGCTGCTGGTCCCTTCCTGCGCCTTCCGCCTTTCTCCAAGCACGCACGTTGCCCCTACCAGTCGACACAATCTGCCCCAACGTCCCTACCAAGCCAGGTAGACCTCGCTGGTCAGCTCAAAAAGCTCTCAGTGCGGAGAGGTCGATAGGGCACCTCTCCGGACCTCAAAAGCCGCCTGTTGCTGGCGCACATATCCACGAGTGCTCCCTTGGGGCCGCGCGCACGAGCTGCACCTTTTTTTTTCCAGGCGCGAAGTTCGACCACTCCCACGCCATCTACGGCCTACCAAGCAACATGACAGCATCGACAAACCGCACCGGCGCCGACGGCGCATCTGCACCTGTTCCCTTCTCGTATGCGCAAGCTGCCAAGGGCCTCTCGAACAACGCGACGTCGAATCCCGCTAAACAGCCTTCTGGGACATCGACGCCGGCAAAAGACGACGCGACGAATTCCACTGCCATACCGCTTGCCTCAGTTCCTAGCTGGGCAGACGATGCAGAGCAACTCGAATCGCGCGACGAGAAGAGGGATACCCGACCCCAGAAGGTCCAGGTCCCGTCAAAACAGGGGCCTCAGGATACTGCTGCCACGTTTGCGGTGACCTCGCCCTCCTCGGGTGCTCCTTCTTCTATTACGGCCAAAGATGACGATGTCTCGTCCGTACAGAATGCATCCTCGGAGTCGACCTCCAACTGGGAGAATAAATCGCAGGCTTCGACTTCCGTGGACAAGATCTCCGAGTCTGGCAAGTCTTCTGAGAAGGCAAAGGCGAAGAGCTCGGAGAAGGGTCCCATCAAACCTTTACAAGAAGCTCCTGTACCTGCTGTGAATCCTTGGGCGCGCAGAGCAGATGAGCTCAAGGCAAAGGCAGCCCAGAAAATCGCTGCACCCAAGGTGAATACCAGTGTTGCCCCGGCGAGCGCCAACGCAGCACAGTCACCGCTGAGTCCCACGAAAAAAGCGGCTAAGGGTATCTCTCATAGTGAAGGGCAGGATGCGAAGGAGAAGGGCGTGTCAGGAGACTTCAGGCCGAAGGGACGAGACGATGAGAGAGCATCCTCAGGACGGAAGGAATCCAAAGCGGAGCTGGATTCGGACAAGGCGAGGAAGGGTTATAAAAGCCGGCCCGCAGACAAGGAACCCAGGGCCGCTGCGAGCGTTCTTCCTCTACCGCCGGATCGCGATCAGGAATCATGGCCTACACCAGACATTGCCGTTGATGAAGAGAGGAGAAAGGCGCAAAGCAAATCAGATAAGACCGATGTTGAACGCAAGGAGCCTTCCTCAAGCCGGCCGCATGGCAAACAGGAATGGGTGCCCGTTCCCTACACGCCCACCGTGGTCTTCAACACACCGTTACCGAGCACGATGTCGTCCAGACGGGGCGGCAGAGGAGGAGGCCGTGGAGGTTCTCAAGCTAACGGAAGGAATGGCAACATGCCTGGAAGCTCGGGAAGCGTTGAGAAAGATGCTTCTGCTCCCCAGACCAATGGAGACGTTGGTAAACGCGGGCGATCCGACGTGTCTTCCGGACGTGATTCATTTGCAAAGGAAGCAAGAGCGGTCAGTGTTGGTTCTTCCGGAGTGAACGAGTCGAGGTCCACGGTACAAGGAGAAGAGAAGCCTGGCAAGACAATGTCTGGTACGGAGGCTGATGGGCGTCGGAGGGTCTCGGTACCTGCAGAGGCCGGGTCAGGTTCCCAGTCTGCATCCCAGAACAACACCTTCCCCCGACAGTATGGCCAACGTCCAAACAAGGGCCGCAGAGGGGACGTCACTCATCAAGGCGAAAAGAGGAAGGAGGGTGAAGGAACCGGTCAAGGCAGAGATGCCTCGCACGACCGGCGTACTTCAACCGCAAACCACGCGGAGCGTAAGTCCACGCCATGTAACTTTCAACCCCATTTGAATTCGTGCTGACGATCCTTCTAGTTGCCGACGAAGGAGAGCGGAGATCCTCCCATCCGCATGCTGCCCAGAATGGACAGTCGAGACTTGCGTCGAATGAGCGTCGTCAGTATGGGTCCTTCTCCGGTCGTGACCGTGCGCGCGGCGCTGGGCGTGGACCGCGTGGGGCACCTTTCCAGAATCCAGCAGGCCACCAGTTTGCAAATGGCCATGCGAACAATATGCATGGCTCGTCCACGTTCGCAATGCGTTCTCCAACGACTTTCCACCCAGATCAGAATGCCTACTTCTCAGCTGGTAGCCAGCAGAACAGATCGTATCGTGGCGGCCATCGTTCCCAGTCTGTGGCTGGCGACGGTATCTATGGACGGGCTCCTGCTTATCCCGCTGGAGCACAGCAGATCCCTCCTATACAGACTTTCATGTCGGGCGTGTACGACTATCAAATGATGAGCCCAATGAGTGCAGTTCCCTACAGTCCCTACGGTTACGACAGTTTGATTACCTTGGTCACTACCCAAGTGTGAGTATTCTGGGACCAACCTACCTACACGAGCTGACAACTCTAGGGAATACTATTTCTCTGTTGACAATCTCTGCAAGGACATGTTCTTGCGGAAGCACATGGATTCACAGGGCTATGTCTTCTTGAGCGTGATTGCCGACTTCAACCGGGTAAAGCAGCTCACAACCGACATGGAGCTCCTCAAGTTCGTCTGTTACAATGCGCCAAGCATAGATTTCCGTGTTGGTGTGGATGGTAGGGAAAGGGTGCGCAGGCGAGAGGGCTGGCAACAGTGGGTCTTGTCAATGTCGGAGCGTGACCCGTCTGCCCAGAACGATGGTTCGGAATTGCAGAGTCCTCCGGTCCTTCACATGAATGGATTCGATCCGGCTCCCTATCCTGGGTACTCTACTTCATCGACAGTGGCGAATGGTTTCCCCGCTGGCAACAACCCGGAGACTCGGCTGCAGCAAGCAGACAGCACGCAGAATGGTGCATTGGATGGTCAGGCGCCTAACGGCATCAATGGTTTCGTCGGTGTGAACGGGCACTACGAAATGTCGACCAAGGCTGTGAGTGGCGATCCCGATTCTTTTCCTGACGCACAGGTGGAGACGTTAAGCGTCATTGCCCACATACGCGGGCAGCCGCAGGTGCCAGATCCACCTCTTTCTGCCTCAGGAACACGTTCTAATGGATCATTTGACAGTAACAACGATCTGCAAGATGGTTTGGAAGAGACACGTCACCAGCAGTTCGCACTGAAGGTCGACGGCGTCAGTACTGAACGGGGGTAAGCGCATTGGCTTCCGCCCTGACCGGCTGGACCAGCGCTGATGCCCACGGCAGTCATGAAAGCCGACCTCAGGACCGCTGAGATGCTTGAGCCCGTTTGCGCACTTTTCTTCCACTGTCACGCCTTATGGGTCTCTTCTGAGTCAGAGGCCGAGATGCACCTTTCGATTCACTCCCTTTCGATACCACTTACGAATGCTATACATATACCCATCTTCGTTTCAAAGCGCTCGAGCAGCATGACAACGCCGTCCATGGCACCTGCCCCTACGATATGGATGTCTTATATCAGTTTGGTCCCATTTTCTTGTCCGCAACTTCAACCTTCGATTGTATCAAGAATTCTGTCACTTTGCCCACGAGGACTCGACGCAACGAGATTCCTATATCGGCCTAAGAAACCTCATCAAATACTATGGAGAATCACTGCTACTCAGGCAACTGTATAGCCAATGGTCGCTCGTGATTATCTCGAAGTCGTCAAATCGGAAAGAGATAGCCACAGGCCTGCCTTTTTCCAGCTGTGGTCAGTTTATAGAAATGGTTCCCTCAGCCATCGAAGTCGGAAAATTATCGATGAGTCACTGGATTCGGAACTGAAAGCCGCTTTGGAATAAACCGGAAAACCTATCTGCACCTCCTCCCAGGTCGGCGATATTGTATCTATTCCATACCCTCTGCCTTCTTCGTGACCGTTGCTGGTCGTACGATTCGTGGTACCTCCTGTCCGTCTGGTCTGGATTACCATACATTCTAATTTCACCAATCTTCAGCCCGGGACGATCGATATGGTTCGAATGTCTCCAAAAAGGTTTTCATGTGGCGTTCTTACATGGCATGCTTGGCTGATGCATCTCTTCTCTCTCACTTCGTTCTCATTAGACGATGGCTCATGGCGACCCTCGGACAGCTGTGTTTCTGTAATGCAGTTTTCGTGCCAGATACCTGGCTTGAAAAACTAGGGTTTTTTCTTTTTCTCACGGGGCTGGGAATGGCATTGGGGTGTCTTGCATCAATTCTGAACTCTCTCCGTGGCTCTTCACCTCGCGACATTGTTTTCTCATTCCTGTCCATGCCTGTCTGTAGGGCTCGCTCATCGCGAGTACAACCATCTGGTTCTCGATGCGACTGGGCGTTAGTGAGCCATAAGCGTGGGTTTGTAAAGTATGAAGGAAAAAAGTATATGTGCGTCTGACGATCCGTCCGAATGCTTTTTTTCGGTGTTATCATGGCGGGTGACATTTTGATGGCCGTGCGACTGTGTATTCCTCCATCGGTCCGTTGCGGCACCGTCACTCTAGCAATTGCTTCTGGAAAGTACTTGGGTGGCGACGTGCTGCGCCACATTCCGGCCATCACCCCCGCACCCAACCCTATTACAAGTACAAGTACAAGAACCAGTGTCGCCTCCTCACCATCTCCGACCTCTCACTTTCTTTCCCACACCTCTTTTTACCACGGCTGTGGTTCCCACTACGACCATGGCCTCGGTGGCCCATCTCCACAAGCTGGTGGCCAAGAACGCGAAGCTGCTCAAGTACGTCGGGCTCTCCTCGTCGCCTATTGATATGACTGCAGCATTAACCCCCGTTCTAGGGCCGCCTGGCATCATGCTGCGAAGCTACTAGAGAATCAACTGCCAGCCTCGAGTCGACCCACTCAAGCTCAATTACGACCTGTTCTTGTCAAGAATGCGCCTCGCCACCCACTCCACCGGATTGCTCTGCTCAAGCAGAGCAAGGGAAGGTGGTACACCACGCATAGTACCATTAGCGCTACCATTCGACGATTCACAACGTCGGGCGCCCGCTCTTCGGGGTTGAAGTACGACCGCTCAGTGTTGCCCAAGTCCAGAATCGGCTCAGCAGTCACTGCTCAAACCGGGCGAGCGCCTTTTGCTTCCACTCTTCGTCCAAACTTGACCGGTGGTACGCTTGGCAGGACGGCCGGAGGCTATGCCTGGGGTTCTGGACGTGTAGGTGGTGCGAGGTACTTCTCGCATGGCCCTGCCGCTCCGGCGCAGGTCATCCAAAATGTATCTCAGGCCATGAGGGCCTTTGCGATATCAGGACAAAAGGCCCAATTCGATGGCGTTAGCCCCCGTACTGGAGAGAAGCGGTACCGAACCGTTTCGGCTTTGCAGGATCAGGTCAATCGCACCCTCACACGAGTGCCAAAAGCCTCGCCTGGATCCTTCATTAGTTTCAACATCAATCCAACCATCACAGCTCTGAGTCCCTTGAGCTCGATCAAGGGCTTCAGCTCTTTTGCCCAGGAGAAGGAGAGCTTGAGCCAGGAGGGGCTCCTGGACATCCTGTCCGTGGATTTCTCGCGAGCGGTCAAAGAGCTCGCTGCGGTGCTCCGAGACTTGCAGCGACTTTCTGAGTTGGGCGACCTTCCAATCACATACGATGCTTCGACTCTCAAGGTGCATTTCCCAGGCTGTGACTCCATGACTGTGGAGTCGCTCTGCAACGAACTGGGCGTCCAGCGCGGCGTCATTCACCAGGATGAAGACTTTGACGCATTTGTAGGCACGGAAATTGCGCTGCTATTCCCGTTTGCACCCAGCAGGACTCCGTCCGAGTGCTCCTTTTACGAGAAATCGGTCTCGGGCCGTCAGCAACCACTGGATTGGCGCAACATGATGGAGGATGCGCCTGTTGAGAATCCGGAGACGTATTCAACCCAGTCGGAGGATGGCCAAGAATTCGAGGATTTGGCTCAGAATCCGTGGATTTCGTCTCCATCTGGCTATGGAAGCTTCCACACGAGCGATGTCGAGGCCTATTCGGAGGACGGCCACACCCCGCTCGAGTACCAGGGGATTGAAGGGATATATCGGTTTATGGAGCAGTGCGAATCGAGACGCTAAAGGCCAGGAGCCGTGAGGCCGGGAGTAGACGTCTCGTCTTTCCTCTTCACATCACGTTGGTTTGAAATTGGTTGTTTTATTAGATATCTGATGATTCCCCGGACGGACTACAATCTGCCCTTCACTCTCCTATGTATTAATGACTCTCTACTACCATTCATATTCCAATATCTTGCGATGTCCCTCGACAAATATTGACACGACATGGAGCATATTTCCCGTCTACGCTCCCAGACAGCACCTACCAGTTCGTCGGCCGGATGTTGGCGGCTATGTCGGTCGTTGGACCAACTGCTTTTCGGTGCCATGCTGACCAATCACCCTACCTGCCTTATCCCCGGTGTGGGGAAATGGATTTCCTGCCTAAAGCGGATAAGACGCGCCTTATGGGAAGATTCAACTCCGACATATTTTGATTCCAGGTTTGATGACTCTTCGTTTCTGTTACTTGTTGATGAGGATTCAGAGGTCCTCGCCGTGGTGGCTTTCATTCTCGTGCTTTTTTGGTACTTGATGTATCTATCTTGCTCTTCTCAGGACTTGAATATTCTCTGTTGCTGACGGCCGCATCGTCGGCACTTCTATTTCCGGTGCCAGATGCCGAGGAGTCACCCGCCTCCCCGTCAGGCACAGGAGCAGCAGCAGCACGGGAGCGGCGAAGACGAAAATATCAATAATGAGGTCGCGGGCAGTAGTGGAAAGAGCAGCGAGAAGGACGTGGATGTCATGAGTATGGCAAATGTGGATGCAGACAGGGAAGAGGAGAAGAAGGATGTTGGCATGAAGGAGCAGGAGGAGAAGAAGGTGGATGAGCCGCCGGATGGGGGGATTGGATGGCTGTGAGTCTTTTGAATGCGGGAGGGAGAAGGGTTGGATGCTGACGATTGAGTAGGATGATTGCCTGTTGTTCGATCTTGAATGCGTAAGTTCTATGTTCATTTTTATCTCCAAATTGTGTACGGGGGTTTTCTTGCGGATGCGAGTGGTGAAGGACATGAATGACTGGATAGGGGAGACTGACTTCGATGCAGGCATACTTGGGGAATGAATTCTGCATATGGGGTTTTTCTGGCTTTTTGTAAGTGAACTTTCGTTACACCTTGTCGTACTACTTCTATTCGCAGTTTTGCCAGTGGCTTGCATAAATCCTCTACTACAATATCTGACACCACGTAGATCTTGCCAACAATGTCTTCCCAGGGGCCACCCGTCTCCACTATGCCTTCGTCGGAGGCCTCTCCATTGCGCAGGCCCTTATAGTCTCTCCTATTGCAACAATGACCACGCGGTTATATGGCACACGCACCACGCTCTTGATTGGCGTCTTCTTGCAAACCATTTCCCTCATTGGAGCCTCCTTTGCGAAAAGCATCTGGCAGCTCTTCCTCAGCCAGGGCGTCTGCTTCGGCTGGGGCATGGGCTTCCTGTTCGTCGGCAGCGTCGTCATTGCCCCCCAATGGTTCACCACGAAGCGGAGTCTGGCCAACGGAGTCTCCGCCGCTGGAAGCGGACTGGGAGGCCTCGTCTACAGTCTCGCAGCGCAAGCCATGATCCGCAACATCTCCCTGGCATGGGCCTTCCGCATCCTAGGCATCATCGCCTGCGTCGTCAATACGTGCTGCGCCATCATCATCCGCGACCGGAATAAGCAGATTGGAAGCTCCCAGCTCTCCTTTGACTACCGGCTGTTCAAGAAGCTGGAGTTCCTGGGCCTCCTTGCCTTTGGTATCCTGAGCATGCTGGGCTACATTGTGCTCCTCTTCTCGCTTCCCAACTACGCTCGCACCGTGGGCATGACAGCGCAACAAGGCTCCATCATCGGCGCCGTGTTCAACCTGGGACAAGGCCTCGGGCGCCCGCCTATAGGTTACTTCAGCGATAGTTTCGGCCGCGTCAACATGGCCGCCAGCATGACGTTCCTGGCCGGCTTCTTCTCGCTGGTCGTGTGGATGTTCGCGACCAGTTTCGGGGTCCTGGTCTTCTTCGCCGTCATCGGCGGATGCGTCGCGGGAACTTTCTGGGCGATTGTCGGGCCTGTCTGGACAGAGATTATGGGGCTGGTGGATCTGCCGAGTAGTTTGTCCATTACGTGGTTGGTGCTGGTGCTGCCTACGACTTGTGAGTTTACTCCCTCGAGACGTTGCGTTGATATCAGCAGAGTCGGGAGTTGGAACTAATCAGTTGTCAGTCTCCGAGCCCATCGCCCTCGAGCTCGTCTCCTTCAACAACGGCAGCTACACGGGCGCTATCTTCTTCACGGGATTCATGTACATTGGCGCCGCTGGCTTCCTGTGGCTCGTCCGGGCGTGGAAGATTGGGCAGGTGGAGAGGCAGGCTGCGCTGCTGCACGTCAGTCCGACGAGTGTGGATCCTACGGCTCCGGCGGTGTCTGCAGAGGATGGCAAGGGGCCTGTGGGCCAATTGACGCCGTTTCTGAGGAGGTTGGTTAAGTGGGAGAGGGTGTAGAGACGAGCATAGATACACCTTTCAGAAGGCGTTGTCGGATTTCTCGGTTTACAGGATACTAGACTAGCATCTGCATCAAGGGAGTTTAATATCACGTGATCCGGACCTTCACCGGGTACACCCGCGCCATTGACATCACCACCTACTGTGATACATAGGGAACTGAACCGGATTTCTGCATCTAGCGAAGATATAACTGCCTAGGTCCCGTCTATTTCTGGTGTTTTGTGACAACGCTGTATTCGCCCATCTGCAGCTTCGAGGGCGATATAGAATTGCTCATTTCCGGCCTCAATGCGTGCTGAATTTCTTCATTCATTGCTTGCTCTCAAAAAGTGCAACAAGAATCCATCACGTCTCGATATCGATTGGGCCTGATTTCCTGTTAACGAAGAAAAAAGCCTGCTGCCATTGTCCAACCACAAGCACGCAACGTTGGCAAAGTGCTGAATTCAGGTTTCGTTGAGATCTTGTTGGCCACTTGATGAAGAATAAAATAAATTGATTCAAACCCCAACAAGCCCCTGGCGCAATGACACGTTCTGCTGCTGTGGCCCGGCCAATCATGGGTAAGCGGCTGCTGACTGGGCGTGCCGTCCCCTTTCCAGCAATCCATCGCCAGCATTTCAACCGCTCTCACCCGTCAAGCTTTCTCCAGCACCAGCTCCGCCGTTCTGCGCTGCTGCCCTCCTCCTTCTGCTCTGTTCTTTGCTGCCATGGTTGCTCGCCCCGACTCCTCGCCAGCTCGCTCCAACTCCATGTCGCTCTTTTAGCTGCATCTGCGCTGTTTCTTTTGTAAACTACCTGTTAGACATATTCACCCTTATTTCGTGCATCGCTATCGCGTCACGTCGCTCTGGCCGCCCGCCTCAGATCGCTCGTCGCAACCTCCGCACGCGTCTTCTGCACCCAGCATCCTCGCAGCGTCTTCTCTCCTCCCTGGACGAGCGATTCTCCCCTCGCCCGTCGCGTTCAACTCGTCGAAGGTGCGCGCTGACTGCCCCGAATCTTCCCGCTACGATAGCCAATATTGAATGACGAATCAAGCCCGACGCATCTCCACTCCGTCTCTGCCTCCGCCGTCATCCCCCCCATCCGTGCTGCTATACGACAACGGCCATCACCAACAACCGGTTAGCCCCTCGGAGGCGCGCGGTGTGCCTTCCCCGGCACAGACTCTGTGGACTGCTCCCTCGCCGACTCAGACCCTTGGCCACTCGAGCCCGGAGCTTCCCCCGCTTGCGTCGCTAGCTGGTCTGCAGAGCTTTCCGCGGACGCCTTCGACAGCCGCTGACCACGAGAGATTCGAGAACACTTCGTACTATACCGCTAGCTGGGGGAGTCCGTATCGACACCCACCGCCGTCGTTTAGGCTCGATCGAAATCGCTCGACGCAGTTGGGAAGCGACGATTTCGAGGAGGACGCGTCGAACCTCCTTTTTGGCCTAGAGCATCTCCTTCCGAGACCATTGGAGGAGGACGATTCGCCCGGACGGTTTAATCTTGAGCATCTGCTTCCGCAGCCGTTGCACCAGGACGACGAGCTTAGCCAGTTTAATCTTGAGCATTTGATTCCTTCTCGTCTTCCTATTAATAGTCTCGATACCCCGACGAGAGGGAATTTCAGGTCAGATCTTACTCCACGCTCTAACGCGATTAATACGCGATATTCGACTGAGGAGTGGGTTCGACAATTCTTAGACGGCCGCTGGAATCGCGAGACGAACGATTGGCTGAGTGAAAGCTCCTCTTCGGAGAGCGATAATACAGGCGAGAGTTCCGGTAACTATCTCGAGCCGGTAGCTGCGAAAGCGAAGAAGAGCCACAAGAGCAACAAGACACTTAATCAGCAGGACTTCTGGTCTCATTTTAGCAAAGGTCAGAAGGAAGAGCTAGGCAAGATGATGGCCTCACGGTATGCCCCCGAGAGGCTTTCAAAGAAGGCATCGAATAGCAGCCTGAGAACTGCACTTAAGCAGAGTGTGAATGCCGAGGAGCCTCCTCAGGCAACGGAAAAGTCAGAAGCCTCTGAGGCGCCGAAGCCGATGGAGAAAACTGCCACCAAGCCGACCACAGCGGCTGAGCCTGTCCTCGTACCGCGTCCGCGCAAGAAGATCATGGTCAAGGGTAAAGGATGCATCATCTCCATTCCCAGGGACATTCCAAGAGGGACACCGGGTTACCCTCCAAAGCCAATGAGTCCCGAGGCTTTCGAGGCCAGATTGCGGCAATTCGAGAGCCAAGGATACGATGTCCGTGGCACTGGACGTAGTGAGCTTCAAATGTCTCCGCCGCAGAACCGGCCTATTTGGCCTGATGAAGAGGAAATCCAGGCAGATCGCGCAAAGGGACACCGTATACGGATACCAAATAGGGAAGAGTGGGAGGCATATGTTCAACAACTATTGGAAGCCAAACTCGCTGCTCTCGGTGTCAGTGTTCCAGGCGAGGAAGAGGATGTGCCATCGCGACAACCCTCTGCCCAGCAGCCTGGAATGCCATTCTCCCCGCCTCTGCCAACCTCGTCCGCAGGGAGCCAGCGCATGCGGCAAGGGAGCATCGTATCCGGCACCTTCCCCTTGGGACCTTCCCCAGGCCATATGTCGCGCCAATCGATAGCCTCGCCGATGTCCATGTTTGGCAACACACGTGGCAGCATGCACATGCATAGACATTCCACGTTCGCATCCCCGGCTAGCTTTGTGCAACAGACTGCTTCGCCTACGGGAGCATGGTCACCAGGCAATTACTTCAGCTCTCAAGGAGCGCGAGGTGGGTCGCCTGCTCTTCCGCTGAGCAGGCCCGATCTTGGGGAAGGTGTCTCCCCGATCTCTCCGTTCGGTATTAGGCCGGGCCAACAGTTTCCGGTTGGCACTCCGAAGGACGATCTTCTGGTTCAGATGCAACAGCAACAGCAGCAATTGCAAGCGCAGCTTCTGCTCCAGCAACAGCAACAGCTTCTGGGTCTGAGACCTTCCTCAACACTTGCAGAGGTCCCTGAGGATGTTGCTGAGGAGGATGCGGTGCCGGCCCTGCAATCGAGTCAGCCAGGTCCGGACATTGCTGTGCCCACTCCTCGTGGACATCGCCATAATATCAGTGCCAATTTGGAGCGTGAGGCACGCGATGCGGAATATCACTTGGAGGAAGCCATTGATAAACAATTCAACGAGGGAGGAGACTTTAGTACGGAGCCTGAGACTGCTCATGCTCAGTTCCAGCCTTCCAATATCGTTGCTGGCTCCACTTGGGAGGGCTCGCGACCGGTTCTACATCAACCCCAACCGCATAACAGAGCCCATTCGCTTGCCCAGCCATCGCAAGCCAGTCCATTCAGCTTCCCTGGGCCCCAGGCAGAGAACCCACGTGGGGATAGTGATGGAGCAAGGACGAATATCTCTGAAGTCACTAACCCCAGTCTGGAGGGTGAGAGTCGCAATACCGCCCAGCACTCTAAAGCGCCATCACAGATGAGCAACTCATGGAACGATTCCAAGTTCACTTTCGGGAAGAATGGGTCTGCTCTGCACAGCAAGCATACGTCGCGATCTTCGATCTCAAAACTCAACGTGGAGGCCAAAGAGTTCAAGTTCAATCCCTCCGCAACTTTCAGCCCTGCATCCATGTCCTCGGCGTTCTCGTTCTCTGCTGGCGCCAATCCTGAGGCTGCCTCGCGGAATAATAACTTGGATGGGCAGTCCGGGTTTAATGTTGCTGCACCTGCTTTCAAGCCCGATGCACCCGCGTTCAAGCCTGAAGCGCCTGCGTTCCAACCCTTTGCTCCAGTCTTCCAGCCCAGTGCGCCCACGTTCACTCCCGCTGTCCCGGCATTCAGAGCGAACCCTATCATTGCTCCAACGATGCCTACTAGTGGCTTCAACTTCTTCTCCTCCTTCAAGCCTGGCGCCCCAGCTTTCAACCCGGGCAGTGCAGAATTCAAGCCAAGCACTGAGGCTGCGCCTACTACTTTCTCCTCGAAGATCTTTGGGGATGTCAGTATTTCTGCTAGCGATATTGTCAAGCCTGCCAAGCGCTCCAAGGCTGTTCCTATCGTGCGTCCTGATGTCCCTCGGCAGACTCCTGAACGGAAACTAGAAGAGGAAAAGGAAGATGAATCTGGGCGACCAGTACAAGCAGATGGTCGTGAGAAGCGTGCCCGACGTGTGAGGGACGATAGCAACGATGTGCCTAAGTTTGCTATTCAACCTATCCTTCCGTCACAGCCTCTCGCTGAGTCGAAGCGGTCGCAGAATGTCAAGGACAATGTCCCAGCTGAAAGCAAAGTCCTTCTGGAGGAGAAGGAGAATCAGTCTCCGGAAGCCGAGCTTGTGTCATCGAAGTCCAAGACTCCAGAACCCCTTTCCGGACGGGACGACGGTCCTACCCTAGAGGCGACTCCCCAAACCGAGCAATCCACGGAACGTTTGTCTAGCCCAAGGACCTCAATTGATGACAAGACGCCTCATGAAAGCGAAGGTCTCGAAAGCGAAGGTCACACACCTACGGTGGAAGAAACACACAAACTGTCCAAGCATGGGCATAAGAGCTCACTTTCCGCCACCGCGAAGCCTTTCGAGTTCCGTCCCAGCGGTCAGGAGTTTGGTATCCATGTCACCAAGCCTTCTATCACGCAGAATGAGGATTTCAACAACTCGCCGTTCAACCCTCTACGGCATGAAAGCCGTAGCCCGGCGACGACATTCCGCCCTAGCGATGACGGGTCGTACAAGACTGCATTGGAAAGCCGGAGAAGACCTCACTATCCGGAGAGCGAGAGCGTTGATTTCGATCATCTCGGCCAGGCTTCCTTCAATGACATTGATGCCGTTATGAAGCATATGAACGAGGAAGGATCCGACTTTGGCGTGGAGCGAGATGGTCCCTCCTGGGATCAATCTTCCCCGAGACTAGATGTGCAAGACTTCGGACGAGCTGACCTGCGACCGAACAATATCATGCGCAGCGACGCACCTAGTCCTAGTCCCCGTGGCCGACTCTACGCTCCCCGGGACGCGGTTGGTTCGTCTACATCAGTTGCTCGCGATCCATTCGACGACGAGCGCGCTGACCCAGCGTACGAGTCCCCCATCCGCCGCCTAAACAACGCCGATGACATCCCTGTGAGCGACTGGGACGAGGGCCTCCCCTCGGAAGAGGAAGAAAAGATTCAGACCCGCAGCCTCTTCTTCGATAGACACGTCGATGATCTGCTCAGCAATCTACTGGCGAGTCGTCTTGGCCCGTTGGAGAATAATCTGAGAGATATTCAGGACTCGCTCGTGGCTATCTCGCAGCGTCAGGGCCGTGGACCCCGGAGCAATGTGTCGGAGAGGCTGGATAGTGATGCTGATGATGAGGACGATGAGTCGATTCCTGGGCCCCATTACCGCAATAGGTCGCCTAGGAAGGATAGGAAGATGGAGAGGTTCCGAGCGATTATTAAGGAGACGTTGGAGTCCTATCAACCTCCTGCCGCTTCCGCTCCCGTACCCGACCTTGGGATTACATTACCGGAGAAGATCCGCGAGGTTGTGGCAGAGGTGCTTGTGGCTCATCAACCATCCGTGGCACCCCCAGATCCAATCCAACCTGAGAATGTCCGGGATATCATCATGGAGGCTCTTGCTCACCATCAACCTCAGTGGACACCGCCCAAGTTCGAGCCTGTCCCTGCGGATCAGATCCGCAGCATCGTGGAAGAGGCCATCCAGGCTCACAAGCCAGCCGATCCTGCACCCGTTGAGTCTCTGAAACCCGAGGAGGTGCGGTCAATCGTTGCAGAAGTTGTGGCGGCTTCAATTCCTCAGCCTGCTGCTCCCACTGCTGAGCCGGTCAAGGCTGAGGACATCCGGTCCATTGTTATGGAAGTCTTCGCGACCCATGCTCCGCAGCCTGCACCTGTTCAGGAGCAGATACGGCCTGATGATATCAAGTCTCTCATTATGGAAGCGCTGGATTCCCGTACTCCTGCTGCGGAGCCTGTTCAGCCCGATGCGATCAAATCCATTGTTGCGGATGCCCTTGCGTCTCACCAACCGCAAGCTACACATCTGCCAGTGCCTGAAATTGTACAGCCGGATACTATTCGTGCCATCGTTGCCGAGGCACTTGCATCCCACAAGCCTCCTACGCTTGAGGCTCCGATCGATATCCCGCAACCCCAAGTCGATCTCTCTGAAATATATCAAGTCATCGGTAGTCTAAAGGCTTCCATAGCACAGACAACGAGCCACAATCTGCATGCGGAGGATATCCGCGAGTTGCTCGACGATGCGTTCAAACGCCAGAGTATGGAGGTTGCTAAGCGCGAGGAATCACAGGCGATTCTTGAAAGGGACGCCCGTATTGCGGATCTCGAATCTAAACTCGAGGAGACTTCTTTGCGTCTCGAGGCTGAAAGTGCTGCACGTCAGGATTTGGAGCGGGCCGAAATTGATCGCGCACGACTTCTCAAAGTCACTGAAGAGGAGCTTAATCTTCTTCGCCAATCAGCCGCCGACGATGAGAATAAGATTCGTGCGTTGAGGGAGGAGTGTGAGGTTGCGCATCGCACTCTCGATGCGGTCTACGCTGACGACAAGGAAATCCGTGCGAAGGTTGCTGCACTTGAAGCCGAGAATGAGGAGCTCAAACTGAAGGCTATTGCGTATGAAACCTCCGAGGGAGATATCAAGAAGAAGTTGGATGTGGTCACCGCGGAGAATGAGGCTCTCACGTTTACTCTCGAGGAGCATCGCATTTCTGCTAACAAGTGGAGGAACGAGATCCAACAGGCGCACCAGGAGAACGAGCAAATGCGCAAGGCCATCGAGCAGTCCCGATTCCAGGCCGAGGAAGCCGCACGCGTCCGCGAGATGATGCGTGCCAAGTTTGACAAATTGCAACAGGAGATGACCGTTGCGGCCGGCCAGGTTGCTGCTGAGCGTGCTCAGTGGCAGAAGAACGACGAGGCACATGCGAAGAGGTACGAAGTCCTCAGTGCTAGGATTGAGGCTGAGGGTCGGACGCGCGAGCGACTGGAGCGTGAGCTGGAGAGATTGGAGACGCAAGAACGGGAGGCGATGAAGCTCAGGATTGTCCTTGAACAAGCACAAAAGAACAACAAGCAGCTTGAAGAGACGATTGAACAGCTCAAGCAAGAGTGTCTGGAGCATCAGAAGGCGGCCGAGAGGTACGAGCGCGACTACAGGGAGGCCAGGGAGACGGGCCACGTTGAGATCAGGCGCACCCGCGTCCTCCTAGAAGCGGATATCGAAGCGGCCAATAACCAAGTAAACATTGTTCGGCGCGACCTTGAGGCGGAGATTTCGCGACTTCGCCTCCTGCTCGACAATGTGCGCATGGATGCGGATACCCTCAAGGTTAAGCATGAGCTTGAATTGGAAGCAGCCTCGGACGCGAAGAAGGCTGCTGTGGAGGATGCTCTCCGCAGCAAGAATGCCGCTCTGCAGGAGATAGAGCAGGCTTTCAATCGTCGTCTTGAGCAACTGTCTCAGGAGCACAGTCGGGCACTTGAATTGTCTCGTGAAGATAAGAATCGCGCAGAAGCTTACTTCAAGGATCGCTTGTCCCTCGCTGATTCCAAGATGGAGCATCTTCACGAGAAACTTGCGCTTATGGAAGAGCGACTTACGATTGCCAAAGAGGCCGCAAGTGCGGCTGCTGCTGCTGCTCAGTCTGCCAAGGCGGATTCGACTTCTACTCGACCCGAGAAGATTTCACCTCAGGCGCTGCGTGAGTCTATCGCCGTCTTACAAGAGCAACTCCAAGAGCGTGAAACGCGAATCGAATCACTTGAATCGAAGTTGGCCGAAGTGGACATTGATGCTCCCAACAAGCTAAAGGAGCGCGACGCTGAGATCGCCTGGCTGCGAGAGCTCCTCGGCGTCCGCGTCGACGACCTGAACGACCTCATCAATGCCCTCGCGCAACCCTCTTTCGACCGCGAAGCCGTTCGCGACGCAGCCATTCGCATCCGCACGAACCTCCAAATGGAGCAGCACGAAAAGGAGCGCCTCATGACAGGCAACAACCAGTCGTTCCCGACCCTCGCCACCCTATCCAATTTCGCCTCGCCCAAGGCCGTCCAGCTCGCCGCCGCCTTTGGGAACTGGCGTAAGGGTCGTGAGAACGCGTCCAGCGCTCTGGCCGGCAACAGCTCCTCGCGTAACCAGACGCCGTCGCGTGTCCAGGTTCCTGCGTCAGCGCAGTCGTTTCTATCCGGTCTGATGACTCCACCTACGTCCAACCTCCGCCGAACCCCGGACATTGCATCCTCTTCTCGTCGCCGCCCGGAAGGTCACAGCTTACTCCGCACGGCGTCAGGATCGGACGCTGGGTTCCCAAGCTTAGGCAAGCATCCAGCGCCCAGCACACCGCCGCTGCTGAGGAGCGCGGCGTACGATCAGGATGCCGAGGATGGGGGTTTCAGCGAGAGCGGATTTTACGACGATGAAAGTACAGTCGATGGAGGAGAGACGACGCCCGTGGAAATTCGGTTTGGGAGGGAGTTGTTGAGGAGAGAAGGGGAGGGAGAGGGCGAGGGAGAGGGGGAAGTGAGGAGTGAGTAGGGGAAAGGGTGATGGGAGGGAGGAATGTGGTAATGTTTCCTTTGTATATGCGCGTCTCGATTTCTTGTTTGTAATCCTCTTTTGCCAGCGTAGCCGTGCGTGCATGGGCGTGGGGCTTACATACTTGCACTCTCTTGCTTTTCCTTGTTCTTACCTGTTTTCTTGTTTCTGTTGATACCTGTCTCTCGTTCATCGTAGCCAGCGTCTGGTTCATTGTTGGAAGGATGGATGGATATACCCCCTAAGAAGATTGTTGGAGGCATACTACTGCTCTTTACTACTAGACTGCATAAGCCGTATCGTTTTGTACATCGAAATCTTTCTCTGCTTGGCATTTCTCTTCCGTTGTTCCTGTTGCGTCGTTCGTAGATAGATCTTTTTGTAGGGGGAGGGAGAGAAGGAGAGAGGAGAGAGGAGGATAGATAGATTGGTTGCTTGCCTGTTTTTCGTGAAAATTAGGAGAAGGATAGAGTATATACATAATGTAGTAAATCATAATAAAGCAGATGCTCGTACACTTTTACTGTTTTTTTTATCGGCTGCATAGGTATAGGGTAGGCATTAGATCTGTAGAAGGGAGTAGAGTAGAGTAGAGCAGAGTGAGGGAGGAGTAGTGCGAACCTAGGCCAGCCGAGGGGCCTCTCTAGCTCTCCTGCTCTCTGGTTCCAGCGCGCGGAAGGCTTATAAGTACGTACGGCATCGACAGCTAGTTTAGTAGCATCATGAAGTCGTAGTTTTCCTTTTGCAGACGGCCCACGATAAATATATCTAGTATCACGGGTATTTAAACTACCAGCTCTCTTGCTGTAACTTCTGTAAGCTATAGACGATTAAGAAGGGAGTACAGGATCGGTGCTTAGCGGCCAAGAAACAGCGTCGAGTGAGAGGGGGAGGAAGAACTAGGGAAGGATATAACTAGAAGGAACTCTAAATCGACGAATTACTCTATACTCTATATGCTCTTAGGCGGGCCTGTACACGCATGCGTGAAGAGCTACAAACGAATTCCAATGTGTGAGCATCACGTTTAAGGCAGCTGCCTCGATCTCATATTCATCAAGCCGCACGCACTCACGCATATCCGCATCAACGATGAGAACATCCACATGGTGAGAAGCTTTTGCTCCAGGTTACCCTGCTATTAAGTTACCCGCTATTGGAAGCTATTGGTATATCGATGACCACCTTGACCCTTCAGCTCACGGCAGACTGTCCCATGAACCTTGCCCATGTGACCAATACCATCGAAGCCGCCATCGCCGTCGCTGCTCGACAGTATGCAATGCCAGCGAAGTTCGAAAGGTGTCGATGTTCGACAAGGAAAGAAAAGAAGAGAGAAGGAAACAAGTGTATGCAGTAGGCACTGAGACTCTGAGACACCAAGACACATAGTGACTTAGAGACCGAAAACACATGCTCGCTGAAAAGGCAAAATAACGTCGTCAATCATCGAAGCTGGTCGCAACCAGGGCATCGTCAACGTTAACGGGTGGGTCGAGGAAGTATTCTCGTGCGGGAGTCGACTTGCATGAATTCCCTCTGGAAAGCCGCTTCGCCATGCTGATGAACCGACTTGGTAAGAAGGTAAGCACCTTGGGTGGCCAAGCTAGAAGATGCCTTCGTTGTGTCTGAGCCCGCCTCACGTCCAGGGTCATTTCCTGCACTGTTTCGCTGCTGTCGTTGTCTGAGCCCAATGCTCACGTCCAGAGCCATTTCCTGCACTTCTTCGCCCCACAGAGACACGGGACCCCCCCTTCGCCCGGTTCAGGAGTCTTACTGTCCCCCTCTTCTTCCTCCCTATCCATGTAGTCAAACGTCAACTCCTCGCCAGCAGGAATGTCCCTGCAAGCGAAGAGCGCAATGTCGTAGATATAGATGTCAAACTTGTTGTAGCTGACAGTGTACTGTCGACAGTTTGGCTCGCAACTGTGATTGATGAACTTGGTAGGACCGCCCATGAACTCGCCGTCGACAACACAGATCCTGGATGGGTCTATATTGTCGTCTGCGAATTTGTCCAGCTCATAGAGATAAGAAGCTTTGGCCTTAGATGCAGATCGCTCACGCCGCGTTGCTTCGGCATCTGTTATGACCTCTCCGCGGTACGTGTCAATAAACTCGCCTTCTACGAGATCTTCTTTGCATCGTAGGCCCCATCCACGACCGTCAGGCGTCTTGAAGATTTCCACCTCCTTCCTGCGACCAAACTGTACGTTCTTGTTACGACAGTAATTGCCGCACTTGCACTTGTCGTTGCATTCGTATATCATGCGCCGAGAGTGCAGGTAGAAGCCTACAAGCGTGCCAGGCTTATGCGTTGTAGTGTCCTGTGTGTAGTAGGGGAATTTCTTAGGAAACCCAACAGTAGAGCCCCCTTCTGCCATCACCTTTTCGTAGAGCGCTCTCTGGTCTTCTCTCAGGCGTTTTTCGTCAACGTCGGCAAACTCCAGACAGTCGCATTTCTGCGTGTATTCACAGCCAATGTTGCGACTCATGCTAGGAGAGCACTTTTGACAGCCTACTTGGCTACCAGGATCCGCCCGGACAACACCCTCACCGTAGACGTATTCAGTAATGTACTTGAATCGCAGCGACGGGGTTGTAGAGTCATAGATATTGACAAGGTGGATAGGGGGTCCAGGAACTTTCGCCAGCCTCCTAACGTATTCTGTCCTAATCATTCTGGCTGCAACATCGACTTTTGATGACCATGATTCCTGGAGCATCCAGGGAGTAGGAACGCGGGAAAGTTCGAGTTTGGGGATGTCTGGAGCTGATGCCTGGAGTTCGTGCGTTAGTGAAAGTAAAGGCTTTAGAGAGTAAGACTCGACGGCAACGTACAGCTTTGCCATAAATGATGTTATATTCCGACTTGATCACCCCATTGTATATCTCTATTCCTAAGCTCCTTGTTGCGCCAGTCAGAGGAACCAGTGAGGACGATCTTGACGATGAGGATTCACGGCTTCCATCATTAAGGCGCCGCCCAAACGGCGAAGGGTGTCTCTCACTATCCGCGTCGCCGCTGTCAGGTGACTTCCGCTTAGATGGGTGTTCCTGAGGGGGTAGGTTTCCAAGTGCCCTGTAAGAGGATCAGAATAGCTCAGAGACAATTCGCTAAAATATTCTTACTCCTCCCTGCTATCCAGGTATACCTGTACCTGCTCCAGGCACCGGCTCAGCTCCCAGATGTAGTGCCAACTCAATGGCGGGTTCGGTGTCGAAGACTTGGTTATCCATCGCACAAGGTATTGCTCATCCTAATGGGGTAATATCAGATTACCTAATCGCGTTGGAAGGCACGGCGCTTGGAAGACGACTTACCCCGTGCTTGAGTCGATTGGCGAGGATCGAGTGGACCTAAAGTAAGCAATCAGTTCAAAGGTTCCTGTCTTGCTAGAAGCAAGTAGTAGTGCGCCAATATCCCTGTAAAGTCCGTACCTTGTCCGCCCTAACTCTGCTTTCGCCAGCGCGCACTTCGACGCGAGAAACCCAGGCCGTAGAGCTGTATATACTGTTAGCAACAAGTAGGAATAGATTAGGCTGCAGCAGCTGTTTCAGAGCTGTAGGGATCCGCAATGCGCACATTTAACTTACCTCATGGCTGACGCGTCTGGCCGCGTTTCTCAAGGCTACTAACCCTAGCAACGTAGAACGCCCTGCTAATAGTAAAGAGACTGCAAAGACAGTTTCTAACGTTTTAGAAACTAGGTTGTTGTTGTAAATAGAATAAGGCAAGGAAGTTAAGTAAAAGTTAAGGAGTTTAAGGCAGCAGAAAAGCGTGCCTCGCTAAACAAGCTTGGTTCACCGCTTATTTTGCTTACGTAAGCTAAAAACACTAATTAAGCTTTTTATGTTAAAAGGCAAAAGAAATTTTGTAAGAGCAAATAAGTTAGTTTATTCCTAGGTATAGTTTGTACTAGTAGTATTTCTATCTTAATTTCTTAGGTTTCTTTTTAGATTCTTGTAACCTACTTATATAGATAATAAGTCTCTATAAAACAGCCTAGTAATAAAACGTTTTGCAGCAAGAGAAACGTGTTCCTCTTTGCAATATTCACGCATTGTTTTTGTTACATTCAAGTTGTGTTCACCTCGTCGTAAAAAGCTGCTTCAAGTTGCGTTGGTTGGTGCTCGTTGTCTGTATCGCCTTAATTTACCCGTCTTCCGTTGAGTCGTGCATTAACTAACATTCCTAGCAAGTAACGTTAAAGCAGTGGAACAATTAATCGCAAGCTACAACTAGTACAGAGCACTCTCAAGCAGAACAACAGATTGTCGGCACAGTAGCGGGACAGACATTAGAAGAAAAGAAATCGATCCTGCATGAACACAGGGGAATAGCGACGGCTAATTTTCTCGTCAAAGCTCCTACTAATTTAATTAAACCCATCCATTGTTTCCACAACAGAGCCTCAAGTATACTGTAAACCAATTCTTGCCATCAAGAGCACCCTCGCGTAGGGCTTCTTTTAGTCTAATAAAAATCCCAAAACGGTCGAATGAAAACCTTGCAGTTCAGAGCTCCGGCACCAGCCACACGTGGCGCCCCGCTCGCCTTATCGATAACCTTAAATTTTCATGCGGGACGTTAAGGTTAGGGAAACACCACAAAGAGCTCCGGCACCAGCCACACGTGGCGCCCCGCTCGCCTTATCGATAACCTTAAATTTTCATGCGGGACGTTAAGGTTAGGGAAACACCACAGTTCCGCAGAAGCCTTTACAGCATACTCGCATACCGATCTTGGCTATCTCTCCACAGTAACCCATACAAAATGGCGACCGAACCTCAAAACAGCCCCTTTATAAAAAACCTCGCCTCAAGTGGTAAGCTCCGTCATCCACCTCAAGTCCAGGTCCTTGAAACTCACACCTACTTCTCTAGACAAGAAAACCCGCGATCAAGCCCTCTCCTCCCTACGCACGTACCTCAGCAACCGCGCCTCCATACCCACACTCGACCTTCTCAAGCTCTGGAAAGGCCTCTTCTACTGCCTCTGGATGCAGGACAAGCCCCTGCACCAACAACGCCTAGCCCGCGACCTCGCTTCTCTGGTGGATATCCTGCATGCCGACGTCGTGTTACCGTTCCTGGACTGTTTCTGGAAAACGATGGCGAGGGAGTGGGTCAATATTGAGGCGTTGCGGATGGATAAATATCTGTTCTTGATTAGGCAGGAGCTCAATGCGAGTTGGAGGTATTTGAGTCGCAACCGGTGGGGGGATAAGGAGAAGGTGGAGAAGTATATGAGGATTTTGGAGGAGACGCCGTTGAATGCGGTGGATGTGAAGATTCCGAACGGGTTGCGGTATCATGTCTTGGATATCTATGTGGATGAGCTGGAGAAGGTGGGTGGGGACGGGTGGGATCTGGAGACTCTGGAGGTGTTGTTGGAGCCGGTGAGGAAGTTGCAAGAGGAAAGTAAGACGAAGGCTGTGAGGAAGGCGGCGAAGGAGGTGTTGGAGGATGCGAGGTTGAAGAAGTGGAGGGGGGAGGAGGTGGAAAAGAAAGATGAGGATGCAGAAATGGCCGAGGATGGGGCAGATGAGGAATGGGGCGGTATTGAAGACTGATGCGGTCTGCAATTTCGTACTTCACATCAGGCGAGGCGTTTGGGAGGGCTCATTTCATTCATGGTATTTTCAAAAATCTACTGATACCTGGCCAACCCATTCGGCCGATAGGATTTCCATGGGCTTGTAATGTAACATCATCCCTTAGACCGCTACTCTCACATTCATGCATATGACCTTGCACTCTCTACGGCCACGGTGGATCCTCCACCCTTCGGAAACACGCCACAAACTTTTGACCCCCATTCCTTGTCACCTTCTTCCCCTCTTCCGTCTCAGACCTCATGATATGAACACACTCATCCTGCTCCTGCTCCTCTTCCCCAATCCTCTCGAAGCTCGGGTGCTTCTCCAGATGCTCCACCATCCACCTATGCAAATCCTCCACATCAGTAATCGTATACACAATCCCGCCAGGCCGGAGCACATAAGCGTATTCGGAGCTGAGCGTGTAAGAAACGATCCTGGCTTTGTGTTTCCGCTGCTTGAAGTGCGGGTCCGGGAAACAGAGAAAGATCTTGCTGAGTTGATGTTTGGAGAAGAAGTTGGGCAGGAATTTCATCGTGTTGGCGCGGATGCAAGAGACGTTTTGGAAGCCGTTGGTTGCGGCGTTTTGGGTTCGTAGTGCGCGGACCTTTTCTTGCACATATTCTGTAACTGATATCCGTATCTCCATGCCTGATTGAAAGTTAGTGATGTCCTTAGCTATTGCGTCGCATTTCGAGCCGTGCGACAGAAGAAGGCAAACACACCAAGCATCAACGTGTCCGGAAACCTCGGCGCAAGTGCGAATAATAGCCCTCCATAACCACAGCCAATATCTGCAATCTCGACGGGCTTGCTGATTGCTCTTCTTGACGATACTTGGGCTGCATCATGTGACTCGTCTTCTGTTCGCACCGCCGAATCATGTTGAACCGCATATGCAGGATAATGAGAGGCCCAATCCATATCCTTGGGGCTCTTGGGACTATTCCATCGTATTAGCCCATGTAAAATGATGCAATTCGGTCTTCCTACTATGCTAGACAATGATCCGAAAACGGATTGGCGTGGGCACGCTGTCTGTAGAATTTCTTCTTCGGCAGCGCGGCCTGCTGCTCCTCGCTCTCGACGGAGCTCTTGTACGCCTCCCGCTTTTGCCGTTTCGCTGGTTCGCCTGGCATGTCGAAAATTCTGTTCGCGAGTGTATAAAGCGGTTGCGCAGTGTGTGCAAGTGGCAGGTGCAGTGAATTGTAGCTCGAGTAGGTTCAAGCGAGGTTGGATCAAGCTTTTCGCTAGCGGAAACTTGCAGCATGGATAAGAGCATCTCAATCTGCAAACAATTGTTCAACACAGAGAAAAAGCATATGATTCAAGATCGTGCTATATCAGATAGCGGAGCCATCGTTGTGAAACAAAGGGAAGTTCTCTTGCAGTTCGAGAAAAAGCGTCCGAGGACTTGACCATATACACCGAAAAGGAAATCCGCCCGGATACAAGGGACCCGCTCATGAGCCAATGATTCTCGTATACCCAGCTACGTTGCGTCCTTATATGCACCGTTCCCGTCATCAATCATTATTAACAAAATTCAATTGCGCCTTGACACCCGTAGTCCTCGATATGATCGAGCCGAAGCCTCTGGAACCTGCGGAATGTTGGTAAGGGAGATTGAACCGGTCGGAGGGGTGAGACTTACTTCTCGCTCTTTGCGTGAAAATAGATGCCTTCAATACCCCCGGAGACTTGGTTGAAACAGATGTAGTAGAAGCCTTCAAAACTGGCGCCGTTGATCGTGCGCACACGGTGATCGGGTACGAGAAAATACTCTTTCCACCGCATGAACATATGTTCGTTTTGTAGCCAATCTTTTGGAAGCATGTCCGGGCGCGAGGATAGCTTGGAAAGAGGTTTGTATGCCGCGAACCTCGCCCAATGCTGTCTATCGACCTTCTCGTTCGAACCCCATTCCGGATGTTGCGTGATAAAGCTATACTTGTTTCCTATAATTTCACCCTCGAAATATGTTGTGAGGCTTGGATGGTCTTCTGTGAGGCCTGTGGCAATGGATTAGCCCATGTCCCGGTTCGCTGGTGACAAGTCGCAACGCACCTTTTATGCGGAGATAGCCGCACAAAAATGACTCCCGCACGTCCACATACTTGATCTCTACCTCAACTTCGTATTTCTGACGGTCCGACGTCTGATAACCAACAAACTTGCTCCCTGGGCGCAGGCGCGAGGACGAGGTATATGGCAGCAGCTGTGCAATACGGTTAGCTACATCCTCATCTCTCAGCAACCGCTTCGCACCGTCCCCTCAGCTTGCGAACCATACATACCCTGTGCCTTGGAAAAGGTGATCTGTAAGGTCCGTTCTGAATCCATGACGCTTGTACCGGTGTCGCCGCAGCTTGCTGGTTGCGCTGGTTTTCACCTGGTTCTTCCTGCACGCTCGCAGGAGTGGGGAATCGCATGAGACGCGAGAGTTCAGATTTGACCTTTTTCGTATGCGGCGAAGGGTCCGCAGGCGACGTCACGCTTGGTTGCCGTTCTTGATCTCCGGGTGGTGGAGTTGGCACTTGGGTTGGTCGCGTGGGCGAGCTATCGCCATTATCGATCGATGCGGTGAATTGCGGAGACATCAAATCAGGTAGGGCGTGGAGGCGCGATTCTTCTGGACAAGTAGCGAGTCCGGCGATGGTACTTTCGTGCTCTGGCGGCGGTGACAGCATTGCATCGTCGGGTGTTGGCATAGTCGGGGGGAACAGACGAAGGCGAGCCTTGTAAGTTCACAGACACGGGACTACGAGGGAGACATGAGATGAGTAGTCGACATGTGGATGAGAAACAAGCAAACTCAACGAAGAAGATTGTAGGAACGGATGAGGGGCATGTTGTTGTGGACGATGAGGTTGGAAAGGCGGCATGGTCTGCAAATCTGGACGCAGGGCTTCTCCGGGGCCAGGGCCGACGCGGGGAAACGGCGCTAAGCCGCACGTGCAGATAGATCTTCCCTAACGGGACCCCGCCCTGTCTCCAGTATTACCTGAGCAGCCTATGTAAGCTATAGAAACGGCAAAATAGCACTTAAGAGAGATATGTAAAGCGGTAAGGGCGTGCCTATACTTCGAGCTCACTGGTACGGTAGGCAAGTTGCCAATTGTGAGTGCTTGCAAAACTCGGAATGCTACTTTTGCCACCATCAGGTCGGTTCGCATAGACCAAGACCTCAGAGCCTTCTTTTCGAAAATGCCTTTACATGCTTTGTGACAGATGATCCGCCGGTCCTGAAATGGACGCGCCTGGACTCCAAACTCCTGATATTACCGCCCCTGTGCTTTTCGTAGCAGGTTCATCGTCAAGACCGGGTGAAATGGAAGACACCATATGCAATTCCGAATGTCGAGTTCAGATAGGCTTAATCTGCAAAGGGAGGATGGTCAGTGAGCATTTCGGTTTTCAGAATAGAGAGGGTGTTCTGACCTTGAAGTGCAAGGAGATGAGTGAGAAAACGAGAGCTTTGAGGTCTTGGACGAGGTAGTAGAAGACGCGCAAACCCTCGGGATCCGCGGAATCTTGAACGTCTTGTAATGAGCCAATCTTTGCAGTCTGTCAAAGTCAGTATCTCTAGGCCCAGTGGACATGAGTAGGGGCATCATTACCTCAAAAGATATGTGCTCATTGCCCATACGAATCTCCAGCTCTTGCCGGCCATCCTTATTCTTCTGGGGCCACTTCGTGTCATCTTCTCTATTTTCGCGTGTAAGCCAAATGGTGCCCCATTGACAATCCTGTTCTTGACTTACTTCATAATCTCAGACTCCTTCACAATTCGCTTGATCTCTGCGATTAGAGCATGGCTCACACACACTGGATCGATGAGCGGAATTCCCAATCACTCCGGTGCAGGCTCCGTCTTACTCTCTTTCCGAATCAACGAATCATTGCGGTAATTCGAGTTGTTGGCATATCGAGCCGATGCACTCCGTCCGTCTCCAAGAACACGGAAGTCAAACTCTGGCGACATCAGGATGCGACCCTGGACACGCGGTTCATACTTTATGCCACCACATACCCAGAAACTCGTGACCGAACCTCCCTTGGTGGCCGGAGCTGCAGAGAACGTGAGCAACTCTGTAAATGGAAGTAAGGGGCGGTCATACTAGTATCGTAGATAGAAAGTATCGTTTGAGCTCATTTTCGGAGGAACTGGAGGGGTTGCAGGGTGTTCAGTTCATCTAAAGAGGTCTCTGGGACGAACGGTTCCTCCGAGTTTGAGGATGCCAGCGGCTGACCCCTGTCCCGCTAACCGAGTGATGCCAAGGCCAGGACCACTTTCTCGACCTGACACGGTTGACCCTGATGATGCTTGACTGGAGTTCAGCACGCAGTTGCTCGCCGAGACTGTGACACTGCGCATGTACCTTTCTCCTCTCCGCCGGCCAGCTTCCACACGCCCAGCTCCCACCAATTCCACGCCACTAGCCCACTGCAACCCAAGGGGCTCCCTCAATAGAAATCCAGACGAGTCGGCCCGCGTACCTCTCCTCTCGACGGGAATTGACGACGGCGGCCGATCGTTGGACCTACGAGGCATTTCGATAAAGATCTAGGGGAGATCTAGACGCCAGCACCGCTGAGCGAAGCGTGCAATATGGCGACCTTCCTGGAGAACTCATACAGCCTGGTAAACACCACCTGGCGTTATTGGGAGCTTCAAGAAGCTGACCACCTGGATGAGTAGGTCCATCAGGACAACACGGCCGATATCCCGTCTCAGAATGAGCTTAAACAGGCGCTTGAGAAGGGCACCGATGAGTCCAAGATTGAGACCATGGTGCGCTACGACCATTTCATTACCCCGCGGGGTCCGAATCGAACATGCTCTGACAATCACCGCAGAAGAAGATCCTCTCCATAATGCTGAACGGCGACCCTCAGACGGGCCTCTTGATGCACATAATACGATTTGTTATGCCTAGCAAGTCCAAGCCTTTGAAGAAGCTCATGTATTTGTTTCTGGAGGTATGTCCGAAGCACGACTCTCAAGGGAAGCTTCGCCAGGAATGGATATTGGTGTGGTGCGTATTGCCTTCAAGTCGACGACTTGGAAAACAGCTAATTCGTTCAAAGCAATGCCATCCGTTTCGATCTGCAAGCTCCCAACGAATATGTCAGAGGAAATACACTGCGTTTTCTGTAGGAATTCCTCGCACATCGAGTGTTGCGTTCTCGCTCTAACACACATTCCAGTTGCAAGCTGCGGGATGCAGAGTTGGTAGAACCGCTTCTACGTACGTCCCTCTCTAAATGTTCATATTTCGCCAAACTTGCGCTGATTCGTTCCTAAGAACCCGCTCGCCAATGTCTTACCCATAGACATGCCTATGTCCGCAAGAATGCCACGTTCGCGATCGCCTCGATATACACTCACCTGCCTGAATTGCTGCCAGATGCTCCCGACCTGTTGCTCACATTTCTGGACGAAGAGAATGATTCTACTTGCAAACGCAACGCTTTCGTGGCACTTGCGTCCATTAGCCATGAAAAGGCGCTTGAATATCTGAGTGGAGTTTTCGACTCAATACCGAATCACGATGAGCTTGTACTTCTGGCCGAATTGGAGTTCATACGCCGGGACGCTGCTATCAACCCACAAAACAAAGCGCGATACCTACGGTTGATCTTTGACCTTCTCGAGTCCAGTGTTTCGACCGTCATCTACGAAGCAGCCCACGCCCTCACCACACTCACTCACAACCCAGTAGCTGTTAAAGCTGCCGCCGGTAAATTCATCGACTTGGCAATCAAAGAACCAGACAACAACGTCAAGCTGATCGTGCTTGAACGGGTTGACCAACTGAGAGAAAAGAATGAGGGCGTACTGGACGACTTGACCATGGAGGTCCTCCGTGTCCTCTCGAGCACCGACCTGGATGTACGGAAGAAAGCGCTCAACATCGCTCTTCAAATGGTGACAAGCAGGAATGTGGAAGAGGTAGTCCTGCTTCTGAAGAAGGAGCTTATGAAGACGGTCGACGAGCAGTATGAGAAGAACACAGAATATCGATCCCTGCTGATCTCCTCTATTCATCAGTCGGCCATCAAGTTTCCAGAAGTTGCTGCCAGCGTTGTTGGCTCGCTCATGGACTTCATCTCCGACGCGAGCAGCAACGCCTCTGCTGTGGATGTCATCGCCTTTGTGAAGGAGGTCGTCGAACGTTTCCCGGATCTGCGGCCATCGATTGTGGAACGTCTGATCACGACACTAGGCGAAGTCCGCGCCGGCAAGGTCTATCGTGGAGTCCTGTGGATCATTGGAGAGTTCTCACTGGAAGCGAAAGATATTCGCGATGCTTGGAAGGGTATTCGCTCCTCTCTTGGCGAGATTCCTATCCTTGCTTCAGAACAACGGCTACTGGATGAGGCTTCTGAAGGAAAAGAACCCGAAGATCAGGTTAACGGCCACACCAAATCATCAGCTCCTTCAGGCTCTCGCAAAGTTCTCGCTGACGGCACTTACGCTACCGAAAGCGCATTCACTTCCTCAGCGGCGGATAAGGCGAAATTGGACGCAGTTAAGAACTCGCAAAAGCCTCCTCTGCGCCAACTCATCCTCGATGGGGACTACTATCTTGCTACTGTTCTGTCAAGCACGCTCACCAAACTCGTCATGCGACATTCGGAGATCTCCAAGGACACAGCACGCACTAACGCTCTTCGCGCGGAAGCCATGCTCATCATGATCTCCATCATCCGCGTCGGCCAATCACAGTTTGTCAAGACTCAGATAGATGAGGATTCCATCGATCGAATTATGTCATGTGTGAGATCTCTCTCTGAGTTTCCGCAGAGGAAGGAGCTCGAGACGGTGTTCCTCGAGGATACACGGAAGTCCTTCAGGACTATGGTGCAGACTGAGGAAAAGAAGCGTGCCGCAAAAGAGGCGGTGGAGAAAGCGAAGTCGGCGATAAACGTAGATGATGCGTTCTCTATCCGACAGCTCAAGAAGAAAGATCTGGATGGGGCTGATGAAATTGAGCAAGATCTGGAGAGAGCGATGGGCGGCGATACTGCCACCGAAGATCTCACCTCAAAGTTGAGCAGGGTTGTACAGCTCACTGGTTTCTCCGATCCCGTTTATGCGGAAGCTTATGTCAAGGTAAGTTCAAGACCAGTATGCCAGTATGTTTGACACGCCACTGACAATTCAGGTCCATCAATTCGACATCGTCTTGGATGTTTTGCTTGTCAATCAGACAACCGAAACCCTGCAAAACCTCACAGTTGAGTTTGCTACGCTTGGTGATCTCAAGGTTGTTGAGCGGCCTCCTACGCAGAACGTGGGTCCTCACGACTTCATCAACCTGCAAGCCACCATCAAAGGTAAGCATAACAACCTCCTTTCCCAACTAGTGCTCAACCGTCACAGTTTCATCAACGGACACGGGTGTCATTTTCGGCAACGTCATTTATGAGGGCGAAAAGGGCGTTGATTCCAACGTCGTCATCCTGAATGACGTGCATGTGGACATCATGGACTATATCAAGCCAGCTCATTGCACTGAGACGCAGTTCCGCACCATGTGGACAGAGTTTGAGTGGGAAAATAAGGTCAACATCAACTCCAAGGCCAAGTCATTGCGCGAGTTCCTGAAACAGCTGATGGCATGCACCAATATGAGCTGTCTAACCCCGGAGGCGTCTATGAAAGGAGACTGCCAATTCCTTTCAGCCAATTTGTACGCCAGGAGCGTGTTTGGTAAGCCACCTTCATCTCTATCATTCAATTTTGCTGACGTTCGTGCAGGCGAGGATGCGCTTGCCAACTTGAGCATCGAAAAAGAGGGAGAAAACGGTCCTATCACAGGATTTGTGCGCATTCGCAGTCGCTCACAAGGTCTGGCTTTGAGCTTAGGCTCTCTCAAAGGCTTGAACAAGGTTGGCGGATCGTAGTCGATATTGATTCGATAAGAATACCAGCGTTAGGTTCTGTCTTCAGCAGCAAGCTGCGACTTGGCTGCCCACCCACCCGACGGTTGGTTGGCTTGGGTGTTGTGGAGAGTATGCATGCTGGTGCGTGCCTGGCCAACAAAAGCCGTTAGAGGCCGGGGGATTCATGAGGAACGTCGGTTGCAGAGTAACGGAATGGGGTAGTGATAAGACACGGCAGCCATGGCGGGTTATGTTCGTTCGATACTTTAGCATGCAGCATCTCTCCAAGACACGAAACTTCCCTAATGTTGATGGACAACGAGGATAACTTTGGTGCACACGGGCACTATTCTTCTCATCATGAATGCCACTAAGCCTGGTCGGGTTAGCCACTTTTCCCTCGGCTGGAGTTGCCCCGCCCTACCACTATCTACTTCCTTTTCTCACGTACGACAGGTGTTCCGAGCGTCCGCAGAGGAGTAGCTTTCCTATAAATCTCACCTCATATTCTCCCTTTGCACTGCACTGCATAAGCAGAGATGCAGACGCACTCGTTCAGGATTCATTTACCATGACGGGTTCTGCGCACGAAGATCCCTTTCAAGACCCTTCTTCAGACAGCGCTGGCCCGCTGCTGAAAGCCGCGCAATCCACCATCAGCGTTCCGGACAGGCTTGCTATAGGGCGAAATGCGTCGCTGACACTTGGGACTGATTCGTTGGTGGTTCTGGGTGCGTTCTTTCGAATTGAGCCTGTAGACCGAACATTAATCAAGTATAGACGAGGCACTGCAGCAGAGTCAAGGGACAGTATGCTGTGGCTTCAGCTTCCCTAGCAGTTCATATCACCCACCCATATAATCGATAATCCTCCACTAACGATACTGCAGAACCGAAGACTACACGTTCGATACCCTTCTATAATGTGCTTTGGGCCGCCCAGTCCGAAGATGGAGAAATCACGATCCAGTACGCGCATCCCGTTTCGAAAAAAGTCGTTCGTCCTGGCACCATAAGCTATCGACTTGACAAAGCCGACAGCGCAGACGTACCTGCGTGGATAGAGAAGCTGTTGTCCCGCGCATATGGATCCTCCCAACGGCAAAAGCGCATCAAAGTGCTGATCAACCCTTTCGGAGGTCAAGGCTCGGCCCTGAAGCTGTACAACACACACATTGCGCCTATTCTGGCGGCTGCTCGATGCGAGCTGGACGTAGAGAAGACACAGTACCGCGGGCATGGGGTGGAAATAGCGCAGAAGCTGGATATTGACAAGTATGACGTGGTCGCCTGCTGCTCTGGCGACGGGATACCCCACGAAGTGTGGAATGGTTTGGGCAAGAGACAGGACGCGGCTAAGGCGCTGGAGAAGATCGCGCTGGCACAACTGCCTTGCGGATCTGGCAACGCGATGAGTTTGAACCTCAACGGCACGGATAGTCCTAGTCTGGCAGCTCTGGCCGTCGTCAAGGGCCATCGCACGCCAGAGGATCTGGTGTCCGTTACTCAAGGAGACAGGCGCATGCTCTCCTTCTTGTCGCAATCAGTGGGCATCGTAGCGGAGACGGATCTGGCTACAGAACACCTCCGATGGATGGGCAGTGCGCGCTTTACTTGGGGCTTCCTCGTCCGTTTTCTTCGCAAGACAAGCTATCCCGCCGACATCGCCGTCAAGGTCGAATATGCCACCAAGGAGGAAATCCGCAACGCCTACCGGGCTGCAGCCGCAAATCCGCCTCGTACTCCGAAGAAACAACCGCTTCAAGCAGCAGATGCGGGTCTTCCCGACTTGAAATACGGCACCGTCAACGACCCCCTCCCCGACTCGTGGACCCTCGTTCCGCACGACCAACTGGGCAACTTCTACGCCGGGAAAATGGCCTACATGTCCCCCGATGCCAACTTCTTCCCGGCCGCCCTCCCCTCCGACGGCTGCCTCGATCTCATCCGCGTCCGCGCCGACATCGACCGGCGCGCTAACATAGCGTGCATGCTCGCTGTTGCGGACAACAAGTTGTTTGACCTTCCCCAGGTGGACTATCAGAAGGTTTCTGCGTATAGGATCATCCCGAAGAATCAAAAGGATGGGTATATTTCGATCGATGGGGAGAGGGTGCCGTTTGAGCCGTTTCAGGCGGAGGTACATAAGGGGTTGGGGACCGTGTTGAGTAGGAAGGGGCATTTGTTTGAGGCCAAGGGGGTGTGAGGGATCGGTGACTTGATACCAGATTAGTCTCTTGTTTTAGCTCTTGGGTTATGTAATATGAGAATTTAGGTTTCTTTCTCTTGGCTGCATTTGAGTATCTTCATATCTTCAGTCCACTTGTGTTTTCCAAAGGGGTAATAGGATGGTGGAGGGGGGTTGGTGAAGATGTACCTAGTGGGTGTTCAAGACGTTCATGTTCAGTACGCAAAACTAATTGGGGAATATGCACTGTCTATATGTGAGAAGGACGATCGTAAAGGCAATACTGTAGTTTTGGAGCTCTTAGCAAGCGGGTTCACAGTGGTTACACTTTGCTGCTTGTCTGTAAGTGCGACAGCAAACTACTAGTGGAGTGTTTATAGAGTTTACGATAGGTCGACCTATTGAATGAAAGTGTTTAGGATAAACATATTAGAACAGAGTCCCTGGAAAGGCTTTCTACCACATTCGATTCTCGTACGAGGAATCAAGCTGTAGATTTTAGAGGTGGGAGACTTACTCTTCTAACGCATATGTTAGATTACTGCTCGTAGGAAGGCGGTTACTGTAATTGTCGATTGTCTTTAGAGTATACGTAGTGCTAGGTCGATAGACAATATCACTGCTAAAGCTTCGGGCAAATATCTCCCATGCAGTAGTAATAAGCCTATAGCTATACAGAATTAGAGCCCCTTATGTCTTGTAAGTCTAATAAAGCCAAGGTACAGGTAGTTTGTATAGAAGCCGCTCTACTAACTGTATCCTCGGCAGGTAAAGAAACAGAGTCTACAGACTCTTTTTACTATGCTTCATCTTCCCGTAACAAGCGTAGACCTTTAAATAGTGGCAAGAGGAAGGATAGCGGTTTTCCTGTTACCTGAACAATTGCTGAATTTGGCGTAGAGTCTATTGTGTATTTGCCTATTGCCTTAATATTATACACCCTGCCGAAATGTCCCAATTCAGTCCCCTTAGCCCATAACCAGAGATACTTGGATTCCACCAGCCTTCTCTCTCACAACTCCTCCAGAACGCCAGATCCGACTCGCGAACCTACTCTTCGGCTTCCCCAGACCCCATCACTCCGTCACAATAAGCCCGTGGTGGCCTCGACACACCTTGCAGTCCCACTCCATCCGGATGAGGAACTTCTTGTTTCTCTCTGGGACCCACTCGTAGTCCTCCTCCGCGACCTTGAAGACGCAGACCGGGTTCCAGGCGGGAACACCGTGCCTGTTGCAGTGCAGCCTCCTCTCCCGAACGAACGTTCGGTAGACGTGATCGCCTGCGAGGACCAGATCACGATACAAGGTGTATTGGAATTCATCGAGGAGCGCGCTCGTGAATTGCCTGGATGGCTCGAAGGCACTGCGGACGGCCATTTTCTGGACCATCTTGCCGGGGATGACGAGGCGGGAGTCGGGGGGAGGTGCGGAGAGGGATTCCAGTCCCATGGGGTTCGGGGGCTGGGCGGCGGTCGTCAGTGTAGGGGATGAGGGGAGGGTTGTCTTAGGCACCTCCACCGGACGAGGATCAAAGGTACGGACTCCTGGTTCAGTGAGATTGCATTCACAACGTAGATGCTGCTATTGTACTTACCGTCGTGAGGGCCAATGCTGACGGCAATGCACCGATCAATACCGAGACTGCAGAGCTTCTTCTCTTCCAGGATATCGTCAAGCAGCTCGTCGAGCCTACGCTCACGGTCCAGGATCCACTGTTGAAGGGCCTCCCGGGTTCCAGGAAAAGATTGGGGGACCGGCTCAACGGCCTGGCGCAACCTGAACTCATGCATGCGCAGCTCGTCGACCACCCTCTTAGCCATGGCATCTGCGATCCGGGTGATGAAGGCCATAAGCTCTGCAGACAATCCAGGAACGCTGTTACCAGCGCTCGTGGGTGTCTCACTGTCATTTCTGTCATCATCCCGGGCGTAGACGTACTGCGTGACTATCGCCGGCTCAGTCGTATTAGACGGCGGGTCGACCTGCTGCGTTGTTACAGCTGGCCCGTCCGCACCAAGCAGACCGTTGACGTGCTCTGTGATTGAAGCTGGTTCAGTTGCATTCGAAGACGCGTCCACATGTTGTCCAGTAGTAGCTCCCTCGTCCGCGTCAAGCGGAGCGTCGACGTGCTCTGTAGCTGTAGCTGGCTCGCTCGCATTAGGCGGTCCGTTGATGTTCATCGAAGCTACAAGTTCGACGAGCGCAATCCGCAGCTCCTCGACATGCTGTCTAGCCTCTTCCTCGGTCGCATTAGGCAGCTCATCGTCCTGCTCGATGGCCAGAGCTGGGTCGTCGGATGGAGGGCTCGTCCTTGAACCCATGACCTGAAACCAACAAAAGAAAAGATAAGACAGGAGAATTGACGGAGGAACGCGTCGCTGTAGCTGGGCTGGCTGCGGAGGTGGGTTGTAAGGGAAAAGGAGGGAAGAAGATTGTAGCCTGGACCGCGCGAGAAGATAAACAAACAGCGTTTGCAAGGCGTCACTGGAGACGAGCAGATTGAATCCACGTGCGGAGGTAGTGAAAGTCGCGAACGAGAGTCTGCCTGCCTGGCAGTGAAAGACCACCTACGCACACGCTGAACTGTATCATGGTTGACTCCAACCCCCCGTGCAAACGCCCTCGCAGCAACGCCACGTTAAGTTACAATGCTGTCTGCACCTGTGATAATAGAGGCTTTGAGAAAATGCAGTGATATACTTAGATGTAGCGGAACATGTTGTTCCGCAAGCTCCTCTTCATAGCGACCGGCTGCCCATCCTCATATTCCACGCCTGATGCTCCCCCGTCACCTGAAAGATCTTGCATCTTTGATTCCAGCTCTTTATCTAGCTCGGCTTGGGTCTTCTTTTTCTTTGCCGGTTGTGCATCGTCTGACGGTCTCGAGGAGTTTGTCTGAAGGCCGCCGTTAGTGGAAAAACTGACCAATTTCGAACTGGACTGGACAGAGGCATACAGTTGGCTGAGGATCTGAGGGTTTTGAAGACGAAACGGGTCCACTGGATACTTGTCGTTTCTGTACAAACGAAGAGCATATCCATCTCATAGCTGGGTGTGTTGTAAAGGAGACTTGGCGTAGGAGATGCACTCGTTGGGACATGATGACAGTTGATGGATTCAAATTTGAAACAGCGTCCACGTGAAGTAGCGGAAAATTGGGGTAATAGAGATTGATAGCAGAGATTTTGTGAAATTCTATCAGGAATGGAGACCGAGCGATGCGAATAAGGAGTGATAGATGTGAACCTTCATTACGTCAGTCCATTTCGCGATTACCTAAGCGCAGATGCCAAGACGAGCGGAAGTCGTCTAGCCTAACTACCTCCGTGAACATCCACTCCACGCGACTCCACGCGGTTTCGCTTTGCCAAAGGCGCCACACCACTTTCGCAGCTCAGCATGGTTGTCACAAAGGTCGGGCAATGGTCGAACGTGGAGGACGAGGTCCTAAAGGCGGCCATCTCCAAGTATGGCCTCAACCAGTGGGCGCGATGCGCCTCCCTCCTGGCCAAGAAGGTATGCGGCTCCTAAGGCTCCGAAAGAGTTGAACTGACGTTTACTCATAGACTGCAAAACAATGCAAAGCTCGATGGAACGAATGGCTAGATCCAGCTATCAAGAAGACGGAGTGGTCCAGGGAGGATGATGAGAAGCTTCTCACCATGGCAAAACTGCTTCCGACGCAGTGGCGCACCATCGCTCCTATTGTCGGACGGACCGCTACACAATGCTTGGAGCGATATCAAAAGCTTTTGGACGAGCAGGAAGCGAGGGAGAGCGGTGAACTCGGTCTTGCTGGGCCTGCGGGCGGAGAGTCGGCCGCACCAACAGCGGAAGATGTTCGTCGTTTGCGACCCGGCGAAGTTGACGCCTATGCGGAAAGCAGGCCTGCTCGGCCGGATGCGATCGATATGGATGAGGAAGATAAGGAAATGCTGTCAGAAGCGTAAGTGTGCAAGGTGCTGCGTGGATGAGCGTCTGTATTGACTGTGAGTAGGCGTGCACGATTAGCCAATGTAAGCGGGAAGAAGGCGAAGCGGAAAGCACGAGAACGGCAGTTGGAAGAGTCCCGGAGGCTGGCTCAATTACAGAAACGCCGCGAGCTCAAGGCTGCGGGCATAAACATCCGGATCACACCAAAGAAAGGCAATCACATTGATTACAATGCGGACGTTCCTCTTGAAAAGCACGTTCCTGCGGGGTTTTTCGATACCACGGAGGAACTGGAGCGAAACGAGCGCCAGCGGGAAGCATTTGATCCACGGAAGCAACAACTCGCGAACAAGCGCAAGGCGGAAGCGCAGGCTGAGGGTGGGGATAACAAGAGGAAGAAGAATGAGAAGGGATCAGGTGGGCTTGCAGCTTCCTATGCGAAGGTCGCGCAGATGCAGAGAATCCGCGAAGCCGAACAGAGCAGCAAGCGACGCCCGCTCAATCTCCCTGCTCCACAAGTAGGAGAAGCGGAGCTAGAAGATATTGTCAAGATGGGCATGGCTGGAGAGCGGGCGATAACAGGAACGAGTAATGACAATGCAGCCACACAAGGACTGGTGGGGAGCTATACGGGCCTAGTGCAGAGTACACCAATCCGCACGCCGATGGCGCCCAAGGAGGACGATGTGATTGCAAATGAGGTTCGCAACGCGCGATTGAGAACCGAAACACAATCCGCACTGCTTGGAGGAGATAACCCGGATCTTGTTGAGGACCGGACACCGTCCACATTGCCTGGGAAGGGTCCAAGGCACCCGATTGTCACCCCGAATCCCTTGGCTACTCCTTTCCGGCAAGCCAACGGTGGAGTTGGCGCAACTCCACTGCGACAAGGCCCGGGTGCCACTCCCTTCCGGACTCCCCGTGACACGTTGCATTTGAATGAAAGCGACGGGATGCAACTTGTTGGGCAGACTCCTCGGGATATTCGACTCCGCCAGGATGCCATGAGGCGAGACGTGCGGAGCAAGCTCGCTGCGCTGCCAAAGCCCAAGGAGACGGAGTGGGAATTTGAGGAACCGGAGGAACGACCCGAGGAACAGCCCGTTGAGCTGAGCGAGGAAGATGCGGCCGAGCGTGATAGGAGGGAGAAAGAGCTCCAGGCGGCAGCGGAGCGTGCGGAGTTTTCAAGGCAGTCCCAAGTTGTCCAACGTTTTCTTCCAAGGCCATCTCTGGTGGACGTGGATGCGATGCTGAAGAGAGCATCGGGAATGTCGGATCCGATCACGAGGGAAATTGAAACCGAGATGGCACTCCTTATCGCTCACGACCTGGCCAAGTTCGGGGGTGGCAAGGTCACTGGAACTGTCAAGCCTCTCCCATCCATGAGCGACGAGGCGTTTGAGGCGGCCAGGATGGAGGTAGCGCTTGAGACGTCGACGACGAGTGAGAAGGAGAGGAAGGCATTCCATGCTGAGTTTGGCACTGCGTGGACCCAGTTGCACGGCTCGTCGAAGCTTCCCGGCCTTGATGGTTACGAGGAGGATGAGGTGGACGAGCATCAACTGATGGTGGAAGCGTTCGACAGCGTGCAAGACAAGATCGTCGAGTCGGCACAGCAGGCCAACAAGATTGAGAAGAAGCTGGCGTTGCACTTTGGGGGGTATATCAAGCGTTCCAACCTTCTTCAGCAGAAGATTCGCGATGCATTCGGTGCGTTGGAGAAGACGCGAATGGAGCTCGACACGGCGAGGACCATGCAATATTCCGAGGAGTCGGCCATCAGCAGGAGATTGGAAGGGCTCCGCGACGAGGTTGCGCTGGTCAGCCGAAGGGAGAGGGAGGCTCAGGACCTGTATCGGGCTCGGAGGGATGAGCTCGGCAGCCTCAAGGAGCCGGTCAATGGTGTACACTAACGTTGTATAAGAGCGAGTGACTGTATTCTCTTGGTATAGAATGAGCCCTTGCATTCATCTCACGGCGTTTTGGACCTTAACTAGCAAATATACCCCGAGTCTTGGATCATGCCCACGTGCTGTCTAGTAGACTACTCGAGGGCTTCCATGGTCCAGGCCCGGTGGAACTTTTGAGGGGGCTTTGTTGGTACCTGACCCCCACTGCTACTGGGCGTCCAGGACAAAGATATAATGTGGGGTCCCACATCTTCGGGCCGTCGCGTGTCGCATTCGACGCACTTGTACATGTACTGGTTTGGCAATCCAAGCGCGGCCTCAATTAGGGTGTCTCAGGGGATGACGGAGGGCAGACGCAATTAGTAGGTAAATACCAACTCGTATTTATTTCTCAACTCCTCCACCTAACCGCCATGCCCACCCCTCGCCAGCTGCTGCTGCACGTCCAACGCTCCTGGTAACGTTTCTTACTCTAGCAAGCGCCTCCCGCGGCTCGCGGCTGCTCGTCAGGGTCCAGCGCAAGGGCACTCGGGTCGTCATCTCCGCCTGCCGTGCCACTACTGGTGAAACGTTCCCAGCGTCATTATTCTCCTCCACTCAGCTTCCCCACAATCCACCGACAACAACAAACACACGGATAGCTACTTTTATTTTGCCTTAGGCTGCTTTTTTTTATTATCATCTACTTCGTTTAGCTCCCCTTCCCAATACCGCATGCTGGTCTGTATCTCGTGAGAGGTGGCATGGGGCGCAACGCGCGGAAGCGGATATCCTATGGTACATACACATACCCACTTCCGCCCTTGCTTCTCGCTGCATCTACCCGACCACCTGTGTGATACAGATGCTAACCCCACTGTCTCTCGCTAGTCCTGCCCCTTTCCAAATCTGCTGGAGGACATGGGCTCGGCGTCAATGGCTTGGCTGTTGACCCAGTAAACTCCATCCTGTGAGCATTCCGCGAATCGACCCAGAAGCTGCACGCTGACACTCAGAGAGGTACTCAGGAGGACGAGACGGTTTAGTATGCACGTGGGACCTTCATCTCGACCTGACACGCAAGAGTCACGAAGAAGGCGATCCTTTGGCCGACTCCATCGCCTCGAATTCGAAACCGCCACCTACCCAGTTCCGCCAACAAGTCCAGGCACACTCGCACTGGATCAATGACATCGTACTCGCCCAAGGCAACTCTGCGCTTGTTTCAGCATCTTCGGATATAACAGTCAAAGTCTGGCGACCGGCTGCCCAGGACGTGATCCCTCCCCAAACCATTGGTCTGCACACCGACTACGTCAAGCGCGTGGCGTCTCCGGGACACCATGAGAGTTGGATAGCTTCCGGTGGTTTGGATCACAAAATCAAGTTATGGGATCTCAATGGTGCTGGCGAAAGACTGGAGATCACTGCGGGCGACGATGAACGGTCAGCCAAGGGCTCCGTGTATGCCCTGGCAGCCACTCCCTCCATTATCGCTAGCGGCGGCCCCGAGAGCGTAGTGCGCATATGGGACCCGAGGACCGGGAAGCGAATCACCAAGTTCGTGGGGCACACCGACATTGTTCGCGACGTCCTGATCACCCGAGATGGAGATACTATCCTCACTGCGTCCTCGGATCAGACAGTCAAAGTTTGGTCAGTGGCGGCTGGCCGATGCATGTACACACTGACCATGCACAACGATAGTGTCTGGTCTTTATACTCGGAGGATCCAAGGTTATCAGTCTTCTACTCGGCAGATCGATCTGGAATAGTAGCCAAGAGCGACGTGCGCAACTGCGCCGAGATGGATGAAGGAATCTCTGTAGCCGTCTGTCAAGAACATGGAGGAGTCTTCAGGGTCGTCCATTCCGGAGGGTACCTCTGGACGGCAACACAGAGCTCCTCCATCAACAGGTGGAGCGATGTGCAGACGGCGGCCGAAATCCTGATGCCGGAATCGTACAAGCAGCATCGATCCAGTGTAGGTACTACACGATCTAAATTTCCATCACCTCCTGCAGCAAGCCCACCGCCACACAGAGACGCACCAAAGATACCCTTCAAGGCCTTGCTGCAAATGTCCAACACTGCCCCTTTCCCCTTTTTTACCTCGAACGATCCGGAATCCTCAACGTCGTACTCCGCAACGAGCGCGCGAAATCCCACCGAGTCATTGATCTCACCGGATAGCAGCATAGTGGTCCCTGTGCGAGACCTCCCGGATTTCACCATTGAGGGGCAAAATGGCCTTATCAAGCACCACCTTCTGAACGATCGGAGAAGAGTCCTTACTCTTGATACGGCTGGAGAAGTCATGATGTGGGATCTGCTACAGGTAAGCCACTCAGGATTTCAATCAACTCTGGCTAATCACAGTTAGTGCGTCCCCATTAAATCATTCGGCAAGCGGCATCTCGAAGATGTTGTCCCTGAAGTCAATACGCGAGAGAGTGTTGCTCATTGGTGCGCTGTAGACACGCGAACTGGAAGTCTGACGTGCACACTTGAGGAAAATTACTGCTTTGATGCAGAGATGTACGCAGATGAGTTGGAGCTTGATCAGAAGATAGAGTTCCGCGACGATCAGAGGAGTATGTTATTGTCAAAGTCTCGTTATAATGTCTTATGCTGACACTCTACAGTAAATCTTGGAAAGTGGATACTAAGATATCTCTTCGCCAACCTTATCGACGAGGAGATCAAGAGAGACGAGGCTTTCAGGCATTCGTTATTGACTGGAAAGAGCAGCACCGCTAACCGCAGCCATGCTCCTTTGAACATCCAGATACCTCCTCCGCCGGTGGAGGGCTGGCGAGATGCCACATCAGGGCCCACTTCATCTTCTACCATTCGTGCTAACGATCTCTCCTATCCTGTCACACCAGGAATGGCAATTGGGCTCGCCACTCCCGGTGTTCCCCCTTCCAGTTCCGGAAATGCGTCACATGTGAATGCCTTGACGCCGACTACGGAAGAAGGGGCACCATTGGAGAAGTCACAGACCCAGCAGAGCCAGCCGAATACCGGGGGCGACTACTTCTCCAGTGTCGGTGGGAGTTACAGCAATGCGACCCCTGCCGCTGGCGCTGAACTCCCATCCGAAGGAATGCCTGAAACACTTCCGCAATCGCCATCCGAAGAGATGCCCGCCACTAAGAAGGGTAAGGCCCTTTTTTCGAAGAAGTTCAACATGTCTTTCAACATGAAGAAATTCGGCTCTCCTGTTGCAGCCCCAGAAACACCGAAGCCAGCGGCAGCGGACGACAAGGCCGAGGAGAGCGACTCGACCAACAAGACCGACGAGAAGGCCTACGAAGACAGCTTCTTGGGCACCATCCAGAAGATACGGCAGATATACGAGGACCAGGTGAACATGGGTGTTACGACTCTGAACTCGCAGATTATGCCTAGTCTACCGAACGACACGCCTGTACTAAAGCCCCCAGAGTCAACGACCATACTCATCCAGGAAGACCGCCCGAATCAGGGCGGCGTGGCGGATCTCTTCGAAGGCAAAGTCGGCACTCTCGGCCTCCAAGCCGATCTCATCGAGAAGGTTGCTCCCGCCTGGCTAGCAGACGTGCTTCTCAAAGTACGTCTCCTCCACTTCCCTCCTTCTCCCCTAACCACACCCCGTACTGACCAATCCAGAACCAACTCCCCCACAAGGAGGTCGTCAAAGTCAGCTTCATACTCGAACCCTACCAAAACCTCCTGCCGAGCCTCTCATCAGACGGGTACATTCCCCTCTTTACCCCCTCAGATAGAGTCGTCCGCGACGCTAATCCCACTCCAAGCAATAACCGCCTCAATGCGAATCGCATGCTTCGCGCGAGGAAGATATTAGCATACGTGGCTGAGAGGATCGAGCCCCCGCCCGAGGAAAAGGAGGGGGAGGAGGTGTTGAAGCCGGAGGAGTATTTGGAATTGTATTGCCAGGGACAGGTATGTCGTCATGCTACATTTACATAGGATGAAATGGAAGAAAAGGGGATTGGTCGCTGACGAGAGCATAGCTCATCCCGCCTACAATGACCCTGGCGACCATCCGCGCACACGTCTGGCGCGGCGGTAGCGACGTCGTGCTTTGCTACAAAGCCAACGGCCGCAAGGAAATCCGGCATACACTGGCACCGGGGGCGGTCGCTGCACCCGGGAGTTCAGCGGTGTCGGAGAAGGCGAGTTCGGAGGCGGGGAGGAGCAGTCAGCAGAGTTCGAGGGGCATTGTCGAGGGGAAGGGGGTTGTGTAGGTGGAGGTATGATAGGGACGAGGGAGTTGGATGTGTGAGTTGGACGGAAAAGACAGTATTATTCTTATCTGCGTCCGTTTTGGGCAGCATCGTATAGACTCGTAGTGGACATACCCGTCTTCATTGAATGTCTATTCATTGACGTATTGTATGCTCGTTGGAGGTATGCTATATGCGCTGTACCAGATAACCCCTATCTTGACCTCCCACTCCCAATCGTTTTCCCCTATTCATACATTTCTTCCTGGATTCCGCCTTGGTCATATAGATCGAAGTCCCACGCCCCTAAACAACCACTCCCCCCAAAACATTGCTCACCCACTGATAACTCCCTAGAAATATCGCGCCGCCGGCACTGATCCACCCGACCCTGGGCCCCAGCCCCTTGAAGAAGGCCTGGGGCCCGCTCTCCCTCAAGATCGTCCTCAACATGGTCAACATGGCCACCCGCTCCCTCGCCAACATCATGCGCGTCTTCAGCACATCCAAAGGCGTCGTGATCCCCGCAGCCACAGCCCCGGCCAGACTGCCCAACACGCCGCCTTCGAGCCCCGAGACGTCGTGGCCCGGTCCCAAGCGGCCCGTGGAACGTAACCGCCACTGCTTGAGGCTCTCCCAGAGCGGGAACTGTATCACGGTGAAGGGCACCTCGCGCATGACGGTGATGCCCCAGCCCCTATACAACTCGCGCCATACGTGCAGGTAACCGTGGGTTCCGCGGTGCGACAGGATATGCACGAGCGCAGACAGGGACGAAGGATGCTGAATCGCCTGGGCGCGCTGCTTGACGACCTCGGTGGGGACGCGGACAGCGCAGGCGGCGATCTCGCCCGCCGACGCAGCGAGCATGTGCACGGCGGCCGCTCTGCCCTTCTCGCCCATGTCTGCGGCCCGGGTGTGCTCCGTGTACGGCTTTCCCTCGACATTGTACGCGATCCTGCCTTCTGTTATGGTGGTATCCGTCAGGGTCAGGGTCGTTGATGTAGTTGCCAGCGCGTCGGCGGCCGCCGGTGGGAGAAGAGCGCGCTTGATGGAGTCGTAGGTGATGAAGAAGAGGGCTGCGCCCGGGGCGCTGCCGATCAGGGCGGAGCCGACGCCGCGGTAGATGCCGGTGAAGCCGCCCGAGGCGGTGAAGCCGGCGGAGGATTGGAGGCGGGTTTTGAGCGTGTCGAGGGGGAAGAGGGAGAGGTCGACGGTTGTGCCTGCGAGGCCGCCGGCCTGGGAGTCTTAGTGGATTGATAGAGTATGGGTGAAGGGGTATACGCGAATGAGAAAAGAGAGAGAGAGGAGGTAGAAGAGATGGCCTAAGAAGGAGAATGGGGAAGCATTTCTTTCCATCTCTTCTCCATTCCCCAGTCATTTCGCTCTCATCTCTCTTTATTGCGGACTTATACGAAAGAGACAGAAGAGGAGGAAACGGAGAAGAACAAACCACATACAATCAGCGACCTCAAGTACGGACTCTCAACCCACGCTCGTCCATCCTGCAGCTCCCTTCCAGCCAGCATGCCTATGTCGTCGCGGTCGTGGGGAATGAGCGTTCATGGCCAGCGTCATTTCGGCGGGCAAAATGGCCCAGAGGGAGCTTGGAAGTGGAGCTTTTGAAGGGGGCCTGTGCGTCGGAGATCTATCGACAAGGGTGGGGGGAGATCGCGCTAGTGACGGACATGGGACTGGTCGGAGCTGGAACTTGAGCTTCAGTTGAGTCGAGAGAGATGAAGACTACCGAGACACGATGTGAGAAGCTGGAGGGCAGATTCCTGGATTGTTACCTTCTGGAATTGGTTATACCTTGGTGCTGAGAGGGGATGGGCGTTTCGTTGAAGCTGCTTGCCAGTACCAGCATCGAGTCGGAGGGTCAGGAGCTACAGTCGGATGGGGGAAGGCAGAATGTCGAGCGCGGGGACGGCGGAGGTAGTATTTTGGTGAGATTGATGGAAGTAGAGGAGTTGAATGGTTCCGCACAGACAGAGCCGTCCTCGGCGGAACTACCGAGCACCCTCGAAGCCAGCAGTTCCAGCTCAGACAATAGGGAGAGCTCCCCGGAGACAACTTCGACATTGGATGAAGCCGTCCGGCATGTGAGCAGCATTCAAGAAGTACAACTGTGAGTATCCTTCTTTTTCTCTTCCGATACAGTCTAACCGCTTCCAGATCGCCAGATGGAACCACAATCTTCACCACCTCCTACTCGCGCACCTTCTCCGCCTACGTTATAGACGCCGACATCCTCTCCACTCGGGAACCCCGCCCCCTCACTCCCTATGCCTCCTTCTCATCACTTGATCCCATCTGGGCGTTTGCCGCGCACCCCTCCTTCTCCCTCGAAGATCCCAGCACCACCCTCGTCCTGGTTAGCAGACCAAACTCGTACATAAAGCTGCACAATGCGCTCTGGGACGTCTCCAATAAATCGAATCCTGGCAATGCACCTAGTACAACTCCCACGCCAATCGACATCTCTACCCCAATCGCAAACTACAGACTGGTCAACCACCTCCGCGAAGAGGTCCTCGCGCCCTCGAGTCTCATCTTCAACAACAGTGGCACACACTTCCTAGCCGGCCACAAAGACACAATCTCCGTCTTCGACACGACACATACCTATGAACCCGTTCTCACCATCCGCACGTCCCCCCAAGCGCACAACGCACTCCGTCTAAACGGCGCTGCAGGCTACAAAGGCGTCGTCACCAGCTTAGCCATAGAACCTACATCAGGCATGCTCGCAGCAGGCACGCGAGCGCGGGCAGTAGGTCTGCACGACGCCGAGGGAAGCGGAGAGCAGATCACGCATCTCGTCTTGCCGACGTCGACCTCCTCTGGTCAACTGAGATGGGGAGACCCTAGAGCGGAGGGACCGAGGCCTGGTGCGGGCGTTACGCAGCTGAAGTGGAGTCCCTGCGGTAAATATCTGTATATCGCAGAACGCATGAGCGATCACTTGTTCATCTACGATGTGCGCAATTTCTCCTACTGTCTCGGGTATTGCGTGGGTCGACAGGCCTTCAGTAATCAGAAGATGGGATTCGATGTTTGGGGTCGTGGCGAGGGAGGCCTAGAAGTCTGGGCTGGGGGGACAGATGGCAGGATGCGTATCTGGGAGAATGCGCATTTTCAGGAGGGCGAGGTGAGGCCGGTCGAGGTATTGGAGACGGGCATGGGGTCGCTGGCTGGTACGCTTGTGCATCGGACGGGCAGCATAGCGATTGCGGCGAGTGGGCACCAGGAGATAGGCGTTGGGGAGAGGAGAGAGATGGTCGGGTGTGGAGGTGTGAGACCCAGATTCAAGGAGAGGGGATGTTTGAGTATTTTTGGCTCGGGAGCGGCTGAGGAGACTGAAGGAGAGCCCTGATCGATTTCCATGTACATACATTGCGCCATTATGGACGGGGAACCAATTCAGTCGTACAACAATGCCAGAAAAGGAGAGCGGCTCGATGAGGAGCAACGGTGCAAGTTTGATGAGCTGTCCAGTAAATGCAGGGCATAGCGCTGTATTCCATAACCCTTCAACGTGTGCGGAAGGGCAGAAAAAAGGGCAAAAAGTAAAAAGAAAAAAAGATTAGCTGAAAACGGTTTCGATCCGTTGTCCTCCGGGTTATGAGCCCGGCGCGCTTCCGCTGCGCCATTCAGCTTTGGGTATTTGAGATGAAAATTATTTTGCTTTAACAATTGATATATGCAAATACAAAACAAAATTTTGTGAACACGTAGGAAAGTTGATTGTTCTCATTTTCTTTGAGGATATGGCGACGTCAAAGGTCCTCTGTGAGTCACCATACTACTTGTAGAAGCGGGGAGTGGGGAGAGGAAGTGTGGGGCTCTGTGGGCCTTTTGGACGTGGGGGCAGGAGGAAGAGAGGAGGCTCCAGAGAAACCTGAATGCGATGAACAATATCCGTATTTTGGGGAATAGCCAGGAACTCTCTTAACAGAAACAAAATCAGGAATATATAATCAAGATTGGATTTATGCTCCTCTGCCTCATATGAAACTCGGTGCTATTGGATAATTAATTCATGGAGTTAGGTTGCTTAACTCTCAGGTTCACGGCTTTGCGTATGGCCGTCTCTATGGCTGGCAGTTAGCTAATCGATCGGTCACTCAACTCATATATGGGCAATGCAATCGCAGTTCAATTGAACATTCTTCACGCCATCCCTCCTGCTAGATAGCATACATACCGACTGCGGTATCCTCAATGGTACTGTGGTGACATGGTACCCCTGCTGCAGCTCCTCGCTTGCCGCCTGGGGTATGAACATCATTCGCTGTGCTCACTGCTGCTTCAAACAAACAACGATCTTTGATCGCACCCAACCTTCACCTTCACAGGTACAGCTAACTATAAAAGAGCTATGTCTGCCCGGCAACATTCACGACTATTCCGAATCTATGCCACTCGCTACTTATTCTAGCCGCCGGCTGTCACCGGTCTCCTCGTTCAACCTACCTTAACCTCTCCCGGTTCAAGCTACCCTGGGGCAACATCTATTTCCAAGTCCTTCACGTGTGCGTCGAACACATCGATCTATAATACTTGATCTCCTCATTCCCTTCGGCCATGGACGATTCGGCCTACACAATGGATGTGGACGACCTCTTTGGGGACTCCGAGCAGGTAACCTTGCCCACCATGCCTGTCCCTGCAGCCAAAGGACTTGCACGCAGGCTGGATGACCTCAGGACAATCGGGTGCTGCCAGTAAGTCGGCCCAATCGACATTCGAACACAAAGAGGGATGCTTGGGCACCACAATGGAGATTTATCGTCGTATATGGTGCTAATCCTGAGCAGAAAGATTGCCTGGTCCAACACCGGATGTGTGGCATCTATCTCCCCTGACGGATATGCAGTCTACCTCAGAGTCTTCTTACGAGATCCTTTGACCAGGGCGTGGAGTTTGGGGAATGAGACTCAACTCGATTTCAACAATGAGACGGGCACCTTCCAGTTTGTGCACCTATCATGGAGCCGCCTGGGGAACGACTTGGTGGTCGTGGACACGGCTGGCCGCGTCTTTCTCTTTACCTGCCAGATGGTTTTAGGACGCATGGTGCCGACGCGAGTTGAAACAACCCAATCCGAGTCGGAGCTGGATGTAGTGGTTGGGATGCATTGGCTTTCCATAATTCCATATGAGAAGAAGGTGCGTGTCAAAGTGCCCCGTCTTGAGTGTATCCGACTCATGTCATATAGAACCAGATTGTCTGGTCGGCTTCAAGGGAGAATGGGTCCTGGTCTTTTAAAACCGCTAGTCATGTGTTCAATGATGCTCACCACCCTCTCGAAACCAAAGCTTCCTTGATATATCTGAGGAGGTTCGGCGACCTGCGGTTGCGGTATCAACAAGCTGATTCGTCGTGGCATGAAGTCTCCCATCAGACGATGGTAGTGTTATCCGTAAGAGACGCATTCAGCCATGCCGCATTTGCGTCAAATGGAGGTAAGATCTGCACTCTGTACACTCACCGGACCTGACTGATGTTCCAGACAACACGCTTCTACTCGCAGCATACGACATCACTGGGCGACTTCATCTTTACCGCATTGAAGTGAATTGGAACGTGTCTCCATCAAAGTCTGGACAACCCAGCAGGAGTGTCGAAAAGCCCGAACTGTTAGTCAGTAAATTGGCCACGCAGGAGCAGTGTCTTCCAGTGAGCGTACCAATTGTGGGTGACAGCAACCACGGAGGGCCCTCGTATAAGCTCCGGATTCCAGCTCAGCTTACGCATTTGCATTTTCTTCCTACATCGCCCGACCAGGGCGACGGTACGGTACCTACCATTCAGGCCATCTTCTCCACAGCCCCAAATACTCTGTCCTTGGATCAGACGCAGCCCTCTCCCGCTCCTTACAGTATTCTGGTCAGATGGGAGGTCCACCGCTCCCTGGAAAACCCAGTCGACCCGATCTGGGACATCGTCACATCAAAGAAAAAGAACGTCAGCGATGTGCCAGCCGTAGAAGTCTTCAAACTCAAAAGATTACCAGATACTGCCCTTCATAACACAGTTATATCATTCTCCCCACTCTGGTATAGTATGACCCTCGCCTACTGCTATGCTGATGGCACCATTGAACTCCGGAAGAGATCCACTATGGATGTCTTACTGCCAAATTACAGTACGGATACCGTAACCTCACTTTCCCAGGCGGGTTTCACGTTTCCCACTGGTGAATCGTCAATCCATGTGGCGCTGTCTCCAAACCACTGCATCGCAGCTTGCATGCAACAGGACGGAAACATCAAGCTCCGGTTAGCCGAATACGCATATGGATCCTTATCTTCAGATGAAGAAGACGAAAAGCACTCTGCCGCTCTTGCAGCAATTGCTCTACAATTCGCTTCGGCAGCAAATCAATACTTCTCCAACGATGACCTCTTCGCCGTCTTGGGTCCACTGACCGAACGACGGAAGGACACGTTCATACAGCTGATCTCTCAAGCCGTTCATCTGAACCTTGACTGTAGCTCCGAGGAGCCCGGTAACAACCAAGCTTTGGTGCTGTTGGGACGCTCCCCTCACTTTGTCAAAGTCTTGTCTGCGGCTCACATCCTTGGCTTCCGGGACACCATTGACCGCACCTTCAACAGCAAGATAGCCTGGATCGTTCTGAACATCAAATATGTAACTCAGATTCTCACTACAATCACTCGCCTCGCATCGCAAGATAAGAATATGCTCCGCCCCGAACTCGTCCCCCACCTCGTCGGCCTCATCCGCTGGTTCGGTAGCTTCATGTGTTATGTGCTCGACGCCCTCGTCGAATTCGGACTCGACTTTCGAAAATCTCCCCCGGACTCCCTGGACCGCTCCACCCTAGAAGCAAAATTCATCGAGAAAAGCAACCCCGCCGTACTCCTCCTCCTCTCCTCCTTCCCCCGCACCATGATGAAACATTGTACACATGCATACAACTGGGTTCTTCAGTCTTCCTTACGCATCGCCAACTCGTCGGCCGGAATAGAAATCAAGGATATCTATCTGCCGCTCCAGGAGGCGTTGAGCGATCTCCCGTTCGACTGGCGCATCTTCGACAGCGTCATCAACGAAGCCACAGCCGCGACTCGCCAATGCTACCGCTCATCCAACACACCCGACTCGGCGCGCAACGCCATCGAGAGGGACTTGCTGTCCGGGCGACTCCCCGACGTGCTCTTCCCGGCGGCAAAACGCCTCGTCACGGATTACCTGTGGAATGACGAGCAGCCGAATGGGTGTTTGGCGGACAAGTTCGACATGACGACGGCGTATTTTGCGGATACGCGGTGGTTGGGCTTTCAGGACAGCGCGTGGGGGAGGGAGTGGCACGCGAAGCATGTGGTCGATGTGTGCCAGAAGGTGGTTATTCGGGGCTTTTCGGCCAAGTTCCATCAGGATTTGCTGTTATCGACGTCGAGGCGGGGCAGGAGCGATGGGAGTGGTGGTGGTGGTGGTGGTGCGGCGGCCGGTGGAGCTGGAAGTGGAGCTGGAGCGTCTGGGAGTGCGGCGAATGGAGCCGAGGAGAAGAAGGTTGCGCCGAAGGATAGCCTGAGGAGGTGTACGAGGTGTGCGGCGTATATGGAGGATGTGCTGGTTGGGCGTCGCGGGTACAGTGCGCAGCATGTCGGGTGGCTGGCGGGGATTGGGAAACATTGTATTTGCGGGAATGCGTGGACTTTGGTGGAGAATCCGTTGGTGGAGAGTAGTCAGGCCGGGGTCAGGACGGGTACAGCGACATTGTAGCGTGGTGGACAAGGAAATGATGAAGTTTGGAGTGCGGAGAATCAATTGAGAAATGCGACTGGGGTTGTGGGAAGATAGATGAGCCATGCCGAGAATTGTCGAGAATGAGTCCATGACCATCTGCCAATCATATAACAGTCTCCTCAAGACACTCCTACACTGTTCCGTCCATTGAGGGATTCGATGATTAGCTAGTCATAGGCCTATTTCGGTAGTGTTTGGGGTCTGCCGAGTAATATCAGACGGTTTAGTAGATTAGTGTTTGGGACTGCTTGTCAGGGAGGTTGAGTATAATGCTATGGAGTGCATTGGTGTACTGATACGACCAAGAGTACTTGCCACCTGTGCGATTCATGAAGTGACATGGGTGGCATTTTGCGTGCACGAGCGAACGTGAAATACGATTGTTCGAAGATGAACGGAAGAGAGGCCTGGAACTGGGGTAATGCGTACATATCCCATAGAAAATGATATATATCACATGTGCTACAAGACTCAGCACGCTCTCTTTGCAATAGATAGCAACCACTCCCAACATCAGACAAAACCCGCTCTTCCAATCCCTTCTCACCCAACCACGCCCCTAATCCACCATGGGCGGATTCATACCAGGCATCAAATCCGGCTTATCCAACCACATCTTCCTCAAAAAGCACCACTGCCTCAACCCCTCCCAATCCTCGCCCTCCTCATCCCCCCACTTCCACGTCTCCTTGAACCCCCACGCACAAGCAATCTTATCCAACGCGCCGCGCTCATCCTCCCTCATCCACCGCTGCAACAGCGGCGTCCCCGGCTGCCAAACCACGCGCTCAAAATGGTCATTCCACGTCGTCAAGGCGACGTAGCCGAGCGTGCCCGTGCCGCCAAAGTAGACCATGAAGCCCGCGAACGAGTACCACTTGAAGAGCGTCGGGCTCACGTAGCCAGAGTAGATGGACCATTCCGACGCGATGAAGTACGCCAGGAATGGCAGCGTGGAGGCGATCGCCGCCGGCGGCGCGAACTTTGTGAGCCATTTGTACGTTTTCCACGCCGGGGCGCAGTACGTGTGGTCCACGACCGTGAGGGCGAGGACCATGTCTTTTGCGTCGATGGCGGCGTCGAGGGCCTTTTCGGCGGTCTCCTTGGGGACGGCGGCCTTGTAGCTTTTTGGGGATTGCTTTTTGAATTGCGGGGGTTTGGAGCCGGCGATGGGGATGGGTTTGTTGGCGTAGAGGTAGAGGGCTTCTGGGATTTGGCGGGGGGCGCCGAGCAGGCGTTGGAGGTCGACGTATTTGGAGAGGACGGTTCGGGAGAGGAAGACCTTTTCGTCTCTTATGAGGTCGAGGGCGAGTTCGGAGAGGTAGGCTGGAGAGGGGAGGCCATCACTCTTGGATGCTCCGGCTTTCTTCTTGTTGGAGGGCTTGACACTGGACGGTTTCGGAGGGACGGCTGCTTGTTGTTCTTCAGTGTCCTCAGCGGCGATGGACAGTACGGAGGCTGCCGAGCTCTGGCGGAGGTTCAGCTTTGCGCCGCGTGGTTGGCCTGCGCGGGCGGCGATGGCCATTCTGGCAATGGTTTCGAGCTCGGACAAGGCAAGCAGGATGATTGCTTCATCCTGCACTCGAGGTGTGTTGTGGATGGCGTCGATGTGATCCTCTACACGCTTCAGCCTTGCGGCCAGACTGAGATCGCTCGACTCCGGTCTCTCAATCTCTGGTTCCACCTCTTGAACTTTATGGACAGCTGAAAATCCCCTGGCAGGTGTCGCCGCGAATGCGCCATGCTGCCGCGTCAATGGTCGCCGTATTGAGGGGATCTTGAGACTGGATGTCGTGAGAAAAGCTCGGCGGTATGCTGGCTGTTGGAGGAGATGATCGCAGAATTGGCAAATGGGCCGTGAAGGCGCCCGCAGAGGCCGTATTGCGGGCTTCATCGTCTCTGGAGGGCCGCCGAGCGGATCGTGTGGAGGAGGTGCTGCCGCCCTGGTCGTGACGAGAAGGGTCGCTCACTCGTCAGTGGGCTGTGAACGCCAAGATGCGCCGACTTGGTTGACGCAGCGGCAGCAGCTCGTACTCCACCATTCCTTCGCCTTGCACTCCCGCGGCCAGAGCACCTGTCAGGCAGCGAAGTATCTTATAAGAGCCTGGTCATTCCTTGACAGAATCGAGAGGAAAAACCCCACTGATTCCGAGCCTGCAATAACCTTCAACACCATGCCTGGCCCGCCTCCACCGCCGCCCATGCCGCCTATGGGCAGAGGCGCTGGGGGTCCTCCTCCTCCGCCGCCGATGATGGGAAAAGCACCAGGAGGAAAGCCGCCGGGAGGAGCAGGGAGAGTATGTTAAGCCCTTGGAGTCAATCCCACCGAAGAACAGCCCTGTCTATCATGGTCGAACCCAGGCTAACACCCCTCAGGGTGCTCTACTGTCAGATATCAACAAGGGGACAAGGTTAAAGAAGGTCACACAGATCAATGATCGTTCCGCTCCGCAGATAGGAAAGGTGTCAGACGGACCAAGTGGCCCACCGATAGGAGGCGCTCCGCCCGTCCCCATACCTGGCATGGGAAAGGCACCAGCACCTCCCACAGGTCTCGCTCCGCCTGTGCCTGGAAGAGCGAGGAGCAATAGCGATACGGGAGACTCGGGTACGGCGTTGGGTGGAGCACCACAACTAGGAGGGCTATTCGCAGGCGGAATGCCTAAGCTGCGCAAGTCTGGCGGAGTGAACACGGGCGCGGACAGCAACTCACCATACCTCTCGGATCCGGAGACTTCACGGAACGCTTCACCGAAACCGCCACGAGGGGCAGCGCCAAAGCCACCTGGAGCAGCTCCCCCAACACCTCCAGTTCCTGGTGTTCGTCCGCCTAACCCTGCCATTTCCGCCTTGCAAGCAAACCTCCGACCCTCGTCGATGCTCTCGACGAAGTCAGCACCAGAGATAAGCTCAAAGCCAAAACCACCACCGCCAATAGGGAAGAAACCTCCCATTCCTCCACCGTCTTCTCGAAAGGTCTCTGGAATTGCGCCATCATCTCCGGCTCGGCCCCCTCCTGTGCCCGGTTCCGTACCTTCAGCACCTCCTCCTCCCCCTCCAACCTCCACAGCACCACCTCCGCCTCCTCCCGCTTCAATACCGTCAGCTCCGCCACCTCCTCCGCCATCTGCTGCTCCTCGACCACCCCCAGGCCGCTCGCCAGCTCCTCCGCCACCCCCACCACCGGCCAAAGCACAACAGGATGACGGGGAGTACGACCCATACCGATACTCGAATGGCCCACCAAAACCACCGGCAGCACCAGCGCCACCGCCTCCAAAAGCCCCCAATGCCCTCACCCCGTCCATTGCCGAACAAGCCGCCCGAAACGCCTTTGGCCGCTCAACGCCTTCGGCGCCTCCCCCTCCTCCCCCGGCATCACCGCCGCCCTCAGCACCGAGCCTTCCACCTGGCGCTCCACCACCTCCTCCGTCTGCGCCTCCTGCTCCGGCACCGGCCCGCACACAGTCCCAACCACCAATACGCTCGATGTTAGATCCCAGCGCCTACACTTTGACGAATGGAGGCTCGAAGAGCGGACCGACGAGCCCTGGCCTTGCCCCCAGCACTGGAGGGAAAAGCAGGATTGTCCCCATCCATGATCTTCGGTGGAGGTTCCAGGACGAATCGCAACTCCCCAGACCAAGAGAATTTACCGGAGGTCCGAAGAGGTATAGGGCAGGGAGGGGAAGTAGTGTGCCATTGGATTTGAGCGCTTATGAGTAGAGCGTTGTTCTTGTGCAATAACACTTTGAGAAAACCTGGTCCTGTTGCGGAAGGATGTTTAGCATGATTCCAAGGCGAGCGGCGTCTATTTGGTTCAGGGAGGCTTGACGGGCGTAGGAGCGGTTTGGGATGATGTAGATGCGCTCTGCAACAAGTTGAGAATAGATCAACCATATTCCTGTGTGTTGCACTGTTTGGCAGACGTTCTGCTAAGCCACGGCCACGTCAGTATTGCTGTGTTCGTCTTCCTCTGTTTCGGCTCACTCTACTCTCTGCACAGTGGAGAATCGCTTCTATGTCCACGCATGTTTGATAGTGCACGTATTGCTCGGAGACGCGCCCATCTCAACCTTGGAAACGCGCCAGATCTGGACCTCGGCTCGTGATTCCCCAGTGCAATCGCCCTAACCGCATCTGTTGTTACCCCAAATCCATATCAACTTCCCCATACCTTTCTCAAAACCTACCTGCACAGCATTGCAACGCAAACCAAGGGACGTGAAACGAGGACTCTCCAAGATTTGAAAGAAAGAAAGAGAACAATGCCCTCCGAACTGGACCTCCACTATCCCCCAGACTCGTGCCCCTTCTGCAATATCGCCTCCGCCTTCCCTTCACCATCCTTCCAATCTAGATCTCGAGCGTCTACTTCCTCAAGTTCTTCAAGAGTAGAGTCGTTGATAGATTGCGTGCCGAGTGACGCGGCATCAAACCATGAAAAGACCACTCCAAGCAGTTTCATCATCCTGGCGAGTCAAGATGTGATTGCTTTTCTGGATATCTTGCCCATGACGCGGGGGCATGTGCTTGTTGCTACGAGGAATCATAGGGTTAAGGTGGAGGATATGAGGGGTGAGGAGGGGAGGGAGATGGGTTAGTTTTGCTCTTTCCTTCTCGTTTATATTTCTGAGGTGTTGGTGTTAGTGTTTGACGATAAGGTACAGGCTAATCTGGAATTGTGAATAGGCTTTTGGTTACCTGTCCTTGCGAGAGTCGTGAGTAGAGTCAGCGGCTCGACGGATTATAATATCGTGCAAAATAATGGTACGTTTAATCTTTCCTTGCTACCCTGTTCGTCATAACCGGTAAACTGCACGCCTATCACTCCTATCATTTCTCCCCCTCTTCTGCAATGGTGTTGTCAATCTAGCCCGTCTTTCTATACCTTCATGAATTTCCATTCTCATGAACCTCTAGGAGCAAGAGCAGCACAGGTGGTGCCTCACGTACACTTCCACATCATACCCCGACCGGAAACAATGCCTCAGATCAAGAACAAGAGCTGGACGATGTTCGGCCGGGGCCAGAGAGACGACTTAGACGACGAAGAAGGCGCAAGCCTAGCCGCAGAAATGAGACGAGTGCTACGAGAAGAGCTGCAGAAAATGGAAAGCGCCCCGAAACTGTGAACAGTACGCAGAAGACGGGGGACTGATGCGAAAGCTCGTTATATTCCAAAGATGGCTTCCAAGACACCAATGCAATGTACAAGTAGACATACATAATCCCTCAGTATCTGTACAGCCAACCCGTAGATATCTCGGTTTATTCCCCCTTCTTGTCGCCCTTCTCCTTGTCCTCCATGTCCATTCTCCTGCTCTCCACGGTGAAATAGAGACTCCGGCTTGCGCCTTCCAGTGCACTGGCAAGGCTGCCTCCAATGCCTTGCAGCATATGCACCAATTGTGCGCGGAGCCCGTCAATGCCGCCCTCGATACTGCCAACCCATTTCGTGCCCTCCATATCAAACACCTTGCCTTCAACCCGCGCACCCAAAAGCATGAGCTTTTGCAATCCGCCCTGGACCTCCAGGCTGTGGTAGTCGGGGTTCACTTTCCGCTTTGGAGCTGGGAATTCGGGAGACGGAGAGAGAATGGACAGCACGGCTTTCAGATGCTGAGGGGACACAGTCGGGAAGGATACCACGGCCAATGGTCCAGAGAGTAGTGGCTCCAGTCCCGATTTCAACTTCCTGTTCGATGCGATCTCGTGCGCGCGCCGCGATACACCGTGTGTGAAGCGCTCCTCTTCCTTCTCCGCCTGCTCCGCAATAGTACCCTTGACAGGGTCGAAGAATTCAACGACGCGCAGCGCGGAAGCGAAGATGCCCGTCTGAATGACCTGGAGCCTAATGTTGTCCGCGAGACTGGGCTGTCCGTTCTGCGCCAACTCGGCGTCTACTTTCCTCAGCGCAGCCGTGAGTTCGCGCCGTATGCTCATCCATTCTACCGCTAGGATGTTGTTGTGTTGGAAGAGGAGGATTAGGGGAGAGGAGCGGAGGAGCGATTGGTACTGCCGATGTAATTGCGTTTTGCGGGTCTCTGGCGGCTTGTGCGAGGGTGGTTGCGTCGGAGGGTACCGTTGAATCTGGGGAACAAATTGGTTTGTTTGATTTATCGGAGGGGCGGGGGTGGTTGCAGTTGCTAGGGAGGCATAACTGCGGGTGATGGGGGTCGGAGGTTGGGATTTCCGGACGCGCAGGGCGCGGGGACAGAGACGTATTCGTGGCGGCATGCTTTGGCAGGATGATAATCAGTCAATGTCAATTGGAGCCATCCTGGACGCGGAATACTCACGCAATTGTGGTGATGGGCTGGTTTACATTGTCGGGATGAGGTTGCTCGAAATATTTATTTCCGAGTGCCAAGACGTCTAAAGCTTTGCTCCTTTGGGACATCAGATTGAAGTCCCAACAACAGTTATGATTTCACTGTCTTCTCTTACTATGATTTCCGGTCACTCTTGATTCAATCTCTCATTTTATATTCTGCCTGGTTGTTTTCTGTTGTGGGAGATCTGGATGGTAGCGCCAATGGCGGCGCGGATATGGCGATGTCGAACACATTCACGACCCTCGCAGCTAAGGGCATATTCAAGGGTTTCTGAGGTAAGTCACCAGAAGGTCATGATGCTTACTGAATGGATAATTGAGACGATCGGCAGCATCCAAGGCAACGGTTATCCAAGTTCTGGACGCCCACTGGGCTGCTACAAACCGAGCCAAAAGATCATAATGCGCCCAATCAAAAAGGAGGACTGCAGAAAGATGATTCCGCCAGTCTTCTGGCTCGCGCGGGATATCTAAGTCAAGTATCTTTGCTCGACATGCACTCTCGTATCTCCTTCCTGATCACGTGCAGGTCCAATCAGGAATCTTCCACATGCTCCCTTTAGGCCTCCGCGTCCAAAACAAACTGGAGACCCTAATAGACAAGCACATGGACTCCATTGGCGCAGCAAAGACCTCCCTCTCATCAATAACGACCGAAGCTCTGTGGAAGAAAAGCGGCCGTTATTCTACCAATTCCGAACTCCTCCGGATCAAGGACCGCCGAAAATCTGGCTTTTTGTTATCTCCTACTCATGAAGAGGAGATCACGACACTGGTAGCAGCTTCTCTGAAGTCCTACAAGGACTTACCGATACGGCTGTATCAGATAGGGCGCAAGTACCGGGATGAACGTCGACCTCGCAATGGCCTGTTGCGAGCAAAGGAGTTCATGATGAAGGACTTGTACACCTTCGATTATACCCATGAGACGGCCCTCGAGACATACAAAGCAGTAAGAACAGCTTACAACAACCTGTTTCGCGAACTCGGCATCCCGTTCATCGTAGCGGAAGCGGACTCTGGCAACATGGGCGGAAAACTCAGCCACGAGTACCACTTCGTCCACCCCAGCGGCGAAGATAAAATCTGGATTTGTGACCAATGCGAGTACGTCGCTAATGAAGAGCTGGCGGAACATAAGACTGAAGCACGACCATTTACAGACGTCATGGTCTTTACAGCAATCAGTGCAGACCACAAGACGCGGATTAGCATACACGTGGGAGTAGATCAACCCAAAGATTCCTACGACAGCATACACTGGGACCATCTCCTGAACCCTCACGCCCTCAGAAAGGCAGCCGAGAACCTCAACATCGACCTCGCCACCGGCCTTGAGCCCGACACCCTTCGCAAATTGCTAGAAAACACGACCTCAACCATCGACATCTACGACATCCGCCTCCAAAATCACATCCCCGAAGCCACCCACTCCCCAGCAACCCGCGACATCCTCGCCATCGAACCCGGCGACGCCTGTCCCAAGTGCGAAAACGGGCACCTGTCACAGGTCCCTGGTATCGAAGTAGGGCATACCTTCCATCTCGGTACGCGCTACAGCGAGCCCCTGAACGCTGTTGTCGCTACGCCGAACAATACGGAAAAGGTTCCCGTACATATGGGATGCCATGGAATCGGCGTCTCGCGGCTCATCAGCGCGGTGGCGGCTATGACCTATGACGAGAGGGGGCTGAACTGGCCGCCGGGTATAGCGCCGTACGAAGTCGTGGTTATACCGGGCTCGGGTATAGAGTCGAAGGATGGTGAAGAGGTGTACGATAGCTTTAAGGGTGCGGGGCTCGACGTCGTGCTGGATGATCGGGCGGACAAGAATCTGGGGTGGAAATTGAAGGATGCGGATTTGATTGGGTATCCAGTGATTGTGGTATTGGGGAAGACGTGGAAGTCGGAAGCAGGTGGGAAGGTGGAAGTTCAGTGCAGGCGGCTGGGTGAGAAGAAGTTGGTTGAGAAGGATGAGGTGGCAGTCACAGTAGCCGATTTGTTGAGAAGATGTGGGAAATGGGAGAATCCGAAGTGGGTATCATCGAGTTAGGTGGGGCGGTAATTGCCTGTAAGATCTTATGCATGGATGAAATGTGTGAAATGTATTATTATGTATATCAAGTCCAAATACCGAGCCTTTGGCGCTGTGCATCTGGTATCATCGAGTCATAGGCCGTCACCAAGCCTACTAAGGCATAGGTTACACAATAGTCTCCAATCCTAGCATGGAATCCAACCTGGGAAAACAAGCTGGTATCAGAACAAAAACGTCGGGATATCATTGAGTGCAATGGTCTTCTTCCTCTTCGCCTCCTCCTCTTTCTCTTTCTCGGCCTTCCTCTTCGCAAGCCGTTCGGCATGCTCCTTTGGAAGTGGAGAAGGTTTCAAGAAATCGTCGTCATCGTCAAAGATATTAAAAGATCGTGCCAGCCGGGCTGATGGTCGTGTTCGTGTCGTTTGTGAGGGTCCTGAAGTTCGGGTCACGGACCTGGTGGGCGGCGAGGAGCGGAGAGAGGTTTGGGTAGCAAGTTTGGCAGAAAATGAGGACCGTATTGAGGATGAGGGCTCACGACTCCCAGGGAATGAGGAACGATCAGTCACCTTTCCCGGAGGTTCCGAAGTGCTCGGACGCGACGATCTGGTGGCTGCAGATAGTGATGCAGCAGGAAGCGCAGGCTTAGCGAAGGGCGTTGAACTCGTAGCCCGTGAAGGCGGAGCAGGCCTTATGGGTGCGTCCAGGTCTTCGCTGTCTGACGTTTCTGACGAGCGTCTTTTACTGGAGCTGCCGGATCCCGTCAATCCAGGGGTAGGGCCAAGCCTGGACGATGATGGCTTCAAGAGATGTTTATCATCTTGTATGTCTTTCAATGCCTTCATCTGCGCCTTAGCCTGATTCTCGGCCCGCATCTGAAACTTTCGTTCGTCTGAGGGCTTTGCGCTTGGGACTACCGGTCGAACTACCTCTTTCTTGGTCTGTATACGCTCCTTCAAGCGCTCATATTCGGCCAGATGCAGGTGCTGGGTGAACCGCTTCGCCGTTTGAAGGAGTTCGTCCTCGACCATCATCCACTCATCATCTCTAAGTTCAAATCTGTTCACGCCTTCCCGCATGTATCTGATGTGGAATCAGTAAGTCCCATGCAGACCTACACCGTGAAGTGGGCAGAATCATGAAACAGTGGCAAGACTTACTCTATCTTAGGTGGTGGCAGGTCGGACACTGCAGCTGGAGGTGAGCTTGATGGTACACGTTCGGCTCTTTGCTTCCCAAGACTCTTACGAGATGGTGTTGTGGGAGTAACTGGAAGTTCATCAAACTCATTATGGGATGTAGGTGATCCTGAGGGGTGTCAGTTGACAATATCTTAAGACTGGATTGTCGCTGGAGGAGCACTTGGCTCTCGCTCACCTATGCCCCGCTTGCCCTTTCTAGAGGACTCAAGAACTGTTCCCGAGAAGAAATCATCATCTGAATCTGGGTCTATTCGTGCTCTTTTTACAGGTGCCGATTTCACATGGGTTTTGGTGTTGCCTCCACCGGTCGCCCATGGGAGTTTCCGAGGCATATTGTGAAGTCGAAGAAGGTTGGGCCGGGATTGAAGAAGGTGTCTCTCACCCTCCTAATCTGCATCATATTTGAGGGAATGGTTGGCTTGGCTTCATTGCGCTGACGCGATGGTCATGGTCGCGAGTGAAGTGGGGATCCACGAGTGCCCAGAGTGAATTCGCGACGTCACGTGCAAGCAGCTTGGCGGTAAGGTGAACCGTGCGACCGGTACTCGGAGCTAGGCTTTGCGCCCTTTCACCTCGAGGCAGCACTTTTTCTCTTCTCTCCATTGAAGAGCCACGTTTCGCGATTCGGTTTCCTTCGATGATGTTCGATCCTTCCTGTGTTTATGGTCACGGCTGGGGGAAGCTTCGTGTGATGAAGACGGTTAAGCCCGCCCGCGTCGTTCCCGCTTTTAGACTCTCAACAAGTACTTCGACGTTCACATACGAAACACAACCCAGACTTGCACACCACAACCTCCGCTCTTTCTATTCTTTTTCCGCTCGGAATTGACAAAAGTCAAAGCTTGTAAGCGTTTTAGGTCATAAGTCCGTTCGCGCGTTGGTCTTCACTCTTTTTCTGCCTGTCTGGAATATGTCTATGTTTCGTAAACCGGGTGATAGTTCTTCAAGCGACGAGTCGTCCGAGGAGGACCATGAATCAAGCAAGAATCACAGCGTTCCAGTAGCCAAGGAAACAGTACGCTTGTCCTCAAGACGGAATGCGAACAATGCCATTGCCTCGAGATCGGGGCGAGCAACGCCCCTCTCATCCCAGCCTGCATTAAGCAGAAATGCCAGCTATGTTCGCGACCTACTTCTACATTCGTTGCTGGAGGAGAGAGTTTTGCGAGAAACGGCGGAGCAGCTGGGGAAGAATGCGGACGATCCGGAAGTGCGAGAGATAGCCCGAACGACGTATCAGGCTCTCTCCCGCCAACTGGCTGGTCAGAACGAAGATAACTATACCAGCGATTCGATGCGCTCCCAGCGCGCTGCCATACAGGACGTCTTAGGGACGGCAACTCGAAGCCACATCGCCTCACTCACGGCTCGTAATGGCGGATCGACTCGTGCTCTGGCAAGGGGTTCCTCATCACTTGGGATGACCGCGATGAATCCCTTTGCTAATTTTCCCTCCACGGTCGATCGGCACCTGAATTCACTTCCGGGTCTACACACAGATCGGTATGTGCGCGAGTTCCTCGAGCTACAGGTCGTGGGGAAGGGGGGCTACGGAACGGTGTTCAAAGTCAAACACAAGCTCGATAATTCCTTCTACGCTGTCAAGAGGATTATGGTCAGCCCCGAGAGACTTCGGCGAATCCGCGAGAATGGTCCTCACGAGATAGAGCAAATGCTCGAAGAGGTTCGAGCGCTTGCGAAGCTTGACCACGGTAATATCGTACGCTACCACAATTGCTGGCTGGAGTTTACCACTCAACCAGGGGACCTGCCAGCGGCACCTGAAAGGATACGCAACAATCTGTTACTGGAACATGGATCTGGCTCCGACCATGAGGTGAGCAACCTACAGGCTGGTGTTCAAAGCCTCACATTTGAACACTCGTTGGATAACCTCCAGATGGACGCCAGTCCGGGGATTGTGTTTGAGTATACCGATGGGGACACAGGCGCCCGTGCAGAACAACCTCCGGACAATGGTAACCTCAAGATGCCACCAACTCAGAGGCAGCGATCGTCGAGCCAAGCTACTATCCAGACAATCTCGTCCATGCGATCTCGACTCAGCACAATCGAGGACGACGATGAGATTGAGGTCATTGAAAGGAATCACAAACCACAATATCCCCATCCAAGCAGCGATGTTTCGGAAAGCTTGATGTCAGACAGCAACTTGCCGGGCCGACCACTCGTTGGACGCACTACAGGACCGGTCCTGACGCTCAATGTTCAGATGAGCCTGTACGATACAAATCTCGCCGAATACTTGTCATGCGAGCAGTCTCCAGCACCGGCTGACCAAGTCCACCATTGCTTCCACACCTGCATCAGTCTGGAGCTGCTTGCCAGCATCATCTCGGGGGTAGAATACCTGCACGCGCAAGGCGTCGTACACAGGGATCTGAAGCCCGCAAATGTTTTCCTAGCCCTGTCCAGCTCCACCAAGATCAGTCCCTCTGGATCTATAGACGCGTCCACTTGCAGCTCCTGCCCCTCTCGAGAATGCCTTTACGTGACGCCGCGGATAGGAGATTTTGGACTTGTCGCGGCGCTAGGCGAAGGATGTTTTGCCAACGACCAGTTTGTTAAAGCGGTTGGGACGCAGTTCTATCGGCCCGAGGGAGGTGACACCAAGGTCAGCGAGAAGCTGGATGTCTTCGCCTTAGGGATCATGGCATTTGAGATGCTGCAGGGGTTCTCGACCAAGATGGAGAGAGCGGAGACTTTGAGGCGACTGCGTCAAGGGGTGTTTCCACCAAACTTTGCGGACAGGGTGGGTATGGAGGTCCAGAGTCTGATTGGCAATATGATACATGCAGACGAGGAGATGAGGCTGACGTGCGAGGAGGTAAAGCGGCAGCTAGGTCGAATCATTGAAGGATTGCGGCAGCAACGTTGATTTGGCTCTGCTCGCCGCTGACCTTATTAACGCCCTGGAAACTCTCAGTAGTTGGACACATGCCCTGGAGTTGGGATAGGAGTAACAGGATGAATCTGGCAACCGACTTCAAGCTTCCTGGGCTTCTGAGCTTCAAGCGAAGTTCTTGAGCTAGAGCAGCGCAGATAGTTCCAGATGTATACTTCACAAAGCCCCTATACCTTGACTTGCGTTTATGAACCGAAGTCAAAATCCAATATTCTACAAACGGAGGACATCACTTTCCACACGGGTGAAAGTCCCCAAGCACGTGACCCGCTCGGGTGGACCCGGCCTATTCGGCGTACCCCAGGACCGGGCACCGTCGGTTCGGAAGAAAACGTCATGATTCATTGACGTTCCTGAACTATTCCGGGTGGGCAAGCTAAAGCTCGCTGACACTACCCTACAACAACTCTCTTCCAATTATAAGATCTGGCACCCAGGGCTCAGCACACGATGCGGAGTGTCCCTTCTCTACAAATATTGTAAAGGTGTAAAGGTCAAGATCCGACAGTGACGGGACGGGACGGCCATGTCGGATGGCTCCAAGGGTCGGTCGTCGTCGTATTGTAAGAGCACCGCCTACCTTCAAACCACTCTTAACATACCCCGAAACGGATTGTTCAATAGAGAGGTATCTCATCGCCAAATTGATTCTAACAATTCTCGCAGTCCATTTCTTCGCAGGCCTAAGCTCCGGCATCCTCTCCGCCGTCCTCCTCCAACCCGCCGACCTCCTCAAAACCCGCGTCCAACAGTCCCACTCCAACACGCTCCTCGCAACCATAAAATCAATCGCCTCTGGCCCTTCACCAATCCGCCAATTCTGGAGAGGGACATTACCTAGCACAATACGAACAGGATGCGGGTCTGCGATATACTTCTCGAGCTTGAATGCGCTGCGGCAGAAGGTCGCCCAGGCGACGCTGATTGCGCGAGAAGGAGGTAGAGGTGATGGGCATTCGAGTACGCTGCCGAAGCTGAGCAATTGGGCGAATTTGGCGACGGGTGCGGCGGCCAGGACATGGGCCGGATTCCTCATGATGCCGATTACGGTGATCAAGGTGCGGTACGAGAGCAATCTCTACGCGTATCGCAGCTTATTCTCCGCGTCGAGGGATATTCTGCAGACGGAGGGGCTGCGCGGGTTCTTCGCCGGGTTCGGCGCCACAGCCGCGAGGGATGCGCCGTATGCGGGACTCTACGTGCTGTTCTATGAACAGTCGAAGAAGCGGCTGTCGAGGCTGGCGACGACAATTGAAGAGAAGTCTGGGGCCGCCGTTATGCTCAGCTCGAGCACTTCGGCGGGAATCAATTTTGTATCTGGGGTTGCGGCGGCCGGGTTGGGGACGACGATTACGAATCCGTTCGATGCGATTAAGACGAGGTTGCAGCTTATGCCGGCCAAGTATGTGAATATGGTGCAGGCGGCGAAGACGATGCTAAGAGAGGAAGGGGTCATGTGCCTCTTCGATGGGCTGGGGATCAGGATTGCGAGGAAGGCTATGAGCTCTGCCCTGGCGTGGACGGTATATGAGGAGCTGATACGGCGGGCGGAGATGAGATATCATGATGGGCTTGAGAAGGCGTAATGTACGATACGGTAGGTTTGATTGGGTTTCTCAAGACATGTATAGTATGGACTGGTTTGGTGTCTGGCGCCTAGAGCGCCATATCTGGTATACCTCGCTCACCACATCTAGGGAAAACAACTGGGATTGCAAGAGAGGGGCGTGGTTTCGAGCTTGACGCTCCTTGTACGGTATTTACGAAAATGCTCGACTATGGCTACCACCAAAGTACGATAAGAGTCACGGTGACTAGCCAGCCTCGCGCGCCCCGGCTCATCCGCCTATCTATCGTTCTCACTAGCACTACGGCATGCACACTACACTGCACCGGCTTTTCCTCGTACAAGTGAAATCTGTTTACGGCATGTGTTAAGGAAGTAGCTATCTAGGTAGCTGATCGCCCGATCATCCTGTATTATCCGGTGTCCTCCCACGGTTCCAATCCGTCGCTCCGGTACCTCACTCGCCTTCTAGGTATACAATGAGCGACTGCGGTTGTCTCTGTTTGTAGCTCGCTGCCAGCGCAATGCAATGCGGGCATACTGGGGTTACCGTCACGTTGTCGAACGAAACAGACCCTTCTGTGATTGATTGGCGGAGCGCCGCTGAGAGCCGTATTTCATTTACCCAGGGACGGGGTATTCAGCTCACACGGTCTCCGCCAGCACAGCAATTCTATAAAATATCTCTTCAACTCCTTTCATAATCGGAACCCTCAGCACTCCTCAAGCCAAACTGACATTTCCAATATGGCCATTAGCGATGTTGGCGCCCCTGCTGCAGCATCAGGCTCGACTGGGAACAGCATTGTTATCAACCTCGCAGAGGAAGACATGGCGGAGAACCATGATCTAACTCCCGAACCAATCCAGCCACAGACACCCGATTTGGCGACCAATGTGGACGAGATTCGAGCAGCCCTGGTCGCAATAGCCCGCCATCTAGGCGTTGAAGTGCCTCGAGTAACAACTCCCGCCGTAAGGGTCGACACACCAAGGCCTAGCGATGATGCATACGACGAGGAAGCGGTCGTTGATCTCCAACTTAGGGAGGTACCTTCAAAGGCGCCTCCAAATATCAAAGTCCAACAACTTACCGGAGAATACTATGTTCGGCGACGCGGCAGAGGCCTACCACCCAACTGGTCGGTAGCCGTAGGGAGCGAAGAATCCCTTGATCCATCACCTGGTCACCAACACGCGTTTGCCTGGGATCTCCCTCACGGAGATAGGAGTCTCGCCTTCAATTCCGTGACGCTGTGGGAGCTTGGGTATGATTCACAGGGCTATGTAGACTTCAAGCGTCTTTGCCGACGACCGAAATTGGTCGAACATATTGTGAGAGTTCGGTTCATCTATGTACTATTTCTCGATTAAAATGAGGGTCTTCACTAACAGTGTGAAGTTTGTCACGGCCGAGGGCGCCAGGCTCGATCCTCCCTGGGAAGAACAGAGATTTGGCAAAGAATGGTGCGAGTTTATCCACCTAGCTACAGAAGTGTGCGCTAAGCTCCTCCGGAACTCAGGTTCATTCGCTGTGGACTGGAACTGGACCCTGGGCAGCTTGGAATTGTTAACTCGCAGGCTATCGAGTATAGCCAGCTCTCTCGCCCATGTTATTCTCTTCTCGATCGTTTCGTAAAGGCTATGGTCCTTGGCCCCAAAGGGGCACGCGTGGATTTTTGCGAACGACGGTAAGTTTGATTACCATATGCGCTTCCTTACGATCAACGCAAGGGGGATGAAGGAGGCGACGGATTATAGTTCGCTCTTGCGGTTGGACAGAGTGAGAGGCGAGCTTCCTATCCCGGGGACTGGAGGTACGATGGACATTTCGGAGGCGCGTTTGTCGACGGCGCTCATTACAACAACCCACATGGACTTGGCCATCTTTAAGCTGATTAATCTCACGGATAGCGTTCGCGGTACGAGCTGGAGCACAAAACAAGATGCTCTGAACTGGAAAGCAGCAAAGATCCGGCCTTTACGACGAGGCACAGGCATGGCGGCTTTTGCGTTTCGTATCCATTGCTCGTGTGGCACCTGGGCTACCGAGTGGAGCGAGTTCCTGGATGGAATCGACAACGCTTCTAGATTTGACGTGAGTTTCCTTACATCCTCTAAATTCCTTGGACTGGCTGCTGCGTTAGCCCCGACACGCGAGGCGTACTCTAACGACCGCTTTTATTATAGCTCACGGACATTCTCTCTCACGGAGAACGACTTACCATGATGTTTGACGATGCTGGTTCAGGGTTTGCCCTGTCGGAGTTTTATTTTACGGTGCTGCAGTTGCTTCGTGTTGCCCACGACTGGATTCAAGAAAGCGTAGAGGAGCTGAAGAATCTTGCGGGGGAGTTTGAATGGCAATATGGGCCCGATGGTTACCTACATGACCATGACCAGGAGGCAGCTGAAGTCTCGCGGCGGAACTGGGAAAGCGTCATGTCGCATCAGCAAAGTCTTGCCAATGGACTGCTCAGTCGCATCGCCAAGAAGCGAGAAGAGATGAGCAGTCTACGAGACGGGGTAAGTCGGGTGACGAGAATTCTACTCCATTTTACTCTATCTCATCCTATAAACGTCTTCAGGAGGCTCAACTAAACTATCCACAGCTTTTCAATGCGACGTCCGTTCGGGAAGCGACCAAGTCATCCCAACTGAACCACTATATCCTCGTCTTCACCGTCGTCACCATCTTCTACCTACCGCTAAGTTTCGTCGCAGTAAGTACCACCGTACAACGACGCGCTACATCTTAAACTCAGCTAACTCCTCGTCTTGCAAGGCACTGTTTGCGTTGGACCTGTTCAAGTGGGATGCTCCCGGTCAAAAAGGATCCTTCGCCGCGGCCATTGTTGCAGTAGCTGGTGGTACGTACGTTTGTTCCGGACTGTTGATCTGGACGGTCCGGAGACCCGAACGGCGAAGGACGTTTACGAGGGTCTGGATCCGTCTGTGGGAAGGTTGTAGGAGGCGTCTCGGCTGGTTGCGCCGCGAACGTCCGGTGGTGGAGGACTTGCAAAGAGTCGATAGCTTGGATGGCATACCCGGCCGAAGGGGATTGGAGAACTCGACCGGTGTTCGGTTCGCATGGGACCTAGGGTAGAGGGCTCTGACATCAAGTGAAGAGAGGACAAGGTCCGGAGGAGAGTCCTTAGCTAGAGGCCAGGAAAAGACAGGGCACGATTATAGCTATGATGGGATCATCTGTGGTCCTCCTTGATTGGTGCCCTACAATAGATAGATAGTGTATGGCAGAGCAGGAAGATGGTCGTCCGCGGCTGTGGTCACTCAGACCGAGGCTGGCCTACCTACAGCATCTTGTTTTAGGCGACACTTATCTCGACTTATTCATCTGGGGCTGAGACTAGAAATTGGCCGCTGCTCGATATCTTGGTGAGTACACGGAGCGGTGATGAAGATTCATCTCTGTGTCATTCGTAGTCGAAGGTTGTGTCTGGATGTTGGACACGTTGAACAAGGATCCCCACGTACGACAAACCCGCTTCGAGCCAGGTCCTTTCTCAGGAAGAACAATCACAATGATGACTGTAAAAGTATACTCGACACAGTCATGTTGTTGCATTTTGTAGAACAGAGGTAGGTAGATTTCTATGACGTGTATTACCTCAAGAGCGATTGCTCGAGGTTGTCAGTGTGACAAGGTGTTGTTGCTCATGACAAGTTGCGATGGAGGAGGAGAGGTGGCCTCGAGCATACAAAGAACAGGTCGCATCTTCTCCCGAGGACACATTTTCGCATCGTGGTGAGGCGCACCGGTGAGGGACTCAGGCGGCGGGGTCCGCCGTCGTAGCCAGGGCACCGAGGAGGCTGTGCGAGGCGCACGCGCGGTGAATACAATGTTACTATCTACAAGGAGTATCGCGACTTTGCAACCGAGGAGCAAACAAAGCGCAAAGCCCTTCTCTGATGGATGCGTGACGGACCGCACCGTATTACACAGTAGACCATTTCCAGAATTCTCACCGCGATTTCCTCTTTTCCAGGGTTTTCCATTGCTGTGTACTGTGTACCTTCCTGCCCATGACGTAACCCCGCCCTGGGCTGATCTGCTCACCCTCACCCTCACCCTCACCCTCAACCTTGTCCTGTTCTCTTGTATCCCACTACAATCCTGCTTGCTCGCCCGCCACCCCTCTCACTTCACCCGGACACTTTTCCTTCTCCTTTGCTTCCAACAAAGCCTCAAGCCTTGACAAACTCTGAAGCGAAATCTCTACGCCACTCTTCCTTTTCCTTGACCGCAGTCAGCCTTCGCCCGGCTCTCCGGCCGCCCAGAACATACCCAGCGTCTGACAGACTGGTTATATCCACGCTACTCCCAGGGCCCCGCGACCCTCGACGACTCTTCCACCATTCCCTCTCGCACTCACCACCTCTTTTCCTGTCCCATATTCGCCGCCCTCTCATTTTCTTCGTTGCACACAGCCCATCCCAGTCACCCCACCCCGCTTATTATACGAGTGACTCGGTGAGTAGTCTCCCCACCAGCCCTCTCCAACCACCCCACCAACTTCACCCCTCTTCCGTCTTCAACAATAATAAGTCGACCTGATTCCCTAACCTGACCCTTGCAACAGATCAACGAAACCTGAGCCAGCATTCCCATGTCCGACTACTACGACGACCGTCCGCGGCGAGCCCACCGCACCATGGAGCGAGAACCCCAGTACGTCAGAGAAGAGACCTACATCGAGCGCGGCAAGGGAGCCTCGACCCGCGACCTGGTACACCGCCCACGGCGCGAAGACAGCATCGAGGACATTCCGCGCGACTTCCCTCCTCCCCGCCACGCCCACCACAGCCGTCGCCAATACGATGACGACTACTACGGTCCTCGCTCTTCCCGGGGCGACTACTACGACCGCGATGGCTACTACTCCGACGAGTACGAACGTCGGCCCAGGCGGGAGCGTCGCAAGTCCATTGTCGACAATCTGAAAGAGATTGGTGAGGCTGCAGGGCTGGGAGGCGTCATCAGCGCCGTGACCGGCCGCAGTCGCTCTCGCTCTCGACACCGACACGACCGTGGCTACGACAGCGACCGTTATGATCGCCGGAGCCGTCGCTACAGCTCTGGATCCCGCAGCCCCGGCGGCCACCGCAAGACGGAGAAGAAGTGGGAGCAGGCTGCCACAGCTGCCCTCGTAGCCGGTGCAGTCGAAGCCTTCCGTAGCCGCAAGACACCCGGTCCTTGGACCGGTGAAAAGGGCCAGCGCGTTGCAACTGCTGCTCTGGGTGCTGCCGGTATCGATGGCCTCATCGACAAGGATCCCGATCGCCACAAGAAGCGACACGTCGCCGGCTCCGCCCTGGGCGGCCTGGTGGCCAACCGCCTCGCAAATGGATCTCGCTCTCGCTCCCGTGGCCGCCGTGGATCCAGGTCCCCAAGTCGCTCGCGCTCTCGATCCCGCTCGCTCTTTGGCCGTTCCCGCTCCCGCGGTCGCTCCTCGTCGCGCGACAGTGGAGGCAAGAGCCACACGCTCCGCAACGTCGCTGGTACCGGAGCGGTCCTCGCCGCAGGAAAGGCACTCTACGACCGCGTGAGGTCTAAGTCGCGCTCTCGGCGCGAACGATCGCGAAGCCGCAGCGTCTCCAGCGAAGACAGCTACGTGCCCTCGCGATCGCGCCGCTCCCGCGGCGCTCGAAGTATGGATGATGGATACTCGGAGGCTCCTTCCAGGGCTAACTCAGATCGCAGAGTAGCAATAGCGGCGGGCGCCGCGGGGCCGCTGGCGTCCCAGCGAGGCGGCGGTAGGGACAGTGATAGGGAGAGGGGCGACGTGCGGCCGGATCACGATGTCTCGGATTCTGATAGCACGACCGATCTGGAGATTCAGAGGAAGAAGATGAAAGGTAGGGAGCTGATCACGGCGGGCCTGGCGACGGTGGCGACGATCCATGCAGCTCACGGGGTGTACTCGTCCATAGTGGCTAGTGAGAAGAGGCGGAGGATGGTGAAGGAGGGAGACATGTCTCCCGAAGAATCGAGGAAGTTGAAGTACAAGAATATACTGCAGGATGCAGCGGCCGTGGGCATTGCGGCGCTGGGCATCAAGTCGGCGTATTCGGAGTGGAAGGAAATGAATGATCACCGGAGAAATGTGCACGAGTTGGAGGCGAGGAGGCGGAAGAGGCGGAAGGCGAGAGAGAAGAGAGAGAGGGAGGCTAGGATGGGTATGCCAGGTGGCGGGATGGCGCCGATTCCGTATCAGACGGGCATGTACTATCCGGACGGGAATCCGTATGGAGCGGGAGTGCCGCCGCCGCCCATGGGTGCGCCGGGGATGCGGTACTAGAGGGAGGGTTTCTTTGGTTTGCGGGGAGCCACTGTTTTTTTTTGTTATAGGGACTCTTTTCTTCCTTTGCGGCTGTGTCTCTTATACCATTCTTCCTTGCTTCATGCTGCCAGTCCTTTCATTTTGACTTTTCCTGGTTTGGCGGAACGACTCTTGATGGTTTCGAGGGGGGTATCACGACCATGATGATTATAACCACGACGGTAACGAGGTATCCGTATCTCGGTGACGAGTAATGAAAAATCTTTCCTTTTGATCATTTCGAACTCTGACGGATGTCCATACTCGATGCTCTCACGCTAGTCAATTCTTCCTGACGCTCTCCATTTGCATCAGCCCTCGCTCTTCAGTGTCCATCTACTCTTATCCCCGTTCACCCAAACAATAGATCCGTACCGACCCTCCTCCCCTCGATCCAGCGCTCCTCGCCCTCGCCCCCTTCGTACGCCATCTCGCACACGCGCTTGGCCCGCTTCTCCAGCCCGACCTCCGCCCTCGCGGCTTGTAGGACTTTGCTCTTTTCCGCTGCGTCGTCTTCCTTCTTCCGCGATCTACCCTTTATGGTCGCCGGGTTTCGAGTCCCCTGCCTGGTTGTAGTGTTAGTACTCGCAGCAGAGCTACCCTTTCCGCCTGCACTATCAATACCAGTAGCAGCAGCACACCTCGAGTCCACCATCTTCTTCCGCCTGCCCGGGGGGTGCGGGTGGTAATCCAGCGAGTGGAAGCGGCCCGTCTCGGCGTCGTAGCGCGCGTGGTTGCGCAGGAACAGGGTCGGGGGGAAAAAGAAGGCGAGGAGGACGATGGTCGTGTACATCCACATTTTTTATCTTTATCTTTTTATTTTTCTTCTTATCCCATGCTTTTCCTTTTGGGACAGTTGGGGATTTTGTAGGGAGGGGAAGAAGGGAGGGAGGACGATGGGAGTGAAGGGACCGAAAGATGAGTTCTAGACTACAGGTCAAGGCAAAGGGGTGAGATAGTATGTAGAGAGAGAGAGAGAGAAGAAAGGGTTTAGGACTGATCAAACGGAACGATACGACATACAATACGTGCCCATTAAACGAGAAATGTTGGGTATGAAAAGGCAAAGAAAAGGAGGAGATCACAGGCGAAGGAAAGGGGGAAGGCAAGTATTTGTGTCAAGTTCGAATCGTTAACAGAACAAAATGTGGACTGCCCCGTGGAATCAAGCGAGGGAAACTCGGTAAGTAGTATGTATGTACGTCAGAGAGATCCGCGGTTATGTGAAGAGGAGGATCGAGAGGTTTTAGAGAGGTGGTCGTTAGACGGAAGTGTGGGCGGATACCTATTACCTAGGTAGCTGACCGGCAAGTAGTCCAATCTCTTCTTAGAGGCGTGCTGCAGCTGGATACGCGGTAATGTAACAGTTCGTCGTAGCGAGGTAGGGGAAGTAGCAAGGTAAGTAGGTCTTTGTCTCTCGATCCAAGGGAGTGGCGAAAAGGGGCTAGAAATGACGTCCAGGAATGCTCACCAACAGTAGCTACCAGCTACGTTAACTAGCTACCCTTACCCCACAAACACCAAACGGGCCTTCTACAACGACGGTCCCGTCCTCAGTAGCTAGCTACTACCAACACAGTAGGCACGACTGTACTTCGCACGTCCTCGCAAACTGACCCTTATGAATCTTCAATATGCAAAACATCAACGCCATCTCTATTCCAAAATCAAGGTAAATCGAAAATAAAGATATTAACTTGGGGCTATCATTTCTCATTCTACAGCCACCCCCCCAGCAGCAAACTGCGCCCTACGCTATGCGCTATGCCCTGTGCGCTATATATGCGCCAAACTGGGTAGTCCCGTCTATCCATCCAAAAACCCCAACCGGAACCCACATGGTCGTACAAGGACGAACAAGGAATGGAATATCAATGGCGGCGATAAAAGGAAGAAGAGAAAAAGGAAAAAAAAGCCAGCCAGTCTCTCAAAAGTTCGACCAAAGCAGAGCGTCCAGACGCCCAACCAAACCAACGCTCGCCGTGCAGTCTAGGTGTCGTCGTAAACCATGACCATGGACAGAGTAGAAGAAGGAAAGAAAAGATGATGCTTTGCAAAACAACCAAGTGGTATACCCCTGAGTATCCTCCTTTCCCGGTTTGAAGTAAGAGTCAACGAACCTCGTGCCACTCACCGCAGACTATGCGCATGTCAATGATCGTGATCGCACACCTCCCCCTCAAACACTGACATCCCCGTCATCCACTCCCGGATCATCGATCCACGCCTTCCCCACTTCTCCCAGCCCGGGGCCCCTCTCATCCATAGACATTCCCTCGCCTTCTCCTCGCTCAACCCACTCCTTCTCATTGAGGTCCCGCCAGATACGCTGGAAATACATGCGCAGTGACCTCAAACCCCGCAAATATCCCTTGTCAACCCCCTCGGGGTCGCGCGGAGGGCACGACACATTTGGAGGAAATCCGTCTTCCGCGGTGATGCAGTTGGCGAAGTCGACAATCTTGAGCTTGATTTCCGGGTACTTCTTCGCAGTAGCCATCGGTGTCGTCGAGCCGGTAGATGCGTCTTCCACGCTCGACTTAACAATACCGTTGCCAGCGTCATTGTCCTTGGTCGTGCGGCCTTCGCGGTCATAGAGCATGAGGAGGCTGCTGGCATAGAACCGATAGCCGGGTAGTTGTCGGATCATGCTTTCCAATGCGCTGAGCTTCTCGAGTATGACGGGAATATGTCGAAGGGCAGCCTGGTAGCCTACGCCATCGAAGAAGAAGCGCTTGAGCGCATCCTGAAACTCCTTGCCCGCCTTGAGATCGCGACCGAAATATTTGTCCTCAAAGACGTAGCTTTGCGTCTTGACGTTCCAAATCTGCATGCCACAGATCCGGACGCCCAGCTGGCGACTAGTCGTCATCTGGCACTTGCGGCGCTGCGACCGTTGCTTCTTCTCGTCGGCTTCGACCCCATATTGACGTGTCCCCATCTTCAGATCTAGCACACAAGGCTTTTCCATGCCAGCGGTGAGATCCTCGAGGAGAAGGAAATGCTGTACACGTTCGTCCGGTTGCTGTTGAGCTTGCCTTGGATTGACCGGCTCACGGCTTTCCGGCACGGCCAATTTGGATCTGGGGGCTACTGGGGCAGGAAGCATCCTCCCTGTCGAGGTGTTATCAGGGTGCGGCGCAAGCTCCGGCTTCGCCTCAGCTGGCGTATGGCCGTTGACCCCATTGTGGGGCTTCGGTGCAGGCTTGCAGTCATCGTCCATAGCGAAAACTTCCTCTTCTGCATCACCACCGTAGCCGTCTTCCTCATAGAACTCCAGGTTAGACCTTCTGTTGGAATCCACGCCACAGGGCCTACGTGTCAGCCCTCCACCCGAATGACGACGACGCGGGACAGCAGGAGGTGGCGGACGAAGTTCCTCGACACTGGTCAAGCTACTAGAAGTGGGTTGCCCATCGGCATTCTTAATGCCACTCGAGTGACGGTACGCCTCGGCTCGAAGTACCTGCTTCCGAGGAGATTCATCACCGAACTGCGCATGCAGCTCCGGAATATCGGTACTGTTCCTTCTCATAGACGGTGCAGAACCAGCAATGCCTTGGGAATCCGAACGTAACTTTCTGGGTATAGGACGATGATGGTGGTGATGCCCATGTCGAGGACGATGGTGGATCGGCGGAGGAGCAAAAACCTGCCGCAGGACCTCTTCTTGCAATTTGGTGTTGATGGTCGTTACGCCCCAACTGCTATGCTGCTGGACTCGCGGCCGTGAAGTCTTCTGCTCGCGACCCAGACCACCCACGTCACTCTGATTTCTGTGCTGGTATTGATACAGGTTGGAGCTGTCGGTCCACGGATCGGGGGTCACGGAGCGGGGCGGGCATCGAAACAAGTTTTCAGGAATGATATGGCGATTGTTCTCGAAGATGACCTGAGGAACGGGCATGGTTTGCTGGGAACGACTAACCATTCTAGCTCCGTCTTTGCCCTTCTCCTCATTGCCAGCAGCGTTCGATTCGACCTTGGCGGCGGCAGTGGTGTGGTTCGGTGCTTCGGAAGCACCATGGTCAACCTTTGCCTCGTCTCGATTGGTCTTCTTCCGCTTGGGCGCCTTGCGGTACGTTACATTGAGCACACCGATGTACCTAAAATGACAGCAACGAATTAGCACATGAACTCACAGAGTCGGAGAGGAACCTTGGGCCAGGCGGGAAAGGGTCTTCGCTGACGTCTCAGCTTCAAAAGTCATATAGGATGAGCATATGAAATCTCGTACCTTGGCAGAAACTCAAGCAGATCTGGATGGTGGCGTTCAACCGTCTCGTAGAATTCATTCTCGCGATTGTTGAGCTGTTTGCACACCGCCCTTCTCGAGAAGCGGTAGACGGTTGTGTGGCCACCCACTTGATGGTCATACGGCTTCAATTCCACCGCACCAAGTGGAGCGGGTGGCTGAGTCGTCAGCGGAGGCCTCGCGGCTTTCTTGCGTGGGGTCGCAGTGGGAGTGGTGCCTAAATCATCAGTTGCGCTAGACTCATCGCCCGTAACGGAACGTGTGGACTCAGCCACCGAATCATAGTCATATTCGGCTGTTGTGAGTTCTGGGGACGTAACCAGGGATTGGTCATCTTCCTTGGGCAAGGGACTAGTCGGTGGCATATCACCATGCAGGCATTGATTTGTATCTTGGGACTGTAGAGAAATTTCTACCTCTTCGGGCGTTTTCACAGGCTGCCCCGTCGGCCATCCTTGCGATACTTTTTCTCCTGTCGCGATTGATTTGGATTTACCAAGGCCTTCCCAATCCGCCTTTTCCCGTTCCTCACGCGGCGTCTGGGCAGGAGATTGCAATTGTCGGTGGGGGAAGTATAGGGCCGAGGAGATGTGTTCCTTCTCGGACTCGTCCTCCTCCGATCCAGGGGACTGATCGTGGCGCTCGTCTGGAATGTAATGGAAGTAGTCTGCGCTCGAAATAGGATTGGATGCGGTGCTGGTTCTCTGCGACTTCTCGGCCGCCGCTGCGGGCAGGCTAGAGGTCGCTCCGTCAGCGCCGGGAGTTAGATTGCCAAAGCTTCGGATCTGCTCGAGAAGCTGTAGAGGCAACCGCCGTTTCGGAGGAGCTTCCACCAAATGGTCACGCGCATCCGTATCGGCTGCTATAGAGCTCTTGCTTGCTCCGTGTTTTGAGGGGGATACGGGCTCAAAATACGACTCTGCGGGACCTTTGAGCGGCGAGTGGACGAGGGACACCGGTCGGGACAGCACATAGCTTCTCTTCTTGATATCCGATCCATCCATGCCTTGTTCTGGTACGGTATGCAGCAGTGTTTCCGCGTGATGGCGACCTTTTGCCCGCTCTTCCCTTCTCTTCTTCTCCTCGGCAGCGTCCTTCTCTTTGAACACGCGCAAATAATGGCTTGCTTTCCTGCTCCTGGCACTGGTGGGGTGATCAGCCTTTGTGAGCGTTGCCTCAATCTTCTTATCCACATGCGAATGGTCGTGATGATGGGTGTGGGTATGGTGTGTGACGGTGTTACTGTGCGGAAACTCGGCATTGCCTTCCCTCCATGACCTGTACTTGGCACGCTCTTGCTCGTCCGTCGGCGAATTGAAGAGATGCTGTGAATTGGGTATCTTGGTGGTGTCGTGAGGCGTGATGGGTCGTTGGATGGGCGAGTCAACGGGACTCATGAATGGAGGGGGACTGTGCCGGATGTGTGAGGGTCTGGGTGGCGAGCCAAATTGTTTTTGGGAGTTGAAATGCGTCGAAAGAAGGCCTTGGTGCTCCTCCAGCGTCACGGTCCGTGAAGAGGTGTGCTGGCGGAGGGGAGGTGCCTGCATCAGTCTCCCCGGTGGAGCCTTTGGCGTTGCCATGCCCGCAAGTTCGTCACTGGGCACATTGTCAATTGGGTCGTCGTGGCGGGCGGACAGCTGGGGCGAGGGAGTTGGACTGTCAGAAGGTCGATAGGTGGTTGCAAAGATGCTGTCTCTATCCGAGAGCTGAGGACCGTCGACGGAAGCGGCAGTCCAGCATTGCTCCGGGGGTAGGGGAGCGGTCCTGGAGCGACCCGTCTGAGAGAGCCTTTTCGGAGCTGGTTCAGGGGAGGAGTCGAGAGGGTAGGGCTGGACACCGGCATTGGCCGAGGAGTGGGAAGCATTTGTCCTCAGCGATGCGGGGGATGAGGAGCGATTCGGGGCGTGAGGGGGCGGTGACATGGGAGCGACATTGGACAGGGCGCTGAGGGGACCCGTGTGCGAGTGGGTGGGTGATATGATTGCGGAAGCTGACGAGCAGCAGTGCCAGCAGCAGCAGCACTGGCAAGGGCCAGGGCAGCGCCGTGGGTCGGGATGTGGAGCGTCCTACCGGGCGAGGCGTGCAGTGACGGAGCAGCAGCGGGGAAACGGGGAGCGGGCAGCCCCAGGGCGGACTGGAGACGAGTGGGAACGAGAGTGGGTGGGAGGCGGAGGACCATACAAACGGTGCACGTTGGCCGGATGGGTGGAGTGGTGGTGGTGTGTTGAGAGAGTCTGTGTTGTATTGGCAGAAAGAGTATGTACAAAGTTGCCGTGTTGGTGTGGGTGGACAAGCAGGGAAAGGCGCCAAGACGCGTGTCCCGAATCAGCGGTGGCGCACGAACGCCACAAGGGCAGGTGCATGTGGCCGCCCCAGGTGCCGCCCCAGCGTTGTGCAACGTCATTCTCGACATAGTACCGCTTTTCTCCGCACTCTGCTCGCGAATACAGTACACTCAGTAAAGACTAATGTTACTAAGAATAAGAACACTTGTCGCATATCCCTCTGTCTTGCCTCTGCCTTCTATTTCTTCTTTTCTTTTCCACATCGACGCCAGGAACGTTGACAGGCGGAGCGGCACGGCAAAAGCAAAGAGAAAAGCGGGAATCCGGCTTCTTTCCTCCCTCCCGTCTGTCCCGGCCCCGCCAAGCCTGGCCCGTTGAGGAAGCCGCGCCTTGCCACTTCTGGCCTTCAGTGTGAAAAGACGGCTTACGGCTCTGCGGGAACCCCCTACGCTGCGTAGCAAAAGTGCCCCTGCGCAGACAACGTGGGCCATCTCTCACGCTCAAATGGACATCGGCTGGTTTTAAACTTTGATTCATGCGACACATTCTCCATATTACACACTTCAGCCGGATGCTCACAGGCTCACTGCCCACTATGCCATCAGTGGATTGAGGTGGAGCCCAACGGCCGGGAGATATACACAGACGTTCCCTTTGCTCCTACCACGTCTCGCTGCTTGTTGTCTGACTGCACGCCATAGCCACGCTTCTATCCGGTCCATGTTCCCTTTCCCCATGCCGTCCAGGCTTTTCATCCAATCATGCCAGAACGTGGTGGTACGCTGCCCACCATTCATCTCGACCAACATCAAAGTACTCTTGATATCCTGCAAGTTACCTTGTTGGGCCGAAAGATTCACTACCCAAACCAAGATCCTCTCGTTCCCTTTTTACGTACAGAGTCGAAAAGGCGGTATGCCATTCACCCAATCGTATCACCTCCCGTCAGTCCATGTCCTCAGGGCAGCCTTTACGCCAACCCATCCACGTTGCGCAGAAACTGGTCTGCAAAACTCACATCGCCATCAAAGGAGCGGGGAAAGTCAATTCCCGGTAGCTCCACTGTTTGGCTGTGGACATAGCCCGAGCAATGCAAAGACTCTTGGGTCCCTTTTTGACTTGTCGGAAACGACACCACCGAATTGCGCTCTCGCAACGGAAGACGCTCGTTCGACCGTCTAGGGCTCCTGCAATTCTCCGCATCAGCGACCCTCTCTTGTTCATTCTTGTGATTAAAGACAGCAAACCTCAGGCCGCTTCCTTTGGGGACGGCCGTCGACTGCTTCTTCACTGTGCTGAATGCAAAGGGGGACGCTGCGAGGAACAGATCCTGCGTGCTAATCGCTGCACTTCTAACCCAGCTATCAGGGCCAGCCTTCTCAAGCTGCGCATTGAAGGCATGGAACGGAGTGATCGCAGGGCTCTTCCCTGGTAATGTCGTCTTCGGCGTGCCTCCCTGGGATCCAGATGGCAACAATGATGCTGACAAAGGTGACTCAGGAGAGAGAGGAGACGGGTCTGGAAAGGTTCCGTCTTGAAATTCGAGTTGCGCCAGCATCATGGCCGCTTGTGTCGAGTACAAAGACTGCCGGCTGCCATCTGAACCTAGACTGGTGCGCTGCTGTTCCCCTCGCGGGCCTTCTACCGTCGTCTCCTGGTCGCTAGGGGCGTCATGTACAGTGTGCGGCCGTCTTCCAGCATCGCCATGAACAGATCCTGATTTCCATTCCTGCGCTACTGGAGCATCGGCAGCATTCGAGTTCCCCACTGGAGTTCCATTCGATGCCGTACGCTCGACTATGTCATCCGGCGTCTTAGGCTGCTGTGCAACTTTGTTCACTCTCCGACCCCCTCTCCTCCGGTACTGGAAGCTGCTGGTATTGCCAGGAGATGCTCGGGCTTTCATGACCATGACCGTCGGAGAGTCTGCCTGAACAGTCCTTCTCGCCCCACGTGCCTCCGAACCTTCCCTATCTCCCTCCCGGGCTTCTTCCTGCGCTATGGTATGAGGGGTATTTGCAGATCCAGGAGCACCACTTGTAATGGGAACAGGTAGCGAAGATTTCTTTTTCCGAGAGCATTGAGCCGAAGCGTGTGTGACCTCCAAGGTTTGACGTGAAATACCATGTTCCAAAGGAGTTCGCAAGCCCGATCTCATGTGACCAAATGGACTCTTGTATGGCGTTTCTGCAGCTGGCGAAGAAATCAGCATTGAGGCTGAGGCACTAGATCTCCAGTGGCCCAAACTGGTCCTTTGTACGGCCGAGTGGACGTCAGTATGTGTACGGGAAGATAGTTTTGCTGGGTTGCCATCGCCTTTTCCGCCAAACCGTGCACGCCTAACACGCGACGGTGTAGGAGACCGCTTTGGCGCAGGCGATGCGGAATATCTCTCTACATCTTTGCCCTTGCGTCGTTTAAGCCATAAGCGCTCACTGCTCTCGTCATGGGTACCCTTATATTTGACTCCTAAATGCTGCTTCCGGCGGTTCCTTGCCCCGTGTCCCGATCGCCTTTCCTCTGTCGATGCCACGCTCTGAGGGGTCGGCTTTGAGCTTGCGTTCGACCACGGGTTCGTCCAGGAGTCAAACGGGCCTCTCAGCCTGGTAGAGAGTAAGGTTGGTACTTTGCCACGTCGTAAGTAGTCCGTTGCTATTCTCTCGATGCGCTGCCGTTTACTAGCTCTTTCCGTAGGGTCGTTATACGCTGTAAGCTGCGGTTCCACAATATCTTCCCTCTGTATATCGGGCTCCTCGAAGTCAAGCCCTGTTCTTAGGTGCTCGTGAAGACCTCTCTTCATACTGCAGGCCCCTAAAGCGTTCTATCCAAAAGCACACAGGGATGCAGGTAGGTTACGCCCTTTGGTCAAATGTAATCGTGTAGGCCGTTTTCGCGTGGGGTGGAGCGTTTCTGAGGGATCACTGGCAGGGCGCAGGCAATGTTCAGATCCAGCCGGCGAGGACGAAATGACATGTTCGGATTAGGTGGTCGATCGAATGTAAAGGCAGCAGCGGGTTGCATCCCCGCCTGTCTCAAAGATGTTAACTCTAAGATAAAAGGCCAAACGAGGGGCGACGGACGCTGCTGTACCCCCCTCCATCCAAGGAACAAATGTGGTGTTTCCTGGTGGTGCGCCGTTGCTTGAGCAACGGGCTCAGCGCTATCGATAACAGTCACGTGGGTGACGCGGGACCACCCAACATTGAAGGTTGTTTCATCAAGTGGGCGATATTGACACCAATCCTACAACGAACTTCGACGCGTTTTCTTTACCAGCCTTTGACATTGAGGTGCATATGACGGCCGTTATGCCCTGCGACCAAGCCTAGCAACTCTACCGACGCGTTGTCCATCTCTAAACGATCCGCCAAATAAGAATCGCAGGACAGCGCGAAGCAGGCGCAAACATGAAGCCGTGGCTCGACGACCTCTCGGAGGAGTGGGTTGAACCCGATCCTCCCGCCGATGATGTCAAGGACATGGCCGACTCTTCCGTAATGCAGATCTCCCAAAGCGTGCCACCTAAACCTCGCAGTCGACTTCCGCGCCTACGACACTCGTCCGGATCCTTCTCGGAAATACAGGTTCGACATATTGCGAGAGACCCCCGCTCTTCGAGGCCGACAAGTGTACTGGCTGCGCGCAGTCCCAATGGACAAAACATCATGCCTGTGGTGGACGCTGATGCGCCTAAGGTTCCCCGCTCCCGGACCGCATCCCAATCCTCCACACCGTCACAAGGCTCCGTCGTCCACAGCGGTACAGTAGCTCAGAAGCAGATCGCTCGACCGTCAAGTGCCGACGGACCAATTCAGAACACACCCGAGTGGAAGAGAAGGTTACTCAAGGGACAGGGTGGGTATGGAGAGCAGAAGGACTTGTTCAGCCCAATGGCACTGGAGAATATTTTCCAAAAACCTGATGGCAGCACACCCGGGGAGCCTGAACAACCAAAGAGCAAGCTTGGCGTGTTGAAAAGCTTGAGTGCAATACCATCAAGTCCACCTCCTTGGCCTGCTCGCGATCAGGACGTAAGTGGATACCCAGAGAATAGCGAGCGGGAAGTGGAAGCGGAGGCAGAGTCGACTGCGGAACCGGTGCAGGCCGCTAATTCGTCTTCGCGGTTGTCGGCTGGGAACAACAAAGCTATCCCACGTACAGTCAGTGGCCAGATAGAATTCGAGAATGAGAACTTCAGCCCAGTCTATCTGTCGATGAATCTCGGGGTCGGCTCATCCGCGCCCTCTATTCCGACTTTCACTGCCTCGTCTCTTGCGGAGAGATTACGGACCATTGGCACTCCTCCTCCAATCGTCCAACGCCAGCCAGCTTCTGAAGGAGACTCGACCTCGCAAAACCGGAGCATGAACGATTCTTCTATTTTCAAGTATCAGGATGATACCCTCCCTGCGGACCTTCCTGCCGGCACTCCAGATATTGAAAATAAGTTGAGTCCGTATGTCGAGATGAGAAGAGGCGGATATTCACAGGATGATTCTTTTCGGCGCCGACCTCTCAGTCCTTCTCCCCAGCCGAAGCGGACAGGCCGGACTATGCTGACTGCAGAGTCTGTTGTGTCTCCTACACGCACGGAAAAAAGCAAGACGGGAGCGCAGGAGGATGGCGCTGCCCAGCCTCAAAGCCCTTCCAAAAGGCCTGTGACGCCGAGTGGACCTCAGAACTCACAATTTCTTAGTCCTGAGCGTCCTCAGACGGCTGGCAGCCCCCTCAAACTATTTGACGCGCACGACACATTCACAAGCAATCGCCTGCATCGGCGACTAAGCCAACTTGAACTCGAATCCAAAAGAGTGGTTACTAGCGATACCAATGCGGAATCCAGCAGCGTAGCACAAAAGTCTTCGCGAATGACATCCTTGGAAGAAGTCAGCATGCATCAAATCACGACGGAGCCTCACAGGATATCTCCTGCCCAAAAACCGCAGATATCACAGCGTAAGGTTAGCGCGTTTGGTCAGGGTCAGCTAGATCGATATGCGTTTCCCGAAGACTTTTCAGTACTCTCCTCGCATTCATCTGAAGGACAAGAGACTTCACGGGACGGCTCCCCTTCCCCGCACATCGCACCGCCAGGATCTCGACAGCCGACCGGATTCCATTTTGATGTTTCGCCCGCTTCTTTCGCTTCTTCAAAGACTAGGAGACAAGGCCTTACCCGTGTATCGAATCATTTCCGCGGTATCAACCAATCAAGGACCATGTCGACCCAGGAAGCGTCCGTGACGGAACCCATGCCAGCATTGGAAGTCGAACATGAGTACGCTGAGGGTAAACGCGGTCCCACTTCACCTTTCAAGAACCCTACTCCAAAGAGGCGACGAACTCTCTACTCAGTGACGCAGGATGAGAGCGGTATTCTCAGCGACGACGAGTTGAGGCCAACCAACCATTCGCACGTTGCAATGCAGTCAGCACTTGGACAGAAGAGAAAGGACGCATATCGCGACTTATCAGGGAACAGAGCCGACCCACAGGTCATAGCCCAACGCCAAATTTTGAGACCGCGTAACCCGACCCCTAACCACAGGATGAGGGATGATATCTTGGAGGCTACAGATGCATTCATACAGTCATCGCCGGATATCCATACACTAAGAGAGCAGCTAGAGTCATCAGCCCTCCTAGACACAACCACTGACAAGGAGACGGCAGCTGTGATTGCACAAGAAATTGCAGATTTCACAATGAAGCGACCCCCTCTCATCAGAAATGAAAGCCGCAAGCGGTCAGTCACCACGCAGGACTTCCTTGATGAAGCGGTCAAGATTATGGACTATATCCGGGCGAAAGGGCGCCCAACTAGCGGACTAGAGAGTCTAGAGGAATCCGCATCTGAGACTCCTCCCCGCCCCAAGGAGGATCCGTTACCTTCTTCCCCATTATCATTTTCCAGGCCGCCTACCAGAGAGGGACGAAGGTCCATGTGGAAGGAACCTAACAAACTTGAAATGGACCCCAAAGTTATGAGCCATCTCAGAAGATTCCAGGAAAGGGAGTCCGATGAGTTGATGGGTTCGTCGATGAGATCATTGCAGATTCCGCAGGCCTTGCAGCCGATTGAAGGTAAAAGCGTTGTGGTGGAACAGAATAACATTCGCATTACAGACAATATAATCCGTCACAGAGAAGGAACAGAGGCGGAAAATGCCAACGGGTATCATGCTGGGACCATTGACACCCACCGTTCCGGGAGATCCTCTATGGGCCAGACTATTGCGACCAATGCCTCACGGAAATCAGAACATGTGGCGACTTTGGCGCCAGAGGCCGTGGCGCACTTGATCCCCGAGCACATCGCTGGAATGAGTTTTGATCGGGAGAAGAATGCCTGGGTCCGGAACAAGGCCGCTTCCCATGAACATCATACGAATGGAGTCGCCGCGGCGAGCGAGGACAGCGAGGAAGATCCCTTGGGCAATATCCCAGACCTGACAGTTGATGAAACAGCTGAAATCATGCTGAAAAATCAGGAATCCCCAAGCAGACCGCAGGCAACCGCAGAAACATTTTTGGAAGATACAGAGGGTCCGATCTGTGTGCCTCAGGATGATTCACGTCCAGTGACTCGTGAGGGACGGGTGCCCGCTCCGACAGACACCAGCTCGGTCCCGTCGAAGTCCTCCAATAATTTTGGTTGGAGTTATCCTAAAACAGAGACACGCGCGACCTCCTGGAGTGACCAAGAGACGTGCAATAGAGGCACTCAAAGAACCCAGCACCAGCCTTCCACTTACCCCATTCCTGAGAACGAAGAGGTAGATGTGGAGCACGAGATCAAGTATTTCGAAGGTCGTGGAATCCCTTCTGCGACCCGGAGGGTTGGCGATATAACTTTCTCGCTTGAGGGACAAAGGCATACCAATACCTCGAAAGTTAGCAGCGGTCGGCAGTGGTCATATGCAGGCATGCGGCATGATTCACGACCTCAAAGGAGGCCTTGGGATCAAGCTAAGGGGATAAAGACGCTATCCACTTCCCCGACTCAGGACCTCCCCGACGATGGTGATCTCTCCACCTTGCATGAACTCCCCTCTCGAAATTATCGCATGCAGCTGTCAATCTCTGCTCCAGTTCTAGGGCTGCAAGGACAGGATCTTCAGCCCGTGCTTCCCTCGTCTCCTGCGAAAGCGGACGTGACTTTTATGCTCAGCGACCTGCCCGAATTTACTCTTCACCAAGTCGACGAGTGCGAAATCCCGGATCGGGTGGTCGTCAAGCATGATGGCACCAGGTTTTCAAAATCTCTTGAAGACCGCTACGCTCAAGGCACTGCAGATCTCGTCAAAGCTCTTCAAGATGTGGCTCCTAAAGAGCCGTACTGGGAAGACCTCCGCAAGGTGGATCTTCACAACAAGGGCCTTACCAATCTTCATCGGCTGGACGAGTTCTGCTACCGCCTCGAAGAGCTCGATGTCTCCGATAACGGAATCAGCCAGGTGAAGGGGATCCCATACTCAGTGCGCCGGCTTCGAGTCGCTGGGAATGTCTTAACGGGATTGACGTCATGGACTACCCTTATGAATCTACAGTATCTCGATATTTCTGGCAATGAAATTGATAGCCTGGATGGTATGAGCGAGCTTATACACCTACGTACATTGAAGGCGGATAGCAATCACATCAAGTCTCTTGATGGCATTATGGAATTGGACGGACTCATGGAGCTGAGCGCGTCCGGGAATCAGATCGAGGTCGTTGACTTTACCAAGGCAGATTTGTAGGTGTAGTCTGGTCGCTTGTCTCTCGGCGGTGCTAACGCAGAGCAGGATTTCCTTGACAGACTTGAACCTCGCTGGGAATTCTATAGTGGAAGTGCGGAAGCTAGGTCGTCTGCCGCAACTAAGAACGCTCAATCTTGGTATGTCAGCTTACGATATTACGAATTGAGCCCTTGCTGACATGGCCAGACGACAACTGTATCGAAGATTTCCCTATTGCCGATATTCCCGACGAGCAATGCAAAGCTCTGCGATCTTTACGCCTGTGCCGGAACGGCATGCGGACTCTAGATATCGGACACTACTGTCCAAGGCTAGAATCATTATATGTTGACGGCAACCATCTACCTCACATTCCGGGACTGGAGCGTCTAAGGTGCTTGCGTACATTTTCTGCTCGAGAGCAAGCGGTCGAGGACGGTTCTGCCAACGGCTCATACGTTGGAGACCTGCTCAAGAATCACGATGTGCGCAATCTTTACCTCTCGGTTAACCCCATACGTGGGTTGGAACTGTCGCAGCATCTGCTCAATCTCCAGCGGCTAGAACTCTCTTCCATGGGACTGGAAGAGCTTCCTATCGAGTTTGGACAACTGGCGCCGAACCTCCGGAGCATCAACCTTAACTTCAATTCACTCAAGGATCTTCGTCCTCTTCTCAACATCAAACGACTCACAGAGCTGTTCGTTGCAGGGAACAAGCTCACACGGCTGCGCACGAACCTTGCAGTCCTCGGGAAACTAACTACTCTAACGACGCTGGACTTGCGGGACAATCCTCTTACATTACGTTTCTATCCCCCAACCTCAGAGAAGCGGGTAATGTCTCTCCGGCACAAGCCCTCCGAGGAGACCGACGCAGACCGCTTTGTACTGCCTCCCGGCGACCCCGAGGCAGACAAGCAGTACCTGCAGCGGCTGGATTTTGAGACACGGCTTAGGCGGCGCGTGCAGGAGATTATGCTTTCGACGCAATGCAGGAACTTGCGGGAGCTTGACGGGCTTCCTTTTGATAGAACGCGGATCCTTGTCAAGGACGATATCTGGGATCGTCTCTCTTATTTGGGAGTTATTAGGAGGGCGGAGGTGTCGGAGCAGGACAGGAGTGATGACTATGATCCATCCAGCAGGCTGGACTAGATGATGATGAGAAACGGGGAAACGGGGGGAAACGGAATTCATGAAGTCACGAGGTTGGGTTGGGAGGGCGCAGAGACGGAGACGGAGGCGCATTGGGTGCAATCAAAAACGGGAGCGGAGTTTGGTTGCTTTTTCGGCCCTCTTTTTTCTCGGTTTGCTTGTTTTTTCTTGTTAGATATACCTTAGCGTTTGCATTTGTGGTATGCATCATGAGAGCCTGCATCATCCCGTGGAGGGAGTTCGGCAAGGGATTTCTCTGAGGCAGGAGCTGTGGTTTCGTAATGATGATGATGATGACTCCCGCTTTTCACTACTCGTATTATTTGAACCTCTCGGGGGTACCAAAATGATGTGTTAATGCGGGATGCGTCTGCTTTGTTCCTTCTCCCCGCCAATTGACGTTGGGTGAAGCTTTCCGCTTTTATAATTAGCACCTGATTGGCGCGTTTGCCCATCCAAGGATCAGATCATCAACTGAGGATCCACAAGCTGAGGTGTATACCCCGTGATCAACCTCCATATTGCCTTGGGACGATCTTCAGAGCTTCATTTTCATTTACCAAACATCTACCACGATGCCAACGGCAGAGGAAGAGCGGGCCATTGAGCTTGCACAACAAGCAGCTCAAAGCGTCAAATCACGCCACCTAACTGACGCAGCCCGCTTTCTCCGCGAAGCGACTACTCTAGCACCAGAACTCCCCCAAGTAAAAGCAGGATGGGCGGCCTTGAAAGAGGAGGAGCAGCGCTCACCACTGATAGGCATTTGTAGGGACTGGGCTCGGACTCGGGACGAGGCGGATGGAGAAAAAGCGCTCAGGTTAGTCAAAGGGCAGGCCCTGTCGAGGAAGAACGCGGAGGAGGCTTTCGAGATTCTGCTGGCTTTCAAGGGCGATGACGATATCTTGGATGAGGTTACGGGTGAGTTGCTGGCGAATCCCGGTGCGCAGTTTGGGCTCGCGAAGGCCATTGTGGAGCACCCTACCGCGACATATTACACGCTTTTCGAAAGAGGAGATGACAGCGTTGCCGGGTTGCTGAAGACGCTGTTGAACCGCGATGTGTGGCCTTCCGAGGAGGCGTTTGTGAAAGGCCATCGGGATTGCTTTATGCTTTCGCTGGCCATGATGATGGAGGAGGCGCTGGACCATCCGGAGCGGGCCATGAAGGGTGTCGCGAATCTTCTTGCTGCGCATGCGGAGCATCTCAAGGGGATCATTGATGCCGACAGCTTCAATGTTATTCTGGAGTCGCTCGATATACGTGTTTCGACGGACTTGAGGAGTCATGCGACTCTCGCGACGGTCAAGCTGATGGAACTCGCGCCGGAGACTGCACAGGACCTCATCACCAAGTTTGTCACTTCACGAGTCGAAGATGCGACTGCGGATCGTCTAATCATTGCTTTCTCGGCAGCTGCTGCTATATTCCCCATCGCGGTGACTGCTGCGGCGGCTCTATTCCTCACCGACGGATTCATCAGCACTCTGGTCCCCCTGGTGCAGAGCAAAAAGAGTCACAAGCTCGAGCAAGCCGCTCTGGAACTCCTCAATGCAGCCTGCGTTGACAAAGCATGTCGTGAAGCCATCACGCGGCATTGTCAGGAATGGCTGGAGGGACTGGTAGCGTCTTCCACAGATAAACACAGAGCCAATCTCGCAGCCGTCATTCTCGTGAAGCTGCTACAAGACCAAGAAGATGCTCCGTCTGGCGCCTCAGCACGCCCATCAATCATGGTACCCGGGAAACCTCATCACGACGACCTCATCGATCGCTTCAGGAACATGATCATCTCTCCGGAAACGCAATCCAAGCGCGACTCCATCGAAGGCCTCGCCTTTGCCTCGCTGCGTCCCCAAGTACGCGAAACCCTAGCCAACGACGCCCCCTTCCTCCGCGCCCTGATCGCCGCCATGAAGAACCCCTCCAATCCCCAGGTGCTCTTCGGCGGCCTCTCCATCTTCGTCAACCTAACTGCCTACCAACCCCTCCAATCCGAAGAAGAGAAGCGCATGGCCCAACTGAAAGCCTACGCCAACACGCAAAAGCCCGCCCCGGAGAACCCCTTACTCGACGAACCCCACGCCACCGCTCGCTGCAAACGCGTCCTCGACGCAGGCATCATGCCACTCCTCGTCTCCGTCTCCAAGAACGCTTCCCCGGGCGTATTAACATCTACCGTACGCATCATCTCGTCCCTCTCCCACGCGAAGCCTCACCGTGGGCCCCTCGCCCAACAAGGCGCCATCAAACTCCTCCTAACCATCCAGTCGCACATGACTACAAACTCATCCTCCATCCCCTCGACCTCCCTAACCCCAACCCTCACAACAGCCGCCCACGCCCTCGCCCGCATCCTCATCACCACAAACCCCACACACATCTTCACCGCCGCCCTCCCCTCCACCACCGCCATCCGCCCGCTCGTCTCCCTCCTCATCCCCGGCGAAAACCCCCCCGCAAACTGGCAACTCCACGCCTTCGAATCGCTCCTCGCCCTCACCAACCTCGCCTCCCTCGACAACGCGACCCAAAACACCATCATCCGCACCGCCTTCGACACCGTCAACGACGACCTGCTGCTCAGCGAGAACACGCTCGTCCGACGAGCCGCCACCCAGCTCATATGCAATTTGATGGCTGCGCCCGAGGGCATCGCGAAGTTTGCCGATCCGGCGGATAGCCAGGCGCCTAGGCGATTGTTCGTTTTGCTCGCTATGGCGGATTCGATGGATGGGGAGACGAGGTCCGCGGCTGGTGGGGCATTGGCTATGCTGTTGTCGATTGATGAGGGGGTGGATGCGTTGTTGAGGTTGAGGGAGGTGGGGAAGGGGGTCGGGTTTTTGTTGGGGTTGTGTAGGGATGAGGAGGAGGATGTGCGGTTGAGGGGGGTCGTGTGTTTGCGGGGTGTTGTTGGCGTGCAGGCGAGGGAGTTGAGGGAGAGGGGGAGGGAGGTGTTGAGGAGGAATGGGGCGGTCGAGGTGTTGAGGGGTGTGCTGGAGGGGAAGGGGAGGGCGGATGTGAGGGGGGTGGCGGCGGAGGCGACGAGGATCTTGCTGGAGTAGGAGAGAGAGGTGGTTCGGGTGGATGGGGGATTATAGCGGTTGGGTTTGAGGCGAATATGTTTTCATCACAGCGTTTCAGTGTATATTAGTGTACTCCGGATTTAGGTAGCATGATCATGCACAGCGGTACAACTTCACATTCTTGTGCTCTTGATCTGAAACAGTGAGACACTTGATGTGGCTTCATTCATTTGATTTTGGTAACATGAACTCCTTACATAGCGTACAATACACTCCTAATATACAAGAGGTATGTTTCCCAACTCATTCCATCCCAATTGTGCTCCTCTATCAAGAGCATAACGCCCGACGGTACGAGAGCCATCTCCGTGTTCGAACTCCAGTATGACAGAATATACACATGGACATTATCCAGAATCTATATGCACAATATGAAGGTTGTGACGGGCTTTCTTCCACAGCTTACTACTTCAGCCACTGTTCTTGAGAGTGCGTTCGAGACAAGCATGCATGCCGCCCGGCTACTTGTCAGCAATGCCGTTGGCACCATCTCAACGGCATATACGCAAGACATGGACGAGCTCTCGGTCTTGGGCCATCTCTCCTGACGTCGGCGCCTTTTAAAAACCGCCGGATGCGGAGGATACGTCCTATAACGCGTGAAGGCATTCCATTGCGTGACCACAACGGGAAAATAGGATTCCAGGCTTTGACGTCCACAATCTTTTACATGGAATTCTCGTACTTCCGAAGAAAGCCGACAGAAAATGTCTGCTTCTTCTTCTTTCCGCGCTTTACCAGTGGCCTTCTCTTCCATGGCCGCTCGTTGGCCCTGTCTCCCATTTCATGGGTCAGCCACAGTGCCGCAGCCCAAGGGTCGCCCTGATGGATAAGTACAGGCCGTTGTGCGACTATAGGCCGTTGTGCAAGTACGGGTCGTTGTGCAGGTCGCTGCGACTTTGAAGCGATGGTTTCGTCCGGAATCGTATTCTTTTTCACGTTTCTTGAGAGTATTCTGCGAATATTTGATAGCGTCTCCTCCGATGATTGAGATTTTTCAGATACTCCACTGTGGGCCACTTGCGACTCAGTACTTGATTCTCTTTTCAGGTTTCTTGACAGTACTCTGCGAATGATTGATACCATCTCCTCCGATGATTGAGATTTTTCAGATATTGATTCCCTTTTCACGTTTCTTGAGAGTACTCTGCGAATATTGGATAGCATCTCCTCGGATGATTGAGATTTTTCAGATACTCCACTGTGGGCCACTTGCGACTCAGTACTTGATTCCCTTTTTACGTTTCGTGGGAGTACTTTGCGAATGATTGATACCATGTCCTCCGATGATTGAGACTCTTCGGATACTCCACTGTGGGCCACTTGGGATTCAGCACTTGATTCAATCTCTTCGGTTGATTGAGATCCTTCAGATACTGGGCTGCTGGCCTCTTGCGATTGAGCCCCAAGGGAGAATGTCCTTCCCCCAAGCTCGCTCTCCAACCAGATAGACCATGGGTCGGTTGTTTCAGGAGGTAAATGCTCCGTCAACGATGGCGTGTCCGCCATCCCAGCGTCCAGTGGTTGTAGCAGTTCCGCTGGCTCTGTCGCCGAAGGTGGTTCCTCCTCTTCCACGGGACCGGACATAGCGATCAACAGGTTGTCAGCCGACCATGCTGGCGCGGTGGGACTGGTCTCCTTTTGAACGCTGCGTGTGAGCTCGATAGCGGCGTCAACGATTTCTTTTGTCGTGATACCCGGCTCCTTGAATCCCTGCTCCAGGAGGCCTCTGCTCCATATCGTCACACCTCTCAAGATATGGTTGAAAGCAGCAGTATTCCCAGTGACAGTGCAGAGGCTCAGCATGTGGGAGTACGCTTCGGCCATGGATGACGGTTTTGTCGCGGCCTTGATGCTTTCTATCTCTTCCCAAATGTACTGCCCGCTGTTCCAGTCTGAACGAGGGATGCAATCTGCCAGCAACCGGGTCAAGCCCGGAGCATCCAATCCCCAGCCCTCGGTCTTCATCTCGTAGTAGATTTCCAAAGCACGTTCGATACCCGCGAACTGCAAAACTCCGCGTATGATTGAATTGAAGACCAGCGGCGTAGGAGAAACTTTCTGGTATATTTTGTTCCTTAAGGCTCCGGTAACCCTGATGAGCCGATCTTGTGCGACCTCATTGATCATGATATCCGGCCTCGCAAGCATCAGGGCGTTTCTGATGCCTCGCATCTTCTGGACAAAGTCGCCAAAATCATGCGGGCGATTCGAGCCGATATAATGCTCAAGTATTTCAGCGCAAGTGATTTCGTTCGGACGGATCTTGCACTTGTCTAGAGCTAGTATTAGCTGATCGACAAGGCCATGCAACGACCACCGCCTAAGTCCGCTGATAAGAATATTGAAAGTTTGCACATCGGGAGGGGCCGAGGAGACCAGCAGATTGTGAGCAATCTTCCCCAGAGCCATTGCGACCTGGGTTTTGTCCTGTGGTGCTTCTCCCGTCAATATTTCTTTGATAGCAGAGTTCAGGTGGTCACGGATTCGAAAGAATTCTCCATCACTGTCTTGGAAGTATTGCGGCCTTGCATACGGTAACCTCGAATCTAGGAGAAACTTGAAGGCGTCCACGTCGTCTTCATCGAGCCCTGCTGGTGCACACTCTATGCCGTCTATAGCAGCTCTCATCTCTCCACGCATTCGGAAAACCTCCAAGTCGCCGAAGCCGAGAACGTCACGTACGCTTGGAGCTAATTGCGATCGATAGTCTTCGGGTAGCGAAAGCCGCCGCGCGGGCCCAAGCAGTGAGTATATAAACATGCCAACGGAGAGTTCTTGTATCAGAAGTTTTTTCCAGGTTTGCCTCCTTCTAAGAGCCTTCTTCCTGATCGAATCGGCCGCCCATAGTGACTGGGGTGGAAGATTATGCCGTAGTAGGTCTTGACCGGTGTTGGCGGGCCAGGGAGGCAGCCGCGCGTATGGGAAGGTACAATCAATCGAAAGCAGATCGTCATGAGCCCCGGTAACGTAGTTCGACTCCGACTCTAGCTGCCGCATCCCGTGGGTGATCTCCTCTCCGGCGACCTGAAAGAGGTCGTCCCAGTCCACTCGGTCCGGAAAGAGTTCATGTATGGGTGTATTACCAGGAACGAAGCACAGACTCTGCGATCCAGCTAAAACATCTTGGTCGTCGAGAATCTTAGGCTCATCCCACATTATATACGTGATGTTCGCTCCTGTGACAACATGCGCATCGCCATGGTCTTCCAGCTGTACGGTCTCCTCGGCCATTGGCCTCGCCAGCTCATCGTCAGCTTCCACGTCTGAACTCTCGCGCAGAGAAGAAAATGCTCTCTCCCACTGTTGATTTCTCCTATGCTTGGCGCTTCCATCGATGGCAAATCCGGCAGCGAATATCGCGGTGTATAGGAAGGTCGAGGTTGGGGTCCCGAACGCCCATGGCCCTTTGATGCTGACCGCGCCAGACCGCCTTGCAATCGCCGGGGTCCTGGGAGCACATTGTACACATCGGCAGGTAATTGGGCTTCCCGTTGCGCGAGACCATAGCGCTCGCATTGTTACCGACACATGCTTCCTAAGGTAGATTGAATGACCCCCTGGGGTGCAGGAACGGTCGACGGATCGGGGCGTGGGTAATCGATCTGGTACAATCGCGGGCAATTGAGTAATTCGAAGCGAAGGAGCGCTGTAGGACGACCGATGAGCGGACGAAGCAATAGGGACTTGCGTAGTCTTCGGAAGTCGTCCGATGGTGTCGATAAAATATTGCTTACTAAGACACGCGAAGTCACCCCGCGAACCCCTCCGATAGATATGTCCGATGATGCCCCAAGCTCCCCGTAAACTACAGAGTGGAAACAATCAAACGCTTCAATAGAGTGAACCCACAATGCTGGCCCTTGCCTTAACTGCTGAACTCAACGGGTACGTGTACCTTCTAGAAACTCGGGTCCTTCGTGACTGACTTGCGATTACAGAGTTACGGATCTCCGCCCTAACGACACCGAAGAGTCTCCTTTCCACTATACCTTCAAGGTTCAATGTACATCATGCCGCGAGACGCACCCAAACTTCGTAACCATGAGCCGCTTCGTACGACTTCATTTGCTCTCCGTACTCGAGCCACAACCCTGACATAAAGCAGGAAACGAACGACGTAAGCGGTAGTAGGGGCGAAGCCAACTTTGTATGGAAGTGCAAGAACTGTAAGGTCATTTTGCCTGGATCTTACATGGGAAGTTCTGGGCTTATATTTGAGTATAGAGAGAGCATTCGGCAAATATCAAGGCAGCTCCGGCTTCCTATCCACAGTCCGATCCACCAAAGACCCAGAATATCCTGGAGTTCGACTGCAGGGGCCTCGAGTTTACAGAGTTCAAGGCAGAGGTTTGTAGCTCGGGGAGCGTCACACATAAAAATACGTCGGCTAACTGGCGTTGAAGGGCGAGTTCTTAGCCACAGGCATCGAGTCGAACACCAAGTTCACGAGTATCGACCTTGCCGACGGGGAATGGTTCGACTACGATGAGAAGGCAGGTGAAGAAGTCAGTATCACGAACGTGAAGTGGGAGATCAGGCGAGCGTAGAGGATCAAGGAGAGAAGCGCCTTCGGCCTTGTCGAAATAACCAAGGGGAAATCATCCACCAAACTTTCGGGCCCAACGAAACGCATTCTCCCAAGGAGGTTGGACGGAGTACTCCATTATACGACGCTGAAGCACACGCAAATGAGATACACAAGTTCGCATGATCGGAGATAACTTATATTCGACTAAGATATGTAACGGCCACTATCTCAGGTTCACTTCCTCTCATCTATATGTTCGACGACTGCTCCCACTTTTTGGTCTCCGAAGTCTACCTGAGCTTCTTCATCGCTTTTGGAATCTGGAACTTGAGTCCTTGCTCTTTTCTTTTCATCTTTTCGGTACAAGTACTGTCCCACCATAAAGAAGAACCATGTGAAGAAGACAAAGGCTATATTGACCGAGTAACCTTTCGTCCATCTTGGCGCTAATTGTTATCAGCAAACGTCTGTGAATTACAAGAGTGATTTGTGTCTTACCTTCCAGAACAGGGAACACCACGATCGGATAGAAGGAGAATACAGCCCAGCCAGCCGTCAGCATGGCACCGACAGTAACCGCTCTAGCCTCCGCATCGTCTCGCATGGCCATGTTAATGAAGGGCATGAGGATGGGAGTAACGGCGGCAGACACGCCGAAGAGGTAATAACATGTAACTGTCCTGATCAGCTACGAGCTACACTTGATAAAAAATCATGGCTGTACTGACACTTTAAGCCTTTGGGTATGAACCAAACCAGCATATTGATGTTGGCGAATATGAAAATTGCTTCCACGATCGAGAAGATGGCCCAGAGTGGGTAAATCATACAGAGCGATGTTGCCAGCAATGCTGCGATGACCGAAACACCCTGGGCCCCAGTGGGAATAGTATTGATCTGCGGTACGGAATATGTGCCGTACTTCGCAGCGAGATCTTTGAGCCATAGCGCCATTTGGCCATGGGGATAGCTGCTTGAGAGGAAGCTTGCAAACAGTGTTAGTTACGCCGAACAACTCTGATCAATAGTCTTACGGAATAGACTCACAAAGTATACGCCGTTACTCCCACATAGAACTCCCATCGCCTCAATGTTCTCCGTATAACACTCCAGTTCAACTTCTTACTTGGCTCAATACCAACTTCCAAGACTCGTTTTTGTGCCAATGCGTGCTGAGCCTCCGTAAGCCACCATGGCTTCTTGCTCGAAGGCAACCCCGGAAAGATGAAGTAGCCAGCCAGGGCAATGGGTAGAGAGATGATCCCATCGATGATAAAGAGCCACCTCCATCCGGCCATACCATGAACACCATTCAGGTTCTTGTAAGCTGCCGCTTGTAGATACCCGCCGAACATGACAGCGATGTTATTGCTGACGAACCAAACACCGGTCCGCTTGAATACCTCTTCCGGTCGATACCATGATCCAAGGACATATGTCGTTCCGGAAGCCACTGGGGTCTCGAGCAATCCCAGTAAGAATCGAGTGCCGTATATATCATGTTCGTTGCGCATCTGAGATTGGCAAAAGGTCACAATAGACCAAAGCACTTCCATAGTGGGGAGGTAGTATCGCGCCAGTTTCGGTCTGGACAGGACGAGGAGCGATGGGACTTGAAAAACAAGGTAGCCCAGGTTGTAAAATGTCCCAAACAAGCTGTACTGGTTGCCGTTCAGCTTCAGCTCTTCCTTCATGCCGGATACATAGGCATTGTTGATATTGGAGCTGTCCAGCCATTTTAGGAAGACTTAGTGTATCAGTATGAGGTTGCAATGCTTTGTGCTGAGTGAACTTACACATAAAGGAGCAAAAAGTCAATAGGCAAGCGTCTAGCTTCCTGAGAAGCTTCCTCTCTTCTTCCGGATAGTGTTTGGGATACCATTCCCAGAGGTACATCCATGCCTTCCACGGTGACCGCTTCGGCGCGTCTTTTGGGGCGATCACATTGCTGGCAATTCCTTCCACTGGAGTCTCACGTTCCTGGGATGCCATGGATGGCGAATGGTTGGTATCCTGTCTAATCCAACAGCGTGATATCGATGGTGAAGTGTTCCAAATTATCGATGAGCGGCGAGGAATCACTATCGGTCACCCTGGCATCTCTCATATTATCATACCCCATCCGTGCCACATTGGTCAATCTATTCTAACCAGATAGAGTGCTGCTTCTCGGGCCATTATGATCCTTCGGGCAGCGGATGATTTCCCTTTTGGGATGACGGTTCCTCCGTCTGAGGGGCACGGTCATTCTCACGTCCAGCAGGTTCATCCGCACGTCCAGTTCTCTCCCCGCGTTCACTGCCGCCATGGCGGAGAAAAGAAGCCCACGAGTTCAAGGTGCACGTTGAAGACGGATCCGTTGAAGGATGTGAGAAAATGCTCCAAACTATACTCTAACCGGATCAGACCTAGCGTGGTGAAGGTCAACCCCTCCAAAGTTTGACAGCCAAAATTGCAACGACAACAACCACGAGGGCGACACATATTTTACTTCAACGCCGATGCTTCTCAAATAGGCACGAATGGAAATTTGGAGTTGATGTACGATGCTATCCTCATGCACAACAACCCAACTCTGAGCCATTCACCTGCTCTACTTTTTCAGAGCAGCAATCATCTTATATAAGCTGTTCTCCTCCGTGACGGGCGATCTCACGGCAGACCAATTGTAGTTGAGCAGCCCCCAGAACTCTTCCAGCCCTTGGATAGTCCGAGGCGTCCTTCCTGGCCTCGTCTGGAGATAAAAGCTTCCCGAAAGCTCCCAGTGCATCCAACTAACCTGCCAATCTTCGACCATTTCAATTGTACAGTTATTGTACGTCGTTTGTTTGAAGTAAGTCCCATTGCGGATGAAACCCCATTCTGAGATCACCAAGGGGAAGAGATATTTGGTTTGTCGATTCTTGGGGTCGACTGCTTGGAAGCCATTGGCGTACCACTTTTTCTTGAAACTGTCGCAGTTGTCCTGCGTGGCTTCGAAATCATACTTGTGGATCTCGAGGACGATCTTGTTCTTCCACGCGAAATCGTCTGGCTTGAAGACAGCCGTCTTCCCAGCTGATTTTGTACCCGTCGTTCCATTCAGTGTTTTACCTAGTGGAATGGGATCGATGTAGGTGTCATATGAGAGGCCGGAGAAAAAGATCAAAGCATCTGGATTGGCCTGGTGCACGGAATTGGCGGCTGCGGTCATATGTGTATACCTATCAATGGTCAGGCACTGAATCAAGCTGAGAACGACCCATGTAACCGACCAAGTGTACCAATCAACGGGCTCTTTAGCGGTCGAGGATTGACGCAATTCATTGCGCAAGCCAATGGACGAAAATGTCGGCCAATTTTCCTTTGCCTGCAAACAGTCAGATGAGCCGACTCCAAGTTCGAGGCAACCTACATGTTTCACCATGAAAGACAATCCACGCTTCCACTTTTCGATATCGAAGTACTGTTCGCCGAACCAACCGTTGCCATCATTCTCTCCACAGCACCAGAACGCCTTGGAGACATGGTTGTCAAGGTGTACAACGACGTTCTGCTTTGCAAGCTCTTTAGCAACAGCATCCCACACTTGGAGCCTTGTTGTGTTCCTACTAAACTGTGGATTATGTTTGAGTATATCCGTGAGGACCTTGGTTCCATTCTTCTCTCCCAAGGCATTGATTACTGTTCTCTCCAAGGTCTGATTAGGGTTGTTGCTGAAGATATCGTCCACCATCTCGATAGCGAAGCACAGGCGGACCGAGTTTAGACCAAATTTCGGGATCCAGGTGACGATGTCTTCAACAGAAGCATGCTGAAGGCCTTCCGGAATCATCGCCTCTTGGTGACCTGGCCAATTAGTGGCAAGGAAGTGGAAGACGTTTCCATTTTTGTCCAAGATATCTCGTCCCCTCGTGGATAGCGGAAGAAGGGATTTCACATCTTGGGCTTGGGCTAATGACGAAGCCGTAGCAAAAACCCCTAGAAGCAGAGTGGAAAATGTTGAGATTGAGAACATTGTCACAAGCAGTGCACAGGAGACGATTCTTCAGTTCACTTCAAGAGCCCGCAGACCGGGTCGGGCACATATATGAGCTGGTATTGCCCGTTTCATTCATAAACACAAAATGCAGGGTCTCAGACCCTCTCACGGCCCTGCTGCTTGGCCCAATGAGGAGCTAAACAGGCACCGGATGCGGGGAGATCCAGCAAATGTAGGGTGAGGAGTGCCATTTGGATCTCGTAACTCGGCGCTCCACGGCGGCAAGTCGGATTGCTTGTACGGAGAACATTTCTCGATGTCCGTGTTGTCATGACACTCTTGCGCAATGTGCCACAATGCCCCGCTCAAGGACCGGAATATCACAGTACAAACTTCTGACCAGAAGAGTACTAGGAAGGTATGTAGCAATTGCGAAGTGGGGCATGGGCAGCGGAGTATTGGCGATCCCGCCTCTAGCCAACATACACCAGATTGACTAACCAAAAGTACACACGCTCGACAGTGATTACACCGAACTTTTATAGTGGACCACTTTGAGAAGTCACATGCTAATACATGCACTCTCAGAGATATTCAATGTTGGGTTGGTGCAATTATTCCACAAATCTGAGATCTTCCTCGTCGCGTTGGCCCAGAAGATCCGGCTGTCCTCGGATTTCCTTTCCACACTGCCAGCCGAATGCTAGCAAACTTGGACCGTCATTCGATATTATCACTTGCGATTCAGATATTCAGTCAATATGCGAGTGAAAGACTACGACCTCAGCGAGATATATTCTGAGAATGTTATCGCGAAGATAGTTCAAGTGGCTCGAAGGGGACTCAAGCAGGAGGTAAACTCAACCGCGCAAACAGCAGGCGGTAGACTAAAGCTATTAGGCTCCTCTTTCCGCATACCCGCACACTGTTCCCCAAGAAGGTCCCAATAAGGGCAAATATGAGTATCGAGAAGCGGATTTCTGGACATGCGGGTTCTTCCCTGGGAGCATATACGCGCTACTTGAACGCTCCATAAAGTTTCCTCGAGCTATTCAAACACATGGACATGTTAGACCGCCACTCGAGCGGCGTTTGTTAACCATGGGTCGGCATTGGTCTGTCGCGATCAATAAGATGTCCAGCAGAACAGATACACACGATATGGGGTTTATCGTACAGCCAGCGCTACAGAAAGATTGGGAGCTGACTGGGAACCCTGAGAGTCTTCAATCGGTTGTGAACGCAGCATATGCGCTGGCTTCACGATATAACGAAAGGGTCCAAGCGATTAGGAGCTGGGATGTGGCCATCAATGACCGCTATTCAATAACGGACATGAAGACAAACTTCCTTGTGATCATTGATAGCATGTGCAGTAAGTGATGGAGGCTTAACTGAACGTCTACCGGTGCTGACTTCCCAGACTTGGACCTTCTGTACTACGTCGGATATCATCAGAACGACCAGAGTCTGATTGACATCGCAACCACGCACGCGAATACAATCATGGCCGCAATTCTACGACCGGATTACTCAAGCTACCACCTGGTCAATTTCGACCCTGCGACCGGCCTTCCAAAAGCGAAAATGACGAATCAAGGACACAAAGATGAATCAACGTGGACCCGCGGCCAGGCATGGGCCATAATGGGTTTCGCACAGACATACACTTGGACCAAGGACCTACGGTATCTTGAGACAGCGATAAAATGCGCACAGTACTTCCTTGGACGGCTAGAGGAATGCAGGGGAAGGCACCATCACCACCTTGTCCCTGCATGGGACTTTGACGCTCCACAGGAAAACCCGACTGAGCCACTGCGCGACGTCTCAGCTGGTGTCATTGCAGCCAACGGGTTATTCATCATCCACCAGTCTCTTCAGAGCCTGTCGAAGTCCGTTGTTCAGAGCATAGCGGCAGATACGGATTTTCTGGATGTTTCTCTCCAGATTATACACCAGACGCTGGATATGGCGTTGGATAAAGATTTTGCCTCTTTCGCCGCTGAAAACACCATGGTGAATGGTACCGGAACTGGTTCCTTAGAGCTGTCTGTGAAGGAGAGCAGGTTCGACGCTATATTGAGGCATGCCACGGCGAATTACAATGAGCACGCTCATCAGAAGTATTGGGATCACGGACTGGTGTATGCGGATTACTTTTTGTTGGAGTATGGGAACAAGCTTCTGAGGGCCGGTTTGGCCTAATCGGCTTGAACGATCCGCTATTGTTTCGACAGTTGTACGGGCAGAGTGTTTGTGGTTGTGTGGACATAGAATAAGAAACTTGGATAGATTGATATTTGCATATTTTCAGGCCCCTCGTTGAAACCCTATATGTATGACTGCTCCAGCCTTGCTAAGGCATGGCTTACTGCCACGAGTATGAATTCCAGTCGAAGCTGATGTACTCACCCACCCCTTCAACTTCATCACCAGCATGAAAGACAACAGGTACATCCGCCCATTTCGCGCCTATATTCAACTCATCATATGCTCGTTCGAATCCAGAAGCTCTGCCAATCGCAAACACAGCAGTTGCAAACGTTGCTGTTTGGCCGCTGGATAGAGGCTCTATGGCACGCCTCACAGTTGGAATCAGTGTCCGTTGCCATATGAGATTCGTATTGGCGTCTGGCTTGAGGATCTCGCAATTGGTGTCTCCCACAGAATTCTGGTGATCCGGAGGAAGCGCAAGTGGCTTTACGCCACTAGTACCCGCATTGGAGCACACCAGGGCGCCATCAACTGACTGAAGAGTCCCTTCTAAGATGCCACTGGCAGTGTGACTGCACAAGTTGCTTTCATCTCCGATGGTAGGAAGGACTCCCCCAGCTTTGGCCCCTCGTCCTTGGATCGCAAACCCCCCTTCTGTAGCAAGGATGGCCGGACCCGAAGTAGCATTGTTCGTGATTTTGTGAATTCGCACATGCCAGTCCTTCCAGCGACGACATGGTGCTATCAGCATGGTGTCCACTTCGATTTCAGCATCTCTCCATGGTTTCCAGAGACTTCTCAGAGTCGGTGTCTCCTCGCGCAGGCCTGTCTTCGAGTTTATGAAGAACGCTTTTCCGAAACCGTACCGATGTACCTTCCACGGCACGCGCCACGTGTCTCCTTGATCTTTACTCAGCGCCAATGTACTATCTGGTGCTATCTGAGCCAACACTGAGGCTCCGGTGGGAACGCTGAAGCCGAAATGAGACGAGTACGCGTACTTGCCGTACTTTGCTTCTGTGGCTTTCAGAGGCCAAGGGCAGAATTGTCCTGCTGAGAGGAGGAAGTGATGGGTTCCGCTGTCGCACAAAATGTGCATAGGCGGCTTGATTAGCGTTGCGGGGCCAGAGTTTGACTGCGGAAGGGACTTCTCCTCGGCTGTCCAGAATGGATGGGACTGCGGCAACCCAAGAGCGACGAAGGATTTCATTGCCCAATATGGCGATTGCGGTGAATTGTAGTCCTCGCTCATATACATGTTCGGGTACGTGAAACCAATGGTAAGTGTACCATCGATGTTGAACATGTCACTCTTGTCACTCCACCATCGGAAGTGACGCAGCAGCAATCCTTTAACAACTCCCCAGTCATGCAATGGCGCTGGCAACTCCACTCCCGCGAAAGCCACTGCCGACCAAAAGCCAGCAAAGGCGAAGCGATATGTAAGGCTTCGACCAAAGGGTATGGCTGCACCGTTGGAGTCAAAGTACAGCCAAAAAGCATTGGCAAATGCAGCGGCTCGTTCTCGAAATCTTGCACAGCGAGCTGGATCCAGGTCCTCAGCCATTTTGACGTACAGTAACTGGGAGAATTGGATGGCGAAGCTGCCGGAGTAGTAATCCGCTTGTCTTCCATTTTCGTCCCATTTGCCATCGGCGGACCACCCCTCACCAAGGTAGAACTGTTCCATTTGGTCGAGATCGGAGGCCATGGATGGCTTCAAATCGTCGTATGGCATACCGCATACTTTTACCAGTGCCAGGTTTGTCATGACGCGGAACCACAACCAATTGGTGATAGGGAAGTCTTTTCCGTTGATCGTGCCTAACCAGTTCGCAATGTTGCGTTGTGCCGCCGGAGTCTGCTTCTTGTACATCGCCTCAGGCGCTACCAGGAGCGCAAAAGATATGATTTCCATTTCAACCATCCGTTGGTCACGGACAACGACTGGACCCCAGTATTCGGCATGGTTTGGGTCGGTGCCGTTGGCGAGTCCTTGAACATACGGTTCGATGATTTCCGTTTTCTCGTCCTCAGTCAGCCCTCCCCCGTGGAGAAGCGCAGCGACCGCCCATAAAGGACGCGCATATCCTTCCAACTGAGCTGCAATATCATCGAAGTGCGTTCCTGTCACCAGAGGTAGTCTGATTCTGGCACCTCCGCGGCTCTGATAAGGTTTCAGTGAGCGAAGTAGGGCTACACATGCGGTTTTGAAGTCAGAATAATTGGAGAAGGCACTGTCAGAGAAACCTTTTAGGGGAGACATGTTTACGGTCAATCTGAGTAGTTCGACGTTTCACTCTTGGGGAGATGGGAGTTCATAGTGCAAGAAGGGTCTTTACCCGAAGAGGCTAGCCTAAACAATATATCCCAACATCCCCCTCCTCAAGGATTCGTTCACTCGGGCAACGCAGCCGGGTTACCAGCCCCCTGAGCTCCTGAGCTCGGACAATGGATTCATCAATCCAGAAGGTCAGTGAAGGTCAGCCGAGCACCGGCAAATGGGGTTTCGCAAGCGGGGTCCCTGCAGAGCCATGAACATGCCGGGCGTCGGGGTATATGTTCTCCACACCCGCTCCCGCCCCGTCATTCCTGGGAGAGCTGTCGACGTGGCGTCTCGGGCGGCCTCATGTCGTCGTGGAATAATTTCTCCGCCGGGCCTCACGATGACGGACCTCAGGCGATTAGCGAGGAGCTTCCGGCTTGCGGGTCCTGTCGCAGGAGGAAGCTGAGGTGCTCGAGGGAGCATCCAGCATGTTCGCATTGCGAAAGGCTCGGTGAGTGGTTTCCGAAGTACGAGTAGTATGTCTTCTTAGTAGTAATGCATAAACCAGGCATCGCATGCGTCTATGAACCTAGGCAGAAGCCTGGATTGAAAGCTGGCGCTGTTGAAGCGCTGGCTCGCCGCGTTTGTGGGTCTCGATGGGTGCGGGCATTGCAAGTGCGAGCTCTAACGCAATTCAGCATTTCTTGAGCAAATCCTCCTGGATGAAAGCGGTCGAATTCGACCTCAATTCCATCTAGGGGATGACATTGTAGCTGCACGACAGGAAGGCGCTCCGGTGAGAGAGCCGACGCAGCCTCCCAATAATGATCGTGGCAGACCGTCAGCAGACCTCAATCCCTCAGAAGCGGCGGTTGCTCAAAGCACAAGTGAGACAAATGGAGTCGTCAACTCAGGAGAACATGCAACGAGAAAACGCAAATTGGATCAGTCATTCAAAGGCTCATTACTAGACATTGGCCTGGACGACATATTTGACTACTTGCCATCACAACCCCTCCTGGTCAAATTAGTCGACTATTTCTGCGTAACGTTCCATCATTGGATCCCATACCTGCACAAGAAGCGACTGCAAACCAAAGTCCGTCATCTTACACGAGACCCACAACTGAGTCTCATACTCCATGCACTTGTCGCGGCGACTTTACGGCACTTGGATCAGAATGTCTCTTTCATGGACAAGGATGAGATATTGCACCAGACGCAGATCTCCAGGTTCATTGCGGAGACATTTGCTTTGAAGAATATCTCGTTGGAGAGCCTGCGGGCACTTATTATCATCGTCTTTGACTATGTGAGCATTACCTGATCTTCAATACAATGGGCGGTCGTCTTCACCGATAGGGTGTCATCCACTGCCTTCAGAAAACGCCTTTTCTAACTTTCGTAATAGCTTAATGATGGTCAATCCAGAAAGGCATGGCCGTTGATCGGTTCATTAACACGAACAGTGGACTACTTGCAGTTGACTGTCGAGCCAACCGCGTCCCAGTTGGGTGCACTAATGAATCCACTGAAGCTAATGGAACCGACTGATGATTGGACCGAGCTCGAGGAAAGACGGCGTTTATTCTGGGTAATATTTCTATTGGACCGGTGAGTCTGCAGTACATTCGATTATCCTCTTCATATATGTACTGATGCCGAAGAAGCTTCTGCTCAGTATCCACCGGCTGGAATACAAGTCTCACCTCGGAGGATGTTCATCGACGCCTACCAGCTGATGGAGGATACTTCACCCGTGAAGAACCGGTCATGACACCTTATTTTGGCATCTGGAATAAATCCTCTGCTAAGATAGGAAAATCTCTCGCTCACGTGCCGGCGCAGTATAACGAAGAAGATCCAGCTGCGGTTGGGGACCAGGCTCAAGGAACCAGCCCGGGATCCGCTAACGGCTTGATCGATTCGTCTAAACTTGGAGCTTTTGCATATTGTATAGAGGCTACAGAATCACTGAGCCAAGTGACAACGTTTTTCCTGCAGCAGCGAATCAATTGGCAAGATAGGGAACATGCTGTCAATTGGCTCACGCGGTTTAAGGAACTGGATCTCCGTCTCGTACACTGGAAACTGTTCCTTCCTCCACGCTGGAAAGACTCCAACATCTCGCCCATCACCGAGGTGGTGGACATGGACCCGAATCTCACTCTAGCCCATATAACGCACAACACATCGATGATACTTCTGCACTTCCCGATCGCCTACCCCCCGAAAGAGTGGAACGCTTATGTTGCTCTACCCAAAGAATGCTCCGCCCAGACATGCGAACTTGCGGCAGTGGAAACCTGCAATATTGTCAACAAATTTCTGACCCACCGCGTCGTCTTCGTCAATGTCCAGTTCGCCTTCTGTGCCTTCGTCGCGGCGAAAGCTCTTCTTTTCGAGAGCCAGGCAACGCGGAAACCACTACGACCTGAATTTCGCAAGCTGATACGATCCCTGTGGGAGATCTCAGCGAGGTGGCGAGCAGAGTCATCTAACAGTGAAGAGACCCGCGTATCCAGCCAAGCAGGCATATATGCTCGTCACCTCGAATATCTCCACGACGCTTGCCAGCGCGATCCACGCTTCCGCTTCGACCTCTACGACCACTCATGCCAAATCAAAGAAGCGGAGACGATGACAAGCCCAGCTACCACAACAACCCCATCGCAACCGGCCGACACGCCATCGCGGGAGAAGTGGACACCGATGGCGCCGCCTCGCCCACCCTCAACGACACTGCAACAGCTCCCCAGCATCGGCAACAGCAGTCCCAGTCCGAATATGCCAAATCTAGCCACCATCCTGTACAACAACACCGCGCAATCCCCATCCTCCTACACTCCCCAACCCAGTCATCACCATCACCATCATCAACCACCCTCGCCAGCCCTCCCAGTCCCAACATCCCCTTATACCACCATCCCGCCCCCTCTACCTCCCCCTCCACCCCGACCCTCTTCCTCTCGCCACCACCACCATCACAACTTCTACAACTCCCTGCACACCCATCCTTCCCCAACTTCAACGCCTCCCACCGCGCCACCAGGAGCTCGATCCGCCGCCCCCCTTACGGCCGCTGGCGCTGCCGACTCGACGCGGCCGGTCCAGCAGGAGGACAGCTTACTCAGCTTATCGGACGCGCTGATGGATTCGCAGTTTTTGGGCCTCGATCGCGTGATTACCTTCGAGGAGGGGAATTTTTATCTCCCTGGGGATGGGTTTCGGTGGGGGTAGGGTAGGTGGGAGGGGGATTCTTGGGGGATGGAAGGGAAGGTGGGAGGGGAGGTGGGAATGCGTTGTTGGATTGATGGATGGATGAATACGTGGGTGATACGGAGGGCTGTGCAGGTACTGTGTTCTTCATATGTGTTTGGTTAGGCTGTTGTCTCCGTCCCTATATGGATGGATGGTTAGGTGGTAGTAAAGAGTTTGCGCGAAGATAGAGAGCCCAGGTCAATCGGAGAAGGACAAAACAAACCACTTCAACACAATCTATAGAGAAACGAAAGCGAATGAGATTTGGACGTAGCAGAGACATTATTTACATATCGCATCCTACAGACTCATAGGAAAAAGAACAGAAAAAGACAGTTTGCATCTAGCATTATTACAAACACCACCATTACTTTTCCTTTTCCCCTTCTCTATATAACACAATAAACACCAGACAAGCATACGGAGTACAGTAGGTAGGTAGGTAGGTAGGCAGGTAGGAAGTATACTCGGTACAGTACATACCTATCTGATGAGTACCAAGGCCAAGGCCAAGGTCCCCCTAAACCGCCGATCGAAATCTCCCCTTCCGCACGCCGCCAACCGCGCACACGATTCCCACGTGGTCACCAGCGCCTCACCCGCTTCATCAACATTTCCAGAAACTTTATTCAACGGCTACTCCCGCCACGGCGCCACCCTTCTAACCTCCCTCTCCTTTCCCCCTTCTCGCAACCACTTTTTTTCCCCTCTCCTTCAACTCCCCCCCTCCAACACCACTCCCTCACCACCGCCATCACCATTACAATCCCCACCCCATCCCCCTAAGCACCCGCGCACCCCAGACATACTCCTTCCCGCACTTCCCATACGCAGGATTGCAATTCTTCTCGCAATTATCCCTCGTCGCGCCGCAGAACCCCGTGCGCGTCGTGCCCTGCGCATTGCAGCACTCGCCCAATACGAATCCCACGCAGTGGTACCCGTTGCGACCGCCGCAGGTGCCATCGCGGGATTTCTGGCCAGTGGGCTTGGGCGCCGCGGTGCTGGTTGTTTTCGTCGTGGTTGTCTTCGTGGTGGATGTGGTTTTTGTGGTTGTTGTGGTTGTGGGAGCGGCGGCGGTTGTGGTGGTTGTAGTGGTGGTGGTGCTCGAGGGAGGAGGTGTAGGTGTAGAGGGAGCGGAAGGGGTGCTAGTTGCTTTGTCCGTGTTTCCTCCCGTCGTGGTGTCGCCGCACTTGCCGAAGAGAGGGTTGCAGCCGGTTCCGCAGTGGTCGGCGGTGGATCCGCTGAATGGTAATGTTAGAATCCTATCGGGCCTGGGGCAGAACAGAATTAAGGAAACGGGAAGACGAGAGGACTTACCACCAGCCGTACTGCGAGCAGCACTCGCCCTGTTCGAAGCCAATGCAGGTGTACCCATTGGAGCCGCCGCAGGTGCCGTCGGGGCTGGCAGGTCCGGTTGGCACGGAGGTAGGGGCGGCGGAAGTCGAAGACGAGGCTGCCGACGAAGAATTCGCAGGGCTGCCGCAGGTACCGAAGCCGCTCTGGCATCCGGTGCCGCAGTGATCAACGCTGGATCCGCTGAGGCAATGTTAGACTACCCTCCGACGCTTGTGGAAGAGAGACAGGGCTACTCACCACCAGCCGTACGAGCTGCAGCAGGTGCCAGCCTCGAAACCAATGCAGGAAAGACCGTTCGCAACGCCGCTACGATGTCTCAGCATGAAAATTCAATATGCTGATGTGATCCACTCACCATGTGCCGTCAACTGTCACGCCAGTGGCGGTAGCGGTAGGAGCACTTGAAGTGACGGTCGATGAGGGCAACGACGGGGTCGACGTCGGGACCCTGCCGTTGGCGGCTCGGTACCAGTTAGCCTCTGGTTCTCCCAGACACTCGCCTATGGTGACGCCGCGGTAGCCCTTGGAGACGAGGAAGTCGAGCATGAATCCGGTCAGATTCAGCGCGGTTTGTTGATGGATATCATGTGCAATTGCAAGGTAATCATTGGCAAGTGGGTTGCCAAGGTTGATGAGATTCGCAAAGTTGTCCTTGGCTTTCTGGATCTTCTCGGGGAGAACGTTGTTGTAGTCTGAAAATCAGAGTTAGGACCATGTATCGGAGATGTATACAGGAAGACTCACCGTCAGTATCCAGATCGAAGTAGGAGATGACGTAGCCGAGTTTCTCCAAGTCCTCCTGGCAACCGGTACCGGCTGCGCAAGATGAATAAGGAGGACGCATGTAAGTGGGGAATTTGCCGATGATGTTGCTGATGGCCATCTCGTTCTTGACCATCTGATCGATACGCTGTTCCTGCGTGATGGCACCCAGATCCTGGTGAGACCAAGTGTGGCTAGCCACTTGATGCCCTTCGGCGATCATACGGCGAATGATGGCAGGCCATGGCTTCGTCTCGTCGTCAATGGCGCCTTTGCCGATGTTGTTGCCAGTGACGAAGAAGGTCGCCTTGAAACCGTACGCGGCGAACTGGTCCAGAACATCGTTGGTGTAGATGTACGGGCCATCGTCGTACGTAATAGCCACAGTTCCTGGCACACTGCAGGCGTAGACACCCTCACCACCATACGGAACATTACCCAGCTGGGGACGAGGAATGGGGCGGGTGCTACCTCCCGACGGAAGCTGGTTAGCATCACAGCCTGGTCCATACTGGAATTGACAGTCAGGAGCTTGGCAGAATTCGGGACCCTGGCCGCACCAGCCCTATATCACATTTAGTATACCTCACATATAGGTGAAGGGGGGTGTTGCCGTACAGCAGAAGAGCAGCAGTAACCAGGCGCGCAAACAGCACCTCCAAACTCAGCACCACAGCGATGCTCGGCGTCCCCTCCCTGGCGAGCGTTCAGTCGAGGATGAGCGACCCGTCTGCTTGCCCGTGAATCGACAGAACGCCTCTGCCTCAATTCACCACCGAGTCCGAAGACTTTGGGCGCACCAGGTATGCCTCCGTGGGCAGCAACCAGAGGTGCTACCAACGAGGCAGCAAAAATGTCCGCGAAGCGCATGTTGTGATTCCGTCACACGCACTCGATTCGACCGGAAATGATATCGTGCAAGAATATTTGGAGCGATTGGACTTGGTGTATTAGAGAATGTGTAACGGGCTGTGATGTCTCAGTTCGTCAACAGAAAACAATCATGAAGCGAATGAATGGAAAACAGAAAACAACGAGTGACTGGCGTCTTCAGCGCATCAAGACGGACAAGCAGAGGTCAAAGACGGCGCGCTGTGTGGCAAGCGGCCCTGTCACTTATCTATAGGACACAAGGCACAGAGGAGCAAAATACGGGCATGGCGCCAGCAGGTCGACTCAAAAGGGTCTCTCGCTAGGCTAGTGCAGCTGCACACATGCAGGAACGGGACTGGGCACAGGTATCCGAGTACCCGTACCATATCCAGACAGGCACTTAGCTCCGTTGGGACGCCCGGAACAATAGCCTATGGTCCATGCTGGAGGGCCCAGCCTCAAAGGACTCGAGCCACGGCAAGGAAACATCTCGCCCGACGGTAGAAAAGCGTAGAAACCACAGGGAGTGGACGTAAAGGTTATGTGTATCAAATATGCTGCTACCGTTCGCACTGATAGCTGTCCTTGTACACATACAGTATTTCGTATAGTAACTGAGCTGGCAGGCCAAAATGCGAGTTCGTGTCGGAACCGGGCAAATGGAGCTCAGTCAACGTGCGCCGTGTGCCCAGGAGCCTAAAAATACGGACCAAGCTCGCGCGATAGCTCCACCCGACCCGCAGGTAGCGTCCGATTCCTCCAGGATGGGCCCGCGTATCACTCCGAAGGGAGAGGTTCCGACCCATCGTTTGATTCATCTTCAACACCGGTCTGTTACAGGAATCCAACCCCCCCAAGTCAGCATTGATGTGCGGCTTATCTGTGCGACGTCCAAGAGGAATAAATAAACTAGAGCCCCCAGAATTGCCACGAGCTGTCTTTGGAAACGATTTTGTCTCTGTCCTTCGACTACTGGGTTCTGGCCCGGACGCGACAGCTTCAAAAGGAGCCTAGGACGTAGTTTGAAGACATCTCCAAGTTCCCCTGGAAGTCGTATTGTGATCATTGTCTCTCTGCTGGCGGACCGAGTACGTACGAGAACCCTGCAAGACACGAGGTCAAGATGTGCCTGAAACGAAGCTGTGCGTCATGGTGTGCTGAGCGTCGCAGCGGAACAACGCACACGGCAGGACTTGGATGGCTTGGCAGAGCCCCCTAATTCTGCCAAGCAGGGTCACAGTCCCGTTTCATGCAGAGTCCCGCTGCCCGCTGAGTCCACTCTGACGTCCGCGCTTCAAAGAAACGAATCCTCAAGCCTGTTTTCGCTCGCCTCCAAGCTCCGGGGTGTTGTCAGAGGCATTCCTTCCTCAGCTTGGCTGCCAATATCGATCTTGGCAAGCTAACCGCCGTTGGGCGATCTCTTTTCTCCGGCCGAAGTTTATCCATGATCCCAGTTAAACGAATTCGAGTGCTGCTACACACTGTTAATCATCGTTGATCGACACAGGTGGGATGTTGACTGTGTTAAAATAAGAATCTTTCAGCCGTTCTACCTAGGTACGAGCATGGTGCCGCAATGGTGATACGACGTCGCCTGCGTGGTGTTGTGCCCAGAGTGTCTCGTCAAGCCCTCAGTGCATAACTTACGTGTACGGGGGTAAGGCTATTGAATCCCATTGTGGTAAGTCGAAGGAATGCTAGCGTCAAAAATGGCAATTGGGTATCTATATTCGCTTCTGTCTCGTTCCGGTCGTGACTCGGTCGTCCTTTCGATATCAATAAAATACGGCCGTTATGGCACTGCGACATTGGGTCGCTTCAGGGGACCGGCAATAAGACCCGGGAAAGAAAAGATGCTGCACCAGACCCATAGTGGCTTGCCTCCTCCTCACCTCACCGACGTCCTTCACTGCATTTGAAGGCTCCGCTCGTCACCTCTTCAGGATCTTCAATAATGGTGCTACCCTGGCGCGTTTACTCAATCCTACCCTGTAGGCCACTTTCCCTTTGCTGACGGGTGAACGGGCACTGTCCGGTGGCTTTGCCTGCTTCTCAGGAGTCTTTGTAGACTGAACCGGAGCTGCGCTTGTCGGAGGTATTGAATCCAGGATGGAATTCTCAACAACATCATCCGGGATGGAAACTGGCGGAGCTCCCTGTTCCAATGGCTTCTGTTCCGCTGCGACGAGTGCTGGCTCATCTGGAGCATTCTCCTCAGTAGGCGTATGCTCCACCGCTGTTGTTGCTGTGACGGGGTTCTTCTTGGGGCGCCCACGCGCTCGTCTCTGCTGCTTTTCTGGGCCCGAAACCTTTTGATGCTGCTCATCCTGGTCCGGCCTCGGCATATCAGACGATGGTTTCTCGCGTTTGCCTTCCGCAGGAGCGGTGTTCGGCTCCCCGCGAGCGGTCTTCCGTGCGGCGACACTGCCCTCCAGCTCACTGGCAGGGATAGTAGGTGCTGCTAGCGGTGGGATAACTACTTCCACCTTGGCGGGACTTCTCCGACCCGGTAAATCGACGACATTACTAGATGATGCCTCTAGGTGAAGAAGAGCGTCTGCACCAGTTTTCAAGTCCGCTTGCGACAAGGCATCCAAAACATCCTTTCCTTTTTCCTCTCGCGAACCATTATATCCAGCTGAAGATTGAACCTTCTCCTCAGTAGCCTTGGCGTCTATGGCTTCATTCTTCCTTCGTCGCTTGATCCTTGGTGGATTTGGCAATGCCAGCTCATCGACATCGCCATTGTGGGCAACGAGCCAATTGATCGACTGTCCCACATCGCCATTGTGCTCTTCGAGAGCTCTCTGGGTGCTCTGTGGCGTGAATCCCATCTCACAGATTTGTCGAACCTTCTCAGGTGTCACCAGCGCCGCTGTTTCGGCCAAGGCACCCGTTGTCCTGCTTCGTCGTGCTCTCTTCTTAGAGGCAGCTTCAGGTCTCACAGAATAGTCCGCAGATTCATAAAGGGCTGCTCTGGAGGACCTGGAGCGACTGGGACGCGGTTTGTATTGTTCTTGCGGGAGCCCAATTGCTTCCAGCTCATCGTATGTTGACGGAGGCAAACTCTTTGTATACTTCTTCTTTGAAGATTCTGGTCCATGGGGCTTTGAAGATTGTGTTTCCTCTAACTGTGGCATATTGGCTCTTTCACCCTGGGTCCGATCGGCCGGTAACCCAGGCGAAATTCCATCAGTACGACTCGGGGACACGGCGGTTTGAGATGGATGGTCGGCGGCAGTGCCAGAGACAGCAGGACTTCGTTCTTCAGGGAAAGATTTCTGTGAAGCACGCCTACTCTGAGACGAGCCTTGACTAGGTCGGCTCTCCTGGTCATGACGGGATTGTGCGTGCTCCTGATTTTCGGTCAGAACCTCATAATCAAGGTCAGCGAGGTTCCGTGAACTCACCGATGGCGTTTTGAGGAAGTCTGACCAGGGTATGGAAGACTTCTTCGGCTCATAGCGAAGTTCTGTATTCTCAGGATCATGCGCGGGCTCGAGTCCTAAGAAACTAGGAGCCATGACTTCGGCCAACAAGCGTTCCTCTGTGAGTGTCGTGTTCAGTATGGTGCTTGAAGGCTCAGGAAACAGAGCCATCGGCTCATGGTGGGTATAATCGTCCCGGATGGTCCCTTCCAGACCCCATACACTTTGAGCTGGGTCTCCATCACGTGCCCATTCCCCCTGTCCGTGAATAGGGTCTACGACAGCGCTGTCACCGCTCGACTTCGACCTCCCATAAGCTGTGAGATTTCCCTGGATACGAGGAGTAGGTGATGCATCGGAGGTAGTCCTCAGTCTTTTGAGTGGGCTTGGGTTCGACGGAGAGATGTCAGTGGGAACTCGCTCCGTTGCTTGTATTTTTGTCTGCGATTCATCAAACTGTGTTTGAAACTGAGCATGATGAGCATCTTGGAATGCCTTCTTGAGCGACTCTATCCTGAGTTAGTCAGGATATCTGAATACAGGTATTTAACTGCTTATTATAACCATCAATACGTACCTGTGGAGCCAGTACCCGCGCCACCAGACGCGCCAGTATTATGAGGGACCTGGGTTGGAGGAAGCTCAAGACCCTCATCCTCTAACTCATCATCCGAGTCTTGAATGACTCTTTCCATCTTAAATATCGTGATCTGTATGCAGTGAGACAGAGCCGCAGGTACCTAGGTACCCCGAAAGAGAGTGTTGGTGGGTCGCGCGTTCCCGGCTTAGCTAAAGTTGGAAACGCTAGTGCATTGACGCGAGGTCAGGTGTTCTGGCGTTTGCCAAGGATCTTCCGCTACTGATCTGTCGTCATTAGCAATCCTCATCAGAACACACCTCGAAAGCGTCGCAATTACAATGGATCGATTCAAGTCCGCATCCTCTGCTGAAAACTCAAGAGGGGCGACTCCCGTCAACTCTCGTTTCACATCCCAGGCTGCCACTGCGGAGGACCTGCTCAAAGAGCAAACGGTTGGCCTGGTCCAACTCGATGACTTCCGCAAAAGGCGCGCCGAAGCCTTGGAACGCAGAGAGCGCGAGGGATCAGCTGGTACCTCCGGTGCTACGACACCCATAGACGGGTAGGTGGAGCCTCTGCCTATGGCGATGCATGTGCAGAACTAATTTTCCAAGTACAGTGTTTCCACCGCCCAGCCGGCTTTCAAGAAGAGGAAGAAGATAGCCAACAAAGGCAAACTGTCTTTTGCTGTCGACGAAGAAGAAGATGCAGGATCCAGTGCGTCCGCCGCTCCCACACCGCTGAGCGGTAAATCCGCGAAGACATCCGCCGTCAACTCGGAAGACGAAACCAGAATACCCAAGAAGAAGCTTGAGGCCAATACGAATGTGGGCCTCAAACCCAGAGTCATGACCAAGTCGGCTCTGGCGCGTGAGGCACAGCAGGCCGAGCTGGCACGAAGAGACTTCCTCGCGCGACGGGATGCGGTCAAGGCCACCGACATCAGCATACCATTCGTTTTCTATGATGGGACCAATATTCCGGGTGGGCGATGTCGAGTGAAGAAGGGAGATAATATATGGCTCTTCCTAGACAAGGCGCGGAAGGTGGGCGCAGAACTTGGTGTAGGTGGAGATAAAGGCAAGAGAGAGTGGGCAAGAGTCAGCATAGACGACTTGATGCTCGTGCGAGGAGAGGTCATTTTACCGCATGTACGTGGCCATGTTCCGGTTTTGATGTTGTGCACTGACATGTTTGGCACAGCACTATGATTTTTACTACTTCATCTTCAATAAAGTCGCCGGCTTCAACGGGCCGCTGTTCAACTACTCCGCAGAAGCCACCAAGGCTACACCTTCAACGAGCGAGACCAGTGCAACCGAAGCTACTGAGTACAATCCCCTCGAGAGGCACGGGACGGATAAGGACAAGGCAGCAGCGGTTCCAGAGGAGGAGCTGGAAGGATACAATGAGGATGCGACGATGACCAAGGTGGTGGACAGAAGATGGTACGAACGCAACAAGCACATTTTCCCTGCCAGTGTCTGGGAAGAATACACTCCGGAGAAGGACCTGTCCAAGGCAAAGCGCAAGGACGCGGAAGGGAACGCATTCTTCTTCTCGTAAAACTACGCGATGGCTGAGCCTAGCAGAGGAAGAAGGATTCCAACGAGGGCGCCAGCACCCCACCAAGTTCTCGTGGACCATCCCACGTCGATGTAGGCCATGCGAAGGCGACAGTGGGCAGATTGAGCTTCTAGACTGACCGCTACTTTTTCGGGCCTTGGGTAGTCAGGGGGGATGCGGGGATGCTCGGCTCGTGAAAATCAGGGTCCCGCCATGTTCCTGAGATAGTTACCTATCACAGCAAAGCCTGGCGCGGGGGTGAGGGAAGGGAGTTCGAGAAGTCAGGACAAGCAGGTGGTCGTGTGAGCAATTACTGTTGGAAGAGGCGTCTGTGAAGCGCTAGAGGTTGTCCCCAGGTCGAGGTGCAGGTGGCGGTTGTCGGGTGACCTCTGCGCTACTGGCATTGTCTTAGTGTGGGTGCTTGGACGATTGTTCTGTCCCACTCTGGTGAATAATTGTGTTGTTGAATTTCTTCTTCCGCCCATAGCAACTCATGCATACCAGCCAACGGTCACAACTCCACCTCTTCCCTTCCCCTAATCAGAATAGCATAGCGAAGAGTGGGTGGGCTTCCCACCACGCGACGAATGGTGATGGAGAGTGGGTAGCTGCGTGGCGGCGACGATCCATGGAATGCCGTTGTGCATAGCGGAACGCTCATCAAAATGACAAAAAAAAAAGATATAAAGCTGGATGCAGCACTCTGTGGACGCGGAAGCTTTGTTCGGCACCGTGGCCCATTCACTCATCAGAAGGACAAAGAATCGCACGCCGTCCGCGGTTGTTGCGTCATCTATTGTCTCACGTCCATCTCGGCCACTTACGGCAGGCCCCAAAGCCCAAAGCGGATACTTACCAGAAATCCGAACGACAAGTCTTCGCACGCCGAGGTCGCATCTATGTAATGTACCCCCTTCGAGACCCGCTATTAATCGAATATTAACAACCATGCAGCTCTCCTACCCTCCTTGATACCACCTACATCCTTCGTCCGACTGCACCCTACTCCCCTCCAATGAGATCGCTTTGCCCGAGCACACCCTCATCATACCCCTTCTGGGCCTCCCGCCACTGATGTATCCCCACTAATGGACCGCCTCTCTCTACTCAACCATTTCTCTCGTTTCTACTCCTATCCACGTCCCTCACCGCGCATCCTAATCCCACTTCTCGCATAACATATAGCAGTACTGTTTTTCGGAGTCCCCGCAGCTACCCTAGGGTAGTTGCTGCAGCCATCTTTTCCTCATCATGAAATTCGGTCACAACCTACCGCGGAATCAGGTACCCGAATGGGCTTCCTACTACATCGACTACAAAGGCCTGAAGAAACTCATCAAATCCGCTGCCGCGGCTGCCAAAGATGGCACCGAACCTGACCTGGCCGCTTTCTTCTTCTCCCTGGACCGCAATGTTGAGGATGTCGACTCGTTCTACAACAAAAAGTATTCCGAATTTGACCGGAGATTGAAGCTGCTGCATGACCGTTATGCACGTGATATCCACAATCCAGACGGCCTCGACAAGGACGAGGTCCAGGATGTCATGAGCGCACTTCTCGAGCTGCGCAGCCAACTCAGGCAGCTACAGTGGTATGGCGAAGTCAACCGAAGAGGCTTCATCAAAATCACAAAGAAGCTGGACAAGAAGGTTGCATCTATGAATGCTCAGCAGCGCTACCTCTCGACCAAGGTGGACCCGCTGCCATTTGCCCACAAGCAGCCCTTGGAACAGAAGTTGAAGGTCATAAATGAATGGCTTTCAAAGTTAGGCGAAGTGAAGACGTTCGACGACTCCGGATCCGCATCCTCCGTCAAGTCCCTACGCAGAGCACCTGGAGGCCCGTTGAGCCTGTCTCCTGGAACCCTGGAATCGGTGGACAAAGCAATCAAGAGCGATGATTCGCACTCTCTCTCGGATATCCTCGCGGAGGCTACCAAGTCACATGATATATCCAGCGCACCTTTCCAGCAGTTGCTAGTCAACTTTCTGCAGCGAGCCATTTCTTGCAAGGCCAGAGCGTGCATAGACAGGTTGCTACCAGACATCATATCACTGGAGGAAGAGGATGACATCAACCGGCGAAACTGCATCCATCGCTTGGTCATCAGCATTGGACGATCTAAAAGTGGCGAGAGTTCTGGAGTGGACCAAAATGCACAGCAGGCGCCCAAGGATGTGTCACGGTTCCTCGTTCCAGCTGCACCACCGCATCGAGTTCCTGCCTCCTGGACCACACCGGAATCAGAGTCCCAGAGCCTTTTGACGATGAACGATGACTCTGTGCGCCTCCTCGAATATCTCCTTGATCGACTGCAGCCGCGCCAGCGAAGTTCTCTTCTATCCAGGGACTCATATGGTCGACTTCCTCTCCACTACGCTGCCCAGTATGGCTTCGTAGTGATATGCCAGGTCGTCATAAAATATATGCAAGACTGGGGTCAATTCAACGTGTCCGACGGCATCGATGGACCCTATTGGCAAGACAACGACGGATATGCCCCACTGCATCTGGCCGTGATTGGAGGCCATCCTCTCACTACCAAAGCGCTATTCCAAGCGGAGAACTGGCTAGGCGAGCACGACGAGAGCATCTCCCACAGAAAGCCGATATCGAAATCTGGAGCGGTGCTTGCTCTGGCAACCCAGTCCAACTTCGTTGTCATCGTCCGCCTGTTGGTCGAGGCAGGTGTCGACGTCAATTATCAGGACGCCCAGGGCGAAACAGCACTGCACGTAGCAGCACGGTTCGGACATGTCGAGTGCGCGAAGGCACTAGTAGAGGGTTCAGCAAGCCACAAGACGGATCTCGATATACCAGAGAAGACGTTTGGTTGGACTCCACTTTTCATTGCTTGCGTAGATGGTCATCTTCCCGTCGTTGAGGTTCTAGTGAGTGCAGGCGCAAATGTGTCACACGTTGATCTTTCTGGCTGGACGGCAATGGAGCATGCTGCGCTCAGAGGTCATATGGATATCGTAGCGAGACTGGCAAAGGTTTGTCCACAAGCCCAGACGTCACCAGATGACGCACGATCCCGTTCAAACTCTCCCACTCAGCCGTCCTCTCTCGAAGAGCGGAAGTCCAAGTCTACCTCTCCGAAACTTCCCGAGCCAGTCAAAACTTTCGGGCATCGCTACCTCACCAAAGAGACAATGATCCTAGTCAGTCTGGGCTCAATGGACATGCGGAAAGATGTTCCCGCCGTCAAACTGGACAACATCCCTATGGCCAATGCCCACGCGACGCAACTGGACACGGCTCTCTCTCTAGTTGTAACTGCCTCTGGGGCCACTGGAGAGTCGGACATCATTGATCTGCCTGTCCAGGAGAATATCAGCACAGAACCGATCACCTTCATGACAGAGGACGCTACAAAGGTCAAACTTTTATTCGACATCTTCCCGACCTACTCGGGGTCGCCCAAGCAGCAGCTCGTCGGACGCGGAGTGGCACTACTATCCAGCATCAAACCAAGCCTTGGTTCCAAGCGCATCACCTTGCAGGGCGACGTCCAAGTCCCCATCATGGCGGCTACCACCCTGGAAGTCATCGGTTCAGTGAACTTCAACTTCCTGATCATCACACCTTTCTCACATCCTAATATGGTTGTTACCGAGGACCACACTTACTGGAAGAAGCTCGCGACAACCATGGTGATCGGCCACAGAGGCCTCGGAAAGAACACAAACTCCAGAAAGAGTTTGCAACTGGGCGAGAATACCATTGAGTCCTTCATCGCCGCCGCCAACCTTGGAGCTTCGTACGTAGAGTTCGACGTGCAATTGACCAAAGACCACGTCCCTGTCATATACCACGACTTCCTAGTCAGCGAAACTGGTATCGACGCTCCTGTGCACACACTCACACTTGAGCAATTCCTTCACGTTAGTGAGGGCCAAACGCCCAGAGAATCCAGACCCACGTCTCCGAGTCCGAAGGCCGTTGACAGGGTCGGTCGCAATGGCCACCCTCGCATGCGTTCCTATTCCATGGACATCACCAAGCAGAAGAATGTCCATGCGGCGCATACCTTGGAGCTTTCGGAGCGTATGAAGCATACCCGCGATTTCAAGATGAAGGGCTTCAAGGGTAACAGTCGTGGCAACTTTATCCAGTCGCCATTTGCGACACTCGAGCAGATGTTCAAGAAACTTCCTGAAAGCACGGGATTTAATATCGAAATGAGTACGTACTACTGTCTGTGTGTGGATAGCTCGATGCTAACACTATCCCAGAGTACCCCATGTTGCACGAAACCGAGGAGCACGAGATGGACCAATACGCCGTCGAACTCAACTCCTTCGTCGACACCGTCCTGAAGACCGTCTATGACCTCGCAGGCAAACGCAACATCATCTTTTCCTCCTTCAACCCGGATATCTGCCTAATGCTGTCCTTCAAGCAGCCCTCCATCCCTGTGTTATTCCTCACCGACGCCGGCACCTACCCTGTCGGAGACATCCGCGCCGCCAGCTTACAGGAAGCAATCCGCTTCGCCAGTCGCTGGAACCTACTAGGAGTCGTGAGCGCCGCAGAACCCTTGGTCTACTGCCCCCGTTTGGTCAGAGTCGTCAAGGCAAGCGGATTGGTCTGCGTGAGTTACGGGACTCTCAACAACGACCCCAAGAACGTAAAGGTAATCAACGTCCCTTCTCCGCAACCCCTCACCGTACCTTTTCACTAACACTCATGCAGATCCAAGTAAACGAAGGCATCGACGCCGTCATTGTCGACTCCGTCCTCGCCATCCGCAAAGGTCTCACCAGCGCCGAAGAAGACGGCTCATCCTCGGACTCGTTGCAGGTCCCTACGGTTTCGAATGGCGGTTCTGCAGACCGCGATCCGCTCGTCGGCAGAGTGGAAAATAACGAGAGCAGTCAACCGTCGGATGCGCGGGAGGTAGTGGAGACGGTGAATGGCGTGCCTGTGTATGCGGATGGGGGGCTTGGGAATGCGTCTCCGGTTATCTTCCATTAGATGTTGGGGTTGGAAACGAGGTGTTGAGGTGGGAGGGAGAAAGAGATGGATATACGTTTTTGTGGGGCGGGTTGATTTGAATTGGGTTGTTTCGTACCATTGGGATGGGAACTTGGGTGTAGGGACATGGTTGTTGATGAGGGCTTTCGATGGCGATAGCAATGGGTTTGTTTTGTGGAGGCTGGGGACGGATCAGGTGGTAGGTATATGCTTTGCCGTTGAGGCATTCAACATAGCCCGAGGTGTGCAGGGAGATTTCGTAGTGGGAACCATGCCATGAGGTTCGCAAGCAGTGTGCCTTCCTGTAACGCTGGACTTGTGGTGCGTGGACGCTGCTGTATATGAGGGCGTGACATGCTCGAGCCTGAGATATCCGCATTTTCAGTAGACTACATCTTTGCATTGGGAAGTCGGAGTCCTTGAGTGGCAGAGGGGATCATAACCCCGCCTTCTCCCATCAGCCGCTACACGGACTGTACTCAAGTCACGGCTTCTCAATCCAGCGAACTCGCTCTTAAGTTGAACGGTATGGTTTAGGATTCGCTGATCGATTTGCATCCTGAGCTGCCTGGCGCCGCGGTGTCATCGACACACTACCCAAGGCTCCGTGTCTTTCTCACGAAGGCTCTGAAGGCGCTGCATACATCCCATACTCCGGTTCGAGAAGCTCGGCTTGGGTTAGCTCGGTCTAGCAGTATTGCCGGGGTAGTACATAGCAGATATCACACGACCTAGTTTGCTGGTTGAGGGTTATCGTGGTACAGAGACGGCGTGCGGTGTTGCTGCGGTGTCGTTGGATGCGGTTGATGGGAGGATTCTGGCAATGGAGTTTGGTAAGGGAGGAGAGAAAAGCAAGGAGTAAAAAAAGAAAAGGAAGAGAAAAGGAAGAGAAAAG